GTACCGTCGCAAGACAAACATGATGAAAAAGGCATCTGAATATAGTAAGATGTGTGATGCGGATGTATGCATAGGTATTCGCATAAGGGAGACGGGTCAGATACATATTTTGTCTGCGGATACTTCAGGATTTTGGGCTTTTCTTCCTTTGCAACTGGTATGTCAACTCTAAATGATACAGCACAATTCATCGAAATGAACGCTGATTTGTCAGGGCTCCTATTACCCAACTCCGACTGTGATGACGGATCGCGATTTAAAGAAAGCCAAAGAAGATACTGCTTCCAAGGACCCACTATAGGCTCTCAACAGGATAGGGTTTATGAACACGTTTTACACTCGACTTAGATTTCCTCCGTAGAATGTCGTGAATAAAGGATCTTGAGCTACTTTGACATTTCCAATATCGTTCTTGCGAAGTCAACAAGTACAGTATATCAAAGAGGCCGCATTAAAGCAATTATTGTGCTGTAGTCCATTATAGAATAGGAAACTATTTGAGTATAGTCATACTAGAAAAAGCCAACAGCTTGACTGGGGAAGAGCCGGTTTTACATGAATGGAAGGCAGATCGTGATCAATAAGTTGGATGAAGAGGAATTGTGATCAGCCTTGCAATGAACTCTTTCGGGAGACGTATGTATGGTTCTTTGATTACTGTGTAAGTGGCTTGATTCGCGAGGTGGTGCCTGAGGAATAACCATGGTAGCAGAAACTACGGGTAGCGCTGACTGATACAGTGGTGTTTCATAAGTATTTGACCTTGGGTACTTCACTACCCGCTTTAGGCCTGACCGCTCTTCTAGACCGCCTACTATATTAGTATATGTGGCTGCGGACGCGTCCTAACACGCCAGTATTTGCAGTCTTAAACAGTAGATATAACGTGTCCATAGCTATATTTGCACTCCTTAAGCTATTTCCATAGCTAATATGCATCCAATACGTTGGTAAAGGGGGTCCAGACCTCGAAGCTATTGATTTGACTGAAATCCCGAGGTTTCTGCATGGCAATATTAAAAGTGGGCCCTAGAGGGCCGAAGTACCTAAGGTCAAATACTTGTGGAACACCACTGTAGCTACCTGAAAAATTACTTCAGCTCCTCAGACCACAGCCAATAATGAGGAGACAGAACTCAGCCACGCTAACCCGATTAGGCCTGTGGTCTTTAGACCACCAGGGTTTTACGACTGTGGTTTTTAAACCACCCTGGTCTAAATACCCCCACATCTTGTTTTTTTAAACCTCTAGAGTCTTATAACCCAAGATCACACGTGGAAACCCCAGAGACTACTTTGAACATTCTTTTAGCTCTTATCTTGACGTTATGACTTTAGTCAGCGTACGAATACGCAAAGTCTCGTCGACCACTTGAAATCTGTCGGAATGTACGGAGCCAAATCCATACAATTTACAAGTTCCTTTTGGGTTTCAGGGGGTTTTTAGAATCCACAGTCTCGTTGAGACAAACTCCGTGGGTGGGCTGTTTACCTTTCTCGTCAGGAAATTCCGAACCTAGATGACTGGTCGAAATCGGATTATCTCTGGTTTTATTACCAATGTAAGACCCCATTGGTTGAAAGCCCATGGTATTCGTTTTTGGTAATATCACTTAAGCTCTAGTTACTGCCGAGTTGACATTGTACGCTGTTACTGAGCACTCTTAGCAGTGTCCAGAGTACCACTAAGCCTAGATTGGAAGTGTGTTTATGTAATCAACTTCGCGACGGAACGGTCCGCTTCAGCCTTCAGCCTTATCCTCGAGTTTATTGCAAGCCATGCCCACAATTGTTAAACTGGCTTCGGTGTGAGGATCTACAGCAGCATACTGTTAGTGTGGTTAGGGAGCACACATCAGTTCTAAGGCCAGACTGTAATCTGGTCTTTGACCCACACTGTGCGATGGCAATAGACGCTGTGTTTATTCATCCATTTTTATATAAGGGAGCCTGTGCAGCCGCTTTTGTGGCTCCAATTCCAAAGGCAAAGCACGCATCATACTCCGGTCTCGCCCGAGGTCCCGGAATGAAGTGGAAGTAACCATGTTGTCCTCGCAAGTCGGCTGAAATAATTTCAGGCCAGAGATGTGGGGGGTTCGAAACTATTAGGAAGTGCACGGACCTCCTATCTAGGTGGGGAAGCTGTTTTCATTGAGCCAATCCAATTCAATCCTAATTTTCTACATAGAACACAGTTGAGACTTGCACATTCTCACCACTTTCTGCGGCCTCATATGTTAAATTTTGGACACTCCTTCAACACAACATGTTTTTTTTCTCACCTTTGTTGAACTCGCAATTAGGCTGTCCATTATCCCCAGGAGCCAGTTCGTGTAATCTGATCGGAGTAGTAACGGATACTATCAATCGAGAATCAACGGTAGCCGTGGACAACATTCCGTTTCCCTCACAAAACAAACGTGGTGGTGCTGAAGTGAACCCACAGGAAATTTGTGTGTCTATTGGGGTGACTACCGCAACTAGGGGGTCTCTGTACACTGCTCAGCTCAAGCAAGACAACACCACTCATTCATTAGTAAACACTACTCATCAATAAACACTACTCATCAATAAACACTGCTCATCAATAAACACTGCTCATCAATAAACACTGCTCATCAATAAACACTACTCTACTCACCGACAGACCCTACTCATCTATGTGGAAGGAGCTTGCCAATCGCGAGGAGAAGAGGAAATATTGTATTCTTATTGCCCGAATAACAAGGCATGCATACTAGTTAGGTCTTGGTAGCCCCGTTTTGGCCCACAACCACCTGGTGGTAGTTACAGTACAGCAATCGGAATAACAACTCTTAAAACGTGGAGTGTTGGAGGGCGCAAATAGTGCAAAAAGCGGTTCCACTATTTCTTTACTGTAACGGAAGGAAGTGATGAAAGAACATAGACCAGAGAGGGGCGCCAAGCCTGCCCTATCTCCGCGTTAAAACCGAACGACTAGAATTTTCTCATCAAGAAACACTACTCATCAAGAAACACTACTCATCAAGAAACACTACTCATCAAGAAACACTACTCATCAAGAAACACTACTCATCAAGAAACACACCGTACAGTACTCATCGATAGACCTTACTCGTTTGTATCGAAAGAGCTTGCCTATCGCGTGGGAAATATTTAGTTTTCTTACTGCCTGAGTAACAAGGCATATATCCTAAGCCTTGGCAACCTCAATTTTGGTCCACCGCCAGTTTTACAGGTGGTTACTCCGTACTGTGAGATCATCAGGTGACTAGGTTCGACTACGAGGAAACTGATTCGATCACGCCCGGTCGTTCATGGGGACCATTTTAAGCAGACATGGGTACTGTGTAGCTCGTAACAAGAGGCTAGTAGAGATATGAGCGATATGGCCCCGAGAGAAGTCTCTTGGAAGACTCGTCCGAACCATCACCGCTACAGCGACTTGCGCGAAAGTATATATGGAAAGGCCATTCACTATACGATGTAAATCTTCAAAGTATCAGGCCGGCGCAATGTTTGCGTGCGGCCACCGCCGATGGCGAGAATTCCATATTCGTGATTTCTGAGCACGAAGAGCAGGAACTTGTCGCTAAAGGCCAGCTCACCAAGGAGAAGCATTTTCTATCAATGGCTTCTAGAGTGCTGAATAAGATAGAAGAAGAAAGGCGGCTCGTTCTGTGAAGCTAAGGGAACCATGAGAAACCTCTTAAGCACACATGGATACTATGAAGTCCGGAACAAGAGGCTATAAGAGACATGAGCGATGTAGCCCAGGGAGAAAATTCTTAGAAGGCTTGATGAGATGAGCCGTACGCCTCGTGTCTATCGTTGAACTATGTAGCGCCTCTCGTAGGCATGGCTGTAGGAATACATGGATATAAATGTTGTTTTGGGCAGATTTTCCTGGGAAGCTACAGTACTTGGAAGCCCTATAATAAAACATTTATTCTAGGAGGCGAGGCCTCCTGAGAGAATCCTCTTGAGAGGAAATTAGTTCTGGGAACCCCAACCGACGAGGAGATGCCCCATGAGAGGGTCTACGTCATATGAAACCCCTCTTTGTTCTGCACCCGTCTTATAACAGTCATCCTAGTGCTAGCGTGGTTATGAGACAAGTAAAGCAAATGCTAGAACGACACCCCAAATTACTAAACCAAAGAATCCAGTTTTGGCATCATGACTTAAGTACTGGTACCTAAGCCACTGTGGGATTTAAGCCGGAGAGAATCGGCACAAGACTGTAATGGAGTGAACCCATTCATGGCTGCCCACACAACTGGAGTGAGGACTGACTTCATTGGTCCACTGTGTTCATTGCCTGCTGAAGAAGTGGGTCACAAACGCAGTGCCCTCCTATTCGTTTGTCTAGTGTGGGAAGACTGCGGACAAACTGTGGGCGTGCCGCAGCGAAACCTACGCTATTTAAGAATTGCTTTTTCTCCGCCTACCCACATAGTTACAGCCTTCTCACGCCGATGCTGTGCGCCAATCGTGTTGCTTAGGCACAGCCCGCTGCGGAGCTTTATTCAGTGGCGCACTCCGCGGTCCTTATGAGGAGACACTATTGGCCCGTTGTCTTCGTTGCCTGCAGAAGTGGGAAGGCTTAGGCTTTGGGCCCCGTGATCTAGGGCAGTTGATTCGAGGCTACGTTCGCAAGGCCATGGACGCGGATCCACTTTGGACGTACGTCCACAGCTCCAGATCTACTACAGCCTCCAAGCTGTCCACTGGCGGCCACGATGGCTGAGTAGCCATCCGGGCTCCAGGTTTTTTGACGACGGTCCATACGGGATGCAAGTCTTTCGATCCAAATCTTTCATTCCGTTCGAGACAACAATGACCGGGTCACCAACCAAGGAATTGCGATGGGATTCGTCTGCTCCCGGAATCGATACTTTCAGGATACGGTCGACGTGGGACCCGTCAGATCCTATGCGGCAAGTCATACGACCCTTAGCGACTGAAGCCCGCTCTAGAGATATACACGGGGGTTGAGATCCCTGGCGGGCCTAGGCATGTGGTCTGAACACCTACGAGGTCAGGGGCCTGAGAGTAGAGGGCCGGGGTGGCGTGCCCAGGTACCGATGGCCAGCGTCATAAGGTCGGATGCAGCTGCCCTGGGCCACCATACCAGATTACCAGGACCGGGTACCCCCGACCGACTCGATCATCAGACGCTGGTCGTACGACCAGCTCACCGCCCAACTGGCGGCCACTATTGTTGAATATCACACACTGTTGAGTATCACGTTGGCTGAAACTGATATATATGGCATCCTGCCCCTGTAAACGAGAACTCCTTAAATCAATCAACGAGAATCAATCAGACGATCGCTTGTCTCAACAACTATGGCTGCGTAGCCATATGGGCTCCAAGTCTTTTGACGACGATCCATATGGGACACAAGTCTTTCGATCTGAATCTTCTATTCCTCACTGTTCATGGCTTAGTTACCACTTGTTGTATGGCTGCTCGTGATTGCCTGGCGAACTGGGTAACTGTCGAGACTCCCACAACTGGTGTGACCAAACGCCGTGCAGACACTTAACGGTGACTGAATACCAAAGCAGACGGCTCCTTCGTTTCGGTTCTTTTGCGTTTGCGTGATGGTGTCGTATCCGTCTCATCATCGACCGCTTCAACGATCATGCTCTCAAAATCTCGGTAACTGTAATCACGGCGAGGGGCCCTCCGAGGTCGTGAGCTAATGACATTGTATTTTTGACTGAATATATATGCTAAATTCGTTCCTCATGAAGAACACTCAAAAACTTAAATATGCCTTCTCGATTACTATAGGAGTATTGACATACTACAAAATTATAATATACCTTCTGGTTGTTGAGATATGATGTTGTAATTTAACGCCTTTAATATGGTGTATTGGGGTGTTTCACTCGGGCGGGAATTACGTTATTAAGTAATTCCCTTCTCCGGGTATCCACCAATCCTACTGCTCCGTCATATTATCCTTCCCCGCCCCAAGTCTTACCGCTGACTCAATTTCCAAAACTCAACCTCAACAACACATCAAATTGAAACAAATTGGAGTAAAAGCAAAGGCTCACTTCAATAATGGAATGTGATGATTGCGGCGGCCCACCGGCTCCATCCGCTGAGCCTCTCGACACTACGGCCCCGGCTCACGGAAAGCTCAACCAGGGGAAAATGGACGATTGCTGCTCTCCGGGTAGACTCCCGGGCAACGAAGCCGAGAATAATACCGACGCGCCTGACTGCTGCCGTGGCAAAGTCCGCCCATGCTGCGACGCCTTTTGCCTTGACCTCCTGGCTTTGCGGGAATGCGAGATGAGTACCGCGGCTGCTCCCACCCCAAACGTCCAGCCAAACAGTGAGTAGCCGCTCTTGGGAATAGAATTCAAATATTGCTAATTCTCCTTAGCTTGCGGTGGAGCTACCGACAGCAAGGCATGCAGCCACCATAGTCTCTCCGCCCTCGACCGTTACGGCGCTACTTTACAAGCCCTGGGGTGTATCTGCCGCGCTCTCATTGCTCTTGGCCAAGAAACCTGCTGTGAAATTCGTGAGCGCCAGACTTTGGACAGGAAGCAGTGCTCCAGGAAGTCATCTGCTCGCTCCGTTCTTCGTACTTCTCTGGATTCCTACAGTAGTAGCGGCTCCCTGGCTAAGGACCAGGCCGCGCAGAACCATCTTCGCCTGCGAAGGGGCTCTCGTGAAAGCGCCAGGTCTGTCAAGAAGCCATTCGCGGATCCCTGCGTTGTCTCATTTTGTTCAACGGACAAGCCCTCCAAAGAGCCTCCGTTCGAATGTAAGTGCCCGAAGTCGTGGTGCTCTGGGGGCCAACCTGTCAAGGAACCTTACCCGAAGAGCAACTTTGGTGTCTCTTGCTGCACGGAAGCCAATATCAAAGAAGCCCCAACGAAAAACAAATGCTCCTATTCTCGCTTCTTGGAGGCTCCCCGTGTCGAAGAATCCCCTCCCAAGGTCAGCTGCCCCGGATCATGCTGCCCCGGAGACCAGCCTGTCAAAGACAATGACAGCAAGAGCATATATCCGGACTCCTCCTGGTCGAAGGTCAAGCCTATTGTTGAATCTCCAACTAGCGGATGTGCAGGGTCTTGTTGTGGTAAAGGTAAGGACACGATTACTCAAGAGCCCTCCAATGCCGCCTCCTCTGGCTCTTGCTGTAAGCCACCGAAGCAGGATATCTTGAAGACTTCGAAGACTAGTTGCACAGAAAAGCAGCCGGTCAGCCCTCGAGGCTCTTGCACCGATGCTTGCAACTCCTCTACTGCGGCCAATCCTGGTTTAGAGATTGAGAGAGCCCCGAATCAGGCTATCACCGACCTAGAGAGTCAGGGCATCGGTGAGGAACATGTTGTTCTCAGCATTTCTGGCTTGACTTGTACTGGTTGCGAGACAAAGCTCAACCGAACCCTCGCTACCGTCCGTGCCGTCAAAGACTTGAAAACCAGTCTGGTTCTCTCACGCGCCGAGTTCAACATTGATCTTCGCCTTGGTTCGGTAGAGGACGTCATCAAACATCTAGAGCGAACAACTGAATTTAAGTGCGAAAGAGTCCAGAACCAGGGATCTAGCTTAGATCTTATAGTCCCCGATGAGCCCTCTAAATTCATTAGTCAGACGTGGCCGGACGGAGTTCTTGATATGGCGCCCGTGGACAAGCAGACCGTGCGAGTTGCGTTTGATCCGAAGATCGTGGGAGCTCGAGACCTCACCGAGAAGATTTGGGACCGGCCAATTGAACTTGCTCCTCCACGCGGTGACCCTTCGCTGGAGGCTGGCAGCCAGCATGTTCGTCATGTTGGATACATGACGCTTCTTTCCGCTGCTTTGACAATTCCGGTCCTGGTCATGGCATGGGCTCCGCTTCCTGAGAGGGCGGTGGCATATGCCTCGGCTTCACTCACCTTGGCCACGATTGTTCAAGTTGTCATAGCGGGGCCTTTCTATCCTAAAGCCCTGAAGGCTCTCGTTTTCTCGAGGGTTATCGAGATGGACCTCTTGATCGTCTTGAGTACTAGTGCGGCCTACATCTTCTCGGTGGTCTCCTTTGGGTATCTCGTTGCAGAGCAGCCCCTTTCGACTGGTCAATTTTTTGAAACGAGCACTCTCTTGGTCACCTTGATCATGGTTGGTCGATGGGTTGCCGCTCTCGCTCGTCAGAGAGCTGTTGCATCCATTTCTATCCGGTCGCTTCAGGCATCGACAGCCATCCTTGTCGACAAAGAGACTGGAACGGAACGTGAGATTGACGCCCGACTTTTTCAATACGGTGACACATTCAAAGTTCTCCCTGACACCAAAATCCCGACCGACGGCACTGTCATCAATGGGTCGTCTGAAGTTGATGAGTCTATGCTCACTGGTGAATCCAGACCAGTGGAGAAATACCCTGAGTCTGTGGTGATTGCTGGGTCTATCAATGGACCTGGAGTTATGACTGTTCGACTGAACCGTTTGCCTAGCGATAACACTATCAATGCTATTGCTGCGATGGTCGATGAAGCCAAACTGTCGAAACCCAAGCTGCAGGATCTTGCGGACCGGGTAGCATCCTATTTCGTCCCGGTTGTGGTGGCATTAACGATCATCACGTTCGTCATCTGGGTTGCAGTGGGGATGACTCTTCGTGGACATGATGGATCCGAAGCTACAATTCAGGCCATCACCTACGCCATTACTGTCCTCATCGTCTCTTGCCCCTGTGCTATTGGACTGGCTGTTCCTATGGTTATTGTGATAGTTAGCGGAGTTGTGGCGGAAAGAGGTATCATCTTCAAGTCAGCAGACGCTATTGAAGTGGCTCATAAGACGTCGCACGTCGTGTTTGATAAGACTGGGACCTTGACTCAGGGAAAGCTTTCAGTCGTCGCTAAGAACTGCGTCAAAGTGGATAACCTCCCGCTTCTTCTAGGCCTCATCGAAACCAGTCGCCACCCGGTCTCGGTTTCTGTGGCTACTTACCTCAAGGAAACTGGTGTTACGGCTTCGACTGTTTCTGAGTCTAAGAGCCTTACTGGTAAAGGTATTGAAACCACATTCGGCGGCCGGAAACTTCAAGCAGGCAATTCTCGCTGGCTGAATTTATCGGAAAATGAACATGTGCAACAAATGCTTGCTCAAGGGTACACTGTCTTCTGCTTTACTATCGACAATGCGTTACAGGCGGTCTACGGTCTTGAAGATGAGCTTCGACCTGACGCTGCGGCGACGATTGAGACCTTGCAGAAGCGTGACGTCTCGGTACATGTCGTTTCTGGCGACGATGACGGAGCTGTCCATTCTTTGGCATCCAAGCTTGGCATTCCTGGCGGCAATGTGCGTTCTCGAAGCTCGCCCGCTGACAAGAAGGACTACATTCAGACGCTCCTCGGTACTGGCGCAGATGGCAATAAACCAGTTGTTGTTTTCTGCGGTGATGGCACCAACGATGCTGCCGCTCTCGCGCAGGCTACGATCGGTGTTCACATAAACGAAGGCACCGATGTCGCGCAGTCCGCCGCTGATGTGGTTCTCCTGCGGCCTTCTTTGGCTGGCATCTGCACCATGATGAACGCCAGTCAGAAATCTGTCAACCGCATCAAGCTCAACTTTATATGGAGCTTCGTGTACAACACCTTTGCAGTCCTTCTCGCTGCGGGTGCTTTTGTAAATGCCAGAATCCCTCCAGAGTTTGCAGGACTGGGAGAGTTAGTGAGTGTATTGCCTGTCATTGCTGCCGCGGTGCTTCTGCGTTGGTCGAAGATCTAGTCACAGGGCACTACTATTGCACGGGTAACAGCAGCTCAAGTTCCACAAACTCTCCTTGATGTCCGACTAGAATCGTCGTTTGGAAGACGGGATGCGACAGCTCCTGCCATATTCGAATTCGAATCGCAATCGTGGATATTGCAATTCTGTCATTACCGAAGGTCAGTCTGCTTGAGTACCAGAGAAGACTCCTATGAGAAATTTTAACTCAATTCGTTTAGTTCTCCCTATATGTCCTATTCAAAAGGGCGTACTTTTTAGCAGTTATGACTTTTCGGTGGAATTAGTTACAGAGGGGACTATGTGAAGGGGTTCGCAGATCCTCATCTTAGCTTCATTCTCACTGTTGAGTAATTATATAACTATTTTGAATTTTCGCCAGAACGCTCAGAACGCTATCGCTACTTTGGCCGCTTTGGATGTTATTAGTCTCTTCTCATAGCACTGCGCATAGTAGGATATTAACGATAGCGGAAAGGAATTTCATTTTAAGCCATATTGAAGTTCCCTCTTCCCACAACGGTAGAATTTGCAAGTACACGGCTTTTGGAAAGAAAATCATAAGGTCAGGTATGATGTAGATTTGCGTCTGTCGCACTCGGGGCGTATCTCCCCATCACCAATGTTCCAAGAAATACGCCACCAACGATAGACAAGATGTAGCCAATATTCTCTGTCATGATAAATATCATCCTGCAAGGCCGTTAAAAATAAACACGGTCGCATAGTCGGCGAAGGTACGTACTGTATGTATAAAATTGTCAGGGTCAAGGTAGTCATGGTGGCTTTCAGTATAATAGTTGCCCACGGTCTCTGCGCCCTTGCATGTTGTTCGATAGTGATAATATCCTTTTCCAGCCCATTTGGAGTCAGTACTGATTCCAACTCATTCCTGCCTCCGGAACTATCCTTGTTGAGAAAGAGGACATGTCGTCTGTTGAGTTCGCGTCTGAACGATCGCTCCTCCAGCATAGATCTAGAGGAAACTAGGAACAAAAGAATAACTCCCAAGACAACTAGAAATATGCAAGTCCCAGCGTAGGAGCTAGTTGATGCTGTTGCCCACATTTTGGTTTGGATGCAGCATCCGCTAAGAATTGTTTTTCGTAGTTACAGATAACGTGAAAGCACCTTCTTGCACTGTTGTCAAGGATGAAACCGAATCAGACCAGAAAATCAATTAATAGTCGCGAGGAAGCGGTGTGGACTCTGTAGAAGCTTGGGATATAAAGTGGCTCAAATCTGCTCACGAATCCCGAACCACAGGACAGACGATCGATTTGATTAGTTCACTGACCATCGACCCAAGAACCATGGATGAAAAAGCTTCGTCTCTGTCGGATTCAATTGGCTAATGGATAGAGCGGGGCGGAGCTGACTAGGACCGTGCGCTAGAATGAAACAACCACGAAGGCCCAAAGCAACAGACTACTTAAACCTGCGAAATTCAGAGCGCGACAGAAAAGAAGAAACTTTACTCACTTCTTTGTTCACACTGAAGATTCGACAGGGAGCGGTTACCATCTGAAGTCGCACCGTCGAAAAGCTGGGTCCGGTCCCAGTATGGTTGGATCCGAACCTGGGCCAGATGGCCATTCCCAGAGTCGTACGACGACGTTCCTATTGTCAAACCTTCATTGTGCCTCTTGCGTGTCAAATATTGAAGAGGCTCTTTTCCGGCTTGTTCCAAGGCCTACTTCTGTGGATCCCTCTATTGTCTCTCAGACAGTCACGGTTCGCCACCATCCTTCTCTACCTGAGTCAACACTATCAAGAGCGCTTGGTGATGCTGGGTTTGAGATCTACGATATGGTCCGAGACGCAGAAACTGAATTTATTGCCAGCGATGGCTCCCCCAATGAGAACGCTTTAGTGGAACAAGACGGATGGATTGATCGGGCGGTGGAGATATGGTCGAAGCGCTACAACTTGGTCAACAAGTCCGAAAAGAAAAGAATAGCCAGACACATTGAGCGGTGCGATATTTGTCGCCTAGAGAAAGGGGCAAAATCCGAAAAGAAAATGCGTTCTGCTTCTACCGTGGGGCAAGGTAAGAGCTTCGCAATACAATACATTGGTGGCGATAAACAGGTATAAACTAAAATATCCAAGCAGATGCAACGAACGAATCTTTCGTCGTTGTCGATTCCACTGAATCTCAGAAGGCTGTGAAAGTGATCATATCTATCATGGGTATGACTTGCGGCACCTGCGTCGGCAAGATTTCCGAGGCACTCGAGATGCAATCATGGGTACGGTCCGTGAATGTTACTCTTCTTACAAATAGTGCTGTGGTTACGATTCAGGACAAAAGCCATGTGAAGGAAATCATTCAGAGCATAGAAGACGTGGGATATGAGGCGACAGTGGAACAGATCGATGAGCATCCTACTATACGAGATACCGACCGCGAGCCCCAAACTGTCACTTTACGAGCGTCATATTCTGTGGGTGGAATGACCTGCAGTAGCTGCATTGGCGCTATTAGCGGGGCACTCAAGAACTTCGGCTGGATAAAAAAGGTTGACATAAATCTCCTCTCAAACAGCGCCACGGTCGTATTCGAAGGGAAAGATCATCTGCCTGAGATTGCACGGACTATCGAGGATATTGGTTACGAGGCCACTCTGAATGACGTGAACGAACTTGGCCGCACGCTGTATCGAAATCAGCGGAGAGAGACCTCAATCAACGTCAGTGGAATGTACTGTGATCATTGCCCTCCTCGAATCATTGGGTATCTGAAGCGGTGCGCTGGGGAGGTAGTCGTCGATAAAATGTTGAGTGTGACCGATCCAATACTAAAGATCAGCTATACTCCGAACGCCCCTAGTTTCACTATTCGGCACATACTGGCTTTGATCTCAATGGCAGACCCTAATTTAAAGGCCTCACTTCATCACCCACCAACGTTGGAAGAGCGTTCGCAAAAGATCAATGCTCGCGAACAACGACGCCTTCTACTGCGGACCGGTCTTTCTATCGCTGTTGCTATTCCAACGTTTCTAATTACGATCGTCTTTATGAGCTTGGTACCGTTAGAGAATCATCTTCGGCAATTTTTTATGCAGCCGATGTGGTCTGGTGAAGTTCGGCGTGGGGATTGGGCTTCCTTCCTTATGGCTTGTCCTGTGTACTTCTTTGCTGCTGACATCTTCCATCGTCGTGCATTGAAGGAGATATTTGCGCTATGGAAGCCTGGGAGCACGACCCCGTACTGCAAAGGTTTTACCGTTTCGGAAGCATGAATATGCTTATGTCCTTGGGAACCTCGATTGCGTTCTTCTCATCGATCTCGGAATTAGTCATTGCAGCTACGCATTCGTCAAGTTTCGGCACAGAATCCAACCACACAAGTTATTTTGACTCGGTCGTCTTTCTGACTATGTTCCTCCTCATTGGAAAGCTCATCGAAGCATACAGCAGAGCAAAGACAGGAGATGCGGTGACGATGTTGACAAAGCTTCGACCAACGGAGGCGACACTTGTTGATGAAGGTTCCGGACAGCGAACACGACAAATCAGTGCAGATCTTCTGGAAATTGGTGACGTCGTCAGAGTCCCACAAGGCGGCTCTCCCCCTTGTGACGGACACGTTATCGAGGGCGAGGCATGTTTTGATGAATCCAGTCTCACGGGCGAATCGAGACCAGTGAAGAAGTCGGTTGGTGAGGAGGTCTTTTCAGGGACCATGAACAATGGTGGTCCTATCTCTATCCGAGCCAGTGGTATTTCTGGGGCGTCCATGCTGGATCAAATTGTGGATGTGGTTCGGGAAGGCCAAACTCGACGCGCTCCAGTTGAACGTATTGCGGACCTTCTGACTAGCTATTTTGTGCCATTCGTCACGCTTATCGCTCTCTCTACATGGATCGTGTGGCTGGGTCTTGGCCTTTCTGGCGCACTTCCAAATGATTACCTAGATGTCAACAGCGGAGGATGGCCACTTTGGTCCTTACAATTTGCTATCTCTGTCTTCGTTATAGCTTGCCCTTGCGGCATCGCTCTCGCCGCACCAACCGCCCTTTTTGTTGGTGGTGGCCTGGCCGCTCGAAACGGGATCCTTGTGAAAGGTGGCGGAGAAGCATTCCAGGAAGCCAGTGGACTGGATTGCGTCGTCTTCGACAAAACTGGTACCTTGACACAGGGTGGTGAGCCAGTGATCACAGACTATGAGATCATGCCTGGCGTCGATGAATGTTTGGTTCGAACAATGATCAAAAACCTAGAGGAGAACACCAGCCATCCAATCGCGCAGGCTGTTGTTTCATTTTGCGAGTTGAAAGAGACGACGTCTGTCCAAGTGGAAAAAATGGAAGAGATCGCTGGAAAGGGCATGAAAGGCACATTCTCAGCTGCGAAGCAGACTGTGACGATTATTATCGGAAACGAGGCTCTCATGGCTGATTACAATGTCCACATCCCAAACAACGCTGCGGAAAAACTTGGCTTCTGGAAAGCTCAAGGCAAATCGATCTCGTTGGTTGCCATGAAAGTTGCCGCAGATGACAAAACTTGGCCACCACTTACGGTCTCTGCATCGTGGGACTTGGTGATGACCCTTGCAGTCTCCGATCCTCTCCGCCACGAAGCTCTTGCTACAATTAAGGCACTGAAAAGGAGAGGAATAGACGTCTGGATGATATCCGGAGATAACCTGACAGCAGCAACTGCCGTTGGTACAATGGTTGGGATCCCTGAGGAAAACATAATTGCAAATGTGCTTCCCGGACAGAAAGCGGAGAAAATTCGGTACCTCCAGAGGACGTTAAAGAAAGTCAGCTCTCGGAACGATTCTGGAAGGACGCTTGAATACACAGACAGGAGGGCGACGATCGCCATGGTAGGCGATGGGATAAATGACTCACCGGCATTAACAATGGCAGATGTAGGAGTTGCGATTGGTTCTGGTTCCGACATAGCCATCTCCTCCGCTGATTTCATTCTTGTTTCGTCTCGGTTAGATTCATTGCTGACACTGATTGATCTCAGTCGCATTGTCTTTAAGAGGATCAAGTTCAACTTTGCGTGGGCGTTGGTTTATAATCTCATCGCCTTACCTGTGGCTGCTGGCGTTTTGTATCCAGTGAAAGCCAGCGGAGGTCATATCAGACTTGACCCAGTCTGGGCAAGCCTAGCCATGGCGTTAAGCAGCGTGAGCGTTGTCTGCAGCAGTCTTCTTCTGAGGAGCAGGTTACCAGGGATTGGATTTAGACTGTCGGAAGATCACCAATGCGATTAGAGGCTGAAATTGCAATTTGAAAACTCTTTACACGCTTCAAACCCTCCCAATATTCTACTAATGAGAGGAAAGACATTCTACTATAGTGGTTGGTTAGTTGGTTGGTTGATATCATTTACATCTAGAAGAAGCTATGCAGGTCTCACATTCATACATCGGTTGAAAAAGACGCTGAAGAATACGAAGACAGATTATGCTAATCACCGCCGGTAAACGGTAAACTCCAGGCCCAGGAACACGAGGTAGGCAACCAAGAGCACAACACCTGCACTCCTCCCTAGTCCGAAAAAGATGACAGCACAAAATAAAAGGGAGGACACCCACACTGCCACCAGCTCAAAAAGCACAAAATTATCCGCCTCTTGTACCTGGTACCCAGCCACTGCAACGACACCAACACAGAGCGTCAGCAGGAAAATGTTGCTTCCTGCCGTCGTCGCAGCCATAATGCCGCCGTGGCCGCGGGAACTACTGAGGATTGCAACCAGTTTCTCTGGGAGAGTAGTGGCAAAGGAGATAACGGTCAGACCGAAGACTGTTCCCGAGAGATGCAGGGAGTCGGCGATAGTGACGGCGCTATGGGAGAGGATGTATCCTGACAGAGAAAGCGAGATGAATCCGAGAATGAAATGGAATATGTGGTAGGCAAGGCTTCTACTTCTTCTGCTCCCTTTGTCTGTTGATGACGGCGCATGCTCATTCTCGATGAGAGGAGAGGTCTCGGAGACCGGGGCATGATTGACGAATTCGCCGTCATCGCTATCACTGGATTCCCCATCGCTATCACTGTCCGATAGCTCTGGGGGCGAGGCTACACCCTTGTAGATAGCGTAGATGATAGAGACGATGTAGAGAGCGAAGATGGCAATCAAGACCCCACCGACGATCTGGTTCAATTAATTGAAAAACGCCAGTACCACGAAGAGCGTCGTAACCAGGAACAGCAGGGCTGAGTATATCTTTGCGCTACGGTCAAACTCCAGACCGTGGGGGGTAAAAGAGTAGCCCTAAAGAAAAGGCGCCGAGAATGTTGGAGATAGTCGAGCCCATGACGTTCCCGAGGGCCAGGGGGCTGCGATGCTGCAGGATGGCGGCAACCACCACAGCGAGCTAATGAGGGGATTAGCCAGGATATACATCGGATCGGATTGCACTGAATTGCAGACCTCTTCCCATTCCGCGCCTGCTGTCAAGAGGGCAATGATAGTTTGCGAGATGCCCAGGCGCCGCCCGACAATAACAGTGTGGTGGATGAACTTGTCTGCGCCATAGTCAAGGACAAACACGCCCGCAATCAAAGTGGCAACATTGAAACACAAAGCATCCCAATCCATTGTTGTCTCTGAGCCTATGTCATGTATGTCGGGGGCAAAGGAAAAATAGAAAGGGCTGGGATAAGATGAAAACGTTAATAGGTCTTGAAAGTCAAGCTTTGGCCTGTCCTCGACCGCCTTCCATAAAACCGGTTAGTTCTCAGGAACGTGCCCAGTCGTCGTTAAGTCATATAGAATCCGCACACTCTCAGTGCATACAAGTTGAAGACGAAGAAAGGACCAAAAATTTAACTTTGTTTGCCGCGGGCGAGATTACTGTGGCGGAAGTCTCGCGACCCCTTTTGGTTCCGTTCTGATCCTATTTGATCTGTCTGCTTGGCCTTAGTCATCGATCAGGATAGTGGACCGTGCACGACACTAACCCAAAGCCGTTTTTACAGTGACATGCTAGAAACAAATGTTGACGAATAGAAGTTTTTGATACCATTTTGAGCTTTTGGGTGTCATTTACGGTGACATTCCGAATCATTCGGTGTGAGGGGTACGGAACTTTGCAGAGACCACTTCTCAATTATTTATACCCTCTGTCTGCACACCTAAAGGCCGTGTGGCTGCCTTCCTTTAAATTTTTTTTCCATATAATCGGATCAACACTACCTGTTAGAATGGAACCGAATGAGATTTACGACCTTGTCCAGGCTCGCTATGGCGAGCTAGCTGGGAGATCTTACTCTAGAGAACATACTGCAGCCGAGAGGAGCGTTGCTGAATCATTTGGATACGAGGCGTCGGAGCTAAGCTCCATTCCGGAAGCTGCAAATCTGGGAGTGAGCTGTGGGAATCCACTAGCCCTCGCCAACCTACGTGAGGTGAGTTTAAACAGGACAATGAGACACTCTACTGGTACTCTACTGGTTGTTTTGGATAGAATTAATACCAACTACTTTTGCAGGGAGAGACAGTTGTCGACTTGGGCAGTGGCGGAGGCATTGATGTCCTTTTAGCAGCCCGAAAGGTCGGCCCGAAAGGAAAGGCGATTGGTGTGGACATGACGAAGGTGAGGCACTTCGATCTGCAGATCTCCCATAGTAACATAATCTGGTATCTAATCTGAAGCTTCTTGAATAGAGTATGCTTGACTTGGCACAGAAGAATGCAGAGAAAGCAGGCGCTTCCAATGCATCATTCATTGAAGCCTCCATCACTTCTATCCCTCTACCAAGTTCCACAGTTAACTGCATCATCAGCAACTGCGTGGTGAACCTGGTCCCTAGTGCTGACAAACAGCAAGCCTTCCACGAGATGTTTCGCTTGTTAGTACCCGGTGGTCGTGTCGCTATAAGTGATATTCTCGTTCGGAAAAAGCTCCCTGGGGAAATAGCAAAAGACCTGTCTTTGTATGTTGGATGCATTGCCGGTGCTAGCCAGGTTCAAGAGTATGAGGAATACCTGCGTAAAGCTGGATTTGAAGGTATGTACCATGTTTATTCATCTTGAGTTTGTTCTTGACATGTTGACTACGATAGATACAATGATCGTCGACACTCAGAAGGACCTGAATGTCTATAAAGACATGATTCAGGATCAGAAGAAGGAATCCCAAGAATCACGCTGTCAGTTCAAGACTACGACATGTTGCGAGGTATCGAAGCCAGTGGGCCTGACCACGGGAAGCCTGCTAGAGCGTGACTTCAATGAATGGGCCGGTGAGTTACGTGCTGTTCGGCTTTACCCGTATGAAACTGATATTTGTCATGACAAGGTTCGTTTCAGGTTTATGCAATCAGACCCTAGAAGGCCTATTCCGCATGTTACATACGTCGTTCAATTATCTCCAAGGATCATGGAAGTTACGCAAGGCTTGGGACTAAAACCATCATTGTCTGTAGCAAATTCTTCCTTAGTTGAGAAAAAAAAACTATCTGTCACGGAAAAGTACGATCTTGATCAGAAAATGCAACTTTAGGATAACTCTGTTAAAACAGCCAGAAGGATTTGATTATTGATTCTGCATCCCTCCATGGGGTCTCTCCCAAGCTGGAATCCATGCTGCATCCAACCTGAGATAACCTGTAGGTCCACGTTTCTGGTATTGCATTGAATCACCCATCGATATGCCAGCGAACAAAGCGTCGTATCTTCATCTGTATGACCTAGTACTTCTTCAACTTGACCTCCCCGTTGAGAGCCACTGGCTACGTGGTTGGATCCTTCTGAAGCAGTATCTGAAGGGTTAAAACCAACCTCGATCAGAGGCTGCGATGCATTCAATGCAGGGATTCCCAATTCCATAGTAGTCAAGGAAGAATGCAGCTCATTCGGCGAGCCCAGATTCATGAAGGACCTAGGTAGTGATGCCTCCGTTGGAACGACGAGAGATTCGCTCAAAGACGGCCAGGCAGCCTTTACTTGATTAGTATTGAAATTCTAGGCCAAGGCTGGTGAACCTACAGAGAGTGAAGGAGTGCTTAGGCGATTAAGGCTATGGTCACTAAGTTGGCGCCACAGTGTCAAATGGCTGAGGCCCAAGGAGCCAAGTAAACGTTTCATGGAGTCGTTCTCGGCCCGCAAATGCTGGAGCGTTGATTGATCAGGCAAATTCTGCGAGGAGAGCATTTGCTCGTTTCTTTGACTCGTTTCTCCAGATCACGAACGTATTCTTGCCGCCGTGCTCTTGACCGTCGCTGGTTATTGCGAATGCGTGCGAGATCTTCGCTCTGGAAGAGATATACTGTGTTATAACGAGCACTCTGCATCTGAAAGGTGATTACGGTAGTTCACTCTACCTAATGTAGTCTATTTACTAACCTTAGTTTTGGTTTTAACCCGTGGCATGATACCTGCCGTCACAGCGGGACAAACCAGCGGGAAGTTGCCAGATGATGGAAGGGCAGTCGGCACGAATCGACTTAAACCAGAAATCCGCAAGCCCTGGAGGAATCAAACGGGCGTATAATAGGTATTAATAATGCAAAGAAGCTAGTTTGGTTTATTCGTCTGCGAGAGTCGGATGAGCTGGGATGTCATAGCGTTGGTCATAAGTCGGGGGCAAACAGGTAGTTAACTGAAACCATGTGACATCGCTGACTAATAAATCCACGTAACTCATTACTGCCCTATCATTGAGTGGGTGACCGTGACTTAGGCCAAAGGAATTGCATTTCGCGAATGCTACCATCGTGGCAATAAGCCCGCCACACGACTTGGATGCACAACTGAACTCACAAAGTAATATGGACTTTTTCGAGGATTCATGGCATTGTCTATCGTCTTTGTGTTATGATATACCACTGATCAGCCAAATATATCTATACAATCGTGTTGAATATTTTAGTTAGTCCTAAGAGTTACAAGCACACTTTCGAGATTCTTTTTATTTGAGATAGCCGCTTGCAAATAGGCAGTTGGATCGATCTAATGAACAAAAATCCAAAGTGCCAGAAATGAGACCATCGGCAATCAAGCGTGAAAAAAAGCCAAGTGAATATAGCAAATCTGCGATTTTTGGAGCGCGCGACTGTCGTCGTCAAGGTTCAGACAGAGGGTTGGAGCTCGGCGATAAGAGCCTCGACGCGACGACGGATCTCGTCGCGAATAGGACGTACAGCATCAAGGCCTTGCCCGGCAGGGTCGTTAAGTTGCCAGTCGAGATAGCGCTTGCCAGCAAAGAAGGGGCAGGCGTCCCCACAGCCCATTGTGATAACAATATCACTAGCCTGGACCGCATCGGGGGTCAGAATCTTGGGTTTTTGACTGGTGAGGTCGATACCCTCTTCGAGCATGGCTTCGACGACGACCGAATTGATAGAGTCGACAGGGGCTGATCCGGCAGAGCGCACTTCGATACTGTCACCTGCGAGATGACTAAGGTAGCCGGCCGCCATTTGAGAGCGGCCGGCGTTGTGGACGCAGACAAACAAGACGCTGGGCATATTAACGATGAGATGTCTTTCGGGTGATTGGTTGAGCGGTCGTTGTGGAGTAGTTTGTTTGAATGTGAGGGACGACAGCGGGATATAAAATGCCTTCAAAGATATATCTCTGGAAAATGAGACAAAAAGTGACGTGTCGATGTCTTAATTCTTGTGCCAATAAAGAAAAGACATGGGAGGTATTTCTTGAGTTTTATAAACCATACGTTAGCTTGCAAAGCAGCCTGATTAATAACCCGTCGATCTAGAACATTCTGTCATATAGGGTGACGTGTAATAGTGTTGTCCCATAAATCAGTAGCCTTTGACGAGAGGATTTCCGTTAGCCGTAGTGCAAAAGTCGCATCTACAACAGAGCCTATCACCGGAGTGTAACTACTGTCTAGTCACATGGTATGATAATATTGGTTTCTGAAACTAAATAATTCTAAACCGGTAGCTCCCGACCTTACTCCTTCACGAGGTCGATAGGACGCTGTGGTTGAAGGCAGTTATGACGGACAGATCATTCTTGATATCAATCTGCGTGTCACTTCCGAACTGTGATTGGTTGAAATTTCAGGTGGAAAACGATTTCGTCAGTTACAAATCATAAGCCTAGAGAATTGCCAGTATGTCATGGCCTGCCTACGATTGGTCAAGAGCAACAGACTGTGATTTGTCTGCCGTGATTAGTCGTCAGGATGTGCCACTCCTAACTAGATTAGGACTAGCTTATAAGTCCCGTTTGGAAGGCAAAGCTCTAGTTCCTCTTGTATATTTAAAAGACCACTGCTGGTTATCCCAATTCCTAAGAGTCCCTCACTTAAATTTTCCTTCAATATCTCACACAATAAATCTGTTGATTCCAGAGATGGCTACAACAATCTCTCAGACAGGTCTACCCGCGGAGACTAATCCGCCAATTACGACACTACATGATCAGTCAGCCAGTCCCACGACCCTGGATGTCGAAAAGCAAAGGACGGATGAACCTAAGGAGGCGACGGCGAAGCAATCAGCTTTCAAAAGCCTTGGCTGGTTAGATCGTTTTCTGGCCGTTTGGATCTTCCTTGCCATGGCTATTGGAATCATACTGGGGAATTTTGTGGAAAATACGGGACCCGCCCTTCAGAAGGGGAAATTCGTTGGGGTTTCTATTCCGATCGGTATGTATTTACGAACTCCTAAAAATATAGCCCTCGTCTAACCGTTACAAGCGATCGGTCTCCTGGTTATGATGTATCCTATCCTTTGCAAAGTGCGATACGAAGCTTTACACCACGTCTTCCGAGAGCGAGAGATATGGATTCAGATTGCGTTTAGTATCTTTGTTAACTGGATTATTGCTCCCTTCTTGATGGTAAGACGCAGAAAGCTTCGACTTATCGTGACGCTTGCTGATATTGTTTATTACAGCTGGGACTGGCATGGGCTTTCCTACCGGACGAACCAGAACTTCGGGAGGGCTTGATTCTCGTTGGATTAGCTAGGTGTATCGCTATGGTAAACCACTTTGCTCCATATTGTGCCCGAATTGAACTAATATATCATATATCCTTGCCAATAGGTTCTTATCTGGACCGGTCTCGCTGGCGGTGACAGTGAATACTGTGCTATCCTTGTTGCAGTTAATTCAATGCTGCAGATGGTGCTCTTCGCTCCCTTAGCGATTTTCTTCATCAAGGTTATTGGTCACTCGGCCAGCCAAGTTACACTGTCTTATTCTACGGCTGCCCAAAGTGTGGCAGTTTTCCTTGGTATCCCTCTGGGTGCCGCAATCATTACCCGCATGACCCTTCGGAAGATCGCTGGCCCACGTTGGTACGACCAAGTTTTCCTGAAATGGGCCGGGCCGTGGTCACTCCTTGGGCTTCTCTTCACAATCCTTGTGTTGTTCGCATCTCAGGGTCGCCAGGTGGTACATCAGATTGTATCAGTAATCCGAGTTGCCGCTCCGCTTATCGTTTATTTTATTATTGTCTTCTTCGTCACTCTTCTCGTGACTTACAAGCTCGGGTTTGGTTACAAGTTGGCTGCCACTCAAAGTTTCACCGCTGCTAGCAACAATTTCGAGCTTGCTATTGCTGTCGCTGTTGCGACGTTCGGTGCTAACAGCAATCAAGCGCTTGCCTCCACCGTGGGTCCGTTGATTGAGGTTCCGGTACTACTCGGCCTTGTCTATGTTGTCAAGTTCATAGCTGGGCGAGTTGGTTGGAAGGACTAAAACCCGGGTATTCGTTAAAATCTTGCGAGTTTTTTGCACAATTGTTTCTCTACTGCAGAAGGCTATGTGGAAAGAGGTATGAATATCGGAGGCATAGAGACAGGGATAACTAGGCAATATACTTAATAATCAATACTATGTTAGTTAGTGTTGGTATCACCGTGTACACAGTTAAGTGAACGGTGTTTATGCTCCTTGGCAAAGTTGATTTTTGTGTGTGTACCTAGATATCAGGTCAGGTTCCAAGATACCCCTAATCCCATGCGCCGAAACTTGGCGGTAACAACAAGCAGCTTCGCGCAAGAATGTTACACCAAGCAAGGGATGTTATCTGTTACGCCCAGGTACGAAGAGACAGATGGTCAACCAACGTAGTGGCATTGGACGAAGCAACTAAGCATGAGGAAAGAAGAGGACGCAGGGGAACGCGAGGTCTACTCCGTAAATACAAGCTGGATGCCTGCGATGCTAGGCATCAAATCAGGCATCTACACACACGAATAGACACATTAGCGACTACAGGTGATCTGTTTTCGAGATTGCCTATCATTTGTGGAATATCTCAAGACGACCAGGGTGCTAGAGTTAGAAACTCTGGTCGACAATTTTGAAGCCCTCATACCGATCGACAAGATGTTGGTAGTAGTCAACCAGCACCTGTGGGTCCGGAACAATTTGCCAATTCACCTTGAACAGGAATTCAAGCTCTAGCATTGCTAGTTCTGTCGTACTGATTCCGCCGATTCGAGCATATGTCTTGTTGGTCCAAAATTGATCGCTTAAGCCTTTGCTGGCTACTGTTGCACTAACTATCAGAAATCGGTGGATCGACAGGTTGGAAACCGTGAAAGCAGGATATAATGCGCAAAGCCGGTCAAGATAGTAGACTATGGTGAGAAGAATGGCCGGCGGGAGTTTAGCATGCGTAGTCAACCGCTGAAGGTAGTCGTGCACAGAAATTTGTGGCGGCGAACGAGAGTGAAACCTAGTTTGCTGACCCTGGGGCAGTGACGTCCTGTCGTTGATCTGAACCAGTTCCATAAGCATGCTCGATATAAGCCGCACCAAATCTGATGGCTCGGTCGAATTGTACTGCTCAGGCAGCAACTTGACCTCAGACTTGGAATACCGCGAACGCTCTCCTTGTAAACACCTCATTTTTAAGTACGAAAGATCCGCAAGAGGTCCAGTTGGTGAGTGGATGTCGCCTTGCCATGTGCACTTGTAATTTTCCGAGACCAGGACGGATGTAAATGTGGAGCATGTAGCCAATAAATGGTTCGCAGCAGAGGGCGTTGTCGTAGTAACAGTATTACTCGCTGCACGATAAGAGTATACAGCATCAGGCGGTGATAATGGTAACGATATGCCGGGGCTTATGCTGAAGAAGTTCTTCATACTCTTGTTAAGAGCTGAATGACTCTCGCGAAAGTCTCGAGTTCGAGTCCACTGTGGATTGCTGTTATCATCTGCCAAGGTGCGTGGTATATCCGTGGGTCAGGCCATGTGGGCAATGGACGATGAGTTTTCAAGCATTTCTGTGACCTCGTTACATAAATAAGAGCTTGCGCAGGTTTGGACCTGAAAGGAAAGCCACCCATAGGTCAAATTGACAGGCGGAGGCTTTAGGCAAATATGACTTCCCTAACCCCAGGAGGCCGGAGTCCAGACCACTTAGAAAGATCTTTTCTTAACTAGGGGCCAATTCGGACATACTTGAGATAACGCTGTTGTGACGCCACATTGTCTGGATTGTACTGGCTGCAAAGGCCATCCATTTGCTTAATAAGAACTGGCTTTAACACAGTGGCTAGGCCGCCACCAGTCCTGCCGGCTGGGCTACGAAGGTCCTAGGTAAGTTCTAATGTGTCACAGCTGCATAATGATTGGTTCTCTCAAAAGGGCAACAGATATCATCTGACACGGGGTATCTCGTCAGCTCCGGCCCAGCTCCTTCACCATTGACGTTCCCGTATGCGGGAGTGTGCTCTGGCTGCGCCTGGAACTGTTCTATAGTAAGATCCATCCGCTTTAGAGTGGCGCTAGAGTTGCAAGGTGGTAAAATTTTGGCCCCAGTCCCATTAAACATTATCAATCTGTCTGACTAGGGTCGGTCGTCGGTCTGTTCTCCTACCTCCACGACATAAGTAGAGAACCCCCTGGAAATTCACTCACTCTTGTACTTATAAGCCTTTTGCTGCTATGACCCGATGGTAGCTGCAAACTTACCTCTATTTACCTTCCGAATAAACGTGGCTTATAGACGCCTTCGTTCACGCTTTAATAAGCTTCTTGATGTGACCATCCGGACGATCAACGAAAAAGAGCTATGGCGAATAATCGGAGCGTCCTCTTCGTGTGCACCTATAATGATGGCCGCTTTCAAATGGCTGCTGGATATCTCAATCATCTTGCGGGTGGCCTCATCGAAGTCCGATCCGCCGAACCACCACCTGCCGACTCAATCGACCCTGTCGTTGTGGAAGCTATGCTAGAAGAGGGTATCGACCTAATATTCCGAAAATCGGAAATCGTCACGGCCGATGCCCTGAAAGTTAGCAATGTCGTGATCACAATGGCCTGTGGTGACGCTTATCCCCTTTTCCCTGGCAAGCGCTACCTCGATTGGAAGCTTGACGACCCTGCTGGGCAAGGTCTTGATGCCGTGCGTCCGATTCGCAACGAAATTCGTTGGCGCGTCGAGAATCTCATCATCGCCGAACTTCAACCCTCTGGTTGAGCCTCGTTGGGACAGCCGCATAGGGAAACATAGGGCCTATCTCCCAGATTTGTGTGCGCGAATAAACATCGGCCCGGCAAACTTTGCTCTTCCTGGCAAATGGATATAGGGTAAATACAGAATATTGAGCTTATAAACTTGTCGGCCTTAATATCGCGGTCACCTCATGGTCCCAAAATATGTGACTATCACAAGTCCTAGACGTCCGATTGATATTTATCTGGTAAACTGTCATAGAAATTTTTCTACAGAAAACTCTGTTCGAACGCTGAAAAGCCCTTTCAATCATGAGATGGTTATCTGGCCTCGCGCGACTTACAAAGGTAATTCTTTGTCTACGGCTCCGGTATTGACTTGTGCACACTCCGTCGAGAACACAATAGTAACTTTGAACCATAGTCTGAATGGTACGTAGCAGACTATTATGGACCCTGTAACGAACGCGACGTTGTGGCGAAGACGAAGGACGTGGAGGATACGGGAATAACCCAGGCGTTGCCATTCACAGGTTGTCTGCCTCAGGTGTCTGTTTGGTTGCCTTGGGAAGTTAAGAAGGTTTTGTCATTTGCTGTGTACTCAATCTCTCTCGTTCTGGCTTGCCTTCCTCTCCTTCTTCCCTCTCTCTTCAGTCTTGATACCTTTGTTAGAACGGTACAGTTTGATGCATGAGTCTTTTTCTTGACCTGTAACACGTCATGAGAGATCGTTCTTCGCGTCGCATACCTCCTATAACGGTTTTTGTGGGCCTAACTCGGCTTTAGACAGGTATGAGGGCCTACAAATAATGTTGCTCGGGAGGCACAATCGCTGCAGAGGTGGAGTTAGTGGTTTAGTCCCCGTTTCTAGAGAGGAGGAATTCCATCGGCCCATTGTGTTTATTGCCTGGTGAAATGAAATGGGTCACTGTCAAAAATACAACTACCGTAGTGGCCTCCTATCTGGTAGTGCTTGGTGGCAAGACGTCCTGCGGACACTAAGGTCAAGCAAGGAGGTCCCGGGGGGGGGGGAGGGGGTGCCTGTGAGTGGATTTATGACCGGTGTCAGCTGTTCGCCATCTACAGTATTGCCTTTAACGACCTCCCAAAGTGAGGGAGCGGTAAGTCCGGGGACCTGAGGCTTCTGTAGATTTAGGAAAAACGTCTCTGATGACTATAGCTCGCAGTCATAGGCCTGTGCGGACTTTGGATTCTTCTTGAAGTTGAAAGGTTGGGTAGGGTGACTCTCATTCGGTGCTGTTATAATGGCTACTCTGTCCAATCAGTTTGTCCGCGTGTTAATTTTGTGGTGGACACAGGGCGATTTTATCCAACACATTGCTTAGCGGGTCCTGTATGAACTGCCAATGCCAAAGGGCGGGGGATACAATTTCTAGCCAAGATCTCGGAATGGCGTACTGTAAATATTGTTAGTCTATCAGCGTTTTGACACCAGCGGCATTCCCTATCACAATCGGCTCCTGCTGCCATCACGAAGCCGCGCTCCGGAATATGCGAGATTGTGCAGGAGACACGTGTGACATCCTAGAAGCCACGTGACAGTGGTGAGACGGCGATGACTAACTGAGGGATGGTGATTGGGCTCAACAAGGTGCGGATGACGATTGAGGGGCAGTCCCTACTTATCTTGACGGCATCTGCTCTAGACGCTTTTCATCCCCCATAACCATCCCCCTTTCTACCCTAGTCGCCTTTTCAGCTCTCTCAAAGAAATATTTGAGGCAATGGGAGCAGGAAATTCTCGGAAAGTCAGCGAGGCTTGCACATCATATGGCCCGCTCTGCGAAAACGAGCGACGCCCTCGGCCTCGGCGCGTGTCGTACATTCAGCGCCTGGAGCACACAGTTGCTGTCATTGGAAAGACACAATACCCACAAAACGCAGGTCTTCCAAGAAGGGAGGAGTAAAATGACGAGGGAGAATTCTCTCTTGCGGTCACTGTTGATCCTCCGTGGGCTCACGGAGACAGAAATCGAAGGGTACTTGAGATCGCAAAGACAACCAACAAACTCTTCATCGCAAGGTCAATTGAAAGTCACGCCAGTAGCCGCAAAATCGCGCCCGCCGACGTCCCAACGTCACGCTCTTGTCGATGGCCATTATTTGCCGATGCGCTCTTCCAAGATGGAACCCGGCAGTCCTGAAATGATATCTTCCGTATCAAACCCAGTTTCTGACAGAACTGCTGTCTCTCCAAAGCCTCAGGACAGAATGCAGAGCAATCGGAGGAACCAGGGTTGCCCCCATGGCCATTCCTGAAACGCATTAAGTAGGTAACAAGCAGGAGTGGGCCTGCAACCGATGTTATTATGCGAGGTTTCATATGTACTTAACTAGCGACTCGAACCGGATATGGCCTTGGATTCGCTTTGCACAGTAGACGAGAGTTCGAGATGGGCATGTACTCGGTCCTCGCGTCTTTGTACGGTCGTCAGTCGAAACCAAATATTAATCAATTGTCCTTGGATATCCTAGATACTAGTCTCTACACCACTCCCTCAATCCGGCACTATCCTCTACATATTGGATGGGTCAATAGCGGGCTCTAATTCGGCACACTGGAAGGGGGCCGTAAACCACCTGATCCGAAAGGGACATCAGGCGTCCTCCGTATAAATAGAAACTCGTCTTCCTGGTGCGCGTGCATCATACTTTCTCCTTCCTATAATTTTAATTATCAGAGCCACATACTTGGTGAGGCAGCCAACTCTACTATCTCGGTCTTTCCTTACGGTTCTCGCTCTTTTCGCGAATGGGTTCTTTTCCTATTTATAGACGTAAGGCGCGGTATGTTCTGCCTGGGGATCAGTGAAGTGAAGCCATGCTGGATACTTCTAACGTAGAAGTCTGTCGGTGTCACTGGCGGGCGTTGGTTGGCCCAATTATTAGTCACCAACGAGATTGGGTGGAAGGTACTCCGTATATACTAACTGCGTAGTCATGAGCCACTCCTTCCGGACAATCCAGAAGCCATTCCGTATCTGTAACAACCAATCATGTCATAAGAGTGACACAGGTTCGATGCCTTATAGGACCAACGCAAATACCGGTAGTCCTGCCATACTCATAACTTCCTCTCAACCGGAAGAATGCGTGTACAGGCCTTTTTGTGCAATTTCACCCCTCTCGGTCATTTTGGATGACCCTCATAAATTATGTCTCATTAAGTGTGCTTGGCACGCAACTTACCCCGGGGGAATTCAGCGATTTCTCGACGTCTGATTATGATAGTCTCTATGTACATGTCTCAATACTGGCTGCACGAAGGTGCGCCTTTTCTTCTTTCAGTCTTTTCTCTTCCCTTTCACTGAAACGGTCGGCAAATAGCCCTATATGAGGCCGCATCAGAATAGTGTATTTTACAAATTCCTCCATGCAGTCTACTAGCCGATCTCGATTGCCGCTAGAGACAAGTCTTTGATCCCCAGGCTGACCTTCGTCGGGAAAATGAGTGTATGCCTTGGGAATTGATGATTGGTTCGGAATTGTGAACATGCGCATCCATCGACCGAGAATCCGCAATGAGTTGACCGCATTAAAGGATTGTGATCCACCGCAAACTTGGGCAATAGCAAGTGTCCGGCCTTGAGTCGGACGAACGCTCCCGGTGCTTAGGGGAATCCAATCAATTTGGTTCTTGAATACCGCCGTCTAGCGTCGGCAGAAATTGACAAAAGGTGAGTATATATGTTAACCGCTAACCTGTTGGTGAAACTAACCAGATTGCCATGTTGCTCAGGTGAAACCCAGATATGCCCATCACTCCACCGACTGAGTTCTCGAAGCTCCTGTACTTTCGGATGGCCATGGTCGCTATCGTTCTTTACGGGGAGGCCTTCAGGGTCGAAAACGCGCACATCGCAACCAAGCCGGAAAAGGATTCGAGAGGCTTCATAGGCCACAAGCCGGGAATATGATCTTCTTCGAAGGCTGCCATAGAGTACCAGAACCTTTAACCTGTCGTTCGTTTTTCGGAGATTCTCCTCGGCCATTTCAATCGTAGTAGTTAATTCTAGTTCGTTGATCCAGTCCTCAGCTGTATCGTCGCTGAGAACGAACGGTCGATACTTTTTGCGAATCTCAGGGTCGTCTTCATGGGACAATAAGGCCAAAGACCGGTAGGTAGGTTTTCCCGAATCGCGAAGCATAGCTGTGGTTTCGAGTGCGCTTGGCGGTATTTGTTGAGGGATAGTGCAGAACAGATTCGAGCATTGGAGGCGCCTTTGATATAGTCCAGACCTGATTGCCAGTCTCAAGGTTGGGGCAAATACATGTGCAAGGTACAATGGCATTAATAAATAGACAGAGAAGCTGTGATAGTACAAAAAGGAGAACACCATGAGCAAAGGAACAGACCACATATTTTTGGATAAGAAAAATCTGAGTATGTCATTCGTGGATCATGATTGGATGATATAAACCAGCTCAGCCAAGCTTGGGCGCATTGATTAGTAACGACGCTACTGCATCATCGTGTCTCAGGCGCCCAGCTTCCTACCAAACTGAATCGTGTATCGAGTTGATGAAACTTCCGAATTCCGCAAGTAACCAGGCAGATTCTATTGTTCGGTGTACCAGTGCATAATTACTCGCAAAATATAAAATCCGGAGGGTCCCGAAATATGAATAAGGGTGATGCCACTTCTTCTGCTCGAATTCGGGAAAACCAACGGCGCTCTCGCGCGAGGCGAAAAGAATACGTTCAGCATCTCGAGCAAAAGTTACGATCGTACGAAACGCTTGGAGTAACGGCAACAAAAGAAGTCCAAGAAGCGGGAAGAAAGGTCGCCGCTGAGAATATGCTGCTCCGATCACTGCTGATGCTCCACGGTGTCACGGGGGAAGAGATCGAGGAGTACTTGGAGTCAAGAAGACAAACAACATGTGCAATACCACCCCGATCCTCGCGAACCATCTCTGCAAAATCAACAAGCGTACAACGGACGACAATTCCACCTGGTCCTCCATTGGATTGCCATCTTTCATCCGCAAAGCCCTCAGTTCCGTTGCCGAACCAAGAGCGACATGAGAAAGAGAGTTTTAGGCGCGCTTTTAATTTGCCAAGTCCGCACCCAGAACTTCCCACGGAGGATATTGCACGGAAAGCAAGCCAAGCACCAGCACCCAGGCCTGTCACACATGATCGCGTCTCGGAAAAGCAGCTGTTTGATGGCCAGTCCACATCATGCGAGACTGCGGCCAGAATAATCACAGGCTTGCGAGAGTACTCGGACGTTAGGGAGATACGATCTGAGCTTGGGTGTACTTCGGAACAGAATTGCATGATCAAAAATATGTCAATTTTCGAGCAGCTGGACAAGGAATAGATTTCAACCTTCACCTACTACTTACTACAGTACCGTCAAGTTGAAATGAAAATTCCAAAGGGAACTGCGGAATGGCCAAGTCTATCCATGTATGGCTTGTGGAGGAATCCGTTTTCGAATATGACAGCGGACCGGGTGAGTTGTGCGGCAGCCATTGTGAGTAGTTACCAGCCCAGAAGGTATGTGTGTGGACAGCGAGCATGAGAAACTTTTTATTACGCATAGGTCCGTTGACGGGCCGAGTGAGTGTAGATGCTCCAAATACCCAAAGAAGGGATGTCAATAGTGGAACACGAAAGGACCATGATTATCGTCAAAGATTTGCGGCAAAACCAGCCATATTACGTGTTGCGCCCGTAACTTGTCTTTCAGATGATCCCGGCGAGAGAGCATCCAAGGTAGCCATCGAAAATACAAAATATGCCGGCAAGTAATTCCCTGCAGCATGTTTCAAGTCCTGCGAGTCGCAGCAAAATGAGGTTGACACTACGTTTAGTCATCTCCCTGGAAGCCAATCATCGACCCGATGTAGAGAGCCTCGCATATAGGAAGGCCACAGAGCCTACTTTCTTTGTACCTCCAAGCAGCTCTCCCCGTACTCTCAGTACTCACAATGTCAAAGTCATTGATCGGGAAAACACACCCATGTAACACCAGTACGTCTTGGCGACATGGCGGGTTTGACAATTGAATGAGGAAAGAGGCTTGATAAGCTCTTATGTTTGTGCTCATTCCAAGAAGGATGGAAGTTGTTCTTTGATCACGGCGGTCTTATTTCTGCTCCCTCAGCTAGGAAAAGGAAACAGAGAGCTTCAAAGAGGAGCCTAGAGCCATTGTCACTACGGCCAATTCGTTTCATACGGACCTTACTTGGCCCAATCGCCTCTCTATCATTCCCTAATGTTTACTCTTGACCGCCATTGGATTCCTAGTTGCCGTATAGATTTTTAAGTAGACAAACGGTATTCAAGTGGTATTTCATTGCTTAGCTAGGGAGATATTGAAAGACGACCATACAGTCAATTGAGACATTCAGGATTGCAACCGAATATAAGAAAAAAATGACAAGAACCCAATTCCACAAATCACCGAGCTCGTAATCGCATTGACCGACGGGGAGTAAGTTGAATGTTGGATGCTTTCGATTCATCTGGTCGTCTTTTTCCTCTTCGCTTCCTTATAGGCTGCTCTTCAGAGCACCCGCGTTTTCGGGACGGGGGCATCGCATGCTTTGGTGAAGATCCCAGCTGAGGACCAGGTTCTAGATTTGCCGCCTTTGCTGCTCCCCTGGTCACTCGCCGTGTAGAGATCTCCGGCATGTTTGAATCGGTGCTCGTCGCCGGATGTCCATCAGACGAGGCGGCAATTTCAATGCTTAGCGGGCACGTTGAAGGCTCCACCACAGTGATAGGGCTGGGCTCCATCAATCGAGGGTCAATATTTGCCATGTCAAAATCGAGAGAGGAGGCGGGTGTTTCGGTGCCTTGCCGAGTCTCTGACTCCGTAGAGGCGTCTTTGGATAGACCATCGCTAGGGCTAAACTGTGGCATTTGCCGTGTAGCTGAGAAGTGCAGCGATACAGCTAAATTCGAAATCGGCTTCCATCTTTTTCACAGAGAAACTATCTCGGCCCTCGCTACTAGTCCAGTTATGGATCCAATTCTACTACTTTTAGATCTGATGTGGGGCTCAAGGGCAATTTCTGCAGTTTCAATTGGATTAGCTTGCGTTGACCCCACCTTCTAGATTAAACGTATCTGTGCAAACGATGGAAGCCGATTTTGAATATTGCTGTACGCCGCTCGAACCGCTGGACCATGGACTTCGCACTCAGAGTCTCTTTGCGCGGTGCATCATCTCCTCCGCCAAGACTTTCGGGCACATTATTAGCGCCTGTCTCTACTGGGTCTGTATCTTCATCTGGTTAGGCTTCGGTTCACACTGTAGCTGGTCGAGCCGGTGGCAATTATACATGAATGACGCGACGTCGGCGCTAATGGTGCTGGTCTTTGCGTTCTTGGCCTGCTTGCGGGAATGCTATGCGGATTATACCAATACCTGCCTGAGACGCTATCTTCAGACTCGATGCCACTCTTGAGAAAAAGCTTCGTCGCCTTAGCCAGGATGACCTGACCAACCAGACGGAGGTTATCTCGCCTCCGAAGGAGAACTTCTTGCAGGTGGCAATCTTTTATTATGCCGACATCATCGGTACTCTGGTCGGCATCGTCTTCCTGGTGCTGGTGATCATCACCTGGGTAGCCGTCGGACCTGTCTTTCATTTTAATAATAACTGGTGGCTGCTCATCGGCACATATGCAGGGCTGGTTGGTCTGTTCGACAGTTTTGTCCTCCGCAACATCCAAGGCAAGGTGCACCAGTACATCAGCAGTCAGACTCAGTTCGTGGAGAAGGGAGACGTGGGCCTCTTCACTGGACTGTCTATGGCCATCCCTTCAGCTAGCAGAGCCAAGCGCCCGTCTCTAAGCCAACGCGTGTCCCGACGGATGGATGCTGTCAGCTCCCATCTCTTCATGGTTATCGCCGGCTTCCTCCTCACGATTGGCTGCCTGGTCGCCTCAAGCGCAATGAAGTGGAGTCTCACCGGACAGTTAATTTCAAATGTACCTCCCAGCATTATCGAGACATTCTTCATGCTCATTCTCATCTCCGGCCAGAATGATGCGGAGGCAAGCGCCCGGATCGACTTGACCAACATCTACTACCGGCGTCAGCGACTCCTGTCTTTCACGCAGCATGCAAGTGAGTTCTGTGAAGATCAAGAGCTCTCCAACGACGCTGCAGTAACTGCACAGTAAATCCCCTCAGTCACGGGGTGGTACAGTATTTGTGGCCGCCGTTTGATTCAACATACAAAGTGGACATTTCAATGTTATGTAACTACAATGTCGTTCAATCGACATGTTACTTCAGGGACGGATGAATGCATTCGTTGGATTCTTTTATCTTATTGGTTGTTTTATCTAGCTATTTTAACATTATGTTCTTTTCTGTATTAAGTTGCCCGTGTTATTGTCATTTCAAGTTCAAGGATTTGTCCTTTGCAATTAAACCATCATACAAAACCAGAACGAGCGAGTGAACGCAGCATAATTTCACGGCCAGCTCGTGCACGGTACGCGCAAAGTAGAATCCCCTGCGCCCATTCCTCGTTTCAGGGCAGTGCGCTGAGACTTTGGTGGAGGCGATCGGCGATTTTGTTCCTTTCTCTCACATCGTTCGTTTCAAGCAAATGGGCGTTCAAAGAGACAAGAGCTGTGAGTCGACGAGACGACTCTTTTTTGAGGGTGTTTTATCCGCAGGAAATTTTGCTCTCTAAATGGCACAAATCGCTCAGTGCCACGTAAGAACAGCCGCATGCGCGACACAAGGGGACAATGGAGATTCAGATGTAAGTGGACAATTCTATAGATAGTTATTCGGGGTCAGGGACAGGCTAAGGAAGCGGATGCGCGAATTGTGCGTAGACGCCCCACCAAAATAAACCATTATTGACGAATAACGGCACTCCCGCAGAACGCGCTAAATGAGGCATGGTTTTTCTTGGCGCTGTGGCGGGTCGACTACCTGAAAGCATGCCCCCGTGTATTATATTTTGATATTCGTCCAGATACAAAGTACAAACATCAAATATCTTTCTATCCTCAGCTTGCGCCATGCTATCGATCCCAACCGTTGTTCGATTGACGACCCTCCTCCTGGTGGGAGGGCCTCAATTATGCAATGCGGTTCTTCGCCAGTACAATTTCACTATTCATAGTGGGAGAAACGCTCCTGGTAATCCCTTGCTTCGTACCTAGATTCGACAGAGTCGATTCTATCTAATGCCTGTGGTCCCTAGATGGAGTTTCTCGGCCGGTTTATCTCATCAACGGGCAGCAGCCTGGTCCTCTCATCGAGGTTGAGGAGGGCGATGAGCTTGAAGTGTTTGTGACGAACAACTTGCCGGTGGAAAATACCATCCATTGGCATGGTGAGTTTGCCACGGATGTGGGGAGTAGCGAGGCAATATTGCTGACATCCCTCTTTTACCAGGTCTTCTCCAACACGGGACACCCGAGATGGACGGTCCCCCGGGGTCACGCAGGTTGGTCTTCACATTCCCCTCCGAATGGGGGACGTTGAATGGGGGACGTTGACATGTTCCAGTATCCAATTCCTCCGGGCGGCAATTTCACATACCGATTTTCCGTGGGAGACCAATACGGCTTCTACTGGTACCATTCACACTTTCGGGCATACTACGATGACGCTATCCGCGGACCGCTCCTTATCCACCCGGCCACCAATCGTTCTCGGCCGTTTGAGAAATTGGCCGGGGATAATAGCGCAGATTTGGCAAATATTCTACAAGCTGAAAATAGCGCAACGAACATCCTCCTGAATGACTGGACCCATGAGACGTCCGACACTATATACCGTCGGTACATTGAGACTGGCGCATTCCCGTTCTGTGTTGACAGCCTCATTGCGAACGGCCAAGGGAGAGTGACTTGTCTTCCAGAATACATGCTTCAAGCTGGAACTGGGTTGGGGCTAGGCTCTGATGGAAACAGCTCCATGAGTACGACGAGCTCGACCGACATGCCGACCTCCAGCTCCATGGATATGGGAAGTATGATGGCACGAGACATGTCAATGCCGACCTCTACGTCGTCCCCAATGACCTCGGAGACCACGATGGTCTCAATGCCTCCCTCAAGTGCAATGTCTTTCATGTCAGATGTGCCTCTTACTCCTCGCGGCTGTACTCCAGTGATGAATTTCCGTCCTGGATTCAATGCCAGCAGCCTCCCATTAGACATTTGCACTAACACAACTAGCCCACTGTTGACAATCCCTACCAATACCACCCAAAGTTGGCTGGCTCTCAATCTTGTCAATTCAGGGTCCATCAGTGATCTCAGTGTATCGTTGGATGCGCATTCTCTTTGGGTCTTTGCTGCAGATGGACTTTATGTTACACCCCAGGAAGTTCAGGTGACTTATGCTGTCGATGCCATATTCCACGTGACACTGCTGACGAAAGGATGGCTCAGGTCCTCCACATATCACTCGGTCAACGCTATTCAGTAATGATTAGGCTTGATCAAAAGCCGGGAGACTACTATCTCCGATTTGCTTCGTATCCGACCGGTGATATGCAACAAGTCATCGAAGGCCAAGCCATCGTGTCGTACAGCGTGAGCTTTGACATCCCGTCAGGCTGCCATAAACCATCTGATCTAACATGGTGGAGTATTTAGGGACAAAATATGACGACTACGGCTATGACCATGGCACCGCCGATTAAGGAAGATCCGATGTCTACATGGATGTTTCTTAACGGTTCAGCAATGGCCAACGCAACGGCGCTCGATGCGACTTCACTTGAACCCTTTATAAGCATTGCACCACCTATAGGAGCGGCGGATGTGACCAAACATTTTACCATCAATGAGACGGGTATTGTCACATGGGTGATGGACGGGAATCCATATACGGAACCAACAGTGCCGATTCTCTACGGCAACACCTCCGATGGATGGCTAGCCAACACTACGATACAGTTGCCCATCAATTCGACAATCGATATCATCTTGAAGATAGCCCACGATTCCATGGACATGGTGAGACTATGTCCGATGTTACATTATGTGCTCATGACACTGAGTATCATGTGAACAGATGGGCCATCCGATACATTTGCATGGCCACAAGTTTTGGATCTTGGGCTCTGGCACTGGAGATTTCTCTTATGCATCGGTGCTCGACGTACCCCAGGGTGTGCTCAACCTTCATAACCCAGTGTATCGTGATACGGCAGATATTCCTGCATCCGGATGGCTTGCGATCAGATTCGTCACCGATAATCCCGGAGTTTGGCTTATGCATTGCCACATGCAATGGCATCTAATGGTTGTGTTCCAAGATCCTAACTCTCATTGATAGCGTTATAGTAAAGCTGACTTGTACACAGAGCGGCTTCGCGTTGGTCTTTGTTGAAGGTGCCAACGAAATACAGGGAGTAGTTAAGGCGACGAACTCGACGAACACACCAGCTTTACCTAGTAGCACGACGAGGAACACCGGTATATCACGGTACAATCCGGCTAATCTCCAATACTTCATCCTTTTGATCACAGCTTGGACGGTGCTCATGACAAACTGTTGACAACAAAGATCATCGGCCTCGCGTTTTTATCAAGTAAAGGTGGTTCACAGTGGCGGCATCTCTTTTCACTTTCTTGTGCTAGGTCTTGTATCTGGAGTCGACAATAGCTGTTCTTAGTATGATTGCATTATAATGAGGAAAGGGATTAATTTAAAGTGACTTCCCTTTGGTATCATTGTGTCGCGCAAGTCTGAACATACGTGACTTAGCACTATGCCTGTTTACTCCTACCCTTGGAACACCAAGTGCGTTGAAGTTGGATGACAATTTCACATTCCTTTTGTTGACCAAAAATCTGTTAAACCTCTTCATCAACGGTGATCGAATTTTGTCTCTGTACTAATTTTATCGATTTCATTACGGTCAATATCAGCCTATTTTCACTGGGTTTAGAAAAGGCATTACACTGAATCAAAGTCCTGATCTTGACTAGAGTTTCAAACACAACCTGATTCTCTGCAAAACGCATTGTGTAGCTCGAGCCGCAGAGTCGACCCTTTATCAACAATGAATTACTCACAGTGGATAGGTAGTCCCTGGTTGGCCGCGTTACACGTCGTTAACTGGTTACTGCGAGTAGAGTTGTCTGGGATTATACTGTACTTGCCTAGTTCCACTGCGGATGACAAGAGTACCTCGTAACCGTACCGTTCCTATGCTAAGCCTTACACGGACTCGAATCCTATTGATTATCGTGCAGGACGTGCCAGAAGTGCGCGCCAAGTGAGTCAGAAGTAGTGATACTAAGTGAGCTCCCTTACTTGTAGATTGGGTTGTCTTAAAGATGAACCGTGAAGTGTAAAGTACTAAAGGTAGAAACCAAGTAAAAATGCGAGATTGATCGCGAAGAACTAATACATGATGCTTGAATAAGTGTCCTTATATATCTAATCCTTCCGATCCTGGCTCTGATCGGTCCATACTCTTCATAACGTTACAGCGTGCCCTTCATAACATGGCAAGATCTACTTGTGACGTTTACCCAATCGGCCCTTGCTGACTGTTCCAAGTTGATTGGCTCTCAGCGTGTCTTCTTCCATTTAGCACGTTTTCCCGTAAGACCCAAGTAGCCACCAGATCACTTCCGCCCTGGCATGTAAATAAGTAATGTTGGCTTTGAAAGCACTGGATGTGTGGGCCAAAGCCCAGATTATAGTATACTGTACCTTTAGACCTAATGTGTGCTCCCTCTGACAATGCCAAGTATATTCTATACACTCGAAGCTAAAGCCAAGGTTGAAGCGGATAGTCCTCTCAAGCAAAGTTGATTATATAATATACTTCCGATCTGGGCTTAGTGATACTCTGGACACTGCTAAGAGAAGGCTCGACTCGGCAGTAATATGTACAGTAACATCCAGGCTATTGCCTGCTGAGAAAGAGGCGGCTGAGGGCTCCCATTCCTATAAGAGCTTCTTAACATATCAACTTACACCCTATTACGACTCTCAGAAGAAAGTATCGAGTCCTCTTCCATACGGAGCCCTCTTCCGTCCAGTTGATGACAGCATATTTTGTCACATCCTTTGGTAGCCAAGAATCGACCCGATGTATTCGCATTTACTACAACATTTGGCATATCACGTCAGCTATATCATAGTAGCTTGTCTGGTCACAGCCGATTACAGCACCAGAAATCTCCTCTAAAGAATATGCACTCTCCCTAAAGAGCTTATTGCACGGTGGACCGTATATCTCTAGCACGTTGTATTCTTGTCAAGTCAAGCTACTAGCTTCCTCGTACGCAGCTTCAGGTGAAATCGTGAAATTGTGTGAAATATTTCATATTCTGTAGCATCCAAAAGATGATATTGAATCGCAATGACCCTTTCTACATCAATCCAATTGAGCAACCATAAGTTGGAGTGCCTGCATACTTCAGCATATAGCATTCATGCTGTGGAATGCCTACTGTATCGTGAGTCTCTGGAAACAGTCTCTTCTCTGGTTTTCCGCAAATCACGATCTGTCATCACGGTCGGAGCCCGGTAATGGGAGCTCTGACTAGTCGTCAACGTGCTGCCTGCTGGATGATGTCATGTAGTTTACATACCAATTGCGAAGTAAGAAAGTCCCAAAAGCCCGAAGTATCCGCTAACAAAATATGTATCTGGCCAGTCTCCCGCATGCGAATACCTACGCACACATCTGCATCACACATCTTGCTATATTCATCATGTTTGTCCTGCGACGGTACTGTGATGACGATGATGATGATGATGTATTCATTTGCCCGATGTAGCTCGCTCAATATATGCTGCTATGCGGGAGTGCTGTCGGGCCTGCCGACAGCTTCAAGGTGGTTGCCAGCCAGTGACACTGAACGACCCCTGAATGGTCGTTCGAGAATAGTAGGTTACGTAAGCACAACAAACAAAGGAAACTCAAACGAACGTCACCCTCGTCCCCTCTACACTCCACAGATCCTTCCCCCCCACTCGTCTATTTGCACAGCCATATTGGCTGTCGGCTGCCGCTCTTGTGCTCGCTTGCGTCAAGGGAGTACAGTGGACCTGGCACTGCACTCCTAACGGGCTCCATCCTTCTCCTTCCGTCACACTGTCCTAGGGGGTCATTCTTTTTCGTCGCCTTCTTCCACCCCGAGAGCCATTGGGTCGACTGCTCGGAACTGTTCCAAGAGATTTGTCCGTACCATGAACTCGGCCACAATTACGCGGGCAAAAGACATGATACTTCTCACAAAAAGAAACTGTGGTCTTGTGTTGTTTTCACGTTATGAAGACAACAATGGCATGTTAACCGCCCTCGTTAAACTGCGGTCACCATATGGGTCTCCGGCTCATTTTCAAAAATGGGGTGGGCAATAAAATCTTTGTAAACAAACCGGTGAAAGGGTTGAATCAATATTCCAAGGGGTTTTCATTATTGCCCACGGTAAATTGGTGTATAACGTAATAGTCTACAAGCAGGAAAATGGTATGTTCAAATCGCCCTCTTTGTGGCACAAAATGAGTTGCAAGGAAGTACTACGATCAGTTAATTCCGAGAGACAGTAATCCAGAATTTGACCCCCTCAACTTGAGCTAAGAACAAAGAAGCATTCAAATGAGGCTGCAGTAGACTGTTGCGCCCGAACGGTGAAGGCAGCGAGACCCCAAAGAGTGTCAGTAGCGAACAGCCCGGATTGGCTATTTCGGGAAGTGGATTGCCGTTCCCAAATGGTGGCAGCGGGACACTAAAGAGTGTCTTCGAGACTACATAGCGAAAGCGATCATTATCTTAGGCAAAAAGATCACAATGTGGTGCCCGTTCTTTTGTACAACTAGGTAGGCGGTGTTTATAACATCACTATGCTCTTTATGAGTGTTTACGTTTATCATTATTTCATCGAACGTGGCCATTTGAGGGTGATCAATTGTCACATTAACTAATTAACTGATTTAACTAGTTGGTTAGTTAACTAACGTAATTCCTGCATGACCGGGCCACCCGGTTGAGCAGGCCACCCCCAAACACATAGTAAATGCAATTTTTCAGGTCATGATATATCAACAACCATAGGTTATTTTTACTTACATATTAGGATATAGGCTTTACTTAGCATGTGAAATAATAAACCTTAGCTTTAGGTAAGTTAGATGATTATTTCGATGCTTTACCATAGAATACGCTGTAATTTTGACGTGAGGGATGTAAGTATATATATCTCTATTAATACTTCCAATAATTCTTCAATACTTTGCCAGTAGATTCTAAATACTATCTATATTATATCCTTTTAATATCTTATCGTAAATACATATGGTTGTTGAGACACGAAGTGGTAATTTATCGCATTTAGTATGTGTTTTGGGGTGGCCCGCTCAACCGGGTGGCCCGGTCATGCGGGAATTACGTTATGAGATGGTGAATGAATAACACAAATGTGGCTGATGAGTGGCTAGTTGGTCTTGAACGTGCCAGGACCCAGGCCAGCCTCAGAGCCATTTTGCCTTGTGAACTAAGGGCCGACCTTCCGGGTAGGTACTATAAACATGTCAATAAGAGACTGCGCATAGTAGAAAATTGAAAGTCTGTACAAAAGATGAATTTTGGTTGAGTGCATTGCCATGCCTGGTCGCATCCGAAAAATAAACCGATGTGGCCAGAAATAAAATTGATGAAGACGGTTTACTGAAGAGATAAGTTCAGTTGACCATCCGTACTGTCGTTTCTAAGCCCAGCGAAAATAGACTGATATGACCGTAATGAAACCGATGAAAATAGTACAGAGATGAAATCTGATCACCGTTTATGAAGATGTTTAACAGATTTTGGTCAACATAAGGAAACGGTGAAATTTCATCGAACATCCAACGTACTTTCAACGTACTTTGCTGTTCAAAAATGGTACAAGGTAGGAGTGAAAAGATTGGCTAACCAAGAGACCTTCTCTATATCAAGCGTAGGTCCGTGCATTTCCTATTACCTTGTGAGCCCCCAGATCTCGACCAGAAATTATTTCAACCTACTCCATACTTTACGAGCACTACCTCCGCTGCATCCCGAGCGATCGGACTGGACCGAAGAACCTGAATCTACAACCTTCATGCTCACCCTCATGTTCACCCATGTTCAGTATCTCCGTACAGTATACTGTACTAAGGAAAGAGATACAGTTGAACGTAATATCAAATATGAGCATTTGCTTCCTTTCCTCGACAGTTCTCACACTGTATTTAGGTCCTGGGAGCGTCCTAGCGTCATCCACCAAGGTTCAATTGTAACCTTGTGCATACCAAAGGGCAAGGCTGATACGGTATGGGATGGAGAGATGACAGACTGCGAATTAAAGACTAGCATAACTACACGATATTGCAAGCACCATGATAACATAATTAATCCAACCCGTCTATCCGAGTCGAGCCTGTGCGATGTTACTGCACTCTTAGCAATGTCCAGAGTACCACTAAACCTAGATTGGAGATAGATTATATAATCAACTTGCCTTGAGAGGACAAGTGTCAGAGTACGGTGACTCAGCAAGAGGAGAAGTGGCTGATCAGGTAGAGATACGGTGAACAAAAGGAACTAAGATAGGAGGGAATGTCACCGAGTCCGATTGTCTCATGAAAGCACAAGTCTGAATATTGAGGATTCAGACTACAGATTTACCACTGCAGCTTTTATCCTTTGCCTGATTACCCCGCGCCAAGACGTAAAGGCCCTGAACCCGATCCGACCCCGCTTCATGGAGGTCCCGCCAGGGCAGCAAGGTCTGCCCAACTGATCGAGGTCACGTTCTGTCCTTTCTTTCACAACAGGGAAGTAGTGGTAAAACCGAACCAGTGATTTGTAACATAAGAATAAAGTGTTAATAGATCCTTCGCGGTAACGGAGCCATTTTGTCTATTTCAGGAGCTGCTTTTGCGTTTTATACATCGGCGAAACGCCCATAGTGCACGCAGTCACGCCGACGTCTTGGTGGGCGCTATGTCGACGCCAAGCCTGCTATCGCCAGATAAAAACCGAACGACAGGAATTTTCCTGCGCAGCTAATTTTAACCAACATAAACATTACATAGCGTGAAAATTCAAAGGACGACGTGGCCAATTTTATCGCCTGGATGCAAAAGCAAATTTCCTCGTCATTGTGCTGGCTGCCCTACTCTGGCTACATAGCCTGTCAGCCTACATAGGCCTTTCTACATAGCACGCCAGCCTATATGGCCCTGGCTACATAGCCAGCCGCCCCCCAGGCCACATAGCTGTTATGATTGAGATTCTTTGCCCAAGGATGCGGGACCCGAATCCGTACTTGTGGAGCATATGTCCATGGGATAGCTATTCCTCGGGGACACGTGGGTTGTGCTTCCATGTGGGAGTCCACCATCGTGGTAGAAATCTCCGGGGGGGAATTTGTCCTTAAGTATCAAGCTACCCCAAGGTAGGTTGTACCTGGGGAACTTCCTTCCTGTGGTTTAACGTCCTCGAGGGTGTTTGCCCCTCAGGATCCTTTACCCTGAAGAATAGTGGCCCTACGGTCATACACTCCGGCGGGAGTTCATTCCTGCCTGATGGCGACACACTCCCAATGGCATTAGCCATACTTAAAGCGAAAAACAGGGTTTTTTTTGGTGTGTTATAGGGCTCAAAGCGAGAACCAAGGCACGAACGATGCCGTTGCTCTCGCACAGGCTACGATCGGCGTCCACATGAACGAAGGCACGGATGTCGCGCAATCCGCCGCGGATGTTGTTCTCATGCGGCCTTCTCTGGCTGGTATCCTCACCATGATGGATGCCAGTCGGAAGTCTGTCAACCGCATCAAGTTCAACTTTATATGGAGCTTCGTGTACAACACCTTTGCAGTCCTTCTCGCTGCGGGTGCTTTTGTCAATGCGAGAATTCCTCCAGAGTTTGCGGGGCTGGGAGAGTTGGTGAGTGTATTGCCAGTCATTGCTGCTGCGTGTTACGCGGTGCCTGCTGGTCACTGTGAGCGAGTGCTGATAGGGCAATAGTTACCTTATTGTAAACGGGTAGTAACCAAGTAACAATGTGAGATTGATCGCGAAGAACTAAATACATGGTGCGAAATGAGTGTCCTTATATATCTAATCCTTCCTACTCCTGCGGTATACTCCCTAGGGGTATGTATATCCTTGGAGTCGCGGTAACTATCTACCCCTGCTTGGCATGGGTAGATGGTCACGGTCACATGTTCGGTGCGGGTAAGAGGGTAGCCGTTTCCTGCGTCGCGCTAACCGTCATGCCGTATAATCGAGAATGGAGTATATGGTATTGGTTGTGACGGTTAGTCGCAGGCCGTTTCTGGCTCCTTTTCCGAAATGCTTTCCTCAGGGCCTTCGGGGCGTGCCTGAGTATACCGAAACGCACGTGAGGACGCTAGTGCTTTAGCGTCCGTGGAATGATTGGTTCCTGGTTGCCCTCAAATAACTGCGGCCCCCGCGCCTCTTTGAGGTCCGTAACATCAGGCTCTTAACATTGTTATACACAGAGCCCAGCACGCGAGGTCATGGAAGAGAAGGGGGCAGTCTACTAGCGCTTGGGGCCGTGTATTACCCTAAAACCCTTATCCGATTTAGATGATAAAGATGAAGCGATCAAGAATCTAGACAATCTTGTACTTGTTCTAACAAAGCCGCTAGGTAGGTTTATGAGGTTATGATGAGTAATGATTATGCAAAACTGCAAGATAATATCATGCTTAGGAGTAACGGGGAATTATTGCCGTTTCCCCTTCATGTTCCTAAACTGGCAGGAAAACGAACTATTAACCATCCGAAAACCGTGGGTGGTCTTAATCCAAAACACTCTCTGCGTACATTTCAGCATTGCGTTTAACATATCACGTGTCAAGGAAAGGATATGCGGATGAGTAAGCAATTAAATGGTTGGACAAATAGCGAATACCGGAGCGAGAGAGCCTAGAAAACATCGAATTTTTCGAGTAATAACCTCCATTATTAGATGGAGTTGATTTTTGATGGTGGGACGACATGGACACAACTGGTCAAGGCCTAATGAACAAGCGATAGTTGTTCTTTCATGGGTGAAAGTGATATTCGTGAGAACCTTGCGGGCGAGTACCTTGCGGGTGAGGACCTTGCGGGCAAATTTCTTCACATTCGGCCAATGGCTGGGAGTTACTTGACCCCCAGTGCCTTATGGGGCTCAGGGTGCTATATCGTTGATGAACCATGCTTGTTTAACTCTATTTCAACCTCTATCCACCAATTTGATGGCATTGACCCATAGCACGCCGCCTAAATAGCGACACTATCATCCTGAACTGACACTGAAGCCAAACCCTTTCAGACTGGTTTCTGCTGTTGCTCTCCGTCCTGACACAGCAAGGAGATTGCAAGCGACCGTTTTATCACGGCGTTCTGGAGAGTGATTCCAAAAAAGATTGACCAAAGTGTTTTGGCATCACTTATCGGTTAATCGCTGGAGCTAATGCATAACTCACAGGCTCTTTGTTAAGTAAGGACTGGAATTCTGTTCTCCGATAAGCCGGTGGTAATCGAATTCAAAGAATGTGTGATATCAAATTGCATTAATTCACTATATCATGATTCCTACTACCACACCAAAAAGATACCCTACGAAATTACCTAAACCGAATCTTCTATTATCTAAGTACTAACTTACTACTGCTATCCGTAGCAACACACACCGCTTTCGGGGTAGCCTGCGATGGGCACTTACGGCCCTTTGAAATTAATGGCTGGAAACAAAGCGGCAAAATTCATAAATCGAGGTCAAATATTTGCCCCAAGAATGAAATACTCTAATATCTTCAAAAGATTGTTCTGGTATTGAAGTATAGAGAGCTAGGAAAGCTCAAAGGGAATAACAAGATCAAGGCAATGTTTTTGAGCATGTTCACCCCCAGTCACGCTGAAAGACCCGTTAGCAGGACAGGAAGCACTCCGATAGTTATAGAGAGTAACTTGGGCAGGCAAAGAGCCCAACTCAAATGAATTATTGCGCTGTAAGATCCAGGCAAAATAACATTGAGACTGTAACGCCTACAAAAACTTGAACAAATACCTCAGTGGAGATTGCTGTCCCGGCTTTGTTACGCCCACCAATAAATGCTCAGCTTTCACGAGTGGTCGGGACTTTCGAATCCGAGCGCCGAGCCACGCTTGAGGAAAAGCTGAAAAAATCGACTCAGCCCCCTGCCTCTCTCTTCATTGTCATATCTTTCACCACACTGCTACCCTGTCCACATCCTGTTCTCAACCATGGCGCTTCACTTGACTCAGTCTAAGCGACTGCAGATTGTGATATTCATTTCTCTATCCTTCTTTATAACGGAAATATCTAGTACCGGTGCCAAGTACCCTTTATTGACAATTGTGTGCTGACTTTTACTGAATAGTTGGGTTCTACACGAGTTCTCTTGCCCTTGTCGCCGACGCCTTCCACTATGTACCATAAGCCCCTTCCCAATTTCTCCTTCGAACTGGTGGAGGCTGACAAGTCTTAGTTAAATGATCTCATTGGATTTGTTGTTGCATTTGCCGCTTTGAAGGTTCGAAGTCCAATTTTCACCCCTTGGTCCTTGCCTCTAACAGAAATCAGATTTCCGCCAAGAAGGACTCACCTCAAGACCTGTCCTTTGGCTGGCAAAGGTCCCGACTTCTCGGTGCATTCTTCAACGGTGTCTTCCTTCTCGCGTTAGGTGTTAGTATATTCTTACAATCTATAGAGCGATTTGTTTCTGTGCAGGGTACGTGGCATCCTGTCTATCAACATTGCTCCTGCTAATGTAAACGCAGTTGTGGAACAACCTAAGCTTGTGCTTATCGTCGGGTGCATTGGCCTTGGTCTTAATATTATCAGCGCCTCCTTCCTTCACGGTATGTGCTATGACTCTAACATCGCACGGTTTCTAACCTGTACCTTCTCCCTAGAACACGATCATTCACACGGTGGGACTCTAGAGGGTACAGGGAGCGTGGAAAGTGGAACAGAGGAGGTCAGTATATATTTTCAAAGCGTTTGGTCGATTTATGCTCAGGCTTATCCAGGCACCTGCCTTGCACGACAACCATCGTCACAACGATCTTCGACTATCCAAAAAGGGATATGATTTGGGCATGTTAGGAGTTCTGATCCACGTCGTGGGTGATGCAGCCAACAACGTTGGTGTCATCATCTCGGCCTTGGTGATCTGGCTTACTTCGTCTCGAGCTCGCTACTATGCAGATCCTGCTGTCAGCATGGCTATTGCCATAATAATCCTCACAACATCACTTCCACTAGGTTCGTATCTCCTTAATGAGGGACAGTTCGGTGACTAAGGATTGCTTTTCTAGTGAGGAACTCGGGCAGAATCCTTCTTGAAAGCGCCCCGACTGGTATCAACCTTGACGACATAAGACATGATCTTGAATTGGTGAGCTGCAGTCCTGGGATCCTAGTCCTTGAATTAGAATTGACGATGAAATCAAGATCCCGGGTGTTCGATCCATCCATGAGCTACATGTTTGGCGCCTGAACCAGGAGAAGGCATTAGGATCAGTCCACGTCGCCATTGTGAACGAGACTGTCTCCGAATTCGTGAAGATTGCAAAGATCATGAATGATTGCTTCCACAGTTATGGTATCCATTCGGCTACCGTACAACCTGAGCTTGGCTCCCCTCTCATTTCGGCAGAAGCGATGGGTACTATCTACCAGGATAACTCGTCGCCGCTATGCCAAGTCAAGTGTGGAACCTCTTCGTGTGAGATCTTGACCTGCTGTGGCTAGGCTGAGGTTTGAGTACGCCTATTAGGCTACAATAGTGCTTAGTGGAGAAGATATCCTATGAATGGAATCTTACGGATAATCTAGTAGTTTGAAGGTGGGATATTTAGGATAGTCATTAAGGAAGCAGTCACACGTCAGGAGACAATGGCTAAGGATATGTATCGAAGAGGGAGATGAGTGAAGGGGTATCTTGCTTTTTTACACCTCCCTTGCTGCTGAAATAGGAATCTGGGGGATAACACGCCGATAAAACGAAAAAAGGACCTAGTGATTTGATCTTTTCCCAAAACATAGCTGCTCATGCTGATGCAGAGATTGACTACATTCCACAGGAATAGCTATACTTATCAAAATATAGCCCAGCAAAGGGCCTAATCAGAATTGATCAAACCAGTTGTCGGTCCTCAAAAGACTGCCTCAGCCCAAGAAATGATCATTTCCCTGTCAACCCCTCAGATGACACGTTGACACGTAATCCTGATAATTTCGCATAGATTTATTGGCCATCAGCAATAGTGGGGACCAGCTAGCCCGATAACTGCGGGGTCCAAGGGGGCTGGAGGGAGGGAAGAGAGAGGCTTATAAGTCCTGCTTTTTGCCACATTCTGGAATTACCGCATCTATCGCTTTCAAGTTTCTAAACTTGCCTTCTACTTCCTATTCCAACCAGGTTCTTTTCCATCATTTTACCGATACGACTTGCTACCACTGACGAGAAATGTCAGAGATGTCGGGTCTTCTGGGCAAAGTGGCGGGTCAGCTATCCGGGCAAAAGTCATCCCAATCCTCGAACGGATCCTCGGGGCTCATGCACAAAATGACGGATACTCTGACCGGCCAAAAGCATCCGCAAGACTCCCAGAACTATCAAGCCACGAGACCTTACTCGGAAGGTGGGTTTGTTTTCCGGATCCTGCAGCATGTATGCTCGTATAAGATGACTAGAACTGACCAGAACCATCTGCCCTATCAGGATACCAGCCGGGCCAGTTTATCCCGGCCGAAAGTCAGAGATACAATGAGCCTCGCTATCAGGAGGGACACGGGAATTATGGCACCCCGAGTGGTGGCTTTGGAGGTCACGGCGATGGGCGGGGATTCTACCCCGGCGAATCCACCAACGGCCATGGTAGCCACGGAGGATATGGGATCCCTGCTCCCCATGAAAGAAAGTATTCTTCCCATCAGGCTGGTTACGGTGGACGTGGTGCATCAGGTGGCCATGACCTCGGCGAGCATCGACGGGAGTATCCTGAGGGTGGACACAACGCCCCAAGTAGCTATGAGGGTCATGGAGAGTACCGAGGCGGACATAACGGTCCAGTCAATTACGCTGCAGGCCATGGCGAGCGTGGCGTCTCGCACAACAACAGCGGACATGGTGGCTACGGAAGTGGCCACGGCCAGTACGATGAAGCCTATCACGGCGGCCACTAAGACTGCAAAGGGTACGGAGTACTGTGTGTAACCACCATGGAATATAACACGGACAGCCGTCAATTCAACATAGTGGAATTGGAAACATTCTTTAGATCCTGCCAAATTCGAAAACAGAAAACAGATTCCTTCGCATACACTCTCAGATTGTTTTCCCAGCCCTTTGCCGAGACCCCCTAGTCTGTATTCAATTAAGTTGAAGATCCTATCTATATTTGGAGGAGTGAAAAAAATCACTGATAAACCTTAGGGTGGGGAGGTATTGGACCGCCGGAGGAGTTAATTATAAATACCCCTACAGGAGGTCGGTTTTTCTACTCAACGGGCATTTAATCCAAAGTTCTAAATTCGACCTGCACATTCTTGCACGGCCTGGTTTGTTGGAAAGTAAATTGCCTCTTCCCCGCACGCATTTATCTCTGGTGTGTCAATCTCAATACCATCCCTATCTACTTTAACATAGCGTTGAATCGCAGTTTTTAATATTTTTGGCATCTCTCCCCGGTTTTACACACACCTGGATTCTTTAGGCAAACAGAGCAGAACGCAGTGCCCGATCTTTTGTACAACTGGGTAGCCAGTGTTGATAACTTCACCGTGCTCTTTGTGAGTTTTTACGTTTATCATTATTTTATCGACAGACATCGACATATCAAACGTAGCTATTTGAGGATGATCGTGTAACATTACGATGCTGAATGAAGAGTACATATGTGGCCGCTGAGTGGCTAGTTGGTCATGAACGTGCCAGGACCTAGGCCAGCCTTAGGGCCATTTTGAAATGTGAACATAGTAGAAAGACGAATGTCTGAACAAAAGCCGAATTTTGGTCAAGTGCATTGCCATGCCCGATCGCAACCGAAAAATAAACCGATGTGCCAGAAATAAAATGGATGAAAACGGTTTACTATTGTAGAGATAAGTTCAGTTCACCATCAACGCAGAGATTCAACTTACAGTACGCTCAAGGCGAGGAAAAAATTATGGGGGCTGGTGAAACTGTGACCGAACATTAACGAACGTGGGCGTTTGAAAGGGAGGTGCAAAGATATTAGGACTTTAGGTTAAGTGTACGTACTGTCGTTTCTAAGCCCAGCGAAAATAGACTGATATGACCGTAATGAAACCGATGAAAATAGTACAGAGATGAAATCTGATCACCGTTTATGAAGATGTTTAACAGATTTTGGTCAACATAAGGAAACGGTGAAATTTCATCGAACATCCAACGTACTTTCAACGTACTTTGCTGTTCAAAAATGGTACAAGGTAGGAGTGAAAAGATTGGCTAACCAAGAGACCTTCTCTATATCAAGCGTAGGTCCGTGCATTTCCTATTACCTTGTGAGCCCCCAGATCTCGACCAGAAATTATTCTGTTGGGATATATGGTACCAGTTCGCTACTAGCCAGATTCGGCTAGATTCCTCTCACCACCAATACACACATCTCTGATCCTATTTGCTCTGCCGCATACTAGTCTATACTGTTTCAGCCTGCTCTGACATATTCCAACCTTCTTTACAAGCACTACTACCTCCGCTCCATCCCGAGCGATCGGACTAGACCGGAGAACCCGAATCTACAATCCTCAAGTTCAGTATCTCCGTACCAAGGATTTCCTTTCGTAACAATCAGCAAATTTCCTGCACAACGTCTTCCTGCTTAACGATATTTGTCCAGGCGATATGGCTCCAAGACTCTCGCCTTCAAAGTTTGTTCTCATCCGCGATATGATAGAGAGCGAATCTTTCACCACCTCCGACATGGCTGAACAGGCTGAAAGCAGCAAGCAGACCATCATCAGTATCCGCAATAACTTGCGTCAATTTGGAAGCTTATACGTACCACAAACCAGTAGGACGAAAACAAACTGTGATGCCCTTGATGATCGAAGCCCTCTGTGATCACCTATATGAAAAATCTGGCCTCTACCTGGAGGAGATGGTTGTAATCCTATGGGATGAGTTTCAGGCCATGGTTGCAACCTCCAGCATCAGAAGAGCCCTTGTCGCGACAAATTGGTCTAAAAAGACTGCACGGAGACGTGCTAGAGAAAAAAAATGCCGATCTGCGTGACTATTACCTGCATAATCTTTCGGATTTTAAATCGTACCACCTAGTCTATGTTGATGAATCTGGATGTGATAAACGTATTGGGTTCAGAGGGACAGGCTGGGCACCACGTGGCACGTCCCCTTTGCAGGTAACGCAATTCCATCGTGATTAGAGATAGCAGATATTACCCGCGTATGCACAGGATGGGATCGTTCTGTCGCGTGTCTTCCGTGGTTCTACGGATGCCACCGTATTTGAAGGCTTTATAGCTCAGCTGCTACAGCATTGCGGACGATGGCCAGAACCTAAATCTGTCCTAGTCATGAACAACGCATCATTTCACCGACCAGAAAGGCTTGAACAAATGTGTGCGGACGTAGGGCCTCTATTTGCCACCCTATTCGCCGGGCCTGAACCCAATTGAAGAGATTTTTTGCTGACCTCATGGGATTCATTATGGTTAACTGGGACTATTGCGAGAAAGACCCAGAGCGAGGATTTGGTATTTTTCTTGAATGGTGTATTAATGTTGTCGGTGCGAAAGCGAGAGTGCCAGAGGCCATTTTCGACATGCGGGCCTGAATATAGAAGAATTTGATGCTTGAAACCCCTTTTGGCCCCGTCCATGTCCCAATCGTTCTTCCCTGAAATGTCTATCATTATCGGCCCTGAAGGACTCCTCCAAGTCCTACTTCGCCGTTTCTGTATCCACCTTGCTAGGATCGTTGACGCATTTTTCAAGGACCTTTAGCTGTTGATATCGCCACTCTAAGTCTATCAGCGGGTTTTTCGGTGCTCGGGGATATGCGAAGTTTCTAAAATTCATAGGAATTGTTAGCTGATTTGAACACAAGCCACACAACGATCATACAAAAGGTTTACCGTAGTCAACGTGTACAAAAGCTCGACCGAAACCTTCGACCGTCTCGAGCTTGTCTTGTAGCTCTTGCGAGACATCATGGGCCTCGCGAAGGCTGCACTCAGGTGCCATGACAATGTCCACCTCCACAAACAAATCCTCACCCCAGTGATATGCGCGGACAGTATCGACCTTCAATATTAAATCAGAATGTCGAAGAGTAAGGAACACGATTTCCTGCACTAAGCTGGGAGAGGCTCCTAGTCCGCAGAGCTCCAGAAACTCCGAACGTATAGTGCCGATCCAAGTGACGATAATGACAGAGGCAATAAGCATGGCACTAGCGGGATCAACCCACCATTTCAGCTTAGCGCCAGCCGCAGATGTGAAGATGGCGAATCCATACTCAAAGCAGTCATTGCGGTTGTCCTCCCAAAGCATTTGCAATTGACTACTATATCTCCGAAAGATGAAGCAGTAGATGGCCAAGAAAAGTTTGATGCCGAATCCGCACGCAGCAGCAACAATAGCAGCCACCTCAAATTTTCCAAGCTCATGTGCGCTGCTAGCTAGCGCGCGGATCGATTCGACAACCAGAACCATTGAAACAGCCATTAAAGCAAAGGCAAAGCAGATGTTACCGGCATTGCAGAGTCTCCCTGCGCCAACCGGCCACCGGGTCGAATCGCTGAGCTTCGTGGATTTCCTGTGAAGGTAATCGAGGCCGATGTTACTCACAGCCTCGCAGCAACTCTCTGCCACTGCAGCCCTGCGACGACGATGGTGCCATAGATGGAAAGGTAAATGGCGGCTCTGATATGAAAAGCCGACGTATCCGCTCGATCGTCCAATAGCCGCGTTGAAGTTGGGTCCTCTGCCACCCGGATAAGACGACTGATGTGCAAATTTTGTGTCCTGTGATAGGTATGTGCCCGGCGAGTTCTTCGGTGAGTAAATTTACTCATCACTGATGTGTTTGGCGGGCTGACAAGGGACCTCCGCAGCCCCTCAAGTTCGATATCGCTTACCATAGGGAGTATCCGTGTCGACTGTCCGATAAAACGACTAAAATAGCTAAAGCCGGGCGAATCCAAGCTGGAAAGTGATTATCGCCTGCTCCCTTGTATTTTGGAGGTTGCAGTTGACCATGTAAGGAAAATTGATGATCCTGCCAAGCCGGTAGGAATTTCCTTTATCCGTGTTCTGTCCACGCCTTAAGATTAGTCAGGGTGGGATCTCCTTCGACTGGCTAGATCATTTCTTGGAAGCAAACGACATTTTGATAATGACTCACATGCTAAGGTTGAGAAACAAAGCACGAGTGTCTATAAGATTTTCAAGTTCTGATATACTATTGACCATACTAGGCTGGCTTCAAATAATGTTGTGAGATGCCTAGAGCAGCCAACCATGAAGCTTATCCGGGGCTAGACATTTGGACGCTAGGTTAGTAAGCAATCAAGGGTGAGACTGAGCCGTATGTCCCTTTTTGAGAATCCCCCCCCAGACAGACAGGACGGCAATGATTGCTTTTACCCTCTAGTCTTCCTTGCGCCGGGGGTGTCGAGTGGCAGATCACTTCTGCTTAACCGTTCAGGGACTTCTATATTCAAAAATTACGATGAAGTATGTCCGGATATAGTTTTCTATGATCACCTAGTGTCTGTAGAGTACCTGTACAGTAGAGCACCGAGAGCTTGAGAATGTTGTTATACAAAACTCTCCAATACTTATTGATTTGGAGGATTCCACAAGGGACTCCGGCAGGATTGAAGACATGGCCACAACTGAGGCCGGCAGAAGATGAGCCTGGAAGGCCCCCCAAAGGCGCAGCGAACAGAGCCCCCCTCGACCATCTCTCAAGGGTGGAGTAAGCACGGCGTGCGGCTCGCGCGACTGGAGAAACGCATACCGCATGTAGTGCCACCATGGTGGACGCCACCACTTACCCACATCAACGAATCCGCAGAGGAAGCAGCCAAAGTACACGACACCACGGAGCCATGAACATTACGCATCCTCACCGACGGAAGTGGCATCAACGGCCACGTCGGAGCAGCTGCTGTAACTCCTGCACCACGGGTCAATGGACTCTATACGAAGCGGACTCAGTACATGGGCACATCCTGCACCTCGGCGGTGTACGCGGCAGAGCTCAAAGGATTAGTCCTGGCACTGCAGATAATGCTCGACACACCGCCAGCATACGGTCCTCCCAACAAGCACACCGTTATATTCACCGACAACCAAGCTGCCACCCTTTCCATCCGGAACCCCAAGCACCCGTCTGGACAATACATTTTTGTAGAGGCGATACGAGCGCTTGACGAGGCCGAAGCCAAGGATGGGAGGGGCAGTTTCGTTGGGTTCCAGCACACTTCGGAGTGCTTGGTAACGAGACTGCCGATCAAGCCGCGAAAGAGGCCGCCGGGTCTGATCCTAATGCAAGAGCGAACGCCGAACCGCCGCTAGAACCGGACTCTCTGCGAACACTCATAGCAACCGCCAAATCTACCATTCGCCAAGCGATGAGAAACAAGTGGAAACGTGCTTTCACACTTCGCTTCTAAGGCCATGGCGAGGGTGATTGTGGCCTTGTATGACGAGGTTCGCATAACTTCGGAGCCGAGGAAGACAACAAGTTAGTTTTCTTTCACTAGCGGAAGACTCTGCAACATCCTAATTGTGAAGTAAGAAAAGCCCAAAATCCGGAAGCATCTGCGGACAAAAGATGTACCTGACTCGTCTCCCGGATGCGAATGCCCACGTGTACATCTGCGTCGCACATCTTACTATAGTCATATGCCTTTCTCATCAAACTTGTTTTGCGACGGCATTGTTTTTGGCGTATCAATTTTCTCTTCGAGGAGGAGTAATTAGATGGGGTTGGATTTAGTAGCTATTGCGGGTGGTCGCCTTGCTCTTTGGAGGCGCTATGAATGTGATGTGAATTCACCTGTACTGGAAGGGGAAAGCAAAGAAAGGCGAGCTCTTATAAGACATAGGTCCGTTGTAACAGGAAAAAGCTAAAATGTGCAAAGGGGACATTTCAATTTTTGAACAGACAAAAGACCATGATTATTCTCATAAGGAAAACCGTGGTCTTTTATGCGTTGAGCTCTAGGTGGGCGCAAAGATGGCGCATAGCTGTTGTGGCTTCTCTACGTGATAATAGCCTTCAGCTGTCGAGCCGACCAAAAGCAGGTGAGTGGAGAAAGCAACGCAGAAAAACGGCCTCCGTGCTTAAAATTCGAGTCATTGAATTAGAGGTAGGATCTATAATCTATTGACTATTGAGACATTCTGGCTTGCAACCGAATACTAAAAAAAAGAAAAGAAAGGGAAAAAATTTCAAGACCACAAATCATCGAGCTCGTAATCGCTTTGACCGACGAGGGGTAAGTTTGATAGTGGACGCTTTTATTCTGCCTGGTCGCCCTTTCCCCTTCTGCTCCCCACCAGGCTGCTCTTCTGGGTGCCCGCGTTTTCGAGACGAGCGCGTCGCATGCTGTGATGGAGATCCCAGCTGAGGACCAGGTTCTAGATTTGCCGCCTTTGCTGCTCCCCTCGTCACTCGCCCTGTACAAATCTCCGTCGAGTTTGAATCGGTGCTAGCCACTGGATATCCAGCAGAGGAGGCGGAAATTTCAGTGCTTGGCGGGCAGGTTGATGGCTCCATGACTGTGATAGGACCTGGCTCCATCAATCGAGGGTCAATATTTGCCATGTCAAAATCGAGAGAGGAGGCGGGTGTTTCGGTGCCTTGCCGAGTCTCTGACTCCGTAGACGCGTCTCTGGACGGACCATCGCTAGGGCTAAACTGTGGCATTCTGGGGAGATGACACAATTTAATCTTGATATCGTACTTGTGTTCATTGTTGGCGTGGGCCAGAAACCCGGTGATACTGGCAAATCTGGGAAGATTGCGGCAAGCCTCCCAGTTGCAACTGATTCCGTCGTGTGCATAACACAGATGAGAGTCGATGAGATGACGACGAAGAGAGTCTGGACGGTTGGCAGGAAATCTATGCGGAGGAGGGTTTGACGCCGAGCGACGGGATATACCATAGCAAATGATGCAGACATCTGTTGGGCATCTCTGACTGTCTTCTTCAGGAGGCGAGGATTCCTGTGGCTGTTCTGATGGTTCATCACTCTCGCTGTCGAATTTCCAATCGACACGATTGCCCCGCCTGCTCGGCTCGCAGAGCCTAAGGAGCGCAACCATGTCCTTGGTAACCTGGATGCGACGCGCGAGCAGCTTGTCCTCGTCATAATTCTCCGCTTCAGATCCGTAAAAGTTCTCCACGAGGCGAGCTCGTTCAAGAAAAACGTACTTCGGGGTAGGCAACTCCCAGTCCTCATCGTCAGAACTGCCCGCATCGCATGACTCAACATCAGGCTCGCCAAGAAGCTGTTTGATCTGTCGGTCGACTTCGAGTACCGGTGCGTTGCGGAAATAATCCTTTCTGGCCGTCTCTCGAGTGTCGGTCGCCAAAGCCTTGCGAAGCTTGGTCATTTCTTTGTCAACAGCTTTGTGACGTTGATAAAGGTGTGGAAAGGGCTTCTGGGCGTTCTTCACAGTGCCAGCTAGAGATCGCATCTCCGCCATAAGCTCTCTCTTCTCTCGTTTCAACGCTAGCATTTCTGGATGTCGGCAAATAGCACGTTTAAGTGTGTCGGTAAGCTCCGACGGCGCTAATGGATCCCTCTTCCTGAGCATACTGCCAGCGACGCGCAATAAACCCTCCTGAGGTGGTCGAAGGAGAACAACATGTTGGAGATCACGTCCAATGAACTGTGACTGATAGTGTCTTTCGAATACAGCATCACCCGACTGGCCAAGCACTCTCTGCCGCTCCTGGCTAGTGAAATTCCCTGTCCGCCCCTAGTCAGACCTAATACGAACTCCGTAGAATGGTGGTAAAGTTTCCGAAGATTTGGCACTGGAGTGACTCACGATTGACTTCATTTGCGGCCCAACGGCGAAAATTGTAATGTCCAATATCGTTTTCGAATCGAGCATCTCGACCTAACTCATTCAGTGCCCGTCGACTTGAATCATAAGTCATCGGTAACGACGGGTGAAGCTCATAACCACACGTCGTGCGATCAAAACGGCGAAGGAGAGGCGTGTTAAGAATCTCGGGCTTCCAGCGGAGCGGGAGGGAGGAACTGCGTTTTGGAACTCGGAGCCGCCAAATGAGCTCAGGTGTGAGGTCGGTATTAACAAAGGCTCCATCTCGAAAAGCGAAAGAGATGATCTGAGTGATCGGACAATATGCCAGTTGATAATCGCCGTGCATGAAAAATTTGGTTCTGGCAGTGACTGTCAGTAGTGAATCCGGTGCTCCAGCACTTGAGACTACAACCACACTTACCCATCAGCACCTTCCGGCCGACCCTTCAGGTTACGAAACTCTATGACCGCACAGAGAACGTCACGTTTGCTCTGAGGGTCGCGAAGGTAGAAGAGTTCGATGTCGCGATAGCAGACCGAGTCCGGAAGGTCTGTCACAGGGATGTGCTTTGGAAGATCACTCTGAAAAGTGGGATTTAATTTGCGCTTGCTCAGGGAGGAGTCGCCAGGTAGAGAGGTGTTCTGTGGAAGCAAGACGCCGGGCCGGGTCCCGGTAATTGCGGACCAGAGTTGGATGGTAGCAAATTGGACGATCATACTTCCATGACGGAAAAACCGCGAATGGACCCAGTGATGCCGATAGATCACACAAAAGACATCCACATCTAGAGTATGCTTGTCCTTTGTTCGTCTGGAGATTTTGCGCTCAGCAGGAAATACGCCATTGAGAAACTGTGCTCCAGTGTTAGCCTAATCCCGCACAGAACAGAAGAGCAGCCATACGCGTCGCATCTGCTTATGAATATCGTCATTAACACTGCGGCGGGCGAATAGCTCGAAGTATTGACATAGGCGGCGCCAGTATTCGTCATACGATTGGAGTGCTTTCTTTCGTGACGTCTTAAACATCCAGTCGAAAAAATTCATGTAAATCGCTTGATCTTCCAGCAAAAGATAGTCCACGTAGTCCTGGTTCGATTGAATGCAATATCTATTTCCGCGTTAGTCCCCATATGCAAACCTTTTCATCATCAGGGGAAAACCCACTTCCGCCAGTACCGCTCAACCACGGCGATTCCTATCAGCGTTCTGGGCTTGAAGTTTGGAGGGAGCCATCCAAGACTGCGGAAATGATTCAGTCTGGCTCGAGTTTCCTCGCAAAGGATGGGATCGGTCCAGAACTGGTGCTCATCGACTTGAGCTGGAGGTACGGACACAGGCGCCATGAGGAGAATTCGGAGACAAAGGTCAAGGTTTGGATTCTGTGATAGGAGACTTGGGAGTCAAGTGTGTCGAGGTCGATCGAGGCAGCGGAGGTGGGATGAGAAGGTTGTGTAAAGACCCCCGAGGGAGACGGCAGACGAAGCATCTTATAGCCGCTCGAACAGGCTGGGCGAGAAGGAGGGGGGGTTGGGATGGGATGCAGAGGGGAGCCATTTTCAGCGTCGTTTTGGTCGTCAGTGGAAACGGGGGGAACAATCGTTGAAGTCAAGCGTCAACAAGACAGAGGTGGATGACTAACAGTCCTGGTTGGGTGCAGAATAGGGAGCGGTAGCAGGCAGCAGGCGGTCAAGCGGCGGCTCGCTGTGCAAATTTACGGGTGGAAAGGCGGCCGTTTCTGGCGCCAGAGGCTGTCATTTTCGGCGTCGTTTTCACAGGTCCCTATATTCTAGTTGTAATATTGAGACCTGTTACGGGATCGGGTTAGTATTGCCGTTCCTGGTGCCCCAATAGCCTCTTTTCCCCTCCATAAGCTTGGACACAGATCAAGGTTAGAGAAATCAAATTAGCGCAAGGGGAAAATGACGTGTCGACAGCGCCTACCACCCGCGACGGTTTCTCAAATATCACTGGGCATTGGCGAATGGACTAAGTCATATGATCATGTGCCTTGTGAACAACACCCACATGCCTTGTTCTCCTCCTTTCAAGCTCCTCTCTCTTCCCAGAACATTACCGACACCAGTGCAATAAGAATTGAGCATTCCTCTATTTGACTTAATTTCCTTCGCACTATTCCATTCCTCTTATGACACAAACATGCAAACCCGAATGTGTCCCGACGATGTGGCCTGGGAACAAGCGGAGGAAATATCTGACGATTGGCTGGCTCAATTTCCCGAACATAAGGTCTTGAGACCGATCGGACATTTCATGCTTGATCACAACGGAGGCCATGGGACCGAGTTTGCCATACTCAAAAAAGGGTCTTATAACATCTCGTTGCGATTGAAGGACGGAAATGAAGCCACCATTATCCGGTTGTCGCAGCCCGGCGCCGTCTTATTCCCTGAGGAGAAAGTCGTCAATGAGGTTGCTATAATGCGCTTTCTCATGGACAAGACATCAATACCCATTCCCTTTATTCACCTCTCGGGAACAAAGAACGAGAGCCCCCTCGAACTGAGTCCATTCATTATAATGGATTATATCGAACATGAAACGAAAATGTACGACGCTCTCAATATCCCTGGATGCCCGATAGACGAACGCGGGATGCTAGACCCTGCTATCGACGAAGACAGGCTTGAAATGCTATATGGGCAGCTGGCGGGTATCCTGCTTCAGCTTTCTATCCCCTCTTTACCTCGGATAGGATCTCTTAGCCAGATCGATGACTTCACCTGGGAAGTAACGCGCCGGCCTTTGTCTATGAACATAAATGAACTTGTCCGACTGGGAAGCTTGCCGCGGTCGAAGCTTCCAGATCTATATACTACATTCACTACAACTTCGTCGTATCTCGAAGCTCTCGCGGACCTCAATATTGAGCATCTCGTTCACCAACGAGACGATTCTGTAGAGTCCGCGGATGACTGTCGGCGAAAATTTGTGGCAAGGCGGCTTTTTCGTCAGCTTGCCAGGGACAAGCGCCTCACCAATCCATTACTTGAGGAAGGGCCCTTCAAACTATGGTGTGATGATCTGCGCCCGGCCAACGTACTTCTTCATGATAATCTCCAAATTGCCGGCGTGGTAGACTGGGAATTCACATATGCAGCACCCGCTGAATTTTCTTATGCGCCGCCTTGGTGGTTACTCATTGAGAAGCCTGAGTATTGGTCACAAGGCCTTGAGGACTGGACAAGAGTATTTAATTATCGCCTAAAGACATTCCTTAAGGTGATGAAGGATTATGAACAGAGTGCGATCCAACAGGGTCGGTTGAAGGAGGACCAACGGCTCTCCAATCGTATGTATCAGAGTTGGGAGAGTGGGGATTTCTGGATTGTTTATGCAGTATTGCATAATTTTGCCTTCGATGTAATCTACTGGAAGAAGATTGACCCACGCTTTTTCGGGCCTACTGAGAACCCCGAGGAAGCATGGAAAGAGAGACTCGACCTCCTGGACGATCAGGAAAAGGATGAGATGGAACAATTGGTGGCACGAAAGCTGAAAGAGATGGAAACAAGGACTCTTGCATGGGACCCAGATGAATATACGTTGGCTTTCTATCGGCAATTGAAGGAACGGAAGGAAAAGGCACATGAAGGAAAGTCGGAAACGACAGAAGCAGATAGAGTCAAAGAGGTCGACAACGGATCAGAAAGCTGTACCGGAAGACCTGGCTAAGTGGATGTTGTAAGGAATGAAACCAGAATATTTCTCACGCACTGCAATAATGTTCTATCATTACGTACAGTATTCCTACACCCATATTGACAGGTCCTTCCTAGACTGCTCTTGTAGTTCACCCAAGGCGGTGTTTTTAGCATGCGGGTTCACTTGCAAAGCAGCGATTGTGTAAGACGGGGCTATCGACAGTACAGCCGCATGTGTCTACAGTCGGTACCTTCAGTATCCTCTGATTTTACGTTTGGCAGAGTATATGTTAGGAATGTATACTGTAGACTTTATTGATATACGTGGAATAATAATCAGCACCTAACCTCGCTTTACCCTTATGAACAAGTACAAGTACATTCACACTACTATGTAATGGGAACGTTCTTGACTCGAGTTAGAAAAGCTACACTCGTCAATGCTATTAAGACCCTCCACAAAATCAGCCCTGAAAGCCGCTGGAAACGCAAACTTTATGGCCCGGGCCGCTCGGGCTTATTTTGGACCTTCGGCTTTAATTTCAGGTTCCCGACACGAGCTTCGCTGAATTGCGCGTGATTGGCCCTGAGCCCTGCGGAATACGATTCCCCCTTCAAACATCAACTTTTTCCTCTTTTAGGTTTAGGCAGGGTAAGCACCAGCGACAGGGCAGAAGATCCTGCGGCTAAGCCTACTCAGCTTGGTGGATCAGTAATCTCCAAATCTCGTATTACAGGGGGTTGTTCAAGACTAGCGCAGGAAACATATTCCATTGGCTTTTAGAGACTGGGGAGAATTCAGCCGGGAAATACTTTCACGTTCTTTATAACCCAAAGGGTTTTCTCTCGACGGTGAGGCTCTAGTCTCCAGTCGAGGTAGAGGTATTATAGGCATTTCCACCATGACATATGGAATGCGGCCCCGAATGGCGTGGTCGGCGCTTTTTGCCTTTGCCGTAGGTTCTCTGGCAGCTGCGATTCCACGCAATTCAGCGTCCACGCTTCCAGCGGGCGTAACGTATGACCCGGCGACGAAGTTGTTGTGTTCCCCGACCTCGTGGACAGATGTCGCGTCCTTCTTCCTGGGGAATTATCTGTCCCATGCGGCGACCGTGGTTGTCTATCCTGGCGAGCCAGTATGGATTGTTGTCTTCAACATGGTGCTAGCCATTTTGTTCCCCTCTATGGGGCTGGGCCGAGGAATCTTGGCTATCAGGAGCGCGGCAGCGCTGTACAAGGACCCTATTCATCAGGCGACAAGGTCTCGTGCGGTGTGCATGGTGGTTCGCGCTCCTAACTGGAGGCCCAGGGCGGGGCAGGTAGTGCGGTCTCTGGCATTTGTTTCGAAAGAGCGGGCTGGCGACTATATTCACCTTGATGGATACAATGGATATGGCGATATAAGTAAGAAGCACGATGCCGGGGAGATTTGTTTGGATGCACCGAGCTGACGTCTTTCAAGGACACGATAAGAAAAAACTGGATGAGCTTGTCAAAGAGATGTTAGCTTCCCTGTCCTTGAGTTTGATGCGTCGTACTAACCAATGCTTATCCAGGAAGGAATACCCTAAGCCCATAGAGTTCAGAGTCCAGTCTCCGCCATGGCTGCACCAAAGTGCTGATGAATCCCGCATGGAGATTGTGGGCAGAGGATACCAAGTGTTTGGAACCTACCAGCTTCCCCCTGGTTACGAGCTGGCTTATGTGCCACAAAACGCTGTCGTGACTCCGATTTCGAGAATCAACCATCCAGACCTTGCCGGCGATCCACCCAAGTACCTCTTGACCTCCAACTACAGCTTTGCGTCTGCGTTGGTAGCCATTATCCAAATTGTCTACGCGTCGGCGACCCTGTACCGATCACGAGGAGGCCAGGTGCAGCAATATGGCTACGCAGCCTTTGGGTTCACGGTCCTTCCCTACCTGATCATGTCATTTGTCAACTTGCTCGGAAACATGGTGACCCCTCGGTATTCAACAATCTACCTAGTTCATTCTGAAATCATGGATGAGGCCATGGACAGAGGCGGCTTTTTTGAGGGTGTCGTGGGTAGCGTCGAGCCGACCCCGTTGCCAGTCGAAGACATGTTTGTTTTCGGGGCTTCCTTTGACGAATCAAGTGGTACATTTTCATCAAAGACGGTGGGAAAGCTTTACATGCCCGGTGATATGGAGCCAATCGAAATTGAACACGAAGTCTCGTCCCCTGATCGCTGCGCATCCGTTGTTGCACAGCCACCCCCAACCACCAAGGATTTGAGCCTTCCATCAGATACATCCACTGAGGTGGTCGGAGGAAAGGACGTGCTACAGCAAACAAAGGAAGTGCAAATTGAGTCACAAGACGAGGAGAAGGTCCCTTTGATCCTCTGTCCGAACTGCCACCATTTCCAAGTCGCCGAAAGAAACAGGCCCATTACTCGACCCAGCTGGAACAAAGCCCATGGCACCAGGACGAGTATCGGCGTTCTCATGCTCCGCTTGTTCATCGGGGCGTTGCCCCTGATCGTAATTGGAACAATGTCCCACTTTAAAGCCGGATCCAGCACCACTGCCCAGCGAGGGTGGATTCTGTCGTGGCTTGTGGTTGGCATGTCCATCATTGGTAACCCTTATTTTGGCAATTATGTGATATCAAGCGTAGCGTTGCTCGATAAGGACCGGCGCAGTCTTTGGCATTCGGGCAAGAACCACTCGTTGACGACGCATTTGCTTAATGTCCTAATTACTGGTCTCCTCTCGGCTGCATTGGCTACGTCGGCCGTTGGTGGGTTCGTGGTTGTTGCCCAGATGCTTCGAAACTATGGTTCATGTTCTCTCCTGGGCTAAGGGCAGTGGAGATAGCCGCAGATAGGGACAAAATAGCCTGGAATAGCCGCCACCCCTTAATTTTTACCGTTTCGACACGCTACACCATCTTGCGTATGAGAAATTTAGCCCTGGCAAAAGATTTGTGGTCGCATGGCTGGACGCCACACGCGCCCCTGATTCCACTTGGCCTCGGGGTAAAGTCGGAGGTCCCGAATATACACAGTGTACGTCGTAGCACCGGAAGTGTTAAGATTCAATAGATAGGACAGCCATCTGCAGGTCTATTACTCGTCACAGCCTAGTTTAGGCAAGCAACACAGATCAATGCTTAACTAGCGCAGGGACCTTCGTTGTCGGGCCTGGTGATGAGCCCTGCCCTTACTTGGCGGGGCAATGTGACTAGAGCAGATCATTCGACAGTTTTGGTCTAGAGTACAATAGATTGGCAAATGTTATCATCTCGGAGGAGTGTTCCGCGTGTTCCGCGCAAGAGTATACCGGCTTTCTTTGAGCTTCGGGTACGCCCCATGGGCAAGCAGGGTTTTCGAGTTAAAAGGCTCTTATGCTTCATTAGTCTACGACCTCATGTACACGGCGTAGCTCACGAAACAAAGCTCCATCTCCACAGCCATGTGAATGGGCAGATCTCCGAAAACCCGAGGAACACCCTAGGGGCTAGCCCCGGTAGAATGGAGACCAGAGTATTGGGTAGGGCTAGGCCGTCGATCTCCATATCATCGTTTTTGATGATCTCCGTGTCTTCCATGCGGGTCAGTTAACACTACCAGGCACCAGGAACATCGACGTCGGCCAGTGAATTCCATTGAAGGCTCAATTATCGAACGTCCCCCTAACCGTAACTGCGTCAATAGCTCTTCTGTGGATGAGATGGAAAGTGACGGCAGCTGTCAGGTGGAGATCGCCCCGCTTATCTCGGCTGCGTTCAAAAACTCCCAGAGATAAGCAGACGCGGTCAGATTGGCCAGGCTGCAGCCTCGCAGTTTTGCTTCTGATGGTTCTCCCCACGCGATTAATCCATTTTTGGGTCATCGCCGCCTTCCGACTGGCGCCCATCTGGCCCCAGACTGACGTCCTTGGAACTGCCACCTGCGCGGGCCGTTCTTCGGACTATCGACTGGCTCTGAGCCTCCCCTTACGGAAGCAAAAGATAAGCATGGCGCCCACCAGTCAGGACTCTCACCCATGGCGCCCATTAAGCATTTCGTGGACTGGGCCCTGCAGCGATAAACCCTGAGAAACTCTATAGTTTCTCGTGACATCGTAGCTTATAGCCGGTGTCCTCCTCGGCCAGAAATGCCCCCCCCTCCTCCTGCGGAACAATGCCATTGTCATGGCCCAACCAGAGATCACCTCCCTGTGGTGGCCGGAAGAGCGCATCAAGGCCACTTTGGACACCAAGTTCATCGTTGATCGGATCCGGCCGGAAAATGTGTCCCGGCTGTTCGATCTCCCCAAATGGGGCGAGGGGTTGACGAGCGAAACCTACATGGAATGGATTCTCCTCAAGGCGGGCCGGCTCTTCCTCATCCTCGATTCCCTGGGAATCCCCGATCGAATCTTCGCCCTCGTCGACGAGTCGTGTGACGATGACGACTTGCCTATCGCAGAGCAGAATGTCGACCGCCTACCATTGTCCCCTGATGGAAACGACCCCGCACTGGACTCCAAGTTCTTCCACGCACAATGGCGCTTCTGCGTACGTGGCATTGGGGAAGGCGAACATGTCATCTACTCGAGCAACGAGGGCGTCCCGGTCGAGGTGTATCGCACCTTGACCCACAACGACCTGCAGGGTCGTGATGATACCGCAGACAAGGTCATTCTTGCTGGGCCGACCTGCCGCGTGTTCCTGCGCACGCAGGTCCAGGTTGGGGGTGCACCGCATTTCTTTTCGGCCGACGAGGTGCTTGCGGAGATTCGAGCCCTGCGCAAGCTGGCGCATCCGCATCTGATCTCGCTCTATGCATCATACTTCACCGACAATACCGTCTGTGCGCTCTTCACTGGCGCCGAGACAGCGCGCACTCTACATACCTTTGTGACGGACGAGCCTCTATCCTTCAAACGTCTCCCGAAGGAAGAGCGCCGCCAGACCCTGATTAGGTGGCCACACTGTCTAAGCTCTGCGCTAGCTTGGCTACATGCGCAAGGCTGTCCACACGGCGCAATCCGGCCATCTAACATTCTGATAGACGTCAACCACCAAGTCTGTCTCGGTCAATTCCAAGCTCTCGACTCGCTCTTAGCTCCACCCCGAGTGAACGACCTTGAGGCATACCAATACTCAGCTCCAGAACGCTGGGTTCGTGCAACACCCGTAGTCCAACCCACCACCACCGCTCCAGCACGTACCATGCTTCCATCCGGCGGCCGTACCGCACACCGCAGAAAACCAGCCAAACTGGCTCTCGCAACCCTAGACGGAAGCCCTCCTTCTTCACCGGACAACTTCGCCCCTCCACGCCCCGACTCCGCCGCCTCGAAGGGCACAGTCATCCGCATCGGTCTCCCAGGCTCCCCGACCCGCTTCTCCTGGGCCTTCTCCTCCTCCTCATCCTCCTCCGCTGCCTCCATTTCGGGCCCCGGCGAGAGGACCTCCCAAGCGCCAAAATCTCGCAGCATCTGGTCCAAGATGCCGCGCGGCCTCATCCCAGCTCCGTCAATCACCTCCGCCTCGACGTCCTCCTCTTCGTCCTCCTGCTACTCCTCGTCAATAACGTCACCCACCTTCCCACCCCCACCTTCCCCTTCAACCTCGACCCCGACCCCGACCTCGACCTCGACCTCGACCTCAGCCCCGACCCACACAACCTACCAACCAGCCTCCAGCCCCGCCCCCTCAGACCTCTTCTCCCTCGCAGCCGTCATCCTCGACATCCTCACCCACCTCTGCAAACGCTCGCACTCCTCCTTCACCTCCCACCGCTCCGCCCGCAACCGCTCTGCCGGCCGCGGCGGCGGCATGGCCGACGCCTCCTTCCACCTCGCCCGGAACGCCGTGCAGGTGCAATCCTGGATCGCGCTGCTGGAAGGCGACGCGCTGAAACGCTGCCGGCGCGACCGCGACAGCGACCGCGCGTTCTATGCCGTCCCGCGGATGCTCATGGTGCTGCGGGCGATGCTCAGCTCAGGAGCCGGAGAAACGGCCCAGCGCGCGGCGGGTGCAGAAGTCGTTCGCTGCCGCGCTGGGGAAGGTCCCGGCCCCTCGGGCAGGGGACGGGGCTGCGGGGATTCCGTTGCATTGTGCTTTGCCGCAGAAGGAGAAGGAGGCGGTGAAGGAGAGGAGGGAGCAGAGGGAGCAGAGGGCTTTGAAGAGTAGAGGTAGGAGGAATGAAACGTTGGACACGGAGCGGGGAGCGACAGCGACGCCGGAGGGTCACGTTGGTGGTTCTTCGGAGTCGATGTCGGAGTTCGAGTTTGGGTTCTCAGATGGGCGCAGTGATAGCGGGACGAATTTTGATGATCAGATCGGGGACAGCTCCGGACTTGAGGAGGAGGATGTCGATCTTGATGGGATTGTGGAGATCGATCGCCTGTCGCCGCAATTGTCGCTTCCTGATCTTGATGTTCACATTAGTGGGATTGAGGCCCTCGCGGTCCATGATAAGTAGAGGTGTCTACTTGGCCCTTCCTTTTTATGTCTCCTTTGTTGTGGTGGGAAACTAGTGTACGAGTATACGTTTTTGGTGGGAACATGGGACGGGTGATTTATGTCGATCATCCATGGATTCATTTTCTGTAGAACTAATAATCATGTCGTTTACGGTATACACCCGTGTATGTGTGTGATCCAAACTCGCAGAGTCCAAAGGCATGCCAGCTGCTCACCCTAGAGCAGATAAGAAACCCAGTTAAGAAGAGAGATCAAAACAAAGGAAAAAAAAAAAGGAATCTATCTAAGAGAAAACTAGTATTACAATGTCCTCGAGATAGGACCGATGTCGATCTATCGGATCCAGAGACACTCAAAGCCACAAAGCAATAACTCCAAATATGCTGGACAGAGCCAGAGAAGCGGCCAGCAAACGCTCAGTGGCAGGGTTGGTGACACCGATCATGGGACTGGCGCCGTTCTCGGTGGTCGTAGCGCTGGAGCGGGTGGCAGTCTGGCTGCCACTGGAACCTGAGCTTCCAGAGCTTCCAGTCTCGGTGGCAGTTTGACCGTTGTATGCCTCTCCAATGGTCGGCAGCGGTGCCTTGGGGTCAACAGCCCAGCCACCAGAGGTAGAGGCAGGGCACTCGACTGCCTTGATACTGGCAGTGGACTTGCGGTACTCCGACAGAGCGATACCGGTCGGGCTCGCCTTCGCCCACTGGGACTTAAGGTTGTTGAAATCCGGCTGCACGGGAGATGGGGTACCTTGGCGAGTATAACCCTCCTCCACAATCGTGTTGGTTGCAGGGCCAGCAACAGACGGGCCGTAGCTGATCAGACCATAGTCATTGGTCTCTTCAATCCACTCGTAGATGATAGAGCCTGACCAGGTGTCTTCCATCTCGGTGCCAAAGATAGCAGCTTGGTCGTCAAAGCTGCGAGGCGTAGGCTGATTGCAGCCAGTCTCCGAGAAGAAGATGGGGATGTTGTAGCCGGTGGCATTCTTCTGCAGCTGGTCGTATCCGGAAGTTGTGTAGCTGGAATCACCACACCATTCATAGGCGTTCAGCGAATAGAAGTCCAGACGGTCTGCAGCCTTGTCGGAGCAAGCCAGGTAGTTCTGGAGCATGGGTCGCAAAGCAGGAATGTCAGCCGCCGAGTAACCGACGGGGATCTCACGGTAGCCCTTCTGGTCACGGTAGGCCTTGATGTCGCGGGCAGCAGCCAAGACGAAGGGAGCGGCATGGGATCCTTCTGCGGTAGTCAGAACCTCGTTACCGACGAAGACACCGGCAGTGTTGTCAAACTGCTGGAACTCATCGAGAACCTCCTTGAAACGGTCGAACTGAGTCTGATTCCAGTGGGGGTTGGTCTGTGGCAAGTCAGATTTTCGCCGCGTGTCTCAGATAAGAGGCTGAAAATAGCTTACCTGTTCGATCTGGGTGGTGAAGGTGTCCAGATCGACGAATAGATAAATGCCCGCATCAGCGAAGGCGGACATGCAAGCCTTGTGGTTCGCCGTGGGGTCGACGTGGTATACGCGGATGGCGTTGGCGCCCAGCTCGGACATACGAACGATATCACGCTTGCATTGGGCCTCGTCAATCAACGGGTCGTCGGGAGTGAGCTGATAGGCAATGCCTGGGAGCTGTCAGCAGGGGAGAAACACCGTACCGAAGTACTCAGGCGTACCCTTGATGTAGTACTGGGTTCCGTTCTCAAAAAAGAACTTCGATCCGACAGCCTCAATGTGAGGCACAGCGCTCACGGCAGCCGCCTGCAAGCCAGCCAGCAGCAGAGGAGCTAGAACTGCCGAGGAAAACATAACGGAACAGAAAAAGATAGGGCGTATTTTTGGAATTCGTAACACGCAAAGGACCAATAACCAAATCTCCGTCTCGAAGGAAACCAAACCGGTGGAACGATACAAAAGAAGACTAAACGAATGTCTTGCAAAGGGAAAAAAAAAAGAATCAAGACAACGAAAGAGTCCTGTTCAGCAGGTGCGACTGCCAGGGAGATTAAAAAAGTTGAGAGACATGGGGCAGCAGCGTTTGTAGGCTTGGCAACTCCTTGAGAATGTCGCTCATTGGAGCAGCAGAGCTGGCGGACTCCGTGTTCGCTGGTTTCTAGATTGCAGTGCCAGCTTAGCGTGAGACTGTGGGGCCCTAGTAGCCAAGTTTTGGGGGGCTTTCGCTACATGACACCGGTCGCGAGTGGTGACTGGCTTGAAGTTAAGAGGGTTTGGAGGAAACGATCTGGAGTTGTCAACTATGAAAGAAAATCCCGAGTTTAATATCTCCAGATCTGGTATTATCACGGTGGGTGCATTCAAAATCCAGCGCCCAATGATTCGGTGCTACAAAATCTCCACGCGGAGCCAACCGTTGGATCCAGCCCTAACCCCAACTCCCACGCGTGTTTATCATTTGCCTCTTCCAGAACCCCCCCCCCCGGGAAGCTTTCTTGCAGGAGGGGAATACATGCTTGTACATGATTAGCGCCATCTTGGAAGCATATCGCTAGCTTGGCCCCGGTTGGACCTCAACTTTTCGCCCCAACGGCACAGAAATCAAGGATTCTAGCGATAGCCCGTCCACGAGCAGACGATCGCGCGACCGATGGGGACTTGGACCCTAATGAGCCCGGAGTCTGCCGATAAACGGGACTTACTATTTTCACCGGGCAGACCACGCCGTTGTGACGCTAGTCTACGATACCTTCACTATGTGGTATAAAACTTCTCGTAAATCTACGAGGGCACGCCTACTCCGTAGACTGATGACGATCCAGCAGGATACCGATCGGGAGGCCTGGCGATGCATCGGGTGTCCGATCAGGGTCACCATCTGCTTTTGGCCGTGACTTTTTTTTTCTTTCGGCTTCGAGGACCCCTTTTTTTCCGTCTCCACTCCCTCCAGTCGGCAATGATACGCTCGTTCAAGCCACAGACTTCCCCGATCAGCGGTCAGATAGCGTTACCGAGTTATCGCCCGTGGTCGAGCTACTAACCTTGGGCCGCCATGCCGATTAGAAGCCTGCAACAGCGCCCGTATCAGAAGAATCCTCGTGTCGGAGTGGGAATCAAATAAGATAGGCTGGCGCCCTTTCCGCAGTTCGGACATCACCGCGGAAGACTACAAGAGTACAAGGGATAGAGAGTGCACATAAGGGCTTCAAGCGACAGGAGCAGGACGGAGGTACGGAGTACAGGATAGACTTCACGATAACAAAAAGGGGTGCTCCAGTGCGACTCTATCTATAGTCAAAGCCTCCAGACCCTGAAAAAGAGGCAGTCCAGACCCTGCTACCCTCCCATCCACGCTCCACTCTCTCCACTTGTCTCCCTCATTCCGACGTCATCTGCCAATCATAGTAGCTGCTGCAACTGTGTTCGTCAGCAGTGGGGCGAGTCCATTGCGATCGACTGTGTGTCTGCTCTAGAGTCTTACCCGGATGGGGGAGGCAAAAAGGTCCTAGCGATCTGCGGCCATCCTGCTCGTTCTCATGACGTTTCCCCTCAAAAGGGGGTTCAATAATAAAAGCCCGCATCCGGCTTGAATATCTCCCCACTTTAACCTTTTTTTTTTTCGACCGGTATTTCCTATATTTCAGGTCTCCCTTTTCTTGCATGATCGCGTCTAGACCTGCGGCATGGTCTAATTTGGGGGTTCCAATTTATTGAAGTTATATCTACTCTCCACCATGTCGACCTCCAAAACCCCATGTCCCTTCCGCATCTCGCCTCGCGATCAAATGGCGATAGAGTACAACGAAGCCTTCCGGGCCATGCGTGAGCAGCTGCGCCGCCAGGACTGTGGTATGGAAGGCCCCAGCTTCTGCCAGCACCACCAAGCGACTTGTTCCCCCGCCGACCAAGAGGCCTTCCGTCTGCACCGCGATATCATCCACACCCTCCTCGTTCCTCTTTTCCTGATCAACCACAACGCGGAACGCATTGCAGCCCGTGTTTTGCCGAACAAGAAAGTCGCAGAGCCAGAGCGTGCTTTTCGCGGCGAAGCTCGCAGCGCCTTCGCATGGCTTCACTGCATCTTGGTGGAAGAACACGATTGGTACCTCACCGCGCGGTGCCCGACCTGTATTGTTCTACACGTTCTCCACTCCGAGCCCACCATCCGCTTCGTAACGGTGGCCGCACAACTCGCAGGGCCCCTGTCCGGCTTCGCTCCATGGCTTGCAGCACTTGAGACGGCCGTCCTGGAGGATCCTTTCTGGGGCGACGGCTTCTGGCCTGAGATCGAAGAACGTGCTTCGCGTTTGACCGAGGGTGTGAAGCAGCTCGTCCACCAGTGCCACGAGCTCCGTACCTCTCTCGACAGTCCCACCTGTGCGATGCCTTCACGAGCGAAGGCAGCCACCCCTGTCTACGAACGTTCAACCCCTTGCAATATTGCCATCAAGCCCTCTAGCTTTGCGCGCAAGCAGGTGAGGCTGAGCCGGGAAGAACAACGGTACCGTTCTTCCTTGGTCTGGAACGCGTGGAACTGCTCGCGAGAAATGCGTGAGCCTTTGGGCGGAAGCGCTCCCACTCAAGCTCGTCGGCGCTCAATGACCTCTTGAAGCTTCTACAGAAACCCAGATCTATCCCGTAGACTGGGCCTCGTATCATCTCTTACACAATGGGCTTCGGTCCACAATCCATCTTCCGTGCGCACGACGGAAACCCTCGTGATGTCTACCAGGTATCTCATCTATACAGGACACTCTACGACACTGCTCCGAAGCTGCCGAGTGATCCAGAGAACCGACCACGAAATGTAAGGGTTCCGTCACCGATCCTCTTGATTCATTCCGGGTTCTTCTCCCGCACCCAGGGAAAACCCCGCCTGGTTATTTGGTTAGACTTCACAAAAAAGAGTCAATTCCACGTCATATAGTGACGGCACATGAACCCGGAATCATGGGAAGGGTCTACATGTCTTCCGAGCCAGTTGGGCCTGCATGAAAAGCATGGTCGCACGGCATTAAAAGGGCGAGGACGTGGGTCCAACGCAATCCAGCGCGGGCTGGGTAACTCTGTCTTAGTGGTCCATAGCTGAATGGTCATAATATTAATTATAATCCTCATACATCATATCCCGAGCCTTGGCTCTCCTTGAATCTAGTAGGGAACAAGATCCGACCGTTGAAACGGTCGAAGTCGAGTTGACGCGGTTAAGCGGAGTGGCAAGATCACACTTTACCTGCGACCAAAGTGGACCCCCCGGGGGAGATACCTGGAGATAAAATGGACTGCGAACCAGATCTGGATAATACGAGTTTGTCGAATCATGGTCCCGTCGCCCGTACCCGTGCAATGATCTGAGGGTCCGTACGTCTGGGTTGGCCCATAGAAGCCCAGAGCTGAATTCTCTAAGTAGCTTTACTGGGGCTGGAGGGCGACCCCCTCAGTGGCAACAGCCCGGAAACAGCGTCTAGAACGCCAAGCACGACCCGTACCGGGTCCTTGGCTCGAAGGTGCACGTCATGGGCGAGCTACGCAGTAAGTCCCCAGTACTCCGTACTCCCTGTGCGCTTGACAGGCCTTGGGCTGGCACGGCCAAAAGTACTTACCCCGGTGATCAGCCTGGGGCTACTAGGGGATCGGACGCTCGTCTCTGGTGGGATCGCCTACACGACAGGAATTTTCCAGATGGAATGCGGGCGATCAGGCACTCTAGTAGATCCGGTACAAGTAATGAAAGGACCCTGAAAGGCAGCATGCAGAATCGACCAGTATGAAAATAATCAAATACGATATGAAAACTCATCAACCCGATGCACCGCCCGGAATGATCGCCCCATCGCAGTGGAGCCCGTGATGCACAGTCCGCCAATAAATTCTCGTTCTGGCACGGAAAAGTGGCCGATGAAGTCTAGACTCGCTGCACATTTTTAGTGACCAGTGGTGACCCTCCAGAGTCTCTAGGGCCCCCTCCCCTTTGGTGTTTAATCTCTAGCGCTTCGTTTCCCCTCTCTTTGGCGTACATGATACCAGATTCCGACTCCAAAAAGAAATTATAGTGCCAATAGTATTTAGAAGGGAAAAGGGGAGGGCGGAGAAGGGGGGGGGGCAAAGAAAAGGAAATTATCCTCGCGTAAGGAACCGATGACTCGACGACTCGATGGAGGTCTAGAACGCCAGTCTGGGCCACAGTCTGGCCTGACTTTGCCTGAGCCCCCTCGTACTGGGTACCTCTGCCTCGCGCCAAACCTCCATATTCTAGCCCTGTATCCGGTACTCCCTTCGCCGTGTATCCGCCAATTTCCAAGCTCCCCTTACCGCTGGCCTCTCTTTTCTTCTCTTCTTTCCCACCCCTCTTTCTTCCTTCCTGGTTTGGCTACAGTCCTTTTCTGATCTGGCTGCAATGGACGATACTGGCCTGACTCCCTCCACGACCTAACAATGCAATCAACCATATCCACCATTAAAGTCGATCCTGAACGGCGTCTATCGCAATACTCCCTGCCGGACTCCTCTGCCCAGAACCTGTCCCAACCACACGCACAACATCCAGCCAAGCTCCGTCGTCGAGCCTCTCAAGGATCTCTGCGGACCAAACCCTCGCCCGTTTCTCGTTTCTTGTCCAAGGGCAGTGTGGCCGTCCACTTCCCGTCGTGGGAGCATCGCAGCTCCTCCCCCGGCACGCCCTTCCGGGTAGAGTCTCGAAATCGGTCCGCAGACTCTCGTCTGCGTTTGTCCACCACCGTGTCTCGCGGGCCGAGACCGTTGACGGCTTCCTCCACTTCTTCCAGTTCTTCCAACTCCTCCTGGACATCGGCTGCATTCCAGGAATACCCCACCACTCTTCCTCCCACGCCTCCGGATGACGATAGTCCTGTTGCGTGGAACCCGCGATCAGAGATGCTTGTATTTGACACCCACAAGCATCCAGGCCCGCCTATGATGCACGACGGCCCCGGAATGGATACCCCGGCGGCGACCGGCCCTTCAGATACTCTCAGCAGTCCATCCGATGGCCTGTCTCATGGATCCTCGAGTTCTGGAGGGAGCCCAGGTCCACACGATGAAATGGATTGCCAGCAAGATGGGGGATCGTACTTGGATCATGGAATCAACGTCACTGGTGGGTGAACCGGGTGATTCCAACTCCTCTGAGACAAGAGTCGCTAACAGACAATGTAGTCTCATCGTTACGGTATTCCAACCCGCGGGGCGAGGCAGTGAAGATCGTTTCCCAAACTCTACCATATCCACGAACATCGGACCAGTCGATATCGTTGCCACGGAATGATAGTGTTTTCCGCTCAATAGTCCAGGCTGTACACAACCATCTTCAGCCTGGTCAATCTCCCTATATCAACGTTACCCACGCCGTCCCCGAACAGTTTAGTCTGTCAAACCTACCTCACTCCCCACCAAGCACACCGCGTTCTCCAACATCCGCAGATGAGTACTTCAACGCCACCATTTTCTCGAGCGCCGCGGTTGTAGGAGCGTATCATGATTTCCGCGGTCCACTCCAACGCCAGGTCGCCCACACCCCGATGCCTATCGTCCCTCCCCACAGCGTTCACATTTCGGTCCTTGAGCGGTATCTCCCTCCTGCCTCTGCTCAGGAATATCGAGATGTCTTCTGTCCCACACGCCCATCTTTCCTCGTCGATCGCATGTGTGAATTGTCGCCAAGCGGTGGCACTCTGCTTTTCATATACCCAACCAAGAAAGGTGCTTCGACATTCAAGTCTCAGTACTTGGGCCCTATCTTAGATCCACTGCTGCGACAATTAGTTGTGGTCAATGGGCTATCGGCCGATGTGGGTCGGTACCTGGGCAAATTGACTACTGTGTCCCAGATGGATGACTTCGCCACCATGAAGGCGAACATTGTCACCCTTTGCGAGGCTCTGAGCTCGCCCTCATCACGGTTCCATGTTGCTGATTCCGGTCGATCCAACGCCCAGCTCGATCGGAGCCTCTGGGCCGAGTGGTTCATTCACCAGGAAAAGGCCCGGATGAAGGAAGCCCTCAGAGAGTACTGGCAGAACAACCGACGGCCACCGGTGAAGAACTCGGGTGGCTTGATGTCGGACAACAAGGAAGTGACCTCGGCCATGCTCCTCAGCGAGATCTTCGATGGCATCCGCAAACGCCGCTATGGCGAAGACAGCGAACCCCTCGAAGGCGTCGAGCTGGGCGTGTTCATCATCCAGCGAACAAACTGAAGCCCGCCTTGAGCCTTCAAAGGCCTGCTGATGTTGCACCAGCATTGCCCCCCTTCCCCCCTAAAAACATCCTCTTCCTTTCGCCCCACCCTCTTTTGACCATATCGTGATTTTAAAAATAGTACCCCCTCTACAGTCCCTACCTCGACTGTAATGACATCCCATCAGACTCAGCCTGGTGTCCCCGGAGTTGGATCCCGCTTTGTTGAATTATTTCGGTCTTGATTGAGCGCGTCCTGCATTGTTGCTTTGGCCGGATGAAAATGACGTGAATACCCATGATGTTGATTCTCATGTTTTGGCGAAGGATCTCATGATCTGTTCCTCTTTAATAATTTTTTTTTTCTTATTCTCTCACCCGGTTACGGATGATATACACGACTCTCGTCGCAGGTTCGAATGTATAAACTTGATACTAGAATGATCCCCCTTTTTTTCCCGTGAGTAAATCGTATTAGTGCGCCCTATCAGGCACTATCAGGCATGCTAGCCTCACCGACTCCTTCAAGGCTCGGCCTGTTCATTGGTCATCTGTGGCAGATTGCATGGGTTAGACTAGACTACGCTATTGGTTCACAATTCCTAGACCAGCTAGAGATTTCCTTAAGAAGCCCTGGGACTGTCCAATCTTAGACCGACTCTCTTCCAGCTGCTTGCTGCTGTGGAGTTTCTGCCGGCTTCACCCACCCAAGTAGTACCAGTGAATTCTGCTTTAATGCGCAATGAAAACATTTCCCAAGGGACCCACTGCTTTTCCTCTCCGCCCACCTTCTCCCAATCTGCTCCTGCTCTCACTCGAGCACTGCTTTTACGTATTCACTGTACCTCGGAGCGGTCGAACTTTGGTCCGCTCACGCTAACCCGCTTCGAGCGCCAAATACTACAACCGTCCGCTTTTCTGACGACACGCTCAGGTGTTTCTCTGCTTCACTAACGCGGCGAATTCACCCTGTTGTTCCTGTCGTCTATTTAAATAGAAGCTGCGAGGCCTTTCTAATCTCTCCGAATTTTCTCCATCTCACCCCAACTTCCGCATCTCACACTTCTTTCCTTCTCCCCGTTTTGCGACTACTCGACTCCATGGCCACTCCAGGGCCCCCATCGCCCGGCACCGGGGCCACCCACCAGGCCGGTTCGCATGCTCGCGGTCGTTCCAATAGCCCTCTGGGAGGCTTCGGTCTTTCGAAGCGCGACAAGCGACGTTCCGCTCTGCAAGAACGGTTGCAAGATTTGACAACGGTGTTTAGTCAAAACCGCGATGCTCAATTCCGTCAACAGCTTCATGGGCTGCAATGCGACATGACCCTCATTAACAACGCGAATCCCTACCTTCCTGGCCCAATGCCAGACTCTTGGGAAGAGATCTCAGGGCTCATTGAGGACACTGTTGGCGGCGGCAACTTTGCCCGCGAGATGGCAAGTCTGTCGGGGAGCTGGTATGCCAAGTTTGTGCAGGAGGTGAACAACATCAAGGAAGCCAAGGACTCGGACCTCGCGGCAGCAATGGTATGTTCTTTTTTATATTTTCCCTCTTGCCTTTGATTACCCTCGGTTTGTTTTTGTTTTTTTCTGGGGACTCACGAGTCGTTGCAAAAGGTCCGCCACCGCGACAGCCTTGGACGCTACCGTCGAGACCGCGATTTTCGGGCACGCTTTGCGCATGAAGAATTCAGCCACCTCGCCAACACCCTCCGCGAGCGCCTTATGCAGAGCATCTCTTCCAAGCGCTCTCGTCTCACCCGTGAGAAAGATCATCTCGACATAGCAGACACCAATGCTCTGCTTCTCCACCCCAACCAGTTCAGCATCACCAACCCCGCGAGCCCAGGCGGTGTCCACAGCAATCGCAAGACTCGTCACACTCGACACCGCGTGGACCTAGATGACCTGGGCAATGGCATCGCCTCGGAGACGAACAAGCGTAAGCGCAAGGCCCCGGAGGAAGACACTGGATCTCCCGCGCGGGACACGGGCGGCACAACCCCGGCCGAGCGATCCAAGGTTGTTTTCGCCCAGCAGTCTGCACCCTCATACTCGCTGCACTCCCTCTTCACAGACAAGGAGCTCAGCACCCACGCCAACCACGCGCACGTCGCAACCGTCCATTTCTTCTCCACCTCCAAGCGTTCCGAGGTCCCGGGCACAACAACCAACGGCAACAATACCGAGGCCGAGGACACCCCCGAGGCGACGGAAGACAATTCGACCCCGATGGCACCGGACATGGCGCGCACAGCAAGCCACAACTTTCACTCAACGCGTTCGACCCGCGGGACCGCCGCGAACGCCCTCTCCACCCTCGCCGAGCTGGCTGACAAGCCCGCAACCCGGCCCCCGCTCCCTTACCATATTCTGGCGAACTACACGGCCCGTCCCAACGGCAATGCTCCGCAGCTGGCCTCGCTGCTTAATGACGAAGTCGACGACGATGTGGCTCGTATTGAGCGCCTCCGGGCGAAACAGCCCGGCTGGATCGACTCGTCGCTGCTGGAGCTTGTCGTTGGGGAGCGCGACGACGTGGAGTCTCGCCCAACATCCATGCACCCGGATTTCCCCTCGGCATCGGGCCTGCAGCTGATACCCGCCCAGGGGAACCTAGGTGCAGAGATGTTCCCATCGATGGCTATGGAACGGGAGCGGAGCAGCAAGCGAACTCGTCAGCATTAGGGCCTGGCGTTCGCTCGGGTTTGCGTCGGCGCTGGGTCGTTGACAGGCGTTCGTGTGTGTATTGCGAGTTTGGCGTCGGGATCACGACTTGTTCTTGTTTGCTTTTTTTGGTTATATTTTTTGTTTTCCATGGACCACTGTAGGACGGACTCAGTGGAACTGAGGGATAGTATCCTTATATTACATATTATGAATGAAGTGAAGATCTTGTCTGCGATGAGAGTTGGTGATCTGATAGTTAGATCACTGCAAGGCACGTAGTTTTAGAAACTTCATCCGTAGCTTAGGGAGCCTTCGTAGCTGTTAGTAGAGCAAGTCACCTTCCTACCAGGACGTCGGCCCCAGTGTCATGCGGGTGTCTGATGTCGAGGTAACGCTACAGCAAACGACGCCATGAAGGTTGAGCATTTGTAAGAAGAGAAAATACAGAACCAGGAGATTCTTTTCTGCTAGTATCTGGCGGAAAAGTCACGAAAGTCGATCCTGGTGAAATTTGCTGGAGATTGGTGGAACTGGTATGGTCAAGCTACACCCAATCAAAGCTATGAAGGTCGAGTGGTTGTAAGAAGAGAAAATGCTGAGCCAGCAAAAATTTTTTGCTAGTATCTGGCGGAAAAGTCACGAAAGTCGATCCTGGTGGATTTTGCTAGATCTTGGTGTCACTTTCTAGAACTGGGTGTAAAGGCTGTTAGCTGACTCCTCGCGCATAATATTATCAGCGCTGATCCAATCACTCCATTCAAGAAATGGTAGCCTTTGTACAATCAGTCCAACGAAAATCTGTAAGCGATCACTGCTGCTAGTCTTTGGCCTTCGTTCGACTGACTGCTGTTATCCAAGTCAAGTTGAGTAAACGGTGAGCGACACATGGTTTTCAATGGTTCTTCCAGTCCTCCACCTTTTAATGATAGCACTCATTAAATTCTGGCTTGTCTCCGTGGGTTGCTCTGGGTATTTTCTATAGTATTAGCCTTCGAATAAGTGGAGTATTATTGGGGGCTGGTGTATCAGCAGGACCCTCTTGTTCTAAATTACGCAGGATAGGGCAGCTTGAGTGAATTGCCGAAGTCTACTATTAGTCGCAATAGTATGTTTTTGGCGTGGGTTATTATAGTATATAGCTTGTATAGTGCCAGTGGATGTCATGAGGGTTGTTTAACGCGGTATATATCTGTACTAGCGGGTTCTATTGACGGAGGAACGTCGGCTATCTTAAAAGACATATCCATGCATGACAGTAGTAGGGAGGTCACAGTAGTACGACCGTCATTAAGTAGTAGTATGAACTAGGCACTGCCAACATGATTGAATCTTCGAGTTTGACCTCGGTGCCTTCCCCAGTGCCATAATGGCTGTTGGAACGTTAAACATTCATGCGGAAGTTTATGCGTCACTCTCTTAGAGACTGATATTGGCCGGGCCACTTTTCGACATCATAAAGAATCATGCCCTCATCTATCAAGATGGCGCTAAACATTCACAGGAAGGGGGCAAGGCGCAAGAGCGGGGTCACTGGGCCTCCTAGCAGAATAGCATTTGACAAGTCGATTCGAACATAGTACGCTCAAGGGATTTGCTAGTCAAAGCCCTCAAAACTGTCACTGTTGTCTCCAGCATCATCCAGAGTCTTATCTTTATCCGCAACCTTGGCTAATCGCCGCTGTTCGTTTTTGGCTCGTATCTCTTCCACCATCCGCTCTGTTTCAAGAACTTTTTGTTTCTCTTCGTCTGGCAACTTTTCCCACCTCTCCTTATCTTTTCGGGCCTTCTTGAATTCCTTCTTCTTCAGCTTCTTGTCCCTTGACTCTTGGTTATGACTCCAAGCCACACTCTCCCCGGCCCGTCGTTTCTTAGAATCTTGCTGCGCACTGACATTTCCGCGAGCAAGTTCTTCCATCTCCACCCTCCGTTTTTCTCCCTTTGTTTATCTTTGTAGGAGAAATTGTCCCAATCATTGATGACTCCAAGTGTACGGTCGCCGGTGAAATTTCGCAATTCGGGCATCTTAGGTAGCCTAAGAAGACCCCATGCTTTACCCAGAGCCTCCCAATCAAGATCCGCCACACGGAATATGCTGCTCGCTTGATGCTTGCTGTAGCTACGCAGCCAGCTAACAAATGCCTTTTGAGCCTTGTCATGAATAGCCCGGTCTTGAAGGATCACCGCACGAATTGCCTGCGTAGCAACAGCGGCATCCACATCGGAGCCTGCTTCAGGAAGGCTGAATGGGGTTACTGGGGTCTTGCGGACCTCCAAAAATGACACATAGTCCTCTTCCCGCCCAGGGTGAAGTAGAACGATACTCAAGCCCCTGCGCCCAGCGCGACCAGCTCGCCCACAGCGGTGAATGAAGGTTTTAGGGTCTGAAGGTGGATCAATCTGAACCACAAGATCAACTGATGGAATATCCAAGCCGCGAGAAGCAACATCGGTAGTAAGGAGAATCGATGGAGTGGTAGAGGTAGTGAAACGGGTAAAGTTCTTCTGGCGCACGTTGGCAGGGTGCTTTCCGTGTAGTGGGACAAGAAGGAACTCATCCCCTAAGATAATGGGTAATATCATGGCCAAGTAATCGACACTGGAGCATGTAGAGACGAAAAAGATGGTCTTCTGAGGCGTTGGCTGGACGGTTGAAAGGATTCGCTTGAGAATGGAGAATTTTTGTGACGGGGGCGTTGTGAGATAGGTCATCTGCAGACTAAGGGTCATAAGAGTCAGTATCGAGCAGTTCCTCATCTGCACAGAGGACCCAGAGAGACGCACCTTGCTGGAGTCCGCTTATCTTCAGCGCCACCGCCTCCTTTGACTTTCACAGCGACTTTGACCGGATTACGAAGCCCAACACGGACAATCTGATCAACCGCTTCACTGATACTAGCGCTGAACAGGCCGGTTCTTCGTTGCTTGGGAAGGTGACGTAAGATCCTCTGAAGATCCTCTTTGAACCCAAGGTCCAACAATCTATCTGCTTCATCTAGCACAAGCATCTCGAAGGAAGATTGTGGACAATGCACATGGGGCGACGAGAGCAGTTCGAGAAGTCTTCCCGGAGTCGAGACCAGCACATTTGGCGATTTCTTGAGGAACGAGCTCAAATCCTCTGCAGGCGATGTTGAGCCACCTAAGAGAAGCTGTGGTACAATTTTCAGAGTAGAGGACGCGGCTTTAGGACGCGGCGCATCTTCTTCTGGGGGATGAATGGCGGCGGCCGAAGGCTGGTGGAACTCTAGGAGCGATAGGAGGACTTGGTATATCTGTGATGCCAATTCCCTATATGGATATCTTAGTACGGTGAAGTCCAAGGCAGGATGTGATCTGAAGCTCACCTAGTCGGAGAAATAATGATAGCTCCAATATGATGCTTTTTTAAAGGTTCCTCGAGACGCAGAAGCTTCTCAACCACAGGAATCAAGAACGACAGAGTTTTCCCACTACCAGTGACAGCTTCCACAACTACATCTTTGTGTGCCATAAACAGAGGGATTGCTGAAGCCTGAACTGGGGTCATGCGTGTGAATCCCTGGGAAGCCATGGCGTCGATGATCCAGGGTGAGAGCGAGGGCGTGAGGGAGCCCCATGCCCTGGATGACGATGACGATGGAGGTGCCATGTATGCGCCTAGCTCCTGCCAACCTCACACTTGATATCAGAATTGAAGCAATCGCGGTCTATCGCAAAGAAAAAAAATCCCGCGGACTCGTTATCGATAAGATATCAACACGTGACCAAACGGCTTTGAGCGGAAATGCGACTGGGGCGGGATCGCCGAGATCGACTCTCGGCCTTTTCAGCTTGTGACAGACACTGCTGCGTTGTAGGCAGACCCAAGTCCTTCATTCCTTCTTAGGGCCACCCACATATAATGCGGTGTGCCACATATGCTCTCCAACAAATCATTACTTCCCGATAACGCTTCGCCTCCAAGTCGCCCATCATTCAGTCGTTAGAAAGACCGCTGATCCTCGGCGGTGCCCTTGCCAGCGACAACACACTCAGGCGGCCTCCCTTGGGCTTCTCCTGGGCTTCGCCTCTTCCACCCTTTGTGGTGAGATCCGCAGACATGCCTGTCGCTTCTAGGACAGTCCCTGAGACTCCTCGAGTCATCTCTCCTTCGCCATCTCTCTCCGATACCGAGGCACGTGATGGATATCTTGCGCCGGTAACGCGATCAGCGGCGCGGCGACAGGGACTTTCGGGAGTTCGCGAAGTTGCTTCTGACTCAGAACGCTCCAGGAGTCCACCGGAAAGAAGTCCTTCCAATACTTCGCCGCGACAACGCCGTCCGCCTCGGCGTTCCAATCCGAAAATCCCAGCATCACCACCCGCTGCCGACGGGAACACTTCTAATGGTTTCCTCTCACCGAAGACCGCCAATGCCCTGCGAGACACTTCCAGGTCACCGTCTCCTCTCGGCTTAATCCCTTTACACACCCGCTATCGCAGCTTCATTCATCGCCATGAAATCCCGCGGAAGGCTCTGCACGTCTCTATCGGGTTTCTGACACTTTCTCTGTACAGCCATGGTATCCAGACATCTCAAATAACACCTGTGCTTTTTACGGCTCTTGTTCCCATCGCTGTGACTGACATCATTCGCCATCGTTCCGAGAAGTTCAATAAATTTTATATCCGTTGCATGGGTGCGCTTATGCGCGAGACTGAAGTCTCAGGGTATAACGGCGTGATTTGGTACCTCCTCGGAGCCTACGTGGTACTGCGTTTCTTTCCGAAAGACGTAGGAGTCATGGGCGTGCTGCTACTTAGCTGGTGTGATACTGCTGCATCTACATTTGGTCGGCTGTATGGCCGCTACACTCCCCAACTTCGACAAGGGAAGAGCTTGGCTGGCACCTTGGCCGCCTTCACCGTAGGCGTGATCACTGCGGCTACCTTCTGGGGCTGCTTTGTTCCCTGGGCAGGTACCTTTCCTAATGACCCGGAAGGCTCATTCATGTTCACCGGCCGTCTGAACCTGTTTCCAAGCAGCGTTCGCGGCCTTTTAGGGTGGTCGACTGATGACGCCTCCACCATGATCACTGGCCCCCTGGCTCTTGGTGTGATGAGTATTGTTTCTGGCGTTGTTGCCTCCGGAAGCGAGTTCATTGACCTATTCAATTGGGATGATAATCTTACCATTCCAGTTCTAAGTGGACTCGGTCTATGGGGCTTCCTGAAGATTTTCGGTTAAATATATAATCACTTCTGTCATTTGCATTTTTGTCTACGGATACCTTGATCATTTTCATGTCGTCCTTAATGTATAGATGATCGTTGCATGCTCTCACTGCCCTTGAGCATGGCCGCTATATCTTTTCCGGCTTTGGTTCTTTATATAGAGGGTTCGTCTGACGTATATGAGTTATATGGATATCCCATCTCTCCCTTCGTCCCTATTCGATTGAAACCTATAAGCTTTAAATCTTGACCTTCGCTGGGGCCGAAGTAACTCGACTATGAACATAGCTAATTCGCTGGAATTTCTTGATCGCGTCGCCCCATAGCTCCTGTCGAAGCAAAGCATACACTCTGTTGGTTCAATATCAGCATCGCTTTTGCCATCAAGGAACTGACTGGAGATGAACACCTACCCCATCCGCGCCTTGGGCGCCCACTGTGCCGCAATCTCCAACGCCACATCAAGCATTTTCTCTGGCTCTGCAACTGCATCCACAATACCATCTTCGAGCGCTTCTGTACCAGTCCATCTGTGAGCTTCTAAGAGCATCTTTCGAGCTACCTGTGGTCGAAGTTTCAATCGCGGAAGCGACCCGATCCCCTCAAAGTGTAATCCGAGATCGACTGGCGGCATTGAAATGAAGCCCCTGCGTGAGTTCATCACACGGTAATCATGTGCCAGTGCCAGTGGACATGCGCCGCCAAAGGTATGCCCTGTGAGCAGGGCAATAGTTGGGAACGGAAAGTCGAGTATAGTATGGATAAGCTGTTTGCGTTTAGCAACAGCCCAGGAGAAATCAATATATTGAACTCACAGGGTAGAACCCATCTGAATTTGCGAATGGATTCTTATCGGATTCCTCGAGTTCTAGTCCCTGGGGATTGTTAGTTTTGCTCGCGGTACAGACGCTGTTTCCCTTACAGTGCACCAGAACTTAGCGTCATTCCCTCTGGTGATCACAGCGCCCTCTGCACCAGGACCTAGGAGCTTTTCCACTGTCCGGTATGCTCTGATCAGCTCTTGACAGTAACGGGAATTCAGACGATTCTCGGGGGCCTTTTGCATAGTTAAGACAAACACATTCCCATGTCTGTCCAGGGACAGATTGTGAAATGAGGGTATATCAGCCATTGCTTTCAATCGACGCGGGTTCAGCCTAGAGTCGCAGTATCAAATGAGATGGACTATTCAATTTTCTGTCAAAACTGGATCTGCTGTCATCGGTATCCAGAGCCGGTCAAGGTTCCCCGCATCCCCAGATCGATCTACAATGTACGTAGCCGAAATTCACCGAATGCCGAATGCCGTGGCGTGGGGACCGTGTGCCAATAAGCGTTGAGATGAACACTAGGATATTTGAATTTGGGGGGGATAAAAAAGTGCTATGGCGTTTTACATCGAGGATTGTCACCAGGGAACGTCAGTATTCCAATCCAGATCTCTCAGTAGCCAGTCACCCATGCCCTGATATTGATTATGGAAGAAGTCACTGTCCATAACGCCGCTCGTGTTACCCATAGAAAAGCCTATATGTGGGTCTAAGATTGTTGTCAGCGGTCGATATTCATCTGCGCTGGAAACAGCAGAAGAAGCAGCATTTGCCGGCTGGGAATCGGGAATGTTATTGAGAGAATCCGCTGGAACGCCGACTGCCGGCTCGACTTGCGCGGCACGCTGAGCGGCGTGGGAGGACGCTGGACCCATAAATGTTGACCAGGCCCAAGATAGGTCTGGTCCAAAGTTGTCGAAAAATGGGATATGCTCCCTTGCTAGCGAAAGCGTAGAATTCTGGGGTCCCGTCAGGGTTTGCTGCTTTTTCGGCGATACTTCTTAGTGCTCGGCGACTTCCTTTCGCAGATGACCATTTTCCAGAAAGGACATCAAGAGACACGTAAATCGTTTGCAAGCTCCCGGCCGCCTTCTCCCATAAGGATGGTATGGTGTAGGTTGACAGCAAGCCGATTCCAGCTGCCAGCAAATGAAACGTGAATATTGGGCCAAGAAATTGTGTTTCATCCCGAGCAAGGAAGTCCTCGAAGATACTAGCTACGAATGATGAGGCAAAACAGATGCCGGCGATGGGGAACACCCAGGTTCTGGGCGACACATGATTGCAAGGCAGATGAAGTAGGATATGTGGAGTTGGCTGGCTTCGAAGCTGTATCGAGCCAGTCTAGTATTTCTCGGCGACTGCGCTCTAGTAGAGATGGCGGGCTGCCAGTGCTCGAACAGCCTCAAAGATGGCGGAAGCTCCCGATTCCAGCGATAGAGTCGATTTTCAATATCTTGTCTTGTTCGGCGCGTGAGACTTTTGCGGCGGCAATGCTGAGTGAGATGACCCAAAATTGAGCTGATCTCCACGTAAGCAATGAATAGATCGCTGTCGGAACTCGAATCACGAAAGTCCTCTCCACAAGGTGGAGCCAGTTCGCAGTCAGCTATATTCACGGCGAGTGGCCTGCCTTGCCCCGCGGATATAAGACAGTCTCGAGCCTATATCATGATTAATTGCAATATTCAATTCCTAATGGCTCCCAGATCAAACGTACGAATAGAGTCCACCAGAGCCTCCGCCTCAGAGGGGCATCTCTTCTGGTCGTCGGCTCTTTGTGCAGCCCAATTTGGTGAGCAAGGCGGACGCCAACATACCTCCAGAACCCGCTGGTGTTGGTGGAGACGTGTTCTGGGTTGTACCAGTGCAAGATACAGACGGCTGCAACCACAGTGACAGGATTCTTCTCATATCCAGACCAGAACAACGCCTTCGCTCGCCGATAGAATTGATGAGGCGATGCATATGCCAGGACTGCTGGTGCCGAAGTCACACGGCTGGCAGCGACGAAAATTGACTGAAGCAGCAACATGGGTGGGTTCTTGGCCCCGCTTCCTTCAAGCCAGCCTCTTTCTATTATTGGCATCCACGGCGAGCATTTCTCCATGAATGTATTGATCAACCCGTCTTTGATTGACCGTGGGGGGAGTTCAAAGGCACCTTGTAACCTGAGTAGCTGAATATCATCCTCGGTTGGTCCGCCGGCATCTCCAATAGGATGCGACCTAGCTTGGTCTTCGTTGATGACGACTGTGTCTTCAAAATATCGAGAACGGGCCATGAAGCTCCTCCCCGACTCGGATGAATATGGGTTCATTGTGCATGGCTGCTCATCAAATCCCGTCGATTCGGAGATAGTCGAGGAGAAACCACTGTCCCCGCCGACATCTGACCTATTCCTCTCACCTGAATCATTGGAAGGTGGCTCGTGGTGCTCTCCCGTCCGTTGTGGCAAGTTCATGTCATATCCATTACTGCGCGCTCGCCGGCTCTTCCTTTTACGCTCGCGGCGACTAGAAGCAGTCAGCTGGAGGAATTTGAAACCCTGCTTGGGCACTGCTAATATTAAACCAGGACTACCCACAGGCAGGGCCATTGGTGCCTTTGGCAGTTCAGGCATACTTTTGTGCTCCCATCAAAGATGGACCCAATCTGTAGGTTTGAACCTTCTTCTTATTACACGCAACACATGCGGTCGCAGCGCACAGAGGAGGTGGACTGAAACCATCCATTATGGAGCTACACGTTTCCAAACGCTTTTCTTACATTGAGGCCAGGACTAGTGAAACTCGTCGATCTGGGGGTTCCCCGCCCTCCCCGGCCAAGGTGATGTGGGGAGAGCATCGTCAAACCATCCATTTCAAGGACAATAGGGTATCTAATTGTATGCCAGAAAGGGTGAAAAAAAAAATGTGCAAAATCAAGCCCAGCCAGCTAGGGTCCAGCTTGATCGATCTCCAGCCCTCAAGCCTGACCGCCGATCAGGCACAGGATTCTCTGGTTCTCGGATACCCCCAGCGAGACCATGCTGCAGGAACTTCTCTCGTTCGACCTCCACCAAGCCTCTGGTCTTCACGCTTGTGATTAAACTTGCACCAGCCCAGGGCCCAAGTGATTCAATCTCCCGCAATACCCCCTGAACAGGGGTAGGGATGTCCTTATTCTGGCGCTGGAGCTTTTGTTCAACAAAATCGACCTCGGGCTCTTCTTTTGAAGGATCTGGTTTTTGCTCTTTGCTATCTATGGAAGAGGGTTCAATTGGTGTCGTGGGTTTCTCTCCGTTGGTCTGAGATGATATCCGTAGCTCCTGCAAGCGCTGTCGCTGTCGTTCCACTGCTTTACCCCGGATCGGGCTCCATCCATGCAACTCGATCAGACGCGAAAGCTCATCGAGAGTTCTTTGTCGTAGACCGGGTATGCGAGCACCACCGCCAACGAATGTGATTCGGGCCATGCAGGTTCCTCGTGCATCTGGCGGGGAGTGCGAGAAGTGCATGGTAGACAAGTATGTGTAGCGGTTTCTCTTCATCGTCGACTTCTGTCTCAGATATGCCTGGCGCGTAAAACACGTTCTCCACAGGTTCTGCGAGGCGATCAAACGGTAAATCAATAAAGGACTGTTCTGGGTTGGTTGGCGACGGAACCGAGACCGTACCCCCCTCCTGTTCTGTCCCTTCAGATCCCCGAGGCTGACACCAGGCCAGCCTACTGACAATTTCTTCACAGTATTGAAATCCCACAGAGATTTCATCTCGAGACGCCCACTCTTTCTCATCACCAGAAGCTATCCCGGTGAACAGCCGACCGAACTCTTGAGTGACAGCTTTCATTGCTCTTGTACTCCGCCTTGTTGCGATTTCCCTATATTCATAGATCGCAGTGACGGTTGTTTCCGCCCATCCCAGATCCACGACTAAAGCAGATCGTAGCCCTGCAGCCGTAGCGGACATTGTGGCGCTCGGCAGAAGGGTAATGCTGGGGAACTTCCAGCGGCCGAATAACACAGACAGTAAAGACGACAAGATCGGATGCGGCATCAGGGAAGGAAGAACGAGAACAAGACGAGATGCACCGGCATCAGTTAACAGATACTGATTATAGGTTTCGCGGAAGACACGTTCGATCTTGTCTTCAACCAAGCCCAAATCGATCTGTCGCAAGTCTAGTCTCCATAATTCGTAGTCGCGTACCCAGTCTTCTGCATTGAGAGGTGCTGGCAACGGGCGCGTGCCGGCATTTCCCTCAATCCACCCTCGGTAGTCCCCTGCTCTTCGCGATCCCTCTGGCCCAAATCCAATAACGCATGTCGGAGAGCTATTGCCCTCGAAGCCAGCTCGGAGCCACCGTGCTCCTAATTCGAATATGATAGCATCGTCTTCGTTCCGGAAGGAGGAGCCAGGTGACGTGGTGCTCGCGAACGAGTTATTACCGGAGCGGAGCTGCTGTTGAGGGGTATGAGGGGAGGCCGGCCGGGCAGCTTCACTATGCCTTAAATTAGATGCTACAGACATATCGCGCTTATCTCTCTGGCGAAAACGGTCCGAACGCGTCGTTTCGTGAAGTTGAACGTGGTCTTGAACGTGTGTTGCCTCTCGGGATAGAGAAATTGGCGTTTCAGGAGGCGAGTTAACGACGCGCCGACCGTGTCCCTCGGGCCATCAGACACAGGCGGCAAATTGGGAGCAATTCGTCTGTTGCCTTTCTGAGAAGATTCGACGAGGGAGCCTGAATTGCTGGGAGTAGAATTGTTGGATGATCCGATCGGTTTCCACTGAGAGCAACCGCGGATCTACATCGGGCCGTGGTTTATTTACTTTCGTCAACACTCGCCTTCTTCATCTAACAAACGCCCCCCTTTGCGCCCCATTGCCTGGATATCACCTCGATGTCATAGCCTTCGAGTCATTTAATGTCCGCGTCAAGGCATCATGGGTATTCCTGGGTAAGTCTTCTGTCGGCCCTCATCCCTGGCGCGCAGGTGGCAATCTCGCTGTTATGCCACTAGCGGAGCATAGCAACCTCGCAAGCCTAGCAAACCTAGCCCTTTCTCGCCTCTCCAGCACCGGTCATATATTCTGACAAACTGAATGTAGCCTCATCAATGCAATTGGCGCTGGGGAACGCGTTTCCTTATCAAAGATAGCAATATCCCATCTGCAGCAAACTGCAAGGCCCATTCGCGTGGCAGTGGATATCTCAATCTGGCTTTTCCAAGTGCAGTCTGGCCGAGGTGGCAAGAACCCTGAGTTACGGACTCTGTTCTTTCGGCTACTTAAGTTACTGGCGTTACCAGTTCATCCCCTTTTTGTCTACGACGGACGGCACAAGCCCCCATTCAAAAGAGGGAAGTCCGTCAGTTATGGGAGTACGCCGCTTATTAGGCGGTCGAAGGATTTAATCGAACGATTCCGGTTTCCTTGGCACGAAGCTCCTGGCGAAGCAGAAGCCGAATGTGCCCGATTGCAGCAAGCAGGCGTGGTTGATGCCGTGATGAGTAACGACGTGGATGCCTTGATGTTTGGTTCGAAATTGACTATCATGAATTTTTCAAAGGAAAGCGGGTCTGGATCTGCAGCCGCAACACACGTAACCTGTTACCGGATGGGAGAGCAGCCTCATGGCCATGTTCCAAATGTCCCTCTTGACAGGGCAGGAATGATTCTTTTTGCTATGCTAAGTGGTGGTGACTATGCGGAAGGCTTGAAAGGCTGCGGCAGTAAGCTAGCCGCTGAAATCGCCCTAGCTGGCTTTGGAGAGGATTTACTCAATACCCTTTCCTCCCATGCTTCGGACTTGGACTCGGGACTAAGTGAATGGCGAGAGCGTCTACAGTATGAGTTGGATGAAAATGAAAGTGGCTACTTCAAAAGAAAGCACAAGGCCGTTCGAATCCCGGAAGACTTCCCAAACCGGACGATTCTGAAGTATTATGCCGAGCCAATAGTTTCGACTGAGGAGGAGGTGGCTACCTTGAAGAGCCAATTGAGACATTCATGGGATCGAGAAATTGATGCAATGGCCATTCGAGCCTTCACGGCGGATAACTTTGAATGGAACTATCGGTCAGGAGCCAGGAAAGTCATCAAGCTCTTGGCTGAACCTCTTGTTTCCTACCGGCTACGACTTCAAAGACCTGTGAAGGGCGTGCCGCATGGCACTCTGGCTCCTGAATGTGATACACCCTGGTTGCAAAAGGTGCATCGCAGTCGAGCAAACTTCGGGACAGATGGCACGCCGGAATTGCAGGTGGACATGCTTCCCATCGATGTGGTTGGTATTGACCTCTTCGCTGAGGAACCAAACCCACCAATGCCATCCCAGGACAAGTCTACACAGAGTACTGCCCAGTCTGGTGCAGAAGAAGGAGGCGTTGACGAAGAAGACCTAGAGGATGCCCCGGCGGATGAGACCGCAAGGGCACCCCCTCCGTCACCATCGAAGAGTCGAGTCACCAGACGCTATGACCCTTTGGCCATTGAGAAAGTCTGGGTGTTTGAGACGGTTGCCAAATTGGGAATTCCTGATATCGTTGAAAAATGGGACAAAGAACAAGCTGAAAAGGCCGAGAATGCGAAGAAAACAACGACTAGGAATCCTCCCAAGCGACGCACAGGGCCTAAGAAGAAGGGTCCTATTGACCCCGGCATGCAGCGGGGGAGTATCCTGAAATACGGAACACTCACCAAAGAAAGATCCGAGCTATCCTCGTCGAACAAGACTCGTCTGATAGACGCTGCAACTTCGAAGTCGCAGGGAGAAGGAACATCCAACTTACGCAATCCACCTCCTGCCATCAACCTGGATGTCTTTCAACTATCTCCGAGCATGTATCCTGAAAAAAGAGATTATTTTCATACATCTCATGCTACGTCTGGAGTTGATGAGTTAATCGACAGTTTCTCTTCTTTATCTACCACCACGCACACGCCAAGCATCAAGCGTCATCCTATGTCCCTTCGTTCACGACCCCAAATCAATCTTCGCACCCTCGTTCACGGAGAGCGCGAATTGGATGACTACTCTGCATTCAGTGAAGATGTCGTTTCGTCCCAAGGTGCACCAAGTGGTATTAGATTGAGTTACGTTGTCTCGGATGGTAATTTTCCCCAAAGCGGAGGTGTGGCGCTCCCACGAGAGCTAGGTATGCCTCCGGTGATGCCTGAAAAGAAGGCGACACGCTCGAAGAAAGCAACCAAAAAGCTAAATGCTACCGAAGGCTCCCCTGGAGTTGATGAGCTCGAGGAGGCAATTGAGTCACTCACACTTTCATTGGGATACGATGAATCCTGCTCAAGACATCAACCTAGTGCCTCAAGAGCAGACGGCTTCGACAATGACCATCCTGATCAAATACATAAGCCGACCTCAATACCCGAAAGCGAACATTGCTCAGATGCAAGAAAGTCCAGAAATCGGCAAACCCCGCAGGAAGAAGACAGTTCCTCGGTGAGAAAGAAGAAAGATCCAAAGCCTATCAAAACAGTTGGCCATGCAGAGAACATCTCGACATTTGACGGCTTTTGGGAAGTCCACAACGATGCCGAAGAAGTATCTGATACTACTCGATCCACGCGTGCCACCACAGGGAAGGACGAAAGGAAACAAGAAGCGCTTCTCACGGGTCAGCATTCTTGACATGATTTAGTCCTTTCGACCCTTTTTGTGATCATGTGCGGTGCTTATCTGGCTCAACAGTCCAGCCCGCGATTCTCCCCAAGGAAGCGATGGTATATACCTAGTCCGCAAATAGCAAACCTTGAGAATGGAATTCCATCCAACTTAGAAGATCCAGAAGTAAAAGTGTCAGTCGTAAAGCCCGCGTATGGTAGATGCATTTTGAACGCCTGTTTTGAGCAACGGCTTACTTGAAGATCCAGGGTCTGGGAACATTTTGAGAGCACTTTCGTAAAGCTATTGTGATTCCAATCCTCTCTATAATTTAGCAGGTTTTTGTTTCACCCAAACTTGGACGTTGGGGAGATCGGCATAGTTCGACGGAAACAATGCGGTTTTGCCCGCTCGGGCTGCCTTGCCCAGTTTTGTTGGGGAATAACCATTTTCCCATTTTTGGAATATCATCGATACATCAATGTGAATTTGAGTTTCACTTCTCCAACTTCCACCCTTTTGAACGGGGCACGTAAGGGGAAGAAATCGCCAACCAAGATGTCGCAATCCCAGTCAGCTCAGCCGGGTGATGGGAGAAATGTCCATTTTTTGGACGTTTCGACGGGTAACTTGTTAGGTGGCTTCTACCAAAATGGCTCAGTTACCCAATCCAACTTCCTCGATATGCTCAACATCGTCTTGAATGTTGTACCACACGGACGTTCCAGGCTATGCCTTCGCTCATTCACCGTCAAAACGAAGTCTGGGCGAACTATCTCAAAAACTAGCCAAGTGCTGAGACCTGGAGATTATGATATCTATGCTCCTGACGGCTGTGGGTTTTATGATGTTGAAGTAAAGAGAAGTGGAAAACCCGGCTGACTTAGATAGGTTCTATCGCGCTCACTGACGAAGAGCCTATACGCCGAATTTTCTCTCGCAGTCGTAGCAACCGTGAGCAGAGTTTCAGAAATGGTGTACGGGCCAGAGATAAGAAGTGTGTCTTTACTGGGGTCGTTAACCGTCGCGCTGATCTGGACCAATGGATAGGCTGGGAGGCAGCCCATATATTCCCTCTTGAGAAGGAAGGAATTTCAGCCAGTTCATCACTAATACGGATTCGGGAAACCATGCGGCGTCCATCAACTCGGTTCAAAATGGGCTTCTCCTTCAAAGCACCGTACATACATTATTTGACACCTACTCGATTTCGGTGAACCCAGATGATAACTACAAGATCACTTCTTTTGTCGTCGATGATTTTCACGTGGACGGAAGAATACTTGATCCTGTGTGTCGGAATCCCGCCGACCCGAACCATGTCTCAGACGATCTTCTTCGCTGGTACTTTCGACAGAGCGTTCTCGTAAACATGAAAGGGGCTGGAGAACCTCCTTTTGAACACGATTTCCCACCAGGATCTGACATGCTGGGGGAAATACTGGAGGGGCCATTTCCCATCGAACGATTCGAAATGGAACTGTCGTCCAGATTACGGGGATGGGAACAACAGCAGGACTTCATTCAGTGACATGACGTGATATGGGAGGGGTGAAGGGAAGAATCGTGGCTGTTGAATTCTTCTGGCTCCTCTGGCCTCGACTGGTTGCCCATGAACAAGAGCAAAATGGCAATGTGGCATCTAATTAATCCCTTTCGAATAAACAGCCTCTTCCACGTCATGGCTGCAACCTTTTCTCAGATGGATGTACCTTTGCCCGTACAGGGCAGTGAGGGGATATCGCCTGACTTGGCTTCGCTATGCCGATTTACAGATTTACCTACTACCAAGGACAACTCTTACTTTGACGCTGCCCATGGATTATCCTCTATATCCTAGGAATATCTGATAGTGAGATCACGATAGGCCATGCCTCAACTTTCATGCGCTCTGTTGGTGGTCCATTTGAAGATCTGCTGTGGAGAAGGGACTCGGTTGCCCTTTTATTGCTTTATCTTTGGTATCCGGAGTCCGGTCGCTCTATTTAGTGGATTAGACTTAGAGCTCGAGTGGAGTGTCCCTCGGTTCGATCCTATCTACAGATCTATTATTATGCAAGTATTAAGGTAGAAGCCTTTCTTTATGATTTTACTATCAGTGACTGAAATTAAATCAAATGTATTAGATAGATATATCATTCTTTGAATGAAATTAAAAACTTTAGTCTCTGTGAGCGGCTTTTTTAGTATGATGTTTACTGTGATTCTAGTTTTCAGCTGGTTTAACTCGTTCTAACCAGATAAAAAGGTCTTGTAGAGCCTTACTGTCAGATAGCTAAAATCCCTTATATCGCATCCGATTATCCGCTCAACCGAGGAAAGAAATACCTTATATGCTATCTGTTTTGTAATGCGCGAAAAAGAAAATGCCTTATATACCACTCAGCTTTTACGGAGGTCGACTCGAGTTTACCTCTATATACAGACCGAAAGGAGTAATATGCTTGTTCTCTTTCTATTATTGTCTCCATCTTTTGTTGTTATCAAGCTTTGAGTCTAGAGTTATCAAGATATCTTTAGAGCGACATATTAAGCATGTAGGAAGTAATCAGATGGCGGTTGGTCGCGGAAGACTGGGGCGGAGTCCTCAGGCGTCCAGCCACTAGAGGCACTCAAAGCTTGGGGGCTCGGTGACCGTGAAGGAGTCAACATCTCACGCCAGCTAGGTATAAATACAGCATGATCTGCTATTTCACAAGTTCAAAATTTCAGGTTCGCCGACAGCCGTTGAAATGATGCGGATCATCCTAACTAGCTATTTCGGATTACCAATTTTACTCACGGAGTGACCGACTAGCAATTCATTATTTATTGATGCAAAAGTCCCCTGTAGAGTACATGAGGCTCTGAACCGCTTAAAAAGTGCCAAACTGGTAATGGGCCAAGTTAACAGCAGGAGCATCCTGGGGACCGAAGATTTGATACTGGTCACGGCCCCATTGAGGTTGGTTGATACCGTCAATCCAGTCTTCGGTCTCAATGACGAAGCAGCCGTACTTGTTAACGTGAGGAGCGCCTGAGTCGCCGCCTTGGGCCTTGTTACGCTTGGCCTGCGACTGCTTGGTAGGAATAGTTCCATTCTGGCCATTGCAAGTGTAGATCTGCAGGGCAGCCTGGTTGGTCAGGACCTCCAGGCTGATACCGGTGGTGTTGGAGCCCACGCGAACGGCAGGAACGACTGAGTTCACGCCGTTGGCGGCGGGCCGGTCCACCAGGAAGCAGTTGTCGTAGCCAACACAACCACCACCGCAGACACCTTCAGTCTTATTGATGTCTTGACCGATCAGCTTGGCCTCGGTGAAGTCCAATGCACCGTCGTAAGCAGAGCTGACCTCGAGGATCTCCCCAGTCGGGATCTCAAGGCTGTCGGCAGCAATGAAGCGCTGTGAAAGAGGGAGCTGCAGGTAGGTGTTCTCGAGGATCGTGTCATCCTTGAAGGCGTTCAAGTTCCAGTAAATATGGTTGGCAAGCATGATAGGGGTTTCCTTGGTCAAGGCCAGGGACACCAGCTTAGTGGTGAGCTGCGGCAGACCTTTGGGGTTCTCGGCGGACTTCTCAGTTGAGACACTGAAGGTGGCATGTGAGATCACATCTCCGGGGAAGTCTGAGATGCCTTGGTCCAGCAGGGAGAAAGTGATGGAGGAGGAGTCGTGAGCGGTGACCGTCCAATTCTGCGAGTCATAGCCGACGAAGCCACCGTGGAGGGTGTCCTTTCCGCCGTTCTCATTCTCTGGAATGTGATAGGTGTCACCGTCGATTGAAAAGGTGCCGTTCTTGATCCGGTTGGCATAACGTCCCACAACGGCACCGAAGAAGGTGCGGTTGGTCTCGGTATCGTGCAGATACTCGGTTGGGTGGTCATACCCGACCAGAACATCTTGAATGTTGCCGTCGCGGTCCGGAACCTGAAGAGATGTCAAGCGCGCGCCGTATGGAATAAGCTTGACGGTGATGTTCTCCGCCTTGATGGTGTACTCCTTGAAGTGATCCGAACTGGAGCCACTGGGCGACGGGGAGGGAGCAGTGGAGGAGACAGGCGAGGGAATCGCGTTCACAAGGGCGGGCAGCCCATAGATGGCAGCAGCGACGTATGACTGAAGATGCATTCTGACGCCTAGTAGTCCGGTGACAGTCAAGAAGAGAAAGCAGTAAAGAGGAAGGATTCGCGTCGAACACAGGAAGCGGGAAAGGCGCATTATAAGGACGCAAGCAACCCCGACGCTAGACCTCGTGGCGGGACGCTAGACGGTCTGGGGACTTGGAAAACCGGGGTAAAGGGGTGGACTCCCTGCGATTTGTCCGAATGCAGATGGCGTGAGGAGAGACCGATTGCGATTGGGCTCTCCCCGATTTGCGGGCAGCACCGCCATTGGTCCGTCCAAAGCTTCGCGCAGAGCCCACTGTGGCCTCGGACCCTCAATATGTGTTGGAGCGACAGGAGGCAAGGGGTTGTAATGTATGGTTATGGAGTGAAATATATGTAACTCTGAACTATCTAAAATGACAGGCATCGACTACGGAGTATATAACTAGTTTATATTTACGGTGGGTTCCGTATATAAGAAATGTTAACTATGAAATGAAGGGTTGGTACATAATACAGTGGTAACGGTACCGTGTATTTCGACAAGGTGGAGCCTAGCTACAGTAAGCTCCGTCCGACAACCACTACGCAAAGCCCCATGCTACCTTGAGATCCAACCCCAATTCCAGGGCAAAACTCCGGTGGATGGAAATCCCGTGCCACTAGTTATCCCTGGCAAGCGAGATTCCTCCCTAAATGAAATGGGGAAGTAATTGCTGCCGATCGTCCAAGCCCCAGTCTGGGGGCCGGGAGCTTACTTGCTTTTCTTTGTAACTGTGACGGCAATTAGTTACTGGTTTGTTCTATGCTGACATGATTTCCAATATATCCATTCCCCAGCCAGGATTTCTACTTATTTTTTTCGATTCCTCGAATCTGGATTTTGTCCCCATCAAGCTCTCCGGTCCTGGTTGCCGCGGACATCTAAGCGGTTTATTTGTTTTGACGCCTTGGAAGCGATTATACTGCTGAGTCATGACCGCATGAGAACTTGCTACCTAGTCATCGAATTTTGGATAATATATAGAAAAGAGAACTATGTAGACATGTCGAAAAAAAAAAAGAAGAAGAAAATCCCGACTAGTACAATCATCGCGTCTGTCATTCATCAGGACGGGCTCCTTTGTGTGCGCGGGTCATAGTCGAACCCGGTATATAAAGTCCGATTTCCTATCTATTTCGGTAGATAACTCACTTTGTTCTGAAAGCATTTCATTTGGACGTTCTGCTGCAGTGGATGTGGTGTATTCTTGCTTGCTTATGCTTTTATGAGAGTATATATAGTACTCGTCGACGCGCCCTTGCGTACTAGACAAGGGAGATCGTTTATCAACCCGGCAGTCTCTATTCCAATTCCTTTCGAAGCCTGCAAACTTACGCTCTGCTGGAGATCTATTTTGATGCAATTTATGTTATATTACATAACGAAACAATCGGGTCGTAGTGGGCGCCAGGGTTGTCTTCACGGTCAAGTTGGGGCTTATGAAGCAAATGAATCAGGGCGATCAAATTGGAGCACGTGTGAGCCAAAGAAGGGAAGGCAATCTTATCTGTCAAGTTTGACTTTTTTTTAGTGCTGCACGTAATTGCTAGACCGGTAACTTGAACAAGCGAGGTGTGGTGAAAGGCCTCTCGAACAAAAGATGGGAGGTGCAGAGTATAACAAACTATAATGATATTATGGAGGGCTGCGCAAGACATAAGTAGTGTACAGAGACTATATTAATTTGGATCATATCCCAAGACAGCGAAAATTTGGGAAGTTATGGCTCACAGCCAACCTTGAGAGCAATACTATTATCTCGAAGACATGACGTTTCGGTGTTTCAAGATGGATGTCCCTTATCTGTGGGTGTGTTGAACATAGTCGAAGCTGTGAGGTCTGTGTAAAATATTTGGACTGCACTCATTACTGTGGCACTTGCTCATCCAAAAACAAGCTCAACATAGTGTTGTTCCAGAGACGAGATGAGATTAAAGTGCTGTGTAGTTCAGTCGATCCCCACATGTGGAGCTGGACTGTTTTGGGCTCTTACCTAATTTCACGGTCGCAACAACATCGTGCTTGTTTACCGCCGAACCCTGTGCCCCGCTGTGTTTTTTTTGGAAAATATTTCTCCAATCATTGTATCTGTTCGAGATTTGTATAGCCTGGGTGGTGATCCGATTCCTGCATTCCACGGCGTGCGCCCCCTCCACCTCGCGGCACGCGTGCTGAGATTCCATCCAGCGAGTCTCCCGCCATGTCGAGCACGTCGCGCAGCCAGAGCTCCTCCCCTGATATCCTCGGCCCTCCAGGCGATGCCGACTACCTGATCTCATCCCCAATTAAGCCTTTTACCGGTCGCCAGAGTTGGATGTCTCCCGCCATCGTCAGGCGTCAACAAACCCCCGCTAAACGTCGGCGCGTGAGCCTGAGTCCTGCGAAGAGCGCGCATTCGATTCGCTTCGACGATGTCCTGCTGCCCGGGTCACCGACAATGAAACTCGATAGTCGCCAGCGCTCGCTCTCTCCGGAAAAAGGGCAGGATGGCAATGTGAGCCCATGGCGCATTCGGGTTACCCTTGAGGCTACACAGGACGAGGAAAACGAGAACGACGGTCGAATTCGAGGGAGCCCGTCTCCCAAACGCCGTCGACCGTCCACCATTACCATGAAAGTGCCACTGAAGGATGAGAGAAGCCCGCTGAAAGACAAAACCCCTGCGCGAAAACGTGGGCGCCCTCGCAAGTCCGATCTAGCACCAAGCGGATCGCCATGGCCAAACAAAACGAGCCCGGGCAACACGCCGGGCACACAAGAAGGGAGCGCAGGGAAACGGAAACGAGGGCGGCCACGCAAAGGCACTCCGAAGCCAAAGGAACCTGGATTTATCCTCGCAGAGGATGAACCATCGCCAGTACCTCGGCCCAGCCCTATGGACTTGACTGCTGATGCTGGCGCTGCAGTCGAGGATGCTCCATTGAGCCCAATCAATATGGCAGTGGACGATGGGTTTGAAAGCGATTCACTTGGAGCAGATGATCTACCGGTTGCGAATCTCCGTCCGCCAACACCGGCACCAGCGCGTCACGAAAGCTTGGATGATATCACTGGCCATAAATTTGGTCGTGCTACCTATGATACCCCAACAATCGGCGCTACAGAGCACCATTTCCAGGATAATGACGAAAACCTTAATTCGACGCCTTCCAAGATGCCATCCCCGACCCGAGAGAGACAAGTGTCATCTGCTCGGTCTAATCATCTATCGCATGTGGTTTCGTCACCACGGACATACCCAAGTCCTACTCCAACTTCCTCGCTGGGCGAGGAAGAACACCAGACCGAAGAAGCCCCGGTGGATCAATACCTTGAAACAATTAATGAAGGCTTAGAAACAAACATTCCAGATTCTGGAGCCGTCGATGAACACCCTGAAACCGATCATGTGGATGATGCAGACGAAGATAAACAAGAGTTTGATTCGATTATGGAGAGTGAAGGATTCACAATGATATCTTTGGATACTCTCCCATCTGTTAAGCAGCGTGGACTGGGTTCTAGCGCCCGAATATCTGGAGACGATTCTTCGAAGATCTTACGAGATCGAGACAATGGCCGGATTGGAGACCGATTAAAAAGGAAGCTTCCGGGCACAATTCAGGACTTGCGGAGTGATACTCATAGCTCTGCGAAGCCAAGTCCAACTTCCATGAACGTTTCATCCGGATCACAACGCCTGGCCAACCCACCATCCCAGCTCTTTGCTCTCAAAGATCAAAGTTCTATGAAGGAATTCTCATATCCCGAGCTACCTTCCGCTTTTTCACCGGGGAAACCGCTCATTTCTTCCAAAAAGATCACAGCTCCTAGCTTGGCCCGGATCGTCCGTGTTGGCATGGCTCTGCAAGGCCCATTCAGAGCTCCACAAAATGGGACGCCAACTAGCAGCAACACGAGCCGAAAAAGACGCCTTGAAACTGTATTCAGTACATTCAGTCCCGATACACAGCGCGAACTGCGCGCGGCAGTGGGGTTTGGCCAGGAACTTGCAATGCGTCGAGCTTTGCGCGAAGAAGATCCTCTTGGTCCAGACAGTCAGGTTCCCGCCGACAATCAAGGTTTTGAGGAGTCAATGGGTGTCAAGAACAATGAAGAAGCGGCTTGGAGTGAAGATGATGACGAGCCGATCTTGGTTCAGCCAACAGGCACTGGTCAGAACGGCGTACCGCATCATAGTCCAGCAGCTGCCAGAGACCGAAAGTCCGATGATGGGCGACAGCCCGCACGTGGCAGGTCTGGTCGTGCCAGTATGACAACAGAGTCGGCATGGCAGCTTGTATACGACGAAGCCAATCGGGCCAAAGCTGAAAGAACAGAAGCGGCTTGGAAGATGGTCTATGAAGCAGCTGGTCGTGCCGGTCTATCAGTAGATGAAGCATGGACGCGCGCCTACGAAATAGCTGAACATTCTGGCCTGTCAACAGAAGCAGCATGGAAGATGGTCTACAATGAAGTCAACCGGGATGAAGTTCATAGTACAGAGGCCACATGGAGGCGAGTCTACAAAGCAGCTGGCAGTGCCGGTCCAGCAAGCTCACCGGCATGGCAGCAAGCGCGTGAAGGAGTGACGCGAGCGAGAGAAAATGCATGGCAGCAGATTCGTCAAGCAGCCAGTCGCTCCGAAGATCCAAACACAGAGGCCGCTTGGCAGCGGGCGCGTGATGAAGTACGCCGTCATGCTGAAGATCCCGCCAATTCCGATCGACTCATTGAAATTGAGAGCGACGACAATGCTTCACAAGATGCAAGCGTCCAGATGGACGATATTCCTGATGTTGCGCAATCCGAGCACGAAGCCGTCACGCAGGATGAAGTTGAAGCAAGGCCTCAGTATTCTGATCGTGAGCTTATGCAGAATCACTCAACTGCTTCAAATGGGAGAAGAGAAGAGGAGGAGGAGGAGGAGGAGGATGATAACGACTTCGATGACATTTGGCAGCCGCAGTCTGGGCCAAGGTCTGCTGCAGCCCGCAAAAATCCTAGAACTCGCCAGGCAGCTGCGGAGGAAGAGGATGAGGAGGACGGCTTCGACGATATCTGGCAACAAGAAGCCCGAGATAACAGTCATCTGTCCCACAGCTCGAATGAACGTGAATCTGCTCCTGCTCAGGAAGCTGCCAACTCTTGGAGGCGGATAGTCAACACGTCCAACCAAAACCCGCCAAGCTCGTCGCCAGGCTATGTGGCGATAGAGCATAGGGAGCAAACCCTTGGGCCGACACACATCCGCCAACTGCGCGACCAAGAGGTTGACCTTTCGGCGCTTCTGGCGGAAGAAGATACTCCAAACCGCGCACGGTACTTCAATGGAACCAGCACGCCCCGGAGTATCTTGAGAGGACGCCCTGGTGCCCAAAGCTCGTCCATCAATGGGTCCGCGATCAAGTCTTCCCCGCAAAAGAGAGTTCGTCTACAGCCTATTTCTCAATCCTCTAGTCCTGAGAGGGGTGTTGAAGGAAGCCACAGCTCTCCTGTCACCACCGGCCATTCATCACAAGCCAATAACTCGCCCAAGGATGACAGGGATGAGAGACCGGCTCAGTCAGACATGGAGGAAGGTGGACCCGAAGGAGAGGCATCTGTGGAAGAAAATGTCGCCGCCACCCCTGAGCCTTCACGTCAGTCCCTAGGTGAACCTTCATCCTGGTTCAAGCGAATCACCAGTCTCACACCGAGGTGGCTGAAAGCACCTCCGAAATCCCATTATGACAGCTCTATCGATGGCTCTGAAGACAGACAGGAAGACGAGGAAAGCGACCTGGCGCCTGAAGAAAACGCCGACCCACAAGCCACCATTGAAGTTCCTGAGCCGGACGTTGTATCTATCTCAAGCCAGTCACTCTCACAAGATCCTGAGAGCCCTGAAAATCGTCAAGAATTCGCCGATAACGATTACAGGCAGGCTTCTTATGCAAGCCAGTCTCCCGAAGTAGTCAAGGAGGCTCACATGACGGGTAATGAGCAAGGGGTGCCGGCCGGGCCTGAGACCACTTGCAGTGTTTGGCTTTTTCTCCAATGGCCATTATAGTGCTCTTCGGCGGCTCTACCGAATCGCAAAGCGGCATCCGGAGCGCTTCCCCTACTACGATACTCCCGGGCGTGCTCAGATCCTTGGGGACTGGATCTGGACGTCAGATGGGCATCACGGGGTGCCTATTACGGAAATGCAATTTGCTGTCATTGACCGCTTTGTGCATGAACTTTCTCACGCGGATGTACAGTATGGTGGATCTGGACAGGTTGAATGGACAGAGGCTGAGCTGCACCGGAGACTGATTAGCATCATCATTGGTGAGCAGATCCGAGAGGAACGGAAGATAAAGGCCGCCCGCGGTGCCTCTGTTGATACTTGGCGATGATATTTTCTGAAGCACGATTCCCTTTGTGATTTCTTGTTCCTATTATAGTTCGGCGTACGATTGTTGGGCTCTGAAGTATTGGCGATGGAGTCGGTGGTTTGTTTGTGAATAGGGCTGCATTATTCTCCTCCATGATTCCCTTACCGTTCTTTGTCCGTCTATTACTATACCTGTCCTGTTTTCTTGCCTCGTGATGAATATGAGTGCCTCCTAAACGTTGCGCCGTACGAAACTAAGTCCTTTAAGTTATCCTCGAGGGTGATCTCGGTGAGGATCAAACGTACTACTCGCCTCTGAACTTCATCATACATACTAGGGAATATAGGATAGGGATAGTGTGTGTCGAATATCCACGACCAACCACAAGCGCGTGTCATATTTAAGTTCCTGGTTTTCCGAACCTGACCCCCAGCCCTAAACCGATATCCCCCGGCGCAAAAGCTTTGCGGTCGTCATGATGTTTCAAAACTAACACGGCCGACCAGCACCATGACGACAACGCCCCCAATAAGCCCCCGAAACAAGAAGTCATGTACAACGATCCATTTCCCGGTGCGGTGCGCCAAGGGTGTTCTTGCATTGCGAAGATTGAACTCCCGGCCAACGCTGCAGCTCCCTGTCGAGCCTAGACCAACCAAGAGGGCCGGGGCACTCGTGTCTGTTCTCGCGTGGCCAGCCAGAGGCAATGTACGTCGGATTTCTCGCCGTCAACCCCCACTCTAGTGCGAGTGGTCGTCTGCACCTGGTTTTCGTTTATTGGCTTGTCGGTCCGACTGTCAATCAATACTTAGTAGGGCGGTACTCGCAGGACGGGCACTCTGCGAGTACATATAAAGAAACCCACGAAGCCAGTAGAGGAGTATGTAAGTCGCATGGTCTAGTTTCATAATTGATTGGTTTCAACGTCACTCCTTGATCTCAGCTGCTTACGGTTTTCTTCTGCCTCCTTTGAATGGTATCTATGTTACCCCAGGCGTGCTGATGTCGGTCTTTACGCTTGTCCACCGCGCCCTCCCCTTCCCTGGAAACGGCGCCCATCCACCAAAGGCAAAGAAAAAGAGGAGAGACCCGATGTTGTCGACATCGAGTTCCCAGCCTCCATCCCAAACTCCAAGGTCTCGCACAACGTTAGCCCCGAACCACGTACTGCCAAGCTACCCAACCCATCCCTGCCGGGTAACGGCTCCAGTTCCCTGCAGGTAGCGGTGAAGCAGAGCCCGGATCGTGCAGCGAGCGACTCATCAGGTGCGCTGCCTGCCCCCGATCCGGACCTATCGTCCGGCTCGCAGGCCTGTCTCGCGTATGTCCCCGATTTGCCCCGGCCTTCGTCCCCGCCGCCTCAACTTACCCGCGCGGTCAGCTGGGCTAGTATTGTTCGTAGCCGCTCGCGGTGGACTGTCGAGCAGGAGCGGGAGCTTGCCAGGGCAGAGGAGCAGTTGACGCGGTGTCAAAAGGCTTGGAGTTCGGAACAGGAGCTGTGGATTACTTATGTATGTCTGCATTTAGTCTTTTTGCTGCGTGTGCATATTCTTAGTGGAATCCATTTGCCCTTGGACGATTGCAAGTTCTTGTACTCCCTTTACTAATAGATGTTGTGTTACTCAGGTCCAGGCACTAAGTGAAGAGAAGGAGGCCCATCAGGGCTTCATGCTCATGCGTACGAAGCAGCAGGAGGACGAGCGAGCGCAGTTCCGCAAAGCTTGGAAAAGGCGTCGGTCAGTCGAAGACGCCGTGCAGCACAAAGAAAAAGCTTTGGTGATTCGGAGAAACTCGAGTGGCTTGTCCAAAATGCGCCGCGCACAACATGCATATACCAGTATGGCCTCGAGTAACTTCAAGATGGATGATATGGCTGTCACGAAGTCACCAATGCTGGCTTGTCAAGGATAGGCTACAAATCAATGATAATAATCTCAAGTTCTCTTTTTTTTTTCAACTTTTGTGGTTTCACCCTTCAATGAGTGCTTTCTAGCCAATCCATTGATCTTGTTGCTCTTGATCTATATCGAGTATCGGTAGACTTCGTAATTCAGTTTCTAGATCAGCACAAAAGTAATACAAGTCTAACCTTGTACCAGTACAATATATCTTCACCTCAGATCAGTCCTCTGCCTCACCTTCCCCCCTTCGTCTCTCGAATGCGGCCACTTGCGAAACAAATCCGCAATCATATCCAGCGGCGCCGTAAGCAACCCTGCCACCGTGTGAAAGGGCGGATCAACAGGAGCCAACGGATGCGATCTCGACGGCACAAATGCCTTCGTCCGATCCAAAACCCTCGCTATCTCCTCGCTTTCACCTTCCGACAGCGCCTCCTCTAGCGCCACAAAATCCTCGCTCTCTTCCCTCTGCATATGTGGCGTAAGATCGCCCATCAATTCCTCCAGGGCAGCTGCAAAGCGCGGATCTGTCGACGGCAGACCCTGGAATACCTTGAGCTGCTCTTTTATCGCGTGGTGCTCTGCGCGGTTCCTCGATACGACCTTGAATCCGTTCTTCACGTGGGCTGCTATGGCCGGGTACACCACGAGCTCTTCACCGATAACGTGGCGGGCTAGTTCCCATGTGAACAGGTTCTGGTATCTGGTTTGCTCGTCTGGGCTGGCCGAATGGAGGATCCGGTGGCTGTGGGCGTGGATTTCTCGGTGTTCTTGCTTGATTATGGGGAGGAGCCGGGGAGGCGTTGGGGTGTCTGTGGCGGTTGCGACTGTACGGAGTGTGAGGGCTTTGTGGATAGGCTTGAGGATGCTACCATATAGGTTCGCTGGAGTCCTCATAGCTGGATAATGGGGGTGCTATCTGTCTTGAAATGAGAAAACTTTAATGTCCAGATCACTGATGTTCTGCTGATCTGCCCGCGGCGATTTGTTCGAAATACCAGCGCCGGGGCTGTCTTCCAGCTTCTGTCATGGTGATTGCATTCCTAGTTGAGGTCGTGTCCTCGCCAGAAAATGCACAGAGTTTCTTCACTGATATTGGCCAGTTCTCGTTACAGACTCAAACTGAGGAGTTTGAGTAATCTTGGTTCTTTTTACCATGTCTGTCTCCCTCGATTCGGATATCGACTTCGCCACCGTATACTACTAGGGTACATGGATACCCATTCTCTATACGAAGGTTCCGCATGCACTGTTACCTGAAAAAGCTCCATTACGCCTATAAACAATACTGAGCTCATCAAAGAATCATAACCGGATATAAATTCATGATACACATCACGCTATAAAAATCATTCTCCCCAAGTCCCCAACCCTAGTTCTTCTAGGATTACCCTTCTCTACCCAAACACCAAAGCCCTAACTTCAATACTCTCCCGCGGCCGCGCTCCAGCCGGCGTCCTCGCATCCTCAAACGCCGTATGTGGCACCCACTGCGCAACACTCCCATCCGCCAACCCCTTCGAATCCGAACACTTGAGCAACAACCTTTCATCCCCCGTCATCCCCGACCAATAATTCCACTTCTGCCCGGGGTTGTACTGCACCCCCATCGTCTCCCCCACCCGGTTCGGATACCGGTGCTGCACCGGAACAAGATCACTCTCTTGCACCGACGCCGCCGACGCAAACGCCAACGGGAAACTCTGCACCGGCTCCGGCCCCAACGGCCGCCACACGTTGATGATCCTGTACCGGCCGGCCAGCAACGCCTCCGCCTCTTTGGGATCCGACACGTGCAGCCGCACGCGGTCAGCCGCGGCGCGCGGCGTCTGGTCCACGTGTGCGCGGCTCACGGGAGTGCGCGCGGAGCCCTCTTTCTGGCGCCGGATGGTGTGGTCGAAGAGGATGACTTTGTGCGCACCGGGCACCTTGTCCAGCAGGAATTGCGTGACCTCCGGGTAGTAGACGGAGCGGATGGTGTCGTCGGAGTCGAAGGTGGAGTATGTTGCGGCGGAGGGCACATTGGAGTGTGCGGAGAAGGAGTCTTTGTCGAGGGTGTAGGCGGCTTCATTGCCGCGGATGTCAGTCAGCGGGACAGTGACTTTTTGTTCGCGGTAGTTGTATTTGGGTTGTCCCGCTGGGGGGGTCTTCGACGTAGTTGAAGGGCGCGCTGCCGTCTTCCGGAGGCACGTAGAAGACGAGGCTTGCTTCAGCGGGTCCGCGCGGGACGTAGTCTGAGGATTGGGTGGCAGAGGAAGTTTGCGTGGTGGTGGACATGTTTGTCAAGTGGCTTTGGGAGTTATACAATGTCGATTCTTGCTGGATGTTGGAATAGATCCAGATGCGGAGGCGAGGTGTAGATGGTAGATTGCAGACAGATGGGTTGGAGGTTTGGACGCTTATGTAGATTTCGTTCCTTCTACTGTAGAAAGATTGGAGGCTTGTATTAGTGATCAAGATGGGTTTGTCATGTCATGCACTCCAGCGGCTCTTCTGATTCTATTTGGCGTCATCTATTTGTCATCTCGAGAAATGCGGAGAACCGGCCAGTCAAGGCGTCGAACGGCTACAACGGCAATGACCTCATTTGCAGCTCCAATCACCTCATCTCGGACACTTTTCTATAGCCTGGGGATTGATGCAGATCCTCCACTTCCTAAGCAGACGGCCAAAAATAACCTTCTGCAGTGCGTTAGCCCATTAAAGCTTATACTATGAGTACACCTGATAATCTTCTTATACCCCATATGTCTTAACTTTCACATATTACAAATCCTCCTGCATCTCACCTGGGCCTGGTATACCCACTTGGCTACTGAATACCACTAAATATATACCTTGCATAGTGGTTGCTCTACAAGCATCTAAATGGCAACCATGACTTCCAACATTTAATCTCAACCGTCCAACCTTCTAACAGCTTCGTCTTTGTTGCCCAACATTTTCGAGATGACTCGCACTAGCTAGGAAAGTTAGCTATTATGAAAAAATAAGGCAAAGTCTGCATCTACCAAGGCGCCGCGGATGAATCAATAAGTCTCTACACAATTCATCCCAACGTTATATCTTGTTGATCTGAACAGAATCTTAAAATGGTGGTAGGAACAGCAGCTCACTTTCCGTTACTACTAAGTAATTTTTTTTTCCAGAACTCAGAGAATTCTCATTACCGGGGTTAAACAAACGTGATCCTCATTTACAACTTAACATAGTCGTCGCTATACCAGTCTTCAATACGATTAACTAGTAGCAGTCATCATAGCCTGCCACTGACTGATTGCCGCCTGGGTAATCGTCTCATCTTTCTTGACTGCCAAGTTGACCCAACTCTGTGCAGCCGCTTCATCCTCCCCAACCTCGTCCGGCTCAGGCCATGGAAGCTTCTTGAAATTTCCGTTCGGACATATTTCGACCAACCAGTCTTGCGCGCTTGTATCGACCCATTCCGCATTTGGGAAGGATTCATTCATTTGAGTTGCACTGCGGACAGGGGACTCGCGAACGCTCGGAGTAGTTTCGCGAAGGCGGCTGGGAGTCTTAGGTTTGAAGACTTCGGCCTTGTTGCGGGCTCGACTGACCGGGGAAATGTCGTCATTAGGTGTCGAGGTTGCCGCGGTAGACGATGGCTTTTTGAGGATAGAGGGACCAGGCGTGCTGGATGGGTCTGCATGGGGTTTTGCTGCCGACCCGGACGGGGTCCCGGCAGATGATGGTTTTTTTGAGGATAGATGGGCCCGGCGTACTGGATGCAGGAGCCGGACCCTTTTCGGCCGAGGAAGGGGCCCCCGCAGACGAGGGTGATGAGAACCATCCAGGCACACTGAATGTTCCACGGGGGGTTAGTGACCGGGCGAGATGGGCCAGTCGGCTGTTTGTCGTCCCTGGGATATTCGGTCCACCTCGGAGCTCAGAATCAGACACCGGCAGAGACGAGCCACTCGGCTGCTTATCGTTCTTGGGAGGTTTTGGTCCACCTTTGAGCTCAGAGCCAGTGACCGGCCGAGATGGGCCCGTTGGCCGCTCATCTTTCTTGGGAGTCTCTGGGTCCCCCTCAGAGCCAATGGGTGAAAGATCAATCTTGGGCTGGAACTTATCGGCGGCAATTCGGCGGTTGAGCTTCGTTGGGGCCCTAGAGGTTGTGATGACATGTTTGCGGCGCTTGTTGGGGCTCTTGTTCTCTTCCTTGAGCTTTCTCTTCTTGCTTATCCTTGTCTCAAGCTCATACTGGGCCTCGGCAAAATCACCCTCATCGGAATCGCAATCGATAAAGAAGGATTCATCGAGGCCATACCCACCACCTGATGGGCCAGGTATGCTTTGAGGGGAAGGGGGCTTTTTATCCTTTTTGGCATCCAGTATTTTCTGCTCTTGCGCAAGCATGAGCTCCAGGCACTCCTCGTCAGTAAGAGGCGGGGCATTGGGTTCCGGGATCTGCTGGAGTGGAGTTGTCAGACGACGTCCGCGCCGCATGAACTGTCTACGGGCTTCCGACGATAGGGACCAGTTTGGGGGGGAGATGGAGAGGATTTACCTTTCCACTCCGTAATTCAGAGCCAAGTTTTTCGAGGGTTCTCTTATCACGGTCCTCTTGGTTTTGGGGAGAATCGGCCTTTTCAGCAGCCGCCTTTTCAGCAGCCGCCTTTTTCGCAGCCGCCTTTTTGGCAGCGGCCTCTTTGGCGGCGGCATCCCGGGCAGCCTCCTTGGCGGCGAGCTCCTTTGCATAGGCCTCCGCAGCTCTCTTTCGGGCTTTGTTGCTTGCCACGCGGTATTTAGATGGTGCGCGGGGTCGTAAAAGGTGCGCAAAGGGGGGCTTAGGTGGGTGACCTGTACTCGAAGGTCCTGTCAAGACAACAGGCATCATTGACGCTTCCACGGTATCAGTAGCCGGTGTTTCGGGGGTAGTGCTTGGTGCATCAGAGCCCGTATCAATTTTAGTCTCGGTTCCAGTACTCCTCTGTGTTTCAGTAATGGCGGCTTCCTTTGTTTCGTTACCATGCGGAGCAACACGACCACGAATCGCTGTCCAACGTCGCGAGACACTGTTGAAGATCCATCGGCTCCAGCTACCCGGCTGGTTGTCAACATCACCTTGGTTGGTATCGCTGGCTTGGTTGGTATGCCCGGCTTGGTTGACAGCCCCGGCTGGGTTGGTGGTTTCAGTGGTATCAGTGGCCATTTGGACCGTGTCCACACGAGTATCATCAGTATCGGCGACCCTATCAGTACGGCGATCATCAGTATTGGTGGAGTTCGCCTTGTTTTCCTCGTTGGCTTGGTCCGGAGGCACGAGGTCTGAAACACGGAACAAGGTTGACTTCATAGAGCCTATGGCCTCTATTCGACGACGATTGGAAATTGCCGCGTATGAACGAGGTCCCCGGCGAATGGGTGTCGCATTCTGTGGGGCGAGCACCTGCGCACGGGGTGGGGAGTCGGTTGAAGATCCAGGCGAGCTTGATCGGCGTTGAGAGGAGCTGCGTCGGCGGCGATGGCGTCGTCGGTGGCGGCGGGGGCTGTCCGGTGGGCCGTCAGTTCCGCGGGTGAGGGTCCTAGGTAGCCAGCCTGCTGTGGCGAGGTTTGTCAATTCCTGAAGGAGGTCCATATTGCCCATGGCGGGCACATCCGGTAAAAAATTGAAGAATGAGATGATCCAGGTAACCCAGGCAGTTCCACGAGAGGCAGGAGCAGGGGCAAGAGCGGGAATAGGAGTGTAGATGGGAGCAGAAACCACAGGATAGTCAACGTCCATTTCGGACGCAAAATGGACCGAACGCACTGGTGATGGCGCAGTGGCATCATCAGTCTGCATGGCATCGAGGCCAGGCCCGACTTCATCGACGACCATAGCGTCATCACCAGGTGAAGGAATGATAGCCCGCGCCAGGGTAATCACGACCTGGATATCGGGGTGAGAACACTCACCATTAGACTCTTCAGTCTCAAGGGACTGGATGGGATGGTCCTCCATTGGGGAGGCAGACTAAGCATCTTGTTAACGTATACATACAGACGGAAATTTTAGGGTCTGTTTACCTTTTTAGAAGGGGAACGACGACGACGAGGGAACTCAAGCTTTAGTTCCTCCCCCTTCTTGATGGGATTGGAACGGGTTCGAGCCATCTCGGAATTTCTGGGAAAGAGATATGAAGATGTTTGAGAGGCTGAGAGGTAGTTTCCAAAAGCCAATAGTAACGTATTCGTAACTTGCAGGTTGATTCGAAGTCGTAAAGAGGGTGCTAGAGCAGTGGCAGAGGTTGTTGTTGTGCTGTGCTTTGTTTACGTTTTAGGGTTGGGACTGTTGTTTGGGTTGCCAAGCGGTTTCCCAAAGTGGCAGAAAAAACAAAAGGCAAGAGCGTATGACCGGTTACTTGTGGTTGAAGGTGTAATAGGCCTACCTCTCCTTCCCCCATTCGACGTGACATCCAAAAGTTCAGAATAATTTTGGCAGAATACTTCCATACCTAGGCGGTGTATTCATTTGTTGCCTAAGGCTAATTATGCACGGGCCGTCTATGGTGGACTCGCCGTGATTGTTCCCGCATCTTTTGGTGTGTATTTACAAGTGAGCAGGAGTGGGTGCTAATTTACCCAACTTCATGGTGGCCGTCATATACATTCGCTATATCCTCACTGTATTATAATATTACGAAACCTTGCACTTGAGTTCAGACAAGGTACAATGGATCTTAGTCTGTCCGAGATATATGTAGCACGTGAGTTTATGTGATTGGAGGTGACTGGATAAAAGAATGTTAATGAGTCGGAGATATAGTCTGAACTTTACTGGGTTGTTTTATTTAAGCATGTTAGTTGCCTATTGTATTCAAATGTTTCTCTCAAATCTAATTTCTCATGTCTCCTCCTAATACGGTGCACAAGCAAAATTAGTATTAAGTGGTGCACAGCTAGGCGTATAGTCTAGGATAACGAAAATCCTAACATTCGAGTGTAAAGTGATACATCAACTATAAGCTATATTGAAGGACCCAGGAAATTGCAAGGATGAAAAAATATGATAACAAGGAAGCTAATTATACAGATGAACATTATGTTCCTTCAATTCTTGATGATCCTTAACAAAATTTCCCCAGCTACACGTGACACCAAAGGTACAGGATATTTTGCTAGCCTGACCATCAATACGCAATCTCAAGCATATCTATCTGCTTCTTTGCTTGGCCTTATTAGATAGCAATCTCCCCCTTCCATGATGCCTCAGATAAACCCAATGTTTGCATCAGGTTTTGCCATCGAGGACCGCCCCGTTCCTTCCGACGAAGGTACTGTAAGAGCTTTTGTCGCTTGTGCACAAGAATTTGCAGGTTACGCTTGTTGTGCTTATCCTTGTTGGCGGTCTGCAAATGTCTGGAAAGGTTCATGATCTTGACCGTCAAGATGGCAGCTTGGACCTCGGGAGACCCGGTGTCGGGACCAACACGAACGGCCTTTTCTAGATTACCCGTAGACATATCGTTTTGCAAGCTAGCAGGCTTCGGCGGCAGAACCGAGTCTGTGTGGTGTCGGCCAAGTTGCTCAATGCATTTTTGTATATTCAACCGCATGCGATCTTTGGTGTTGCCATTGTTGAGGTTGACTATACGCTGAATTGCCTCTTGTGCGTTCTTATGGGCCCTCTCATGTTGCTCGAGTGCCTCCTTTTCGATTTGAGGGTCGGCAGTATCCCGATCAGGGTTTTGCAGGGGTTCACTGAGATCTTTCGAGAATGACAGTGCACTGGTAAGCTCGCTCGGATTGAGATAGAAGTTGAGCTTGTTTTCGGTGGTACGCGTTTGAGATACTTTCTGGGTCGATTCGATCTCTTGAATGAAAGGGGTCGGCTCGCTTTTCACGGGGTCACCGAGAGATGCCTCCCGCTCGGTCTGGAGGACTTTTTGACGAGAGAGATTTGCAGCTTTGCGCTGACGTGCCTGCGCAATCCGAAAGAAATCGGTCCGCTTCTGCGTTGAAGCTTTTGAAGAAGCCGCTCTCGTCACAGCATATGTGGTGAGAGATGACGCGGAGGTTGGCCTTTGCCCGGCGAACGCGCCTATGAGAGGGTGAAAATCAATCAGCGATTAGACCTCATTTTTGAGGGTAGTAAAGTTGCTTTACCTGTCAGGGCCTTGGTAGAGGGCTGAATCGAGAAGCGCAGCGGCATCGTGATCGACTGGGCTGTCAATACCTCCCAACAGCGTCAGAGACGTTCTGCATACCACTTCTTCTGATCGGGAAATCTTGCGGTCCGGAGAATATACGCTAATCTACTTTTGGAGGTCACAGGGCATTTCTGCCTCAGGCCTTAGTTTGCGTGGTTTTCACCGGTAGTCCAGATAGCCCTAGCCCTAAATCTCACAGAAAATTGGCGCAAGCGAAATTCCTCCGAGTATGCGGCGTGATTTTCGCGATCCGGCTTTGGACTACTTCCCTCCATCACCACGACAAGAGCCAACCGATTGATCACCTCCTCTCGTCCATCAATCAATCGCCCACCATGGCCCCCTCTCAGCTCCCCCCTATCTTCAACCCTACCCCCCAGGACATTGAGATGCTCCTGGCCGCCCAGTGCCACCTTGGTTCCAAGAACATCCAGGTGCACATGGAGCCTTACCTCTGGAAGACCCGCCCCGACGGCGTCAACGTTCTCAACATTGGCAAGACCTGGTATGTAGAATAAAGCAGAGCGCCTTTCCTTCCCCGGACGTTCTGGAGTAAACCTTGAGACATGGAAACTAATTCGATATTTCCCCATACAGGGAGAAGATCGTCCTGGCTGCCCGTATCATTGCTGCCATCGACAACCCCGCCGATGTCTGTGTCATCTCCGCTCGTCCCTACGGTCAGCGTGCTGTCCTGAAGTTCGCCGCCCACACCGGTGCCACCGCCATCGCCGGTCGTTTCACCCCCGGTAACTTCACTAACTACATTACCCGCTCTTTCAAGGAGCCCCGCCTCATTGTCGTGACCGACCCTCGCACCGATGCCCAGGCTATCAAGGAGGCTAGCTACGTCAACATCCCCGTCATTGCTCTCTGTGACACCGACTCCCCCACCGACTTCGTCGATGTTGCCATCCCCACCAACAACAAGGGCCGCCACTCCATCGGTCTTGTCTGGTGGTTGCTCGCCCGTGAGATCCTCCGTCTCCGTGGTACTCTTGCTACTCGCGAGACCGAGTGGGACACCGTTGTCGATCTCTACTTCTACCGCGACCCCGAGGCCGAGGAGAACAAGGAGATTGCTGATGAGGCCAAGGTCCCCGGTGCTGATGAGATCGGCGCTGGTGCCGTTGAGTCTGGCTTCGCCGGCGACAACTGGGATGTGAACGCCCCCGGTGCTGGTGCTCCCGGCACTGCCTTCGCTGCTGCCAGCGCTGCCGTTGGTGCCACCAGCTGGGAGGCTGACGGTGGTGACTGGGCTGCTAGCTCTGCTCCCCAGACCGGTGACTGGGCTGATGCCCAGGCGCCTGCCACTGAGGCCAAGTGGTAAATCCACTAGACTGGCCAGGATAGGCATTGAGAGAGAGGATGTATGATCTATACCCCTACGAAAATGCCATGGCGATTGGGATGGTTTGGACGAATCTCGTATTCCTGGAGGTGTGCGAGGTGAGGAAAATGCTCTTGTTTGTTTTTTTCACTGATGAAACCAATACATGTGGTGGAACCCTACCATCCCCGCAAAAAATCCCTTGACATGTCTATCCTAGTTTCTGTCAACACAAAAAAGCAAAAGAAACTGAAAAAGCAGAAAGAAAAAGAGCTTCCATCACGAATTTCTCTTTTGCAACAGTGATTTTATCTTCCCGGCACTCTTGTTGATATTCCTTTTATTCGTTTTGCATCGGGGAGGAATAGCGACGACAATTACTTGACAGGCGCTTATGAGGGAAAGATATCCAGTTGTACAACTGGGGGAAAGCCCTGTGCTGTCAATCTACAAGGTGGACTTAATCGTTACCTTGGTTTCTTCCTGTTTGTATCCTAGTAATCGGAAGATCGTGCTTGGTACCATTGCTCCCCTCGTATTTCGTAGATATCTGGTAGCAAATCTGTAAAGTACTCACGGCAGAGCTCTATAGTGGAGTGCTTCCTATCGGGTAGCACCCGTTTCCTAGGCCTCGTCCTGGCTCTTACTACCGTCGTGTGATCGGATAGCTCCAACACTTCGAGAACGCACTGCATTTTTATTCAAGTGGCGCATTGTTTAATATGCGATAGTTGGATGTTTTCATAAGATATTGCAACCTCCCGCGGTCTGTCCGCCTTTTGCAGTAGTCGTCATTCCGGCAAGTCTTGCTAAATCTTCAAAGGCCTCCGGAAGCAACTCGCCCGTCATAGCTGAGCATTCAGCATAACGATCGCAGCGGAGTTCCTGTGCTATACGGTAAGTCTGGAAATATTGTCAGCTCAGTTCCAGACCCGAACGGGTTTAGGGAAACCCACTTCTTGGGGGTATATCAGGTTGTCTCCTTCTTCTCTCAGATCTCTCTTCAAACCCAGCATCATGACTGGTATACGCTCACCATACCCATGCTGGAAGAACCGAGTAATGTCATTTCTCCACTGTGAATAATTGTGAGCGTACTTGTTCATACAGTGCGTATCAAGGATGTGGAACTCACGCCTTTCAAGCCCGCCAAAGTCTCTCGATTTGAGATGTCAAATGCAATCACGACTACGTCAGGTTGCAAAGTAGACCAATGTTGGTTAGGATTTGAGGTGTCATAGAGTTCCAACCTGAATTTCCTCTTGGAGAACCGAATATCATAAATGAAAGGCTGGTCACTATCCCGCGCGATCTCGGGTGGACTGTGTTGGACACCACCAAGATGCGTTGGTGGCCGCAGGTTGTTACTCTTGATGCGCCTGCTCCAAAGGTTAGCATTCCAACAAGTCTCTTACATATTTTGACCAGGCGAGTGCAAGACTGGGCTCCGGATCGGAGCATCTCAATTCTAGTCATGAACGAGAAGGGTGACAACTGACGATAGAAACGTGGATTTGCCGCATCCTGGGTCGCCCAAGAGCAATAAGGTGACTGTTGTCTCCACCTCCGTTGACTCTGGATCTTCCATGATATTATTTTCGGCCTTGAGGGCCTTTCATAACGAGGAAACGCAAGAAATCCGTCCAAGGGTTTGCTTCGAAACCCCGATTTGCGAACACGGGAGGAGGGGAGATAAGGCTGATAGCGGATCTTTGTCACATCTATGAAAATAACTACGTATTCCACGATGAGCAGTCCAATTTGAGCACCGTTTGTTACGTGACTGGAATTACAGGGATTCCACTCTTCAATTGGTTTGGAAAGCTCGATTAGGGCTGTAGGAAGAAATAAAAGGCATTATTACATGCAAATACAACGGCCGCAGAGTTTATGCACACAGAACCGTCCGTAGAACATTACATTACATTACATATACCAAAAAAATACCAGTATCCGCGGAGATTTTAAAATTCTCGATCCAATCAACAACCACTTGACGCAGTACAAGGAGAAATCGGTTCCAATTGCCCTTCAGTGGCATGTGGAGACGACAAGCGAGGGTGTCAGTGTCGCTTGCAATCCAACAGATTTTAAAGCACCGAGCAAGTCGCCAGTACCATTCCACGGCACTAAAGATGGCCAACGCAGGCCAGGAGGGGCAACCCGACTATTCAACATGGTCCAACTCGAGCCTCATCGAGCGCATAACAGAGCTAGAGCGCCAACTTCATTCGCAAACTACCCAGTTCTCAGCGCCCGCTGATGCGGAAACGCCCCGTGCGCCAGCGCCGATTGCCTGCGACGGTTACGAGCCTGCGATTCCGCTACCCAGCGCTGCGACAAACTCGCTCAAGAAGAGAGTACATTCACCTGCCACCGATATAACACAGACTCCGGCTCCGGCGAAACCAGGAAGGACGAAGGAAGCAAAAGAAGATCGTGGCTTCGACCCCTCGAAATACTCATCGCGCTTCATCGCGCTCAAGTTCGCGTACCTTGGACAGCGGTACAACGGGCTGGAGCATACAAATGGGAATGTGACTCCGCTGCCTACTGTCGAGGAGGTTTTGTGGAAAGCTATGCGGCGTACCCGTCTCATCATGCCTGAGACAATGCCGCCGGACGCGCCCGACGATATGGAACCAAGGGCTATTCGTCCGTATTCCATTTCTTGGGATGGTTGTGATTACTCAAAGGCTGGGAGAACGGATCGTGGCGTCAGTGCTTTCGGACAAGTAATTGGTATTCGCGTCCGAAGTGCTAGGCCGAAGCCCAAGTCTACAACTGCTTCGGAACAACAGGGTCTACAGAACCAAGATGAGATGCAGGTCGACCAGTCCGCTGTGGATCAGGACTGGGATGACATCGCCGATGAGCACTCTTATGTACAGATTTTGAACAGGGTGCTTCCAGAAGATATTCGCATTCTGGCTTGGTGTCCCCATCCTCCGCCCGGGTTCGATGCTCGTTTCTCCTGTCGCGAGCGCCGTTATCGCTACTTCTTCACACAGCCTGCCTTTTCACCAACTCCGGGCGCGTTGGGTTTCGAGAATCGCCGAGGGGACCCGAACGGGCCTCGCGCAAAATACCGCGAAGGTTGGCTCGATATCGAGGCAATGCGGGAGGCTGCAAAGCACTTTGAAGGCGAGCATGACTTCCGGAACTTCTGCAAACTCGACACAACCAAGCAAATCGAGAACTTCCGCCGTATGATCTTCCATTCTGACATCGAGCTCGTGAACCCCAAGACTAATCCTCTTGGCTATGTATCTGGACCTGGTTTCCGGGCATTGGAGGACGCCCAGGATACGGACATGACCTCTTTGGAGCCACCGCCCGCTACCACGCCCCAAGTATATTCCTTCACACTCCATGGTTCTGCATTCCTATGGCACCAAGTGCGGCACATGGTGGCCATTTTGTTTTTGGTTGGCCAAGGACTCGAAGCCCCATCCATTGTTCCCGAATTGCTAGATGTTGTGAAACATCCTCGCAAACCAGCGTACGACATGGCATCTGATGCACCCTTGGTCCTTTGGGATACCATTTTCCCCGACGAGAGTTCCGGCAATAGAGAGGATGCTCTTGACTGGGTCTATGCAGGAGATCCCCGCCTCAACAAGAACAAAAGTGCCAAGGGGGATAGTAAGTTTGGCATGAGAGGTGTAATTGAAGACATCTGGTCAGTTTGGAGACAGCGTAAGATAGATGAGGTTCTTGCTGGCGCCCTATTGGATATGACTGTTGCCCAAGGTGATAACAGCATCATCAAAGAAATGGAGAGCAAGCAAGGCGCCGTCAAGAAGCATGCCAGAGGAGCCAAGGTCTGGCTAGGGGCAAATGATTCTCGGACTGGCGGGAAATATGTACCTGTCTTGCAGAAGGCCACAACAGACACTGTCGAGGCCAGAAATGCTAGAGGCTTGGTGACGAAGCAGCGCAAACTGGCCAAGAAACAGGATGCCGAAGCAAAGAAGGCAGCTTGAACCTCGACATCTTAACCTTCTCCCAGAGATAAAAAGCATGAATAGATTCAAAGCGATTTCATCAGCGGCATGTCTCTTATCACGATTTGGCATCATAAAGACAACGACGAGATCCTCTCCAAACCTCCTCTAAAATATCTCGTTTAGGTAATAGTTGCTAGGGTTTGGGTTAGAAGATATTCGTTTAGATAGGTAGGAAAGAGACATACCGGAAAGACTACAAGGACCTGAGGCTCCCCTTCCACAATTACGGCCAGATAAAACCGAACTTCGAATCCTTTGAAAGCCTCATGGATGACGATATCCTGGATCTGCGTCGTAGGTATGAACCTGGTCGATGCTGTTGAAAGGTATGTTGAGGATGAGGTAGAGGTTTGGATTCCAAAGCCCCGAATTACTAACAACGACTCCTCTGTGATGAAGATTAAAAATGTAAATCATATGCTTATTAGCATCCAAAGGGGCCTCCTGTTTAAACATACCGGTATAGCCACGCCTAAATACTCCATAGACCACAATCACACATATCGCCGCAACAATCCATGGATTGTTCTTGTCTACCAAGTTACACAGGTACGTTTGATCGAGCTGGGACCACAGGGGCTGCAAAGATGGGGCCCAGCGATCTATCTCTGGGAAGTTTTTTTCAAGCTGGACAGCCCCAATTGTGATGACGCAGAGAAGTAAGAAGGCGCGTAGTAGAATTTGAAGGCCGAAGAGGATCTTCGCGGGGGTATTGGCGCGGCGTGGCGCATTGGAGACAGTAAAGCTGACCGTTGTCGGAGAAGGCCGTCGAACACAAAGCCGACAGGCCATTTTGCCAGATGGGAGGAGTTGAATATCAACACAGATCACCCCTAGATGATTGCGGGAATCCAAGCAACCTCAACGAGCAGCATCTACGGGGAAGCATCAAGCTCCCTGAAGCCCGCAACATGTGCTAGTCTGTATCGGGTATAGTACATATCTTCTAATAGTCACGTGATGGGCAGCTCTATTCCAATCGCCATTAGGGCCGGTCTCTTACAACTCCCTCTTCTCTCAGCCACCAATACGCTCACGTCGCTTTCGTGATTTCCCAACATGGGTGATCGATCGCGAAGCCGCTCTCCCCGTCGCCAAGATGGCGGAGACCGTGATCGCCCCCGAAAGACTGGTGGCTTTAGATGGAAAGAAAAGCGGCGCGATGATGACCGTGATGATCGTGGACTTGATCGAGGGTATCGCACACGAGACCGTGCACGCTCTCCACGCCGAGGGAACGATAGTGACCGATACAGAGAGCGACGCGACGACCGTGAGCCGCGCCCACGACGAAACGACCGCGATGAACCCCGGGATGGCCAAGAAAAGAAAAGGACAGAAAAGAAGGATAAGAAAGACAAGAAACCCGCTGCTCCAGCATCCTCAGAGCCTATGATTGTTGTGAACGTCAACGACCGTCTTGGAACTAAGGCTGCGATTCCTTGTCTTGCCTCTGATCCCATCAGTATGTTCCTTGCTTGTTAGAGTACAGTCCCAGTGCTAACTCCATACTAGAGCTTTTCAAAGCCCAAGTGGCTGCTCGGATTGGCCGTGAACCGCATGAAATCCTACTTAAACGCCAGGGCGAGCGTCCTTTCAAGGATCAGCTGACCCTCGAAGACTACGGGGTGAGCAATGGCGTACAACTTGATCTGTGAGCTCTTGTTCCCCAAACCCCAGATTATTAAGAAAAACAGGTGCTAAAAGTGTCTCTAGGGAAGTTGGAACGGGCGAATAGATGACTTCATATCCATATTTCATAGTTATCGGGGCCAGGTGTTTGTTTTTCAAGGTCAACGGATTCGGAGCATAGGCGGATGTGCATTGGCTTCTCATTTCTTATTTTGTGACCATTCCTCTTTTTCTTTCTTTTAACCCTTATGAATACGGGCGGCTAGTATTCTATTGCCAGCTGAATGAAAATGCAGCTAGAAAGCTGTCTTATTCTGAAAGCCCCAAATTTTGAGAGTGTGAGACAATGGCCGTTGCGGGGTGCAGCTTGCGTGCCTGCCTTGCGCTTTCCCTGATCCGGGATCGACACCTGAGGCCCCGCCGGCCAGCCAACCCGAGGCCGTCAGTTTGTTCCACTCTTGAAGAGGCTTTTTTTCGATCGCGGGACTCACACGAGCTTTCATTTTTTTTCCCTCCGGGCCATTGTCCGGTCTGCTACTCGACCTCCCCATTCTTCTCGCAATGAGGTAGCTGCTACACTCTCCACTCTGATCATATCTTTCTACATCTTATCAGCTTCTGCCATTCCCTCTCGAACCTCCCTTCCCGCCTAGAACTTGCCGCCATCCGGACACCTCGACTTCCTCCACATCCCCCGCAATTAGACTGGGCGTCCAACACCTGCCCTTCGTCGCCTAAACCGCCAAGCATACTCAATATGGTTCGCAACCTAGTTGTCATCGGAGGGACCTCCCACCCTCAGTTGACAGAAAACATATGCGGCGTATTAGGAATCCCAAAAGCCGATGTGCTCCTCTCCAAGTTTGCTGTCGGTGAAACTCGGGTAGAAATTCAAGAATCCGTCCGTGGAAAGGACGTCTATATCATTCAATCTGGCGGCGGCAAAGTCAACGACCACCTGTTGGAGCTTTTGATTACCATCTCGGCATGCAAAACAGCCTCAGCTCGCCGGGTTACCGCTGTGCTTCCTCTGTTCCCATACTCTCGCCAGAGTGATATCCCCTACGACAAGACCGGGGCTCCCCTCGCCAAATCATCCGTCAACAACCGCCCAAACAATGGCTACACTTTTGAGAGCACTCCTTCTACCCCAGGCCTAGGCGGTAAAACCGAGGGCCTTGGTGTCATTAATGGTATGGATAACCTCCAGAAGAGCCTTGCCAAGGCTCAGATCGAGGAGTCAAATGGCAGCCCTGTCAAGAAACAGCGTCCTGTGAATGGTCTACCCCGTAGCAATACGAATGAGTCGATCAACGGAGGCACGGGAAGATTCGGCGAGCGCCGTTTCCTATGCGAAGATCAATGCTTTCCAGCCACGCCCGGGATACAAGCAGTGGGTTGCACAGGCTGGAACCCTGGTGGCTGACTTGTTGACTTGCGCGGGCGCGGATCACATCATCACTATGGACTTGCACGATCCTCAATACCAGGGCTACTTTGATATCCCTGTGGACAATCTCTACGGCCGCCCTCTTCTCAAAAGCTATATCCAGCGGAATGTCCCAAACTACAAGCAAGCTGTCATTGTCAGCCCAGATGCAGGTGGTGCCAAACGTGCAACAGCCATCGCTGACCAGATGGGAATTGAGTTTGCTTTGATCCACAAGGTTCGTATTGGGTTCTCTTCCATCGACTTGCTCTGTCTGGCACTTCGAATAATTTCCCTTTTCGGAACTGACGGCCGATCCCCTGCAGGAGCGCCGCCCCACAAAGATCACAGACCGCCAGAACGCAACCATGATGCTGGTCGGTGACGTCCGCGATCGGGTAGCTATTCTAATTGATGATCTAGCTGATACCTCTAACACTATCACCCGCGCTGCGAAGCTCTTGAAAAAAGAAGGGGCCTCCCAGGTGTATGCGCTAGTCACCCACGGGATCCTCAGTGGTGACGCTATTGAGCGTATCAATGCCAGCTCATTGGACAAAGTAGTGGTGACCAACAGTGTGGACCAGAGCGACCACCTGCGTCGTTGCCCCAAGCTCGAGGTGCTCGAGGTTGGCCACGTTTTTGCCGAGGTAGGTCTTATAAGTCCGCTTCGAATGCGCCACCCACGATTTGCTGACCGCTTCATGCAGGCCATCCGTCGTGTTCACCACGGTGAGAGCATCAGCGTCTTGTTCCAATACGACTGATGTTCCCAGGCATAACCAGATGTTGCTCCTATGACTGAAATATTTCCCTTTATAAAAAAAAGAGAAAATCATCAAGGGAAACATGAAATCTCTGGCTCGGTTTGCGGTGTTAAAATATGCAATTCAAATGAATCTTTCCTTTGGATCTACTTGGCGTTGATTATGGCTTGGAAGATTTCTGTGCTTATGCTTTTCCTTGCGCAAACTACACCCTTTCCTTTTCGATAGAAACTACGGGCCACAGTAAACTCCTGTCTTCAAATTCATGCGGGCACATTGTTGTGAGACTCTGTGGGACTCAACTTACGGCAGATCCTGTTACATCTAGACCGCTTTCGGCTCTCGCCATCTTGAACATATCAAATCAAAGCTATCGAGCCCGAACACGTGGCCACTGATTCATGTTCCTGGATCACGGCACTGACCACATGGGAACCTTGGAAGAACTTTCGGCCCCGGAAGTTGTAACCTAGGGCGCGGAGCCTTGCGGGCAGATGCATTATTGATTACCACCTCGTGAAGGCATGCTATACCAAGGACAGGCGCATCTGGCCAGGTGAAATTGTTCTTCTATATCACAGAAGGAGAACACGAGGTTGCCGAACGCCTTTGGGGTGTGGAAGAGCAAAAGAAACGAGAAAATAACAAATCGAAACCAGATGTAACAATTCGTCCCGATGTGGGAGGCGATGCGCTCGCTCATTCACTGCAAAGAAAAACGACTTGAGTACATAACATAGATACAAGGGTGAAGAGATGAAGGGTCATGAGTCGTCTAGAGCTTAGAGAACGGAAATGAAGTTTCCGATTCTCTCCTTCTGGTTCTGTGCAATGCATTCGGCGATCCAAGTGACATTGCGGATTTCCTGGAAGCCGTCGTTAGCTGAGAACCCAGTAGAAGGCTATTCTAGAGGATCTCTCACCTGTTCTTTCAATTTGATCCATGCGTATACTACCGCAGGTGTGAACTGGCGGGTGAACACCATCTTTGACATCTCCATTTCCTTTTGGTAGAAGAGATCTTCGAGGCTCTTCCCGTCACCGCCCATGCCACCGAAACCTCCGCTCCCTTGGCTGAGCCCGACAGCGTCAAAGAAAGCCTTGTACTCTGACACAGCACTCACGGCAAGGGCCACCGCATCAACATCCTCAGCCCGCGACAGCATGAAGCTGCCTTCCGGGTAGAGCTTTCCAAATTCTGGGTAAAGCTTCCTTCGGTCTTGCTTGGATAGCTCGGTTCCGAAGGAGTTCAAGGTGATGTTGATGGAGCGGCGATCGGCCTCGAACTGCAGAATCTCTGACATGGCCTCCTGAGTCGGTCCACTGAAATCTGGGTTTGTATTAATGAAATTGTAGAAATCTTCCAGGTAGTTCTTATAGAGAGTGTTCCGGACAATCTCGATGTTCAGCTCATCCAGGTCGGTGTGCTTGAGACTGCTCTTGAAGTATGGAGCCAGAGGGGTCTCAATTAGCACTATATTGTAAAGATCTTCAATGGTCTCGGCACCACATAGCGAAGGCAGAGTCACAAACCAGCCCAGCGGGTGGCATCGCTCCAGGAGCTCGCTGGTGTTGCGCTCGTGCAGAGTACCGGTGATCATAAGCGCAACATTGTCGATCATGTAGCCGTAGGTGAGATACTCAAGGAACTTGGCAGTGGATCCAGTGGACTGGTGAACGAGGTATCTGAACTCCGACACCAGCTTGTCGAGCATCCTGCCTGCGAGGGCGGAGGTGGAGGGGTTTGGAGGAAGAGAGGCTAGGAAGTCACCGTAGGAAGGGCCCAGTTGGAGCTTGACATCTGCAATACAAGAAGTTCAGCCTTGGTACGTTAGTTTGAAGCTTACGGGGAAGGCATACCATCAATGGTTTCGCATTGTGTCAAGTTGGAGTAGTTCTGACCATTGAGCAGGCTATTGCGATAGCCACGAACGATGCCCTCGACGTAGCTAAGACGGATAAGTCAGCACGATAGGTAGACTGGTCCAGCGTGTAAAACTTACCCCGAATTCACATTGAAGAAAAGACCCTCCATGATGGCGAAGGAAAACGATATGAGCGAGACTTGGGGACCTTCACACCTGCTGTCCCCGTAGCTTCAAGTTGCGCGGGCACTTACATAAGCCACACTCACCGCCTGAGCCACATGTGGCGGTGCCTTTTTTGCACTTTTTTCTTCCCGAGCAAAATTTCTAGATTAAGAATTTCTCTCTTCAACGGTGCATGAGTCCACGGTCACCCTCCTGTTTTCCCACCTTCTTTAACGACTCGACCGGACTCCTTTCTCTTTCTTGCCTTTAATTTGTCTATTTTTCGTGATTGCGAATTGACCGCGCTCACCATGTCGCTTTTCATCCTCCAGGAGACCAGCGCGGGTTACGCCCTGCTGAAGGCGAAGGACAAGAAGCTCTTCAAGCGCGAAAAGTTTCCTGAAGATGGCTCAACTGCTGAAGGTGCATCCAATCTGTAAGTGTGATCAAGTCTTCATAAGGGGGTGAAAAAAGGAATTGGGAAGAGATCCACGCCGATTTTTGGCGAGATTAGATGCAATTAGGGAAAGAATTTTTGATCGACGGGACAAAGCCATTAACGGACAGTAGGTTCAAACTGAAGACATTCCAGAAGTTCGAAAGTGCTGCTGCAGCTGTGGAGGAGACCACTGCCATCTCCGAGGGCAAGGTCACCCCCCCGCCTGGCCTCGCTCTTGGATGGAATTAAAGATGAGAAGAAAGCTTCGCTTGCTGTTGCGGACAGCAAACTCGGTATGTCTCACCACAATGCGTAGAAGTCAGCCTGCTTTTTCTGACCAATTCTTTGCAGGAAACTCGATCAGCAAGCTGCCTGGCCTCTCGCTCGAATTGATCGCCGACTCAACCACCCAAGACGCTTTCCGTGCTATTCGTGAAAACTTGACTACCCTGATCCCTACTCTCGCTCCCAGTGATATGTCCACCATGGCTCTCGGTCTATCACACTCTCTTGCTCGTCACAAGCTGAAGTTCTCCCCTGACAAGATCGACACTATGATTGTCCAGGCCATTGGCCTGCTCGATGACATGGACAAGGAACTCAACACCTACGCCATGCGTGTGAAGGAATGGTATGGCTGGCACTTCCCCGAGCTTGCCAAGATCCTTAACGACAACATTGCCTACGCTCGCCTCGTCCTCAAGATGGGCATGCGCACCAACTGGGAGACTGCTGATCTCTCTGAGATCCTTCCTGAGGAGATCGAGGGGGCCGTCAAGTCTGCCGCTGATCGGTCCATGGGTACCGAGATCAGCGAGAACGACCTCGAGAACATCCAGGCTCTGGCTCATGAAGTTGTTGCTCTGTACGAGTACCGTGCTCAGCTGTCCAGCTACCTGAGCGCCCGTATGAACGCCATCGCTCCTAACCTGACTGCCCTTGTCGGTGAGCTCGTCGGTGCCCGTTTGATTTCTCACGCTGGTAGCCTCACCAGCCTTTCTAAGAGTCCCGCCTCTACCCTTCAGATCCTTGGTGCTGAGAAGGCTCTCTTCCGTGCCCTGAAGACCAAGCACGACACCCCCAAGTACGGTTTGATCTACCACGCCTCGCTGATCGGCCAAGCCACCGGCCGCAACAAGGGCAAGATGGCTCGTGTCCTCGCCGCCAAGGCATCGCTTGGTCTCCGTATCGACGCTCTCGCCGAATGGGATGCCGATGAGGGCGAGGAAGAGAAGTCTGCTTTTGGAAACAAGTCTCGATTCGACCTCGAGCGCAAGCTCGCTGGTATGGAAGGCAAGCCCATCAAGCCTAAGGGCGTTGCTATTGCCCCCCAACGGCGCTGCCACCCAACCCCAGAAGTTCGACCTCAAGGAGGCCCGCAAATACAACCCTGACGCCGATGCCTTGGACTCAGAAGAGCCAGCTGCCCCTACCAAGTCCAAGAAGGATAAGAAGAAGGACAAGAAGCTTGTGGAGGAAGTCAAAGAAGACGAGGATATGGCCGACGCGGACTCCAGCTCAGAATCTGATGAAGAATCATCCGACGGTCAGAGTGAACTGGAGAAGCAGGCTGCCAAGGCCGGTCTCAGCGTTAAGCGTTACCAGCGCAAGCTGGAGCGCGGTGAAATCATTTTTGACGCATCTGGCAACCCAACGGCCATCAGCAAGAAGGACTTGAAGAAGGCCAAGAAGGATGCCAAGAAGGCTGAGAAGGAGGATGGCAAGAAGCGCAAGCGCTCCGATGACGCTGACGAGGAGAAGAAGAAGAAGAAGAAGAAGAGCAAGGGCGAGTAAGATTTCTGTTTTCAAAAAGTTTCATGCAATGTGATGGATGGCTGTTTCTTTGCGGATCTGTATGATATCACTTTTTTTTTCCACATGTTGCAGCCTTGCTCGCATGTTCGGGGGCATTTCAAGGTTGTTTGTCATTTTCTTTTTCCATGTTTGCTGGCGCAGAAGGTGCTCGGTTCCAGGCAGTACAGTTTAAACTGATTAATCTGTTCATATACATCCATGGATTCTTTTCTGCCGTAATTCTTACGCCTTGAGATACCCACCTTAGGCATACTTGCTGTATACTGGCTCACCAATGGGGTGAAAGATCTGCAAACGAGCGCTTGCTTCCAAGCTTCAGCTCCTGCTCCTGCTACTACACTTAGTGCCTTCACTTGGTGGCTATCCTCCCTATGAATAGAAGAGGCTGCAGGGTCAGACACATATTCTTCCAGCTCACAGCCCCTTCTGTATGCTCAGCTATCATGCTCAACTAATAAGCTCGATTGGTCTTCCCAGTTTTCCTTACAAAAAAAGCCATTGGCTTCTGTGAAGGAAACGATGCCACTAATCCTCATTAGGAAAAGCCCTTCCTGCGGGGCAATTTAAAATCCGGCATTACCGGGCGGTGGGACTATCGGTGTAATTTTCCAACATCTTCTGGCTCTTGCATACTTATCTTCTATTTGCTAATATCACAACACAATGCGGGTAAGTAGGCTTTGATCTAAAGTCTAGAGCAAAGCTAATGCCCGATCCAAGATCATCGACCCTCAATCTGCAGTCCTGACCAACGTGGAGGTACCATCGTACCTCAACGCAAATCCACCCCCGCCGTTCTCCGAACCCACCTCCGAATTCAGGCCAGCATTGGGTTCCCAGTCCAGACTTACGAGACCATAATACCGTCGTCAAAGAAGTATGCTCTTTCTTCCTGCCCTGTCGCCTACATAGAATCTCTCGTGGAGAGTGTGGTGCTGAGGTCGCAACAGCGGCCCGGTAAACCCATATATAAACCAATAAGATTCCCAATGGCGATACAAAGAGCACCAGCTAACATATCTTCGTTCCAAAAAAGATCCACAACTATGTCAGTCGAATCTCCCCACACCTTCTTCGCTATCCACGCTTCAATGCTCGCCCTTCATCCTCAGTTTCCCACTCCCGCGATGCCATGACCGGCACCTTTCGCTCGGCAGCCAACCCCAATGATACGCAACTGCAATTGCCTCCATCAGTCTCCACAGAGCTAACTCCCATGGACCATGCCATCCGGGAGCTCATCACGAGGCTCAAGCCCTACAAACTGACCAAAGCCGAGGTGGTGATGATTCTCAATCTCGGCGTGGGGTTAAATGCGCCCAGCACAGGCGAAGGCGACGGCGTCGAAGAAGAGGATCTGGCGAATGGCGAAAGTATCATGGAAGTTGACCAGGAGAACGGGCACGTCAATGGCGAAGCCGAAGGCGGGGAGGGTGAGGAAGAAGATCAGGGCGCGCTGGCCCTGTTTGAGTCTGTTGTTGAAGAGCGCGAGAGCCGACTTACGGAGGCACAGGTCTCGGAAATTCTGGCTATTGTGCGCGAGGTCCTGGCTGAGAACGTCGAGGCGTGATCGGAGGGTGGCTTCGTCTTTTCGTTTGGGCGCTTGTGTGGCATTTTTGAGCTTGATATCCCGGGTCGAGAACCCCCATTGTTAATACAATGATAATTTTTACTTCACCGCCGTGACACCAGTACCATGTGGGTGATGATAGGACTGTTCTTCATGTTGGGATTTGTAGTCTTGTAATGTTTTTGTTCGTAAGAATAGTAGCCGTCCAACCTCACAAGCGGGGATCGCCGACACGTTAACTTATGGTACACACCAGTGAACTAGCACGGTAATAAATAATAACGGAGTCGCCGAAGAGATAGCATCTCGCCATGTCGCCAGATAAGAAAAATAAAATAGTATTTACAAGGTAGCAGGACTGAACTCGAAGCAAAGCACCGGGCTACATGCTGACGCGGAACAGCCCTTACCAGTGGTCATTAATATCATTAAGCTGTGGCGGCTGCGGTAGCTGCGGCGGCTCTTTGCCATAAACAAGATTTCCCCATTCGTTGTAGACGGGCTCGTCGGGGTCTCCGTTCTCCTTGCCCCAAGGACCGAGGTCATCATCGAATAGGTCTCGTTCTTGGCCTTGACAGACATCTGCAAAGCGGACCCAGCTCTCATGATCAGTCCACACTCCGCCGCGACCACCACGCATGTCCCACCAGTCGGCACCGCCTAGGAGAGAAGACTGGGCGGCGTCGAAGCCTTGGGAAGCACGGACGTATCGGCGAAGGAGGGCACGAGCCCAAGGGAAGAACCACATCTTTTCCCACCAGGTGTTGCGAAGCTTCGTGTTACCATTCACATGCGCGAGGACCGGTACAGAGGCTGAATGGGCATTTGTCATGAGAGGAATGTCATTCCAAGTGTGGTCCTCTGGGTTCGGCAATTTATCGAGAGTCTTGTTCCATAAGGGCAATGTTGTCTGGTTGAGTGCAAGGAGGCTGTAGTTGAAGGGGTTTGGGAGGGCCGCAACATCTGTAGGAAGCAGGAGACGGTGCTCTCGAGGCACGCCCATGGATCCTTGGAGTGCGGAGGTTTTGGTGACATTGCTGTACTTGAGCCACTCGACATCGTCAGCTGAGAGAAGCTGGTTGAAGAAAAGTTCGGACTCGAAATCAACGCCAATGCCATATTCATAGCGATGTTCTGTCTCCAGCCTGATGTTTATTGTCGAGATGTTGGTTGCATCCGATATGCCTAGAAGCTTGTATCCCCACTCTTTGAAGAGGCTCACCGTACGGCGACGCTCTAGCTCTCTGACGACTTCTTGACGCCCGTAGATTTGGGTAAAGGCTTCTTCATCGCCATTCTTCTTTTGGCGCTGCTCAATAATGCGTAGAGCTTCTTTGAAGATCAATCGCAAATCGGCCGCTTGCCCGATGACGGTACCCGGGTTCAGCCATCTTGGTCGATTCAAGAACCCATCGGGATGAATATCAGTTTTCCAGCCATAAACATCAGGTGGCAACGAAGACTCCGGGATCGAGACACAGCCTGGATCGGTTGCGTGGGCGCCGTGGCACTTTTTACTGGCACCGAACAGAACGCGCTGGGTGTATTTCTGCACGACGGCTGGTGCGGTTTTTGGACCGGGTCTGTTGACTGTGGTGACACCATATTTCCTCAACAGGTCTTTATTATTCTTGCGGAGGATATTCTGGAAGCGCGTAACCAGTACTTGAGGGGGAAGCTGGAAGAAGACGTCCTCGGAGTCGACAAGGAGCACGATGTCTCGATCCTTCACGGTCCTTGAGTGCTCTAGGTAAGCGAGAGTTCGTTTCATCCGACCGACCATTTGTTCAAAATCGGTGGTCCCGTGTGCTTCGTGCCCATAGCCGATCAATGTTGGAGGTGGGTATCCTAAGATCATGGCTGAGGTGATCGTGCGGCATGAGCCACGCGAGGACCTTTGGGCGGGAAGAAGGATATGGAGCTGGGGGTTTGGCTTTTCTAGGTCGTGCGGGAGGGTATCATTGATGGTAATATCGTTGCGTTGAGGGAGTGCGACCTGCGCATCTTCGGGGCGTTCGGGGAATGGATGCTGGGAGGGGAATTTAGTCCAGAAGTTGGGTTCTGATTGCTATTTGATAGACGTGTTAGTCTCTTTCCCCGTCGAGGGGGAATGGCGCTCACGCTTGAAGAGGTATTCAACATGTACAGAAGAACGAAGAAGGTCAGGACGGACAGCGCAATGGCTCGTGGAGAACGCGGTCGATGGTGGTAGAGCTGCCACAGAACCGTCGAGGTCGTGGACTTGGCCTCCTCGAACTGTGGCAATGGCGGGCTTGAAGGCGCCATGCTGATCGAAAAGACCGGAGAAAGATGGGAGTTGACAAAGGTCGAACATGGAGGGTATAGATTTGCGGGAGAGGCCACGAGGGACGCAATCGACCAAGTGGAGTCGAATTCCGCGTCTGTCGATCAACGTTTCCGGGCGCGGTCACGTTCGCATTACGACTACACCCCAATTATAATTTACTACATTACGATATCTGCTGAGATGGCAGCTATCGTGGCACAAGATGCTACGGAGTGCGACTCGTTTTATTGTTATCCGTCTCCGGACGTCTGACTGATAAGGTTTAGGCGTCCCTGAAACATTGATCATCCGCTTGTTTCAGAAACTGGCCGCTGTCACCATCGTCATGGGCCCGCAATCTACGGTCTCCTGGACTGGCTTCATGGCCTCGTCACAGGCTGTTTCTGCCAGTAAAGATGCCTTGTCATTGGACATATGCATCCTATACGTCTAGCTCTATAAAGTATGACTGGAGCCTTGCAGTCGCCTGTCACCCCATGTCCCATTCCTATATGTAGGATATAATGAAGCTCTGGTATGCGGTATAGTGTCAACGCTCATGTATATACAGGGGGAAAAGTCCACTCTTATTCCAAGTAGATCTCCTCCTTCAGCCTCTGCAAGAAGCCTCCCGTCGACGGACCCCGCTCATAGTCACTCCGTTGTTCCGACCTCGATTTAGCACGCTGACTCTGCTCGGCCATAGCCTGCTGGTGATCCAGAGTGCGCCTCCGCTCATCAACCAGTCGCCCAAGGTTATCCACAAAGCGCTGCCGCGCCTTGTCCTCCGCAGTCCCTCGCCACACCGTCGCCAGATTCCTCAGCGTCTCCACCCGCTGGCTAGCAGCTTCCAACCCAGCACGCCCACCGCCATTGCTATCCAGAAGCTCAATGACCTCAGTCCGTAGCTTCTTCATTACCTGCTGCCCCTTCTCCTCCTGGTCCGACCCTTCAATGCCGATCTCGGGCCCGGAAACCGAGATAAAAGAAGATGAAAAGGACGTTTCAGACGGCGGCAGCGGCCACTCCATTGCATCGCCAAACGTCTGCACCACGTCCTCCAGCCGGGACCGCACTTTGTTCAGCGTCCGCAGGTTCGTAATGTAGACCGGGTCGTCCAGGGCCTCGGCCTCTTTCTCCTCCGTCCCGCCCTCTACTTCCCCCTCCTCCGTAGGCGTCTCGTCCTCAACCACCTGCGCGCGGTCCTTGCGAGTGTCCGCGGCTTCGGCGGGGACAAACTTCTGGATGTCGTCGCGCAAGACCTCCGTGAGGGTCTCGGAGAGCCCAATGGCCTCGCCGCGCAGGACTTCCACTTCGTAGGCGAGCCGGCCGCCGCTGCGGAGGATCTCGTCGCTGAATTGGGAGAGAGTGCTGGAGAGACGCACATTCTGGGCGCTGATCTGAGAAAGGAGCGATTGGACTTGGGCGGAGAGTTCGGCGAGAGGAACGGAGCCCGGGGCGCGGGACGCATTGGGCTGCGATGCAGCAAGGGTCAATGGGGGAGGGATTCATTGAGGAATTCGGCGGGGTCGAAGTTCGGGTCTGCGAAGTTGGGGGTCGCATCGGATTGGGAGGTTTGTCGGAGGCTCGCGCTCGCGACTGAGCCATAGGATTGTGAGGCCATTCAAGGTGGTGTTGGAGGGTTATTGGATGAGATTAGGCCGATCACATGAGTTTACATTTCATAGTGCCTAGTTCCTCCGCAAGCCGTGGAGGACTCACCGCCTTAGGGGGTAAGCAGCTACGCTGTGGAGAGAAGTAGAAGGTGGAACAGATTCCAAAGGATCGCAAGTATATGGGGGAGTGATATAATGGGTCAGCCTAACAAAACGTGGCCCCTTTCACAGGCCAGGAACAGCCTTGTTTGCTTCCAGGGTTATCGGTGGACCCCCCTCATCTCCTCATCTACGCGCTTCCCCCGCCAGCTTAATCAAGTTTCCTTGCTTCCGTTTCGTCATACTATCTTCTGAAATATTTCACCATGGGGGAATCGCATCAACCTCTTGATCTAGAGTCTGCGAAGGAGGGGAAAGAGCTCTCCGATCACCAGCAGAGTATATTTACAATAATCAGCAACCTTCTACAGCCCGATGGGGGCCTCGACCCGATAGAAGCAGCCAATCAAGTGGATGACCTCGTGCCCAACCAAAGTGAAAAAGAGGCAGAGGATTTCCTCTGGTCTTTCTGGAACCTCCTTATTAAGATTGTAAAATTGGTGCCTCATCATCATGAGGGTCAAGACCTCCTGGTCCAACTACTGGGATACTTGCTCAACGTACCGGGTAGGCCACTGGTAATATGGGGGGTGAGTATCCTCGACGTTGATGAAAACGGCCACAGCTCATCAGATGAACAGGCCGAGACCAGTTTATGGAAAGACTTTCCCTTATTGGGACCTGTTATGCGAGAAAGCTGGCAACGTATGTATACAAGTACTACTTGGAGTTTACGTTCCATACCTTGCTAACTGTCCCATGTTTCCACAGCACCAACCACCACTCATGGGGCTCCGGATCCCGATGCAGCTGAAAAGTGGATAAATCTCAACTCCTTCGCCGCAAGACTGCGCAGTCTAGGGTATACCCATTGGCACAACTTCCCGGTCTGGGAGCTGAGGGCGGCGCTGGAAGAAGAGATCCAAGATCAGGATGTTCTCGCATTCAGGCTCGCAGTGGCGGAGCAATGGATCGTCCACGCGGGCCAAGCCATATATATCCATGTGACTATGGAGCCTGCCGAAGAGGAGTCGCGGACCATGAAGCCGGGGCCTCTCTATGAAGGGAAAGCCAAGCTTGATTTGGAGAGATGGGGTTTCTGGAAGAATCGGCTTGCTGAACTCGGCAAACAGAGCTCTGGTAGTATTGCTACCCAGTCTACATCGCTATTGGATAGTTTTGACGACATCGAATCGAGGGCGTTCAAGCCATCGGACGAGAGATACGTGGCATAGACGGCATTACTATTGTGGTTACAGTGCTCAGAGATACTCTTACAGACGTTTATTTTCTTTCCATAAGTGATTCCAATTAAGCTATTGACATTAGATTTCGTATAAGAGCAATCGAGGAGCGATGAAGGAAAAGCGAAAGTGGGGGTGGGGTATCGTTAGAGATCCATTCGCGTCCAGCCATAGAAGATTTCATATCGGGGTTCGAAAACATCACCGATGGTGATCATGGCCATCGGGTATCAGCAAAAGAAAAGAACGGGAAAAAAGCAACAGCAAAAACAAAAAGAAGGTCCACTCATATCATCGGGCTAAGTGCTCTCGGATTCAGCCCAAACTTTAGATGTCTTCCACGATGCGAGCATTCACGGCTCGTTGGAAGCCATCGTCGACATTGGCATGGGCAGGTTGGCCATAGTTACTTGGGCCCTCGCCCGCATTTTCCGCGGCAGTCAGCTGCTGCGCAACAGACTGGTTCATTGCAGGCAGGAAAATGACCTTGCTGTTGGCCGACTTCGCCATGGCCTGCATCGCCTCGAGATATCGGATCTGCATGGCAGGGGCAGACGAGAGGATATCAGCAGCCTGGCGCATGAGCTTGGCTGATTCGACTTCGGCGCGGGCAGCGATGACCTTGCTCTCACCGATCCGCTTGGACTGGGCGGCCATGGAGAGCGAGTCTTGTAGGTCATCACTGAAGATGATGTCCTTGATGAGCATAGACTCGACCTGCACACCCCATCCGGCTGCGACCTCCTCGATGATCTCCGAGGTGAGACTGTGCGATCTCTTCACGGCGCTCGATCACGTCTTGGAGGACGCGGGCGCCGATCACATGGCGCAGGGTAGTCTGGGTTCGCTCGACAAGTGCCTGCTTCACGTTCGAGATCCCGAAGGCGGCCTTGTGGGGGGAAATAACCTGATAGTAGATGACGGAGGTAAGGTTGAGAGTCACATTGTCCTTGGTCATGCAGACTTGGCGGGGCACCTCCACGATCTGAATCTTGACGTCAACGGTGGTCAAGTGCTCACTGACCGGGTTGACCTTGACCAATCCAGGATCGACGGAACGCTCGAAGCTGCGGGGGTTCTTAGCTTCGTGCGACAATGGAGTGTGGAAGAGGATAGATCATTCACATACCGTCCGAATCGCGAGACAAGACCAACCTGGCCTTGGTCGACGGGCTTGAAGGGGTTGGGACAGCAGATACAGCAAGGAATAGCTCCACAGGCACCAATGCATTCACCCAAGCTGTGCATGAAACTGGCGTACCAGCCTGCAGCATCGGGGTTGCTGTTATCATGCTGAATCACCGAGGCATACTTGGGCTGCAGGTCAGACAAACGGGCCGGCTGGACATTGACGAGGCGATCTGGCTGGCGAGCATGGTTGTCGGTTTGAGGCTCTAGGACTGGAGCCTTACCACTGTCTGCGCCGTTAACGGACATGATTTGGAGATATATGGATGAGAGATAGATGGATGATGCCTCGGAATATGATGATGGAAGGATGGCTAGCAAGACACGATGAGGGGGAATCGTACGGTTTTTAAAAGAGTCCCGGAACTCTAAGCTGGCACCGATCCGCCCGGTCCACATCCCAGACTTTCTCCGCAGTGGGGCGCGCCCCCTATGGACTCTTCCCATCGTTCTCGTTCTCGCCAATCACGTACTCCCTGTCCAAGTAATTGCCTCTCTAAGCCTCCCTCCAAGGCTTATGATCCCGCGCATCTCCCAAACCACCTGATCGTCGTAGACCGAGTTAACCGAATGCGCAGCTCAAGCTCGTGTTCGGGGGGGCGCTGTTTGCTCGCAGCAAATGTTGGTAACCTAAACAAAGCTTGTTTTGGGCACGTCCGGATAGGCCGCGGTATGTACGATGAACAGGTCAGGCCAGGGACCGTCACGTCTGGATGGGTACATCGTCCATTCCTCGACTCCCCCGACACGCTGCCATCGGGATCGCTGGTATGTAGGGCAATGTGCCGGTGCTTCATCGTGCATACCACCCACCAGCCCCACAGTCTTCCAGATGTTTTCCAAAGTGGGCCCTGGGAGCGTGTGTCGTGGGTGGGCCTCGCAAGGACAAAAAGGGCGATGAGGCAGAATCCGGAGTCCACGACGAGGCTGAAGTCCCGAAGCTCCTTTAATCTAATGAGAGCCAGTCGATAGAGTTGCCGGCAGCGGCAATCCTGAGCCGCAGCAATTAACGCGAGTCGTGACAGCGCGAAACGCCTATTATTAGTGGCTTGACTCCTGAACAACGCACCCTCAATTACCTGGGGAGCCTGAGGCGTATTTTGTCGGGCGTATTGGATCAACACTGCGGCTCTTGGCCTGGGTTGGCCTGACGTAAAAGCTAACCACTGCGCGATTTCGGGTCGTGGCCCCCAATTGGCGCCCAGGGAACGATCCGACCGTGGTTCTTGGCTCTTGAGGCAGTGCTGAAGTAAAAAGCATAGTCATAAGATCGTGAATCACTGGCGGCTCGGGAGTCGGAGTGACTACACGTGGATTATTCTGTAGTCGATATGCGCCTGCGAACCACCAAAAGTACGTGCATGATGGGACACACGGTTGCGCATGGTTTTGGACTATATTGCACTAAGCTGCTGCTCATTACATGAACCAGCATCATTGGTCTAGTGGTAGAATTCGTCGTTGCCATCGACGAGGCCCGTGTTCGATTCACGGATGATGCACAACAATTCCTTTTTTTTTTTCCACAATTATTTTCTTTCTTATTTTAATCTTCTTTTCATTTTTGTGGAAAGTGAAAGTTTTGTAAATTGTATTTCATTTTTGGAAGCTTTAGATGTCAGTCCCTCTTCAGAGCGATACTGGCTACAAGTTGCGGTGCCTGGTTTCGAGGACAGGGTGCTAGCTGTCCCGAGATATATCTAGATTCCTCCAGCACGCATTCGCCCGGCAATGAGTCGAACTGGCACTTGAACTTCAACCCGAGATCGATAGAGAAGCGAGAAAAACCACTGGGAGCATGAAGTAGAGATAGACCAAGTTCATTATTCCTCTATAACAATAATCATCCTGATGGTCCCTAACAGCAACCCGCTTCGCCGATCACATATCGTCTACCTGCGCCATCCGGATACACGTCACCCACCTGCTAAAGTAACTACGAGTACATAGAGATTGAAGAACAACATCTATCCGATATTCCGTAGAAATGTTACTCGGGCGAGATATGCGGGGGCCTTTCTCTTGCCGAGGACATTGTACTGCTGACGCCATCGGACTCCAATTGCACGTCTTGATGCACGCAATATGCACTTTGCACCTCAGACAGCTCCTGGTGCGGGGTGGAGAGATGGCGCCATGCAGTCAACAAAAAAGAGAAAAACGTCCGAATAGAAATTGGAGCCCTCCGTTGCTATACTTAATCGCGTTCACGCCGGTACCCAATTCCGCCAGAGACGCGCCAAAATGAGCTCAGAGAAGAAACAGCTGATCATCAATGCATTTGCAATGCAATCACCCTCCCACCTGAATCCAGGGCTCTTCCGGAATCCTGGCGACAAGGGTGCCGAGTACAAAAACCTGAAAACCTGGATCGCTCTGGCCCAGAAACTAGAAGCCGCCAAATTCCACGCGATCTTCTTCGCCGATGTTCTGGGCGGTTACGACGTCTACAAGGGCCCATCGAATCTAGACCCGACCATTCCAGCCGGCGCTCAATTCCCTATCAATGACCCCCTCTATAGCATTCCCGCCATGGCGGCGGCGACCGAGAGCATCGGCTTCGGCGTCACAGCTTCCACGACCTACGATGCCCCCTATGCCCTCGCCCGCCGCTTCTCAACTGTCGACCATCTGAGCAATGGCCGGGTGGGCTGGAACATTGTCACCTCCTACCTTGATTCCGCGGCCCGGAATTTCGGCCTCGACACCCAGATCGAGCACGACGAGCGCTACCGCATCGCGGACGAGTATCTAGATGTGACGTATAAGCTCTGGGAAGCCTCATGGAGAGACGACGCCGTCACCTGGAGACAGGAAGACGCGGGCCCAGACGGCGCGAAAGAAGGACAGACGTATGCGAACCCACGCGCCGTGCGCCAGATCAACCACAAGGGCAAGTACTTCCAGGTCCCGGGGCCGCATCTCTGCGAGCCGAGTCCGCAGCGCACGCCGTTCATCTTGCAGGCGGGCACGTCAGCGGCCGGAAAGGCGTTTGCGGCAAGGCATGCGGAGGCTGTCTTTCTGCATGCTCAGAAACCGGAGTTGGTGCGGCCGTCGGTGGACAGCATCCGGCAGCAGGCGAAGGGGTTCGGGCGGAACCCCCAGGATATCAAGATTGTGGCCGGGGCGCTGGTGATCGTCGCGGAGACCGACGAAGAGGCGCATGCTAAGTTCAATCATCTGAAGAAGTACGGAGACCGGGAGGGCGCGCTGGCGCTTTTCGGAGGATGGACGGGCTACGATCTGTCCAAGTACACCGACGACCAGGACTTCCGGTTCGTGGAGCTCCCGGCCGTGCGGAGCATGGTGAATCATTGGGCAGACACGGTGCCGGGCACCGAGGGCCAGAAGTGGGACAAGAAGACCATCGCAGACTACCTGACTCTCGGCGGCAATGGGGTCAAGATCATCGGCAGTGTCCAGACAGTAGCGGACGAACTGGAGCGCTGGGTCACGGTTGGCGATGTAGATGGGTTTAACTGAAGTTATGCTACCGTTCCCGATACCTTCGACGACATCATCACGCTGCTTTTGCCCGAGTTACGGAAACGAGGCCTGTTCTGGTCGGATTATGCTGTCCCAGGAGGCACGTTCCGGGAGAACGTCTACGGCAAACGGGGCCACGCCAGGCTTCCTGAGAATCACCCCGGAGCGAAGTATACCTGGAAAGCAGGAGAAGAAGTCCCCAGGTACGCGCTGGCGGAGTCCAATGCATAGACGCTACGAAAGGACGATGACACGGATTGTCACTTACGGCCTGGTGTCTCGATGGATCAACATGAATGACAGGAGGAAGGGCGGAATCCGGATGAATGTGAGCTGATTATAGACTTTTGAAACTTGTGCTTGCTTCATCGAAGACCTGGACTGTGCATTGGAAGGGCCTGGTAGCCGATGATAGCGCGGGGGGAGTAAGAAATACGCACAATAGAAAGACTCAACGATCGCATCCCTCTGTTTGGATCAGTAATAGTTGATTCTTTCAATGTAGCATGAGTTGTCTGTAGAGCTCTATGGAATCCTGCTATGATCCTTCTCGAGGCACATATCCCGCGGGACTTGTTGGTCAAGCTGTAAGTGGCCCTCTCTTCCCCTCATTGGATGATAGCCGTTCAAGTATCTGATTCCGATGTTATGGATAAAGCCAGAAACCATATGGCATGCTTGGAAGAAACCGCCAATACGCTGATCAGCTACACGTCCCACCAGCCCTCGTTCAAAGACCTTAGATCAACCTCCTCGGGTAGGCGAAGATGAGGAGTCAAGTCAGCATCCGGATCCGTCTCCCTCGAAGTCCATCCGTTGCCAAAGTAAGCAAACCGGTTGCCACTCGGATTTACCCGAGTATACTCAAAGTCTTCCCATCGAGGATCCCGGCGAATGTAATTAGCGGCTGCGGCACTGCCGGGGAAGAGACCATGGATACGCGCTCCAGGAGTACCGCCATTATACCACGAGCTGCAGTTCGCAGACCAAACCGTCCGAGGGTAGAAGTTATCACAGTATTCGACAAAGTCGTCTGTGGCCTCTTTCGACGGAGCAATGGTTTTGATTCCTTGGCTACGGACCTTGCGCAGAACCTTCGCAACGTAAGTAATGACGTTCTCCATGCTGTTGGGAACCGTGCCGCTGTGACCAGAGGCGTAGGGGCCACCGAGGTAGAAGAGATTGGGAAACCCAGGGACGGCAAATCCAAGATAGGAGTATGGGAATCCAAAATGGCCATCTTTCTTCCAGGCGGACTTGAGATCGATACCATTGGCAATGATGGAAAATGGAGGTGCATGGTCGGTATTGGCACCCGTTGAGCAAATGACAACGTCAACCTCCCTCTCGGTGCCATCTTCGGTGACGATGCCCTTCTCCGTGAAGCGTTGGATTTTGGTCCGGATATAGCTCACGTTTTCTTTCGTCAGTGCCTCCAGATATCCCGGACCAGGCGTGGGACGCCGGCAGTTGGGTGGGAAATCCGGAATAATCTGATCTTGCAGCTCAGGCTTCTCCGCGACACGATTCTTCATCAACTCGGTCCACTGCTCGAGCTGTTGTTTGTTCTCGGGCGAATCTTTGAAAATGGCGCCAAATCTTTGGAAGTAACCCCTCTCGACGGACTTTCGGTACTTGAGGTATTCTTTCGGGTCTTTGAAAGACTCCAGCTGCTCTTCCGAGAAGAGGTTGGGCTCAAGACGCCGCACACCTGAGCTCTTACTGCCCGTGAAAGCCTCTGCGATCCAAGTGGGATTCCGGGCGTAGTGGTCAACATGACTTGCCAAGGGCTGGATGGAGGGCAGGACCTGCAACCCCGAAGCTCCATTTCCAATAAGTGCGATCCGTTTCCCCTTCAAGTCCACATCGTGTTGCCAATTGGATGAATGAAACAGCGGGCCTTTGAAATCCCGAATGCCTTCGTAGTCAGGCAACTGCCACGCGTTGAAGTGGCCAATCGCATTCAGAAGGATATCTAATTTCTCTTCATACACCTGTATCGATGATAAGAAATGGAGTCTCCGGAGAGGGAATGGGGTGCCGGCTTACCTTGTGGGAGCCATCGAGATGCTCGATTGTAACCTTCCACTTCGCTTCCTCAGGCAGCCACTCTGCCTTTTGGACTCGCTGTTTCAACCGGACATATCGATACACATTATACTTCCTCGCAAAGTCCTGCCAGTAGTCTCTGATTTCTGCGCCCTGGGCAAACTCTTCTGTCCACCGGATATTGGGCGAGAAGGTGGATTGGTACGCGTGAGCCGGCACATCACACCGTACGCCAGGATAAGTGTTCTCAAACCATGTACCGCCCTTGGTATGTATTAGAGGTATTGTCACGGCAAAGATGTGTACTTAAGAGACGTACCACGTCGGCGTTTTTGTCATAAATGCGAAGGTCAAGCCCTGGCAACTTGGCAGGGAGTAGCGCTCCAGCACTTAGGCCTGTAAGCCCAGCGCCAATGATACCCACCTTGATGGGCCGAACAAGATCAACAGGGTGCTCTTCGATGGCGAATTTGGGAGTTCCGCCTCTGAGACGGGACTCGAGCTCATTGATATCTTTCACCGTCACGGACGGACCTTGGGTGGCATTGGGACCCTTGAGGGCCTCGCTCGTGTGGCCGTGATTAGGGATGGACGGCAACGTCGCAACCGCAGGGTTCTCTAGCAGCGCCATAATAAATCAATTTCATGTAACTTGTATGTGGCCGAATGATTCCCAAGAAATACTAGAGCGCATTTCCTCATCCAAGCTTCCGAGGATGTGGATTGTCTACCTTAATAGATCGGATGATTAGCTGCACGCCATCAAGAACGTTTTAGACGCCACCAAAATCCGCCTAAGTCTCAGGTCGCGTTGGGGAAAGCTACTCCATCAGCTCTTTCCCTGCCTAATCAGATCTATCAGGGAGGGCATTTGGTTGTCCTGGGCTGTTTGGACTGATTTGGCGCGGATCGCACCATCGCGTTTCGCGATGGCGTGAGAGGGCCCTCGAGCACAGTACATCATCTCCCCCACCCTAAACGCAATTGTGGAGGTGGTAGAAAATGATGCGACTGGCCGCGGAGCATTTAAGTCTTAGTCTCTAAATGTGGGCTCTTGATAAGCATCGGCCGAACGCTCATTCGTTCTTAGTATTGTATATGGGAATATCTGGTTCGACAAGTCTAAATCCTCAAAAGATCCGAAGTTCCCCATCATCGCATGATCTAAAATGTAGCTTACAGCTAAGAAAGCCATCGAATCAGTATTAGCACTGAGAGGGATCACAGGCAACCGGCTGTCAATCGCCCTTTAGCTCGAAGAGAAGTGATTGACCGCCTCAATCCGCTCCAACCCGAGCTTTTTCTTGAAACCCTCAATATCAAATCTCATGCGTGAGAGGACGCCCACCGAATTCTGATTCGGAACAGCTGAGCCCGGCTTCTGGCTATAGAGCAGGAAGACATAGCGATGCGGTGCTGCACCGGGCGGCGGGCCAGCCCCGGTGTATTCTGCGATAAAAGGGACGCTGCTCTTTAACTCGCGCCCCGGTAGCTCGATGCGCAAGCCAGGTTGAGCCCAATGGAGGGCGGGACTCAGCGCGTTCCATGAGATGTATGGGGCGTCTAAAATCGACACAGATAACCGTATAGAACCGGTGGGGTAGATTCGGAGGTGCGATGAGGACAGGGGTCTCCTGGGTGTCTATTGTAGGGATCCATTATTGATATCCGATCTTTTCTTTCTATGTGCCAGGGCGGTCTTACCTGCTTTGGCGATGTGCGCGCCGGGCTCGACCTGGTAGGGGCCGATGGTGACGCCCAGAGCAGGATAGACGCCGTTTTTCAGGCCTTCGATAGCCTCCTCGAAAAGGGAAACATCAGGCATCTCAGACACGACAAAGGCACTTGAGCGCGTGCTCTTAGTTCTTAAATCGCCAAGAGAGACATCGGTGGGAAATTTTTGCTTCCTGGTTCCGGTTTCAGACAGCCCCCGGAAGCGGCCATTGAGGACCAGGAGCTGCCATCACAACCTTGCTCCTGCTAGCTAATTTATAGTCCCATGGCCGTAGATGAGAAAATACAATCAATATTAATACCTGCAAGGTTCCATGTCTTGCATATCTGCAGCGGGCATCCAAGAACTTAGCTGCCTTGATGACTCACTAAAGAAAGGATGCCGCCTCGGCTGATGTTACATCTTATAAGGCGCCCCCGAGTCTTTTCAAAGAAGTTGCCTTAACATGGTACTCAGGTAATTGGGGAAGACAAGTATATATAGAGGTCATCGGTGTTTCATTTGGTAGCCCTGCTACATTTTGCGAGCCTTTCGAGATCTATAAAATGCCTTTTACCCCACCACCACCATTGGTTGCCCCGCGGACGTGGACACGCGAGGGCAGCGCTTTCTTTATCTCAAATGATCCTGTGTTTATATCGGTCGAAGATGTCCAGGCGGCGTTCAAAATGGATTTCCTTTACTGGACCAAGAAAGATCTGCCGGATGAAGTACTGGCACAAATGCTTTACGGCTCCTCCTCGTTTGGAGTTTACAAGAGAAGTGAACCGTCCGACTCGCACACCGAACTGCCTTCGAAGATTGAACAAATTGGGCTTGCACGGATGATCACAGACGGCGCAACCTTTGGCTATCTGTCAGACGTGTATGTGCTCCCAGCCTATCAAGGGAAGGGGCTGGGGAAATGGCTCATCGACTGCGTCGTAGAGATATTCTCTCCGAAGACTATGCCGTATCTACGGCGGACAATGCTCCTCACGGGTGATAAGCATGTCGAGGAGATGTATGGGAAAGCATTTGGGATGAAAGTGGTCGGTCATGAGAAACGGCCGGAGTTTGGAAAAGGACTTGGTCTTCATGTGTGGCAGGCCTAATGCGGCCCCCGAGTCAGGTTGATATGATCGAGAGCGTTTGCTACAGCTTGCGTGTATGACAGTCCTATAATTGAAGAGGCCACTGGATTTCAATGTGGCATTCTGTTTCAATTTCGCCCAAACCGCCTATTTCGACTGGTAAACAATAACATCCTCACCCGGGCTTTCCTCTCTACCAGGGCAGTTGTAGTGGTGTCGGCAGGTCTTTTCCTAGAACACTCTCAGCGGTGCCAATATCTCTGCAGTTGGTCTGTTAGTCGACAGCCTTGTCTTGAATCCACCTGGACGGGCACAGCACTTACCCAGGTCCCCTAGGCGCCCAATACTGCCCGGTCTTGCGAATGTCAAAGTCTTCGACGAAAGACGCCAAAGATTGAGCAGCTTCGTCTGGAGGAACAGCTATACAGATCGTTAGTCTTTCGAAGCACAACTCATCTTTGGAGTGCACTGACCGCCACCTGAATCCCAAAACTTGTCAAACCCGACCCCCTTGGTCATTTCAGTTCGCATAAAGCCCGGATGAACCAAGCCAACTGCGATGCCCCGCGGCTTCAAGTCTAAGCTTAAAAGCTTCCCCACCATGTTCAGGGCCGCCTTGCTCGCATGATGGCCGTAGTTACCACCTCCTTCCTCCTCATGCCGGAGCGTGATGCTTCCGCTTTCGCTACTGACGAGGATTACTTTGCTTCCGTGCTCGAGGCGATTAGCTTTGACCAAGTGATGCACCAGAAAAACCGGGCCAATCGCCGAGGTGGTATACATCCGGACTTCTTTCTCCCAATCTGGCTCATCAAAGCTTTCCAATCCGAAGTAACCGGCGGAGATGATCACAGTTGATAGCTTTGTGGAACCAGGAATTTGAGAAACTAGCTTCTGGCCAACATTGGGCTCAGCAACATCGATGCCCGTGAGCCAGTGAATGGAGTTTTTGTTTGGAGCAGATGTCGATCGAGTGGTTCCAAACACCTGCGTAGATGGTTGCTTGGAATAGAGGGCTCCCAGCGAGGCTCCCAGGCCTCGGGTCGCACCCACAATCAGGATATTCTTAGACATGTCTCCGGTGAAGTGATGAACTGGAAAAAGAAGGAGACTTCTTTCGTTCAGTCTTGATCTATTTAACGTATGCAAGGCGGCATATGACGTAACTGGATGGTGCCAGTGATGCAAGCACTCCAGAAGATAATCAATAATGCCATCAACAGCCAAGGCAGCGATGCCTGGTTGATGGTCCTGTTTTTCGTTTATGTAATAACTAACTAGTTAATACTAGTTAGTTTGTTAACTAACATAGTTCACGGCTAACCCGTTAGTTAGTTATTGGGACCTGTGAATTAATTAACCGTTGGATCGGGTTAGTTTGCCGTTTCCGGCCTAGCGCCATAATACACAGTCATCTAAGCTCTCCCTCCGTTGCTCCGACATAAAGGCAAAGCCTGCCCTCTCGACCTCTTTTTTCCTCCCTCTCCCTCCCTTCAACTCCTCTATCTTGCACTCATCGCCGACCCCTTTCTTCCGTTCTGGCCCCCACCGACCATTGCGCATTGGCTTTCAGCCCGACGCACTGCCCCTTTCATTTTACTGGAGATGTCGCTCGATCCGACGCCCAGCTTATTCTTGCTCCTCCCGCTGGATTAGTAGTCGCATAGGGGCAGAACCACTGAGATGTTCCAGCCCGCAGTGTTATCGCAAGAGGTCGGGTCGATCATCCTACTCCTTCCCTAAGGAAGTGATTATTTCCATACTACGAAGCTATCTAGGTCTTCTTCTACTGGCGCCAAGTGCCTACCGTAGCCTCATTCCCTTAAATTCTTCGCTCTAAATTCTTCGCTCTTCCACCCCTCCTGCTCCCTCCATCGCAAGCCTATCTCTCCTCGCTTGCCAGGGGCCTTTTTCTCCATATTCTTCGTTCTTCCTCCGTCCTTCCTGCTCCCTCGACCTTGGTGAATTTGCTCACAAACCAGTTGCTCATCCATCTACTGTATCATTGCGCCGTCAGCCGCTTGGCTATATAGTAATTTCGTGGTCTCGGTTCCTCTGACTGCCTCCTATTGTTGCTGTCCATTTGCCTTCCCCCAATACCAACGATGAAGCGCTCTCGACTCGACAGAATCAAAAGCTGGGAAGCGTCTGTGACGAGGATGATATAACCGTAACGACCACTATCTCGGACGAGCGGGGCGAATCCTACTTATGAGACGGGTCTGACGGAGCCAGACAATGCCCCCGAGCTCCCGAAAACGTGCTCGGTTGGATGAGAAGTGCTTTGCCTTGGAGCCAGGACCTTCCAACGACCTGGGTGAATTCTAGGACGATCCACTAGATAATGATGGAATTGATCTCTCGAGATCCACGAGAATTTTGACAAAGCTCCCGGTACGCTTGATCGATGAGCGCATCGAGGACTAATCATCGAAGCAGTTCCGAAATGGTGCGAACGTCATCATCCAATGCTGCCCTTGTTGGAGCATGGCGCCCCTGGGGCAGTTGTAAAGCCCCTGTACAGGGCGTCGAAGGAAACGTCCCACGTTTTATAAAAGAGGACGTGTTCCCAGTCTTTTTCATGCGCCTTTTCTTCCGCATAGTTAAGGGGAGTCTTGCCATCTGAGTCTTTGGAATCCATATCCAAGAAGTCTCTCTGTTGAAGGAACTCTACCAGTTCCTTGGTAAACGCACCATGAATGGCCCCGTGGTGCATGAAGGTCTTCCCGTAATTATCTCGAGCTGCTGGATCCAGGATATCATGAAATAGACGCTCGAGAATCTTAGTGTCCGCTCCCCTATAGTGCATGAGGAGGTGCGCCAAATTTTCTCCGCGTCCATTAACCCATAGCGGATCAGCACCGTTGTTCATCAGTAGAAAGAATATCTCTCTCTCAACTTCTAGGAGACATGATCCCACGTACAAGCCAAGGGATGAGTTTCCTTTCGCATCATACTGATTGACGTCGCAGCCAATCTGTATCAGGAAGTCAACCATGTTGAAGTCGCATGATATGGATGAGACATGATGGTGTAATGGGTTTCTGCCGTGACGATCTATCGAGTGCCAGAGCTTCGAAAGCGCACCGTCACATGCCATTGTCAGACAACGCAGGAGATCTAAGCGATTAGAGCGCAAGGCGTAGTGGAACGGGCTCAATCCGTCGCAGTCTTCCAACAAGATATCGTGGCCTTCATCCACAAGTTTTTGGACCACCTCTACGTTCCCTTGCTTGCTGGCAAGGTGGAGACAGGTCTGACCACATCCGTTCAGCCGTGAGCTAACCGCTCCTTTCTCTATGAGTTTGCATAGAATCGACAGCGCATAATGTTTGCTAAAGTCTATCACGTGCTGAGGGCAATCCCCACAAGCATTAGCGATGTTGACGTCAATGGTTTCGCTCCCGAGGAGCGTGTCAACAATGTTTGTCCTAGCTAGATCGATGGCTCCATAGATATCAGAAGCTTCCTCACTTTCGTAGTCCGTGATAAAATGTCTTAAAGCCTCGATGGCGTAATCACCGCTCTGCCATACGTCGTCGTATTCACGGCCCAGGATGCGGCTCCTGATCGCAAGATGGAGTGGAGTATCGCCAATATCAGATTGAGCATTTGGATCGGCCCCGTGTTGGAGTAAAAAAGCGGTCATCTTTGTGCATGCGTTCAAGGAAGAGAAATGTAGCGCTGTGAGGCCGGATTCTAGATTCACTCCAGCACTTTCTCTGTCGTCCTTAGACCTGTGGTGTGTGAAAGTGCTCACAGTTGTACGTCCAGGCCACGATAGTCTTCGAATTTTGGCCGTCAGATCGAGACCATTATGAAGAAAAACTTGTGCAAGCTTTTCATCTAGGTTTCCGACTGCGTAAAGGAATGGTGTCATATTATACTTATCACAGTCATACGGAGAGACTCCAGCGTCAAGCAGGGAATTGACCATTTGGCAGCCATTGCCAAGTTCATCCTTGCAAATAACATGAAGGACGTTTTGATGGTCACTATTTACCGCGCTCACACAGGCTCCAGACTCAACTAGAAGCTTTATGGCTTCAAACTTGGAGTATTGGGCGGCAATGAGCAGGGGAGTTTGCCCATGTGCATCTTTGACTTCCAGTCCATGCTGAGGGATGGACAAGATTAATGGGATAATCCCCCAGCGAGCGGCAACATGAATAGCAGAGATGCCGGTATCCAAATAGGCCACCGAACCTTGTATCAGGTGGTTGTAACTCTCGAGCCACCATTTCCACGTCCCTAATCGGCCTTGGAAAAATGCCTCGTGCTCCTTTGGAATGTTGAAGTCTGTCTGCGCTAGGCTTGCATGCTCTGGCCAATGCAGCACTGAATAACCGAGGAATCCATGGCTAGGCTTCAATGCTGATGTGTTTATTTCTGGCCGACAATGTTGAAGAATGACTTCAATGCAGCGATACGTCAGTGCATAATTTGATCCGGAGGAATTGATCTCCTGCATCTCTATCATTAAGAATTCTTGCACTGATCTATGCAACATTCGCACATGGCCATTGTCAACAACAATCAACAAATGGCACAAGTCGATAATCTCTCTCGTGAATTGGAGGCGACTACCGGAATCAGCGTCAAGATGTAGACGACATGCTTCAGCTATTTCCGCTATTGTCAGTGGTCGCAATGCGAACGCAACAGTCTCCAAAATTTTTTTGATCAGTGGGTAATCGTCTGGGCCGCATGTTGCTGCATCGAGCAGCTTCCGATACAATTTGTGTAACCCCTTTGGAAGATCCTGTAGCTTCTCGACTACCATCCTCGACTGCACCGATCTCAATTCATTATGAGCTATCCCGACCCAAAGGAAGGTACCTTCGGCCTTCTCTTCGAGAATTTGGCATACTTTCTGGGCAACGGGATCAGTGTAGTCATTCCTTCTTGCGAGGTCATTCACTGTATCCTTGATCATCGATTGAAGATCCTTCTTTACCTCTTCAAATGAGCCTAGATCAACACGGGTAAAGGTGGACAGGTAACTCTTGAGCTCGGGATATGGACGACTGATGATCAAAAAGTGCACCCTGGGTGTGTCTAAGCCGGTCGTGCTTGCTCTGCTGAACGACTGGTAGATTTGATGAGACAAGATTTCCTGTGACTTGCGTTCGCATTCGTCCAATGCATCGATGATGCAGTATATCTCAGGGCCAGTAGTTACTTGTCCAATGTTGATCAGCAAAGCCCATAAGGAATCAAACGAGGCGAAAAGTGCTTCTCCTCGGATATCATATTGTGACAAGACCCGTTTCAAGAAAGGTGGGTGCTGAGTAATGATCTGATATATAAGACCTCTCAGTATCGACGTTGCCTCTCTGTGGCGCTCCGAGGTGGCCTCGCAAAAAAAGAAAGCTAGGACATAATTCCCGTCGGCAAAATATTTCTTACGGGGTATTTCCTCCGCAAGTGTCACGGCCATCGTCGACTTGCCGATTCCGGGGTTGCCATACAGCCACAAAATGTTTCGCTCCAGCTCATCGTCTCTCTGAAACCAAGACTTGAGTTCGTCTGACTCCAAAAACCAACTGCAAGTTCCTGGAGTGCGGTTTCCTTTTCTCCGTTTCAATGAGTTTATATCTTCATAAGGATCGGTGATAAACAGCTTTGCGAGACAATTTTTTTCCGTCTCCCCAAAATCAGCTTCTACAAGACAGTCAGTTGATGGCGATTCTGCAATGTGATGACCGCATACTGTACCTTGATATGACTTCTCCATGTCTTTCACCCGCGGAAGAATTGATAATAATGCCTTCGCATAAGCAGCTGCAGCAAGAGCTGCATATCCCTGCCACTCTTTGTGCTTGTGGGAATCGCAGTAGTCGCAGATGCCTCGTATGACTGAGACATTGAAGCTGATCCATGAGTCCGGCTGCTTCCATCTCAAAACAGAGTACAGGGATATCTTCTGCAATAGAGTCTCGCATCTGAGCATCCTTCATAACTTGGTTGCCGGACGCAATCAGACCATAATGGATTTGTGGTTCGTCGCTCATGCGTGATCCACGCGAGACAAGCTGACTTTTGTCACATAGCGAGCAGTCTCCACTGCGCCCTTGGTGTTCATATGTCGAGAGAAATAACCAGTCTTTGTCTGGAGAGGAAAATTGCTTCTGGTGATGCTGCAAAACGCCAGACATTATCTTGCCAAGCGGCAACTCCTGCAGCATATGGTCGCAACGTATCTGGGAGACAGCGGCCAGAAGGGCCTCATGCGGCTTATTCAGTGATCCAGTGCGCTGGAAGCGGCCCTGCTGATAAGTTTTCCCATAGTCGTACTGGACCACACCGCCAAATATTCCCGTAGGTGTGCTAATGACCACATCTCCTAGACGGATATCAACATTCTTGGTAGGCACTCCCCCTCCCACTCCGACCATCAACCCGAACTTTACGGAGGGGAAGGTTTGCTTCATTCGAGTCACCACGGATGTAGCAGAAGTTGTCCCATAAACACCGGACGGCAGACAGACGACCACTATATTATGTCCACCCAGACTCCCAAGCGTGTAGATATTGTGGTCAGTCTCCGGTTTGTGAAGCCGATAGTGAACGTGATCGAGCAAAGTCTTCGCAGCCGCCAACTCTATCGGCAATGCGCATATCCACGCGACCGTATAATCATGGAGAGGTACATATCGAGGCGGCCTTTCGGACATAGTGAAGAAAAAAACCATAGATTTTCGGTCACTTTTGGTAGTAGAATGGTTGTTGTGACAAGAAGAGGTAGGTATGATGTTTGAGGGTCGTCAGTTAGGAGAGAAAGGAGGGGTCGTAGGGGCCATACAAGGCAGGGCAAGCCACATCAGCGCCTAGACACCCACGAACTTCTCAGATCAATCGGATCACCACCGAGCATCCCAGGTGAGGCGAGTCACACGAACGTCGTTCGCGGCCTCATTGAGGCAGCTTAACAAATCCCACTCTTACATAAATCCGATCTAGAATGCATACCGTAGCCGACCACCATTTACCATTATACAACTTTGGGGGACTTGCAGCCCCTCGAATTATCCCCGAGTAAGCGTCACGGAAGGTTTTCTTCCAGAGTCACTGTACACTTACGCTACAGGACAAACATTCCGGGGTGGGAAATCAATCTAAACATGGCGCGAAGGCAAAAAGGGCGAGTGATACAGATGTACCTTGCAAATGGACCGCTCATATGCAACAGGACCACTGAGCATGTAGGGTATGGGCAGGGATTCGTTTCCTCTGGGGCTGGGAGGGCAGGGATCCTTGCTGCTTACATATCAAACAGATAAGGCGTCTGCGCCCAACGAAAGTGATGCTATCTGGTCCGCATATCCTACTTGAGTATATTAAGATCTCATCCAGTCCCAAGCGTGCATTCCTTTCGGTTCGCACAATGAACTGTGAACCACATGTTGCTGCATTAGTTTGTGCAGAGAATATAGCTCTCAATTACTTGCTGCATGAAGTCCCTGAGCCACCGCAACAAAAGCCCACCGAACACTTTCGAGGCTCTGAAGAGGAGTACACTCTTTCCTTCTCTAAAGAAAAGGAACTGGTGGAGGTCCTCTCCTTTCTTGCCAAGACTAAAGATGGGTCGGATTATATCCCTGCCATGTGTGTCGAGCAGGGCCTCAATGGTGCAGCATTGAAGGCTCTGCTGGCGATAAATAAAAGAACATATACGGATGGAGATGGCTTACTTCAAAGTTTGAAAACGGGATTTGAGAACATTTTTAAAGTACTTCGAGGATCACTATATGGTTCGTTTATCTCTGCCATTTGATGTAGCTTCTGATTCGAGTTTAGCCAGAGCGAGGCAGCTCCACAGAGATCACGAAACGACTTCTCGAGATGATTGTGCAAATGTGCTCTTCTCGAATTGCTTCTAGATTGCGGCTCACTGGCAAAAAAAGGAAAAACTCCAAAGCATCCATCAATGACATTCTGCAAGAAGCTATAGAAGGCACTCGGCAAATACATCCTCAGAAGTTAATTCGGTTCAACCTAGAAGAAAGCCTGTTGTTATTCAGAGCTGAATCCAAGAGCGTGATCCAGTCCGTCAACGAATGGTCCAATCATCGTGTTTCACATCGTCTCAATGATATTGTGGAAAAGATGTATCGATTAAACAACGTACATGGCTTGCAGCAACTCCTCCATCTGATTCCCCATGGTCCCACAAAGGTGATCAAGCAGGCAGCCTTCACAGCTACTCTGCTCAACATTATTCGGAAAGTGTCCAGATATAAAGAAGCCGCTCAGGTGCTTCATCGCATTGCTAAGAAGTTTCCTCTTGTCCGAAACATTGAGATTCAACTAGCAACCCTTCCCCAAGAGGCCTTCGATCGACCCCATCACCCGGAATACTCGCCGAGTCTCCGAGCCGTGCTGTCTCGTTTGGGGAAGATCAATGGTAAACAGTATAATGTCTCCCAGATCTCCCGATTTATGAGAAATGACAAGACCAAGAATCCCGATGAGCAGTTCTCTGAGCAAACGACTAGAATCCTCCAAGAAGCCAAGATCCATGCGGAGATCCAGCTAATCGCCTACTGCGAAATTGAATCGCCTCCACTGTTCCCGCGTGCCATCGCTTCCAGCAAGGATGCTTGTTTCTTGTGCCATGCATTCATCCAAAATCATCACAAGATGCACACGTCACGCACACATGGAAGGTTGTACCCTGGTTGGCGTCTGCCGAATCTTTTATCTTTCAAGACGCTGGAGCACCGATTCAATGAAATCCTTGTGGACCGCGCTCGACAGTCTATCAGAGCTCGAGACAAAGGCCAAATGTGTGCTCGTCCCTATCCTAATGAAAGTACGTTACTTCCTATGTTGATCTCGGCGTCGACAATGAGCGCTGTACAAGATCTGGTCGAAATCACTACGGGAGGGGTGTCGCTTGCTGGTGTCTCTCCAGGCTCCGGAACCGTGGAAAGAGCGGTCTCAACTGCAGATCCGCCTAAGGATATTAAAGTAATTAGTAGCTGTTTCCTAGCGCCCAATGACCCGTTTACCGGCGTCATAACTCCGACGGCCTCGTCGCCGTTCTTCCAGGCTGGCCCTCTGCATATCCACCTCGAGATGGAAGAAAGTTCGGCTTCCGAATCTACAACAAAGTGTCTTGCGTTCTCCATTGAAAGAATGAATGTCAAACAGATCACAAAGCTACCCATCGGGTCTCTAATGTTGGACGTGATGGAACTAGAGAGGGATATGACATATGCACTCCCAGCAGACGGGACGTTCTGCCTCACAGCTCACGATATCACAGTGAAGATTGTGTGTAAGCAATGAAACGGGATATTCCCAGCCTTCGGGAGAGGTAAATCTTCTGCTGAAGTTAAGAAGGGGCGAGCAACGACCGTGGTCCCAGGTGGATCTAAAACGGAGCATAAATACAAGGAGCTTTATTGCCCTGTCTTACTATTTTTGTTTCCTCGGTTTTGTTTATTTTCCTACTGTTGCTCCTCTCTTACTGTATCTACTGTCAAGACGTTGAATGTGACCGAATCCAGACGGATTATGAGTATCAGCAATAACTGTATAGTGACCGTGGTTCAACCGCTATGTGTTGGGTCTCTCAAGCTAATGCTGCCCAGGTATTGACTAGATAGCGAAGACTCGGCCTTCTGGATGGGACAAATTCCTCGGCTTTCTTATCATCTTTTGAATGGATGCTTGTTTCTGGGGGAATTCACCCGCATCACCCTGTAAAGAACCAATTTGGCTGGACAGGCTTGCATACCATTGGCTTTGCCGCTCAAATACGGTCTCAGCACCATCCACCCCGCCGGTAATATAGTAGAGCATTTACAGCATTCCCCTGCCTCTCCTATAGAAGGCCAAGTTCCCCAAGCATGTTAAAGGCAGGGATATAGGGAAATTGAGGTCGTGCCTAAAACCTTCTCGAATCCTTCCAGTGCTCGTTCACAGATCGCCTGTGTCTCTTCTAGCAGGCCTTGTTCCGAGTAGAGGTGCCGATAATGGCCGTCCACTTGATATTTAGTTGATGTTCATGTTCCCATCCAAGGTCGTTTCTACCCTGCTGGGACCTTAAGGCTTGGCAATCCAAAGCCAAACAATTTATTCAGGTGCAACCCTATTCCAGGAAGGGCTAGCGCGGTGGGGCCAGTTCAGTTTTATACACAAGAAAAGGCGTGCCTAAGATGTTCTTAAAATAATAAGCTCCCTACAGAACTAAAAACTGAAACTACACGTCCATCGTGCACCATTACTTATTCATTCGAAATGAGCTCAGACCCTTGCGCAGCGTGTAGCTGGACCATTGAACGCCAAAACCATTGCAACTACCAAAGCTACCTCAAACTGTTCTATGAAGCAGGCGACCGAGGCGTCTAGTCGTTGGGTTCAAAATTGATATTGAAAGATCGAGGTGCTAGCCTTCCGATCTTCGAGGTATCGAATATTCAATTTTTGTAGGAACAGACATCTATTCCTGTTCCGCTGTTGTCGAGTCTTGGGAGGAAGACAAACACACCCTCATATTAATGCGACGTATCCCCGGCGAACCCCTCAGCGAAGCTTGGCCGAAGCTCTCCGTGGATGAAAAAGAGAGGATAGCAAAGCAGACTGCTGAGTATCTACAACAACTTCGTGCGCTCTAGTCTGATAAAATTCAATCTCTTGGCGGCCGTCCGGTTTTTTCAAACTTCCTGTTCAAAGATAAAGATTCCGAGACTCCTCATGGTTCTCTAGCATCCGATGATGATCTCTGGGATGATATGGAACATAGATTGTAAAAGATGATCCCCGAGGCTGCACGAATACGTGTTCGACATTGCATGCCTTCCGCTACGCCCTACATTTTTACGCACGGAGATCTCACTAATGTGAGTATCATTGTTGAGAATAGCTCCCTTACCGGAATAATTGATTGGGAGCTGTCTGGATAATTCCCAGTGTAGTGGGAATATGTGTGCACCTCGGTTCCTGATAGCGAGGAGGACAGAGAGTGGAAGGCGTTCTTACGAAGATACATGCCTGATCATAGCGCCGCCCGTGAATTCTGGCTGGACTATTATTACCTTTGCCGGGATCCCGGCAGTAAAAGAGCTACGAAGTTCTTGGAGAAAGCAAGAAGTGAGGCCCGTTAGGAGGTGTGTAACCTTGCTTTTTCAAACGTGTGGGATTTCGTACTTGTACATCAAACACTTCGTCTCTCTATTATCATGTCTGACAGATAAATTTTCTGCGTGGGAAATTTAATCTCTATTATCGAATAGTGGATTTGACAAATTCTTTGATGAGACGGTTAGGCTTGAAAGGATAAGGAAATGCCGAAAGAGCGAAGACATATTTCAAAAAGGGAACCGCATACTAAAATGAGTGGCAAAGAGCCAGCCGAGGATTCCCAAATATGAACACGGCACAGCTGTTACTCTTGCGTGTGACTGAGAGTAAAGAGTATCTCCTCATACTCGATAAGCTTAAGGTATTGAGTAAAAGGAAGGAAGCATACCAGGAGTTCAGATCAATCCTCGAGATCGACGGTTAGAGCTAGGACTCTTTCATTGCCTTAGGCAGCTGAGCGCCACAACTCTCGCAATTGTCCTTGTAGGTATGGTTATTGTAGTTGCACTTGGGACACTTCATGGCTGATTCTTGCGATGGAGGATGAAGCAAAAGAAGAAAGATGGTTCTTTCAGAATTGTCCCGGAGGTCACCCTGGTATAATATCTTGACCTAGGCAAACATTGGGGACCAAAGTAAGTTCTTAAACGTACATGTGCGCTGTTTGGTGCAGCAACATGCTGATAAGTAGCGGGGAACCCTGTCTCTTGGGGCTGTTAATAGGGCCTGAGCGGGTTCGGCACAGCGTGCTGGGAGGAACTCAAGGCCAATGTCATTGATGATATCTTTTGCTGCCCAAAGCTGTTACGACAAAGTATCTAGAGCCTCATTCCCATAGGCTGACAAGACTGTCCATTATTCGCCAAAGGCGTTCGAGCCTGGAACGGTCCCAACCCAGAACTGGTGCGAAGCTGCATGCATTAATGTAAAACAACACTACTCCGTACATTCCCACTAATGCGTTGCTGTGGCTGGAAGATATCGAGGGTTTTGATGGCTGGTCACGTCCCTGCCAATACTTTGAGACCGTTTCGCGCTAAGCGCGAATCAATATACCAGAGGCCGCAGAATAGGAGGCCTCCAGTAAAAGTCCAGTGGGGAACCTTGTCACTGAAGCGAACAATAGGGCGTGAGCGGGTTCGATGTCGTGGGATTAGCTCGAATCTGAGACTGCAAATGCTTCACCTTCCGCGGAGTAAACTTCGAGGCCACCACAATATAAGAAGGGGCAATACCTCGAGCCATCACATATTTTCTACCAATCATTGACAATTTAGTCTCTTCAAAACCTCGTACCACTTTGCTACACCTTATCCCTCAGTCATTCAACGTCACAAGAATGGGGTTAAGCAAGACTGTCCTCCTCTCAGCAAGCCTTAACGACACCCCCAGATAGCCCCACGAAGGAGGCAGCTACGTCTCAAGCTATCGTGAAGAACCTGAAGTATCTCTTTGGTGTGTTTCTTGAAAAGGTGCTCGATCTTACCAACCAAAAACCTCCAAGCTTTCCCGTCTCCCTAGACCAGTCCTGGTCTCCACCAGGCCCTGACACGGTTCTGCGGGTGCTGGAATGTGCTTCAGCTGAACTTTCTATGGCAAATAAGCCTGCGCAGTCTTCTTCTGTAGGCGGTGAACAGGAAATTTCCCAGGCCAGATGGGTTTGATCTCAAACATACTATCTGGACAACACCGGAGGACTTTCGATCGTTTGAGAAGTGGGCATCTACACCCCAATTCAAGATAGTCAAGAAAACGTATGTCGCCATCTAAGCCCTCTGACGCTGTCAACTCCCTCCCTTCTGTCTCTTCTCCCTTCAGAAAATATCTGACGCGGGTATAGCTGGGACAAAGAATCATGTAATTACAAGATCGCCGAACCAGTGGAGACCAGCGATGGTTTTGACGAATATGCTGAATATGCATTCGCTGTCCCTGAACGTATTAGTATGTAATATCTTTACCTGAAAGATTGACCCATGCTAATAGTATTATTAGACCGGAATTCTAAAGAGGTGATGCCGTATATAGACATCAAATCGAAAGAACTGTGTGACATCCTGCAAGAGGTGCTGTACGATGTCAAAGCTATTAGTCTGATGGAGGACAAGCTATCGGTAATTGAGACAGGGTCTTATTTCCAACGGCAACACTGACGTTGATTTAGATCGAGCGAAACGTCCTTTTTCACTTCCTCCCAGAGCTCTACAGATGCGCGGAGAGCACGGACAATAGTTCGGGCTATAGATCGGCAGCATCGGAGCATCTCTGTTTGCTTATCAACTACCTCAAGCAAGCATATACAGCTATCTCGCAGTGTCTCTCGTGAATATTATAGCATGGTCATATTACTTATGACCTTCTTCGGGCGCTTTTCAAGCCTGGTTATCATATTTATACTATATATATTAGCACAAAAGAGCTGTAATATGTCAAATCAGCACGGGAGAAGGAATAATCTAAAATGACAGGATATGGTTTAATCTCAATTGTCGATTTCTTGATTATGACAGAGTCATATTTGGCAAGGCCGGAATCTTTCTCTATATACTAAAGTTTTAAGGGTTAAAGCTATTCGCGACTCTTAAGGCTTATCCTCTCTGTTACTATCCGAGTCATAAAAGATCTAAAAAGATCTAGTTAAGAGAGGTCAAAGATTTCGGGATTTGGCCGGCTTGTATATTCGGTACTGAAAGGAAGTACGTTCTTTATGAACAAGGGGAAGGCTATTAAAGTCAATGTCAATAGTCGAGTTGTAGTGGACGCTGCTTTTTACTGTGAAATGCAGCTAAACTACTCTTGACTATTATTTTGCGATCTAGGGGTCAAAGACAAGGGCGGAATTGCAGTTTTCGATATAGGTGCGATACTCATGGAGGACCGCGAGCGAGAGGAGGAAAGGATCTAAGGAGACGGTGTGGATGTACAAAAGCTAAGCGAGACCGATTTCTTGGTCATCTGTCTAATAGTATGCTATTTCAGTTTCAAGGAGAAGATAGTCAGTATATAAGATGACTGATATGTTTTGCGTCTGACTAATTTGATTCTAGTAGAGTGTGTAGTCGGTGCTCTTGGGAATGTAGATTAGTTATCTGAGTTGTTCGACTATCTTAAGATCTCTTTAGAGATAAAGGTTATCTTCTTGTCATTAGCGAAAACCCGTCTAGGGATGATACCGACGGCACTGTTCGACGACGTAATTAATAGGAAGGGCCAAGGAATTAACTTTCGAAGTATGTCGGCGTAGCTTCTATGCTATCAAGACTTTTAACCTTACTCGTGCTAGTGGCCTACCAGGAGTCAGAAAGACTTTCATAGTTGAGGTAACCTCGGAGTATTTCAAGCTCTTACTCTATTTAGTATAAACTACCTAACTCGGCTGATTTTGGCGTCACTGATTTTTTCAGATATCCATAGACGAACTTGTTCTCAACCATAGAGATTCTAATACGCTTAAGTAATAACTTGAAACAGTATTCAAGATCGCCAAACACTTTAGTGCTGTTCTTCTCTTAGATGAAGCAGACACATTCATGGAGCAGCGTATATCTTACTATGATACCCACAATCGCCTTGTGACCATTTGCCTCGGAAAGCTGGAATATTATCAAGGAATTCTTTTCTTGACTTCAAGTCGGGGGATCCGGTTTGATGACGCAATTCTCAGCCGGATCTATTTGATCATTGAGTATGAGAATTTACCGAGAGAGTTCCACAGGGATCTCTGGTCAACCTTTCTGTCCAAGGGATGTTCTATGCAAGGACCTGCTGTTGTTGAGGAGCACGAACTCCGACGATTGGAGTCTTTAGATCTCAAGAGACGAGAGGTGGGTTCTAGAGCGCTGGCGTGTGGGGTGGAAAGGCGGCCGTTTTTTGGCGCCAGAGGTTGTCATTTTCGGCGTCGAATTTCACAGGTCCCTATATTCTAATTGTAATTTTCTTCTTGATTTTTTTGATTTATTTATTTAATTTTTTTTTTGTTTTTCCCCACGTGTTTGGTGGCGTAATGATCCTTGATAGGCAGCAAACACCCCAGATTCTAGACGCTTGCTGCGCCGCGCTTAGTCAGGGATTCAAGGAGCCTAGAAGTGCAGCTAGGCTGAGGACCAAATCTGAGACATCGCGTTGGTTTCCAGTTGAACCTCTAAAGTTCTGTGGCTTCCCCAGAGGCCATCCTTCACAGGATGACCAGCTTCAAGAACCTGAGCGTGCAGACGCTCCGCGACATCCTCCGAAAGGTGCGGACGGGCGCCAAGCATAAGAATGGATCCCAGCGCGAGATCCCTGGCTCCCGCTCGACATTACGGTAAGCTTAACCCCGGACCAAAGCGAACCAAAGCTGGTTTCTAATGCCTTTTTGGGGACAGCTTGGACAATCCCAATCCGCTCCCGCCGTGGGGCTTGCCCGTCGAGATCCAAATCTTGATCTTCGCGCACTGCGGAACTTATGATTTTCTTGCCCTGAAGCTGGTCTGCAAGGCGTTCTACGACATTTTGAGTACTCACGAACACGAGATTGTGCGACGCTACCTCCGTCGTCATCGCCACGGTACTTTACCATCCCCGATTGACAGCGAGCGAACCTATACCCGGAACCCGGAAGACGATGTCGTGCTGCTATCTGACTTGTTCCCGCCCGCGAAGAGCGCTCGGGGCGGCCACCTTTATACATTCAGGTACCTGAGTTCCCTGCGGCACAAGCAGGATCTGTGTTCGCGATTGTGCTATTACCTTGCAGATCGGGTCATGGATCGGTTTATCTCCACGGAGCCAGTGCTCCATCGAAGCTCCTTCCCATCGAGAGCCAGTCACACAGCGTTAGTGCAACGAGGTAAAGCTGGTATCTGGTTTCATCTCTCGCCCTTAATGTAAGTTTCAACCACGGAGGGCCTCCAACCAAGGGGAGAAAGTCTAACAGCAGATCCCGGATTTAGGTTCTACATTTTGTACTTCCTCCATACGTACAATTCTGCTCGACGCGAGCTGACCAACCAATTATTACGAGATTACGAAGCCGGAAGACTCGCCGTGCCAATCCCAAGCGATCAACGCCGCGAGTTGAATCACAACCTGCAGACGGAGATTCTCCGTCAACCTCCTTTTACCAATAACGCGGCGCTCATTGCTACGCATCACTGCATACACCTCCTCGTCTCGTACATACGTTTCACCATGGTCAGCATGTATCCCGGACACGAGCCCGACGATAAGTGGATTAGCTCGCTGCTGACCGTAGCGCCGTTCAATCGGATAGTTGAGTACTTTTCTGCGGAAATTGGGGACGGAGGTAACCAGCGCTTGCAGCGCAAAGACTTCATGCACAATTTCTACCATGATACGAGGGCTTATGAGAAGGATCAGATGAATGAAGTCGTCTTTGGCAAGACCACTGATCAGAACCTGCATACCTCCGTCCGTGATGTTTGGTTTGATGCTGCGAGGGCAGAGCTTCGCGCTCGAGGCGTGATTCCTCACGACGCGGAGCGAGCGTGGCACTGGAACGGGATTCCTATCTTCATCGGGTGTTCGGATTGTCATCCTGTGGCCGGATGGCGGGCATGAAGCATCGTCCCAAGTGTTGCGGCGTAGGCGTAGGCAAACCACGGGTTATTATGTAGGCGTTCATCTAGGAGTCTCCTTTTCAGAAATACAGAAGGCTGATTTCTGATGCATTCTACATTCTCCAAGCGCCGATTGTTTACGCGGATCTTATCAGCGCACGTTTGCCAAGTTTGCACTCGACGCGGATCGATAACAGGAACCAGCTCCATCACTAACCGCCAACCCTCTAGAACTACAGATGCCATGGAGCAGCCCTCGCCATGGGAGCTGTTCAACAGCTCTTGGACTCTTCACCGTCTCTCGCCTCTCCACCATCAAAGAGATTACGTCACCCTCCTCGACAACCCCGCTGCCTTGAAGGTGTACGCGACCCGCCTGCGCGACCAGCTCACTGGCGACGTGCTAGCCGGTCTGCAAGGCAACGCCATTGAGGATGACTCGTTGTCAAAGACAGGCGCTCTGACCGAGTGCACATGGCAGGCCATCTCGACCAGTCCCACGAACAGATCTTCGGACCGCGCATCCTCGTTCCCGGGAATACTAGTGACGCTCCAATACGAGAATATTACCTATAGAGCAGCCATACTTGCAGACCCCGAGTCCGATACGATTTCTCCACGAAAGGGCTCGACATTCCTGCCGCTCCTACTGACGAAACTCCCGAACACCCTGCGCCAGACCTTCATCTCATTTCTTTCGGCAAATTTCGACGCCTACTGCGCCTCGCTTCGCCTCCCTTCATCATTCCTTTGCAAGGGCCTAGAGACTTATATCGATGAATTGTCGGCTTCGCGCCCCCGTTCGGATAATATTGTCGAGGAGGTGGTCAAGGATTTACAACTCACCCTCGCCTTTTCCACATCGATTGCGCCGGCGCTGCGAACTCTGAATATAGGCATTGCCCGTGCATCATTGGCGAATTTCCTGCGCAATGAGCCCCAGAAGTCAAAGCAGAAACAGAAGCAGCCGCAGCGCAACCCTTTACTCGAGAATCTCACGGCATACCTGGACACTCACCTGGCGATGCAGCTCGATCTGGATGGCTCTTCACAGAACTTGGTAGCGCGACAGCATGTCCGCCTATCGAAGGTCGCGTGTGCAGCTTTTGTTCTGGGGACTGACGGGAAGATGAAGTTGGTTGTGGATACAACTGATGCGGATGCTGCGGAGGATCTTTCAACTAGAGACCAGGCTACATTACATGCTAGCGAGGCTTTGCTGCGGGCGGTGATTCGCAAGGCTGTTATTGGTGATCAGGCTAAAACTTGAGGGACAGTGGACTCATCTATGGGACGAAACACACGTCTCAGATTCGGTCAGATCAAACGGTCACTCCCAATGACCATACTTAGAACGGGGGGTTTCTGTGTCATTATTTCCGCCTGGCGACACCCCTCTATGCGCATGGGGGATTCTGAAAGAATTCGCTGGCAGACCTTGGGGCTACTTCAGCCATTCAAGCGGCTGTTAAAAGCACTGCGCGTCATTTGGTCCCAAAGGGGCTATCCAGACTTGGCGCAAGACAAGTGCTGCCAAGGTACATGCGAGTCGAAGCGAAAGACCGGAAGACAGGGAGGAGGCGAATCAAAGCACGCTCAAGAAAGCATTGGCCTTAGTTCACTTGCTATAGCATATATCTCTATCCAGAAGACCATACTCTAATCCTCATCCACAGTCGGATCCCAGTCCGTCGGCGAATACTCGCCCGTGTCAAGCTGCTTCATATCCTCCGCCGAAAGCTCAAAATCAAATACCTCCGTATTCTCCTTGATGCGCTGCGGCGTGACAGACTTAGGCAATGGAACAAATCCCTATACGCGCGTCAGTCTTTTGTCATAAAACACAAAGGCAAAATGTAGATACCATCTGCAGACTCCATCGAATCAATACCTGCGCCGGCGACTTATTATATTTCTTCCCAATCGTCTGCAACACAGGCTCCCGGAACCGCGTGCCATGCGCAAGAGGCGAGTACGCCTCTACCACGATCCCCCGAGACTGCAACCACTCAGTAATATCAGAGTGGTCCAACCACGGATGCAGCTCGTACTGCCCCACACTGATCTCGCCGCCGCCGCCGCCCTGGATGTATTCCTCCAGCTCCTTCAGATGGTGGAGGCCATAGTTCGAGACGCCGATGGACCGTGCCTTCCCGGCTTTCTGGGCCTCGACGAGGGCGCGCCAGGAGCCGAGGCGAGCTGTCTTGCCGCCGTAGGGGGCATGGATCAGGATCCTGGTTTGAGAGCATTAGCTTGGATTGAATCTGGGATGTTAGGGTTTGGGAGGGGGAAAAGGAAGGGGTGGCCTAACAGATCAAAGTACTGCTGGGCAGCCTGCTGGAGACTAGACTCGATAGCTTGCTTGGTGCTGTCGTAGCCCATTGATTCTGGGGGGGATTTTGGTCGTGAAGAAGATCTCGCTGCGGTCTATGCCTGACTTCTGGATTGCATGACCACAGGGCTTCTCATTGCGGTACATAATTGCTGAGTCGACCTAGGATGGAATGAGTATTTGGGGTTTATCTGGATTTCTTGGAAGAGCGCATACATGGCGGAAGCCGAGTTTCAGAGCTTCAGCTGTTGTCTTCTCGGTTGTAGAGGGCGGGCTGAACAGTGTGTCAGCTTGAGGTTAAATTTTGCGTGAGGAATCTCATGTGCATACATCATGTAGACCTATAACGAATAATTTAATTAGCTTCTCTCTGTAGAGGCTGGGGTGGGGGAGGGGTTGCACTCACTCCGTATCCAAGAATCGGAATCTCATGACCCGACAGGAGCTTATACTTTGACTGGAGTGTCTGCTTCAATGCCATTATGGAACGGGTATCGTAGTGGGCAGCTCAATGGAAGTTGAAACAGGCGAAGAACTGAGGTATAAGTGATCTTCGGGCTTATGAGATCATACCCGGTGGGGGGACCCCGGAGGATGCGGGATGTCGTTTCGCTGAGATCATCGCCTTATCGCTACTTGACGGACCATGTCGACAGACTAAAGACGCTTAAAGCGTGGGGTTAGCCTAGACTGAAAGGCTCTTGAGTTCGAGTGCTCGTCAATGTCAGAAATTTGTGACATGCCGGTGGAAGATCCTTGCGGGATCAGTCAATCGGACCTGCTTCTCTCCAAGGTTGGTGTTTCAAGGACTAGGCAGACTACGAAATAGCAAGCAGAAGCCTATCAGCCTACGAGGCTTGAAGATAGGTGACTATGAATGATGATCTTGAGAAGATGCTATACAAGAACAGCATTAGGGATCATATGCCATGCGGTTCTACGAAACTGCTGTCTCCGAACACTCTATGTGTAAAATACATGAGGACCTTAGAAAAGGTCGCGTAGGCAGCGCGATGCAAACTCGGTACTGCCTTTCTTATGCAGCCTGGCCCTGGGCCTGAGCCTCAAGCGCCTCTTTGGCCTTGCGTTCGTTCTCGCGCTGCAGCTGATCAGGGCGGCGAACGGCGATATCCTTGGGGCGGAAGTCACTGAAGAAGTGCTTCAGCACATTCTCAATGATGTAGCAACCGGCGTAGTCGACGATCATCAGCGCGGTGAGGGTCAGCTTGAACTCGTTGGTGAAGGGGACCAGACGCAGCTTCTCGTTGATCTCCGGAACGAACTCAGTAGCACAGGAGAAGGCGCAAGCGGAAGCAGCCACCAGACCCCAGTACATGGCCTTGTTCTCTCGGATGGACTCACGGAAGGGTCGGCCCTGGTAGTTGATGGAGAAGGTGGAGATTTGCTGGATCAGCTGGAGCAGGTAGATCGCGCTGTTCAATAGAGAAGGCTCGAATTCACCCTCAAGATCGACATTGTCATCTCTCCTGTTCAACTCGTTAGCATCGCAGAACTCTTGATTCATCTTGAGTGATTGATGGCTACTTACGGTTCACGTTTATAGACGTAGTTGGAAAGGTAGACCAGAGTCGCGATATGGATAGCGAATTGACCAAGGACCGATCCAATAATATAGATATTGAAGATGTTCGGCTGAGGTCGCTCCTTAGACAGGCCCTCGACAGACTGCACTTCATTAGTATCTTGGGTTGTGGCTAGCGAGGGAACATAATTACGTACCTTTGCACGGGAGATGGACAAGAAGCAGACACTCATAAGCATACCGCTGATAGTGACTTGACCATCACCAAATTTGATACCATCCAGGTAGATGACACTCAGACTGTAAGCACTGATCAAACAGTTCAATGCAAGAATCTTGTACATCTGAATTGTCGCAACGAGTGTGCAACGGCCCTGACGGATGATGTTGGGAATTGCGACGACGTTGGCCAGTTTGCTGGTGAAGGGAGCCGCGCAAGAGGCGTCACCCAGCTTGATTGTTGGAGGCTCGCTATCATCCAATTCCTGCTCCAGCATAGATGTAGTGAGCTTGTCGGCGAAACCGGCGGCGGCAACAGACGCTTGCTGCTGTCTTTGCTGTTGTGGAGTAAGGTTTTGCTGTAAAGCCTGGGCCCCGGGGGAGGTAATCGTCTGGATTGATTCACCAGCCGGGGTGCCAGCAGCAGCTTTCTTGGATGCTTCTCTCTCCATCGCCTTCTGGTAGTGTGGGTTTGTGGGACCGGGGGGGGTAAAGGTGAGCGATCTGGACGGGAACAGGGGGCGAAGGCTGGTTGAATCGTTGCATCATAGAAACTTGTTTCTCGTAGAGCTCCTTCATCTTAGTAGTACGGAAGTGTTCAGCAATCTTGTTGAGGTCATCTTGCGAGCCGTTCAAGAGAGCAACACCAATGTGAGCCTGTTTCAAAGCACCAACATCGTTGGTTCCGTCACCACACATCAGAGTAGTGTAACCAGCATCCTTGAGGCCGAGAAGGATCTCTTCTTTTTGCTTAGGTGACACACGAGCATAGACCCAAGTGTGGCGCAGAAGGTCGGGAAGAGCTGGCTGGTCCTTGAATTTGGCGAGAGCATAACCAGTGATACAGATGTCCTTTGTGCGGATGATCTCAGGGTCAAGAGGCTGAGTAGGATCGACGTCGGTGTTGAGCTTGTCATCAATGGTACGCCAAACCAGCTTGGTACCAGAGTTATCATGCTCGGGAGCATCCAGAATGACAACCTCCCGGTCAACAATCTCGACCTGGCGAGCGACATGAACAGCAGTCAGCGGGTTGTCTCCGGTAATCATGACAACTCTGTGACTGCTTTCATTAAGCATGCGAACAGCCTTGATCGCATCGTCCTTGAGAGGGCACTGCAAAACCAAGAAACCAGCGAAGATCAATTCAGACTCGACCTCTTCGCGGGTGAAGTTATTGATACGTCCTTGGGAAAGCTCTGAGTCTGGAGAGATAACTTTGTACGCAAGGGAAAGGACACGGGCACCGTTGCGAGTAAAGTGCTTGTAAGTTTCCTCGTAGTTTGGAGGCAGGTTGATCAGCATAGAGCCAATGGTCTCCGGAGCACCCTTAACGCTGACAAAGGTAGCCTTAGTCTTCTTGGAAGCTTTCGGGTCAACTGACGAGACGGTAGAGATGGTACTCATTCGCTTCAGGGCGGAGGAGAACTGGAATCTGCGCTTAACTTGAACAGACTCGACCGGGCGCGAGGCATAAACAGGAGGTTGGCCCTTAGGCATCAGTGTGTCATTTTTACCGAGCACCCAGCCAAGCCACTGCAAAGTTGCTTTCTCCATTGGATCACCAACAATTTCTCCTCATCCAATTTCACCAAGGCATGAGCACTGGCAAGAACAAGGCCGGTCTCGGAACTGATACTCGCGGTATTTGCCAGTTGTACATGGGCACCGTCAGCCTCGACCTGTGCGCCAGGCTGGCCAAGGTTGAAGCCAGCAATGCCGTCCACAACCAGATCTTCGCCAGTAAGTGTGCCGGTCTTGTCGAAACAAGCGATATCGACACGACCAGCGAATGGAATTCGGAAAGGCTCAGTACAGAAGATAGCAAATTTGCTCAGCGCAGCCAGGCTTGTGTTGACAGCCAAGCTCAGCTCCATAGGAAGCTCTGGAGGAACAACACTCGTAATGATCAGAACACAGTCCAAAAGAAGCTTGGATCGCTTGCGGTCCTTGGATACACCCTCCTGCCACACATACCACGAGGCTGCGATGGCGAAACAAAGAAGGAAGAGGATGAACAGCAGGGCCTCGACGTTGTTGGCTGACACACGTTCAGTGGAGTAGATCATCGTTCGCACAAGACTTCCTTGGCTAGTCTCAAAGCCGGTCTTGACCACGACGCCAAGGGCACCATTGTCTGGGGGCATAACGAGGCCGCTCGCCAAGTTCTTCAAGGGGTCTTCGCCGTTCGCATTGGGGTGAGTAATCTGGAGCACCTTGGTACCTCCGTGCACGAAAGAGTTCTTGTCCAATCCATCGGGCTCGATCAGATCCTCGCCGGGGCGCAGCTGAACGGAGTCCTTGAGCAGGGGAGTACTTTCACCAGAGAGCATCGCCTCATTCACGATGGCGGTACCCTCAATCAACAGAATATCGCACGCAACACCACTGTCTTCCTTGGTACGATTGACGGACATTAAATCGCCTGGGAGAAGCTTGTCACTAGTGATTTCCTGCCACTTATTCTCACGGTAGACCCAAACGTCGTAAGGCTTGATGTTCATGCCCCGGAACTCGGTCAGGGTGCGCTGACGCTGCCACACAACCGTACTCTCGAATGTGACCAGCATAAACAAGGTAAATAGCGAGTAGTACCAGTATTCATCCAGCATCCACAGTCCGACACAGAAGATCTGGAACACGAAGAACGGGGCCACTGCATGTTCTTGGAAAAGTTCCATGAATGTAGGGACGGGGATATCGAAGGTGTTATCGCCATAGTGATGCTGCACACTGTCGATTTGAGCCTTCGTGGTCAAACCCTTGCTCTTTTGAAAATAGCTGAGGGCAGGCTTGGGCTCTTCGTCGAGGACATAGGACAGAGGTGCGAAAGTTTTGGTCTCGGGGTAGAACAAGAACCGGCGCTTCTGGAAGAGGAAGGACAGTGTTTTCTTGCCGCCAAAGTTATCGCGGTGCAATGTGCAGATCTCGGGGGAGCCGGCGTTTTCGATGGGAATAACCTTGATCAAACGAGCGGTATCGACAGACTTGGAAGATTTCATAGTAAAAAAAGACCTCAGGTTGATATTCCACTTGGTCATCAGCCACAGGAGAGACTGGGCTGTGATGATGGACCCAGACCAGACGAATGTCCACTCCTGGCCCTGAATGTAGGTATCATATCGCTCCGGGGACAGGTAAAAGGCGAAGAAGGCGGGCCAGATAATTAGGAAAGGCCAGATGTATAGATGTGCCTGCAGCGGCATGGGATTATGAAGGGAGGCATGTTGGATCTGGGGGTCATCAACGAGCTTTGCCCTATACATCATGGATTAGTATTCATCAACAAGGGAAGAGGCGGGGTGAGAGTGCTATCGAGAAACAAACATTTTGGCAATTGGATGACCACGATCAAGGTCGATCAAAAATCCAATTAAATAGGCATAAAGAGACCAAAGGATCTAGCAGAAACAAAGAAGTCCAGAAGAAGCCACCTTGAGATAAGCGCAAATTCGTGATTTCCAGCGGGCTTCGGGGCGCGCTAAAGCGGGTTACGTAAGGCCGCCTGCGGAGCGGCCTTCACCTTGAAATCTCTAGCACCCGCTTATGTAGCCAATTCCGGCCTGCCCTTCAACAAGCCCTGCCGGGCTAGCTCAATCGGTAGAGCGTGAGACTCTTAATCTCAAGGTTGTGGGTTCGACCCCCACGTTCGGCTATTCCTAAAAAATAACCTGAGATATTCTTTTTTGGATTCAGAATTTTTGCTCTATCTTGGAAGAATTATTTTTGCCCAGCTGACCTTTCTCTGTTCACTTGGGCAATCCATTGGGCTTGGATGGAATCATGATTTCAGATTGATTAAGATTGAATAGTCAAGCGTATCTTGATGAGGGCGCATGATGACCTGGTTCATGAAATAATTAAGAGCTTTAGGCACCTGTGATATAATGACGTTAGGTCCCTGCGTTATAAACAATCCAGACCCTAGAGCCCTGGGATATTCAGGTGTCCTTTCCCTGCGTCAAGTGTTTTACTGCCTCGGTCAAAATAGCCACCTGCTCTTGTAATTGTCGCACCTGGAGAGCTGTGCTGTCAATTTTGATATCTGGAGTTGATTGCTGCACTTCTTCCTTCCATGTATCGTCCAGATCGAAATTAACCTCATCTGCAACGTATTCCCACTCTTGTCGATCTCCTTCGTCATCTTCACCATGGCGACGATTCCACCTGATCTGCTCGGCTTCACGAGTCTCAACCCAAGCGGTGAGTAGCAGAAGAGGAGAGTATATGACTACCATGACAATGTCGTTGAGTTTTGCGTAGTTCTTTCTCGAAAGCCACCATTCAAATGGAGCACTGACAAGCAGGATTTCAATCAGATTGAAGGCTTTGAATAGGATTAGCTACGCGGCTCAAGAAAAAAGGGAAAGAACACAGGCTTACGTGGGATAAACACATTCTCGTCTGGAGCACGGACAAACTGCATGGTTTTTTGGGCAAAAGTTGCCATGTATTCGTCTGTGGCGTTGCTCGAAATGTCCTCATATGCACTGTTATAGAGTGCAATGAGGATATTCAACAGAACTGAAGAGAGTCGTTAGGCCTTGTTTTAGATAATCGTGAAAGTACCAAGGTATGGGCAGGGCTACAGTAGAAGACTCTAACATACCAATCATGATAATGAAGTTGAAAACATAATAGAGGATGATGCCAAAGGGGAACGCGAAATCTTGGAAGATCTCGAATTCAGGGCTTTGCATGACGCTATTTGCCATCCCCTGGATGATGAGACGGACGATATCCGCATCCTGGTCAACTTGAGCCATGCCAATGAAGCCCTGGAAAAAGCCAGCGAGGACGACAAATAGTAGCGCGAAGAAAATTAAACTCTCTTTCATCATAACTCGAAGGACCACGAACATAGCACCGAAGAAGCGGAAAGTGTCCAGGTAGAGCATCATGCGCATCCAGAACATCGGACCCGTGAAAGCCAGGAAGTTGTAGCTCAGTCCATTGAAGAACTGGCGCTCTTCGTCATGAATGGAAGGCGAATGGGCCAATGCCACCACACGTAGAACGAATGAAACAGAAAGCAGCCCGTAAAGAGTGCAATTGAAGGCGTTCCAGAACTCGAGGTAGTTCCAGCCAACCTTCCACAGCTTCACAGTTTCATCGCAGATGAAGGCAAATGTCATACCGTAAAGAATACATTCAGCCGTGTCGAGGTCGCCTGTTGGATTAACCGTGTTGATAACGGCCGTATAAAGACCAAGGTAGATCAAAGAGAAGAGGATCTGGCAGATATTCTGGTAGAGGGGGGTGCGCATTCTGTCGGGATGAAAATGGACCCAATAGCTGTCGTTGGATTTCTCGCCATATTCCACGAAATTGGTCGGGTTTCCCTCTTCCTGAGTGATCCACCCATACCAAAGATACTTGATACATTTTTGGTACCCCGCAGAGCTTATAATTTTCAGAGCATGAAGATCGACGGACCATTCAATGACATTTAAAGGCATTGTTTCAACCCCGTCGCAGAAAATCGAGTACCGCTTGAGCAGAACATTCTTAAGGAGGTAAGCCTGGTCCTCTTCGGTCTCAATACTGCATATATAATTAGAAGGATTCCAATTGAATGATTAAGGGGCCGCAGGAGAGGTGCGTACATCCGCTTAGCTATGACCTCGCATGCCACAGCTCGAACATGATGAAGGTCCGCATCCCACAGCTCAACATTGGATTGAATCTGGAACCACCTGATACAGACCAAAAGGCAGTAGACGATACAAGCTTTGTACTCCTCGCCGCCAGCTCGCTTGGCAGTCTCCACGACCTGCGGCGTGATGAGGCGGCTATTCGGGTCGGTCAAGACGCTGTCTTCAACCTCGCAAGGAACCACTTGCTCAATTTGATACTTCAATCGCAATGCGACTTTTGCAATTTCCTTTGAAGAGTCAGATGGGATATTTTCATCAGCGATATACGCGGGAAGAACTGAAACTAGTTAGTCGGTACACACAATCGCTAGTGCTCATGACGTACGACGACGGCGCTCGACTTGCATGCGGTGACGCGCGTGACGCCCATCAAAGCGGAAGAGATCGCGCCAATGGCCCATCTCTGAAGAAGCAATTACCCCAAAAGAATTCCGTAGGTGGTATCAGGGTCGGTTCTCAGGTCTCACAGTGCGGAGGGGGGATGTCCTGAGGGTCTTGGGGCAAGGGACACTGGGAAGTCCAAGCGCGCAGCCCCCGCTAATCTGCTTAATCTGGGCAACTTCCAAGGTTGACCGAAATCTGCGACCAAACCTAATCTGACATTTACTTGACAGCAGGTCCACCTGTTGACAGGGTAAAGGTTAAGCATACTAATTTAATGCCTGACATTGTAACGACTGGGCCTAGATCATTGAGCTTCAAAAAAATGTAGTCAAGGTTACTCGTAGGAACTTCGGTACGTTAGGTGTACGTATATACATCAGAACTGACAGCTCGTGCTTGTCCAAACGTCCGAAGAAGATGGTCAAGGCAAAGCTTGAAGGCCTTCACCGATCGACCCATTGCACTTGTTGGTGAATAGATCCGCCCCCCCCCCCGGATTGATGGTGCATGCGACTGCTTTTTCGATAAGAAGAAAGCAGGTTCGGACTTGCAGCCCTGTCCGGCGGCACAGTTAAGCCATCAACCCCCTTTTGTCATTGATCGCGTAAACGTGCATGAATTTTCTCTATCCGTTTTTACCCATTTCCTCCTCGGTTGGCGCCTTGGACACAAGTGGACAATGCCGATGTACGCCGGGTCGCATTTCCACCCTAGGGTATCATCCTTTACGCGGGCACACCCTCGTCACTCTCTGACTCGCTCTCGTCTCCACTGACCTCCTGGTTCTCGCGCTCGCGCTTCTCCATAAGTTCCTGGAGAATAGCATCGTCGTGCTCGGTAACAGCCTTAGGAGCCATCTTAACGATGAGGTTACCACCGGACGCACGGATCTTTGTTCCAATGTTCTCAATCGCAGCTTCGAGTTGTTGAATTCCAAGGGTCTTGTCGAGACATTGGCTGGTCAGGACGTAAAGAGGAGGGGCCACAAGCTTAACCTTGATCTGGTTCTCAGGGGAGTTGTGGGCTTCAGCGGTGCGAAGGGCATCCTTAACGGCGTCGATACCCTCGTAGCCAAAGCAGCTAACCTCGATATCGGCACGAACTTTAGTAGGAGCGGGAGTCAGCTTCTTGCTGATGTACTGCAGCAGCTCCTTCTTCACGACTTCGGTGGGGAATTCGACCTCATTCCAAACATCGGGGTTACTATAGTTTCGAGATCAGTATCGATGCATTACATCTCCAAAACGAAGAAAAAAAAAGACATACGTGATGGCGATCTTGAAAGCATCGTGGGAGTGGCCGTATTTCCGGTTCAGTGGCCAGGCAATCTGCTGGTAAAGCTCCTCCAGTGGAGTTTGGGTGGCCTCAGCCACATGGCGCATGATGGAGTGCACTGCTTTGCTCTTGTTGTATCGTTCCTCGCACTTGATGACATCCTCGGGGGGAGACACGACGCTTTGACAAATCGATGTAACCTGTAAATCGCATGAATCAGACTTGGCGCCCAACTTGTATCGAACTTCGCGTCTGTCTTACCCTTCTCCTTGTCGACACGAAGGACAATAACGACTTCGTTGCGACCGATACGAATCAACTTTTGGATACTGCGAATACGTCTTCGGGAGAGTTCAGAGAGAAGAATCATGCCGTCAATGTTGTCGTACTCGAGAAGCTTCACGTAGGCGCCCATCTCGGCAATCTGCCCAATAAATTTCGTCAGCCAACAGAACAATCGAGCCCTCCGATATGCTCAAGACATCATACCTGCTTGACATTGACCATGACATAGCTGTCCACCTCGGGATACTTCTCCTCGTAGAATCGGCAATTTGTTAACGACATTTTGGCGGGGTTGCGCTCTGATTTTTCTCGGTGGTGCGCTGGGGGGAATATAGGACTAGTGAGGCGACAGTCCAAGGGACAGCGACTGGATCGAATGAAAGGAAAGAGGACCGAGAAGGCTCCAAAGAGGACTGAGGGCTGAAAGAAGCGTCGTTGGGCGGAGGCACAGTCGCTTCAAATCGCTATTGTGGCGGGCACAAAACCCACATCGGGCACGTGAGTCTGCCATAGTCGCACGTGACTTATCGAATACTCACCGCCTCCGCTAATCGGCTATTTTATGTACATATGTGAGAACAGATGACACATCATGCATAAAAGATGCGATAATATGCCGCACGAAGCTAAAGCATGTATATTTAGCTGAATACTCATGTCACAAATGTTGAAGCAATGCGCAGCTATCTAACGATTTGTCCATCCGAGAGACTTCTTGAATTTACTTTCTCTGAGCGACCCTTTCAACGCCATCGTCAAGAAGCTATGGTGGGGTCGATCTACAAAAAGATCGAATGATAGCCGTTCCGTGTCCGCTAATCAGCTTCCGAGGCCACCGCCCTTCTTAACTGCCCAGTCTAGTTTCCAATTGACTCTTTCATCCCCTCATAATTTTGACTCTCACTGATTCGTCCTCGCGACGAGGGCATCGGTGCGCCCTTCTTGTGTATTTTGGCTGGCCCTGAATTCAGCACGAGCACCATGTCTAACCAAAACTTGGAGCCTGGCTCCGTAGACGAGGCTAGTGTTCTGCGCAGCCGCTTGTCTGACATCTTCAGCTCAAGATTCTCTGCAGAAACCGGCCCCAGCCGCCGTGCCGAGCAGAACACCCGAGGGCTGGGTATTACAAGCGAACCTGATGTGAGAACCCGTCTGTTGGAGTCGTACGAACGGTCAGACCCGGTGTGCGGAGAAAGACGCTGTAGCCATGGCACTTTCTCCCCACGGATCGAGACTGCTGAGACGCCAACCTACTTGGGATTTACGACTTCAAACAATAATCATGGAAACTATGAAGGAGGAAACACAGGTGCATCATCGAATTCCTTCGGAGGAAATGGCCGGCCTGGATCGGATCCAGGTTCAGAGCACTTGTCCCAAATGAAAGCATCTTTATCAGCCTTGTCCATGAACGAGTCCAAAAAATTGTAAGTTGAGATTGCCCGGATGAGCGAAAAAGATACCATGTACACCCGAAAACGGATTCCTGACTCGGATCGAATATTTACAGATACATCTCCTATTATATCCCTTTTTTCAATTGGATTAGCCAATACCGCTGGTCTTATCTTCGAGGAGACTTTGTCGCGAGTCTTACTATTGCTTCAATCTATATTCCTATGGCTCTTTCCCTGGCAGCTAATTTGGCACATGCGCCTCCAATCAATGGATTGTATTCATTTGTGATACACCCTTTCATCTACGCCATACTGGGAAGCTGCCCACTTCTGGTTCTTGGGCCCGAAGCAGCTGGTTCTCTTCTGACAGGAGCTATCGTCAAACAAAGTACACACCGTGGCGAAGGGGGTGAGCCTGATAATATGGAAAGTTCTCTGGTGATCGGGATAGCAACCGCTATGACTGGAGCTATGATCCTTGCAGCTGGCTTAACTCGGCTTGGGTTCTTGGATAATATGCTGAGTAGACCATTTCTGAGAGGGTTCATCACGGCCATTGGGTTTGTGATTTTTGTGGACCAGCTCATTCCTGAGCTCGGACTCGGTGAACAGGCTTCTGACACCGGCTCTAACCATGGAACCACAGTTGAGAAGTTGGTTTTTGTTTTCCGCTATGCCCGGGAAAGCCATGCCCTTACGACGATCGTCTCTCTCGTGAGCTTTTCAATCATCATGCTGTTTAGGTTTGTGGTCATTTGCCATATTGGAAGGAATACACTGACATATCACAGGGAGCTGAAAAAGAGGCTGGTACCGCGTTTTCCTCAAGCAATCTACTTCCCCGACCGGTTCTTGGTCGTTGTCATATCTGCCATCTTAGCCTGGCGTCTGAATTGGGAAGAGAAGGGACTAGAGCTGCTTGGCCATACTGAAATCAGCTCTAGTCAATTATTCGCATTCTCGTGGCCTTTCAAATTCAGCAACATGTCTTATATTCGCTCTGCCATGAGCAAGGCTTTCATGATCACGCTCCTTGGATTCTTTGAATCCTCCGTGGCAGCCAAGGGACTGGGGGATGATGCTAGTCCTGATGGTATACAAGACATGCAGACAAGCGCCAACCGAGAAATGGTAGCTTTGGGCGCTGCCAACCTCATAGGCGGCTGTTTCATGGCTCTTCCGGCGTTTGGCGGATACGGTCGAAGCAAGCTCAGTGCTCAAACTGGAGCCCGTTCCCCAATGAGCAACATCTTCGTCAGTCTGCTCACGCTGATTAGCATTCTAGTGCTTTTGCCGTATCTGTACTACCTTCCGGTTCGTGTATTCCCATCAAAGCTTGGCCACAGGTCTTTGCTAATCCTTGAATAGAAAGCCGTTCTTTGCTCGATGATCTCCGTTGTCGCATATACATTGGCCGAGGAGTGCCCGCATGATCTTATCTTTTTTTTCCACCTCCGCGGCTGGGCCGAGCTCTCCTTGATGTTCCTCATCTTTGTCTCTACCATATTCTATTCACTTGAACTAGGTATGGCCATCGGAATTGGGCTCTCGGTGATCATCCTCATTCGCCACTCCACGCAACCCCGAATCCAAATCCTTGGCAAAGTAGTATCTGGCTCCGGGACACGTTTTGAGAACGCTGAGCAGCAGCCCGACAACGTTGAGTTCATCGAGGGTGCTTTGATTGTCAAAATCCCCGAGCCTCTCACATTTGCCAACACCGGTGATCTCAAAAACCGTCTTCGCCGTCTCGAGCTCTATGGATCCAGCAGGACGCACCCGTCACTTCCTCGTCAGCGGCCAGCCGAACACAATAAAAACATCATCTTCGATGCTCATGGTGTTACAAGTATCGATGGGTCGGGAACCCAGGTCCTATGGGAGATCGTGCGCGCGTACACAGCGAAAGGCACAAGACTCTTTTTCTGCCGGCTGCCTAACTCGAATGTATTCCGCATGTTCGAGCGGAGTGGCATCGTGGAAGAGTGCGGGGGCTTGACGCACTTTGTCCCCAGCGTTGACGAGGCACTGCGTTTGGCAGAAACAGAAGAATATCTCGATCAAACTTAAGGGTCAAGTTTGAGTCTTCTACTCTTCTGTAGAGGAATCTGGTCAATATGTGGCCAAAAAAAAAAGAAAAGAAAAAACTTTCAAAAAAACTTTCAACAAAATTTGACTAACTTGATGATGCCATGTCCAATATTCAGTTATCGCATTCCGGGGTTCAATTCTATCTTCACTGTCGAAACCGTATATTTTCCGGTTTCAGTTGGCAAAGTTGGCGCAGGACTATTGCGTGGTATGGCATGCACCATACCACCGCAGACTTCTTGATCTTTCGCAAGTGGGACTCTTGCTTTTCAAGTAATCTCAGGGAGATAAAGATCAATATATATTTCTTTTGCATTTTAAAGAATATCTTGCAATACTTGTTAGCGTGTTCCAGGGAATGCTTTCGCAAATTCGTCCAATCTTTAGGCAGCGGCTAGTCAGTCTCCAAGGGTAGAGTATTGAAAGCGATGCAGAACCACGAATGGTTGCACTGAAAGAACTTGTGATATCATTGCTAAAATTTATCCATATTTACAGGAGAATACGAATTGGAATACAAGGCGAGCATCGATCTGGATAAGGTATTGAATAAGACTCCGATGATAAATAATCCATGGGCTGTGTCTCCATTTGGTTAGCAACCTTGGAAACGAGGGGAGGATTTGTCAGGCACTTTGGGAAAGGGCCGGGGCTTCCACAGGCTGAATGGTTGCGCGGGGTTCGGTTTTTCTCTCCAAGATAAAACTTCCGCCTCGCAGACAAAAGTCACTCCTTTGTCGAAGTACGATAGGCAATCTCGCATTCCCCCTTTTTTTCTCTTCCCACGGATCAGCACCATGAAGTTGATCCTCTCTACTTCGTAAGTGCCCCGCCGCGCCACGCGGAACCTGCAAACCGGAGATGGACCGATGCTCAATGATAAGGTACTAATTGTCACAGAAACCTGATGCAGGGCGGTCGCCCGTCAGTGATCCGCCAGCCACTTTCTCAAAAATCGAATATAGAATTGATCACGTCGCTGCGCGCGAACTTCCTTGCGTCGCAACAATTGGCGACCGGCCACCAATCTAACGGATCCAACGGCGATGCGAACGGATCGCAGAACACAGTGCAAGACTATAAGGCATGGACCGCGGAGCGCGACGGAACCCTCTACATTCCTGCACTGGACTCCGCCCAGTCCGGGCTATCGGAGGAGCGGTCGCAATACGATATCACCGTGAAGCTATTCTACTTGCCAGGGGTTCCCGTATCTAGGAGATGCGCACACACAAGGGAGGCGATTGATCTGGTATTAAAGGAACTACATGTGACGTCTATCGACCTGCTGATTGTCTCGTTCCCGGGAATCCTGTTCGACGCAGATGATGACAGCGAGGAGGAAGAAGCGGGGAAACCGGACGACTTCGACAGTATAGTGCAGACATGGTCAACCCTAGAGTCGCTACACGCTGAGGGCATGATTTCCCAGCTGGGTGTGGCTGAGTTTGGCAGCGAACGACTCGCGCGGTTCCTGCCCCACACTAAGGTCAAGCCCTCGGTGGACCAGATCAACTTAAAAGACTGCTGCGTCGTGCCGAAATCCTTGATTCTTTATGCCAAGCAAGAACAGATCCAGCTCCTGACACATAACGATTGCAATGACATCCTCCCCGTCGGAACGACGCGGGAACTGCTCGGTCCAGGTGACAAGGGTGCGGGCATTCTTGCATCGGCCCCAAATAGCCCCGATGGCATCCAAGGAGATGTCGAGCCCCAGTGGGTGGTGAAATACACAGCCGTCGTCAAGGACCGCGGCGTGGTAGAGAATAAGGGTACTTTGCTCTTGCAGATGTTGGCACATGCGTCAAAAGCCGGTCATGAAAGAGAGATAAGCTTGGACATGCATAACCCGGCATCTTCCAGGGAGGACCTGCGCCGGAATTCTACCTCGATATATATACCTTCGGTACCCGTCTTGGCCCTCTATCATGATTCCAGCGAGGCGTTTCATTATTCGTTTGTGCATGAGACAGGAACTCTTATCGCATATCCGGCTCGGTTAACCCAGCATGCTGCGCTTGCGGCCTCTCATCCGTACATCCTCCAATCTCTTTAGCGTAGATGTAGCGCCCTTGTAGCTTTCACGGTATCCCTGTAGCAGCGCATCAAAAAGAGCTTCCGAGCGCGGATGCGTGCTCCCAATCGCCCGCTCAAGCACGTACAAGTCGACCGCGCGATCCTCATCCTGCGTGCTCTGCGACGCAAGACCGAGATCAATGATGACGATCTCCCCCCTCCATAGAAGCCCCATTGGGGTCCACATCTCCGCTCCCTGTAGACGGGGGTCGCAACATGAGATTGCTAGTCGTTAAATCTCCATGCGTAATCCCAGCCTTGTGCAGCAAGCCAACGGCCGCCCCCATCCGGTTCAGCAGATCGCGCACGCGATCTTCTTCGCGGGCACGCTGAGCCTCATCCAGTGAGCTGCTGTTTTGCTTCATCCATGCCTCCCACTGCTCCAGAACCACGCGCACAACAGGCCCTTCAATCCATTCCATCAGCAGCCAAGCTCCACCCCACCCACTGTCGCCGCCCTGGCCTTCCCAGTCCAGCGCGAGGAGGGCGGGGACCTTCACGCCTTCGCGGATGAGCTTCACCAGACATCGGGCTTCTTGGACTATGCGTTGGCGGGTGAGTTTCCGGTCGAGAATTGGATGGCGGTATGGTTTGGACGGGCGGATCTTGAGGGCGGCGGGGATGGAGGGGTCGAGGGAGACCGTTTTGTAGAGGTGGGCTTCGGCGCCTTGGGTGAGAAGGGTTGGGGCCGGCTGGGTGAAAGAGAAGGGGGAGGGGAGAGGTGGAGGCTTATAATCTGCCATTTTGAGAGGTGGTAAGATGTCAATGGGGGCTTCAAGTTGGAGAGAAAATTGAAGAAAATGTTGCGCGGATTGATGGGCCCCACTTTGGGATAGAGCCACCATGGGAGTCGATGTACAGCTCTGGCTTTAATGAGCCTGCCCTTTTTATTTTTTATTTCCAACTGGGTTTCAGGTGATATAACTTTCCGGTCATTAATTAGAGCATTTGATGGATATTACTGGAATAGTTGTGTCCTGGTAGTGTGCGACAGTAGGGGCATGTACAGGACCATTGACTTTATTCCTAACAAGCAATGTAAATGTCCATGGATATGACCAGGTGGGGGAAAAAAAAGGGATAGCTCTGCTCTGTAATTCGTTTTATCACAAAGTGTGCTGGACTTCCACGGTCGAAGACACGCCTTCTGCAGCAAGCGCTGAAATGGCCGACGGCCTCGCAGCCACAGAAATTGCCAAACTGGTGTATTTGGGATATAAAGCCTCCAGATCCCAGTCAAAAATAAGCCTAGCCCATCGATAGAAGACAAATAGGAAAGCATCGACGGCAGTAAAGCGGCTACCAACTGCATATTCCGAGTCTCCCTGTAGTCGACCTTCAATAGCTTCAAAACAATTCTGTATCAATGCTTTGCCCTTCGCTTGCAGCTCCTTATGATGCGCGGCATTGTCCGAAAACCGTGCTGGTCGTAGCAGGAGTGCGAAGGCGTTTCCGTGAAGAGTTCCCGATAGCCAAGCAAGCCATTCCATCACATGCGCTGCCTCGATGGTGTTTGGTTTTCCCATAAGCTGCTTGTCAGGAGCAAGACCCGAGATTGCTGTCATGATTGCCGGGTTTTCGGTAATCAATGTGTCTCCAATGAGGAGGACAGGAATTCTGGCTTTTGGGTTCAAAGCAAGGAGCTCAGGCGAGAATTTGCCAACTTGTTCTTTCCGAAGGTTGAATTTCGCTTTTATCTCATGCAGAAGGATATGCGGGGCCAAGGAGCAGGCTCCGGGGCTATAAATGAGCTCAATATCAGACATGGTAGACAGTTGGCCTAGTTTTATGCCACTAGGGAATAATATTGGATATCAAAGTATTTCCGACTTTGACGTTCTAGGAGGGGCCTTTTGTAAGCGAAAGAGACTTATTGCGCAATCATGTGAAATCCAACCCTCTACTGCAAAGCTGACGAAATCCTACGGGAATTGCTCAAAAGCTGTGCGAATTAGTTCGTGCACCGTCGAAATCTGACTTGACCGAGGGCGGCGTCAAGCAGGAGCATCCGACCGCTGCAAGAACCTCCGATGGTCGACAGTCATTGGCTGAGATAATAAACCCTGTAGTGGGGCTGGCCGAATGTACAGAAAACTCAGAAGTAGCATGGCTTGTTTTAGTTCAAGGCACGAAAGTTGGTACTCATCATTTAGGTATAAGACAATAAGGCGGGGGAGGTTTTGGGATAAGGTGTCTAGACTCATTGGCATTCCCTGCGGAGAGGCCCGCCCAGGTATTAAGCCAGATTAAACAGCTATAAGCCACTGGCTCTATCGGTACAAGAGCCGCGATGGGTTCTGAATTCCGGAGTCAAGATATTACCCTCAGTGAAGATATGTTGGCTCATATGACTGGCCGGCTGTTCATCCTGGATCTGCCACATGGTAGCATCCAGCCAAATTAGGGACGGGTGTGATGCACAGTCTCAAAAAAGTGGTTAGCTGGGCTCATAGGTCCCTACTGAAGATTGATTTCCACGGCAACATCCAAAGGAACAACCCTAGCCCTCAAGTCACATCGCCTCCGCAAGCACTGGTTCGTCGCCAGCCTCATTAGCTCCGGGTATTAAATCAAGAGAACCACCATGTGGTTTATCCAGGCTCTTTGCTAAAGTGAGCAAGCGGAATATTCCAGAGAAGCTTCAGAACAGACCTTGGAATTCTCCGGCCTAGATACTGATCTCAAAGTCCTGCCACCCTGGAGGGTCTTAGGGGACGCAACGGTTTGATATCCTCCCTGGAGCTTATCTCTTGTACAAAGGCTATGGGATATGCGAATATCATCAGGCTAGAAAGTGAATGGGGAAGAAAGCGGGAGGAGAGGGGGAAAAAAAGAATGACCTCGACGTGACTTGAACACGCGACATTCAGATGAATTCCAATTCCGAGAACTAAACCTCGAAAGAGAACCAATCTCAATTGGAATCTGACGCTCTACCAACTGAGCTACGAAGCCTGATAAGTGGTCAGCGGATGCAAATTATGCGGGTGAAGCCTGCATTCTTCTTACTGTGTCTGTCACTTGCCGCCACTCAGTTATGCCGTATTTCACCGCCTCCTAACCTACAAAGTTCGCTCTCTGAGCGCGTGTAATTGTCGTTAGGAGGTCGCTGAAGGAGGGCTTGGGGTTATGGTTTCTGTTGCATTTCTCTTTTTTTTCCCCCTTATCTAGCTCGAGCTCCTCATATGTTGGAAGCAATATTCCTTCGTTCTAGTAGCTGTTAACCTCCATGACACGCACAGAGAAATTTTCCATATTACAGTACAACGATAAAACAAAAAAGTTACGACTAAATACAGTTTTAGCATCATGGATGATAGAAATCGGTCAATCCTAACTTGATGGCTTCGTAGCTCAGTTGGTAGAGCGTCAGATTCCAAATTTTCCGAGACTTCCGTCTTGGAATTGGGATTCATCTGAATGTCGCGTGTTCAAGTCACGTCGAGGTCATTCTTTTTTTCCTTTTTTTTCCTTTTTTTTCCTTTTTTCCCTCCGACTTAATCTTTGTTGGTCTCACTTCCTAGTAAACTTATTGTATATTGTCTTTTGTCTTTCTTAGCAATTTTAAGAGACAGAAAAGGAAGCCGACGAATTCCAAGGATCAAAGCCTTCATTGATAGATTGCCATCGAAGCGATGTTGGAATGCCCTTAATCTGATAACTATCGGATTCTCTTTAGTCCGTAGGTGGATCGATTCAGCGCAAGTGGAGTAGGGACCAAAGGGCCGCTCCGCATCCATGTTGGAACCTAACTTGAGACAGGTCCCCGGATGAACCTCCTTATGAAAGGAATCAGCCTGTTTAGCTGAAAGGCTGAGCCTTGGTCTTTGTTCAAGCGGAACCCTACCGTGAACTCCCCATCGAGTACCATCTTCTTGCATGGTCAACTGGTGCCAACCAAATCTGGTAACCCTCCCAAATCTATTGATTTGTAAATCGAAGCGATGTTGTGCTGATTGAGCTGCTAAGTTGATCTGTTTTCTTGATTTCCACTTACGACTGTGATAATGTGATATGTTTGTAGACTTCGAGAAACAGTCGACTTTGAAATTATGTCGGGTGCCTTTGCGATAAGTCCTTCATAGCTGTCTTGGAAGAAATCGATACACTAATCAACATATCACTCAATAAGATCTGTGGCTGAGTTTTCGGGGTCGATCTTTACCAGGGGGGTTTTAGATAGTTCTGTAGTTGCGGGCTCGTTTTCGTATATAGGTAAAGATGTCTTCGGAAACGCGAAAGGTGTGAGATTTTAGCGTGACTGACACCATATTTGGCCGTAGCGTAAATAATAGCGCATGCACTATATGAAAGATCAGCGTTGGTTTACGATTTGAACCTACTTTAGTTCCAACCCGACGCATATTGACAGAGTTGGGATGGTTCGAACAAAGATGATTTGTTTATGTGGGCGGGTCGGCCGCCAATTGTACGTCAGAGGCGCAGTACCCCGCAGGGCTATGGTGCTGGGGCTAGTTCTGAAACGGGCAGCAAGTGGCAGCTTTCATTGGCATGACTTATCTTCCAGGAAGGGGCATCGTTGCGACTGTCGGAATATATACTCTGTATATAACCTGGGATTACTGTACCTTACTTTCCAGAAAAAGGCATTCTTGCGACTGTCCGAATATATAAACTGGCGTCGTACGCATAGGTTCCCCATGACTTGTCCTAGTACAAAATCGAAAATGGCTTCTGAATTACACAGTTCTGTCGACCCCCAAGAGTGCTCTGAGGAGAATAACATATCAGAAGGAGCCGACTCAGCAATTGCCTCTTTCATAGAGAAAAACTCGAAACTTCCCAAAGCTCCTTCTTGCGAACGAATTCCCTGCCCTGTCGTTATCCCCCAGCGACGACCCGGCAACAAACAGCGAGGGTTCATGAAGGCGTATGCTCCAATACTATCCCAGAACGGCATCAGCCAAGAACACTTTCATGATTTCATCGACGCTTTGAACAAAGCAGTTCAGTCCTCTAAGTGGATTGCCGCTGTACAAATTGCAGCATTTGGGGCCGGATTCGTGCCAAATCAAATTTCCATGGGCGCGACAGCGGCGGTGCAGATAGTATCGGCCGTCGCTGCAAAAGCACAAATACGATGGAAGTAAGTTGATTGTGACGTCTTCCGAACATGAAAATTAACTGATGTCCTTTCGCTAGGGTGAACTCTTTCATAGATAGAGCCAATCGAGAACTATTTGCTCCTCGAGGGCTTTATTGCATGATCGTGACATACAACCCTCTCCCACAGCAGGAGCAGGAAGAAATCAATAAGTCGATAAAGAGACCTTCGACCGGCGGGGCCTCCGGATCATCTCGAGTCAAATGGCCGCAAAAAATCAGGGAAAATTTACGCGACCCCTTCTCTGTTACTACGGAAGGAGAGCAAAACTTGCCCGTCGAGATTGCACCCTTGGTATTCGCAGACGATGAAGATAGGAGGGTTCAAATACAATCCAAGGACAAACCTTGGACCAAGTTGAATGACTACTTTGATAAGCGCGCACGGGCAAGATATGTAAGTTTTCCGCTACATCTAACGGAGAGGCTCCCGCTAACAAATTGGACAGGCCAGCGAAAGTGATCAGGACGCATTATCATCAGCCCCCAATCCCAAGTTCAAACATCGACTCCTTGATCCGAACCACCCGGCGAGCAACGGAGGTCTTCTGGGTTTGATCTCAGGTGGACGTCTGACAAAAGACCCCAAAAAGGCCATGGAAGAAGCCAAAGACATGCTCCAGCAGCAGGAAAGACGCATGATTGAGCAACAAAATAGTCAATTGGAGCATCTCCGCAGTCAGTGCCAAGCCAGGGGCTTCTCCGAACAACAACAGCGTGAGTATGTTGCAGCCTATGAGCTGCAGTTCCAGCTGCAACAAGAGCAGCTACAATCTCAGGCAAAGAGAATGGAAGTGATGCCCAGAAAAATTATGCGGAACATTCTTTATCTCATGGTCGTTAACCTCCCAACCGAGGAAGAAGTCGAGGCAGCTAGAATGGTGACGAAGAAGAATGAGGAAGATGACAATAGCAGTGGAAGCTTAGTCAATATGGTCAATGTGCAGTAATTATTCCTATCTAATAGACTGCAGCAGAGAGCACCCAATCGAACCTGTGAGCAAGTTCACACCTTGAGGTTAGAGACCAGCGCAACGTGTCTTTGATAGTGGTATACTGAGGGAGCGAGAAAAGAGACTGTTGTGGTTTGGGGCTGATGCAGGTCAGGAATAGATCTCCACCGTCGGAATGACCCCCCTCGAATATTTCTACGAAGGATCAAGATGATTGGAAACCAAGTTAATATCTTGACCTACATACCGCCTCACATGGCCTTCTGAAACAAGCAAGCTGGATCTCCTCTTCAGCGGCAACCCTGACTCCTTGGGGTTTGGAGCGTAAGCTTTGACCGTGCACTATCCACACATATAAGGCCCCCTATAAGTATTCGTCCCACTCAAAGGCAGCCAGTCGAATCTTCTCCCGGGGTTGGTTCAGTGCAGATAAGGCCGAGCGTTAACCCAATAGCAATCAATGGCAGTCCATCTAATCCAGTCCCAAAATGCCGACCATACGTTTCCGATGATGCTACAACATACGTCATGGCATCTTTCTGATTCCCGAAGGCTCAAAGAGCCATATGGTGGATGCTGTCTCAAACAAGGTCACATCATGTGAGCAGATATCGTTAGGTCCTGCGAGAGGCTGCTTCCGGACCCAAACTTTGGTGTCTTCAATGTATCTCTGATACATACACGGATATTCATGTGGGCTTGTTCCCAAAACGAATCCATCAATGTTTCAGCATCGACCATTGCGTGCCATGAACGGCATGGTCGAATTAGAATGGCTACACCCGGCTAACAAGTTTAAAGCTAGGAGCATGCATTGAGCCTGGAGATTCTATGGGGCATGCAAAAGTTCATGACGATGGCGCTTGTCTCGTTGAGTTGGATCAGGATGATTTTTGGAACCTAGGGAGTGGGGATTTTATGGGATCACCCATGGCTCTCAATGCGGCCCTAAGAACCTCAGCGACCCTCGAGCTGGGATCGACCAGGGATCGGATGGGATGCAATGCATGGGGGGTCACGGAACTGCAGCCAGTTACATCCATAGCAAATTCGTTGCCAATCAAAAGGAGCCGGATATGCAGAAACGGGCTGTTGGAGCCCCCGCTCGGGGCTTTGAGGAAGTGGGTGCAGAGGAAGCTAAGCCCATCTCGTAAAGTCTGGGAGGGGGCAGGGCTCTAAGCCCCGTTATGACTCAGGCCGCACGGGCACCGTCGGGCTCCTAAAAGGGCTTAGTGGGAGTCGGGGACCCCGAACTGGCTTAGCCGCCCTCGTGAGCCCTCAGATCTCGGGCGCATATACAATGGCAGCCTGCCTCAGGTGGCTCGCGTTCTGTTGGCACGATATTCTTTCCTCACGGTCTCTATCGTCGGCTTCTAGGCCTTCCCAGACCCAATCCATTCCTTCATCAATTCGTTCTTGAAATTTATAGATACCCTAGCGAACCATGGCGTTCGTCCAAGACACCTTCTTCCAAGCTCCAATCGAGGATTGGGTCGATTTTGACCAATTCCTGGATCTTGGCCCTACCTATGGCGATGACCAATCCGCCTCGGCTACCTCTGTCTCCCCCGACATGAGCCTCTCTTACGAGGCGGATATGTTCGGGAATGACCTTCCAGACTTGGGAGATTCCCCTTTTCCCGAGATGGTCAATTATGACCTCCAGCAGCAAAATTTCTTCGCTGGCCAATCCCCAATAATGGGGATGATGGCTGAGCCCACAGAGTCTTTCGATAGCCCGTCCTTGTACGGCTACGGTAACGCATATGACTTCAGAGAACTGGTCGAGGCGCAGGCCGCCACTGATCGTAGAGCGGCCTCAATAAAGGAGAAGCGCCGGGAAGCTGCTATTGCATTGCATCTGCGGCGGCTTTGTGACGCCACTGCATTGGATCTGGACATGTCGTCTGATTCCAACACAAGCTTCTCTTCTCCTTCATGGTCCGAGTACATGCGCGAGAGCATTTCTCCGCAACCATCGTCATCCGGCCCAGAGCAAGCACCTGCAGCGATGCCCTCAGGAAACACAGGCATGGAGATGGTCCTCGACCTCAACATGAATGCCACAACCAACGTTCCTAAAAAGCAAAAGCCTCGCTCCCAGGCTCAAAAAGAAAACTACATCAAAGCTCGAAAGTACGGCGCGTGCGAGAAGCACAAGAAGCAGCACAAGAGAGTGAGATATTATCGACTCTACCGGGATGACGCTAGAACTTTATGCTAATTTTGTCCGCAGTGCAATTGCCTCGAGAAGGCTGCCGCTCGTGCCGGAATGTCCGAAGTTCCACAGACCTCTGCGTTCAGGGAACGACCGCAGACGATGTGGTCCCCGACAATGAGCGTGACAAGCTCGCATTCGGCTGCTTCGCGTTCGTCTGCCGTATTGTTACCTGATACGAACGTCCTAGTAAAACGACCATCGGATGGCCTCGTCAATAGGTCAACGAACAGTTCGTCAGGTCACGACCCGCTGAGCGCACCGACGACGAACCCGCGATTCTCGAAAATCCAAGTCAAATCTCTTCGGAGAGATGTTGGAGCAGATTTACCGACGCTGCCGACGGATTCTCGACAAGTGTCCAGAACGATTTCCAGTGTTCGCGGTTCGCCGGAGCACGATCAGCGATACCGCCTGAAGGCACTTCGTTGTCCAGATCGCACCGAATCGTGCGGTGCACCGGAACACGATCCAGGAAGAGAATCACAGTTCTTCGGTCGCCTTGTCATGTCTACCTCTGTTGGTGACTCAAGGTGGCGCTCTCGAGCACTGGACATGATGCTTCCCGGCTCAGCCTTGAGTGGCATGAGACAACCAGCGGGTTGTAAAACAAGCGACAAAAGCATGAAACGAGGCATACCGAGCGCCAACAGCCTGGAAACTAGAACAACGGCTGTCTCATTGGGAGTCGGAAAGGCTCGCCGCACCGGAATCCCTCAATCGTCGAGCCCTGTGCACACGAGACCGTATGTTCCGTTTGTCGGATTAGGCGAGAGCCAAAAGCGATCTACGACGCTGCCCCACCAAGGAAGCACACTCAGCGGTATCGCCAAGGCCGGAACGCAGTGGTCAAGTGTCCTTCAGGCAGCGCGACTGCGCGTCCACGGGCTGTTCTCTCCTATTGGAGCCAGCGTACCGGCCACTTGTGGAAGAGATGGCTTGCTCGAAGTAGGAACGCCATCCGTGCTCGCCCAAGCTGGCTCGCTGTTCTCAAACGCGCTGCATGCGGTTGCAGGCATATGTCGGCCATATACTTTGGCCTCTGGGCTGGAGACTGTCATGTTCAATTGTCTCGCATTCGCTGGTAGGCAGCTGATGTCTGTTAGACGGCTGCTGAAGACGTCCTCGACAAGCAGTATCCACCAATTGGGCTTGCAACAAGCCTGCCAGTCAGCCTTTCAGCCTTTCTAAGTATAAGATCGAGAATCTTGGGCTTCAATATGTGTACTGTGTGATACCAAAAAAAATTGGAGTTAGGGGTTTGATTTGTTAGATAACGCAAGCGTGTGCCAGCGGCGTTAAGAGCCACCCGCTGATGATTGGGCTAGACTATTAGATCACGATAAAGAATAAAATTTGATCTTTGCCAAACCACAATTCTTTAAGCTAGAGTAAATTCTTTCGGAAATGGAATGGGGTACTTCGAAGTTCTTCAACCGTGTGAGAATTGAAGCCCCGGATTGGTCCCCAACATTATAGCGTCTGGGTGATTTGCCCCACCAACGAACCGCATTGCTTTTTAACTCTGGGGAACCCTACCTAGTAGGATTCATGTTCTGACACTTTGATCTGGGGACCCCTTGCACTTACTATCAGTCACTAAGCGAGTTTCCACTCCATGGCCCAGCCGCAATTCAAGTTCTCCACGGTAACTGGCTTCTTCCTCCAGGATGAGCCCACCACCGACGCCGTCACATTTGACTATGTAGGTTTGCCAATTTACCAAATGCACTCAAAAGCAAAGGAAAGCTCATAAAACTCCCCAAGTCCAAGGAGAACTTTGGCCTCATAGCTGACTCCAATCTTATCTCCACCCAATGGGAGAAATTCAAGCAAAGAATCGAAGACCTAAACGCCCTAGGCGGATCGTCCGTACAATACAAGGTCCTTTTCCTAGGCCGCCACGGGCAAGGCGTGCACAATGTGGCTGAGCAGAGATACGGCAAAGCATGGGATGTAAGTCGGCCCAGTAATTCCCTCACCGACCTGGCATACTCACCGGCTCCAGGATTATTGGTCCAAGCTGGACGGCGACGAATACGGTACCTGGTTCGATGCCCGCCTCACAGATCTGGGGATCTCGCAGGCTGAAACGGCGCGCGCGACATGGAAGCACCAGATGGGGTTTGGTATCCCGGCGCCGCAGTCGTACTATGTTAGTCCGTTGACGAGGACGTGCCAGACCGCGCAAATTACCTTTGAGGGGGTAGGGTTGCCGCTGACGAAGCCCTTTAGGCCGTTGATTAAGGAGGTACGTTGATTTGTTCTCCTGTCTGCATAGCTTACGTTGTCGCGGCAAGAGATAGTTAGTGCTGACCGGTGGATTAGCTTCTTCGGGAGACAATTGGGGAGCATACGTGTGATAAACGATCGAAAGCATCTGAGATCGCGGCGGAGTTCCCGGAATATCGCTTTGAGGCGGGGTTTGATGAAGAGGATCTTCTGTATAGCCCGGACAAGCGAGAGACTGACGAAGAGCGAAATAAGCGCTTTGCTATACTGCTGAACGATATTTTTGCGACCGATGCGAATGTCTATCTCTCGTTGACGGCGCATTCGGGTGCTATCACGAGTATCCTGGAGGTTGTTGGTCACAGACCCTTTCCTTTACTGACTGGAGCGGTAATTCCGGTGATCGTGCAAGCGGAGAGGGCCTGATGGCTTCTTAGATGGTATTTTAGAAACTATGAGAAGCATAGCAAAGCGGATATCTTAGACACTTTGAAGTTGAAGTGTTTTGAGTATGAGGTATATTGTACATGGGTGCCAAGCCCGAAATTTCTAGTACAAATGCAAGCACGTCCAAACTCGCACAGATGGAAGGTGAGAGACAGAAGAAACCACGAGACTCCACCGCAATGTGGAGCTCAAATATAAGTAGTACATATGCAACGCCGATGAAGTGACATATCAGTTCCGCTTACCAGCTGTAGTATTGGTTCTGAGCAGAGATCTTCCGGTCTGGAAGTTGTGTCCAGAGCTGCTCCTTACGCTGGCGGGCAGCCTTGGCCTCTCGCTCCTCCCACTCACGAATGCGAGTCTTTTCTTCCTTCAGGAGAACGGAAAGGCCTGTGGAAGGAGGGCGCAGTTGGTTGATCTGTCCTCGCGCACGGTGGTCCATTCCCTGTCCGTATGGACCTCGGTTAACCCACGCTTGCTGAATGTAGATGGAGGTTGGGTCGTTAATCTTCTTGCGCTCGCCGGATTTGAGGACAACCGTGATGGGCTTGGAAGACTCGTTCTTGTTGTCACTATCCGGAAGGCCCATGCCTGCACGAACCATGGCGACGTTCTTTGCATGTTCCAAATGACCGAGCACATCCTTTGCAGCCTTCTTCTTGCTGAAACGCATCTGGAGGATGGCTTCGTCGATGTTCTTACCCGCAATCTGACGGGCCAAGGGACCGAGCTTCTTGAGGGAGGTCTTGAACCAGTGTGACTTGGATAGCGACTCGCGTTCGGTGCGCATGATCTTGACTTCTTTGGAGACACGTCCACGTTTTCGGACTTCGCGTTCAATCATCTTCTTCTCCCATCGGTATTGGGCTCTTGGGTTGGGGTTCAGCGTGGGCTGGAGGTAGGCTTTGTCACGTTCTTCCAAGGGCACAGCTTCAGTTGCACCGCCCGCTACAGCTCCTTGCTGCTTCTTCTTCTTTGGTGCCGGGCCAGCCATTGAAGGCTCGTCAGCGAAAATCGAGGTCTCCCCCAATGAACCCGGTGTCGGGGCAGTTGGGGTGCGAACAGCCTGGGCCTTCTTGGGGCTGTCTTTTGAGGAACTCCCCGAAAGCCAGCTCTTCACGGAGGAAAAGACCGAGGGTTTCTCAGTAGTGGAATTGTTGTCATTTTGGGCACAGCGAACGGCAGTGGTGGCCAACGTCCGACGGGGAATACACGCGATGCGAGTCTGGGCGGCTTCACGGATAGTTAGCGAGAAGGCCCGAAGAATGGGGACATGAGTTAGAGATTGGCTTACCAGAGCGAACCAGCTGCCCGTATGGATAAAGGGCGCCCATTGTGGCCGTGTAGACAGATTAAGCTGTAGCGGAACAACAACTTGATTTCCCCCAGAAGGAAAAAAGGCGATGTGCCGCGCACTTGGCGGCTCCGCCCGGCCCTAGATTTGCAGCCTGAGGCGGCAATATCTATGCATGTCGCGACTCATGGGTCAGAACAATGAACCCCCCGGAGGACAAGATAGCAGCACCCAAGCTCGGAGAGGCTCCAAACGCCACCGAGAAGAAAACGGCAAAGTAGCCTCAAGCAAAAGTAAAGGAATGGCGCATTCAGTCCGTCCATTTTACGTTCGTTATTCCTTCCACAGCGTCATCTCCACTCAGATCCACTAGCCCTCATCTTCCCTCTTTCAGGGCCTTCAAGTGCTCCCCTTCTTCCATCAACCTTTCCCTTCCTTCCATCCTCCTCCTCTCTCCACCCCTTCCCAGGTGGCTCGCCAGTGGCTTTCTCTTCCCGATCTCTCCTCCGCCCTCTCTACCACTTTTTCTTCTCCCCCACCCCCCCTTCTTACACCAGGTAAACTGCAAGCTACCTCGGGTTGGTGCAGGAATGGACAAGTTTTTGAGGCATCTTGTGGCTCTCGTCTAACCTGGATCTCTGCTCCCTGAGCACCATTCGTGACCTCAGCTCTCTTTCATTCCGTTAGATCTTTAGCGCGGTCGCTCTCCTCCACGCCCTTTCCTTTTCAGAGCGTTCCCACCGTTCATTTCCCGCAAGATGGACATCAAAAACCTACTTTCCCCGGACTCAAACTCTCAATCTGGGAAGCCGGCACCCGCCCCTGGTGGCACGAACACTGCACCTCCCTCCACTGCAAGCCCATCTCCCCGCAAGGCGATTCATCGAGCGCGCACTGGTACCGCTCGAAAGAGCAAACCCTCTTCTCCCCTTGCGCAGCAGATTTATGCACCCGCTGGCCGGCCAGAGCCGTCATCTGCAACGGCGACATCGACGGGCATGGACACTCTCGCTGATCTCGCGGCAATGCAACATCACCAACCCCAACGCCCAAATGCTACAAACGTCCTCCGCGGCCCTGAATCATACGAACACCAACTCTCTCCTTCCACCATTAATCCTCACGTCAACCCAATCAACCACAACACGCCTACCCCTCGCACCTCTTTCGATATTGCTATGTCGGAAGGTCCCAGGGAAAGTGCGCGTAGAAATTATGTGGATACCTCGCTGGACCCAGAGTCGCAGCGGCTGGCGACCGAATTGTTCAATCAAATCCAAGAGAACTCTCACACATACGACGCTCATGTCAGGTTCATCGGCTTGCTACATGCTGGCTTCGTGAATCATGTCTATCCGCCCAACAATCCAGATATCCATGGGGATCCCCGACGCTACGACCTTCTCAAAGACATGCGCACGGCCAGGGAAGAGATGGACAAGCTTTTTGCGATGGGTGAAGACTTGTGGGCGGAGTGGATTCAAGATGAGAGCATGCTGGCTCATTCGGCGGCCGAGCGCGAGGCTGTCATGATCCTCTGCCAGCGATCTGTCAACGAAGAGTTCGGTAGCACAAAACTTTGGCATATCTATGGTGAATGGATGCTCTATTTGTATACATCTGCCAATGGAGAAGGGGGCGGAGCTGGCCAGTGGACTGAGGAAGACCGGCAGAAGTTCACATGGCAGTCTGTGCTGGAGGTATGGCGAGAAGCTGCAGAGTCGACTCGCTGGAGGATCAACAACAGTCACCTGGTGTGGGACCGATACTTGAATCTCCTAACACAGGATGTTGCTCGGGCCCCCTCGCAGGAGAAGATTGAACACCTTAAGGGACTTTTCGACTCGCGACTGCAGACCCCTCACGCAACATGGGATCAGACATTCCAATCCTTCTCTTCATTTATCTCGACCTACTATGAGTCCAAGTATGAAGGGATAATGGCCGCTACTGTCGATCAGTCTGCCAAGGCGAAGAACTTGTACGCCTCGAGGGAAGATTTTGAGCGTCGCCTGAGTGAAGCTGAGGCGTCGGGCGACAGAACCCTGGAATATCCGATCTATGCAGAATACATCGACTGGGAAGTGAATCGGCCTCGCCAAGGGCGGCGAGCAGAGTTTCATATTGAGCTCGCCAATGCCATTTTCCAGCGCGCGGTTCTGAGGTTCCCCACTGATGTGACTCTTTGGGAGGATCACGTCATGTTCCTTCTCGACGAGTCAATGCACCAACACCCGTCGAAGCATAACGCGCCCCACAAGAGCACCCCGACAGCAACGATTTCTACTCTCGATCGTGGAACTCGTCACTGCCCTTGGTCAGGAAACCTCTGGTCGCAGTACCTTCTGAGCTCAGAGAGAGAAGGCCGGTCCTTTGCTACCATCTCCGATCTCAAACACCGTGCTACCCGAACGGGGCTCCTTGATGCCGGTGGAATGGAAGAGGTCCTCAAGGTTCATACTACGTGGTGTAGCTACCTCCGTCGTCGAGCCTTCCTCTCTGACGCAACGGATGAAGATTTAGATGTGGCCGAAGTTGGCATTCGCTCAGCTATTGAAAGTGTTCAAGAACTGGGAGAAAAGAAATACGGTCGTTCCTATCAAGGCGATCCCCTGTTTCGCCTGGAACGCATCTACATTCGCTATCTGAGCGAGAGCGGCAGTTGGGATAGTGCGAGGGAGACTTTCAAGGGCCTTGTGAAGCGCCTTGGACATAGCTATGAGTTCTGGATCACATATTACAACTGGGAGCTCATCTCCTGGAGCAAGTTCGTCCAAGTCGAAGCTACTGTGGACGCTGCCAGACGGACCCCGAACCCTAGCTACGCGACCGCCGTTCTCAAGGAGGCTATCCGACGAACAGACCTTGATTGGCCTGAGAAGGTTGTTCAAGTGTACCTCTCTCATTGTGAAGACTACGAGGACTCGGATGAGCTGCAAATTGCTGTGATTGAGACGCGGAAGGCCATGAGGGCTGTCACTTCTCGAAGAGAGCGAGAAGCTGCTGCCGCCGCTGCACAGCAGCAACAGCAACAGCAACAGCAGATGGAGGCAGCTATCGAGGCCGCCTCGTCATCTGAGAAACGAAAACGCGACGATGAGCATGACTTGAATGGCGAACCTACACACAAAAGAATGCGCAGTGAAGACATTTCTCACAGTGCAAGCACCGAACCCGATGCTCCAAGCCGCGACCGGGAACATTCCACAGTGATTGTCAAGAATATCGCTAAGGGAACACCCGAAATTAAAATCCGCCAATTCTTCCGCGAGGTAGGCTGATTCCATGAACCGCACGACTGAACCCCATAACTGACTCCCTATACACAGGTCGGGACGATCAATGGCGTCAAGATGATTCCAGGCCAGAACACTGACTCGGAGTCTGCCATTGTCGAATTCGAGACGAGGGAAGATGCCGAGTCAGCCCTGACTCGCGATCAAAAGCGCCTGGGCGAAAACATAGTGGATGTCCAGCCGTACGCCCAAACGACACTCTGGGTGACAAATTTCCCTGCAGCTGCAGATGACGAGTATATCCGCAGTCTCTTTGGAAAGGTAAGCCTGCGTCAGTTTCGTGTCTCTGCTTGGGCTGTCGCTAACAAGCTATATAGTATGGGCGCATCATCGATATTCGCTGGCCCTCGCTTAAATTCCAAGTCAGTCGTCGTTTCTGCTACGTCCAGTTCGATTCCTCCAGTGCAGCTCACCAGGCAACTGAGTTGAATGGTACTGATACTGAGGAAGGACACAAGCTCATAGCAAAAATATCCGACCCAGAGAAGAAGCAGGAGCGTGGCGGCGCTCTGGCGGAAGGTCGTGAAATCTTTTGCAAGAACCTGGACTGGAAAGTAAAAGAGGAAGATGTTTCTAACGCTTTCTCAAAATTTGGCACCGTTGAGCATGTTGTCATCCCAAAAATGGCGGATGGCCGCAGCAAGGGAATTTGCTTTGTGACTTTCTCTAGCAAGGAAGAAGCAACAGCAGCTTTGGCTATGGATGATGAATTTTTGAAGTCTCGCCGCTTGCATGTAGAGCCCAGTACCAAAACTGGAGCGAAGCGCATGACTCACCATGTCATTTCCCGAGTTAAAACCTCGGCCTCGCCCGTCCCGGAAGTGAATGGCGAGGATTCGGAGGCTGTGGAGACGACGGGTGAACGCTGGGAACGTACAATTGCCTTGTTGAACGTCCCAGACACTGTCAACGAAGCCCGTATTCGTACCCTGGTGGAACCATGGGGTCGCCTCGTCCAGATCTCTCTTCGCCCAGATCACCAAGGGGCTTTGGTCGAGTACGTCGATGTCCACGATGCTGGCAAAGCTGCCATGGCGCTTGACGGGAAGGAAATCGTCGCTGGGCGCCAGCTGAAGATAGGGGGTATCCAGGATTTGAAAGCAATGCGGCCCGAGTACAAGAGTGACCGGGTGACTTCCGTCAAGAAAGAAAAGCCAGCTCTTCCCCTCGCCGCGCCCATCAAACGACCCCAACAACCAGGTGCCCGAGGCGCTGCTGGCCATGGAGGCCGTCGCGGTGGACTAGGCGTGAAACGTACGACAGGCCCCTCGGTCCCCAAAGCTTCTGAGGGCGATAAGATGGATACTAGCGGTGATGGAGATTCCTCTGCACCCAAAAAGAGCAATGATGATTTCCGTTCGCTGTTGCAGAGACCCTCGGAACAGTGACGCACGATGCAGTAGCAATGACAGTACGTGGCGCAAGTGCCTTTTTTTATTCCCGCGGCTTTCCCCTTTGATGTTTTCCTTTGCACGGGTGGACGGCGTCCTCAATGTACATTACGTATCTTTGCTTGGTGGCTTTCTTTAGTTTAATGACAATGGTTTTCCGAGGGTGTATTACCCCAATTAATTTCGTTCATCAACAGAAGTTATAGTCAATAAGTGTACTGGGTAAATTGTAGGGTGGTAGGATTGAACCGTCTATACAATGTACAGATACAAGATAGTTGCAAAGATACTGCCACTCTAAACAGTAGTACTATTAGCGGGGATGTTGACTCTGAAGCGCATCAAGCATGTTCAAGTTCGGCACCTGACTACTAGTAGAGAGAAATCAATAGTCCGTTCCAAAGAATAACACCAGGTTTAATAAAATTTCACCAGCAAAATTGACCTTTAAATGCTTTCGAGGTCTGGTGGATATCGGATGAATTCAGATTAGGTACTACTTGATTCATCCGATAGCCACCGGAGAAAGAAACCAGCACCAGACTTCGAAAACATTTCAAGGTCAATTTTTTGGGTGAAATTTTGTGAAACCTGGTGGATATCGGATGGACCAAGTAGTACCTAATCTGAATTCATCCGATATCCACCAGACCTCGAAAGCATTTAGAGATCCATATTCATGGTGAAATTTGTGAGACCTGGTGTATGTCGGATGAATCAAGTAGTATTTAATCTTAATTCATCCGATGTTGCAGGGACGCTAGGCTTGGCACCATCGAACCAATAGTATTCGACGAAACGACCATTGACGATAGCGCCGCTATACGCTGCCGTAGATGGGTTTGGTCAGCATCATAAACTTGCCCAGGGGTTCTCCCTTCATGTACACTGTACAATCCCGACGAGCGGTATGGTATAGTACTGGAAGTGTAGGTTTACTGTACAGCGGTCAGTGGGCAGTTCCTGACGACAACATACGGGCGGCCGTGCCGCTATCGGCTGCCGTGGGACGTCGCGAACGGAGCGGCTACGCAATGAGGCATCATCTTTCCCCTCATCTCTCTCCCTTCGTTCCTTCGAACCATCATGGACTTCCACCTGGTACCTCGCGGTACTGACCGCAACTATACCGGGTTTCTTACTAAAACCATCGTCTACGTCGGATCTCTGATCCTGTTCCTGGCTTGTAAGTTGCGGACGCGTTGATCTAGGCGACAAGCGCAGTTCGTGCTCATATTCCTTTTGAATAGCTTTCGCGTTGACGCTATCGTCTATCATCATCCCCAAATGGGTCAGCTACCACAGTGAAAAGGTAAGTACAGTCGGATATCTTCGTATCCTCTACATGGTACCACCTGGCCAATCGCCCCACTGCGTGAGATCTATACCGCGGACTCTTGTCAAGCTGACTGAAAGCTTCTCAGCCCCCACATCACTACTCCTACGGACTCAATCGTCGCTGCTCTTCCCTGACCGATACCTGCGAAAGTTTCCCGCAACGTGAAGACTGCCATGGCGAGAACCGATATTTCTGCTCCATGTGGCGCTCTGTCGGATTCCTTATGTCATTTACCGTCGTGCTTCAAGGCATAAGCATCGTGGCATATCTGATAATCCTGGCGGGCGGCAAGCGCCTCCGCGAAAATGGATGGCGGATCCTCAGTATTCTCATCGTCTTGTCCGCGATCGTCCAGGCGACGAGTATGTCTATTGTGGTATGTCAACGGCTCCCGAGTCTCGTTTCTATAGTATCTGGGGTGAACTAAGAGTATTGCGCTGACCTGGTGCTGTACTCCGTTGTAGGCCTACTTATTCGATAACGAAGACCGCTTCTTTGTTGGCTGGCAGCTGGACGAGTCGTGGATCTTCTGCACCGTCAGCTGGTGCATCGGCCTTGTCTGTGCGGGCGCAATCGCTATTGCGGCTCATACTTTGCCATCGGAAGGCGGCTATGAGCTCATCCCAGACCACGATGAAAGCTGAGATAATTAGTGATAATGCTTGTTTTCTCTTGACTGCTGATTTGATGTCCTAGCTCCCGTGTCTGCACAGGCGGCGACTCATTTGCAAGGATTATGCGGCGGACCAGCACGGATATATAAGAGACCTATGTTACATCAAACGCTGTATTTCCCTCTTTTATCTGCCAGGGGTTGGCCCAGTGATTCGGTACTAGTATTGTTGGGGATGTATTTTGCATTTATAATATTCTCTTCAGCGCTCTCCCTGATGATCATATATGAATAAGATGGACGAGCGTATGACTCGGTATGGCATCATACATCATTCATGCCATTCCCTGAAATGGAATCCAAAATCAGATACCTAGTGCATACTATTTTCGCCTGAATCGGATCACTCTGGAGATGATGGCCGTGGTTTAAAGAGGGTAGGATTGGTACCGTCATCAACCATCGCTTACATTGCACGAGTATTCCGCCTAAAAAAAAAAGGGCCACAACGTATGATTTGCAGCGACCTACCATACAATCTCCTTCCCATTTAGACCTTCCACACTTGGGATTTGGCTGCGCAGCGCATGGCCATAGTCACCCGCATTCGGTGTCCGCAGCAAAGTATGAATATGGAACTTCTTAGGCTCCTCATTATTCAAGAACACCCCAGAGTGATGGTCAAACTCAATGAGAATGACCGGACTTTGAATACGGAAATAGAACGGATCCTCATCCGCATACCCTCCAATCCAACTGAAATAAGTCTCAGTTTCCCAGCCGCGCACCTGCTCCAGCTTCAACTCCCGCGACCGCGCCGGTAGATACAGCAGGTACTGCTCCACGACTCCATACAAAAGCGTTTTCTGCGCCTCATTGAAAGTCGACGCTAGTACACCCTCGTACGGAACCTCCCTGTTATCCCGGTATGCCCCGCATAGGTGGCGCTGGTCATCCTTATTCCAGCGCCCCGGCGGCATAGCCGGATCCTTCATCTGCGCGAAGACCCGCGCCTTGGACTGCAGCTCCGCCGACAGCGACTGCATGAGCTCGAGCCCCAGCGTCTCCTCCACTTGCAGGATGCGGGTTCCAGACCACGGCCCGGAATCGATTTCGTTTGGCTCAGCGCCCGTGAACCACGGCGACGCGATGATCTGGCCCTGATACAGGAAGACGTTCAGGCACAGATGGTGGCCGTAGAACGACCAGCCCCAGGGTCGGGTGGTGGAGGGCGTGCCGAAGAGAACGAAGTTATACGAGTACTGGTTCATCACCCGGGGCGACTTGACCAGTTCGCCGAGGAAGTGGTTTATGCGCATTGCGCTGAGGGCTTTGTCGTAGCCTTCTGGGGAGAGGGTGGCTTTGAGGATGTTTAGCACGGCGTCCCGGGTGGTGTCGTTGAGTTCGTCGAGACGCACGCCCTTGTGGCTTAGGAGGAATTCGGGGTTGGACCAGGTGCGCCATTGAGGCGAGTCGATGTGGTAGGTTATGGCTTCTTTTTGGGTGTCGTCTAGGAGACGTAGTAACACCTGCGTTGTGTCTACAATGTGTTGAATTGGGACTTGTTCGTCTTGTATGGGGAAGAGATCGTGGCGGATACGGCCTAGAAGGGCTATTAGAAAAAGGGCGTCTTCGGGGTGTTGCCCATTGCAGCCCTAGTTTGGGGGGGGGGTTTCTATCCACAATGCGGCGGATACCGCAGTCCCATACCGTCCGTAGTAATGCCCTTGAAGGGCTCCTTCAACAGCTCGAGCCAATGCATGTACAGCGCGTGCAGCCACGGCGGCTGCTTCCCCGTTTTGAAAGCATGTGCATACTCATGTGCATCTTGCGTACACATAATCTGGAATCGAGGAATGTTCAGATCGGGCAAGTACTGACGATACTCGCCCGGCTTCCCGAGCGCGGACTGGGAGGTCGGCATTATGGGGATGCGCAGAATGGAAGCTCCAGCGCAGGGATCGGAGGTGAATGGAGGGTTGCTTCATGGAAAACCCGTGCGGAGAGGGAGAGACGTTATTATACTTCAGCATTCGGATTAGCCCCACCAAGTTCGCGCTGCGGCGCCTTCTCCACGTGGGGAATGTGGGTGAGACTCTACCCGTTTCCGTCTGATGGTGGCAATAGCGTATTTTCGTTCTTATCTGGGATTGGCGGGAAATTATCTATGAGAAGAGCCGTATGCCTATACGCGATTTAAATGGTTCAATATCGGGCGCATCGCCTGGGCAAGTCTACGTGGATCGTGCCATCTGCGGAGGATTTGCAGAGAGGCGGGAAAGTGGGGACAGAAAGTGGGAGATCCGTTAAGACCCTTCATAGAAAGTAACGTGGATAGTGTTTATCAGAGGGACTATCGAGAACGCGAAAGCGGCCGGTCTGCAAGGTACCATATCCTCCTTCCACTTATAAATAGTCTGGTGGATCGACGATACGGCTGTGAACTGCCGTCTGACGATGTCCACAGCTATGTATCTAATATGGAGAAAAAGGTCGAAGAGTTGCACTCGAAGCTTCGTTGAGCCGAGGCACGCTTAACTGCGTCTCAACTTCTACCAAAGGGGCCAGTTCCATATTCTCAGGTACTTGCGATTCTGAGGAATACGCCAAATTCCGTGCCTTAGACCAGTGCTATTCCGGGAGAAACCAAAGTGGCCCCAGACCGGCAAGACGAATCGGCAGACAGCGCTGATGACGAAATGCATGAAATGAATCACCATACTAATGCGGCTGAATTCCGCGGCAGCACGTCCTCCGCTGCTGTAATTGGTTATCTCCAAAAGACAAGGTACCAAAGACAAGACACCAAAGACCACATGAGGACCAACGGGCCCGACCAGGGGGTTTTTCTGTAATATCTATCTACCTTGCATAACGAGTTTCTCGCCGGAGACTACTGGACCAGCCTATTGAAGGTCGCTTGAACAGAACAACTACTATTTTGAGCAAGCGCATGAATTCATGAATGGCTACTTCGAAAATGTCCCATTTCATCCATCCTTTTATCGATAGAGAAGACACTCTACTCCGCTTTAATGATCTGTGGTTTAACAGGGGACAAACCCCTACCTCAAGCTTTATGGCATTGTATCTTAGCGTTCTTTCCTCTGGATCATTAGTCCGTGTGTGAGCTCTGCCAGACCGAGATGGTTCCGAGTATGCTATTATCCCATGGATGACCGACTCCGCTCAAATGATCCGTCGGTTCTCTATTCGAATCTACCCCTCCCGCATAAGTCTCCCAGAGAAGCTACAATTAGCTCTTCGAATCAAAATGGAGATGGATCGATGGCTTGCCGGGCTTCCAGAAAGAATTAGACCAAATATCGGTGTGCGTGGGTCTCCGCGAAGTGCCCCCAAAGAGACCCGAAATGGGCGAGGAGGCAACGGCTCGTCCTGGGAATCCCTATGCCCATCACGGTTACTCCCTGCTACCCTTCAGCGCGCTAACGGATTGCAGCGCGCAGGCTCCTACAACGAGAAGATGCTCCTGCTCCGGCCGTTGTTGAGCCACTTTACTCGGACGTTTCGGCAGCCCCCCTAGCGAGCTAGATGAAAAGATGAGCAAGGGTCAGGGTGCAGCCCAGAAGACGATAGAAGTGATCCATGATATCTACCGGGTGCATGAACTCTTCAGATGCTGATATGGCGTCGCCGAGCCTGTACGGAATACATGTCCTCCTGCTAGTAGTCCAAAGGTGGTACAACACTACGTGCGTAATGTTCGCTACCTCGACGCTTCTCCTTCCCATGTTCAAGCTGGGGATGTGCGCGGAGGCGATGCCGCTATTTCGCTGGGTCGAAATGGGCGTCGAGATTCTGGAAGCTATGGATGAGTCGGTGGTTGCCCGGAGGTCGGTGGACATCATCAAGCAGTACTTGGAAGACTTCAGAGTATCTCGAGCACAGCAACCACCGCCGGTCCTCGGCGAAGGAATTGAACTGCCCGTCCCCGTGGATGGGCACGGGAATGGGCAACCCGGATTAGAAATGCCCCGAATGGGCCTATGGGTTTGGCTTCCTTGACTATTCCTTCAAAGGGAGGGCCCGAGTGTTTGATGATATCGGAGAGCACCCAATATTGGACAGCTAGACTTCTTTCGAATGGAATTAGCGACCGTGTACAGTGAGTCGTTGCCAAGTGCTGCTTGTTATACCGCTAGTGGAGCTATCGGTCTTATCACCACGCCAGTGGTATACATGGACATTCGTCGAATCCTCGTGAGTCTCCTACCTATTCCGTCTTGGAATCAATTGAATGAGTCACTCGATGGTCAGGTGAAGGTTCTTGTGAGGCCGTGATCTTCCATATGCAAGGTGCGGTTTTCGTGGAAACGGCGGATGCTTAACTGCGTTATGTCCGCGCCTCGGAGTTTCGGAATCATCCTTCCCCCCGCAATCACATTCAATCACATCAATGGGTTGTTGTGGGACTACTGACGAGTCTCTTGCCAAAGCCAGCTTAGCTGCAGGGTAGACCCGAAAAAGGTTCTCTCCGATAAGTTCAAATCGATGGCATGATCTTATGATCGATTGATCGACATGGCTGTTAGTGATCGCATCCAGCCCCACCAGCCGATATAAAGAGGGGGGGGGGCCCTTTCAATCGCTCACCCTCGGCTTCTTCATCTTGCTCAATCTATACGCTCGAACGCATAACAGCATAGTACCGTGAGACTGTGGAATCCGACTGAAGCTTATCTCATCCGCCATGCCTTTGACTCTTCATCACATGGGTCTTTCCCAGTCCGAGCGGATCATCTGGCTCGCTGAAGAACTCGGAATCGATTACAAGTTCGTCAAGCACAATCGCGACCCAGTTTTCGCCCCTCAGTCAATCAAAGACCTGCACCCCTCCGGTTCGGCCCCGGTCATGGTGGATGACCCTTCGCCGGTGACCAATTCCAAGGTGGTGATTGCCGAGTCAGGGGCCATCGTCGACTACATCATTGCGGTGTATGGCGGAGGCCGCCTCGCCCTTACCCCGAAAGACGGAGCCGAGTACCCGCATTACATCGAGTGGTTCCACGTCGCAAATGGGTCATTGATGCCTGCCGTTGGCCGAATGATGATTACTCGCTCCACAGGCGCGGACCCTGACTCCCCATTAGTGAAACGCATGGTCGATAAATGGAACAGCGGTCTGGAGACCCTGGACGCGCGCTTGGCAGAGACTGGGGCATACCTTGCTGGCAAGGAACTCACCGCGGCTGATATCATGAACTTCTTTGCTTTGACCACGATGCGTGGCTTTTTCCCCGTGGAGTTTGATACGGAGAAACACAAGAACATTCTTGCTTATCTTCAGCGGGTCGGCGAGCGACCGGCTTACCAGAAGGCCATGAAACTCTGTGAGGGCGATGACTTTGTGCCCCTTCTACAGGCCAAGGCTACACAGTTTGACTTGATGAAGAACATTTCCCCGAAGTAACTGGAATGGCCATCTGGGGATTCGTCCTATGTATTTTTACTTGTAGCGTCAATTCCACTCCTACATAAATAAATGAAAGACATGAATTTGTGAAGATAAAACACCGTGAAGAACGGCACTGTAAAACACCTGGTGGAGTCTTCATTCATGGGGTGGAGTCTTCATTCATGGCCACGAGGACAGACGCGGCTTTTGTTGAGGCCTGGGGGAAAACGGCTTCTGGTTAGCCTGGACGGCCTCCTGGACCTCCTGCACCGCATCGTATCCGTATATCCATGGCCTGTGCCTCGGGGCAGGTCCTAAAGAATGGTTAGTGTGGCTCGAAGTCAAATTGGAGACTTTTCATACCGGAAAACGATATTCCGGGCTTTCTGTCGATCCCCGTCATGCACAAGGAAATCATTTCGCTATTCCGTCACTTGGATTAGCGGGAATGGGCAAGTATGTGGACGGAGGATCATAATGCATACCTGCGCAAAAGTCTCACGAACAATAGCTTCGCCTCTTGAACTTCCTTAGACCCTCTTGGAGTACCGGAGCACCGTAAGCTTCGTAGGCTCCGCCGCAGCCAGAGCGATGGCGGATGATCCCAGTACTGCAAGAGTCGGAACGTGTTCGGAGTGATCCGGCGACTGGCTTCTACCTCGGCCAGCTCTTTTTGCTCGACCACTTGCACCGAGTGGTTAGAGAAAGCAGCTAAGATTGCTGCCGCTATTCCGCCGCTATTCCGCCGAGCCCAGCTTCGAGGGGTTACGCCCACATGGGCTTCTTTAGAGACCTGGAGATAGGTGATCCGCCTTTGATTCAGGAGCGCACGCACGTCACCTGCCATGGTGGGCAGTTTCTGGATCCAAGCTCCCACCGATCGCAAGCTGGATTATTTCAAGTCTCCCATCGTGTTGACGGTCAATAGTAGGAGAGCTCTAGCGGGGGCAATCCCGCCATGGCCTATTGCGCATGCTCGGAATTGCCGAGCCGGACCTTCCAGACAGAAAGTGCCATGTTCGATGTTGCTCTTTGGGGATCCTGTACGATGAGGGTCAACTGGCGTTCGCAATTTAGCTTGCACTCGCAGATGCTGCAGGGACTTGAGGTATCAAGGCCTTGTAGACCAATCTTGCAGGAACGGTTTATGAAGACCCAGAGTCTGGTGGTGTCACGAGACGTGGAATCGCAGTAGCGGTTATCTTACTATGGGAGACATCGTCAACAGTGGCCCACATACTATGATGATTGCGTACATGAAGCAAGTTCCTATGTGAAACATATGATCCCCGTCCCAGCTGTGCAAGATGTGCGACAAGAACTTGGAGGGTCCCCAAGGGTCGCTCTGCCCGGGTTCCTCCAAGAGCCTTCTTGGAAACGGTTTCGAGAATTAGTCGCGTCAATGCCATGTGCGACAAGTCCAGCAACGACGTGGGTCAAACCTTACCAGCAACAGAGAGGGCCCTGTAGGTCTATGCGGCTATCCTTAGCCTGGGTGAACATGTCACACCATCCGTCGCTTGTATTACGTGGTTCGTGATGCCCGTCGATCGAGATAAGTGCAACAACAACATGGGCAGTACCGTATTGGCACTGATCTCAACGAGTATAGACTTGGTAGTAGTGATCTAATACATCACGCACGCTTGGGTCACTACCCTTTAGACCAAGATATCAGGTACTAGAAAACCTGGCATGCTTAAGTAAAGTTTATTCATATTTCGCTAAGTTATCGAAAAGAGGAAGCAATTGGAATATCATCCAAGGGAAAGAATATCATGCTTGCTGCTGCGCCCATAGTAGAATTGCAACGCCATGGGGTTTATGGCCCCTCGCTTGTAAAACCCACGTGGTTATTGGCAGTTTGAAGGAACCTTCAATTGTTCGTCAAAGAAATATACCATTTGAATGGCACTTTTTATCCCAATGCTCACACCTTCTCATTCAGATTATCCGAATCATCGCTCTATATGAGTAGCCTATTCAGAACACCTAATGTCCAAACACCAGTGAAAAGCTCAGGACGATGACAGACAGAGGAAAGTCGAAAGCTCAAGCAGAACCCGCTGCCCATGCCCTAACACCTGTAGCTCCCTATCCAAGATAGTCCCAGAAGAAAAAGAAAATGTACATTCTGTGAAGGATGAAAGTCGGAAGCCAAGAACAAGCATAACATCAACGGAAAGAACTTCAAGTGGAAAATTCCAACGGCCTAGAGACTGCGAGGGGTATTAGATTCCACTCGCCCGCAGCTCGCATCGCCATTATTCCCTAGTATTCTCCAACTCGAGGCCCGGTCCGTCCGCGGCTCTAGATGTGACGGAAAGGACGTAGAGGAGCTGCGACTTAATGAACCCGGGGACGAGGGCGCCGATGAGCCTGGCGTGGTATTCGCTGTAGCCGATGACGTCCCTATCGAGCGAGCCACGGTGGCAGTCCCGGCAGGATTACAGTGTGGGCAAACAAAGATATTGAAGCCACGCCCGCTGCAAGTTCCACAGATCGCGCCTCTATCGGCAAAGTTTAGCTCTAGCTAGCACACAATAAGAAAACTTTTGGGGAGCGATATACGATCCCAAGTGTGCATACCTGGGCGCGTTTCCTGCGCAGTGAGGGCATGTCACGACCGTTCGGCCACCGATGCAGGAGATGTGACTTGGATCCAAGCTGTACACAGAAGCATCTGAAGTACCCATTATGTTTTGGAGATTGTATCCCACCTGAAATGGGGAGTAAGCCAGCGAAAGCACACTCGAAATCTTGATTAGGTCCTGAGTGCGGGCACTTTCTAGTTCAATGGAGTCTCAAATGAGCGACGGCCGTCAAGGACTTGTGAAAGGCTTCGGTGCTCGTGTGCCTCTTATTACCCTCACACCCAACCAAGCGAGCAAGGAATAGATACAGAAGCCAAGGAAAGCGATGTCTTCTCAAATCGGACAAGGGTAAAATGCTGCCCAGGCCAAAGTATAATGAGACCCGGAAATGGAGGCAGCCCGGGAGGATCGACTCTTATACGCGCGAGGATCTCTGGTGGCACACGACATGCGAAGGTCGAATGTTACATTGGCGAAGCGACCTCGAGAATGGCAGGAATATCGAGGTAGAGCCTGGCGTCTGACTGATCAGCAGGGTCCCTGTTTTCAAAACGATGCCGTTGCTAGGACAGGCATTTATTGAAAAGCTTGACTCGGCGTCGACGGTAGCAAAAAAAAAAAGGCATAAGTCCTGATGAAGATTCACCAATGAAAGGCCTGAGTGTATATCATGCATAGATGGAGAACGGCGCATTCACCGTCTCGGGTTTAGCTCCTCCCTTCGCTGGCAAGGGTGTGCCGAAGACAAGTAAACCTCATGCCTGACAACTAAACTTGAATTTCTGTATCTAGTAGCACAGGTTCAGGGTTGCTGAAACGGACTCAAGTTTGCGCCCTTGGCAGGAAGATGTACTTATGTCCTGCGTAGATTGTTCTTACGGGGAATCGACCATACTATATAGGGATAGCCATGGTCTTTCTTCTGGGCTTGAATTATGTCTTATTTATATCCTTTGAAATATTTTTTTTTCTTTTGTTTCTTTTGTTTTTTAACAGTTCAATCGGGCCCACCGAGCCATAGACTAGCACTCCATTGAACGTCATCAGCCTAGAACGGGGCCTTGGTGTGGCGGTTCGACCAGAGGCTGTTCCAACCAGGAGAAAGACAATACAGGGATTCTGCAACGAGGATAAGGAGCAAATCACAAATCATAGTCAGATCCAGAGTTGGGCATGGTGCAACCCATTTTGGCCCCCGTGTTCCCTACTAGTACACGGAAAATATTCCCCAGCCTCATGGCAGCCACCACGGCTCTGTACCACCAGAGCTAGACAGGGCCAAGAAAATAATATATACATATCTGTAAATATCAATAGATATGCATCTTTGATGCACAATGACTTGGCAAAGATGATCGTGCTTGAATGCAGAACCATCGCAGTCAGCTTCGTTGTCGAGGGATCTTTGAAGTGGGGAATTCCACCCACGGATGGCTGCATAAACCCATGCAAAGATGATCTCATTTCCGAAGTCTCACGCACCACGGAATTCGGAATTCTCTTTGGCGAAGGGTGGTCTCCATAGTATGTCAGCTTAGGAGAGAGTGGCTCCACGGCCCCTCTTTCTAAGCCAAGTGAAGGGGGATCTAATTATAGACCCCGTCGGTCCTGCATCCGGACGGACTGATAGCTGGGTATAATGGCGATAGCAAATCAAGCGTAAGAGTAAGATCGTCATCACCGTCAACCGAGCCCGTTTCAAGGACGCCTCTCTTCGAAAAGGGTATATTCTCCGGCGCACCCTCGACGCTCGGAGCCAGTCAGCTCCCGGCAGCGTGCCTGATCCTGTCGGACGGTTGAACGCATCGTCCAAGCGAGATCGCATGGGAGGGTTTTCTACCAATGAGGACTGCATGGGGGAAGCCGAACTGCCATATGCATTAACCGCAAACCACCAGGCTGGTTCGGCCGGACAAAATCCTCGTTGGGTCTGCAGCTACCCATCTTTCATCACGCGCTAGGGTTGGGATTTCAGGATAGACGGGGATTCCATGAGCTGGCGCTGGGTAGCATGCGCTAAGGTGGATCTAAAGGAGCCGGGGGTTAGACCCCTGCAAGAGATGAAAGGGAAAAGGTCTCCAGCACAGGAACTGGTTCCTACGGACCCCGAGGGAGTTCGGTATTCATGGAATTTTTCTGCTTCACACAATGCAGTGAGACCACGAGCTGGGAAGCAGGGGGTTGAATCGATGTTGAAGGATTCCAGGTCAGCTGACATCGAAGCCCAGGTAAGAAAGCATGGGATTTTTTTTTTTCAATTGATGCCGCCCGATTGACGAAGTGGCCTGGATCCTCCCGCCAGCGCCGTCTTTTAATTTCGAAATGCGCGCGGTGATTCGGCCATTGGGGGACGTGGCATGGTACGTTCTGGTTTAGTTGGTCCTAATGAGAATGGTAAATGAACGAATCATCGTGTGTCCTATGCCGCCTGGACTCTCATATCGGGCTTGAGCGCGCAATCAACACGCAAGATGTATGGACAACATATGTATACCAGGGGGGTAGGCCGTCGCATACCTACGTTTTTTCCAGGAAAAAGTGGAGCAAAGGATTCGACTGGTGTCTCTACATGACCCAGAGGAAGACAAAGAAGGGGGAGGGTTAAGAGAGTAAGAGGTAATGCCAGCGCCAGCGTCAGGTTGATACCAGGGTCTGCGCCCTCTGCACATGGGTTATTAGTACCAAGGGCTTTCGATCACGCCCGTTCAAAGGTCAGGTGTCCAACACTCCGGCCTAGCAATCTGATAGAGATCACGCGTCCCCTTTCCTGAAGGGTATCCCGGACTTGACGGAAATGATCACCGCGTACTATAGGAAGGAGGCGAGGGCTGCTCGGCGCGTGGGAGAAAGAGAACAGAAAGCGGAAAGGTAATCATAGAATTATTGCATAGAAGCTACTGACGAAACAATGTCTAAATGGGAGCTACTTCTCCAGCTTCTTAGAAGACGATAGGGTTTGCATTCTCCGTTTAAGAGTTGCGGGTTATGGGGCCTTGGAAAACAACGAAAGGAAATCCCGTAGCGAATAGGCCAGACTCATAGCAAAGAAATATCACAAAAAAGCCAAAGGGTTGAAAGCCACCGAATAAGCACTTGGGGAATTGTTGCAGGGGTAAAAAAAGAGAAATCTGAAACTGGGGGTTCGGGAATTCACACCGCGAAATACTCTGTCGGTAGAGCGGAGAGCAGAACAAGCGTTCCAAGACCACCTAGCAAGGCACTAACAACAGCTGTTGCAGAATATGTAGCCAATGCTGTGGAGGATGCGGCGGACTTGACACGCTTGACCGGTCGTTGAACGTTGTCTTCCAGTTGAGTAGCCACTGTGTCAATGGTTGGCCCAACTGCCTCCATATCCGTCACTTTTCGCTTCAGAGAAGTTGGCTCCGGCTGGGGCGAAGGCTGAGAAATTTCCACAACCGGAGAAACGGGACATGCATCGTTCTCAGCACAGACTGGCAATTCCGTCGCTGTTGCCGTCTTGTTCAGGGGAGATGCCAGCTGAGAGCCATCCTTGGGGTCAACTACACCGGGATAGTCCATGACAGGCGTAATGGGAGACTTGCGTGACGCGGCGTTGGAGGAAATGCGATTCGCACTTGCCGAATCCATAGCCTCATTGAGAGCGTTCAGTAAGGCCCTACGTGCATCCGTCCCCGGGAAGGCCTTGGGGACGACGGAATCGGAGGTGCAATCGGCAATATTGCCCGACTTGTCAATAGAGAGGGATCGATGTAGTCATTTTCGCTATCCTCCTCGACCGAGGGGCTGCACTCATCGGAATGGGCGTTCGAATCTTCAGACTCCGAGTAATCCTCGTCATTGTCGTCATCTTCGCTATCGTATTCAAGGTGATAAATGCTTTGGTACTTGTCTCGCGGGAACTCCTGCACCTCTGACTCATCCTCAAGTTCAGCATCGATCTCGGAATCCTCTCCCGAGCCTGAGCAAGAGGATGCATGCGAAGCATCCGAAGTAAGATCCATGACTTTGGCTTGTTCATTACCCTCCATATCACTCGAGGAGCCGGTGAGATCGATAGGGTTCAAAATATCTTGCATCGTGATTTTATCGCCGGTCACCTCGCTGGGATTTGGGAGCGTAGTGTTCGGGCGTTCGTAAGGCCATTCCTCCGGGAAGGTGGGACATTCACCGCGAGCCATAAGAAGATCATACTCTCCATTCTCACTATCTGTGTCTTCAACAGGGGCATTTGCTGATAGCGTCTCGGTCACATGGAGGGGAGCTTCCAGTTCCGGTTTCGAAAGGGAGGGGACCTTGGGGTGTCGCGCATCCTTGTCTCCATTGAAGGAGTCTCTGAACATCGTATAAGTAAACGGCATCGAGGTGAGTGCGGGACGTGCATACTGGGAACGATAGCTGATCTTGGATCGCATAGTCAGAGCAGGAAAGGTGACTGATGATAATGAGCCTGTAAATCAAGAGAATCAATACAACTACGACGTCATTAACATACCATCATTGCGCTCAACATCAATTCCAAAGCGAATGATATCCTCGTTCAGGATAACAGCCCGCTGATGACTAGTCAGCTTCACATTGTTGAGCCAAGTTCCATGAGTAGAGCCAAGATCCTTGATCTGAACCGTCTTTTCATCAAAATGTCAGCCTAGAGGCTATGCTATATGGGGAGAGGGCGAGTTCACCTGGTTGACAGGATTGAAGCTGAGCTCTGCGTGATCTCGGGACATCACGCGTGATTCAAACCAGCCATTATCGTGAGCTGGAATGCGTTCGTGCGGGCCACGCTTCGAGGCACGTCCGATCGAGAGAATATTGTTGTTGGAGGAAGAAAACGTGAAGTGACGTGGCTGGGAATGGTCTTTGGGGAAAAGGGACAGTGTCACTACCAAAAAGCGAAGTCGTTTAGTAGGTGGATATCACAAGGGGGACTATGCTAGGCCCAGATAATCTCCAAACACACTTACCCGGATCAGACATCTCGTTTGATGCGGTAGAATCACCGGGGCAGTTGATGGGGACACTCATTTGGCAGGATCTGGTGTTTGGATATGATATCAGTCCATCTGACTTGGAAAGGCAGAAGATGGGCGCTTGCAAGAAAGCAGGTGATAAGAGTGGATCGGGTGCCTGGAGGAGGCGGCTTACCGGGTCAGTCCGGGAAACGTGCCTGAGCAACGCTGACGGTAGTCAGTGGTAAAGGCTCAGTGAAGTAAGAGCTGCAACCCGGGTCAGAGAGGAGGGACGAGGGTGGGAAGAGAAAAGAGATGGAGGTGCCAGGAGAGAGGGGTAGATGATGAATCAGGGTCAAGGCCAGGCCTCGTTTCGGGTGTTGGGGGCCCAGGCGAGGAACCTTGGAACTCACTTGCGCAGAACCAGACAACCTGCACACCGAACGAAACAGCTGCGTCTAGCGGAGTCTCTCTAGCGAAGCCTTGAGCCTTGAAAAGAGAGAGGAAGGTTTGTTTGCCCGTCAGGCAGATAAGGCGATGATGTTATAGTCGAAGTGGGGCAGTGCAGCTTATCGCTTTGATGGGGAAAGTCAAGTGGAGCGAAGATCGACGGGAAGGAACCACTTCCTGTGTACTCTGGACTCTACATTGTCTTAGCGTTTAATGGATTTGACTTCTCATCTTCGCTCTATCAGCAACATTCACATTCACCGCTATGGTACACATATTATTGTCCACGTCGCAAGCCTCATCCATCTCCGACGCTCCCAAGTCACCCGCTCCACAAACCTCCCGCGGCCCAATCAGAATCAATAAGTGGTAGAGGAAATATGTCAGAGGGGATACTAAATACAAACAGAGAAAAAACAATCCAGAGCACTCTCCCAGAGACCTGATGGTGCCGACGATCGGAATGCGGGCAGGAAGCAGAACCACCGGGCTTTAAGGGGTAAAGAGGGAAGATTGTAGGGGAAATGTAACAGGGAGGGTGTAAAAGAAATTGACCACTGGCAGGCTTTTACATGGCAGGGCCAGCAGCACCCATGGCTCCCATGGCGTTCAGGCGGGCAGCCAATTGCGGGTATTTCTCCTGGACCTCAAGCTGGGTGCGGGTAGCCTCTGCATAGGATATGGCGTTGACGATCTCAGCCTCGGTACGGGCAAGCTCGGCAGCACGCTCAAAGTACTTCAGGGCCTGTGAGACCTTGCCCTGTTGCAGGAGCAGCTGTGCCATGGTGCCAACGGCAATATCACATTCGGGGTCAACTAAGAGAGGGAGAGAAAAGCGGTTAGAATACGTCCAAGGTCAGGAAGCGCGGCTTAAGACAGAGAACATACTGATAAGTGCCTTCTGGCATAAATTCTCCGCCTCAGTGAAGTCTTGCTTCCACTGGAAGAGGGCAAGAGCCTTGTTGATCAAGGGCAGAACGTTAATGCCCATGGGCTTGCTCTGCTTCTCCATCTCGACGGCCTTGTCGAACTTTTCGATGGCCTCACCGTAGTTCTGTTGGTCCAGAAGGAGCTCTCCGTAGTAGTTGTAAACATCGGGAACATCTTCAAAGTTCTTAACCGACCGACGGAAAGTGGCCATGGCGGAAGCGACAGATCCCATCTTGTATTGGGTCACGCCGAGCTGGATGTGGGAGAAGATGAACGAGCGGTCGAGGTCGATGGATTTCTGGTAATCCTTGGCGGCCTCGGCGAATTCGCCCAAGATGAAGTGGAGCTGGGCGCGGTGGTAGTAAATATCGGGGTCGTCTTTGTTGCTGTTAATGGCAAGTTCGAAGTCATCGGCAGCAGCATCCTTGTTTCCTGTTGGCTTGTTAGTGATGCGATCCTTTGTATCTTCTGCCCGAATGGACACTCACCAAGCTCAAGGTGCAAGCTAGCACGCTTGATGTAGCTCTGGGCAAGGGTCGGCTGAAGCTCCACACTCTTGTTCAAATCTTCCAATGCACCAATAGCGTTGCCGCCGAGGTACGTGAATGTAGCTCGCATGTTAAGAGCAAGGGCCTCAAATTCGCCGAGATCACCGGCCTCAAGAGCCTTTTCAAAGCAGGAAGCAGCCTCCTCGTAGCCCTCGCCAGTCTTCAGGGCCATCGCCATCAGACCCTTGCGCAGGAGAGCCTTACCAGAGTCCTCGCCCAGCTCAGCAGTCTCCTCAAGGCCCTCGGGAAGAGGGCGAGGACGGAAGCTCTGGAGGTAGTTGGAGACGAAGGTAGCACTGGGAAGCTTCTTGCTACGAGCCTCCAAGATAGCCTTGCTCTTAGCCTCGGCGACCTTCTTCAGTAAACGCTCTAGGGCGTTACGGCTGACCTCATTGGAGAAGGAATCGATGATGCAGCTCGCAGTGAAGTCGAGAAGCGCCTCGCTGAACTTGCCGAGCTGCTCATAAGCGAGCGCACGGCGGTTCAATGCCTTCACGTATTCGCTGTCCATAGCAAGAGCAGCACTTGTATCCTCAACCACCTTCTCCCAGTTGTTCTGCACATTGTAGCAGGCGGCTCGATTCGAGTAGAAAACGGGGTCGGGCTTGCAGATGATGGCCTTGCCGTACAATTCAATGGCCCGAGGATAATCCTTCGCGCCATATGCCTTGTTACCAGCAGCCTTCAACTTGGCGGCGTAATCCTTGCGAGTCTGCCATAAAAGTCAATCGAGGTTTCATAGGGATCGCAACGCGAATCGATCAATCGTGTTGTGACATTACCTCTTCTGAGAGCTCACCAACAGTGGCCTCGTCGACTTCGGGAAGCTCCTCAGCGGGCTCTTCGGCCTTCTTAGCAGGCTCTGTAGATGAAGAGTCAGTCGCGGTCAAACTCAGGCTATGACGCAATGTGCTCGTTCACTAACCATCTTGGACGGAGGCCGACTTGGCTTTCTTTTCTTCCTCGGCAGCCTTCTTCTCTTTTCGTCGCTGGGTCTTGCTCTTCTTGTGTGCGGGAGGAGTGGGCTTGCTGGAGTCGGAGAGGTAATAGACAACACCAGCACTAGTGACGACGACAGCGACACCAGCAATGGTGTAAACCAGGGCCTTGTTCTCCGAAACCCATTTTGAAACGCGATCCCAAATTGATGAAGATTGCGAAGCAGGCAGCTTGGCAGTGTCCAGCACCACGTTCTGGGTGGGCGTGGGTAATGGCGACTCGCTTGACATACTGCGAAGGAACCGGGCGCTGATGCTATTGCAGTCCTGGTTCTGGTGTCATAAAGTCATCAGTACTGAATAGTTCAATGCAGGTTTCAGTTGGACGGAAGATAGGGGAAACAAACCGATCCTTTTGACGCCTTCAGCGGGAGGTATGAGGTAGGGAGAGCGACGGAGGCTTGGGGGAAAAGTCGAGAATCGGACGATGACGCTTGGACCAATCACGCGCGCGAAGTAAAACGCAGCCGCGAGATTCTCCACCTGCTCACACCTCAAATTGACTGGGGAAATTTTACTCTTCACTGGACTTTGTACATCTGGAAGCTGCCGGAAGCTCATTCAGCTTGAGATTCAGCTTTGGTTGAACTCAGAGAGCACATGCACTTGTTTGGAGCTTCTTCCCAACCACGCGCGGGTGCTTCTAGGTCTCTCGTGCAGACGAATCGCGACTAATTGACATCGTTCCATTCACAGCGAGCTAGAAGGCTCTCAGTCTCTGCAAATGTCTACCACCCAGGTCCCGGATTCTGCGTCAAATTTCGAGATCTTCTCTTCGCTTCGCTATGACCCTCGTCTCCCATTAGCCGTCGCTGAGAACCCCGATAGCTATCCCGAGCCTTCCAACTCTCCCTACTACCTTCTTGCATACCATCGAGATCGCCTTATAGCTGCTGCACGCCATTTCAAATGGGATGAAGCACTACTGAAGGCGCCTCTCTGGTCTCAAGGGGATGTGGATAGCCTGAAGGAATTTTTGGACCCCAAGATACCAGAAAAGGATAAGCCGTGGCGACTAAGGATCGCAATAGTTTCCAATGGTCAGCCTTCATGCCAGGTTGCCCCTACTGCCCCCATTGATCCATGTAATCTTTTAATCCCATCACTGCGCCCCGTCACGGATGCGCCGATCTGGAAAGTTTACGTTGACTCGGAAGAAATCACCCCATCGGGATTTACGACACATAAAACGTCTTCCCGGGATGACTATAACGCTGCACGGCTGCGCGTAGGAATAAATTCCCCGACAGAAACAGCCGAGGTCTTGATGGTGAATCGCAATGGTGAAGTCATGGAAGGGAGCATCACTACTCCATATTTCAGATCCCGAGGGTCAACCCAGTCAGAATCAAGGCCATCCTGGATCACACCACCATTAAGTAGCGGGGGCAATGCGGGCACAACTCGGAGATACGCATTGGATCAAGGCTTCTGCATCGAACGGATTTTTCGAAAAGATGAATTGGTCGACGGGGAAGACTGTTGGCTAAGTAATGGAGTCCGTGGATTTATGCGCGGTGTGGTGGTTTTGACCCGTTGATCACCTGTGTTTAGGTGCCACTATAATTTTAAGATAGATTACCTTTTTAATGAAGAGCCATGAAGGATTGGATTAGAAACGGGTATTGAAATTCGCATGTCATTTTTATGTCTTCTGTTGGGCTTCAAATAAGGGAACCTGGATTGATAATCCTGGAGCGCGAGGGCCGCTGGCTTGTTTAGCCCCAGTCATACAGTGTTGACATTAGGGTTGCCTTTCCACTCGAGGGGACGAGGGCGCATGAACTCTGCCACGATCTCATCGGTAACAGCGGCTCGGCGCTCCTGGAACCCTTGAACATACTTCTGAAGCTCGGCAATACAGATCGCCTTCAGCTCACTGGTCAGAAGCTCGCCCTTCTCGTAAGCAACACGGATGCGTTCAAGCTCCGCATCATCTTCGAGGAAGAAGGTGAGGTACTGGAATGGGACGTCAACCTTGGGGTTGCCACCCAGCTCGCGCTGCAGCTCTAAGGTCTGCTGACCACCCGAGAAGGCAAAACTATTAATCTTCTTCTTAATCTTGTTCGGGGTATCACTCATGAAAATGGCGGAAGAATCTACACTGGCAGACATCTTGGAGCCGGGACCTTGGAGGGCAGGGAGAAAGATCGCGTGGATGAGAGAGGGCTTCTTGAACTTCATGCGCTCGGCATGCTCACGGCACTGGCGGAAATAGGGGTCCTGATCGATAGCGCAGGGGATGAGACAAGGAATCGATGCGACCTTCTTCTTATCGGTGCCGAAGATGTGGGGGAAACTGGTAGCGAATGCGGTGGCAGATTGGGTGGCACAGAAGTGGAATTCACCAATGTTGTTGCTGTCATTGAAGCCAAAGGTACCGCGGATCTGGTTGATGGTGATTCGCTTGGCCATGCGACAGATGTTCTCGTAAAATGCGCCGCCGACAAAGTCGAAATCACTGAAGATGAAAGTCTTCTTCATGTCGAACCCGATTGCAATGATATCCCGAGCATTTGCCTTGGTGAAGCGTTTCGCATCTTCGATCTCGATTTTGGGGGAGTGCATGAACTTCTCATCATCTGTCATCATAATGACCAAGGGAACATCGAACACATCTTGCAACCATCTGGATAGAGACTCGGGTTAGCCGCGCGATTTTAGGGCTCCAAACGGATCAATCGTACTTGGTGAAATCGAAGGGGACGGTATGGCCCACATGCATACTATCACTGCTCGGCCCACGGCCAGTGTAGAGATAGAATGGCTGTCCCTTTTCATGGCGATCCAAAATCTTGTTCAGCTCACGGTGACTGAAAACAATGCCACGACGCATGAAGCGATGCGGCCGGTGTCCAGTAACCTTTTCGAAACGTTCGAGCAGATCGGGGGTCAATGGAGTCGCACCGAACTCCCGCACGAGCTTGTCATAGTCGACTGGCAGTAGTTTGCCGGTCTCGTCGACACCACCTGAGACATCGAAGGGTGTCACGATTTGGCCATGAGCCTTTGGTTGCGGGGCCTGCTCGATGATGTTCAAGTTATCGAGAGGGGGGGGGCTGAACAGATTCGTCCACCATGGTGGGCAGTATCGACAGGCTGCTACGAGAGTTAGTAAGAACCAGGAGAAAACCGAAAAAAAAAGTAGACGCAATTGGGTTTCCTTACTCGCTCTAGACAATGCGGGAGCAAGCGAATTTCTTTAATTCTGCCCCTCAGAGGGGGACTACGATTAGCAGCGGGATGACTCATGTCGCTTGTTTCCGCTGGAAGTGTTATGATTCGTCAGTTTCGATCGCATATCACGTGATAGGCACGTCCCTGCATCGAGGCATGGATAACCCGCAGTCATCACTATTATATATACAGGTATATATATGCATATTCGATATTGAGAAATCACGATAACCATACAACCATACCCGGTTTCCCACAGCTTCTTTTTCAGTCGCCGATACCTATTCTCACGAGCAGAAATTTTCCTCACGTCCATCAAAGCCGCTTGGTCCTTGAAGTCCGAGAATCGGTCACTACATAGTTCAATTGAGATCCAGGCTGTAAGCGTAGCCACGAGTCTTGGCTGTTAACAGTGCTATTCCACAACATTGGAGTGTCTAGCACTGTGGCCTTAAGCCGAAAATTGATTGCTTCCATTGCAATTATCCGCCCTGGACCAACCCGTACCACATTTGGATTATAACCTGTCAACAAGATGTCAATCAGGCCGCTGATCTGAGCAGCTCTAATATGACAGTTAACGAGACATATTTTGAGGAGAAGAGCTCTCTCTTAATCAAATTGGTAGCTTATAAGTCGATCTGATAGAGAGAGAGGACATTTCTTCAACCATAACGGTAGAGTCCTCTACATCATGAACTTCCCCTGCTATTGTGATTTTGGAGTACAGGTTACCCTGCAATAATTGCCCTTTGAGATACCAAAACCAAGGTGTCGCTTATCGAATGGTATACCTTGGTGGGATCTTAGGGATAAAGCTCAACATGTCCGACAGGAGCCTCAGTCTGATTCTTCATGAGGATAGGAGGAAAGTCGCAGAACAGTATCCCTCACCATATAATTGGTCTCTTGTTCTCTATGAGTTCTTCTGGCCAATTGTGTGCCAGAGAAATGCTACTGTGGAGAATGCGATCAATGCGCTACCTCATGGCCTGAGTTCACATGTCTATCTTCCTAGCCTGCGAGGTCTATTGCCACATTTTATTGATGAGTCTACGCCAAATGTAGTCCCGAAAGGGATGCCAATCTCAACGGTAGGCTGCAGCAGAACATCTAAGTTGAATGCGACCTGAATCGGAAGATTCTGTTCATTTAAGCACCTGAAGCTAGTCGATACAGAACAATCGGTATTGCTAGCACTCATCGTACATATTGTCACTAAACAGCCATCGAACCAGAGATAAATCAAGTTTAAATGTGTATAGACCGGGGGACATTCACCCCAATCAATGAAACTTCTAGGCCCCTTCAAATACATCACAATACATCAACCAGAATTCTCGAAGCCATGGGCCCATCATGGGCCCATATCCGGGCCAAAATTTCATGGGGATGGCTTGGCCGTATTAAGGTTTCGAAAACTCATACATACCGCCATCTTTTGAGGAACGATGTGGGGGCTCAGGGGGCCAAGACGGTTTTACGACGGCCTTGGAGAAAACAATTTGAGTTGACGACTCGTCTTCCTCAACCTTGGGGAGAAGGAGAAATTTGGTAGGAAAAATGACATTTTTTTCTACAGCGGAATCCCAACCACTTCTTCAGCTTTACTAGTAGGGTCTTGCTTGCACAAGATCTGGGACCGCATCGCGTTGATGCAGTTGGCCCGTGCAGACTGTGGCCCCCAAGTTTCCTGATGCTACACATTGTGCTCCAGTACGTATGGATTTTCAGCAGACCAGCCAATAAAAGTCCGCTTTGAATGTCGGGCTGGCCCCATCAGTACAGTCAGACGGGCAGGATGAAGAATGTGGAGTCATATGTACTGCATTATCTATACTCCGTGGTCCCAAGAGCCTGACGAATTCAGTTCGTGTAACCCTCGTATATAAGCTTGGCCCTAGCCCCAGAGGAGACCTAAACAGTTAGCTCTGGGTGTGTCAAGCATAGATCAAGCCGCCTGTGACCCATCCCTGCACTGGATTCCTAGACCTCAACTTGAAGCTTCCTTGACTGAAGGAGGACCTTCGACCCAGAATACGATGCCGAATTGGTCATTCCTCAACAGTGGCCTGCTGCTCAATGGGTTGACAGCTACGTCATATGTGAATGAAACCCAGTTCTCGACTGGTTACCCCGCCGTACGTGTTTTATTGCCTGAAGGGTTTATGAGCAATCACTAATACCGAAGATCACATAGTGCGACTCGATCATCCACGCCGGTCTGGCGGACCGCCTCCTCCTTCCAACTGATACAGAATATGCTGCGCGAATCTCTGGCGGGGGAACTGGTTATTGGTCTTGGAATTCTCGGCAACACCCTTTCTGCATAGTGCAGCCTCGGAGCGCGGAAGAAGTGTCCAAAGTCGTGACCGCTCTGCTTGAGGCCGGAGACGGATCGGGAGATTGGCATATTGCTGTGCGCGCTGGTGGACACAGCACTGGCGGCTTTAACAACATCGACAACGGAGTGACAATTGACCTGGGCAATCTGAATGACACGACTTATGACGAGCATACGAACACTGCATCCATCGGCGCTGGCGCCCACTGGGTCAACGTCTATCACGAACTTGACAAACATGGTGTTCTGGTCACTGGCGGCCGTGATGGCCATGTGGGTGTTGGTGGATTCTTGCTCGGCGGTGGCTCAACATACTTCATGGGAACCCACAGCTTCGCCTGTGATTCGATCAAGAACTATGAGATTGTGCTTGCCGATGGCCGTATCATTAATGCGAATAAGGATGAGAATGCTGATTTGTGGAAAGCGCTCAAGGGAGGCGGTGCTAACTTCGGGATCGTGACTCGATTTGATATGGAGGCATTGCCAAACACGAAGTTGGCGTACCGAGTGCGGTTGATGAGTTTTGAGCATCACAAGCGGCTGGCGAAGGACTTTGTTGACTTTACAAACACCTACGAGGATCATCCTAATGATGCCCTGGTGTTCTTTATGAGAGGTGCCCCCAAGCTCAAGCAATCTCTTATGGGTGCTCTTCAAGTCAACACAGAAGGCAAAACGGAAGGTACTGGACTCGCAAAGATCGATGAAGTTCCCCATCTTCCGATTCCAAACACGGGGTCTTATGAGATTAAAAGCCTTTACGAGTCCGCACTCCACCCCCTAGCAGGCGATCAGTGGTAAGAACCTTTAAATCCCAATTTGTCCCTTTCTATGACCTGACATCGAACAGGGCCGCCCAAGCTACCATTTGCTTCGCAAACAGGCAAGAACTCGTGGAGAAGGGAATCCAATACCACGAGCAGCTGGTACAAGATCTCAAGCAGACTGTTGGCAATAACTTCACGACATACTTCTTTTTCCAGCCCATCCCTACACATGCTGCGAAAATTTCCGAACAGAAGGGCGGTAATGTGCTTGGTCTCGATAATGCAGCAGACCACGCCGTTCTGTTCACTGCTACCGCACTCGTCCTTACTAGCCAGCATGACAAGGTCATTGCCCAGGCTAAGATCAACTCGTTGGTCACAACTCTCAAGCGGGACTCGCAAGAACTGGGAGGGAACGTTGACTTGGTCTATATGAATTACGCCGACTCTGCCCAAGACCCACTTGGAAGCTACGGTGCGAAGAACGTGGAGTTCCTCACCAAGGTAGCTCAGCAGTACGACCCTGAGGGTCTATTCCAAACGCGATTCCCTCTGGGATTCAAGATCTCGCGGACGAATAAGCTGTGAGGCTTGCGTGACGGTCTTATTGTATATGTGATATGAGAGGAATCTGTTGAATGCTTAAAATATATGATCTATGGATAGTCTTTGTATCGAACCTTTCCACGGGATCCGCCGAGGCGGATCGTTGACTTTAATCACCACAGTTTCATTCCAAGCGTTTCATATAAGAATGTAATTATCACCAATGTGCTCTCTGTCTGTAAGTCAAAGGAGAGATTTGGGCATTGAGCCTCTATAGATATAGAGATATTACGCTGGATGGTAAGGAAGACGAGGCAGAAACGATCTGCTGCTGATAGGATAGAATTCTATAGTGCAGATATGCCAACGTCATCTCTGTCGATATCGAGATCATTGGCTATACCCTCTCAGCAATAAATGAGGCTATGTGCTAGTTCTGATGTTTTCATATAATTGATTGAGTTGGGACTTCGGGTCCTTTTAAGCCCTGCCGGGTGGTCGGTCCACGCTTCACTGAGATATTAGTTAGTTCATCACTGTTTGATAGGTCTCCATCTGGAAAGTCGTCAAATTGAAGACATCGGCACCAGATCTCAAGAATACTACGGTTAGCAGCCCAGCGCGACGAGACTACGTTTTCATATACAATAGGTGGACTTTCAATTATCTTTCAGACACGGGCGTAGGTTTCAGGTTTATTAGCAACTTGACACAGTACTGATACCTCTGATAAGCAATACGGCTAGAATGAAATGGAGGAAATATGGTTTTATTCGAGGCTAAAAGGCTCGGGTAAGGCTTTCTCAGAACAGCAGAGTCTAGCGCCTTCTCCGTGCGGGTATCGCTATGCTACAAAGGAACAGAAAAGAAAATGGAGCCTTGGGCACTAGCGGAAAGTGTGAGACTTGCCGGCGATTTCGCGCTTTTGCTTGCGGACTCCGGAAGGAGCTTCCAATGCCTTGGCATAAGGATTGAAAGCCCTCCTCTTTTGCTTGGGGTTAGGCTGGGTCGAAGATTCAGGCTGGGCGTTGAGGACAGACTCCGCAGCACCGTAATCAAAGGGAGTTTCGTTTGCAGCTCGCAATTGAGCTTCCCGGGCCTTTTTCTCTTTCCGGAGTTTCTTACGGCGTTTCTTCTCTTCCTTAGTTTCTTGCTCTTTGTCGTCATCGTCATCGAGTTTCATCATGTCTTGCTCGTGTGGCTGGACCGGCGTGACCTTGCGCTTGCGAGGGCCACCGAGTTCCTTCACTGTGAAAGCCCTTTTCTCACTCAGCGCCTCTGAGGGTGATTGAGGAGTAGGTTCAGCTTCTGGAGTATGGTCATCAACCTGGGGCTGTGGTTTGGTAATGATCAACTCCCGTGCCTCAGAAACTGTGGCTGGCATGCGAGGAAGAGGAAGGGACAGTCTCATGGCTTCAGCTGCAGCGACGAGGGTAGACATGGGAGAGGCCGAGGGCCTCATTCGCTTCCAGCATGTTGCCCCAGAATTGCGACTTCTCATAACGCTCAGCAACAGGGGCCTTGGTCAGGTCGATCTTGGCAGGTTTGATAAGCTCCTTGAGTGATGGAACAAAGTCACGCCACTCGGGCCCGGTGGCTCCAGCAGCCTTGGCCTCTTTGATAACGAGTAAGAGGCTCTTGGCACGTTCTCTTGTGAGGGGGGTAACAGGAGACAGTGTGCGAAGCAAGGTGCCCATGTCCGTAGGCATGTTGTGTGCCAGCTTGAAAAGCATGTACTTGGGGAAAACACACTGGTAACCTTCATCGACCTCCCGTGCGACCTCATCGCGCCACTGATGCACAGCCTTGAAAACAGCGAACTGTTCCCTGGTCAGGGTACCCGAAGTGCGGGTGAGTACATCATACCAGCCTCCCTGGCCCTGTCCATTTTCTGCATCATAGACGGGGCGCTCGTATCGCTGCAACGCCTCACGCTTGGAGCCTTCCAAGACGAAATCGATCAAATTTTCCTCGGGCGTTGAGCGTTCGATCAAGGCATTGCGGAGACGGTCGAAAATGTAGAGAAGATAGTGAGTGTCAGACCGTGCGTAATCAAACATAGCGGGGGGCAGAGGACGGATACGCCAGTCAGCCATCTGGTATTTTTTGTCGGCCTCGAAATTGACGTATTCCTTTAGAAGGAACTTGAGACTTTTCTTTTGGAGACCCAAAGCGCATGCAGCATGGAAGGTATCGAACATGCCGACCATATACAACCCAAGGTCGCGCTGCAACCAGATTATGTCCATTGTGGAACCATGCAGTACCTTGACAATACTAGGGTCCGTAAAGACTTCATTCAGGATTTGAAGCTCCTCTCTCCAAGGCTGCAAAGTATCGACGACCCAATCCTTCTCTCGAGTGCTGATTTGCATCAAGGACACAAGACCATGATAAGAATGAACATCATGATGCTCAAGATCAATCGCAATTTCCTTAGCCTGCTTCAGCTCTGACAGCATTTCCTTGACTCCGTCAAATGTATCCACGAACGTAGCAGTTGTGCTCTCGTAAGGCAGGTATTCAATTGGGGTTGCCGTTTGGTACACCGAGGCCGGGTAGTGCGACGCACGAATTTCTGGTTCGTATGGGTTAGGAACGCCTTTCACTCCATCAAAATCCTTTAGCTTAGTAGACTCGGATAAGGGCACAATAGCGTTGGGCTTTGATTTGAGAAGAGGTTGGAAAGGACCCAGGTCGGTGTTGTCAGGCTTGCGCTCGAACCGTAACTGGGGTTTCGGGATCTTTGATGGCCCGTAGTCGTATGTAGAAGGGAATGGAGGCGCCCTCTTCGGAGGGGGTGCCTTGCGCGCTTGCTCTTCTTGTGACGGGCTCAATTTCTTGATCGCACCGGTAAACTCGTCCAAGCATGCATCTGCCTTTTCTAAAAGCTGGTCGATCACGTCAACAATATCACGCCAATTGCTGTCAAGAGAATCCTCGTCCTTTAACTGCGGAATCTGTCCATCTGACCCATGAGTGGCAGCTTTGAGAAGGGCGTTGGTCAAAGAAAGAATTCTATTGCCCTGTTCATCTGCTTGGTTGCTGAAGTCGGCATCTGACGTGCGATAGAAATCCAAGTCCTCTTGGCCAAGTTGGTTCGCAGTTCGGGTAACCTTCACGGTAGCAGCGGTCAGCTTCTCTTCGAGAGAAGTGAACTCGCTGGAATCCATGGCTGGTGGTTGAGTTGACAAGAGTAGAAATCGCAGCAAAAAAGTTGGACAAAACGGGACGGACCCGCATTAATCGACCGTTCCGAGAAGGCGGTCAGTCTCCGGAGGCGAGGAAGCTCAGCTCGTTTTCATTGGCCAACGAACCTCCCGACCTGCTTCGTTGCTTCTCGAAACACTCCAGATTGTCTTTGCGCAGCAACCTTCCTTGTGTCTCGATACATTACATCTCTTCCAAATTCCAAATTTTGTCTCATATTATTATGGCGGCTTCAATAGCTCCCGAGTGCAATGAAGTCAAAGAGTACGTCCTACTTATAGTTTGCCACAATTCAATACAGGACTGAGAAAGCGTTCCAGGAAATATGACACTTGTTTCCTCAAGTGGTACAGTGAGAGTACGTCTCAAGACACCCGTCATGCTTGATGCTACGGCAGTGACTGACGAGAGCAGAATATCTCCGTGGAAACACCAAATCAACCGATTGTGATGAGTTGTTCGCCAAGTACAAGACCTGCTTGCAGGTATGTTGCCGCCTATACTTTACCATGTGAGCTCTTCGGCTTCGTCTACTAATGATACCCAGAAATCTTTAAAGGAGAAAGGTCTCGATACTATGCTTGATGAGGCCCGAAAAAGCGGCAGCGAAACAGATGCCGAGTTCCTGAAAAAGTCATGAGACCTGCTACCCATAATCTCTTGTCCTCTCGACTCTTTGTATTTATAATATGGTGTTTGAGCGTGATTGCATACAAGCAGCATATGGCGCGATCTCTAGTTCATCAAGCAACGACTTGAAGCTACTTCCACCTTATTTGAGTCATAGTATGATAACCCCTGCAAGTCCTGGGCCTCCGGGGCTATTAAAGCATGTATCCATTGGAACCAATGAAGTGTTATGGATGAGTAAGTCAACTAATCCAAGTATACTGCACTAGGCTACAGGGATATATACAAGAAGTTAATTCAAACCGCGACAATCATATAAGAATAAGCTAATGATATCAAACCTGATACCGGACGGGAAGATTTCACTTTGGTATATTTACAGCGCAATGGCCGCCGAGACCAGGCAGAAGATTGATACAATACCAGTCATGCATTTGAGAAAGCCGTCTGTAGATCAGTAAATGCGATTGAAATAATGGTCAATGAGTATTGACTTGTGAATCCTTTCGCCATTTCCTGCGACTCAATGGAAGAATAAAAGCCATGTCTTACGGTATTTTAATGCCTCTATGAACCTATGAACGTGATGAATACCACCAATCAGAGCGTCAGGCATATGAGGCGGCATATTTCAATGTCGCTTGAATATCTTACTGCTCAATATCTGAATGGTCAGCCTTAATTCGGAAGGCTGCTTGAGTCCGGTCTTCATATGCCAGAAAGGTCGCGTTGACACAAGGATCCGGAGAATCCTATAGTAGACAATTCAGAATAGTCTAGCTTCGTGATTCTGCTTTCGTCTACATACATAATATTGTATCCGATACACTGAAAAGGTCTTATACCATCCTATAATCTTGAAAAAGAGAATGATAACTATCACGAAGATATCGGAGCATTTCCCAAGACATCTCTGAACCAAAAACGGTTAATTTTGCCATGCTTCGGGGCGAGTCCGTTGTAGCTATTGCGCAATATTTTTATCCGACGTCGCCTTTCTGGACGGAGCAACTTCTATTCTCGAGTAATCATGTGGTGTGGCCCGACCTTATTTTTAGCGTATTTTGGACGGAAAAGAAGAGAGGGGCTAACATTTTTCGACAAGCACGCTGAAATTCGCCATCTGAGCCTGGCGTCAAACTTGCAGTCGTGACGTGCTTATCATCGCTAGAACTCCGACGTGCATGAGGGGCGCGATAAGATCAGAATGGCTTAAGTTTCATCGACTTTGACGGATTTTGCTTCGTTCTTCTTCTAATTCATTTTCCGAAAGGTTGCTTTTGACGTCACGATGCCTGAAAACAATAAGCCCCTCCGCGTTCTGATTGTCGGTGCTGGCATCGCAGGACTTGCGACGGCGATCTCGCTGACTCGAGTTTCGGACCTGGACGACTTGGATATTCAGCTTTACGAGCAGGCCCCTGAGCTCCTGGAGATTGGAGCGAGTATTGCGCTCAGTCCGAATGTATTCTGCAATGTCCCATGAAGGAAGTTGGAATCGCAAATTGATTATCAGTAGGGAATGCGTACTTTGGAGAAGCTTGGAGTTGACAACGCTCTTACCGACGAGGTGGGGTTTCGTGGACCGAGTGGGATTCCTCAAATATTTCGGTATGATTCTTACATTCGATTACTAAAGTGACGCTAATAGGTCTATCTTCATGGAGACACTGGAAAACGAATCAAGTCATCTCTGTAGACACCCACAGGATGTGCCGAATCCTCGCCATCACACCACACGCTTCCACCGAGGTCATTTGCATGCCGCCCTTCTGAAGCATGTTCCCCAAGAGTCTATTCATCTAAACAAGAAGATGATCCGCGCTGAAGCCAGTGACGATGGTGTTGAATTGTATTTCGAGGACGGTACTAGCGCCTACGGCGATATTCTGATCGGCGCTGACGGAATTAAATCGGTAAGCGATTCTCAACCTACGAAAGTGGAGTATGATACTGACGGATTACGTAGAGAGTTCGACAGTCTTTTAACCCTGATTACAAGCTGTTCTTCAGCGGGAAGGTATTCATCAGGGCAACATTCGATGCGTCCTTGGTCGAAGGCAAAATTCCAGGTCTTCCCCTTGATTCGGCACATTGGGTACACAAGTTTCAGCTCCAGTGTTCTCGGGAGATCTACTAACTTTATGAATAGTGGGGACCTGAAGATAATTTCTTTGCCTCTCGACTGGGTACGTAGAAGATGAACTCCCTATTCGTGGCCATTACTGACTGTATCCAGGGAAGCACCAATATACTACTGTCGGCGCATACAGCGACCCCCGAACCAGGGAGGAAATTGAGAAAAGTATCACATGGGATCAAAAAGGAGATGTCGAGTTCTTCAGAAACAGATACAAGGTAATTTTTGCCCTCCTCCGCGATTGACTAAGTACTTCGCCTTTAACTACCATGTATAGAACTGGCACCCCATCATCAAAGACTTAACCGAGTTGACTCCTTCGGTCCATCTTTATCCGAATTATGCCGGCGACGCCCTCTCAACCTGGGTTCTCGCTTCTCGCGTCACCTTGGTCGGAGATGCGGCGCACGCTCACGGCGGTGCTTTCGCGGCAGGGGGCTCTCTAGCACTGGACGATGCGTTAGCTTTGGGTCTGTCGTTCAAACATGTCTTCAAGGCCTTCCAGCCGCATACTTCCGTCAGACCCAGTGAGATCCGAAAGGTACTTGAACTATACAATCTGACCAGAAAGGCTCACACCGACCGCTTGATTCAGCTTGTGCACGGCCAGATAACCAACAAGAGCACAAAGCCCAGCACACCTGAAGAAGCAGAGGCTGCTTTGGTCAAGAGATTGAGGAACAGGCCTAATACTGACTGGCTATCTGAACATGATGTCGAGGCGGCATTTGCAGCAGCGGCGCAAATCCTAGATTCCAATCCGGCTTCTAGTCAGAGTGATGTCTCAACGTCTCAAGGCACGAACAGAATAACTCAAACGGCGGCTCAGCTTGCGCAGAGCAAACTATAGGATTGTATGTAAATGAATAGAGCAAACTCAAGTTCAGCAGCAGTGGACGTAACCAAAGCTACGGCCAATCATGTTAAAATTACCTGTCCAATACATTCCCGGAGCAATACCTCGTCACATCCTCATTCTGTCTCTTTCGGCCTCAGGTTCAACTTGAAGATTCTTACCAGTTAGTTATATGCCGTTGATATACTAGTAGTTCGGAAGATCACAAGTTAAATAAAGGGTTTCTTTCATTCCTGAGACATAGGCATTGGCCACCAAGGAATTAAGTTGGATTTCACTCAAGAGCAGAGCTTTTATATTGGAATTCTAGCAATATTTTATAGTTACTGCAAAACTTTTCCATTGCTTTCTTCCACGACCAACTCATATTCCGGCTGAAACTCCGTATAAAGGTTATGCTGGAGGTAGTTAGCCACGACCATAGTCTCTATTCAGAGAGGGGCGAACGTATGCTTACCGGGTTCTGAGCGAAGTCTGCCGTGTGCTGAGCCGCCTCATGGCTAATAATCTGCTTAGGGATGCCGTTGGCAGCAGCTGCCTCGGCCAGAAGCTGACCGTGACAAGCATTCTCAAGCATGGAATACAGAATAGCTGCCGCATCCACGGTGTGACCCACGGTCAAAAGACTGGAAAAGGAATGTTAGACAAGGAAAAGAAACAGGTTTGGCATAGATCATCGTACCCGTGGTTCTGCAAAATGCAGGCAAAGTTATCCTTTCCTAAAGCTGCGGCGATTTCTCGGCCTTCTTCTTGAGACAGCGCAACACCGCCGTGCTTCGTGTAAACGCTAACTTTGCCGTAGAAGTTGCAGGCATCTAATAGTTCGATGTTAGCATCATAGAGGCAGAGTGTAGAAAGGAAAGTAGTTACCCTGTGTGAGCATCTCAATTGGCTTGCCAAAAGCACTCCATGTCTTACCATACACGCCATGCGTATGAGCAGCGGCAACTACATCTGGACGAGCCTTGTGGATCTCGGAATGAATCATGAAACCAGCCTCGTTGATAGGGCTCTGCGCACCTCCCTCGGTGACGTATCCCTTGTCATCAACAAGAACAAGGTCGGAGGCCTTCATTAACGAGAAATGTTTGGCGTAAGGATTCATCCAGAAATGATCCTTCAAAATAGGGTCTAGCAGGAATTAGATTATATCGCATTAGTCCCATAGTAATTTCGCCTACCTCGCATCGAGATATGACCCGAGATGCCTTCGCCATAGCCAAGCTTGCCGAAGTATCGAAATGCTGCCGCCATGTGTTCTTTCATCCATTGTCGCTGTTCCAGTGGGTCAGAGAAGGTGGGGATCCCACCCAGCTTCAAACGTCCATCACGAGTGCCGCGAGCAGAGCCTTGGAATGTCGCGTCGTTGGCTGCGGATCCAATCTCAACCTCGGCCGCGAGGCGAACGGATCCAACCTGCTGAGCGGTGGTAACGGAGGTAGAGGTCGACATATTGGAGGATTCTTGAGATTTGTAGGAAGGATGAGGCTTCCACATAGGTACGGAGCGCCAGCTTTATATAATATTGCACTAATAACTAATAGAATATCAAAATATCGGAGAAATAGACTATCTGAGCATTAGTTCGCCCGTTATTCGTCCATGTATCCGGACGGCGTATTTGGTCCAACCAATCCTTATCTCTAGCCCCACCTGCGAACCCCGCCAGGGCCCCTAATGTTATTAGAAGGCGCCGGAACAGTGGCATGGAGTTTGACGTTTCAAAGTGAAATACGTTGTTCCTAGAAGGCGCAGTGACCGAATTCGGATTTTCTATTGTACATGAACGAGTTGCCCCGGGCTTTCATCTCAACTTCCCGTTCATGTCTGGTGGTGCTGTGCTGAATTGCAACTTGAGCTTGAACAGAGAGGTCCAACCTCAATAATCCACCTTGGGCGGCAGTATAGAAAGTAGAAGAAGCCAGCGAATTCATGTGATTAATATTTTCTCCCTATCCAAATTACCATCATCGCTTCTCAATGTGCAGGGGCATGTTAATAGATCGTGCCTGAAAATAACTCGCGCTGCAACAGAAGATAAGCATTGGTATTAACAATAAATAGCCGGCTACCATTAATTTAGAACAGTAGAGATACTGGCACTAGATATATTAAGGGTGGAAAAAGAAGGGAAGGAGAAGAGAGAGGAAGTAGAAAGGACAACAAGAGCCGCTTAATTCGTGAGAACCCAAGAGGTATAAGAGCGAGCAGTCAGTGCTTGACAGCGAATGGTGACTTGCCGGAAAGGCTGTGGACGAAGAAGTTATGGGTGCGTTGTAGCGTACTAGCTATGTGACGCCGCAGCATATAATGCTTATCGGCAGTGGCTTGACGATGCTAGGGATGATAGTCGAGGAAGAAACTCAACGCCGGACTGTTAGAGCGCACCATTATCTCTAAGGAGGCATACTATCATCCTCTTTATCCTTGTACGGCCAATTACGCCAACAGATCTCTTCTTGGCCCGCCTCTGCCTGCCTAACCATCTCCAATCGAAATTGGAGATTGCCTTCCACTGCCCTCTCAAATTTGTCCGGGTCGGTCCCGCCTTCCAGGTCGATATTGAGGTGTTGTCTAACCTGGGACAGTAGCTGTTCAGACTCATTCCATTCCTGCGACTCCGCCATAGCAGCCTCTCGTTCTTCATCACTGAACACGACTGGACAAGCTGCTGAGGAGATTTTGCTCCATACCGACGGAGTTGTGATACCCACCAACGCAGCACGTAGGTTTATTATGTCCGCGTCCCAAGGATACCCAGTCTGGCGAAGAAGATACTGCAGCATTCCGAGATACGGAATTTTCAAAACATCCATATGTTCCTCATTATATAAGCCTGTCGCGGCTGTGTAGTAGAGGTTGGCCTCTTCTAAGCGATAAATGGCTTTAGATTGTCTCTGTTCGTCGATACTCATCTCATCGAAATGATCAGGGAGAGATGGAATCTGCAGACTTTGAGGCCTGGAGGAGTCATGCTCACAAAATGCGGGATAACCTGCTTGCATAAAACGCGGGAATATCACAGCATCCTGCCAATCAATGATGCTGATGATCTTGGTGGACCCAGGTGCCAATAAAATATTAGCTAAACTTAAATCGGGGTGTCTCAATGTAGGAGCGCTGGAAGAACCAGGTTGGATTAGATGAGGCGCCAACTGTAGGAATCGCGAAAGTAATGAGCTGTGCTCGGAGGGATGAATGTCGTAGTTAGTTGGTAGAAGGAATGTCTGGCGAGGTTGAGCTTTGGCGTGTTGTTGAATGATAGCTATCTCTCGGCGAGCCGCGGAGGTAACACTATCTGTGGGTGAAAGCCCTATAATAATGATTAGCCTAATTCTTATTATTTGGTAAGAATCAAGTGGAAAGGAAGGCGAAAACCTACAGGGCCCACGGTCAATATCCATTTTGCTTCGTTCGTTATACCAAAACTGCCGGGCAGATACAGGACCGATCACAAAATCTTCCGTGACTGGTATCTGGGTTTCCCTGTCGAGGTCCTTCTTGTAATATAAACTTCCATATGCAGGAAAATAAAAGTCAAATATTTTCCTCTCCATCTCTGCGATTTGCTTCATGATGTCTTTCACCTCGTCAGTTGTGAGGGATAACCACCGTGAGGAAAGACTCTCCCCCTCTACCCGCTCCATCAAGATGTACTCTGCTCCGACGGGATTGTCCGACGTGGTTGAATATCCCAGAACCTCTGGCACCGGCAACTTGAGAACAACTCGCAAAAAGTCCATCGTCGCCACCTCACTGGCAGTTGTGTAATGGGGAGGCCCAGCAATAGGAGTGGGAATTCGTGCAATCACCTCATGACCGTTTTTTGCTCGTAGAATAAACACTTTGTTGAAGCCTCCCTCTGCAAGCTTAGTTATATCAGAGCCATAGTCTTGTTGTACTACCTCGCTGGCGATCCGTTGGAGCTCTGTTGGTCGAAACTTGACGTATCGTTCGTTTAACCGGTCGGCCTCGTTGAATCTAGCCGACGTTCAGAACCTGAGACCCAAGCTATATCGGGATTGACTTACATCCATCTTCGTGACGTATTTTGAAAGAACTCCTCGCAGTGTACTAGCGGACTGGTGGATAAACGACGGCCAGATGAAACAGATATGGCAGGTTGCCCAGAACAGGCCCACGGCTTGCGGCACCAGCGGATGTTTGTTACGCTTCTAGTAATTGTGAGTCTCTGAAGGAACACCACCATTGTTCAAAAATAATGAGGTAAAATATTGCGCGCATGAAGACATTGATGGGGTTAGCTTCACTTATAAGTTGACAGCTGAAGGGGTAGTTCTTTACTCCGGACATACTACCTTAGTCAGCCCTGATAGACTACCTACGTTGAATGGAAGGATTGAACTCACCTTGGCTAGAAATTAGTATTGAATGAAATAGGAAAATTCTATGGCAACCGAATTAACGACTATCAGAGATTTAAATTCACGGTCTATGAGAGTGAACGAGCTCTGATTGATATCTTTTCTTCTACCTAGTAGCGCTGAGAATTGAGAAAAGAAGAGGAAATACTTTGTTATTTTAATATGGGTTTGCAATGTTTACTTTGCAAAAATTGGTAGGTCGCCGAGTCTCGATACCTGAGTTTGGATGCAACGTATGGAGTTTCATTCAGCGCCAAGAAACGAGCGACTGGTAATACGGTGGTACCGGCACCGCGTTCCGACAGGAGCTCCGTCACGGGGCTTCCTGGCCTGCGGGCTCGTGTAATACTCGCGAGGTCGCGAAAGCTGTTCTGTGACCCCTCGACTTCCCACGATTCACGATATGCCAATTGAACGATAATCCCTCGGCAGGTTCAACTCCTAGAATCCAGGTCAAACTTTGGCCACTATCTAATTGAAGGCAATCAAACGACTTGATGCGGTTCAGGTTCACTCTTTGATCGCGATTGCTTCTTAGCGAGTTGATACCCGATTGCCTTTTGTCAAATATACGAATCCCGTCTTCCGAGTCATTGCCGGGTCACCTTGCATATATACAGAACCAAGAATTCAAAATGTCGGACGGAGAGCCTTCTTACATCGACTACGAGACTTTCCTCGACCCCGATTTCTCGCCAGCCAGTTTCGCGAACACCCTCGTGCTCAGCACCAACAATGCGACAGATACTCCCCTAGACCTCTCCACGCCATTATCAAGAGTGCTCTTCGACCTTCAAGAAATCGATACGCACATTCACACCTTGACGTCGAAGTCCGCTCTACCTCTCTTATCTCACACCCAAGACCAGACTGCCGCAGCCGAACACATTCTCAACGAGGCGGGATCTCAAATCGCATCCGTGACCCAGGGGTATGAAAGACTAGAAAAGGAAGTCTTGCAGAAGTGGCAGGCTGCAGATGAAGCTAGGATCGCTGCGGAAAACTCGCTTGCAACCGTTCGGCTAGCGCGAGCTGTGGCACGATGCCTCACTCTCGGACGACAGCTGGAGAGTCAGGTGGCCGAACTTACTGGAAGAGCAGGACAAACCAAGCTCCATCAGCAGGTGCTGATGTAGTAAGCGTGCCCGGCAAGGAGGGCTTTCGTGCGCTGGAACGTGCCGCCCAGACCATCTTGAATCTCAAGCAGATGTTTTCGGCATCCTCCGTAGACGACGAAGGCTATGGGCTGGACAGAGTGAAAGTGACCCGGACGCTTCGCAATGAATTCTTGATCCCAGCAGAAAATCTCGTGAAGTCAAGGGCGCAGCAGACGATCAATCGCTTTTCATTATCGAACCCTGGGACCTCAAATGGACAATCATTGCCCTCAAGCTATAAGCAAGCTCGGGAGGCACGATCGCGACTAGCCACTGCATCCGCCACGCTCTATCTTCTTTCTCCCCTGCCACAGAATGCTTCGGCGGCTACCTTCAAGCCCGAGCTACTTCTGTCAACTTTGCGAGGGTACATGCAGACCGCGATTGTCACCTCTGCGAATGCACTTGCCAAAGCATTATCCCAACTTCCTACAATGGACCGTACCCTTGCCGATGTTTCTGCAAGATGCCAGGACATTGTGACATTAGAGTCCATTCTCAGAAACCTTCGCCCGCCCTCACACCCGTTGCTAGTGCCAGCCACCGACGCCGATCGATCTACCGCCATCTCCGACGCTGCCACGAGCGCCAGTAGATCCAACCTCCTCCAGCCTCTCCTCGAGACCCTGGATACATCATCTCTTCCATCTTACTATTGGCGATCTCTCGCTTCTTCCCTCAACCCTCGCGTGAACGAGATCGTCAACCGTGGAGGCGTATCCGCGCGCACACTCCGCTCAAACAGAGATCGTCTGAAGACCGAGCTCCGAGAGTGCGTGCTACGAGCCTCCCGGGTATCCGTTACCAACGTGCTCGGCGACCGAAGCCGGACAGGAACGGGACCGGAGACAGTAGAAGTCGGAAACTGGCAGCAAGAAGCTACCGTGATAGTGAACTCAGTTGTCGGGCCCTTGAGCCGCTGAGCTATAGGATGATCATAGATTTGAGCGCTAAAAAAAGAAACAAACTAAACCACTTCCAGACCCCCTGTTTTGACTTGTATCCTGGGCTCGACGCCACCGCCGATATTTCCCAAAACTATAGGGCTAGGAGGGATCCAGGTACCTGGCAGAAGGGACGGTACCCCTGGGCAAGGTCGCGTGGTGACACCGGGCTGCCAGATTGGGCTCGACAATAATTATCTGAGTACAAAACCCTCCGGGCTCGGAGATTTACATCAGTTGACTCCTTGCATGAACCGGGCATGGCAAGTTGTACTGGTTTGCAAGGCGGCGGGGGCCTGATGCAGACGCACGGGTCAGTGTTACTTTGGGGGCTTGCCTTAGCAGGCAAGGTGGCTCGGATCCGTAGGCGCCGGTGACAAGATGCTGGGAAAAGGTGGCGATGAAACCTGATTTGGGAAGAATGTGTAAGGGCATGAGAGCGAGCCACATTTATAAATTTGTCTTGCAGAATAGCAGCTACAAGAGAACGGGGAGTGCGTTTGTGATCCTTCGTCCAATATGAAATTCTCATGTGGATTGAATTATATTCCTATACGCTAGAGCAGGTGATCCGCCCGATGTACCGAGTAGCCTCATCTATGTGTCACATTGTACCGTGCGCTGGGCCAAATCGCCGAGAGACCGTGCTCTTACGTGGCCGGACCCTCCAGGTACGCATCCCACCGCCATGGCGAGACAGGAACATGGATCCTCCTGGTGGCCGACGCTAGGCGCGGCACATGATTGGCGTGCTCTGTTCGACCTGTGGGATCCTGACCGCTTCAAAGGCAAACTGATCGCCCAGGGGCGCAGTGCCCGATCTACATGGTCTCCAAGGTTGATATTACGGGCGCGGCTGTATTGGCGGATGTGTAAGACTGGAGGGGGGAGGAGGGAAAAAGAAGTAGACGCCCACCGATTACAGTACGAATTTCTCCTTCGAGCGATTTCCCCCTCCAACGACCAGTCAGAAGCATCTGATCCCCGGCCCCAAGTCAACGACGTCAGAGAACCAGATCTTGATCGTAGGCAAAACATGATCCGGGTCTTTTCTTGATAAACGCTAGAGCGGCCCTGCAGGTACCTGGCACTACCTGAGTGGGCGCTGGTCCCCATTGCCGTGGCGTCCTGCAGTTGTACCTACAGGTACCCGATTGCCCCTCTCGAGCCTTACGCATGTGCTTCAAGCCAATCGCCATGCAAATGGGCCTACTTGTCTCTTATGTCTTATCTTCATTGCCCCTCCGCAGGAGAGGGGTAAGAAGAGGGGACGATCGCCGTTCCACTTGCAACCATCGAGTCATATTTAAGAAGTCGCATCTCCTCGACGAAGGAATGTGAAACTAGTGGCCACCCCATTTGGTGATGCCCGCCTCCGCCTCCCAAGGGTGCGTGTCTCTAGCTCCCACCACCAATCCTGGCTGCGAATCACCCCCTCGAAACCCAGATCCGCCCCGTTGGTGCAGCCAATGTAGATGAAAATCAGACCCTTATGGAGATAGTGCCAACTTACAGCACATCATTCATCTAGACTGTGGCGTCACTCTCGGAGGCAAAAAATGCAAAAAGAAAAAGACATCCGGCACGTGCATTTAACAAGTATCATGTACAAGAGCTCCCTTGGTAAGGCTGTTGCATAGGGCAGCCCCGGTAACTTCAGCTCTGTACCAGGGTCATTACCCGGGGAATAGGCGAGACAGGTTCTAGCAAGAGAGGGACCACGGGAGGATAGGCTGTATCGTCATGCGAGCAGCTTTTGTGTGCAGCATCTGGGCCGATATACTTTGACCCGTCGATCGTCGATATCATATCCCGCACTTCGCCGTTTGCAGCCACGAAGCACAGACCGGCGCACAACCTAGGCAGAAGAGAGGGGTTGGCCAAAGTTTACACGACGCAGGCACAATAATCCATCAACGGGCCAGTCGGTGACATCCGGGGCCTGAAGGTTTCAGAACGAACTTTGGAAAGGTACACCTGAACGCGGCGGGGACGGAGGCGTCGGAAAGCTTCGGACTCGAGTCTAGATTTGTAGACGATGCCATGAATTACGACAAATTTTCTTTGGATGATCCTGACTATCGCTGCTTTTTCCCTGAGCGGGGGTTGGGTTCTTATCAAGGTTGGACGGCAAATGCCTAGATCGTACCTCCTGTACCCTGGGGAGAGGCTCGAGCCAATGGCCAGCCCCACAAGCCGAAAAGTACTAAAAAGTAAGAGACGCCACTGTACCAAGTATACGATATGTATACCTTCTTTTCTATTTGTCAACGGAGATTTCTTTGAGGCCTTCGGTATTAGGGCGGACCATTCGGAATTGCCCCCTCCCGCGTAACCAGCCAAAACCCCTACTCGTACGCAAAAAGTATGAAGCGTATGACGGTCCTCCGAGGATGCCCCCTCCTGCGATGATACATCCACGTCGATGCAAGGGGGTCGTATGGAGTTTTGGTACATCGAAAAGCAATTGCTACTTAGAGTTGAAGAATACTTAGGTTGATACCCAGTAATGTACAAAGTGCTGGCAGATACACAGCCACTCAATCGAACGGGTGACCCCATCGTCACCAGCGTGGTTCACGTCGAGAATGGAACTGGATCCCAAGGCTCGACTCCGAAGCCTGCGACCCCGTTCCAACCTATCCAACTATCCAACTATCCAACAGCGGTTGAACTGAACCAAACCCTCGTCGAGCCCCACGGCTCGTTCCCAAGGGTCCAATGGATTAGTGAACGTCAAAGACTTTCCCGGCGCGGCGGGCGCCTGGGACTGTTGGAACAGGTATGCATACGGGTGGAGTCAGGCTAAGAAAGGTGGGCACCGGGGGCGCTATGAATCATACATCTGTACCTGGTGCCTTTGGACTCGATATCCTGGCCGTTCCTGGGCTGGGGGCCGATGTGGAGAGGCCGTTTCGAACAAATGTTCAAGGCCAGGAGTCTGGGAAGTCTGGAACTCCGGGACACGCGGTTATAGTCGCAGCGTTGCGATCTGGTGAAACACTCGATGATTCGCATCGGTAACCCCGGAAGTCGTGAGTTCCTGCTCCTGGCCTTTTCGGCTGACTGTAAGCTGAAGAAACTCGTCTTGTCGCCTTTTTTCGCCTTGCCCCCTCGCTTTCCCGATAAGCCTCTTGCTCGCTACCCTAGGAGTTGCTTTCTCTTCGTCATCATTCTCCTCTTGCCTTCTTCTTCCCCCCATACTTCTTCGTGGGGATTCTTCGTTCTTGTTCATTCCTTTATCCCTCTCCCCCGCCCCTTCCTTATCTCCAACTCCTATCAGATCGGAGCTTTCAAGTTCGATACGTCTTAAATCTGAAACCACCTTTCCCCCTCCAGGTCCCCTGGTCCCACTATCCTGCTTGAATTCGCGTGGCGGTCTCCTACGCAACGTGCTGGAAAGAAGAGATGCTGATCGGCTAATCCTTTCCCTTTTTTTCCTCCCACATTTTCTCTCTCCAACCCTTGCGTCCAGGAGCAAATCCTGCTTCCATTCCCGGCCCACTTCTCCCCCTCCTCCTCTCTGGTGTAGGCCGCGAAGTTGAAACTTGTACGTCTCGATGATCCTTTGGATCCCGCCTTCCTCTTATTTTTCTTTCTTTCTTTTTTTTTTTTGGTTTCTTTTGTTTTGTTTTCTTGACGGGGTGATCGTCTGTAGTAAGGGACCAGTTACTAAATCTTGTTGGTTTGCAATGTGAACAGTCAGGCCTGGTTTCTCCGACTCCGCATCTCTGTCCTCCGAGATCTCCGACGTAGCGGTGCGATTTCCCTCCCTCACTATAGACGATAGAACCCTCCCGGATCTGGGGTCCTCTGGGAAACGGATTGGGTTGCCGGCGTTGCGACCGTGGGAGGGTAGGGTTTGCCTCTGGCCCCTCTCCGAACTTTGACATCACCTACCTCCACTTCTTCCGTCGCCATCATGGCGTCTTTTCTCCCCGTCAACAACTCGGCCGCGACCGAAGACCACGCTATGGACGGAGCGACGACCCCTCGTGCCAATCGTAATGGCGTGGCGGCTCCCTCAACGCGATCTGGAATGGCGGACCAACGACCGGAAGGCGCAAAGACCGGCAGAGGAGACGGAAGCTCACGGGCATCGGTTTCAGGACACACTAGGACTTCCTCGAACTCAGACGAAACCATGCACGATTCGGACGAGAACGAGGGGTCAGAAAACGAAGGGGACCCGGGAAGCGCTCCACCATCGAAGAAGAAGAAAGGCCAACGCTTCTTCTGTACCGATTTCCCTCCTTGCAACCTCAGTTTCACTCGCAGTGAGCACCTGGCCCGCCATATTCGAAAACATACCGGCGAACGACCCTTCCAATGTCACTGTTCTCGACGTTTTTCCCGCCTTGACAACCTTCGACAGCACGCCCAAACAGTTCATGTCAACGAAGAGATCCCCGGGGACTCGCTCGCAGCCACAGGCACACGGTTCCAACGACAGGTACGAACGGATCGGGTGCGTCCGCCAGGCCGAGCTCGCGCAGGTACAGCGGGCAGCGTAGGTGGCCATAGTCGCGGACACAGCCGGAACCTCTCAACCTCCAGTATCACCTCTACCGCTTCAACCTATAGCCAGCCTCCGGAACTTCGGCGGCGACCTCCGCCATTAATCATGGCCAACGATCCAACAGGCCGCGCCCGCATGGGGTTTGAACCCATGGGAGAACCTCCATCCACCCCGCCTGGCCAGATACGAGGAGTTCCGGGGCCTGCTGTAGGAAGCTCGCCGTACACACCAACGACTGTATTTACTGGGCAGCAAATGGTAGTCCACAATATGCTTCGCCGATGTCTGGTGCATCGCAGGGATTTTGGGAAGGCAAGACGGCTGCTCGTCGACTTTCAGTCCCAACCGGCAGCAATCCATTTATCCCACAGCACGGAGCTCCCTATCCCCCATATGGAGCTTCTCCCGCCGCTCCATACCCGAATGCCGCTGGGGTCTTCGCGAGTCCCACAAGCAACAACTACCCTCCATCTCGAGACGAAAGCGCCGCGAGCGCGGCTGAAGCAGATATTCGACGACGAACGTGGCATCCCTCGACATATCCCAATTTTAGCCGTCCTACCACCAGTGGCTTGAACCAGTATCATACTCCTGACACCGTCCGACCTTCTTTCGGCCACAGCAAAAATCACTCGATTGATCAGCCGCCGCGGCTACCTGGAATTGAGAGCTTTGATAAAGTTGTCCCGCAGCAACGGCCTTTGACACCCCCAACCCGGAAGACCAGCCCGATGCAAATCGACGGTCACAATCGACCGCCTCCCGCAACTCCTGCCTTTGGAGCAGGTTTCAACTATACACAATCTTCAGTCCGGCCAGCTCCCCCGATTTCTGGCCCTGGCCATCGGCGCGGACATGTGTCATGGGATATGTCATTGCACACCAATCTTACAGGACTCGATATCCGAGATCGATCCTCAAGAGATACTTCCCAGTGGCGGGAGCAGACCATCGCTGCTCTGCAAGGTACTTCTTCTCGCCCTTCGTCGTCCTATCAGCCGACGTTCGGACCCACCGCCGAAAGAAGCCCCGAGGAGCATCGCGAAAACCGCGGTCATGCCCCCAGCTTGTCGACTGGAAGCCGGCCAAATCACACCTCTCCTGAGGATTCAAGCAGTAGCGAGGGAGTACATACCCCATCGACAGCTTCGGTCGAGTACCACCCGGCCATTGTGCATAGCAGTGGATACATTGAATCCCACGACTCGTCGCTGCCAACCGATCATCCTCAACCGGTAGGGAATCCTCTTCGAACGGACGGCTCTCGCCCCGGTTACTAATGCCGTCATAGATATGCGGGCGACAAGATTCTCACTCCGACGGCTACCCGGGTCACCCGGAGCAAGAGCCCAGGACGACCGTTTTCACAGACTCCTCCGCCGAGGATACCGGCATGGGTCGACTTGAGGCCCTGGTGGCCGTCGCTACGAGCGAAAACAAGGGGGGCTGCAAAATTATACCTGTAAATTGTATATACGACCCGACCTGGGCCACATATACTCCATCGCCATTCACCTTTCATACTGCTCCATGTTTTGAAGAGCATGGAACACTACCCATTCTGTACCTTCTGACACCTTCCATCTGATCATATGCTTCCCTTTGGCATACTTCTCCGATATCAGCCGGGTCCACTGTCATATACCATGTGGATTCCCTGGTGCTGCTCATCCTCCCCTCTCTTGGATTTCTTTGGATTCCGCATTTCTCTTGAGGACTTGCGACGTTTGACGAATTGATGAAGTGACGACTTATACATGAACTGGATTTTTCTTTTTCGTTTCCTTTAACCTGCAATTTGTCCGGTACTGTGTTGTGTTTGGTATCTGCCTCTTGACGTTCGATCTGGTTATTACTTCAGGGTTGTCGGTTCTCTGCATGTCCTGGCGTTCTGCGTGGGAGTGTGTGGATGGCATTGTGTGACTATACTCCAGCCCGATCAACGGGATTACTCGTTTCTCAGTCTCTGCCTGAAGCACCCTCCTATGGCCATGGTTTTGCCATCGGCCATTTGATATGCTCAACCTCTCTTTTGTCTGGTGGTCCACGCCATCTTTCTTCCGTTGGTGTCTTACTATATTCCTTCTTACGCGGTGGATTATGTCACGTGTCCTACGGCCTTTCGAACCTGTTTACTTTCATGATGATATTGTTGTAACGTCCAATATGACTGGAAATGCCCATCCTACCGCAGACCTATAGAGTATTATGTAGTCCGCTCATAGCCTAGCCCACTGAAGAAAGCGGGTCTGTTTGCAAACATGACGCTTACCCCGCATATCATGATTTCTACAGTCCCTATTCTGTACAAGTTATCAGCACAGTGACAGGCACTTTCATTTGTTCGCTTGTCGGCGATGAGCATAAAATGTGATCAATTACCGCCGGAACCACAACCGGAGCCCTGGTTCACGCTCAGAATCCCCGGAGATGGGAATGAGCAACAAGTGACGTCGAGAACCCAATCCATGATTAGGTAACTGTACCCCGAATCCAAGAAGCACAGCAGCACAACCGGTTATAACTGGCCCGACAATCGGGGGAGTGGATCACTGCATTCCTAGCTTGACCTGCAGCAACAGGATCGAGAAGCTCTCCCGCCAACTCCAAGGCAGTAAGCTCCCGGGCAGTGGCCTTTACCCCAGCAAGTAGACAGTCAGCCAATCAAGAGCGTAGGTGGACGGGCATGTCCTGATCCCCCAAAACGAGGTTCGGGGGTACGGGGACCGCACATGCGTAAAGCCTGCCGGCACAGACGTCATAGTCCTGGTGACGGCCTTCTTGCAGGAGCTATTAAAACGGCTGGGTCCCGGTAGCTCGCTTCGAGATTCCGTTTGCTCACTTCGCACATTTCACCTTTTCTGTATACTTTCTCCCGTCGCACATCTCATATCATCATGGCTCAGAACCGTGGCCTCTACGCTGGTGTCGCTTTGGTTGGTGCCGGCGCGTACTACTTCTACCGCGCTGGTGGAGATCCTCAAGTCGTTGGCGACGAGATCAGGAGTAGGTTCAGTCTTTGTCCTTCGACGCAAGACAGACGATGTCCATGGGGTTCACACTAACTTCCGATCGCTAGTTGATGCCCACAAGGCCCGCGAGAAGCTTCCCTCCACCGACAGTGCGGAGAAGAAGGGCAAGGAATTCGGCAAGGAAGCCGGTGCCACCGTTGATGAGGCTGTACGTTTCTTGTCTCTTTTGCCTTATCTTCCTTGTGTTGCTCATGACTCTTGCTGTGCTAATGGTGGTCATGGACCTCGATGGCACCCATCGGCTCTCTTCCACGATTGCCCGCTACTCGTATTAGATTCAATCGTACGCTAACGTTAACACATCGTTCAGGTCAACAATGCCCGCTCTAAGTTTAAGCTGGATGAGCGCATCCCCGAGGCCGCAGAAGAGGGCAAGAACAAGCTTGGCGAACTCCGCAATGAGGCCAAGGACAAGTTCAACAGTGGCGTCGACCAGGTGGATCGTACTGTCGAACAAAAGGCTGCAGAGGCCAAGGGAACACTGTCGGGCTGGTTTAGCGGCAAGAAATAGGTTGCCCTCAACTCGAAATGTCCCGACTTTCACGCAGGTACTTCTTAACGCTGATGGACGATTGACTCGTCCATAACTCATGTCTATTATCCTACTCTTGTGCTGTAATGAGATAGCTTCATACAAATCATTATTTCGACTGTCTCTTAACGAAGTTGTTCATTTGGCCAAGGCATGCAAGCTCTACGCACTGCAACTGTATACCTTAACACTCACGACCTCGGGTGGGGAAGAGACCCACCAGTCGGACCAAGTCTCGATCTCCCGCGAATGACGCGGAGTAGCATTGGATCCCTCAATTGCCCCAGCTTCATTAGAAATTATTCCATTTAGGGAGCCATGCCTAGACGAATCAGCTTCTGAGAAAATTCGACGGATAATATGGTACAGCAAGTCGTCAGGGCCGAGTGCATTCCCATGCCAGGGGGGACGTCACCTCAGCGACACAGAATGCCAACCCCACGAGCACTGTCTAGGTCTGTTACCCAAAATTTCGGGCTTTAAGAAATAAAAGCTCAAAGTGCCCCTTCAACCTCAAATCTCACAATTATCAAAATTGTCTTCTTAAAGTGGAACTTTTGGGCTGGGACTAGTTTCGTGTTCAACGGGCGCCAAGTGCGACACGCTAATTTAACCAAAAACGCGTGAACGCGTCCTCCACGCGATCCTCCGCTGAGTCTTAGTTTCACCCCCTCGCGCTTCCCTTTTCCCGGCTGCATTCTACAAAGTCAACCCTTCCCCTTTGGACTTGACGGCACTTACCTTGATATTTCTTACCTGACTATTATAAAGATTCTTTTATCGGTCGCGACTTCCCATATTATCGGAATTGAATTTTTGCAACCATGCCACGCGTGACCCGGCAGAACCGCCTGTCTCAAGGCCAACCGGCCATCCAAATCTTCACCAGGGCAACCAAGGCTGGCGTCAGCCCGCAGCTGCCGGGTAAAAACACAACGTCTCTTCCAGTATCGCCTTCGAAGAAGAGAAAACTGCAGGAGCTCGAGAACGTGGACACTGGTACCCGGCAACCGGTCGACGAAGCCGAAACGCCTTCCAAGACTCTCAAAATCAGCCAACTCTCCGTTGCATCCCCGAGAAGTGGCCACTATGCCTCGCCAAAGCGCACACCGAGTCGAAGAGTCCGGGGATCGGCCATCGCAGAGTCTCCCTCCGCACCTAACACCCCCTCGAAGCAGCGCACTCTGGATTTTGCAAAAGCCTCCGTCGAGCCCAAACTCGCCCCTCGAGCTGCATGTGTTATCGACTTCCTGGACCTCCATCTGGCCTTTGTGCAAGCCTTTTCCCTCCACGCAGCGCACAATGGTCCCCGAACCCCCGCCGACCTGAGAGAATTCCTCCCTAGCGTGACCCGGATCTGGAAAAAACGGAAGGTGCAAGTGAAGGATCTGCAGCGCCTTTTCTGGGTATGGGATCGAAGCCTCAAGGCTAAGGATATTTCATATCGCCTGGCGAACTATGGACTCGGAAAAGTGTGTGTTGAGCGTACTTTCAATATTGAGGAGCAGCCCCCTGCCTTGCAAGACTTTTTCGAGCAATCGCTGGATCTGCTTTGGGAGCAAACCGAAGAGTCATTGAAAGATGCCAAAGAGGAGGATCGACCCGCTTTCTTCCTTGAGACGATCGGGCTCGCCTGCATCCACGAATCTCTTACTCCCTTGACTTCGTTCCATAAGGGCCAGCAGCGTCTACAGGATCTGAAGGGCGGTGTTATCCGCGCAAAAATGGAGAAGCTCCGCGCTGAAAGCCAGGAGAGCACACCCGAAGCTCGGGCTCCCACCAATGCCCGTCGAATGGGTCTTCTGGAGCGCATTAAGAACAAGCAGCTTCATCAATCCAAGCTCCCTCCACCACCGTCCAAGAAGGATGTTCTCCGTCTCTCGGCTGCCGAAAGAGTGGAGGATATCGCTCAGATTATGGGAATGCTGCGTCCAGCTGAATTGAATGGCACTGGTATCAAGGCCATGTTTGCCGCCCAGCGCAAGCCGTTCACAATGGATACTATGATCGATCATGTTCGAGACTCTATTCGAACGCCGATCCCTCGGGATGAAATCGAGACCTGCATTGAGATTCTGGCAGACACCCGAGTTGCTGGTCACTGGGTTAGCATCGTTACTGTTAATGAGATGCGGTCTGTTGTGTTGAGGTCTTGCAAGGATATCGCTGCCAGCGAGCTCCCGGCAAAGGTTGCTGTGTTGAAAGCTGAGTGGGAGAAACCTGCCAGCTGTGTGAAGGCTCCTCTCGTGAGCGTCTGAGTTTGATTTTGTGGAGGAATTGTTCTGTTTTTGGTTTGCATTTCCATCCGTGGAGCTGGTCTGCTCACGGCCTTGCATGAGCGTCGATGATACCCTGTACTATTGCATATGGCATTTTTTAGCCTTAGACCTATTAGCCTAGACACTACTTTCAAAATAATATCTAGTATCCCCAAAAATGATTTCTCTTCTGATGATCTCCATTCGTAGTTTCAAAGCGCTATCTCTTTTCCCTCTGGCTTGGGTTCCCCTCAAGGGTTGGTCCGATTGCACTTAACGCGCGACGCGACCACACGTGACCGCGACGATACGGCGCGTGTTATCAAGTTATCGATCACATCCGTGTTGCTCTGATCCACATACTCAGGAGCACCGTTCTCTTTTCTGCATCAATTGCAGGGCTTCCTTCACAAGATGTCCTCACGGCCAGATCTGAAGGTAGCTTAACTAACGCTTATCCGCATTGATGCCCTAGATACTGACCATATGTTCTCTAGGTCGACGACGAAGTAGGATTCATCCGCTTCTACCGCTCCCTCCCCGAATCAGACAACAATGAGACCATCCGTGTATTCGACCGAGGAGACTGGTACTCCTCCCACGGCGCCGATGCCGAGTTTATCGCACGCACAGTTTACAAGACGACTTCCGTGCTCCGCAACCTAGGCCGTAGCGAGTCCGGCGGTCTTCCGTCGGTCACCATGACCGTAACCGTGTTCCGGAATTTCCTCCGCGAAGCCCTTTTCCAATTAAACAAGCGAATCGAGATTTGGGTATCAGGTGGCACGGGTAAAGGCAACTGGAAGCTTGGCAAGCAGGCTAGCCCTGGGAATCTCCAGGATGTCGAGGATGAACTTGGTAGCGTGGGCGCATTGTCTATGGAGTCTGCGCCCATCATCCTGGCTGTGAAGATCTCTGCGAAGGCTTCGGAGGCCAGGAACGTCGGTGTCTGCTTTGCAGATGCGAGTGTGCGTGAGCTCGGTGTGAGCGAGTTTCTGGATAATGACGTGTACTCGAACTTCGAGTCCTTGGTTATTCAGCTCGGGGTGAAGGAATGTCTTCTGACTATGGACACTGCGAAGAAGGATGTGGAGCTCGGCAAGATCCGAGCTATTGCTGATAGCTGTGGCATCGCCATTTCAGAGCGGCCTGCGGCGGATTTTGGTGTTCGGGATATCGAGCAGGATCTGACTCGCTTGCTGCGCGACGAGCGCTCTGCGGCTACACTGCCTCAGACGGAGCTGAAGCTGGCTATGGGAGCTGCTGCCTCTTTGATTAAGTATCTTGGAGTGATGAGTGACCCTACCAATTTCGGTCAGTATCAGCTTTATCAGCATGATCTGTCGCAATATATGAAGCTGGATGCCTCGGCTCTGCGAGCTCTGAACTTAATGCCTGGTCCCCGTGACGGATCGAAAACCATGAGCTTGTATGGTCTTCTCAATCATTGCAAAACTCCTGTGGGTAGTCGCCTGTTGGCTCAATGGTTGAAGCAGCCTCTTATGGACCAGGCTGCTATCGACAAACGTCAGCAACTTGTTGAAGCGTTCGTGGTCCATACGGAGCTGCGCCAAACTATGCAAGAGGAACATCTGCGGGCTATTCCTGATCTTTACCGTCTGGCCAAACGCTTCCAGCGCAAACAAGCCAACTTGGAAGATGTTGTCCGAGTCTACCAGGTCGCGATTCGTCTGCCCGGATTTGTCCGCGCTTTAGAAGATATTATGGATGAACAGTATCAGTCGCCACTCGAGACAGAGTACACTTCTAAGCTCCGGGGGCACTCAGATCACTTGGCTAAGCTTGAAGAGATGGTGGAGACTACTGTCGACTTGGATGCTTTGGAGAACCATGAATTTATCATCAAACCCGAGTTCGACGAAGGCCTCAGAGCCATCCGAAAAAAGCTGGATAAGCTGCGCTACGAGATGGATGTTGAACACCGACGTGTTGCAAAGGATTTGAACCTCGAAATCGAAAAGAAGCTGTTTTTGGAGAATCACCGAGTCCACGGTTGGTGTATGCGACTGACCCGGGCGGAGTCGGGTGTCATTCGTAACAAAAAAGGATACGAAGAATGCTCAACTCAGAAAAATGGCGTCTACTTCACTACCAAGGCTCTGCAATCTCTCCGCAGAGAGCACGATCAGCTCTCATCCAACTACAACCGTACGCAGACAGGACTGGTCAACGAAGTCGTCAATGTCGCTTCGTCATACTGTCCAGTTCTGGAGCAACTCGCCGGTGTTCTTGCTCATCTAGATGTGATTGTCAGTTTCGCACATGCGTCGGTGAATGCTCCTAATGGATACGTTCGCCCTAAGATGCATCCCCGTGGCACTGGCAACACTATACTCAAAGAGGCACGCCACCCATGTATGGAGATGCAGGACGACATTTCCTTCATTACAAATGACGTTTCGCTAGTCCGAGATGAGTCTTCTTTCCTCGTCATCACCGGTCCGAACATGGGTGGTAAATCCACCTATATTCGCCAGATTGGTGTGATTGCGCTCATGGCCCAGACTGGCTGCTTTGTGCCCTGTACCGAAGCCGAATTGACCATTTTTGACTGCATTCTCGCTCGAGTTGGCGCCAGCGATTCGCAGCTCAAGGGTGTCTCAACATTCATGGCTGAGATGCTTGAGACTGCTAATATCCTTAAGTCGGCAACGTCGGAATCATTGATCATCATTGACGAGCTCGGTCGCGGAACTAGTACATACGATGGATTCGGTCTGGCCTGGGCTATCTCTGAACACATTGTTACTGAGATCCGATGCTTCGGTCTATTCGCTACCCATTTCCACGAACTGACAGCTTTGGCAGACCGATACCCGAAATCGGTCCAAAATCTTCATGTCGTAGCTTTTATTGGGGATGGAACTACGGAAATGGATGCAGAAGATGGTGCGAATAAGAAGCGCCAGGTTACTCTGCTTTATCGGGTTGAGCCGGGCATCTGCGACCAGTCTTTTGGTATTCATGTTGCTGAGCTTGTTCGCTTCCCAGAGAAGGTTGTCAATATGGCTCGTCAGAAGGCTGAGGAGCTTGAAGACTTTACTTCTGCTTCTGCCGAGAATCCAGAACAGCAGCAGCCTACCCCTTCGCTGGAGAAGTACTCGCAAGAGGAAGTGGAGGAAGGAAGTGCGCTGCTGAAGGGCATGTTGGTGAAATGGAAAGCAGAGATCGAAGGCAAGGGTCTGTCCTCTGACCAGAAGAGACAGGTCATGCGTGACCTTGTTCGCAACGATCCAAAATTGCAAGCGAACAAGGTATTCCAGGGCATCAAGGCTTTATAGGCCGGAACCCACAGTCTCCGATGGGAAGTATGGCGTTCGTGGAGGGTATGTTACATAATTAAATCAGCACGCGTCTTTTATGTAGAAGGGAATTTGTTCTGGCATCATGAAGCCTGAATTGTTTATCTGATGCTTTTCAATGGAGAGTACATGTTTGCATAGGATCTATAGATTGGTGATCACGTGCAAGTTGAGACATGGACAACGCCGCATTACACGCGTGTGGACAACCAGCTCGGGCCACCTTTTAAATTAATGCTTGTTCAAAGCTCCTCGACGCCTCCATTCCGATCGATTCCTCAGAGCCCACAGTCAACGAACATCTCCTACCTTCCGAGTCTCCTCAATCTCCTTTCCCGACTCACAGACAGCTATGCGTGCACACTAGAAACAATTCGGCCTAGAGCATCTTGATTCATGCACCCCTTTTCCGTCCTCACACTTGGGATCTTCGTCGCGGGCTACACAACAGCCAGGTGGGACCTCGTTACTCGTCTTTACGAATTGGCAATCTTCGCGTGGGTTCACGGTGTCGTTGTATGTTCCAGCAGCGCTGTCGTTCGCCGGCAGAATCCCCTCCTCTATCGAACTATCTGCTCTTTCATCCACTAAAGCTGCTGACTTTGAATTTCTCAAAAGACGCGGACTCTCTGGGGTTTCCTATTTCTGTCGATCTTTTTCTTCCTTCTTGTGGTTCCTATATACCACCTCGCCTTGAGAGAGAGCGAATTGGTGAGCAAAGCCCAGTCACGAGCGGAGCCGCGAAGCAAATCGACTACTGTTATTTGGATACGAAGAAGTACAAATGCGCTAATAAGACCGGTGTTACAGCATCCTCGCCACGTGAATCTCGGCGTCTCCGCGCGAGAACAGCTGCGCCGCCGAGGATCGTTCTAGAGTTAAGTGGAGGATGACAACATGATCATGAATGATGGGCTGCTGCGGGTGTTTTGGCCGTACGATCTCCCGCGAACTTCATCGCCGGGGGTGATAGTAGGATGGCGGAACTCCGAGCAGGATTTATTCGTGCTTACAGTGCTGGAAGGGGTGGAGGTGCGTCATCTACGAATAGTTGGGCTTGGATACCGGTGACAACGAGGACTAACGCAATTGCGGTTGTAGCCACGGAATGTTGAAGGTGCCCTTCGCGCGGGCATTCTGTTTCGGAACAGCCCACATCCTATTGCTCGTATTTTCAATCTATGTGGTCGCTCGCAGATGCATGTTCTGGGGACTATGAACCCCAATGACCCTCCGACTTCGTTCAATCCTTCCAACCTTTACGTCACAACGAGATCTTCCTCGAAACGTCAGATTCCACGGATTTACTGCCCCCCGGAAGCCAACCTCTCCGTGCAGGTCATCATGTTCCAGCGTCCGCATCCGACGCGAATGGAATACATGTCGCTGGATCCGATTTCTCTTGCGCTTGGCGATAAAGTTTCTACATTGGGGAATATTGACTTGTCCGGTAAACCTGGGTCACAAGATGAGGAAAACCGAGCGCATTCTCGACTTGTCATTGAAAAGCTCAAATTGCACACCGTCGTGAAGCATATGCCTTCACAGAAAGAGCAGGCTCTTCCACTAATAATTAATCAAGTCAACTGTGCCTATGAGATGGGGCAGCTGATGCATAAAAACAGTCATCTGATTGGAATCCGGGCCAAGCGAAGCATGAGTGTTTCGGAGCGCGTGGTAGAATCTGCGACAACTCTTTGGGGTCTTATCGTGGTCTGCATAGCTCATGTATTCTGGCGGTGGATCTGGCCTGTTGTTACACAGGTCTTCGTCATAGGTCTCGTGGGGCACCGGTCTGTTGCAGAGGTTGTCTTGCAGGTCCTCGAATGGCGCGCTCGACCTGACGCCGCAGCTATCAAAGACATCTCGGCAACAGCACAGCAGGTTGACATACGACTGCAACAGTTCTGCTATTGGCCTATACAATATGTGAAGCTTCGAGGCAGGAAAGACAACTGGGAGAGCGTAACCAACAGTCATCCCGATTACATTCGATTCTACAACAGTCTATGGCTCGTGGCCAATGATGTGATCATTGGCATTGCCCTTGGGTCATATATTATCGATAACGCAAATTGGGTGGCATCTCAGATAAGCACTGTCCTTACCGGCTGGACTGTGGAAGGGCTGCAACGCACCATCTCTTGGTTAATGGACTGGCCAGCAGGCTTAAAACTGAACAACGAACTTGCTGCCTTCCTTGGTGATCTCTTCCTCTGGGTCATCGAGAATTGGGCCGGTTTTATCGCAAATTTGCAACCTTTCCTGCCTCACGTCATATATGTCATTGGATGTTCCAGCTTTGCAGGCGCCAGCATGCCGATAGCCCTCTTTTCTGATCTTCTCTCCATGCTGACCATCCACATCTATTCTTTCTACATTGCCTCTGCCCGAATCTTCAACTGGCAACTCACCATCATTGTTTCCCTTTTCCATCTCTTCCGCGGGAAGAAGCGAAACGTTCTGCGCAATCGAATAGACTCATGCGATTATGACCTTGACCAACTCCTTCTTGGCACCATTCTTTTCACGGTGCTTTTCTTTCTGTTGCCCACCGTCGTGGTATTCTATCTGACATTTGCATCCGCGCGGATGCTGATTATCTCCATGAAAGCCGCCCTCGATACCTGCTTGGCGTTCTTGAATCATTTCCCCCTTTTCGCCCTCATGCTCCGAATTAAGGACTCCCGGCGGCTACCAGGTGGGATTCGCTTTGAGCTTCGAGAAGATTTGAACAAGCAATCTACCGATGGCGATGCGACGATCTCCTACATCCATATGGAAGTGTGTCTCCCTAAAATAGACGTATTTCGAACCCTGCTAACTCATCATTTTCTTAGTCTATCCCCCTCTCGCTCCGCGCGATGTTTGACCAGTACTTCCAGCTGGGCCACAGACTCCGCAAGCACTACCTCGCCCCTAATGTCATCTTCTGTCTCGTCACAGGCCGATTTGTGCCGCCGATTCATCGGCGCAACCTGTACAGCATGCAGTACAGTATGCTCCCGGCACACCGGGAGAGCATGTCGGCTGTGTGGAATCTCCTCACCCAGCCCAAGAAGACCAGTACTGGCAGTAGCAGCGGCGGTTCCATGGGAGGCGGCATTGCTGGTGCCTTGGGCCATGCGGTCCCCAGGGTCCCTCCTAATTTCGGCCAAGGGGATCTCCGGCGTCGGGGACATCGATGATCACTGCTACATCTATCTCAAAGAATACCCTCGTATATAGATTTATTTTATTCTTACACATCTGATTCTTCAACTCCGTTTTCTCGTACATCGTATCAGGGCCTCCCAGTATGGCACACCGGGCACAGACGATACTAGGCGTCCCCCCTATTATGAACTATTGGCGACGTCTTATTATATGCTATGAATTTGCTTCATGGATTGCGAGGCGTTCCAACCGAGTGACGGACTGTGTCCATGGAGGCAAATCCTGAACGATTGCATGGCAGTTATAGGCTATGCTATCCAATGTGTTGCACAGATGACTCCAAATTGGCCCCACTACTGGCAAGTCATGTCGAGCATGGGGCATTTGCAAGCCCGTCTAAAAGTTACATTGAAATGGGGGGGCTCCACAAACAATCCAAAGGAGAACTTCTCACACTATCAAGGATTTAGGCTATCTGTACCGTTTCTACTTCGCACCTGGGCAGGACTAATATCTTATAATGCATCCCCAAAGTATGACAATTCTGCATCTCCATGTCTCCGAGTCCCGCATCTCCATGTCTCCGAATCGAAGTTGGAGTAGCAAGACCCACATTGACTTGACACAGGACCAAGTACCACCAGATCCCTGTCAATACGCAGGTATATGGTGTCCTTTATATTTGATCCAGTGGAGCCAATTCGCAGCGGCACTAATTAGGGTTATCCGTCGATTCCAGGTAATGATTTCAGTCTCCAAATCCCCTGAGGATCCAAAGGTGCAGAACTCCAGAGCATGGAAACCCCACGGGAGATATCTTCACTCTTGCGGATATCATTTCGGGGGACGAGTTATCGGCCGAAAATTACAAATGGCATCGATAGCCCAGGCCCGATAAGCAATCCCTCCAAGACGTCAGATATGAAAGTATGAGATGCGGGGTAAGCGGGATTTAAAGTAGCTGGTTCCCCTTCAAGTAGTGGCTGCTCGATAAGTATTCCAAGCCATCAAGGGTGCATATCGCATACAGACAATGACGGGGAAATGGGAAGATGTGGCCGCCGAGAAGCGTGCACGCATCGAGAATTCGATACCCCAAGAATGGAGGATCCAACAGCAGCCTGCTGGTGATTCGGTATTCGACTACCCGGCGAAATCTGGCATTCTTACCGCTGGAGAGCTCGCTATAACAGAATCAAGTGCATCGGAGTTGGTGACGAAGCTGGCGCGAGGGGGAGCTGAAATCCGTCGAGGTGACCGTAGCATTTTGCAAGAGAGCTGCATTAGCACACCAACTGGTAAGACGGAGCCCTTTGTATCTCCAACTATCCCAATATTGCTTGCCGCGGAGGTTGACGGAATTCAGGTCAACTGTTGCCTCGAGTTCTTCCCGGAGGCTGCGATTGCCCAGGCAAAGGAACTCGACCAATACTTCGAAACGTACAAAAAGCCCGTGGGCCCCCTCCACGGCCTGCCTATCTCTCTCAAGGATCAGTTACGAATCAAGGTGGGTCTGCGTCCAGAGTGGAGCCGAATGGGTAGAAAGGCTCCATGTTAACATCTGAATCCAAAAAGGGCCTTGAAACTTCCATGGGATATGTCTCTTGGGTGGGGAAGTACGACACCGATGAGTCTGTTCTGGTGACACTCCTGCGCAAAGCGGGTGCTGTGTTCTATACGAAAACTAGCGTTCCCCAGACACTGATGGTCTGTGAGACGGTCAACAACATCATTGGGAGAACCTTGAATCCCCGAAACAAGAATTGGTCGTGCGGTGGAAGCTCCGGGGGGGAAGGAGCCATGGTTGGTATTCGGGGCGGAGTTATTGGAGTGGGAACAGACATCGGTAAGGAGCTTATGACAGACCCTCGAGGCTTTCGTTCGACTGACAGTTCCTTGAGGGGGTTCAATCCGAGTCCCCTCCGCCTTCAACTTCCTATACGGCATCAGGCCAAGCCATGGCCGCTTGCCATATGCCAAGATGGCAAATAGCATGGAGGGCCAGGAGACCGTTCATAGCGTGGTAGGCCCTATTGCACACTCAGCTGCAGGTGAGTCAATCTTGTCAAGAACAGCTTCATCGTAACGAACAGCACTCATATATCCAGATCTTCGACTATTTTTGACCTCGGTTTTGGGAGAAGAGCCGTGGAAGTATGATTCTAAGGTCGTTCCTATGCCCTGGCGATTGAGCGAAGAGGAAAAGATCCAGGATAAGATTTTATCGAGTGGCTTGACGCTCGGAATCTATTCCTGTGATGGAGTTGTACGTCCCAACGCTCGCAGATCCGTCCGAGACACAGATTGCTGATGGTGCGACTAGGTCCTCCCTCATCCGCCCGTTCTCAGAGGGATAGAAATCGTCAAATCGGTACTCGAACAGCACAAGCACACCGTGATTCCGTGGACACCACACCGCCATGATTTTGGTCACACTCTTGTCAACGCCATCTACACGTCAGATGGTTGTACGGTAAGCAGATTGCGGCGCTGTGATGATTCAGGAGGGCTAACAAGTGTCCTTAATAGGACGTCAACGAGAATATCCGTGCATCTGGAGAGCCACCGATCCCCAACATCAAAGATCTTCTGAACCCCGCAAATAAGAAGATTGATATGAATCAACTATGGGATACTCATCTCCAGAAATGGGCTTTCCAGAATGAATATCTTGAAAAGTGGCGCGAGGCCGAAGAGCGACTTGGCAAGGAGCTGGATGCGATCATTGCGCCCATCACAGCCACGGCGGCCATTCGCCATGACCAGTTCCGGTACTATGGCTATGCATCTGTCGTCAACCTGTTAGACTTCACCAGTGTTGTTGTCCCCGTTGCGTTCGCAGATAAGAGTTTGGATGTCAAGAACCCCAATTTTAAGCCTTTGAACGAGCTCGATGGGCTTGTCCAGGCTGAGTATGACCCTGAAGCTTACCATGGAGCACCCATTGCCATTCAGGTGATCGGACGCCGACTGAGTGAAGAAAGAACCCTCGCTATTGCTGAGGAGATTGGGAGGTTGATGGGAAACTCTACGACGCCTTAGGGCACAGACCAGATGGTGTGTCTCAGAATTTGGTATATGGTTTCAACAATGATTTGATCTTTTTTTTCCAATTTGACAAAGTAAAATACTACTACAAAAAGCCCTTGGGCTGTCAAACTAGTGTGACAAGGTTATATTCAACAAATGAGACATTCCCCTCGTCCCCAAGACAAACGCCATTTATACAGAGATGCAACCGTGACAGGGTATACAAGAATTAGAAATGCAAAAGGTCAAAAAAAAGGAGTCCCTTTTCGATAAAAAGGACGTAGGCAGAGAGCCTGAGAAATTTACCACAAGGAAAAAGGTCATAGCCCAGGTTCATAATGGCCGGGCGTCCAAAAAAGAAGCAATGCTGCAAAAAGGACACACTCTTTCTATACAGCACGATCCCCCTTCGTATTCATTTCATCCAATTCGTATTCGTTCTGCACGCTGCGCTCGCGGCCACGGCCCCGTCCGAAACTCGACTCGTTCTGAGCGTTGTCAGCAGCTTGTTGGGAAGACCCAGTGGCACTGCCGTCGCCCCAGCCACCGAATGCAATCGGCTTGAGTTCACGGTGTTGGCAGGCCCACATCCCCAGGAAAACCATCATGGAGGCACTAGCACATTGGAGAGCCCACCACAAGAGGTTTGCAGGAAGCGAGCGGGTGTAAAGAATAGTAGCAACGAGATGCAGGAAGTGGATGGTCAGGGCGAAATCGGGGACGAGCTTGGAGCGCGAAACGAATAGGAGGAGGAAGATGACACTGAGAAAAAGAAAAACGGCATAGTTAGTATTGGTCCACAAGCTGGCCCCCTTTACGGCGTGGGAGTTTGGTGTTCCGGGGACAACTCGAAACGTCGCAACTTACCAGATGAAACAATTCAACAACCACACTAGCCCAAGCATCCAGCCCACCGTTGTGTCCCCTCTTAAGTAGTCCCATCCAAAGACCAGGTCGAGCGAGAACGGTGCGCCATATACGACCGTGGTGAAGAGGATAAGCACCGTTGCGCAGGCATAGTAGGCGACTTGGAGCAGGAGGATCTTGCGGATAATCTTCAAGGGCGGGAGGTCCGTTCTTGACCCCGCTGGTAAACGCCGACGCGGTGGCATGAACGTGTATCCCGGGGCGTGGTGTCCCCTCAGCGACTCGTCTGTATGGAAGGTGGGTTTGGGCGCCGTCGGGATATCATGCGAGTGTTACCCCCGTGGCGAGTTACGCAGGTGCGTCGAATGGAAACGAAAGAAGCACTCGTATATTGAGTGCAGCCGTGTATTTTGCAGTTGAGGATAGGGATGTCGCAAGAATGGGCAGAGTGAGAAAGTGAACAACACCTGGGCAGTTTGGCGGAGGATTAATCAAGTCTTGGCACCCGCCATCTGCACTTCATCTTCATTTCCGCTTGCCCAAGCTCTTGCTCCAGGACCTCGTTACTTCTGCCACAGCCTCTGGACTCAAACTCGAGCTTACGGATTACGCGCTGAAATTTCCCCTCTCGCCTTGAAACTTTCTCCAGGATCACAATGGGCTGGATTCCTTGGTCTTCCGGCGACCCTAACAAAGCTTCCGATGGCGGCCGCATCGCCCCAGACCGCAGCAGTCGCGCGCGCTGCTGGGAAGCCCGTGATCTGTTCTTCAGCTGCTTAGATCGGAATGATATTCTGGATGGAATTAAGAATGACAAGGAAGCTCGGCAAAAATGTGGAAAGGAGGTTGCTGAGTTCGAAGCGGCTTGTTCTCAAACATGGGTATGTACCAAAGCGCTTGTCGAGGGGAGCGAATAAGCTGCCATGTCTGTTTAAGAGTCATATCGGCCACTCGTACTCCTTTCACTTATCGCAAATACTAACAATCAACTCTGTTCTAGGTCAAGTACTTCAAGGAAAAGCGCGTGATGGAATACAACCGGGATCGAACCATCCAGCGCATCAAGGCTGAAGATGCCGCGAAGGTGGAGGAGCTCAAGTCTAAAGGCCAGATACCGAAATAAGCACGATGAGCTTCATATCGTCATCCCAATTTGTACATTATGTACCATATTCCACTCATCACGACTCATTAATGCCACCAAAAGCTCCGGCGTCTTCATTTCATAAATGTGCATGTCTCCGCTGCGCTTAGAAGGAAAGGGGCCTCTAGCACAACCTTGTTTTCTTGTTTTACCCCCTCGAAGGACCAGCAAGTAGATAGCTGCTCGGCTGCGTAGAAACCAGTAGAGGTCAGCTCTTATTCTCGCAAATCTTTCTTTCCTATATTACGTTTCCCTTTCCAGGTTTCTGTTTGACTGCTGAATGTGCCCTTGATCTTGACTTACCTTTGAAGGCTGGAACTTGGATTGAGAATGAGAATCCTGTTTGGGAGGCGAATTGAGCTTTGCGGTTCTTCGGGGCGGATTCGAAGACCCCTGCGGTGGATTTACTCTCCCTGGACAACAGAGTGACTCTCGTCGGGAAATTTACAAGGTTTCAGTTGCAGATGCAAGACATTTTAAGTTCTAGTCTATAATATCAGACTCAGGAGCTTGGATGAAACCAATTCCAGAAGACATGTCATATTATGCCCCCGCCTTGCATTGAGCAATGCGAGACCTAGATAGAGAATGATAGCCAAGATACACAGAACTCCAGCCGAGGCACCGCCCACCACCAAGTAACTATCTAGTTTCTTATCGCCATAAGTTGTCCCCGTGAATCATAACGCCGGATGTTGCAAGTGCTGGGTCATACCAGCATGAAGAAAAAGAGAACAATAGTAGCACACCATGAATACTTTGAAAGATAACGCCTAGCTCCGGAAAATGGGAAGCAACAGAATGAGACGACTGGAGACCAGGCTCTAGCCGATTAAACAGGGAAGTAATCACAATGAAGAGATTCGTAACATCATTGTTTCCATTTCGCCAGCTGGTTCATCAGGTTCTGCACATTTGACCCAACGGCTGGTTGGCCCTGCGGCTGCTGACCACCAAGACCCTTTGCTAAGATTGATAGCAAGTGAGGATCGGAGACAACGGGCGCGTGGGGAGGTTGGAGGTTGAAAGAAGGGGAGGGAAGAGGCGGCTGAGTGGGTGGGATAGGAGGCTGACGGGCCGCATTGGTAAGGAGAGCAGCCAAGTCGGCTGGTGGAGGAGGATTGGGCGATGAGAAAGGTGACTGGGCCGCCGAGACTGGTTGCGACTGGGGATTCGGTCGCTGAAGAGCCGAGAGGAGGTTTTGAAGGCTGGGACCATCTAGAGAACTAATGAGGTTGGCCATGTTGGAGGGATTGTTGAGAGCAGGAAGGCCAGGCTGGGGGATGGGCACTTGAGGCACCGGTTGCACGCCGAATGCAGGGTTAGGAGCGAAAGAGGCCGGTGGACCAGGGCGTTGCATAGCTTGAGCTTGGTGAAACATGACCTCAGCTGCAATATTGGCATCAACCTCGGGGTAATCTATGGCCGGGGAGCTCGGTTAATGTATAGGAATAAGCGCGGGAGAATAAGAATACATACCACCAGTAAATCGAACATGAGTTGGCCCCGCGCTTCGATCAAAAATCTGGAGGGGGATCTTGCGCGAGAACTGATTTGGTCGGGATAACCGTACAACAGCAAGAACCCCTTCAACGTATTGGCGGTGGACAGCTGCCCCAAGAGGGATTCGAGGTCCCAGGACAAGTACATCTACGCGCAGGCCACGGTTGCGGAAAGCATTTTCAACGTGGAGGATGAAGTTCCTTCAGTTCGAGGTTAGAAACATTTCAAAAACAGACCATTTGGGTCATATTTGACTTACCGGTCAACCTCTTCCAGAACCAAGATTTGGACCTCGGGGACATCACGGATGGAGCGTCTGGGAACTGGAAGTTCAGCCTCCCCGTCGTACACGCCTCGGGGCCGCGGGCTAGGGCTCCGGTACCGCCGATCCCTCGCATAGGGGGAACGAGGGGAACGCGGGAGCGAGGAGAACGAGATCGTCGTCGATCGCGACGATCGAAGCGCTCTGGTGTTCTGTCTCGAGACCGATACCCATCTCTGGCCCGGATAGGTCGGGGCGATGGCGACCGTGGGGGGCGATAATCATCACGCCGGCGATGCGAAGGCTCGTCTCTGAAATCACTGAATGGGAGCCGACTCGGCTCATAAGGTCGGTCATATCGGTCGCCCGGTGCTCGGGCGGTGGCCCGAGCGGGCACAGTACGTGGAAACTCTGGAGATCGCGAGCGACGTGGAGGAGGGGCGCGAGTGGGCTCTGCTGGCGCTGGTCGGGTAGACCGTTGGGGTTTGGAAATTTCGAGGTCTGGATTAACTTTAGCTTATTGGGGGTCTTGTGATCGATTGGGGGAGTTAGCAACTCACGGATTTTTCTGCCTCGGACCAAAGCGCCCTGCTCGGCCTGGAGGGCTGCCTGGCAAGACCCTGCCTCTAGGAACTGTATGAACCCATACGCCTGTTTGATTGAAATCTGCGCTAGTTTCCCATACTTGTGAAATAAATGGAACATGTCCCGTTTGGTGACTCGCTCGGTGGGAAGATTGCCTGTATGATAAGAAAGGTTAGCGGGATAAGGATGTTAAGATAAGATGCGTGGGGAGACTCACCGACAAATAGTCTGGAGCCAATGGGAAACCGGTCCCATAAACCTTCGGTGACATAGATCCGCTCATCGTGCAGGAACTCGTCGTATTTCTTTTGAACCTCGGGGCCCCATGGCGAATCATCGTCCGAGCCCTTCCCGGGGCGTGCGGGTTGCTTATCAGCGCGCCCTTTCTTGGGGATCTGGGATGGCTCCTGGGAGGAATGCGACTCGCCGCCCGTGGAGGGAGTCTGAAAAGTGGGCATCGAGGGTGGAGGAGGAGGGGAGGGTATTGGCCACCGGTTGGGTACCAGGTGCCCCAGCTGGCGTCACAGTGGAATATGTTTGAGCATTACTGGATTGCGTGGCATAGGCCGTGGCAGGGGCAGGCTGATGATACGAGAGAGCATCATTAGGGTAGGTATGGTTTGGGGGGTCTTGGATAGGAGGACGGGTAGGGAGGCCTTGGGCTTGGAGAGACTCGTCAGGGTGCTTGATGGAAAGACGAGCCTTCCCCTAGGGCGGGAGGAGCTCCGGAGGACAGAGCTGCGGAAGGGTGGGACAGATTATCTAGCAGGGTCTGGAGGTTGACTCCCGCGGTACTCGCTCCCGCATCCTCCTTCCCATCATCTAGGCGATTTGGCATCTGGGGATTCTGGGGATTCTGGAGGTTCGGGGGGGTTCGGGGGGTCCTGGAGGTTCCCCGTGCTGGCATGTTCTAACTCTCCGGCGTAGCTCTGGACTATCGGAGCAACCGGAGCATTCGGAACCGTGTGAGGGAGATTCGGGTTCGCGTTCATTGTTGGCCCCGATGATCCGGGGGTGGAGTGATGATAGTTCGCGGAGACAGCCAAATCCATCGCAGCTTCTGGCTGCGCCCCATGCAAACTTCCTGATCCTCCTACTCCATCTTGTGCACTCGGGGCTGGCCTGCCATCATGATGTTGGGGAAAGTCGGGGCGTTCGTAGGTGGAGGTGTCGTTGAAGACGGGGTCCATTTGATTCTCCAGGACGGGGATGTTTGCTGGCTCCGGGATATGCAGCGGGCGCGGGCTTTCCGGAGTCAGTGTCTTTCCGCGGAAGTGAAGAGCTTCATCAGGGGGACTGGGCGTCATGTAGACGGGGGCGTCTCATTTACAGGGGAGAACCAACGGGGGGGAGAGCAAGTAAAGCAATAAGAAGGAAAAAGCAATGAATTTTTGCAAACGCAAGCTAAGGTGGGGCGAGAAAAAATGACCCGTTCAAGGGCGGTAAGAGAGCCCGATGATCGGGGCTTGGGGGTTCAAAGGGGGAGAAAAAATGGTGTGGGGTGAAAGGGGGTCGAAGGGGCAAAAGGGGATTCTTAACAAATGAACGGGGATGGTAGATCTGACGCGAAAAGGTGTCAAAACGAGTTAAGTTTCTTGGGTGTAATGCAGGACATGCAGGACACCCCGTACGATCATGAATGATCATCCTCTTCCGGCGCTATCATGACTGGATCTACCCAAGCTAGAAGACACGCTTATTGGGGGGAACTGGCTCCATGGCCAGCTACAGGATCCAAATTACATACTCGTACTGCACGATTTTCTTCCAAATTATCGCAATTGGGGATCTTCTGAACAAGAAGGCTGAGAATCGAGGACCTGGGAAGTATGAGAATCCGCCAATCAGACGGAGCCGCAAGGCCGGGTGGCCGCCAGTGCTTGTTTTGCCGGTGTGGGTGGCGGAATGACGAGAGGTCTTGGATCAGAGTGGAGGCTCCACGTCTAACTTACTCTGGTGTTTCAATTAGTCAAGGCTTCTATCCAGGTGGCCTCAGCTTCCTACCCTAAACTAAACATAGATCGGTCCTGATGGTGTTTTCTCCAAATCCATCCTGCATCCCCCCCATCCTCATGCGCTGGCTCCGATGGGTACGCTTTCCTCGACCTCAATCTCGTCATCTGACCACGAGGTCGAGCTAGCGAGAGCGTGGCTGAAAACTTTGAACCCCAAAAGCATTCCCCGCCACGTCGGGGAGGTGTCCTTCAGCCGATCGAGTGGCCCCGGTGGCCAGAACGTGAATAAGTCGGCGCAATTCCGAGCTCTCAATATCGGCAGGGCTAACCCGTTCAGTAGAGTCAATTCCAAAGCGACCCTCAAGATCCCCCTGGATATACTGCTGCCGCTAGTTCCTCGTTTGCTACACCCCCAACTGCGTGCGTCCCGTTATGCGACCCAACGGTCCCAGGCTCTAGTCTTCCAGTCCGACGAGTCCCGGAAGCAGGCCAGTAATGTGGATTCGTGTTTCGAGAAGCTCCACCAGCTGCTCGAGAGCACGGCCAAGGCGGTCATTCCGGGCGACACCTCGGACCAGCAACGGGATCGCGTTAGGAGACTGTAGGGCCCCTGCATTGGAAACCCCACATATCTTTTTGCGACCCACGCGATCTGACCACCTGACAGGCAAAAATCCGAAAACGAGGCTCGTCTGAAAACAAAGAGATTACATAGCTCGAAAAAGAGTAGTCGACGCGGAAGTAAATACGATGATTGATTTGTGTGCTCACGCCCGGCGATGGCGACGGCGATGGCGATGGTTTTACTCCCGTGCCAAAAATACTATGTGTGGAGAAACCTTGAAGCTGAACATCTCCATTACCCGTCCCAAACGCCTTGCAAGTGCAACGATATTGCGATGACTCCTACAAATCCCACTTCATGCTTTTGGTTCCTGCCCGACGGCTCGCTCCGCGCTCCGCACCGTTGACAATATGACCTTCTTCAATGAGGGGTCCAAGTCCTCTGTATCGGCAATCGGCTGAAGCCAGCTCACAATTTCCTGGGCGAGGCTGGGGCTCAACGGTTGCGAATCCTTCAGGCGGTTCAGGGAGCTGCCCAACGCCCGCGGGAACTCCGGAGAGGTGGGACGAATTCCCACAGTGGGCGTTTTGATGTAACAGATGTGTGTCCGGGGGCTAGAGGCGTGGTGGACCTGCATTGTCTCCACCACATGGTTCAGGATCCGGCGTAGACAGGGGATATGCTCGAATTCAGACACCATGTCATAAAACTCGCGGGCCAGCCGGTCGTCATTGCTAAAATTTCTCATGGCAGAATCGAAAATCGCAAGAGGAATGGCTCCGCTGAGAGCCGGGGTCGCGTTCAGCGTCTCCAGAGCCTTTTCGTCACCCTCCTCTCCCTCGGCAGTTGGATTGATGTCCTCCTCGGTGACCTCAGGAAGGGCAATCATGTCAGCGTTGTTGTCGTCCAAGCTAGGTCCCGCAATTTTGGGCCGTTCGCTGGCTTCGTCCAAGCCCAATATCCGCTGGCGAGCCACGAGCTTGGCAATGTAAATCAACTCCAGCTTCGCGTACTGCACCCACAGTGCCCGAGTGTTCTTGCAGAACCGGAGGCCTCGTTGCATGTAGCTCCGAGCTTGGGACATATCCGCATGGTCATCCAGAACGTATTTTGCAGCATAAATCCATAGCTCCGCGCTGGTCGGGTGTAAACGTAGAGCATCGGCCAGAATCAAGGAAAGTTTCTTGTGTGCCTTCTGTTTCCGCGCGTAGTCGATGTATTGGATCCAGAGGTTCAGGTCACCGTGGAATTTTCGAGTAGCTCGGTCCAGGATGAAGAAAATGCGACGCTGCCCGTTGTAACCCGCATTGCGAATTCCCAGCCGCTTCACTCGCTTCTTTCGCAGGCTCTCGAGGTTCAACTCATATTCCACATAGCGCACGAAGTCGGCCGGTTGTGCGCCGCGCGCATTCAATTTGTGTTCGAAATCGGATCGTTTCTTAATAATCGATGTAATCTCATCCTGATGGGAGACAGTCTGTCAATGGTATGCTCTGCTTGCAGGTACTATTCCTCCGGGCTTACCTTGCTGAAGATCTTCTTCCGCTCAAAATCTTTTAATTCAGGCACAGACTTCTCGAGGAAAAATCGAGCCTTATCTGTGGCAGCCGACATCGTTGTTTGCGGTTGTTATCGCCAGAGAAAAAAAAAGTTGAAGATCCCGCATTGACCAAACCACCGAAGCTAAACCGGATGCGGCTAGTTCCATCACAAGGGACCGAAGGACACTTGGTAGGCACCGGCGGATCCGATGTTTTCTCCTCAGGGGCCCTTGCTCTCTACAAGTCACGTTCGTTTCCTTCTCAACGCTCTTTTTCTTTCGTTACATTTCATCCGTCTGTCACATAAGCGCCGGTGCAGAGCGTTGCAATTCTCTGCGCCGCCATGGCTCCCCGAATTAAAGATGGAGATGCAGTGATCTCTGTAGGTGCACTGTCATGAGATCGCCAACCTCGGCTCCTAATAATAGTTGTTTTCTTCAGATCAATGGCAAATGGATCTCATGGGCGCACACAGGTGCAGCCTATGCTGCTTTCTTCAGTGCCCTGATCGTCGGTGTGGCGTTACACTTCCACAAGATTGTCCAGAACGAACACTACGGCTACCCGGATGAATGGTTCCCCTCCGTCTCCGCAACAATTGGCGACCGGTATCCCGAACGATCCTTCTTCCAAGTCTTTATCGCCATTACCTCCGGCCCTCGGTTCCTTCTCGTCTTCCTGTGGTATGTCCTTACCGCGCGACCCAATTCCAGTCTGCCGAAGATTGTGGCCGGCGTTGGTATCTTCCGTACTTTGACTTGCGGCGGATGGACCTATGTCACTTCTACCGACGACCATGATTGGCATGACATTTTCATGATCTCCTATCTTGTTGCGACTTTGCCGTGGACTCTTGGCTGCCTTGCGCTGAGTCCTAACAACCGTCAAGCCGTTAAGTATCGCAAGGTCATGGCTAGTCTCTTCTTCGGAACCTTGGTGCCATTGATCTACTACTTCATCCAGCATAAGGTCCACAAGGTCCCTGGTGGTAAGTCGCATGTGTATGCTGAACTGCAAAGACATTTGTTGACGCTAACTTCGGGTATTCAGCTTACACCCGGTACGCCTTCTTCGAGTGGTCCCTGGTTTTGTTCGATGTTGGATTTGATGCGATTACGGTCCTGGACTTTGAGGGACTTGAGTTGGTGGTCCGCGATGTGAAGGGAATCAGCAGAGGGTATGTACAGTGGCTTCCGAAATGACACCCACGACGAATGTATATGGCATAGGACACGTTGGTTATGAAACAAAACATATTCTAAATTCTTTCCGTCTCTCCAGGCAGTTGAAAACAACTGCAGACTCCGTCCTCGAAAAAGAGTGTGTACAATCCCATGGCTCTCCGTTCATCTCCGATATTAACCTGTAGCTCAGGAAGGGCAAGTCTGTGGGAAACACCTTTGGCGAGGGATTTTTCTGGACTGAAATCGTTGATGCTGCCGCTGATGTTTACAATGGAGTAAGTGACCATTAGCATTTTGGATCGTGGCTATTCCGGATACTAACAGATCTCAGTTCGTCTTCTGGACCATTGTGACTGGTCTCCCTGTCCTGGTGTGGTGTAAGTGCCCCTGGAGGTAAATGTGCAAACAGACAACTAACAGGACTAGACTTCCCTCTATGGCACATGGGAATTTCTGGCTATGAAGTCGCCATTGCCACCTGTGTTTCGCCCCTTCTATTCGCTATTCCCTCGATCAGATACGTTGCTACACAAAATCTGCGGCTCCTTCATCTGGTTTCCCTCGTGGCTCTTGTGGCTTACCGGTTCCAAGACCCAGCTAACCGGCTTTTCATTACTGGCTTTGCCCTATCGACCACCTGTGCCGCCTGGGTTGCTGGCTTCTTCGCCGAACGTGGAAACACTCCCCGCCTGGAAGCTCGTATCATGGCTTGGGGCATCGGCTTGATCATGTCTGTTGTTGCCAAATTCGCTTGCTCAACAAACAACCCTCTTTGGCCTATTATGCACAGTGACAATGGTGGATGGAACAAGATCGGCCTTGCTCTTGCTCTTTTCTCTGTCCTGCGCTCTCAGAGAGGCTCTTCCACCAGCGGCAGCGACTATCTGCCTACCAGTGGTAAGAAGGGCTCGCCAATCCTGGCTGCATTCGGCTTCGGTGGTCTTTTCTTCGCCATCGTTTCGTTATTGACGGACTCTAGCACCATGATCTCATGGGTCTGGGACGGTTATCCCGTGCGCGGTCCTATTGCTGTTCCCCACGGTGCTGTGACCATCTTCTTCATGGGAGCCGGTCTCGTATACGGTATCTTCAACCCTGGTGTGGCTGGTAGCTGGACAGCTTACGGCATTGGGTCCGTGGGCGCAGCTCTTCTTACTTGCTTCCATCACTGGACTGGATACTACGGTGCCCTGGCCTTTGCATTCTATATCATGGCTGTTTCTCCTGTCCTGATCACTTCCTGTGTGCGGCACTCTCCCGCCATTACCTTTGGTACTGGCTTCCTCATCTACGTTTTCCTCCTGCTCTTCCACGTTTGGGTGGTTGCCTACGCCTTTGTGCCCGGTGGTCCCCTTGTACGTGAGCACACTGACTGGCTCATGACCGTCACTATGCTCTTCATTGGTGCAGGTGTCTTCTCAGCTGCTACCTCCAACTCCGGCCGATCTAGCCGTAACAAGCCCATCAGCCCTAACAGCAAGAGAACTCGCTCTTACTACATCTATGTTCTGGCAGCATTGCAGCTACTTTCGGTTTCTATCGCCTACCTGCGCTTCCCTACTAACGACTACAAGCCTCACCACCCAGAGGAAAAGGTTGTGACCGCCGGTATTTGGACCGTCCATTTTGGTCTGGATAACAATATGTGGGCGGCCGAGCGACGTATGCGCAATGTGCTTGGTGAGCTCGAGTTAGATGTCATTGGCTTCCTCGAGTCGGACAACCAGCGTATTATCATGGGTAATAAGGACATTACTCAGTACATCGCTGGGGACCTTGGCTACTACGTAGACTTCGGGCCCGGTCCGAACAAGCACACCTGGGGTTCTGCTCTGCTCTCCAAGTTCCCCATTGTGAACTCCACTCATCACCTTCTTCCCTCACCGGTGGGTGAATTGGCCCCTGCTATTCATGCCACTCTTGACATGTATGGCGAGATGGTTGACGTGGTTGTTTTCCACTCTGGCCAGGAGGAGGATCCCGAGGACCGTCGTCTTCAGACCGAGTACCTCTCGAAGCTTATGGGCTCGTCCCCTCGTCCTCTCATCCTCCTTAGCTACCTGGTCACCAAGCCATTGGAGGGTAACTACAACACTTACGTTAGCGACCTGAGCGGAATGAAGGACATTGACCCTACTGACTGGGACCGATGGTGCGAGTATGTTCTTTTCAAGAAGATCCACCGTACGGGTTACGCCAGAATCAGCCGTGATTCAATCACCGATACCGAGATTCAAGTAAGCCCTTTCTTCCTTGATACCCATTGGAAACACATTACTAACTGTCTAAAAAAGGTCGGTAAATTCATCGTTGGTGAGCCTGAACCCGAGGAGGAGATGCGCATCCCTGAAGAGATGGTCCCCGAGGGCCGACGCTTCCCTGCCTTGTTCCGTGGAGAGGGCGTGCGTGGCCACCGCTACCATGTCTTTGATGAGCCTCGATACTGGCAATAAATATGAACTGACCAACATTTTTCCATGGCCTTTTCGGTGTGTGGGACATAAATTGCTTTGCCTTTCTCACTGGCGCCGGCTTCATGATCATTTGTTACGTGGTGAAATAGTTTGGTATATGAAGGGCGGACATTCCGATATCCTTGTGGCTGAACGCCTGGAATAAATTGATTCTTTCTGGCTTTTCGCACTTTATTAATATCTTCCTGGCATTTTGGTGCCCATTCTAAATTCCTCGGGCATTGACACTATTTTTGATCTTGAGACTTTCGCTGGCAGTCTGTTAACTGAAATGGTCACGGTAGATGGGGGCATCGCACTTGATGTGGCTTCTACTCCCAAGGAAGCAGAGATCAGTGAGCCAGTCGCTTGCATGTCTTTTGGGCTTCTTCCTCCAAATGGGAGATGCTCTTTGATCTACTGTTACCTGAAACCAACAAACACGAATAGACCATGTGGGGGGACCCGCCCGGGCTCCAGCATGTGTCATGATGATTGCAGTGCAGGGAGAGCTTCGAGCTTATTCCTCAAATACCGGGGTATGGAATGTGAATCCTTTTGCCGAGCACTGGATTAAGGATCAGGACCACGGCCACGCCATCCTCAAATGGAGAAATGAAGAGCTTAGGCCTCCTTGTTTGGAGGATCTTCTTAGTTTTCGATCGAACCGGGCATACTTTCTGTCGCGTGACAAGTTGGACGCGCAAAGCTAGGCTTGTTCATATGGACGTCCTTGCTTCATGACTTGGCTTGAGGTCGTCAAAGAGCACGGTCATCGAATAGGACCGGACTCCTTGATTGGCACTACATGGTCGTCTATCCGAGTTCTGCGATTGATCTTTTTGGGACAAAGGCTTGGCCTACATCCGTAAGCTAACATTGTAGCTAGGATCGGAATATCGGTAGGCTACGAGGTAGCATGGTCACATTCCGCGGTTGACAGGACGCTTCTTACCAGAATAGCTGCACCACCGATGACTTCAAGCATCACTTTATCTGCTGGGCGCTCTTTATTAATATCGTGAAGGCCTCTGTTTAAGAAATACAGACTATTCATTGTCAAAAATCCTCAGGCGTTGGAACACGACAGATTTGCCTTTTGTCCAGGCTCATCGCAGTATGACTTCCGACTCCGAATATCGTGCTCTCATTGTTGAGATACTTACATGTCTGATATTTTAGGCAGAACGAGTCCGATAAGCATTTTCTTTCATAGTCTGCATCGACAACACTATCGTTCATTCCTGACTCTTTTCTTGCTCTGCAATTCTGAAACAATCCAAAGCATTTGATCCATGTCCCGAAGGACATCAGGAATAGTCTCTTTGTCCGGGTAAGTTCTCACGGCTAGCGGCTAAAATACAAACGACTCTCTAATTCCTAAGAAACCCGGTTTTTCTATAACTTGAAGTGCCTTGCTCATCATCTTCGACCCTACAATTTCCTTTTGCAAATCTCTTCGGATATTTCGCACGACTTTGCCTGGACTCGGTAAGCTCACCTCATCCCGATAATGATGCTTTCTAAGTTCTCATAGATCCCATCAAACAACGAAATAAATCAGTAGACGTCTTCCAGAATGGGAAAGGGCAAAAGAGGGAGCTTAGGGGGACAAGGTTTTAGGGAAGCGGAAGATTGATGCTGAAGAGACAAGACCTGACAGTGACTCACAAAATATCCCGCCAGAAGCCAAAAGAGAAAAGAGAGAGGATAAAACTTTGTCGGAGGAACCAATTCCTGCGCTGGGTGAAAGGCTCCCCAGAGCCTCAACAGGTTTTGTAAGGGTCCCCCATCCCACCGATAAGGACAAGCACGTTCTTCAATTCCCTATGACCGAAAGCCTAAGAGATGCGGCTGGGGACAGAAAATGGCCTGCTATTTTCTTTGGAGACGACGCCCCACTGCCTCGATGGAAACTCGTTGCCCTTGCCAATCCGCCAGACGCGGATGATCTCGAGCATCAACTCATTACGACGTATGATGATAAAACGCATATCCCTGGTGTCCATCGAGGAAGCCATCCAATGTCTTACGATGGTAAGATTGGGCTCGGGGCTCTTGACTGGGAACTTGAATACGGCCCGGAGTCCGGTTTCAATGGCTTTAGCAAGGAGGAGGTGTACGAGGTTGCTTTCCGGTGCCTTGTCGATGCAACCTACGATTTCCTCTGCCGTGAGGAGATCCGAGCCTGGATCTCCCGTCAGAAATGGTTCCATGTCGCCAATGTGGATGACCCCCTGCCACCCATTCGTCACCCGCCTAAGTTGACTTTGTTTGGGCGCGCGCGCCGCAAGGATTCTGGAGTTTACTTCCCCAATTTTGAGCCACTTGGCAAGAATGGAAGACTATTCGATGACTTCGACCGTCCTACATTATGCCTTGATAGAGGAACCAACCAAACCAGGCCCAAAAGTCCATCGCCATCCAATCAAAGGCGCCGGCCTCCAAGGGACCCTCTCATTGAGATGATGTTAAAGAACGAGAATACTACGTTGGTAGCTCCAGGGAAAGTTAGTTCCTCCTTCAATCCAACGCATGATTCCCCGCAGCCACAGCCTCCAAGTTCGCCAGTCTTGCCCCCAAAAGCTGGACAGCCCCATTCTGCTGCTTTGAGCAACGTGGAAAGGGGGAGCAGTGGTCGTTCCGATCGACCACAGCAGGGTGGGAGATTGGCCGAGATCTGTGAGTACAAATGTGTTTCTTTTAGCGTTATCCTATTGATTTTAAGCATGTTCATTTGTCTCTTTCTGTACGGCTTCAATATTATCAACTAATGTAATTGAGAATTGGCCGGATGCCATCTTCCATAAAGGCCATGTGGAATAAGATATGGCCTAACCAGAGAGCTGGTGCAAGTCAGATTTGGGTCTCATTCTTCGGAAGCCCTTTGCATATCAAATATTCCATACGAGTCCAAGAACCTTTGCCGATCAATATATTGTCAGAATAGGTGCTAACTGAATTGCCTACATAGCTTCAGAGAAACCAGCCGGCAAACCCCGACAGCGCCGCACTGGCAAAAAGAGATTAGCTTGATAGAAAGTCATGTAGACTATACACATCTCACTATTGGAAGAGTCAGTTATGGGGTATCGTCCAATTATAAGCAAGCAAGCGCAAACCCCATATCTTTGCAAAAGGCTTGTCCGAGATGGGGAGCGAGGGGTTCGATTTAGATTTGCCAATTGAAGCCTTGTTATTTTGTCATTTCCTCTTGCTTCAGATTTTTTGAGTCGAGGCTTAAAGCAGATAGGTTCAACAGATAGGCCATTGATGAGCGGTAACATAAATGATAAGCCTAGACGCTATGCCCGGGCTGCAGAGCGAAAGAAGAAAATCGAACGTCCGTTGCTCAGTTTGCCGCACTACAGCGCCCCATCTATTGATTTCCATAATTAACCCTATTTCCTAGGTCTTCACAGAAGGACGAACATTTTTTGACCACAGACTTGGACAAGATAAGGAGCAATGAGAACATTGATTCAAGCTCAGAGTACCGAAGAGCCGTGAAATTTGAAGCGCAATAAACCCACTCCTAGGAGGACAAAGAAAAACTCGAGCCCTTGAGTGCGTTCTTCACTACTAGTAGACATAGAACTGGTAATAAATTGACAGCACTGTGTGCTGATAGTAACCTAATGTTATCTAGATGAGTCAAGCGAGGTGTACAGAAGCTCAACCTTGAATCGAACGTTCAAGTTGAAGTTGGTAGATTCATGTAAAGGAGTCCTGTTAATTTCACTTCCAAGGTGGTATATATATCCACAGCGAGATTGAAACTTGAAGGTTCCGAGTCCGGCTGCTAGCAGAACTTAGAACGTAGTACCCGGAGTCTCTATCACTTGATGCTCAGTAGACTTCAAGTTGAAACAGAAAATGCATATGTTCACTAGCTACGATTCAATATTACTTTCGACAAGCTCTAGGATGGGGTTCACCCCTTTGAAACTTGACTAGTGTTGAGTTTAATTCTTCTGGTCCCAAGGATTCGATATTTTACAGCCCACGTCATATATTGGGTCTGTGCTGATTCCAGATTTCTTCCAGGGTAAGTAATCCTCCAAGGCTTTAGATGTATAATAGTAACAAACATACAGCAGATCTAGTATACTAGCGGCTCACAAGCGTCCGATTCCGCAGGCCTCACCGCCCGCCCTAATTTTGCCGGCACGCGCAAGTGGAACTTGGAGTCTCCCCCAGACGCATTCGCGGTCATTGATCAGACGTTGCCGTTCGCTGACGGCGCGCGATCAAGATGTTTACTTTTACGCCATTAGTTGGTGCCCAGTCATCAACATCCAGAGCATCCCAATCCATTTTGGAGCTTGATGGAGGTATCAAGATATTGGTTGACGTCGGCTGGGACGATACCTTCGACACTCGCGACCTAGCAGAACTCGAGAAGTACGCCCAATGTCGAAGGAATTACTTCCTTATGGTTCTTAGAAGCTTACATGTTCAATAACAGACACATTCCCACCTTGTCACTTGTCCTTTTGACCCACGCTACACCATCGCACATTGGCGCCTTTGTTCACTGCTGTCGCACATTTCCTCTCTTTACTCAAATCCCCATTTACGCAACGAGCCCCGTCATATCACTCGGCCGCACCAGCCTGCAAGACCTATACTCATCGGCACCGCTTGCAGCGACTTTCCTTCCTTCAGCTTCCGTCTCAGAACCCGGCGCGTCGGCATCTGCTGTACCCTCATTAGGCGACAATACAGCCAATGCAGCCAATTTAGAAAGCAATGGAGGCACCGGCCGGATCCTCCTCCAGCCTCCGACCACCGAAGAAATTGCTCGATATTTCTCACTTATTCAACCCCTCAAATACTCGCAACCTCATCAACCTCTGCCTTCTCCTTTCTCGCCTCCCCTGGACGGCCTCACGTTAACTGCTTATAATGCCGGACACACCGTTGGTGGAACTATCTGGCATATTCAACATGGGATGGAGTCTATTGTCTACGCCGTGGATTGGAACCAAGCCCGTGAGAGTGTTGTAGCAGGTGCTGCGTGGTTCGGAGGCGCCGGGGCTAGTGGAGCAGAGGTCATTGAGCAATTGCGCAAGCCAACAGCGCTCATCTGCAGCACAAAAGGAGCCGACAAGTTTGCAGTGTCCGGAGGCCGGAAAAAGAGAGATGATCTTCTTCTAGACATGATCCGTAGTAGTCTCGCGAAGGGCGGCACTGTTCTCATCCCTACTGATACAAGTGCAAGAGTTCTAGAGCTGGCATATGCTTTAGAGCACGCTTGGCGAGATGCGGCATCGGATGAGAAAGAAGATGTACTCAAGGGCGCAGGCCTATACCTTGCTGGTCGCAAGGTGAATACTACCATGCGTTTGGCAAGAAGTATGCTCGAATGGATGGATGAGAACATCGTTCGTGAATTCGAAGCCGCTGAAGGAGCCGATGGCGCCGCCCAGGGTGCCTCTGGGCAGACGCAAAGTAAAACCGGTAAGAGTGGCGGTGGCCCGTTCACTTTTAAGCATCTCAAGACCATCGAGCGCAAGAAGCGTCTAGAAAAGCTTTTTGCGGAGGAAGGCCCTAAAGTCATTCTTGCCTCTGATGTCTCGATGGCGTGGGGTTTCTCGAAAGACTCGTTGAAGCGAGTTGCCGAGGATCCCAACAATCTGATCTTATTAACCGAATCATTCCGTCCCAAGGCAGCAGAGCGGGAAGGGGAAGGTCCAGAGATGAATTCTTTAGGCGGTACACTCTGGCAGTGGTACGAGGAACGTCAAGACGGCGTGGCGCTAGAAACAGCATCAGACGGTGAACTGCTGGAGCAAGTCCACAGCGGAGGGCGAGAGCTGAGCTGGACAGATGTTCAACGAGCGCCCCTGGATGCTGGCGACCAACTGCTTTATCAGCAGTACCTCGCCACCAAACGTCAGCTACAAGATACTTCTCAAGTCCGGGGAGGGCAGGAAAGTCTCGAGACAGGAGCAGATGTGCTTGATGATGGATCTAGCTCTACATCCTCTGAAGACTCCAACCCTGAGCAACAAGGTCGAATCCTTAACTTTTCCGCCTCCTTGGCACACTCAAATCGAAATAAGCTCGCCCTTAGTGACCAAGATTTGGGCGTCAATATTTTGCTACGACGAAAGAATGTTTTTGATTACGATGTACGCGGCAAGAAGGGACGAGAGAGAATGTTCCCATACGTAGCCCCGAGGAAGAAGGGCGACGAATACGGAGAGTTCATTCGTCCCGAAGAGTACCTACGAGCCGAAGAGCGTGAAGAAATCGACATGCAGCAACGAAGGTCTGAGGCACAGACTCAACTCGGACAGAAACGACGGTGGGATGATACTTCTGGCCGCAGACTTTCCGGAGGCTCAAGTGGCCGCAAGCGTCAGCAATTAACCAAGGACGGGCAGAGGATCGAGTCTGGACATGATGCCTTAAGCATTGCTTCTGACGATGAAGCGGCGGATGCTGCGGCATCTTCCGACGACGAGTCAGATGGCCAAGACTTTGAGGGCCCTGCCAAGGCTGTCTACAAGAAGGAATCGATCATCATCAACGCTCGAATTGCCTTTGTTGATTGCATGGGATTGCACGATAAGCGTAGTCTCGAAATGCTTATCCCGCTTATTCAACCTCAGAAGCTCATTCTTATTGGCGGATTAAGGAAGGAAACCACAGCCCTGGCAGCTGAGTGCAAGAAGCTTCTATCCGTGAAAGAGGGTGATATCACGAAAGACGCGGATGCTATCATCTTCACCCCGAATAATGGTGAGACCATCGATGCAAGCGTTGATACGAATGCCTGGATGGTTAAACTGAGCAATAACCTGGTCCGGCGCTTGAACTGGCAACATGTACGTAGCCTTGGTGTCGTGGCTCTAACCGCACAGCTGCGGGGCCCTGAGCCCCCACAAGAGGAGGCAGAAGCTGCACCCGAAGCCAGCGGCAAAAAGTTGAAGGTAGACGCCGAACAGGCACCTCCTTCTGCTGTTGTGCCGATCATGGACAATGCGCTTCAACAAAAGCCCTCGGAGAAATCCGAGCTTCTCCCTCTGCTCGACACATTACCGGCTAGCATGGCTGCTGGCACTCGATCTGTGGCTCGCCCACTGCACGTCGGTGATCTGCGACTTGCTGATCTTCGCAAAATCATGCAAGCAGCTGGACACACAGCCGAGTTCCGCGGCGAAGGAACTCTCCTTATTGACAAATCTGTGGCTGTCCGGAAATCCGGCACGGGCAGAATTGAGATCGAGGCAGCAGCACAGTCCGCGGCGAACCAGGCTGGCTTGGGCCGCGGAGCAGGCAGCTTCCTTGCCGTAAAGAAGAAGATCTATGAAGGCTTGGCTGTTGTGGCCGGGAATTAACCCCCCTCATTGTACTTTATCATCCTTCTTCTCTGTACTACTCTCATCTATAACCGAATGGTTTACGAAAATCAAACTTCTATGGCAATAACTGCTCAAACATTTTGTCTCCTTTGATTCTGAATTCGAAGACTGATGTCAGTGGTTTCGGATACTATCAATTTCAAGATTATCTATAACACCCTTAGACGTGAGAAATGTCGTTTTCGTAACTCTAGATATTAGCTCTCTTTCCCGCGGTTTTTGTTTAGTCCCTCATCCTTCTAAATTTCAACCTCTAAATGCAGCAGGTAAAACTTGATGCAAAAAGTCCTGAGCGCCTCAGACGCTGCCCTCGGGCTCGCTTCCGAATTCATTATCTTCGGTAGGGATGTCTTGAATAATATCGTTGGTCTGCGGGCCGGTATATTTCCTGGTAATACATCAATGGTTAGTGAGTTGGGACCAAATGCGAGTCTAATTCCGATCACGATTATTCTCACCCTCGGGCTGAAGAGAACCACCAGAATATAGAAAACAGCCCAATGAACGCAACGACGACAATGGCGTAATTCCTATCAATCGAGTTAGCAGAGCGTCTCCGATCCCGAGTATGAAGCTCTTACATGTTCGCCGGCGTCACTGGAATTTGGGTAGGGAAAAACAGAATGGTACTGATGAACAGAACCCAAATAATGGCAACCCAATTGATCAAGGGTCCCCATCTACCAAGGGTGAAAGGGCCTTCGATGAACTTGACCCTGGATCTATAGATCTGGTGTGCTAGAATCACGGCAATGTATGAGAGATCCAAGGCAGGGGCCGTGACGCTGAAGATGGCGGTAGCCGTTTCGGTAGAGCCAATAGCAATGCAGTTCAGGCAGATACTAAAAAAAACCACGAACCAGACCGCGTTGACAGGGGTGTGGGTTCGGGAATTGACCTTGGATAAGAAGGCTGAAAATGGAAGCGCATCGTCTCGTGCGAATGCAAATGCCATTCTTGTATCGGCCAGCATGGCGGAGCAACCGGTGAAAAACTGTACCAGAATTGCAAATGACCACATTGTTGTTCCGCCTGCTTTTCCTCCAGCATTCAGGAATACTTGCGCTGCTGGCAATCCTGTTGGGGTGTTCAAGATACCATCGAAGTCTGTTAAGCAGAAGCACATGCAGACCGTCAATAGCCAGCCAAATGCGCCACTGACCAGAACAGCGATCCTGATTGCAACTGGTCCTCTGATGGCAGCGTCGTGGGTTTCTTCTGACATACTGCAAAGCGGTTAGGTACTATTCATGGGGGCTCGACTAGCTGTTCTTACTGAGTGGTTCCGTCATAGTCGGTCATAGTCCATGCCACCGATAGGAAACCCAAAAAGAAAGAAAACACCTTGGAGCCCCACCCAGACCCATCAGTGAAGTGAGTGAAGACCCACGAGGCTGGCTGCTTCTCCGGGGTCAAATATATAAGAGCGATGCAGATCGCAATTGTGGCCGCAACTAAGAAAAGAAAAAAAGAAAATTAGGCGGAGGCCATGGCCGTGGAGAAAGCTTAATTACTGACTGTTGATCGGCGCGAACCAAAGAATGATCCGATGGAGCGTTTTGGTCGTCAACGAACAAATGACGCCCAGAATGCAGAGAACACCAATAGAAACAAGCACTGTTTGCAATGCAGTTCTAACCAGCAATTAGCAAGATGAAAGATAGGCCATACAGCGTGACGTACGGTGAATACGAGTACTCGCCGTCAACCAAATTCGAGTTCATGCTGACACCAGCCAACAGCATCTGGCTAACGGTGTATGCGACACTTGAGACACCAGCCGTCTGGCCCAGAAGGTTGCACCAGCCTTGAATCCATGAGAATATTGGGACCTGGTCGGCTGGTACCACGTGCTTCGTCACGAAGTACATTCCGCCTGCCGTTGGATACGCCGAAACTAGCTCTGCTACGGAGCTGCCGATGACCATCGCCATGCAGGAGCCGATTAACCAACACCAAACCGCCGTGGCTGGGCCTCCAGCCTGCAGTGGCGAGCCAAAGGTTGCTGGCACGGATCCGAGTACCCCCAGAATGGAGATGGCATACGATACTGTCGACCATTTCGAGAACTCACGGCGCAACTCCTGGTTGGACAGAATCAAGGTTAGGTCTTCCGCCTCCCGGGCAGTTGTGAGGTGGCGGGCATCGTTACTTGTTTATAGCCTATCCGAGCCAGCAAAAGCTCGTCGTCGTCCTGAATGGTTGCCATTGGAGGCCCGAGGGATGAATCTTGTTTCCGAACCTCCTCGGCTTTCGTCTTTCGATCTGGATCCGAGGATTCTACAGTCAGGACCATTGCGAAGACGTGGCGCGCACAATCAGACCGCGTCGAGGGGGTGAAATCCAAGGCAAGATAGCGCCGATAAGACGAGGGCAGCAGTTGAAATAGACCGGCAAGGATAAAAGAAATCGAAATGTGGCCCACACTTACATATTTATCTTACAGAGAGCTCTATCTACTCCGGTAATGCCAGACCGGGGCTAAGATCCGATCGACCGACAAAGGAGACGGTGAGATGCCAATAGGACAAACCCTAAACGGGAGCTCAACGGGAGCTTTAGGGGGGGCGGGAAGATTCGGTGGGTAGCAAACAGATAAGTGTGCATCGATAGTCTCAAATCACACATCGGTTGCTGCAACCAGTGATACTATCGGGAGGGGGTTCGTGAATTTTCGACAGGCTAGGGGACCTTTGGGGAGCCGAAAATATGCAGGAGAGAGGGGAAGCAATCCACGAAAAGACGAGCCACGTAGACACTGTTATCGGGATCCCTCATCTAGCTATTTCTGTAGCTTCGAGGTCAGTTCGGAGCCGAAGAGAACCTTGCGGAATGGCGCAAGAACAGTGGGGTTGAACTACTAGTGACTTGGTATCAGCAGCTTGTATTGGCGGGAGATGGGTCTCGGTCGATCTACAATGAGAGACCTGGACAGGGGTGCAAATAATGGGTGTGCCCGGCGGGCAGAACTCCACGGGGAAAGGCCCCCCGAATTGCAGCAATAAAAATGCGAAATGAAGAAAATACGAAAAAGCGAGTGGTGCATGTTACTCCTATATGTGCTCCCAGTGTTTACTGCTAACACCGGCCCACATGGAGAACCTCGGAGACACGTATTTCCGGTGTAGCAAAGGTGGTCAATCCGGTATACCATCAACATCCCGCGGGGCTCCAGCAACCTCCCCCGATATGTCTCGCTGATTAGCCGCCTGCTCTCCATTGCTCGTCCACGGCATGATCCACCATGGCTGATCCATCTTATCACAACATGGGCCAGCCCGAGGACCCTTCGAACCCTCGGTCCCACCTCGCGTATCCCGGAGCTGCTCCTCCCCAGCCTGGAGCTGCTCCTTATCCTCAACCTGGAGCTGCTCCCTATCCTCACCCTGCTCATAGTCAATGGGCCACGTATGGCTCCCCTCAACAGCAATACCAGGATGTGCCCCCTCAAGCCCCCCTATAATGCCGCTCCGCCACAGCCATTGGGGGACCCGAATATGGCTGGATTAGCTTCCCAGATGAGTGGCCTAGGCATTGCGGCGGACCCAGGAGCAAGAACGAATCGGAAGAAACATCGGCATGCATTCCATGACATCGGAACAGGGTCTGCGGCAGCGGCGCAAGGTTTTGACCAGACACCTGCTGCGGGGCCGGAGCAGTCAACCTCGCAATTCCTCAGCACAGGTTTGAATCAAGTGCCTCGCGCAGTATCACCAGGATTCCCTCAGCCTGGCCAACCCGCCGGACCAGGTCCCACGCAGCCAGGCCTTGCACGCGGGCCCGATTCTGTGGCTACCCAGGGCAAGGTTGACCCCGAGCACATTCCAAGTATCCCTCGGTCTCGCGACGGCCCTGCCCAGTATTACTTCAACCATGTATACCCAACAATGGACCAGCACCTCCCTCCGCCCGCCGCCATTCCCTTCGTGGCCCACGATCAAGGCAACTCGTCGCCCAAATACGCGCGCCTCACCATCAACAATATACCCGCAGCCTCCGATTTCCTCTCCTCGCTCGGACTGCCCATGGGCATGATCCTGCAGCCTCTCGCTCCTCTCGACCCCGGTGAACAGCCGATTCCCGTGCTGGATTTTGGAGATGTTGGGCCCCCGCGATGCCGACGGTGCAGGACATACATCAACCCCTTTATGTCTTTCCGCTCCGGCGGTAGCAAGTTCGTCTGCAACATGTGTACATTCCCCAACGATACACCCACCGAATACTACGCGCCATTGGATCCATCCGGTGCGCGTGTGGATCGCATGCAACGACCGGAGCTATTGATGGGCACAGTCGAGTTCTTGGTTCCAAAAGAATACTGGAACAAGGAGCCTGTGGGGCTACGGACTCTCTTTTTGATTGATGTGAGCCGTGAGTCGTACCAACGGGGCTTCCTGAAGGCAGTGTGTGCAGGCATCTCCCAGGCGTTGTATGGAGAGGATGGAGCTGCTGATGGCACAGAAGGCGATGAGTCTGCTCGCAGGGTACCTGTGGGCTCGAAAGTGGGTATCGTCACGTTCGACACTGAAGTCCACTTCTACAACCTTGCTGTAAGGATCAAAGATGCTGCCATTTGAGATGTATGGCATGCTAACTGGAATACAGTCATCATATGGACAGGCGCAGATGATGGTAATGACCGACCTGGAGGAGCCATTTGTCCCGTTGAGTGAAGGTCTTTTTGTCGACCCATATGAGTCCAAGTAAGTGAGATTCGTTTCGCCTATGGCCGATAGGATTCTTATATTTAGCAGGTCCGTGATCACAACGCTCTTGGGCAAAATCCCTAGCATTTTCTCTCAGGTCAAGAACCCCACCCCCGCATTACTTCCTACCTTGAATGCGGCTCTATCGGCCCTTCAGGAGACCGGAGGAAAAGTGGTCGCCTCGGTTGCGAGCCTACCCACTGCCGGCCCAGGGCAGCTCTCCGTGCGAGAGGACCCTAAAATCCATGGAACTGAAGCAGAGCGCAAGCTGTTCGCAACCGAGAATCCAGCCTGGAGAAAGACGGCTAGCAAGCTTGCTGAGGCTGGAGTTGGCGTAGACATCTTCATCGCCGCCCCCGGTGGCGCTTATGTGGATGTGGCGACTATCGGTATGTTTGGTAGAAGTCTTTGAAAGGACTGTAGGCTGACAAAAACATGATTATAGGCCATGTCGCTGCACTCTCCGGCGGAGAGACATTTTTCTATCCCAATTTCCACGCACCTCGCGATATCCAGAAGGTGCGCGAGGAACTGGTCCACAGCGTCACTCGGGAGACTGGCTACCAGGCCTTGATGAAAGTTCGTTGCTCCAATGGCCTACAAGTATCTTCGTACCATGGAAACTTTGTGCACCATACTCTGGGTGCCGATCTGGAGATTGGTGGCATAGATGCAGACAAGGCTGTTGGCGTCATCTTCGGCTACGATGGCAAGCTTGATCCCAAGCTGGATGCGCACTTCCAGGCTGCATTGCTCTACACCTCTGCAGATGGCCAACGGCGGGTTCGTTGCATCAATGTCGTTGCAGCGGTTAATGAGGGCGGGATCGACACGATGCGGTACATTGACCAAGATGCCGTGGTGGCGGTTATCGCCAAAGAAGGTAGGTGAATTGGTGCTGTTGTAGTGGGATTATACTAACATTTATTAAAGCTGCCTCGAAAACACTCGATAAGTCTCTCAAGGACATCCGTAACAGTATCTCTGAGAAGACGGTCGATATCTTCAGCGGATATCGCAAGATCTTCTCTGGGTCCCATCCTCCTGGTCAACTCGTTTTGCCGGAGAACTTGAAAGAATTCTCCATGTACACTTTGAGCTTGACAAAGTCCAGAGCATTCAAAGGTTAGTGCATCGAAAAGAACAAAAAAATCTATATTTTCAATATCTCGTCTGCTAACCATTCACTATAGGTGGCCATGAATCATCAGACCGCCGGGTTCATGACCAGCGGATGATTCGTTCCATCGGCTGTACTGAACTTTCCCTATATCTTTACCCCCGCATCATCCCTATTCATAACATGGATGCTGAGGATGGGTTCCCCAACGAGCATGGGCAGCTCCAAGTCCCACCTGCCTTGCGCGCCAGCTTCTCCAAGATCGAAGAGGGCGGCGCTTACTTGGTGGACAATGGCCAGGTGGTCCTACTGTGGCTCCATAGCCAAGTTTCGCCCAACCTGCTCGAGGATCTCTTTGGCCCCGGGAATGACTCATTGCAAGGCCTCGATCCCAACACTTCGTCGCTCCCCGTTCTGGAAACACACCTGAACGCCCAGGTGCGCAATCTCCTGCAGTACTTCTCTACGGTTCGCGGATCCAAAGCCGTCACAATCCAACTGGCCCGACAAGGGATGGATGGGGCGGAGTACGAGTTCGCCCGTCTGCTACTGGAGGATCGGAACAACGAGGCCCAGAGCTACGTGGATTGGCTGGTGCATACTCACCGACAGATCAACTTGGAGTTGGCTGGCCACCGCAAAAAAAGAGGAGACGTCAACGAGCGAGGGTGCCTTGGCTAGTCTATCGGCAATGCGAACACCGTACTGGTAAGCCCGAGGGTTTGGTGGATGACGCCCAGCGCAAACCCTCTTCCCCCCTCCCCGGGCAGCTCCGTCGGGCTGCAGGCAACCCGCTCTCTGCGCCCCCCGGCCTACGCAAGAGAACGAGACGAGTCGAACAGATTCCGACAGGGGATGTGATTCGACTGGCTGCTGAGAAGTGGAGCCCGTAAAAGTCGTCACACCGAAGTCACCGAGGTCGGAAACTCCTTCTTCATATAGCACAGATAGTTTTTGTCAGCGTGATGATAATAATTGAGAATCGCCCCCTCGACCTGGGGCTGCCAAAGAAAAAAAAACTGCAACCGGTCCATAGTCCTCAATTTCGGTCCCAACGTTAGAACAGAGTACGCCTTGGATCAAGCCTAGCCACCCAAAAAGCCCTAAGGCGCAGGTACCGGGAGGGGAGCCTTCGTGGGGCCGCAAGTGGCGGTCTAGAATGACTTGGCCATTCTGGAAGGGGGACTGTGGGTGCTGGGCATGGCCCCCCCCCTCACCCTCCCTCAGCATTACGCTTGACTCGACTTGCTCTAGTTCGGTCCACATCCCTCATTAAGGTATCCTCCGGCGGCGGAACGGCCGCGGGCATAGGCCAGACTAAGCAGGACTAGTAGGACGATCGATCATAGGGCAGCATATGCAAGCGAGCATCCTTTGGATCCAGCTGTTCATCTAGATTTCTTTTTCTTCGTCATGTCTGAAAAGAACAAAATGGACGAATTCAATGCTGAGCAGGAAAGTGGGGGAGAAGCCGGGGGGGCGAATGGGAGCAGGTAACATAATAGCACAGGTTTACCCAGAATCAAGAACTCATGGCAATAATCAGGTCAAAAAACCGCGCATTGCCACAAGTACAGGGAGGCCAGAACAGACTCTTCTGGACAATAGCGAGCACCATACCGGGAGGAGTTTAGTTTCAGCATCTACGACCTTCTCGTTAGGGAGATAAAAATTCCAGAACTCGATCGACAGGTACCCAAGGCGAACGCAACGTCAGAGGCGGGCGGAGATGAAAAATCTGGATTGACGTCCAGGAACGCCTGAGCGAGAAAAAAAAAAAGTCTGATCGATCATAGGCCGGTGGGACGAAGAAGTACGGCATTCGTCCGAATTATTAATGTGGTGGTGGGGGACACGTCAAATTCCTCCAGAGGTTCGATCCGCGAGCCCTGGAAGGCCCTTGTGAATCTGCATTTTGCAATTTTGGGCATGTCGCATTCGCCAACTGGTACTCTCGCCTTTGGACACACCTGGACCAGGGGCTTCCAAGAAGGGGGGGGGTGGCCAAGGGCGACTAGTGCCAAAATGAAAATGGGGGGGGGAAAAAGGGAATAAAAAAAGAGTAAAAAGAATATTCAGGCGATGAGCGATGACGTGGGGGCGGGAGCACGGTAATGGTGGTGGCTGCTATTGCCACGAGTCCTGGGTGGAGTAAAGTCAGGGCCACGCACTTGACTATAGCGGAGCGCGCCCATTCAGGCCGTGGAGGTAGTGGCAGTGGCAGCTGGACTTTTGCCCTCTACTTGCAGCAATGAAGGTCGCATACTAAAGCAGGTACAGTGTGTGCCTTATCGGCACTAGTCGCTGCTTAATCCAATCAGCCAGATCTCGAGGATTGACACGTCAATTGTGTGTACTCAAGTCATGGTCACCGGACTCTGATGATTCTGATCACACTCTCTGTTGGATGTGTCCCCATCCTTTGGATGCGGTGCCTGGTGGCCCAGAGTCCAGACCCAAACCCGCGCCATGCGACACTGGGCAAGAAAAAAAAAAGGCCCCATCTCTGGCTTCCCCATGATTCGCCCCTTCTGGGTTTCCATGCTTTTACCGTTGAGGGGCCCACTGTTCCTTGGAAGCGATCCATGGCTCACCATCTATGTGGCTGGCCCACATGCCTTTTTTTTTCCTTGATCGGTACCTGGACTATAGTCCAGGGTCTTCAGGATCTTAGCTATAAGAACCCCCATTCCGTCCCTGATAGAATGGCTTTTTTTTTTGATCAAACAGCATTCATTCGAATCCACATTCCTTCCTTGAGATTGAATCTCGGATCATTCCTTTTAGTCTGTCGACCAGACCTTCATTTGCACATTCAACTATATCAACTCCTGTTTGAAAAAGAAGACCCAAAAGTCCAAACCTTCCTTCAAAAGCCAAGATGATGTTCACCAAGACTTTCGGCCTGGCTGCCGTCTTCGCCACCATGGCCTCTGCCCTTCCTTCTGGCGTGATCCGCCGCGGCGGCCCTGCTCCTCCGAGTGGCTCCGTCCTGATCACCAACAACTTGAACCAGGATGTGTACGCTTGGTCGGTTGCTGATACCGCCGGCCCCATGCAAACCCTGTCTGCCAACGGCGGCACCTACACGGAGGCCTGGCGCGCCAACCCCAACGGTGGTGGTGTCTCCATCAAGCTGGCCACCGACCCCAACCAGTCCGATGTGCTTCAGTTCGAGTACACCGAGAGCACCGACACCATCTTCTGGGATCTGTCTTGCATCAACATGGGCACTGGCTCCGAGTTCACCAAGTACGGCTTCTCCGTCTTGCCTTCCGACTCTGGCTCCGATTCCAAGTCTTGCCCTTCTGCTGTCTGCAAGGCCGGCGACTCTGCCTGCGCCGCTGCCTACCTTCAGCCCACGGATGACCACGCTACCCATGGGTGCCCCATCGATACTGGCCTGGCTCTGACCATCGGCCAGTAAACGATGCCGCTCTTTCAGCCAACTTTTTTTTTATGTTTTCATGAACTTTTCTACGACCGACGATCCTTCGTTTGTACATGCCGGTTGACCCGAGCACTCGTTTGATATGGGTCTTTTCTCTTCGTCTCACCACCTGGTGATCTTTTTTTTTTTTTCTACTTCGTGTCACCCAAGTCGGTGACCGCTTTTTTTTCGATTCTTATAGACTTGCTTTTTCTGACATGTTCGGTTGAGTCGACATGTTTCCTTCCACCGAGCGGTTGATTCCGCCGGTGACGGAATGTCGTCACGAGCTATGATTCCTTGATGTCTTTGTTGAATACCCCCTCCCCACGATCTGGAACGGATGAAGAGAACATGGTTCTAAGGGGAAGATAGAGATTTGTTGATAGAATAACCATGTGTTGCCAAAGAAACCCTCCCGCTCAGTAAAATCCCAGGTAGACCTATCCGCCGCGCGTTCAAAGCCCTAACAGGGTTCGAAGAACAGCGAAACCGTCGAGACCCCGAAAATTCCAACCATCCTACCGGGGAAAGCCCCTCCAGCCAACAGGAATAAAGAAAAGGAGCGAACAAGCAAAGTCACGATGATTAGTCCCGAGGCCTGGCAGCCCCGCCACGAAAAAAAAATAAAACGAACCGAACAGGAAACCCATAACCCCTCAAAGGTTTTCCCCCACCTCGAGGATCCATGGCGGGATCTAGAACACGAAGAACATTCTTTTCCCCCTCGATCCGCTCTCGAAACGCTTAAAAAGAACGAGTGGGACCAGGGCCCCTTTTGTCGATCCTCCGCCAGTCGGGACAAAAGCCCAGCCCCGCCGTGCGCCCAGCTACCAATCGCGATCTCGTCGCAGACTCCGCTCTTTGTGCGCAAAAATCCACGCTTCTAGGCCCTGGTACCTGTCGGGGGCTTCTCCTTCTCTCTCCACTTTCAAAGGCTGCGGGCGAAACCCGGTGCGGGAGTCCGCCCGGAATTACTCGGATACATTCCGCTGTTCTCCAATCGGCGCAGATGTGATCGCGATCTTGCGTCCACGAAAAGATGAGAGATCATAGGAGAGTCAAAAAAATGGCGAAGGACTGAAAAAGAGGACAAAAGGTACGACACTCAAAGCGGGCGACTGATCCATTCAGAATGCAGAGAACGGATCTTTTTGTTCTCGTTCCTGGCCTGCGTTCCTTGGTTCATCGAGAGTGCGAGTGCAAAGTCTGGTTGAGCCGCAGCAAGAGGACTGGTCCGTCCAATCCCACTACAATTCGCCTGTGAAAACTGGGCGAACGCTTGACCGCGCCCTTATTCGCGGCCCAGAGCCGAGGGCCGATTTTCACCTTTTTCTCCAACAGGCTTCCCTTTTTGGGAGGAGCCTGGTCTGTCCAGAGAGTTTGATGGTTGGGTCACATGCTGGCTTGGCCAGGGAGTTTCGCGGTGGTCGTGGATGGCCGGTGATCCAGCTTGAGCCGATCGAATTGGTTAGACCCCTGGGGGGTTCTGGACCTCGTTGGGCATCAAGGGAATATCATTGCCATTCGGGCAGTCGGGATGACAGAGCGAGATGACTAAAATCGGCGATACAGCCCTGGGGGAGGTTGATTGGTGACAGGCACTCGACGCTGTCTGGAGGACCCTAAGCGGCGCGGCCGACTATGGTAAGCTTGTGCGGTTGGGTAGCAATCCACACTCGAGGTCTACGAGTCCATTCACTAATAACTATTGATAAAACATGATTTCACACACTAACACACGAATCCGGTATTGGATGGTTGTCATGATGACTTCAGCATTGTAGTCATTTTTCCTCCGTGAAACTGGGTATCCGGTGTAGACAGTGGAAGGACCAGGGAATGGCCGGCGCAAGTTCACAAGACCATCAGGATACACTGAACTACCGCCGAGATCCTTTGAATGATGATTCTCACTTCGAGAGTATGAGGTGGGCTATATCTATCTGGCTGTGTAACGTCACTTTGCCGGCCGCGAACGTCGCCATTCAAGCCACCGCTCCATCAGATGATTGGATCGCATGGCCTTCAAGAACCCGTAGGCGACCAGGCGATAGATGATGGTACACACGCCCAGCGCCATGATGTTCAGAGGGCCGTTCTTGTCGAGGTTGTAGAGTGCCAGCACTTGTTCGCCAGAACTGATGGGACAGGTCCCGTCGGGCAACATCTCCGCGGCAGTGCAGGTGAAATGTTGGCCATGCATGGAAAAGGGAGCCAGGTTGGCAATGGACCACTTGATTGGGGAGAGGTGGTTGATCCCTTGCAAGACGTCATTCACATTCAAGCTCAGTACACCGCCCAGGATGGTGGAGATGGAGAGAAGAGTCGAGGTCACGTTCACGGCGAATCCGATGTGGGAGAAGATGGTGCAGAACATGATTCCGATGGACTCGCCGCAGTTGATAATGCAGAAACAGTTGAATGCGCTGATCAAGAACATTTGCGCAGTGCGCTTCAAGTTGTTGGCAAAGGCGGCAAGGACGCCAAATACAATGGCCGAGCCGATTTCGAATGGGATTTCGATTGCGGTGTAGGCAAGGAGAAATGTCTCCACCGAATAGCAATTGTCGCCTTCTTCACGGTAGAAGACATCGCGCTCGTTGGGGTAGATAGCGATGTTTTGCAGCATACCTATGCGATATTAGTCTCGGGGCGGCCGGGCAAACTGGCTGGGGGATATCGTACCGACAAAATAGAGGGCGGCAAATTCCTGAATGAATCCCATGCGGGATTGGACAGCCGGGTAATCATTCTTGAGCGGTGCAAAGAAAAGCGACATGATAATTCCAATCCCCAAGATCTGCATAGAACGGGCCATCACCAAGGGTGGCTGGCGCCAGAAATTGATGAAGGATCGCTGCAGCACGATCGGGAATGTGACATGGAATGGCAGCATCTGGCGCCGAAGACTGCCCAACTCGGCTGGCGTCGCAATCTTCGAAGCCGTACGTTCGAGTTGCGGGGATGCATCTGCCCACTTCGTGATGAGCTTTTGGACGCGCTCGCGGGTGAGTGCCTCTCGATCTTCCTGCTGCAGGTCCACGGTGATCAAGTCCAGCACGAAGTCGGCCGGGTTAGTGGTCTCAGGACACGGATGACCCAACCCAGCAAAATGGGGAAGCATCTGCTGGCCGGGTCCGGCATAGACAGGATAACCACCACGAGCCAGAAGCAAAACCTGAGAGAAATGATTGAACAGATCCGAGCGGGATTGGTGGATGGTCATGATCAAGGTACGACCCTCAGCTGCAAGGCCCTGCAACACCTCTATGATCGACATAGCCGTAAAAGCATCTAACCCCGAGGTTGGTTCGTCAAGAAGGAGCACCTTTGGGTCTGTGAGGATTTGAATAGCAATAGTGACTCGTCGCTTCTCGCCGCCGCTGATGCCCTTGATCAGATCATTGCCAATGAGGTTATCGGCGCACTCTTTCAGACCCATCTTAAACAAGATTTCTTCGGCACGGCGATTCTTCTCGTCTCGCGACATCCAGTTCGGGAGTCGCAGGCCAGCTGCGAATCGCAAGCTCTCGCGCACGGTCAAAGAGGAAAGGAGTGCGTCGTCATCCTGAGTCACAAATGAAGTGACGGACTGAATGACATTCTTAGAAGGAACTGCTCCGTTATAGAGCATCTGGCCGGTTACATGATATTTATCGCGTATGGAACCATGCAAGCGGCGTGCAACGGAGTTCAACAGAGAGGTCTTTCCGCTACCAGACGGGCCCATTATGATATTCAGCTCTCCCGGGCGGAACTCGGCAGTAATGGGTCGCAGGATGTGCAAGATCTCGGGCTCTTGCCCGACAAAGCTACGCTTCCGAAGCTCCAGGGCATATTGGTCCAGTGAAATCGCCACGCGTCGCGTGTCTTGGGTAGGGCGAAGGGCAATCTTGGCTTTCCCGGCGGAAGGATCACCCTCCGTCTTTCGTGCTTGGGCAATGTCGATGGCGAAACGATTGTACTGAAGCAAGAGGCCCGCGGCAAGATAGTGTCCCATGATGAATGCGACGAGGACCACAATTGGCCGCCATATCCAGTTCGACGGTAGACCAAGACTGTCCATGATGTAGCGGCCGGTGTACTGTTTACAGGCTGGATCTCTGGGGTCGTCGGAATACGGACAATCGTAGAATTGCCCTATCTCGGAGCCATGGACGCCGATAAACTCGTTCGCGCACTGTGCTCCGAAAATGTAGAAGGTGTATGCGCACCACTTGAGCCACTTTACATAGACGGGTATCTGATTCGCCTGGACGAAGTAGCCACATGCAAATGATTGCAAGGTGAAACACAGGTTTCCGACGAGACTGGCGCCTGGAAAATCTCGAGTGATGCTGATGGCCAAGGCAGCAAACGTCACTGCCACGTAGTGTGTGAGTACTGTCAAAGCCAAGAATATGAAAAATTGAGCCGCTTCCAGGCGATATCCCACCATGAAATAAAAGATGACCGCAAATATGATTGGCACAGGTAAATCTTCCAATGGAAGGCGAGCGACTCGGCGACTTGCAAGGAATGCAGGAACGCCGACCACTCCCTCGTTATGTTCGCGGTCGAAAAGCTGGATATCAATGGTCAATCGGTAAGTCTCATAAAGCAACACAAGGTAGCCGTTGAGCGCACTGGCAACGTAGAGCGAGCCTTCTCGTGAGCGAATACCCGATTGAGTTTGATCTAGCTGTATGAAAATCCAGCCGTTGATGACTGCCATTCCAATAGCTTCGAGCAAGCTACCTGCAACACCCATGGGGTCTCGAATCGTAGTGATGAAGGTACGAGAGGTCAAGACGTGCATCTGTCGGCGAAAAGACACGGTCTTCATAGCTCCAGTTTCCGTTCCTGACACAGGCGTCGCAAGTGTCTTCTTCTCATCAGGTGTATCTTGTAGCACTCGAGAGCGCCACTTTTGACGGAGATTCTCAACACGAGCATAAGACGCGGCTTCCAAGTCGTCAGTGCGATTGTCGATCGCTGCCAGGTCAATCAAAAACTCCGCTGGATTGACAAATGGAGGCATGACATAGCCACATTTCTCGAAATGAGGCAACGATTCGCTCACAGGACCACTGTAAAGTGCAGAACCTCGAGCCAGCAGAATGACATTGTCGAACAGGCTCCAAATCTCAGACCGGGGAGCGTGGATAGAGACAATCACAGTGCGGCCATCTTGCGCAAGCCGTTTCAGGGTCCGAATAATCTGGAAAGCACTTGTCGCATCCAACCCGGTCGTGGGCTCATCACAAAAGAGGACCGAGGGGATTGGCCAGTAATTGCACGCCAATGCTCGTGCGTCGCTTCTCTCCACCACTGCAGCCTTTATGGGCCGTGGTTCCTATGCGCGTGTTCGCACATTCCTTGAGTCCTAACTCAAGAATGACCTGCTCCACAATGGCCCGGCGTTCTTCAGCGGTGGTTGGCGGTGGTAGCCGAAGATCAGCCGAGTACTGCAGAGTCTCACAGACTGTCAAAGTAGGAATCAAAACATCCTGCTGCATGACATAGGCGCTGCGGACGCTGTTGATGTTGGTGTCGTTATTGAACGTTGTGGTGCCGGATACTTGAGCCCGCGATAGTGACATGCGACCAGCCATCAGGTTGAGCAGCGAGGTCTTCCCGGAGCCACTGCTTCCAATGATTGCAGTCAGACTCCCCTTCGGCATATCCGCACTCACGCGATCTAGAATTTCTTTCGAAGATCCGAGGATCTTCTTACCTCGAAAGCGGGCCCATATTTGTTTCGGGGAGGTTTCCCATATCGGCGGAGAAGTGTCAATCTCAAGAGATAACTCGTTAACACGGACATCCACGGGGTTCACATCTCGCAGAGAAAGATTATAGACACTTTCCGGGATCGAGTTGAGAGCAGGTTCTGCCTTCTGCACGGCCAAATCAGGGGAGATGTCAGTCGTCTCCATCGTCTGCGATACTATTCTCAAGCGGAGCTTGCCGTGAACTATCTTCTAGCTAGGCACTCCATTTGGGAACTCGGGATGTGACGGACGATGCCAAAACAAGGCCTAGATTTCTGGGCGGTGGGACCTATGAGGACGGCCTGGAGTAGAGTGATGTTAGGATAAAGTAAAAGGTATGTCCAACCCCTGCTCTGAGATTGCAACGTCTTATCGAAAGCAACACCGATTAGCCTTCAGGATCGTAACGAAAACGAAAACGAAAGCACGAGCTAACGGCCTGAGCTCCGCAGTTGACAGTAAGGGAAACGATCTGAGGGATATGATTGGCTGATATGACGGGCACACGTGCTTCAGTGGGGTAGCGGGCCTTGGTTAAAGAGGTTCCGGTGCTCTAAGCGAGGAGATTCTACAGTTGCCCCTTTTGGGTTACAACTCCAGAGTCCCCCCTAGCTCTACTAGTAGAAGACTACTGGATATCAGAGATACGTGCTGTATGTTGGCTGTACGTCTTTCTGCGCTTTGGTCTATACGCATAGATCGTCATGCCTGGATACTAACGGTCGGAGAAAAGAAGAAATAAAAAGCAAAAATAAGGTATGTGGGGTACGTGATCACGCTCCATATATGGTTAGAACATTGCATTCAGAGTCTCATACATATGGACATCAATGCACACCACAACTCTTTAATACCCCTTGCGAGGACCGCCCTCGACCGCCTCGCCATTAGCGGTCTTCAGCTCGTTGAGCATAGCCGTGCGGATAACGCCAACGTCGGTGTTGACTGAGATCATATCAAAGCCCTGCTGGGTGCGTCTGTTGGCATCATTGCCGTTGGAGCCTATCGGGGTTCATGCCAGTTAGCCTATCGAGATCGTTTCCTGACTGGTCGGGTAGAAAAAGTTAGCCAGCAAGGGAGGGGAACGCATACAGAAAATAGCAGCCTTCTTGCCAGCGTTATGAGCAGCATGCAGAATGCGCTTGATATATCCTTCATGCTCTTCTCCTCCATGAACCACGTTGGTCTGCTTAGCGAGATCAAAGGGTCCAATGAAGAGAACATCAATGCCAGGAACAGCAGCAATCTTCTCCACATTCTCGACGCCCGATTTTGACTCAATCTGCACAGCAATCGTGATGCCGCCTTCAGTGCCCTCATCATAGGCTGGCCCGGCATTTAGACCTGGGAAAGCGTGAGGAGCGAACATCGGTCCATAACCTCGAGTACCGCGGGGAGGATACTTGGTCCACTTGACAATATTGGCGGCATCAACCTACCCCCGCGATCATGGTCAGTCTGGGAATAGCTCCTATACCTATACTCATAGCGATTACTGACCTCTGAGTGGCACATGGGAGTCATGATCCCGTGGGCACCAGCATCCAGCGCCCGCTTGATCATCCATTCCTCTGCGCAAGGAACACGAATGATAGGGCTTACGTTCTCAGAGCCAATGGCGTTGTTGAGCTGAAGCTCATCAGCTAGCTGCTCATAGCTAGTCCTCATTGGTCAAGGGTCAGTATCTTCGCTCACCTCATAGTAATGATGATCGGAGATCAGTCCGTGCTCGGCATCCACGAGAACCCAGCTGAATTTCGTTGATGAGCCTGAATCGCCGTGGAGGATTGACTTCGCTAGAGCTGCACTTGGAAAACTACATTGTGAAAACGGTCAGCTTTCAAGGATGATACAATGGGCCTATCGCCGGAGCAGGATGGCATACGTGAGCCAGAAACCGTAGGCAACAGAAGGCCCATTGAGGCTTGATTTAATCGCGGTATTGAAAGCCATTTTTGCTGTATAGGCGAAGAAGAAAGACAAGTCGCATCTCCCAGAGGGGAGTCCGCGGGGCGGGTCCCCTCGGTACAAGTAAGACCGAGCTCGGTCACGGAATGTGGGGGTCGGAGGAAGTCCGGGTTCTCCATGGATTGCCATCTCCAGCAAACTTGAAGTTTCGTAACTCATGAACAGTCTTGAAGGATGATTTCCTCCGTCTTTTGACTGAACCACATGCCTATACCCGGAAGCATTCAGTTTCAAGTCATAGCGAAGACACGGTATCATCAGCTTGAAACGCCACCCATCACACCCGAGATCTCAAATACTTGTATAGCCCATAGCATGCCGTTGCATGATTTTTCCTCCAAACTGAACGAGGAATATTTGATCAGGTGCTCTCTCCCCCACTCAAACTAGGACTATGTTCCTCTCATTGTGATGTACATATTTCTGGTTCAAGATACCAGGAGAAGCCAGTCAAGGGCGAGTTACTCGGCAGAAGAGCCAGCTTTCTAGACGCACGACATCTGAGCTGGTCAAGAGGAAATTATAGACCGAGAACTACCAAGTCCTTGATAACTTGAATGAGTGCATTTCTGTCCCAATACGGATGGTGAGGAACCCAAAATCCGGTGCTCGTGCTCTCCGGGCTTTGATGATATCTACATTGACATATTCATTCTTCATGGAACATCAATTAGTATTCTGTCAGAAAGTTCAATAATTGTATGGAACAAAAGGGTCTCCAAGATCCCAACATCAAAATGCTACTCCACGGTCGCCTTCCAAAGTCACTTGAGAGAGATCGCCATCATGACACCAGGCGTAAGTCATGACCTCATTCTCGTCAAAGCCATTACCGAAGTCTTCAAGTACCACAAGACTCTCCTCATCTTGGGGCAGTGGATTTTGAAGGTATTACAGGTCTTCTAGCCTGCGTTGGAAGACCTGATTGTCTCATATTTCTGTAATGAGTCATTCCACACGATATAATAGCGAAGACTAGCGGACATTCACGGCCCATTCCCTGAGGGGCACACCAGCATACGTGGCATATATAATGGACACATTCAAATGGCTTAACTGAGTGATTATCAGTATGGGAGCAAGCGAGGATTAGCCCTCTGAATAGCCCATAAGGCCCACGGTCCTATAGTATTACCAATTCCAAGGACCGCGGGAAACACCAAGCCTACTATGGCAATTCAGCTTACGCTGTGGAGGCTTGGACATGGAGATAAAGGACTAGGTCGTGGGAGAAACATTTGCACGTGTCCTTCATCAGACTTGGCTGCCGCCAGTTTAGTCTTTGCTTATGGGAATCTCTTTTCTCATATCTCTCCGCACGTGGATAATTGCGCAAAGTTCTGAAGGAATGCTGAAGCATTGGTTATTGAAGATAGGCAGTCCTTGTAAACACAAGGACCCCAGACACATACCTCTCACGTGACACACTGCGCTTTAAGTCTATGACCATTTTATTGAACTGCCCGTTTCTGCCAAAGATACTACCCGCACGAAGAACCCCAGAGTCATCATGAGATAGTCAGTTTTGAGTAATAATTTCGGGAGAAGGCATATTTCTGGCAGTGCTACAACCCAGGATAAGTATCACATACGCTCTCCCAAGTTACTATGATTCCAATGACCACTTCATCAGGCGGAAACAGGCAGAAACAGGCGGTAAGCAGAGGGGTCTCAAACTTAAGTCGCATCACCGTCAAAGTATAACCCCGATGGCTACAGAGTCCGTGGATCCATGACCCACTTCCCCACATTCACCAGACGACATGCCAACGCAGTTCCTAAGCCTGCCCGGCGAGATACGCAATCAAGTATATAGACACGCCCTCGTACGGCAAGAAACCATTGGCCTGCAGTATGGTAAATGTACAGCCCGCGGCATCATACCCAATCTGCTCTGTACAAGCCGACGGATCCACCGCGAGGCTCTGCCATTCCTATATGGCGAAAACCGGTTCGCCTTACTTGCTCTGAATAGGGTGATGGCGGGGGAGATTGCCAGATTCCCAGATCAAATCGGGCCCCGCAATGGCCGCTTTATTGAAAGTGTTCAGATCTGTCATCCTATCTTCCGCAATCTGGGCGATGATGCGAAACTGGACGAGAACTGCGTGCAGCTGCTTTCCAGGCTGCAGAGACAGTGTCCTAATCTCAAGACCCTTATTATGTGTCCGAAAAGCACGGATTTTGTGATAAGATTGCAGTTGGCGCCGCTGGTTCCTGTGAATCCGAGTTATATCACCGAGTCGCTGTTGTCCTTTGATGGCCGTCTGAAGGCTATTCCTTCGCTTGAGGAGATCATTGTTCAGGTTTACCAGGATACGCCGCTTCTTAATTTTCTCAGAGGAATGGAGCCGCGAGGCTGGAGGATTGATGTGCTCGATGCAGTCAGTCGACACAGCGACGACGAACTGCAGGATAATGTCTTTGGACGCATTGCCCCGAGCCCACTAAGAAGATCATGACACTCTGAAGATAGAATAATGGGCAGAAGCGAGAACAATACAACTCAACGTTGAATCCGAACCGGGCAATAAGCCTGTTCCCTCCGGACTAGCCCTAGCACATATGATACAGCGACTTCCCCCAACACTCATATTGTGACAGCCATCCACAGATCGACTCCCCACCATCAAGCATGCGACAGGTACCAAACCACAAATAGTATTTCACAGCAGACCCGATTGCAATACATACAGGCATAAAATGGATATATACAGAGCCAAACCAGGCACAAAAAAACCCGCCCAGGCAAACCTTGGAACCACCACCAACCCGCATAAGCCCCCAAACGCCATCTGTCGTCATCTTGCCCTCCACAACCGGTTTCGTTCTCGACAGAGCTGATCGGAATCGAGCCCAGGCTGTCAGGCCGCAGGAAAATTCGTATTCCCATTTTCAGACTTTGGACATGTAGCCAGACATGAATCGGAATGTACAGGCCTTGCTAGCAGGGGAGAAAGATCGTGATTGGACCTTGATTTTAGCTGCAGCTTCTCTTTTAGAAGTTCCTCTTTTGTTTCGGTTTGCTCGGGCTCACTCTCGAACCTCCTTACTGCGACACCATTTGTACGCGCCAGTGAAAACAAGTCAAAGCCATCCCCTCCCGCCTAATGCAGATGCTTCCAGAAAAGTAAAACAGAACGCCACATAGTACAAGCCTCCAAGGGTAATGATCATCATAGTCAATGTCGGACATTCAGAAATAACAGAGAAAGGAAAGATCAGGGCCTCCAGGGTAAGATAAAAAAGGGGGTAAATCGGACCCGCTTTCTCCCCTGTTGACCGAGTAAAAGGGACAACGAGATATAGAGGGTCAAGGGTTCGAGTAAGAGAGAGAAAGGGAAGAGAAGAAAGTTTGAGAGGAGAAAGGGGAAAGAAAAGTGGGTATCAAAAACAGTAGAAAAACACCAAGGACTTAGGTGATCAGAAAGTCCATGTTCATGTCGTGGATAATCTTCTCCCAGTCCCAACTGTCTTCCATCTTCGTATCCATGACCTCCCACACGCGTGAAACAACCTTGAAAGCCGGCTCGATGTTGCGCAGGTTGGAATACGCCTTCAGCGAGTCGAAGCCGCGCTGGATGCGCTCTCGTTGATGGGTGTTGAACGCCGAGCAGCCCAGCAGGAAGAGTGGCATCAGCACGATACTATAGGCCCCGGCGTCCTCGGGGAGGCGGTCCAGGTATGCCAGGCCGTCATCGACTACTTGGGCGATCTTGTCGCTCGGGCGCGAGGGCCGGATCGTGCGGTATAAATACACCCAGGTGGTCTGGCGGTAGAGCTGGGCCAAGCACCAGTTTGAGGTCTCCGGCTCGTGCGACGTCTTCCAGTTCCGGATCGCGGTGTCAACTTGAACGGCTTCACTCAGGGTCTGGTAGTCCACAGCGGGCTCGTAGCCGGAATTGAAGCGCTCGCGGATGCGATCACGGAGTTGTGTGATCTGGGAGATATAGTTGAACAGTCCGTCGAAGACGCCGACGAACATGCCCGCCCGGGCGCCAGGCACGAAATCCGGCAAGTGCATGCCGCTTTGGAGCAGAGCCGGGCGACGGTCCAAGGAGGTGAGCGCGTTGGAGACATCGTGGTACTGGAAAAACTCAACGATAAATTGGCGGAACTTCTCGTTGCGGGGCTGTTGTGAAACAAGGAGGTATCGCGCTGCGTCCATGTGAGGCCTGTACTCGCCGTTTGTTTCACCTTCGCAGATCGTATTCAAACTCAATGCGATTGTCGACGCGATAATCGGGTCCTCGACTAGTAACTTCTGTTCCTCATCTTCCGTACCTTGCGCCGCCGACGCGGACGACGACGAGGCCGTGATGTTGTCCTTCAGATCCTGAATCGCACGGTGGAAGTGGTAGTATTTTCGCTCCTTCAGCTGCGGCTCTGGATCCAGGCCGGAGAGGTGGGATCCCGACAGGCACATGAGCGAATGCATCAATCCTCGATGTTGCGTCGCCATGGGCAGCAGAATCTCCTTAAATGGGTTGGAATCATCGTTGATGAGCGTTAAGACGCGACTAAAGCCGTATACAAAATGGTCGAGGAAACGCCGATCAATCTCCGTTTCAATCCCGTCAATGAGAAATGGGAGGCTTCGCGGTACAGCTGTCAGGGACGACTGGGTTCGGACAACTAAGAGCACACGGGTGGTCAGCCTGGGGGTCCTTTTCCGGGGGGGGGGGAAGACCCTATTTCTTTTCCCCCTGCATGGGGGGAACCGGGGGAGCCGAGGAGACTGCGATCCCCGTCAGGATTGAAATGCGTACCATCAGCCATCTTCTGTCGTCCGCTCTTCCAAATCTCCTTGGGCGGATATCCCTCACACACGACCGCATTCTTCTGGCAGTTGAGACAGCTGTACGCGCGCAGTGTTAGTCGGGAGTTCCGAGAATGCGATGTTCGCGCCCGGGACCACTTACGCAGGCTTGTGCTCGTCGCACTTCTTCTTGCGGCGGCGACAGGTTATACAGCCAGTCTTGGACCGGCCCTTGGTGACCTTGGCCTGACCCCCCGGCGACGGCAGCGGGTGCTTGCGTGGACGACCACGTTTCCGTGGAACAGCGACGGGAGCACCCGGATTTTCCTGGTGTTCGACCCCCACATCCGACGCCTTGATATGTCGCAAATCCTCCTCCTCCAGTTCCTCGACCTTGGGGGGGATGTCGATCTCCGGGTCGAATTGTGAGGGGTCGAACATCATGTTGGGATAGTCCTTCCCGTCTGGAGAACGGTCGGCGCCCGGCCAGTCGGGGGATTCGGTGGAGGTATCATCAGGGCTGGCTCCGGTGCTGGTGCTGGAGGTGCTCGCTCGCAGGTTGATTCCGGAGGATGAGGGGTTTCCGGCGCAACCCTCGTCCTGCAGACCCGATCCGTTTAAAACGCGGTGTCCGAGTAATGGAGAATTCTGCATGGACAACATTGAACATGGGTTGTCCGCGGGTGGGCACCCGTAGGTGAGCCTCCAAGACTTTACTTAAAAAGTGTGTTTTTCTTTTCCTCTTTCTAGTACGGAAGCGAGGGGGGGGGGGGACTAAATAACGGGGCCGGAAGGAGTTAGGCGAGGGAAACGTGGTAATGGTCCCGGGCGGGGACGAGAGGGGAAAAAGGACAGGGAGAAAGAGGGGAGAAAAGTACGGCCAGAGAGGGGGGTCAGAAGGGAAGTTATATAAGGTAAAGCGCATATGTCCAGGTGTGAAAACGCCCACAGAATTCAATATGTAATGAGAACCCCAGAAATGAAAAGCTGTATTGCCGCATTGAGGATTTGGGCAATTTAGGGGTTACAGGCGTCTAGCGAATGGGATCCGCCTGAACACCCAGCGCTCGAAATGCCTCGATCCATTTAGTCATTTTGTTCTTTTTTTTTCTCTTTTATTTATTTTAGGGCCCTGGATTTATCTAATTTGCCAAACGCATGTACGTAAAATAGACCGGGGGATCTGGGGAACCCCAAGCAGAACCCGTGCCCAGCACGGGCTCAAAATAGTAAATTGAATCGGAACCACAGGCCGCGAGTCCACGTCTGAGGTCATACGAATGTTCGACAAAACTCGTTAGAAAGGTTAAACTTTGCATTGCGGGGGAGGCTGCCAAGCATGTTGAATCAGACGCCCTGATTTGCAGTGAAGAAGCGAGGAGAAAAATGGGGAACATGAAAAGAAAAAGCAATTTTTTCTTTCGCTTCCCATGGGGCTGGCCCACTGGCATGATCCGCGGAGGTACTGGATCGACCGTGAACCCTAATTCGTACTCGCGGGACGATCTCGCATCGGACCAGATGACGATGTCTCTCCCGCCAAAGTAGGCAGGTGAAAACCGGTCTCCGTGCAAATAAGTTGTCGGAGCTCCCCGATGCGCAAAAAGGGAACTTCTACTGGGTGGCGGATACTCCGTTCGAAAGACACTGGGTCGGTAGTCGGAGAATGTGGAAGGAGAATAGAGAAGACAAAAAGGAGGCTATGGCAGTGCCCTCAATCGGGGTTAGGCGAGACTGAATCCTTATGCGACCATTAGGGTAATAGTAGCACGAGATGGCATTATTCCCGTCTCACGGCCATTGGTAGCTTAGAGTTTTGCCTCTTCCATAGTTCGATGAGAATGTGCCTCTCAGGTCAACTAGTGATACTCGGCAGTTTAGAGGTTTCCCTTTTCTTTCCTTTTTTTTTGGTTTCTTTTTCCAAGGCGTGTTACTAGGATCAGGAACTTAAACGAGCCGAGCTGTGGCATGCTTCTATATGGAGGCAGGCAACAACCAGCCACGACAACTGCATCCGGGATAGTGCAAGGGACAGTTCATACACGCGATGGTCTCGCACGAGCCAGGGCTATATCCACAGTACGCCCGGTCGATTATAATACCCATTACATCTCATAATTAGTCGGCCATTCTTTTGGCTCGGATTTTAGTTGCAGAGGGCCATCTGGACCTCCCTGCGTCCAGCGACAAAAAAAAATAAAAAATAAAAATAAAAAAAGAAAATTTCTCTTTCCCCTTTTCGAAAGCCTCGAGTTCTCGAAAACCTGTAGGCAAGCGCCGCACATGCCCCCCCGCCCCCCACCTTACACTAATACGACTCTGGCATTCGGTCTGGGGGCGAAAGGATAAACATCAGGTTTCACACGAGGCGGCTTGGAGATCCAGCTCTTCCCGCCTCGTTACGGGTTCTCTTTCCACCCCATCAAGCCCATTGGAAACCTGAACGCCTCGGAAATTTGGGGAAGACCAATCCCATGACCAGGCCCAGGCGCGTGTGGTGAGCAGCCAATCCCAAAGGATCGGTCAGCATTGCAACTCGGTCGTTACGCAAGGTCACCCTTTTTGAGCACAACACCGACAATCTGGGGTAAAAGAGAAAGTGGGCCAGATCAGTTGGTTACCTATTTTTCTTTCCTTTTTTTTGGTTTCCTGGAGTCGTACTACCCAGCACAGACATCCGCTGCAGGGAATCGACAGGGTTCCGAAGGGGGTACGTATTCCTGCGGGGGCTCCACTTAGGTGATGCACCAGGTCTTTTAACTACGTGCACCTAGGTGCACCCCAGACAGGCAGCCTGTCACTCGAGCGAATCCATCGTTATGGGGAGAAAAGAGGGGGAAAGGCAAGAAAAGAGGAAATGATCCTCACCTGACCGCTTCCTTCCCGTGAGAGCCGAAGACTTCTAGACCCCTTGAATTTATTTACTTTTTTTTTTTTACGCTGCATCACATCCTACGGTGTCGGAAATTCCCAGGGTCTCCATCTGCCGTAGTGGCTTTAGATTGAGTCGAATTCTACTCCGTAATGAGCGGCTATAAAAGGTAATCGACGCCTTTTTCGCCCGACAGCTTGGGCCGTGATATGTGGTGTGGTTCCAACAAGCTGCCCCAAAAGGGGGAAGTGGCGAGCGCCCTATAGCACTTGCAGCGCAAGGCCCTCGGAGCATCTGCCGGGCGACAAACAGGGTAATGGACTGTTACTTACTCCGTAGCAGGCGAAGGTTTCTCCGGTAGCGAGTGGATGATCCATGTCGCTCACTGACCACCCTCTGTCTCTCTCCTCCCCCCTTCTCGTATAACCCAGAAAGGGACCCTAAAAAGGGGGAATCGGGACTCCGTAGCCGGGACCTTTCGCCTTTAGGCTTTTGAACTCGGACCTTTCAGCTTTGGGCTTTTGTTTTGGTTGGGTCGCCAAAGAGGAGGCCAGGGTTTTCAGCAGCGATCCCCTCGCTAGTGGGATGTAGTTGCCTGTCGAGCTCTGCTAGTCGCCTTCTGGGCTCAGGTACCGGCAACTCCTCCGGGGGCCACTATGTGCTGTGCTTCCCCCCCAACACGAGTTATGCAAATCGACGGGGCTGGGTCAAATTAAAGCAATTTCTGGTTTCGACGATCGGCCTGCAATATCATGATCTGACACTAGGAACCGCGGATGGGGCCAATCACTGCCCTGCAACCTTCGACAAGGCCGATGCCCTTCTACAGGCCACCCTTCTTTGTCCTCCGTACCCCGCGTGCACATCCCTGAAAGGGGCTAAGAGGAATGACATGCGTCCGCCTTTTTTTGTAAAATCCCTTACGCCTCGGATGTCCCTTGCCCTTCCGGTCGCATTTCCCATGTCCCAATTTCTCTTTGTTTGGCGGGTCTTTCTAGAGGAAGGTTAGTCCCGCCCAGTGGAGATGAACCACCGGCTGCAACCGAAATCTAGTGGTACGCAAAGTGCAGGGTTTACCGGTCGCACAGGAGCATAATGATGCTAGAGCAGTGGAGATGGGTATCAAAAAATTTTTCAGAGCAAGCACAGACGACTATGAAGGCTTTCCACCATCGATTTCCTAAATATCGGGGCTTAGCCGTACCTGGCGCTTGTTGCGGATTGCATGGTAAAAGAAAAGTGGATGAAGATCCACATGACCTTCGTGCACGCATCGAGAAGGTGAGCCGAACCTCGTCACTCCCATCAGTCCCGAATATCTCCCGAAGATCAAGACTGCATTGGACGACGTGCAGAAGCTGAGATCTTTGACCTCCACTCCTGCCAGCCGCTGATTCGTCGTATGGACGTGATTTAGCCCGTTTAGGAAAAGGCGGGGGCGAGGAAAGGCCCAAAACAGCTAGGTGGACATCCAAAGTCAACCTGGGAAAAAGCAACGAGAGCAACCCCAAACAGTAGGTCAGAACCGGGGGCCCTCCTGGTGGAGTTGGGGCCTTCGGTTGCCCCGGGGCGTAATGTGGATGCGGCCTTGGGAGAATCGAGAAAGGCCTTGCGCCCAGGTGTTCTAGAGCCCGTCCTATGATCGTTCGCATGATTCCCCCGTCTTCGCTGCCTAAGCCTTGTTCAGCTACCGTCCGTTGGTTCATGACTTGGGGTTCTCTCGGAGGCTAAGTGCACCGGTGCTCCACTACGGGCAGGACGGATCGATCGAAAAGTCCTGAAAATGGAGAACGGAGAACGATGTAAAACACGCTAATCAGGACCGTCGGCTGGTCGTCGGCTACGCAGTACTTTTATACGGGAGGGTGTCATCGTGTGGTCTGACAGAATGAGGCCGCAGAATACCTTCCAACTCAGTCTCTGGCCCGCACAAAAATACGTAATAAAAAAGGTGAAAAGGAATAGGAAAGAATGGAAAAGAATGATCCACAACCTCCACGGCTCCACGGCCATGGGCCAGATCCCAATAACTGCAGGGGTAGGTAGCGGTTAACGGGTTAGATGTCCACAAGAGTGCATGACCTGGAGAATGTCCGTCACCGACTGGATCCGACCAAAGAGACAAGGCGATCACGGCGATCCAAAAAGCATACAGTTGGTTGGGATTGCGCTGGTTCAGGATCCACTGGCGCAGCGTTGTCGGTTTCTATTCGGTCGTATTCGTCGCGCAACTCCAGCAGCTGCCGGCCCCAAGTAAGGAAACGCTGGCGACATCACGCGACGTGGGAGGCAGATGGTTCGCCCCCAGGTCGATGTTGGCTCCTGTCTTTGCGCAGGACTTCCGGATCCAGCGCTGACAGCGTAGTTCGGTTGTAGGCATCAGCAGTGAGAGTGTTCAAGCCGTTTCTTCGAGGGAGCCTGGTGAGCAAGATTGGGCTGAGACATTATTTAGCCGGACAGAGGCGGATGGAAGGATGTGGTCGGGGCCAAGGGCCAATCCCTGCCATACATGTCTCTGCTAATTTGGGACATTTTAAGAGAGTATGAGAGGTGGAAGATGCGTAGACGCTTGGTACGGCTGCCGACGCTGAGAGTGAGATGTTCTTGCAGAGAGTCGGCCCTGGCGAACTTGAATCTTCCGGTCTTTCCAAAGTCATAAATATTGAGTGCCATCAGAAAGGGAAGAGCATCGGGAGTGTCGGTCATCCTCCGAAAGGAAGACTGAACAAGTTGCTCGAGTGTCTGCTTGTCATCCCAATCTTCGGTAGAGACAAGCAACCCCGTCCGCGTACATCAATAGCGGGGATCGGCAGGGTACAATTCCAGGATGATATTCTTCCCAGAGCATTGATAAGATCGGCTTTGGTAAGGCGGACATTTTCCTCGGTAGGTAATGAGATCCAGAAAGTCTCGGACTGAGGCGAGTTGAACTTGGTGCATCTCATGCACCGCTAACCACCCCTTTAAATACACTTACTAGGCCACCAAGGTCCCATCTTTGTTCCCTCCAGGGGCTAGATTACGTATGACTGGGAGGTATTCCCGAGGTCCAAAATATACTGCTTACCGGTCGCTGTTTGCCCAATATTGGTGGGGAAAATCTCGTAGAGCAGGAATGCTGTCTGTTCCCAGGTCAATCGGATCTTCAAAGCTCTGTATGTTCTGTCTGTTTCTCAGCATCGAAGACGAGTAGGTGATGATGAAGGGCCGTGCAGAGGATCCCTGCCATTCGCCCTAACAGCGCTACTGGAATGTGATGAGCTGTACAAGACGCTTAGCTCGGCGCCTCCCTTGCCCCCGCTTCATTTGTCCTAAGAGGCTGGGAGGTCTCTCGTCGCAGGCAAAGCCTTCCGAGATATAGCCATGTGAATTCAGCTTTGAGCGATGGTCCTTTTGGATCGAATATCGAATCAGGATACACAGCCTGCCAAGGCAGCTTCTTGGGATGGTTTGGATGCGAAGGCGAAGAAGGCAGCTGTCGGTTAGCAGAGAACCTGGGAGTTTGAAGGGGAACCTGCGGGGAATTGCTCAATCTATCCACGAATAACCGAGCCACTTCTTCGAGCCAGTGAATCCGAATTTTTTGCGAGGGTCAGAAAGCAGTCCCTGTACGGCGTTGCTTTGTTTGATGATCGGTCCGCGGTGGGCTTTATCTCACTCTGCTGCAGTTGTAAGCTGCGGCAAGGAGATAGTCACCGAGAACATATTGAGATTGATTGAAAGACATGGTGAACTCTCCGAGCGGGACTTTGTGTCTATGCCTACAAGACTCAGGTCTCATTCAATATGGAAACTACGCTATAGGGGAGCTCAATGAGTCCTCGGGGCTTTCAGAGATAAGGATTTGTATCGCGAACGTGGACCATGCTTCCGAACGGATGTCCCACTATAGGGGGCTCTATCAAACCGGGCGAGAAGTGCTTTGTTATCACTACACTTCATCCACCGAGGAAGACGGGGCTGGTGAAGATAGTACCTATAGCTCAAGTGACAGGGTCTTTGAAGTCCCTTCTAATACAGCCATGTCCGGTCATACAGAGGCCGACGCTATGTTTGGTTCTGGGCCGGTTGATAGCACAGCTCTCAAATATGATCTGGCATTCCAGCAAGGTGCAGCAAGGAATCTACGTGATTACAATCGATTCCTCAACAGGCAGTATCCCATTCTTCCTCTCGGATAGATTGGGTTCTATTGAAGCCAGCAATTTGCACTTGGAAACCCTATGTACCGCCTTTGGCGGCTTTTGGCTTAACTCAAATTCCCTTCAGCCTCCAAATAATGAGCTGGAGGTTGTGTTAAACCTTACAAACAAGACAGGGTTAGATGCTCCTTCTTCCCTGTGCGGGCTATTCTTACCAGGCTCCGGGTTGGAAGACGTATTGGGCACTGGAAATGGCTAGAGGTAAGCGCCTCGTCATCGTACTAAGCAAACGTACGTCTAACGCCTTGGGGAGAATATCCAGAGAACTCTGGTTCGTGGGTAGTGGACTGGGCCGATAATTATCTACTCGCCATTGTTGTTGCCGGACACAGATACAACAAAACGATGTATGCTCTTCCTGTGCGCGGCGTGTTTCAGATCAATTTCCAGAGATGATGATAAACCTATCCCAGTCATTTGTTGCTTTTGGCAGTCAGTGACTTAAAGTGTCACTGAGCTCCTGCCTCGAAACGGTGCAGATAAGTCTTTTTTTCTTTTTCTTTTTCTTTTTCTTTTTCTTTTTTTTTCTGATGGCATACATGGGCACTCTTGTGTTGATACATGCAGCTTAGAGAGGGTACCTTAATATCGCTAAAGCCCTTCTCAATGCAGGATCAGATGGGTCTATTGCGGATCGGGACGGAGAGGCTGTATTAATTATTGTTACAGAGACGGGAAATTTCCGGATTGTCAAGCTCTTTATCGAGAAAGAAGCAGATGTCTCTATTGCCGTTCAGAACCAAAAAACTGCGTTGCTACTTGCAGCGATGAGAGGGTGGGACGTTGACATATTAACCCTCTTCACGGCTGGAGCAAATACCTCTCATATTAACAGACATGGCCTGGAAGCAAATGGATTGGCTGAATCAAGTTCCTATTCCTCTATTGTAGAATTTCAATTTCTCGGCCAGAATATCTCTGGCTTGAAGACGAGCCGGGGTTATCCAGACCCCAGTCCAAGGGAAGCAATCGAGTCCGAATTCAAGCAACACGAAATCTCAGAAAAGGGACAATGTGGAAATAAAGTCTAGAAGAATGGCGATATGCTCCTTTGTCACTTCTTTTCCCCGTGCTCTTTCTGCTTCTTTTTGTGCCTTCAATGAAGCTACACCTCGATGTACCTTGTATGTGGATGGAATTGCAGACTGCGTATGTGTCGAAGCATGGGCCGAGGAAAGGAGAAGGTAGCTTCCTTTTTTTCGCTAAATCAATTAATACCAAAGGAATAGCCCCATGACAAGCAGCCTTTATACTCTCAAATGAGCCAACGCAGTATTGCAACCGATGGATCCTACGGTCACCTCCAGTACTTGAATCCATTCCTCAGGCTCAGGAATCTATCCTATAAGAAACCCCATATAAGGCAAATTTTTTTTGGATGAGATTTTTCCAGCTTTTGCTGTTAGGCTAAGCCTGAATCAACACTCAGGTCAGTTCTTTTTTGCAATCATCTGCGGTTCAAATAGCGTGCTAGGAGTAGTTAGTCGATCGCTTTGGATTTCTTGCCGGTGTTCCCGTTCTCGAGTCATATAGAAGCTCTTACTACTAGGAATGTGGAGATTACCGAGAAGCTCCTCTGTCATAGGTGGTGTATCAAGACTGTGAGCGAATCTCCAGGGGTGTCATGCCTGACCTGCGAATTGGCTTCAACTTGAAGCCTTACAAGTGCATCGACTTTCCAATTCGCGTTTGTGACTGGGCTATGTTTTCTCATCATTTGCGACCAATACAAGTAGTAATATATAACGGCCCGCCAGCCTCAACAAAGCACTGTAAGTCTTCAAGGGTTCGCATGCGCATGCTCAGAGCTTAATGTGTCCTCATGATTCCAAACTCAACCGTCGGCTTGAATTGGACTCCTAGTCTACAATGGACCATACAGATACTAGAAAGAGTAGTGAAGAGCCAAGTGAGAGTCCCATTGACTGAAAACCGAAGTCCAGAACCGTATCCCCGTGTACCCATTCCCAATGCATGACAATATGAAAAGAGACCCGTAACCATGACCGAGATCCAATCATACAGATAAGAACAAGAATGCAGATAGCCCCCGACCCATGCAAAATATGCTAATAATGACCAGCATCAAAACAGAAACAAAGATGGATATCACATAAACACGGCAGAAAAAAACGCCCTGCACCAGACCCGAGACTCCAGGGGAGTGCGTAAAATAGCCAAAAACGGCAAAGCCAAAACATGAGGTCGAGCAAAGGCTGACGGGGAACCGGTCTAATTTTGGAGAGCGTAACAAGAACAACACGAGCCTCCTACGCCGTGAACACCCGGTCCAACTGGCGCAACGCCCGCATATCCTCGCCGCCGAACCCGATCTTCTCATTCGGGATATCCCGTGGTCCGTCGTTGCGCACCCCATTTGGACTATTGTGTCCATTCGGGCCAACGGCCGAGGAGATCGGGGCCAGAGAAGTTCCATTCATGAGGGACCCGATGCCAGGAACGATGCCCTCGGCAGGTTTCGGGGACGTGCCCAGCGGGCCTAGCTGCTGCAGGGCGTGGGGAGGGGTCTGCTTGACCATGTGCGGGCTCTGGGGGGGTGGCAGAGGGCCCGCTTGAAACGGGAACGCGAGGGGATGTGAGTCGAGGATCGGGAGCAACTTGTACGTAGGCCCGGGGGGCTCTGCTCGTGCGGAGCACGAGGCGAGCGGCCGGGGTAGAGCGGTGCAGCTGCAGGGGGAGGCCCCGGTGGGCCTGACGGTGCGACGGCGTCGTGGTGCATTGGACGATCATAGACCGGGGCTCCATGGGGTGGAGGAGGAAGTGCATGAGCGTTGGGTGGATGAGGAGGAGTGTGATGGGGTGGCTGAGCATAGGGTGGTTGGGGTCCAGTGGTCCCTGAAACTGGGGGGCAGATAGGAAGCGCCGCCGTATGGTGCAGGAACGGTCGGTGGTGTGGCCAGGGGGGTTGGAGGCCAGGCATACGATGGCTGGTACGATTGACCGTGCGTCGCACGCGGGTACGGGGCCATGGGGTGCGGAGTGATGGGGTAGGCAGCGCCAGCCATGGGGCCGCGAGTAACGACAGGGAGATTCTGCTGGTCATTGACGGTGGACTCAGGATACAGGCCCTTCTGAGGTCGGACATGGCGCAGAGCAGGGTCGGTAGTAGGTTGCTGAAGCGAAAGGGCTGAAGAGTGTGCGCGAGCGTAGTAGCTAATGAGGTGCAAGTGCTGGCCAGTAGAAGTGGTAATACTGAATGATTGCTTCATCAACCCGTCGGGCTTATATCGGTAACCATCAGGTCCCTCATCGGTGCCGTCGCCTCGTTCTTCATCGCTGCCTCTGCTATCAGGAGTCTTGCCTACTCGTGGTGCTGGTTGCGATACACTGCCGCCGCCTCGTTTGCCTTCCATTTCGCGATATGTTAAAAAGCTGCCAGACACTCGACTTGCGCTCCATGATTTGCCGTCAGTCCATCGTCGCATGCCAGCTTCTCGCTCATCCCAGACGAATACAGAGCCGGAACGGATCGACTGGCGTTCTTTCTCTGAAAGTCGGCGTTGTACCCGGGCAGCAGGCCGATGCGACAGGCCTCAAACAGAATTATAGCGTCCGCCGGGGTGCGGACATGTCCGAAGTAGGTCTCCATCCAGAATACTTAAGCAGCTTGAAAGCTAGGTGGAGAGACCAGAGGACCGGATCTGGAAGGGGAGGGGAAATAAAGTAAGAGACAAGAGGCGGGGAGGACCACTCGTATAAAAGTGAACCAGGATCCGATTGCTGATCGGGTATGGGGTAGGCTGAGCAGAGATGGGTTAAGACCGGCGTATTGAGTGGGTAAAGGCCGAGCTTTTTTACGTCACCCAACAGGGTTACTGGGTTTAGCGTAATTTTGTTTTTTGGAGAATATGGTTTTTTTTTTGTTTTTGGCTTTTTTTTTTTTATCCTTTTTTTCTTTTTTTTTTTCCTTTTTTTGCCCCTCCCTTTTTCTTCTTTAAGGGATTTCCCTAGCAGAGAACGCCTGCAGAGATTTGGGGAAGTGGGCCAGTGGATTCAGGTGTCAAGAATGCCGACAGGAATATCTGTTCTTCTCCAGGCAAGATGGTTCAGATTCAGGCTCGTAGGACTCAAATTCAAAGGGAATCAAGGAGAGAAGCAAAAAGGGGAGGAAACCGAGGAATAGCCCTGAAAGAAGGTTGAAATAAAGAAATAAAGAAAAGAAACCTGAATCGGAGATTGCTAAACGCCGAAGGTTCCAAGAATGGGAGGACTAGAAAGAAGGTTGCAGGGGGAGGTTAAGAAAATAGAATAGAATTTAAAATCTATACGGGTCCTAATAGGGAAAGCCAAGTGTCTGAAAAGGCGAGGGGGGGGGGGGAAGTGGAAAAATCAAAAAAAGGCCCCCCCAAAAAAGAGGAAGGCTAGTAATGAATCGCCGGTAATACCATAGTTAGTAGCCTCTCAAACAGCTTGAGTGGGGACGGGCAACTAAGGTTGACGATAGAGCGAATGACGATCCAAATGGCAGGGGCCACGGAAAGGGCAAATGCAAAAGGGTTTAGCGATTTGAAATCCGATTTCGATTTGTGACAATTTTATTCAAGTTTCTGCATGTAGTCCTAAGCTACAAAGACAAGGGCAGAAAAAAGCAAAACCTGAATCGTCTAAAAGGGAAAAAGAAGGAAAGGCAAAAAAGAATTAGAGCTGTGGCGAAGCTGAAGCGGACAAAGTGGCACATGTCGGTTATCGAACGTCAAAGCGAGCGTAAAAAACAGTGGCATTATACCTTGTTAGGTCTGGCCTCCTTGTTTTACTATTTTCTCATGAAGTAGATTGACCCCTTTCCCCCTAGAACTCAATACGAGCTCCTGATCCTGGAGGTCGTCGCTCACACTGATGCGGTTAAGGAGTAATCACGTCAAAGGTCTGGTCGCCATCCCTGTGCGAAGGGGGAGGCCCCATTTGTCTGGGTTTTTGTTCTTTACGAAGTGCACCATTTAGCCCGAGTGGGATGTGTCAGAGGCCCATTCTGGTTCGTCCAGACTGTATTGCTTGGAAGCTCTTGGAAGTTAGCCTTGGCTAATAAGCTTACGGCTTGACCCAGGATGGGAGAGTGGGGTTCGCAAAACAGGCCCAGTAAGGTTAATCCTGCGGCTTGGCAGTCCCTTGGCCAGGCATCTGAATTCCGCACTGCAAATCGGTTTATTACTATTTTTACTCGACCAGGCGCCTATTCCCAGTCGTGGTAATTCGTCGAAATTCCAATCCAACAGGAATCCAGCCGACAAGAATTGTAGGTAAACAACAACAAGAATAATGATAGTAATATACAAATTCCATATCTCTGAGGATAATCAAGGTACAGATTAAGTTGAAGAAGTTGAAAATTACAAGACCGCGTACCGCACCCGTAATCTGATCTGGGTCAGACGCATTCCCAAAGTGGCGCTCTGATCGCAGGAAAAAGGTGGTTAGTGCACGCTCATTGAAGCTTAAGCTTAATCCGACACGAGGAGGCCGGCGCTGAACTTTATGCTCGCTCAAGAAAGCCAGGCCCCCCCTTCCAGTTCTTTCGGTTCGCATCTGGCCGGAGGAATTTGGAATTGCGAAATATCCTTGCGCTTTCCCTCGACAAAGAGACCTTGGTCCTGGGCCTGGGCATGGATGCCCAGCGAAGAGGACACATATCCGGTGGGGCAGCTGTCTTTATTTTTTGCCTTGGGGCCCGAAGACTGGGATTGGCTCCGTAATAAATACACGGGATTCGGAGTTGGGAGCTTCACCAACCATGGGTCCTAACGGTCGTGTCGGAGAAGAGCGACGTCTCGGGGTGGACACAAGTCGGGGAATTATTAAGGAGCTGTGGACGAGACATGTCTCTTCCCAAGCCCTCCCCTTAAGCTGCGCTCGTACTCGTAACCCTAAATGGTCCCACAGTCTCAGGAACTAGTGGTAAAGGTGGCATAAGTGGGGATGGAGTCCTATTCATAATAGCATAAAATAAAGCACGGCTGTCTCGGCATCAGCCTCCTGCGTTCTGGCCAAACAGCCACTCGGAGCCATACGCTTGTAATTGGAGTCTATGGGAAATAAGGAACCGGAGAAAAAAAAAAAAAAAAAAAAAAAAAAAAAAAAAAAAAACAAATAATAATAATAATTACAGACGCCACATAAAAGGACAAAACGCCTCGTGACTCGTAACCGAATCCAATGACGCGGCCATAGTTTTGATTCTAACTGTGCTGACCGCAAAGCTTAGTGCTTGCCAACTCCGATAAAGAAACGAACAAGTGGATGCATGTGCAGGGGAGGATCATTTGAATCGACGCCTCTTTCCCCTGACCCCACTTGTTTAAAGGGTTACCCATGAGACACAGTATGGGTGTCCAACTGGGCCCAAATGTGCTTCGTAATATTGCAAAGTATACCCATGGACTTCACCTGTTCGCAGGTGTTCGTCTGTTTTGCCTTCGCGTTGTTCGAGGTAGAAATACACGAGGGTATTCCTTCCTGGTCGTTCGAGATGCAGAGATCTTCGTCTTTATTCCTTAATACTTAAGCCTTGCAGGGGGGCTAGAAAATGGGGGCTAAGCCGGCTTTCGCGAAGTACGAATTCAATCCTTCCGGTTTGGTGTTTCACCTCTGCAATATGCGAGTACTGTCTTGACCTTCGGTGAAGGGTTCGTGTTCCATGACTCGGGGGCTGAAGGGTTCAATGGGTCGCCTAAGCAGGATTTGATCCTAACCCGATCCTGTATGGCTATTGGATGCGCATGAAATGAACGTATCCAGCGTAGATATCTAATGGAAGCAATAGCCGATACTCGGCCTGAAGTACATTTGGCCGAACACGAACATCTGTCAAGGCGAAACCAATAGTAACGCTCCCATAGCCGAGAAGGCAAGATGATCGTGACAGGGCGGGCTTGAGCTGTCAGCCAAGGGTTTCTTTTTCTTTTCTTTTTTTTATTTTTCTTTCTCTTTTCTTTTACCCCCGTGCCCCATGGGTTCTCGCCATCTCATCTTTGGTTCGCAGAACCTCGCGCACGGGCCGATCTCTGGGGGCCTGGGTACGGCGTCTCGCCAGGAGCAGCCAGGTTGCGCGGCGCAAATACTATAATAGGGTTCGGAGGCTGGAATCTAGGCAGCTGATACTTCCTGACTGAATCTTTACCGTCTCGAACACCCAAGGAGAGCCCATGTCATTTACCTGCTGCCCGACTTGGTTCATTCCAATAAGGCTCCAGGACGCTTGTCAAAATAGACGTTCGAGCGTGGCCTGCATCGGGTGTCTCACGCGGAGTCAAGGTGCGACTTAATTGCCGCCATGGCTTGACCTGAACTCCCATTGACTAGGTAAGTGGAGTTCAGCCGTGTCACACGGCGGAAAACAAGGCCAGACTGACCCTCAACACGATAAGAGGGTACCAGCAGAGCACATACTGCGCCTTCTGCATATCCGCTTGGTCGCTTCCGGATATGATCGATGCATAAATCGATATCGACTTCTCGGTCAGTAGAGTCATTCGAGGGGTGATTGGACACAGCGACCGTTCGTGAAGTACAATAACCCTTTTCGGATCAGGCTTGCAGGGATCTAAAGAGGGGGGGAACGATAGCGCGTCAAATCGTGGAGGCTCGCCAATTTTAGAAGTCCGTTCTTTCCGGAGCACAAAGTATGCATAGTTAAGCCTCACGGAAAATAAGGGGCCTGGTATCGGATCGCACGACTCGGTTTATCCCAGGTCCAACCGCCCCTGGAGGAGATGCAAGATGCAGCCAGAGAGTCATCTGAACGGTCTTTTCTGGTTTTATTTTATTTTATTTTTTTTTTTGTCTGTTTTCTGTTTTCTGGTTTCTGGTTTCTTTTTGTTTTCAACCACATGTCACCCTTGCTTGACGTCCCATGTGGAAGATCTGTCAAGTGTGTGCACGGCCTCGGCCCCCTACCACTGATTCACGATGATCATCCGTATCCCGCATCCTACGCGCCCGTCCCTTCCACCCCCTCATACTCTATCTGGACAGTTCCCCCCGCAGCTAATTCCTGGAGTCTTTGGGTCCAATCCTCAATGAAGATCGCATGACAAGATGGGGGTCGACGGAAAGTTGTATACGAAATACTGGCGGACTTGACCAAAAGTCTCATCCCAGATTAGGTCCTAGCAGGGTGCCCAATGAGGATGCTCGGGGGGCAATATCCAGCCCGTTACATTTAAAGCTGAAAACGATACCACATTGGGAGTCGGGGCCAGCTTCATCCGACCATCCGAGCAGACTCCTCTCTTTCATCTCTCAGCCTGAGTGGGTCCGCCAGTGGGCTCCACCGCTCGCTAAGCATACTACGGAGACCCGCGGAAAGGTAGACTAAAGGCCCTTGCGGACCAAGCCGACACAGAGTTTGGAGACCATGCTTCTCAATTTCTACCAGTGGATTGCTGTTTCTGGATTGGCGGGTCCTGTGGGGAATTCACTTTAATCTGTTAGTCTTTGTTTTTAAACCCGCGGCCGGGCTCGGCAAACTGTCGTTAAGTCCGTGGTCGAGAATCCGCATCGTCCTTGGCATTGTAAGGCGTGATAGACTAGGATCGGGGTCCGTTGAGCAGAGGATTGCAGGGAGGTGATCTTGCGAAAACCCCGGGCTCCATGGGGGATTTTTGCCGGGCTCACGGATATATGTTGGGTAGGGCGTTGACACGGGTGATACTAGGGAGTGGTCGGCGCTTAGAAGATACGATGTGGGCACGCTACATGAATCAGGCTGCGCAGAATCCGATGTATTGCTTGGATTCAATTATGAGAATTTGTTGTCTTGGCTTCCCATTTGAGCAAATTTCCTGTTCGAGTATCCTGGTCAATAATCTCCGACTGGTGATCGTCTAGCGCGGTTTGCCTGAATCTCTTCTGACCACTCGGACGACGGCAAACCTAAGGTTTCAATCTCAGGAGGCGACATTAAATATGGTCGCGAAAGTTTAATCTAGGATCGGGATGAGCAGGATCAGCCGGAGAATCAGTGAGCCTATAGCCTCCTCTAGCTTGTTCCGTATACTCAGATCTCCCTCGGAGCGATGACGTGCCTTTGCATGGGCTCCAGTCGAGTTGGCGTCGGTGCGATCAACTCTACTTTAGATATGGTTGCGACGCGTTCTGTATTGTCACGCATTAATTGTAACCCTGGAATAAAGCTAAGATGTGATTCCGTGAAACGTCGCACGAGCTTATCTCCACCGGCATCGTCTCTGTCAATAGGCATTAGCATCCTTGAATAACGTGGCCCCGCAGTCCGAGTGGCTTGTCCACCTCTCTTCCAGCCTTCGAGCGGTAGGTTGAAGTGCCGACACGCCGACACAGTCAGTTTGACCAGCAGGCCTAGTCAGACGGGAGAAGACGGGTAAGCAAATTCCGCAGGCCAGCGATCTACAGTACTTTCTTAACATGAAGTTTTGAGTCAATTGTGACGATCCTTGCTCTGCCGCTATTTGCGACCAATGGCTTGGCCTCCTCGGTGGGTTGATACATCTATCACTTTTATTTACTATTTACGGGTTGAGAGATATTCGGTTGCCTCGACCCCCCCTTTGAACCCAGCCTCGTCTCCTCGGCTCATTGCGAACCATCTCAAAATTGAATCATCTCCCAAGCATGCAACCCCCCCCCCCCAAAGGCCCAAGATGGGTTTGAAAAGTGGGTTCCAGCCCCTAGTTCCACGAGTGGCAACTGTCATCGGCAAGCCTAATAGCGTCTATGGGTTCGCCGAACCATGGAAGGGGGGGCTTACCTCCTTGGACAAGGGAGGGAAAAGTGGATGCCTCGTTTTTCTTCCAGACTCCCCCATTCTAGGGGTGTGTGCACACAGGTTGATTAAGTTCGATTGGGTCCTCCCTTTTAACCTTAGAGTCCACCCGGCAAAACCCCCCAAATAGGTGCAACGAGCCGACTAATGTCTTAACATGAATCAGCATAACCATGTGGTGCACGGTTCTTTTTTTGGGTTTGATGTCCGGGAAAGTTAAACGTCCGAATACGAGACAAGAACCTGGACAGGATTACGTCTGAGGCTGGGGGAATTGCGGTCGGAGCCTTGTGTTGCCGAGAGACAAGAGCGGACTTTTCCCAGTGCGGAATCTCTCTAGGCTTCCAGTCAAGAACAAAGCACACAATAGGGTCTAAACCTTGAAGGGCCCATGTTGGTCATAAAAGCGACCATGTGATACGTCAGGCAGGGGTGTGGTCTGCATGAGTCGTTCTCGATGCGGACTGTGCCCGAACATCCTTCTTGCTTATGCTTAACCCGGGTAAGGTTGGGTTCCCTTCTTCCGCCGATCCTGGCGGGCTGAGTGGCATTAGGGTTACTCCTCGTTTCTCGCAAAGTCTATTCAATTGCCATTAGCAAAGACTGCCCCGTCAGGACTCTTTTTGTCCAGGAGATCTTGAGAGTCTTGATCAATCTCTGCCTTCCCCACCTTCCCTGGACCTTAGCATTCCAAACCTTGTAAGAAAGGCTCAAAAAGGGCTCATCCCTGTAAGGCAGCAGGTCGCAGGAATTACTCAATCAGGCTAGCTCCGGTAATTTATCAGCGCCTCGATCTGCGTATCATGTTGCGCTTGGATCCTGCTAGTGCACGTTGCTTTTTTTTAATCAGGGTTGGCATTGTTCGTTTCGAGCACAAGCTATTGTAGGAGTTATACACGTTTGTCCCGGGGGGGCTCCACTGAGGATTATCAACAAACATACGCCGATCCATGGATAGGGCGGTCAACTCGCATACCATCCCAACCTGGGTTATGATCTCTCCTTCTAGAGTGAAACTATATCCGCCGTCAGCCGGACGAATCCACCAAGTCCACTGCTGTTCCAGGTGAAACCGTGTTTAAGCCACAATCACTCTGACCGCTTGTACCGAGCTCCGCAATAAACAAGCAAAGCCGCCATCCAAAGGGTCCATCGTAATATAACCCGGAAGCACCTCCATCCGCGTTTTTGGGGCGGACCACGTTATGCCGTTGAACGGAGACCTCCGCATCCCGAGGTAAATTGTTATGTAGCGGGACCCACGTCTTGGTTTCGCGCAGCTGGCGCATAATAATGTGCTGCCCACGCCCCGGTTTTTAATGTTTGAACTACAGACGCCTCTCCCACGCTAGAGTGCTTAGCCTTGCTTTGGATCCGACTGCGCTTATGGACCGGGGCGCCTAATGACACATGTCCATTGCCGGAAATAGAGTGCCTTTCAACCCCCCCCCCATTCCTACCTCTGCGATTACATTGCAGCATGTCTCGCAGCACGGTGGCGCCGATTTCAAAATAAGACATCCTTGGAAAAAAACAAGAGAAGCACCCTCGGTTCCAGGATTATCAGCAGGTGCCAAGATTGTTGACTGGCCTATGTCATGCACGTGTGGTGGTTATTGAAAGTTCCGGTCTCAGCTCTTAAGGCGGCGATCAAGGAGGAAAATCCATCGTAGCCGGTCGATCTCACGCACAACGATGCAACCAAAGGGCTACTAGTAGCTGTAGCAATCAATTTTAAAAAACACTGGCGTCCAAACTAAATCCCACCCAGGCCACTCTCCCGGCCCCCGGCCCCCCCCCCCGCATAGCCTCGGAAGAATTGACAGCCCCAGGCTACTAAAGACCAGAAGAACATTGCGACTTCTATATCCTCCTATGAGGCAAGACCCCTCGGGTAGGGCCTAAAAGCAGGGCTTCTGTTTTGTGAGGGTGGTCAGCGCTTGGCAACCGATCCCATTCTAATCAAAACCACACTACTTCCTGTAAGACAGTTTGATACCCTCGGGTTTGGAGTGCGATAAGCGTATTTTGGGCTCCAGCAGCTCCTTGGCCCCAAGAACGGGGGCGACGTCGCAAATCCGCCAAATCAGACTTCGAGTCTGACATCTCGCCCGCTCGCGCGGACTGGGCCTCGTAACGAGCTGCGCGGGTGCGTTCTAGACCCCACGGATGATCGATTTGGTTTGCGGAATACGCTTTGCAGGGATATGAGGCTCTTGTTTCTATCGCGGAGTTATTTCCATCTCGGGATTGAATTGACTCGGACTTGCAGGACGCATTATTGGGATCTTGGTTGGCACGGCTTGATGTTGGTTAGGCCCGACATTTCTCTTTTCTCTTTCTCCTTAGTATGAGATGGAGGGGGGACAGTGGGTTTCATTAGTTGTGTTTTCGGATTCTTCGTCTATAGTACATTTCCAGACAAGTCGCAAATATGGTATGGTGTATGGTACAGGTGCCGGGGATCGACATAGAGGACAGCCTAGCAGTCAGCCCGTCGGAAGTACCGCGGGAATGCTACCACGTCGCGCACGCTGGAGACTCCGGACAAGTAGCTCAAGAATCGATCGAATCCCAAGCCAAACCCGCCGTGTGGCGCAGATCCCCACCGTCGAAGATCAGCGTACCACTGGAGATGTCCCAGGTCCTCATCTGCTGTGAGGTGAGGGTAGACATCCTTGTCTTTCTTGTGCTTGGATGGGTGCCCATCCTCATCGAGAGCCGGGGTCTTCTTGATTAGACCGTGCTCCCGCATGTTCTGGATGAGATTTGGCAGACGGTGCTCACGTAGAGAGCCGCCCGCGACCTCGGCGACCTCAGGGAAGAGTAGATCAAAACAAGCGACCGTATTGGTCCTTGTCGTGGTTGCGATAGTCTCTTCAGCCGAAGGAGCCATATAGAAAGGCTTCACAGCCTTCGGATAGTCGGTAACAAACACGGGGGGAGTTCTCGAAGATCTTTTCAACCAGGTATTTCTCGTGTTCAAGCTGTAGACCACTGTCCCAGATTGGGACATGCTCAAAAGAAACACCCGTAAGAGCCGCTTCTTGGAGCTTGGCAATGGCCTCGGAATAGGTGATGCGATGCCACCTGGGTCCATTCATCAATGTTTCCCACCGCTTATGGAGATGTGCGACGTTGTCGGCACGTCTTTTCTCAAAATCTTTATGCGACTCGCCAGTAATCGGCTCGGTTTCGCCTCCATGTGCAAGAATCTCCTGGCCGACAGGAGTCTCGTACAAGCGGCGGGTCAAGTCGCGGACCAAGTGCTCGACCTGATCAGTGAGAGCATCTAAATCGTACATGAAGTTTGCTTCGGCTTCGAGCATATAAAACTCACTCAAATGCCGTGGCGTATCACTCTTCTCTGCCCGGAATACGGGAGTGAGAGTCCAGACATTACCCAGCTCAGCCGCATAGGATTCAAGATGTAGTTGTGACGAGACGGTGAGGTACTTCGGCGACCGGAAAAAATTGTTGTCGCTCCCGTCTGCGGCCACCGCAGTACCGCGCGGTGCTAGAGTGAAGGTTTCCCCTGCGCCTTCGCAATCGGATGAGGTGATGATTGGAGGCTGTACTTGCGTGAACCCGTCGGGGTATGAATGAAAGGTATTGCCTAGCTGGAACAGGCATTCGGAGCGAAAGCGGGAGAGGAGAGAGTAGAAAGGTGTTCGCATGCGAAGATGGGGGATTTGACGTAGGAACTCGGAGCTCTGGTATTTCTTTTGGATAGGGAATGTCTGCAAACCGGATGGTCAATCTTGGGCATTGAAGAAGCATTGAAGAAGCTGGGCAGAAGTCCATACCGTGGGATCTGCTTCGCCAACAAAGTTCAGCGATTCAGCCTGCAGTTCATGTGATTGTGATGATTTCCCGGGGCAAGCTTTCCAAGTACCCTCGACATGGACAGCGACACCTGTAGTCAAGCTGCAAATATCCTGTTAGCGTCCGAAGATCTGGACGAGTCAGGAATCAGCTTGACACTTACTCCTCTGCCCGATTTGGCTTTAATGCGACCTGAACATTTTTACCAATGGACCCATCGAATACCTCTGCAAAGGCAATGTTCTTCTGCTTGCGAACCGACCGTATGATCCCATTGATCCCGACTCTTTGGTCCTCCATGCTCGCAGCCCCGTCTTTGCCGGACTTGAGGAGTTGCGCACATCGCAGTATCGGTATTCGCGGTGCATTGCGTGCGCTCAGCCTAGCGGCACCTGTGGCGAAGGAACGCCGCCATACCTGCATGGTGAAGAATCGCGTCGCGGTGGTGGTCGGAGTTGAACGCGGGCAAGAAAATCGGAGGTGCGCCGGGCCGATTAGCGCCCGCACCCCAATCGATCTGAAGTTCATATCCGTCCCTACAAGCACCAGTAGAACGCCAGGGTCTAGTGGAAGGTTGAGTCGCAACCTTAGAATTGCTTCTACGGAAATCCATGATGCATAAGAGAATGGAGAGAATATGAGATTTGTCTGGCATACTAAATGATAAGGGGGGGAACATCGCGTCCATAGAGCGTCAAAAAGTAGCAAAGATAGCCAAAATGATCCATAATGCAATACTCCAAAGACTATGAGTCCATCTTACTGACGCCGGGCATACGCCTTGCGCTCATCCTCGATCATTTCAATTGCATCCAGGAGGACACCATTTGAAGCGGCAGCATAGACTGCAATCCGGGCTCGTCCACCATCTTGGACAGTTCCGTATCCCATATCAATCAGGGAGTTAATACAGGTCTCTATCTTATCGTCCTGGCCACTGAGGCCGGGGCACTGGGTTCAGCCTGGTCATCTGTGGGAAAACTCCCGGGAATGCTTTGCATGGAACGAGGGCGGGATCGAGAGCGTTCTCTCTTATCTAGCCGCGCCCATGTATGTAGTTCACCTGAGATTCGAGGATTGTACATGGACGTACGTTCACTGGCCCGGCGCCTCAACCTAGAGGCATTGGATTTGCCGTCAGATGTCGGAATGTGATCTGGTCCCTGTCGCTCTGACCGATCATATGTGGAAGGGGCTAGGTAACCCATGGTGTTCGCACGACGCAGGCCTGGTCCTTCATGGCCCCAGAAATTTTCGGATTGCCGCTGAGCCCGCCAGGAAACATCCGCAGAAGTATTCATTCCTGCGAAAGGCCTCTGGTGACGACTCTCAGGCACTAGAACACGATGCGTCTCAGTGGAAGAGACATTCTGGTTCGATGGTTCTGAGCTGGCACCCGAGACCTCTGAAGTTTGATGCGTTGTTTTACCAGAGCCAGATGGACGGCGCGCTTGTTGATCTGCCAGGACTTGTGCTTCGAATTGAGAGACGGGTGGGAACCGGCTCATCTGTGCGTCGGGACTGAGGCTGGCACGGCCTTCTAGTATAGGGAGAGTAAACGAACGTGGAGTGGGTGCTCCTATTTTCTATCGAAGCATCGAAGGCTGGAGTAAAACCAGCAGATTCGGACTCTGTCTTCAAAGACTCCAATGGGTGAGGAATAGCGTTGCCTTCAGATTTGGCAGGCTCCCGGAAACTCACGGATTTCCTGCGTCTGATTGAAGGAGTCTTTTTCAGCTCCGCATCAGACGAGGTTGGCGCCTTCGCACTCGAGATGTCGTTTGCATCCTGAGTTTCGTTTGGGCTTTGATTCGCAGTGTCTCTAGGCTGAGGGTGGCCGATACCCTGACTAGGTACGGAGTGACTGAATTCCAGGTTTATCGCGTGTCCATCAATATGAGCACCTTGTAATGATTGCATGCCAGCTATAGCTGCATCAAACGACGGGAATTTCAAGTAACCGAAGCCTGCATGTTTTCCAGAAACGGAATCCATGGGGAGATCAACATCAACAATGAAACCCTTGGCTGCAAAAACATCGCGGATCGTTTTTTCTGTCACGCGGAACCCGACGTTACCAATGAACAACGTCTTGTTTCGAGCGTCGGCCTCGGATACAAGACTAGCCTCACTACCAGTCTTGGCCCCGGGTTTATGTTGCCAGTTCCACTCAGGTGGGGAGTACCAAGGGGCTCTGGGAGGCCATGCACCACTAGAAAAGGGATAAAACGCAGGCGGCTGTGCTGCTGCGTGCGCAGGACCTGGATGTGGAGGCCCATGACCAAAGTGTCCAGTACCATAATGTCTCGGATCTCCATAAGGCCGTGGGGTAAAGCTCCAGGGCGGCTGGTAGTGAGGTGCTGGAGGATGGCTGGTGAAGAACCCGGCAGGCCCGACAGGCGGTGGCGGCGGGGGCGGTGGATATGGCCGAGAGAAACGATTATTAAAATGATGAGAGGGATCAGTGCGGAGTGAATAGGGTGAATCGTTTTGATTCGGCAGATCACGGTGATCAGGGGCGGCATTCGACGCCGAATCATGATTGACACGATCACAAGCTGTTGGCTGACCAGGACCAGGGAATTCAGATTTCATGTCCTGGCCGGTGGTGTTGCTAGCTTGATGTTCAGACGGTTGACCGCTATGAGACGACGCAGGCTCACTCGCTGGCCCTGTTGAAGTACTCGAAACAGGAGCCGTAGGAGCTGCTCCTTCAGTTGCTGCGTTCATCTCTTGCAAGCTAAATCGACTTAACTCGCTTTCAAAGGCCGCAAACAAAGTTCGCCCAATTTGGTTGAAATCTGAAGCCATGGTGCGCAGATTTTCAGCTGCATTCTCTGCTACGGGCCTTCCAGCATTGTAGGTGTTCTCAGCCCATTGTCGGCTGCTGTTAGGGATGTTATTGTATGCAGTTCTCATGTGCGTTTCAATGGTGGCTAGCATTGACTGCAAGGATGGGATAACATTCTCAGGGATGTTTCGCTGGGCCTCGTGCAGTTGACGTTGTAGATCAGGCCATCTTGACCGGAGTTCAGATTGGACTATGTTGGCACCATGGACCAGATGATGTAAAATCTGAGCTGCAAGAAGCTCCGCGGGATGGGGAGTTCTTTGTTCACCCGTCGTCGATTGCTCTGGAGCAGGCTCGGGATCAGAACGTTGAGTCCTTATCTCAGAGGAATCTTCGGCAGCGTTGAGTATATTAGCTAACTCTGCCTCGAAAGCAGCTAGCAGAGGCTGACTTTCATCACCAGGGGTCGAGGTGGCAGTCACATGTGGGATAGGTTCGATATTGCTAGATGTATCGACACTTTCAGAAGCTTGGGGTCGAGAACCCTTGATTTCATACTTCTTCCATAGCTCAGTTACCGAGTTGGACCGACGAATGTCGAATATGTGCATAGGACTTGGGCTATCCTCGGAGGATTCGGTTGGCACCAATGGGGGGTTCGGCCCCCAGGGCTTCATCAAGGCGCTGGGAGAGCTCGAGTGAAGATCCAACCTATTGAAAAAGCCAAAGTCAGACATCTTCCCGCAAGTAAATATTAAACACGTATAGCCTACCGTTATCTGATCGCCATCGTCCTCATCCAGGTAGGTTAGTCTCGCGCGTGGGTGGCTATCGGCGAGGTTATCGTACTCAGAAGCTGAGATCTGCACGATGCCTGGAGCAGAAGAAAATCCAACTAGCTTCCCTTCTGCTCCACCAGAAATGCCTTCATGCAGGTCCCTGATCTGAAAGGGTTTCAACGACATCTTGCGTTGAAGATGTGAGCCAAAAAGCTCCGGTCGGGGATGTGGAGAGCTTGGAGTTCACAGCTGTTGGAAGATGGAGGATGCTACCAGAGTGGGCATCCACTGGAGATCAAGAAAAGACCAAGGTTGATATCATGAGACGCGTAAAGGCTGTTGCCTATGAACAGGATATGATGATGATGATGATGATGATGAAAGAGGGGGCAAACGACAGTAAGATGATCTTTGCCTCATCTACAAGAAACAGGCAACAGCGGATAAGATAAAAGGTCCCCGCTCAGCGCCCGGACCATGATGACTCAGCCTGTTGATCCTGGCCCCGGCAGGGAAAGTATTTTCAAATACCTGTGAGCTGCACGTTTATAGCTTTGCTGGAAGGGGCCTTTTATGGCAAATTGAGATCCTTACCAACCAGGAGACCTTCCAATGTAGGCGAGAGCCTTCCTTGGAGATTAATCTGCTTTGGCTGGCACAGTGATGCTAATGACAGCCCTGCAAGGCGTCACTACCTCTCAGTCTTGAGAGACTCACCTTCCTTTGGAACGTTCGAGGCGCAATCCTCGCCATGTCAACCAAGGCCTCTGCATCCCGATTACAAAGTCCAGGCGACCGGAACCTGAAGAACGTGGTACTGGGGGACCTGCTGTTCAAGCCGTGGTACCAATCCATCTACCCAGAAGACCTCGTCGCGAAAGACGCCGACCACCTCTACGTTTGTCGCTGGTGTTTCCGATACTCTTGCAACAAAGAAGCCTTTGCGTCCCATACACAGGTCTGTGAGAATCGTACGACGCCCCCCGGCACCAAGGTCTATGATCATGGTGGCTACGCAGTGTGGGAGGTAGACGGAGAGGTACATAAACTATTCGGACAGAATCTATCTCTGTTTGCCAAGTTATTTCTGGACCACAAAACGGTATTCTTCGACGTCGCAACATTTCTATACTACATCCTCACCTTCACGGACCCTGACAACCAAGACAACTACCATGTCCTTGGTTTCTATTCTAAGGAAAAGCTGTCCTGGGACGCCAATAATCTGGCATGCATATGTGTCTTCCCTCCATACCAACACAAACAACTCGGCAAATTACTGATGGGTGTGAGCTATAAACTCAGCGGCTGGGAATCATCCGGCGGTTCCATTGGAGGGCCCGAGAAACCTCTTAGTGACTTGGGCCAAAAGAGTTACAATAGGTTCTGGGCCGAACGGATTGCAAGGTATCTCCTATGTGGGAAGCATGGAAATGATGGAAGAGAGAATGATAAGAAACCTAGCACTCCTTCAAAGGGTTCTCGTAAGAGACCCCAACGCGAAACCATGACTGTTGAAGAGATCGGCCGAGCCACTGGTATGTTAACAGAGGACGTGATCACCGCAGTCAAGAGTATGGGTGTCATCAAGGCGGATGATAGCCCCAAGAAACGAAAGATGCCCCGTCATAGCAACGGAACCGAGACTGACGAGGGGCCTAAGATGCTGATTCGTAAATCAGATGTTCTGGAGTGGGCAAAATCCCATCATCTTGACTTACATGATCCTGTCAGAGAAGAAGGCTTTATTGTCATATTCCCAACAGCCACTGACTCGGAAGAAGAAGAATTTGTAGAAGCCTAGAGTACGACTTATGGCTCAAATCTTGTATATTAGTACTTAATCAACGAACGATGCTTATGATTTATCACCTATACTCCTTGAACTATCATTTGAATCTCAAGTTGAGCAACTGGTCGAAAGCCTTTTCTGAACTCCAACTTTAGCTGCGACAAGTCGCTCCCCGATCCGACATTTGAAAACTACGCCCTTCAAATTCATATTCTAAGCCTTGAAGCAAAAAGTTGTATTGTTACCTAGCTGGTCCCGTCCAGGTAGATCTGCTCTACATAGCGCAAGGCTCGTACACCTCAGAGCCTAATGCTTTGGCAACAATTTTGTATTAATGTGTGCATTTTTCTTTTGGACAGGGAGGACTTTTTAAGCATAAGAAGCACCAAGTCCCAGCTCCATCTAATTCTTTACATGATTTACCGGGCATCATTATCAAGATCACATTACTCCTCGCCACCAGGGAGGACCCTGTTTGCTCATCTGTCGAGCCTTCAGAAGCTCGTCACAAAGCAACAGGTTGGCAGCAATTCCCGTGCTGGAAGCAATGCAGTTGCGGAGGACACGGTACGAGTCGAAGATACCTGCTTGCACAGGATCTGTGGGCTCGCCTGTGTCCAAATCGAGACCGGCAATGTTTCCGTCGTCCACTTCAACTTGCAGAGCAGCGAGGGAATCCTGGATATCATGGCCGGAGTTGGCGGCAAGAGTCTTGGGAATAACAAGGAGAGCATCTGCGAAAGCCTCAACGCCCCACATCGCCTTACCCTTGACAGACCGACGGAACTCCGGTGACTTGAGATGAGTGGCACAAGCGACTTGGAAAGCACCAGCACCCGGAATCACGCAGCCATCAACAATAGTGTTGTAGACCGAGCGAAGACCATCGCGGACGGCATCCTTGACCTGAGCAATTGTATGTCCGTTGGGGCCCTTAATGAGGATAGTGACAGACTTGGGATCTTTAACTTCCTCCACGAAAGTGAACTTCTCTTCACCAAGCTGATGCTCATACACAAGACCGGCCCAGCCCAGAGATTCAGGGCTGAGGTCCTCCACGCTGTTTTGAGCAACACCACCACAGACAAGCTGTAGACGCTCCATGTTGCGGCGCTTAGCCCGGCGAAGAGCCATGATACCGTTCTTGACAAGCACATCCAAACTGAGGGGGGTCAATACCCTTCTGGTTGATCACAACAAATCCCTTGTTGGGGTCATTGCCACAGACTTGCTTCTTGAGATCAACGATTTTCTGTAGCTTGGCATCGACAAATTTGCGCTCACTCTCCACCAGCTTGTCTCTCTGTTCGGCACTGGAGTAGTAGAAGCCCGAATTGATTTCAGACTTCTCGTACTCCAGACTGACATTCAATGTCAGAATGAAAGCGTTTTCCACACGCTTGGGCATATCGGGGTGGCGGGCACCGTGGTCCAAAGCAAGACCACGGATCAGCTGAGTGTCTGATGATGTGCGGTGTTGCATGGTCATGATCTCGACCATGTGCAGGTCAGGCTTCTCCGGGGCACGCTGAATAGCAAGGACGGCATCGACGATGTCAGGAGTGAGCTTCTCAGCGAGAGCATTATTGAGCTTGGTGGAGAGGGAGGTGCGGGCGACAGACAGGAGGAGTTCACGATCAATGGTGCGCTCGAGCTTGAATTTGTCGAGGAACTACGAATCGGGTGTCAGGACCTGGAGGGGGGAAATATGAGGACGGGCTGTCAAATACCTTCAAAGCCTCCGTCTTTGCAAGCTCGTAGCCATCGGTGATTACTCGAGGGTGCAATCCCTCCGAAATGTGACGGTCTGCCTGCTTCAGCAGCTCTCCAACCAGTAGCACAACGGACGTGGTTCCATCTCCAGTAATATCATCTTGTGCGGTTGCCGCACGCGCAATCATAACCTTTCATATTGCTATCAGTTGATATTCGAGGGTTTTGCGAGGGAATTGATATCTTACGGCAGTGGGATTTTGGATTTGCTGTCAAAAGTTAGTAAATATATTCCCCATAGTATGGCTTTCACGGGCGGGACATACCATTTCACGTAGGAGGACATTTCCGTCCTTGGTGAGTTTGATCTAGATGGGCCTATGTGAGCAAATACTGACTCGTGGCATTCGAAGAAAATTGAGGGGCATATAGCATACTCCGCCGGCACCGTCGACAAGCCTGGGTTCTATTAGTTTTATTTGATCACGATTGGGGAGAAAATAGCACATACATCTTCAGGGTTCCAGAAGGACCCAGGTTTGACTTGAGAACATCCTGTAGTCCCTCTCCAGCGCTAATGTTGACCTTCAGCGCTTCTCCTCTCCGCTAGAGGAAATGTTAGTGCGGGCACACGGAGAAGAGGGGTCACAATATGGGGGCACTGCATACCCGGGACTCCGCCTTGGGGTTCAGCAGTTGAGTTGCAGACATGACTGCAGTACCAAATGAATGACTGGGAGCTCAACCCAGTAGATACAGTGTGTATGAAAGTTGAGGGAGCTCGTTTCCAACCGTGGACAGGAGAGTGGGAAGCGTAAACCGGAAGGCGGTGAGAATCCCACACTCAAACCCATTTGGCGCTAGCGGCGAAATTTTTACCAAGAGCTTCGATTTCTTCACTTCCGCCTTTTCGATTGATCCCTCCGCGCCAGCAACATAACACCGTTGCTTGCTACAGTCGCCTGCAGGTCACGGCTTGTGCAAATCTAATTCTGGTCGACTGAGGATAATTGTGCGACCTAAGGTGTAAAAAAAATGGCCGATTACCTGCTTTTTGAGAGTCCTGTGGGCTACTCACTTTTCAAGGTTGCCCTTCAGGGTGATGCCGTGGGCAACCGCCTGAAGGAAGTCCAGGAGGGTATCAATGACCTTGCTAAATTTGGAAAGATGGTTGACGTCGCCAGTTTCCTGCCTTTCGAGTATGTTTCAGCCATGCTCACCCTCTGCAAATATTTTTTGGCTGACCCACCTAAAGAAACAACAAGCAGGCTCTTGGTGAAATTAACGACGTTTCCGAGGGTGTTGCGTCAGAGACCCTCATTTCTTTCCTCGAATTGAACCTCCCTAAGCCAGGCAAGAAGAAGAAGGTAGTTTTAGGAGTCTTGGACAAGGGTCTTGCCAGCAGCATCAAGTCCGCCTTTGACTTTGTGGACTGTGAGACTGGCGATACCAGCGAGCTGGTGCAGGACCTCCTCCGTGGTCTTCGCCTGCACTTCACCAAGCTGCTGAAGCAATTGCGTGATGGCGACTTGGACACCGCTCAGCTTGGTCTCGGTCACGCCTACTCTCGTGCCAAGGTCAAGTTCTCTGTCCAGCGTGACGACAACCACATCATCCAGGCTATTGCTATCCTTGATCAGCTCGACAAGGCCATCAACACATTCGCTATGCGTGTCCGTGAATGGTACTCCTGGCACTTCCCCGAGTTGTACAAGATTGTTTCCGACAACCAGCGCTATGCTGAGGTTGCTCTCGTCGTGAAAGACAAGAAGACATTGAGTGATGACCGTCTGCACGAGATCGCCGAACTTGTCGATGATGACAAAGGTATTGCGCAGAACATCATCGACGCTGCCAAGCACAGCATGGGTCAAGATATCTCCGAGTCTGACATGGACAACGTTACTGCATTTGCCGAGCGTGTGGTTAGCCTTTCGAAGTACCGCAAATCCCTCTACCAATACCTTGTTTCCAAGATGAGCGTCGTTGCCCCCAACCTTGCTGCTCTGATCGGCGAGGTCGTTGGCGCTCGGCTGATCTCCCACGCCGGTAGCTTGACCAACCTTTCCAAGTACCCTGCCTCTACTGTTCAAATTCTGGGTGCAGAGAAGGCTCTTTTCCGTGCTCTCAAGACCAAGGGTAACACGCCCAAGTATGGTCTTCTCTACCACTCCTCATTCATTGGCCGCGCTGGTCCCAAGAACAAGGGCCGAATCTCTCGATTCCTCGCCAACAAGTGCTCTATTGCCTCTCGTATCGATAACTTCTCCGAGATCCCCTCAACCAAGTTTGGTGAGGTGCTTAAGCAGCAGGTCGAAGAGCGCCTGGACTTCTACTCAACCGGTGCTGCTCCTACCAAGAATGAGGTCGCCATGGTATGTTAACCCTGAATATATATGGTTCAACGTGATACTGATTAGCTCATAGAAAACTGCCATGGATGCTATCTTGGCCGGTGTCGACAATATTGATGGTAGCGACGATGAAATGGAGGACATCAAGCCTACCCCCAAGAAGGAGAAGAAGGAGAAGAAGGAGAAGAAAGAGAAGAGCGACAAAGGTGACAAGAAGAAGAAGCGCAAGTCCGACGTGGGCGAGGGTGAGTCCGACAAAAAGAAGAAGCGCAAGCACGACGCCGATTCCGAGCCTACAAAGAAGAAGCAAAAGGCATAGAGTCAAGAGCATAAAAGCGCTTTTTCGTTGTTGGAACTCGGGAGTCTACGTCTGGCGTTGGGTTGATATTTTGTTGATCTTTCTTTCATGGGTTTATTTCCTATTCACGACTCGATGGGCTCGGGGATCTGTAAATTATTCTACTTAGGCCATTACTTGGCAATAAGATTTGCTCTGTCCTGTGTGTTTCTATATTCTATTTTAGTACTATGGAAAATACGCAGCAGATAGTTCGAGCAGTCCTAGCTTTGGATGAACCCCAGTGTTAAGGTCCTCGTGCCTCGCTTACAACTGATCTGGACAAAGAGGGATTTTGCTATACACATGTTGGCATAGGTCGGAAGGTCTAAGTGTATGCGGTTCATATTCCCCTGGCCCGCCCCTTGGAACCTGGAGATCCGCTAGTTGTACAACCCCGATTGGTTCCCGCAAGTATTCCAGAACTTACACCCGAGCGTCCAATGGCTTGCCCCTCACTTTGACCTCCGCCTGCTACTGAGAGGAATCGCTGCGCTATGAATTCTCCCTATTCGCGCTGACCGTTGAGCGCTACTTGACCCGGAGCGCATTACTTAAAACCCCGAGATACGGATCCCTTACTCGTGAATCCTTACACAAGCTTCAACTCGCAACCTTGGAAGCTCTGGCCCCGCGATGATGACGACTGACTTTTCACGGCGTCTCTCTGCTGGGTCCAGAGAGCATCATCCTTCTGAGTCAGATTGCTATAGTCTTTCAACTTCACCTACCTCCACAATGTCGATCGCTAGTCTACAAGAGGCTCGGCTTCGGGAAGATATGGAGCTGGGACGCCACAGTCCCCGAGCCGCTGTGGCAGGGCGGTTTGGGCAGCTAGCGATCCGAGGGGAGCGGCCAGGCGAGCGCGAGTTACAGAACCCTGACCTGGCTCAGAACAACATGCTGGAGGCCCATGAGTCTTCGCTGGGAGACATTCAGGAGGATTTGCCCGCGAGTGAACCTGCAGACACACACGCGGTGTTTGACGTCGACATGCAGCCACAGCCTGGATCGCCCCCCACATCTACAGATCGTCTATCAACTCCTCCAGCTACGTCTCCGAAGAAAAAGCGGACGCCCTCTCGCAAGCCCACAGTACGAGCATCACCCTCAAAAAATCGCAAGAAGCGATTTTCACCTCCACCTCCGCGGTCATCCCTTGAAGACCCTTTCACGTGGCATGACTACGAGATCACAGGCCATGATCCTTCAGATCCAACGGACGACGGGTACGGGATCAATGGCGTAGGATTCAAGCCTACCGCAGCCATGGCATGGGCAAGATCGCAAAAACGCCAGAAGCAAGTTTTGGAGTGGAAGAATCGTGAAGCGCGTGAAGCGCGTGAGAAAAGGCGAGAGAGAAGAGATGATGGGGTCAATCTTGACCCAATCCACAGCATTCGACAGGGCTCTATTCAGAAACGAGTCAAGTTTGACGTCTAACGGCAGATCTACTTCCCAGATTTGTGCCACGATACGAGATTTAATCAGCATTTTCAGGAAACTAGCCTAGGAGTCTTGGAGCTCATTCTGCATCGGGAATTTCTTTTCAATATGATTTGATTATCAACATGGAATCGGGGGCTCGGAATTATGATACAGATGATTTGATGACATGATGACATGCCACCATAAGTCTTTTATGAAATGAGAATATACATATTTGGATATAATCGTACAGCAACACCAAGACTCCAATCCAGAATGAGAAGTTTCACCAGAACTTATAGTTGGAGGGGTTTGTCCAACTCTTCTTCCTCCTGTCCTCCTCTGCCAAGCGAGCCATCTCTTCGGCCTTCTCCTTTTCTCGCTGTTTCTTGTCTTTTAATTCCTTCATCATTCCAACCATTTGAGTTACGTTTCGTGCCTCTTCGATTCGGCGGCGGCGAAAGAATTCATAAGCTCCGATCGAGCTAACCACGAAACCGGCGGCGGCCCAATTGGCCGCAGAACCAAGTGAACGAGCACCTAAAAGATTTTGTTAGTAACCAGATCTCAGAGTAACGAGATTCTAGAGGGGAATGTACCGCCAAATACAGCACGTAAACCACCTGTCGCAAACCCAGAACCAATTCCAATCATGAGCGAATCCCGCGAACCTGGTGACCTATGAACTGAAGATAATTCGGAAATGTTGATAGTCCCCGTGATATCTGAATAAGATATGTCTTTCGGATCTTTTCCGCGAGGCTTGTATGAAGCATTCGCTAGCGCATTGACTGGCTCCTCTGGGTTGCCAAATGCCTCCCATAGCTTTCCCACTTGCGACTGCGGGAGTTCATGCTTCGGTTTCTTCGGGTCTGTAGACGGGATGGCAGCGGGTAGATGGCTCCCAGGCTCTTGGGAATCTGGCCTTAGTGGATTTTCTGTCATAGTGTGGGTTGTAACGGAAATAATCCGTAGAATCCGTTGACCGTCGAGCAATTATTCGTTTCCAGTAGCCCGTCAATAAGTTTAACGGGACTACTTTCTTCCGATGGTGCTCGTGTTGGGATGGTTATTCCGAATGATGACTAAGGATCGCGCGCTGCGGACGCGAACGCGTCGATTGCATTGGGGTTGGTCTCGATTGGAGCAGGATAATTGGTGCTGGACCCTCCTACGAGCACGATTTGCAGAAACAGTTGATAACTCCTGCATCTCCCTACGCCCTCTTACTCACCTAGTTCTTCAGCCAAGGATAATTTCTCACGCCCATATCCTCCTATGTTTTTCTAATACTTTTCGCCCTGCATACGTTTTTGTGAAGCCCAGTCGGGCGAGTACTTCGCAATGCCTTCGCGAAAGCCCAGCAAGTTTGGGAATAAATACCGATCTGGCGCTTCATCCTCCAATCCAAGACGAACAAAAACCGTCGAGTTCTCCTCTCTACGCTCCACAGAAGCCACCTCTCAAGATGAGAAATTCGAAGCCGTTCGACTGGCCAACAGCATCGATGAGTCCCTCGGGTTTCCGCGATTCGAGTCCGGCGAGACAAAGGCCGGATGGCTTATTAATATGCATAGTACGACAATAGAGGATCCAAATGTGCAAGGTGGTCGCGCTGGTGTGGATTACTATTTTTTGCAGGACGATGGTGGCAGCTTCAAAGCGACAGTCGAATACGACCCATACTTCCTCATTGCGGTTAAGAAGGGCCATGAGATGGATGTCGAGGAATGGTGCCGACGAAGTTTCGAAGGGCTGATCAAGAGCTTCAAGCAAGTGGAGAAAGAGGACTTGAACCTGCCGAACCATTTGCTCGGTCACCGAAGGAAATTCCTCAGATTAAATTTCGCCAATGTCGGCAATCTTCTCGAGGTTCGCAGAACGCTGCTACCCTTGGCAGAAAAGAATAAGAAAAATGCCGGTGTGATGGATGCATATGTGGAGATGACCACGTGAGTTGATTCTTTTCCCTCATTGTGACCACGTTAAAACTTTCCTAATGATATTTAGTGCGACGGCTGGCTTTGATCTGTACGATGACGAAGATACTAATGAGCAACGACCTAATGGAAATGTACAAGCGAGCGATTATATTGTTGATATTCGAGAGTACGATGTCCCGTATCATGTCCGAGTATCAATTGACAAGGGTATGTGGCCAGAGGCAAAAATTTATGAGGGATTCGTACTGATACTATATAGATATCCGGATCGGAAAGTGGTACAATGTCGAGGCAAAGCATGGGGTAGTTTCTCTCACCTGCTTAGAAGATCGACTTACACGCGCGGATCCCGTTGTTCTTGCCTTCGATATCGAGACGACGAAGCTCCCTCTCAAGTTCCCCGATGCTGTCATCGACCAGATCATGATGATATCGTACATGATTGATGGGCAGGGATTCCTGATCACCAACCGAGAGATTGTTTCTGAAGACATCAGCGATTTCGAGTACACCCCAAAACCAGAATACGCTGGACCTTTCATAATTTTTAATGAACCGGATGAGCGAGGGGTGCTGGAGAGGTTCTTTGAGCATATCAAAATCGCCAAACCCACAGTCATCGCCACTTACAACGGTGACTTTTTCGATTGGCCTTTCGTGGAAGCAAGAGCAAGTGTGCAGGGAATCGACATGTACACCGAAATTGGCTTCAGAAAGAACAGCGAAGATATCTACCAAGCAGACCATTGTGTGCATATGGATTGCTTTGCGTGGGTCAACCGTGATAGTTACCTGCCCCAAGGTAGTCGTGGTCTGAAGGCCGTTACCGTCGCGAAGCTTGGCTACGACCCCGACGAACTTGACCCCGAGTTGATGACACCGTATGCGAGCGAACGGCCACAAACTTTGGCCGAATACTCGGTTTCCGATGCCGTGGCGACTTATTACCTCTACATGAAATATGTGCACCCTTTCATCTTCTCCCTTTGCACCATCATTCCTCTCAACCCCGACGATACCCTGCGGAAGGGAACTGGTACCCTCTGCGAAATGCTCCTTATGGTCCAAGCCTACCAAAATGAGATTGTTCTACCAAACAAGCACAAAGATCCACCGGAGGCCTTCTTCGACGGTCATTTGCTTGAGTCTGAAACTTACGTTGGAGGTCACGTCGAAAGTATTGAGGCCGGTGTTTTCCGAAGCGACATCCCCGTGGCTTTCAACGTCGACCCGGCTGCAATTGATGAGCTCATTCATGACTTGGACCACGCCCTCAAATTCAGCATCGAGGTCGAAGAGAAGAAATCGATGAATGACATCACAAATTTTGATGAAGTGAAAGCCCAAATCACCGAGCAACTTCTTGATCTGAGGAATAATCCCAGCAGAAACGAGGTTCCTTTCATCTATCACTTGGACGTTGCCTCGATGTATCCCAACATCATGATTACCAATCGATTACAGCCAGATTCGATGATCGACGAATCAAATTGCGCAGCCTGTGATTTCAACCGACCAGGAAAGACCTGTGACAGGCGAATGCCGTGGGCCTGGCGAGGTGAATTCTTGCCGGCAAAGCGCGATGAATACAACATGATTCGACGTGCCACTGCCAACGAGCGATTTCCCGGTCGACACAAGAGTGCTCCCATGAGATCATTCGACGAACTTAGCATTGAGGAACAAGCTGCGGTGGTGAAGAAACGTCTTCAGGATTACAGCAAGAAGATCTACCACAAAATTCATGACAGCAAGACCACTGTTCGCGAAGCGATTATCTGCCAAAGAGAAAACCCGTTCTATGTCGACACTGTGCGAAGTTTCCGCGATCGTCGTTATGATTTCAAGGGAAAACAAAAGGTTTGGAAAAACAAGACGGATTCACTTCAGTCGTCCGGCGCATCTGCCGCTGAGATCGAAGAAGCCAAGAAGATGATTGTTTTGTTCGATTCTCTTCAACTGGCGCACAAGGTCATTCTGAACAGTTTCTATGGGTATGTCATGCGTAAGGGTTCTCGATGGTATTCGATGGAGATGGCTGGTGTCACTTGTCTCACTGGTGCTCATATCATTCAAATGGCCCGAGAGCTTGTCGAAAGGATAGGCCGACCGCTTGAGCTCGACACCGATGGCATTTGGTGTATGCTTCCTGGCACATTCCCCGAGAATTTCGCCTTCACCATGAAGAACGGGAAAAAAGTGGGCATCTCATATCCCTGTGTTATGCTTAATCACCTCGTCCACGCGAGGTACACAAACCACCAGTATCAAGCACTTACCGACCCATCTACCTTCAAGTACGAAACTTACAGCGAGAACTCTATCTTCTTCGAAGTCGACGGACCATACCGGGCGATGATTTTGCCTACTTCGAAGGAGGAGGACAAGAACTTGAAGAAGCGGTACGCCGTTTTCAATCATGATGGCTCGCTTGCTGAATTGAAGGGATTCGAGGTCAAGCGCAGAGGAGAGCTGAAACTGATTAAGATCTTCCAGACTCAGATCTTCAAATTCTTCTTGGAGGGAAGTAACCTTGCCGAGACCTACGCTGCCGTTGCTCGAGTTGCAGACCGGTGGTTGGATGTTCTCTACGAGAAAGGATCGACTTTGGCTGACGAGGAGTTGATTGATCTTATTTCGGAGAATCGAAGCATGACCAAGACCCTCGAAGAATATGGAAACCAAAAATCAACTTCCATTACAACAGCGAAGCGTCTGGCTGAATTCCTTGGTGAACAGATGGTCAAAGACAAAGGATTGAACTGCAAGTACATTATCTCTTCGCGACCTCGAAACACCCCTGTCACCGAAAGAGCCATTCCAGTCACTATCTTCTCTGCCGAAGAAAACGTCAAGCGGTTCTTTCTTCGCAAATGGCTTAAAGAGGACCCGGGAGACATGGATCCTCGAACGGTGATTGATTGGGATTACTACATCGAACGTCTGGGGTCTGTGGTTCAAAAGCTCATCACCATTCCGGCCGCTCTACAGAAGCTCCGAAACCCAGTTCCCCGTATTGCTCATCCTGACTGGTTGCAACGTCGAATCGCCCAGAAGGAGGACAAATTCAAGCAAAAGAAGATGACTGATATGTTCGGCAAATCCGATAAAGCACCACTGTCTTCCATATCCACCAATATTCTTGATCACCGCGTCCAACATGCTGGTGATATGGACGAGGTGATTGCTAATTCGACCCAGCTGAAGATCAAATCACCGGAGGGCAAGTTGTCTCGGAAGCGCCAGCATCCAGAAGGTCATTCCAATACCGCCTTGGATCCCTTTGCCAGCCTTCCTGCCACCATGCCATCAATCACTGAAGACTACGTGGGCTTCCTGAAATACCAAAAACAAAAATGGAAGATCCAGAAACAAGCGCGAATTCGCCGCAGGCAGTTGTTCGGTGATCGCCCCAATACTACTTCTGACGGACTGGGCAGCTTTTTCCGCAACAAAGCTCAAATGTTGTACATTAGTACTTGGCAAGTCTTGCAGCTGTGCGAAACAGGCCGGCCGGGCATTGTCCGTGCTTTTGTGCTCATTGACCAAAAAATTCATGCTCTCAGTGTCAAAGTTCCCCGTCAGTTCTTCGTCAATCTTAAGAGAGAATCGTTACCGGATATCGAGGTACCAGATTGTGAGGTAGAAAAGGTTAACCATACTCTACCAAATGGCCATCCTTCGGTTCATCTTTTCAGGGTTTCATTGTCTGAAGACACGTTTCTCGAAGAAGCTGACAAGATGGACGCTCTGTTCCAGCACCCCAGTATAGAGGGTGTGTACGAACGACACGTTTCCCCCAGTGTCCGGGCTGTGCTCAAATTGGGAAGCCATTGTACTTTTGACGAAGAGCAACGGGGTGTACTGGGCGATGGATTGGACAAGGGCTTTGACCTTTCGAACCTACTGCACACTTCCTCCGATACGCCTTATCTCTTGGACTCTCCTTTAGCCTACCACTACCTCTACCATGTGTCATCTGGCGATCGCCAGATATTTGCACTTTTCTCAACGACCAAGAAAGAAGCACACATCGTCATTCTGAATCGCACGAGAGATGTCCAGGGACTACCAAACGTCGACAAAATCTACTCGGAACTTCTTACGAGGAAGCTGCAAGATGGTTCCAGTGACGAAGTGCAGAATGCATTCCAATACCAGGATAAGATCCACTTCAAGACTACGCAGGTGATGACAAGACGGAAGGCTCACCTTGAAGTTGGCGACTTGGTGCGTAAACTCCGAAACGATGAGAGCCAGCCGGCTGTACTGGTAATTCAATCTCAGCAAAAAGACCGTCTTTGCCATGACATCCCCATTCTGAAAGAGTACCCGACCCTTTCCGTAAAACCGGAAGTTTCTGACATGGAACTGCCTCCTCTTGGCTGGCAGGCGTTCATTTCAAGGCGGATTGTCACGCACTATCTGTACCTGTCGGCTTGGATTCAGCACCTGACGCTGCTCGCACGGTACGGAGATGTCCCGCTCTGCAATCTTGAGACCGATGACCCTCGATACCTCATCGATATCTCATATGCTCGGCGATTGCAAAAGAGTAATGTTGTGTTGTGGTGGTCGAACGGGCCGCGACCTGACCACGCCGGCTATGAGAAGGACGACATCGTTGGGCCGCTCGAGAAGGTTAACATGCCATCGGTAAATATGCCGAATGCATATTCAACCGTCTGTATTGAATTGGATGTTCGGAACCTTGCCATCAACACCATTCTTACTTCATCTATTGTCAGTGACATGGATGGAGGCGACACTCTCCTCGCTGGGAATGGTACCGAGGACAACGGGATCTTATATTCTGAAAAGGCGTTCGCATCTGCGGGTGCCGTTGTACTTCGAGAGATGGTCAAACACTGGTGGACTGAAGCATGCGCCGGTAATAGCATGGCCGATATCATGGTGCAACACTTAATTCGATGGGTTGAGAGCCCAGTTTCATGTCTCTATGATCGGTCTCTGCACAACTACGTGCGCCTGCTGTCACGCAAATCCTTCCAACGACTGATGGGTGAATTCCGACGAGTTGGCTCCAACGTCGTCTTCGCTAGTTCGACTCGTCTCCTGCTTCAGACCACGAAGACTGAGGTGGGTAACGCATATGCCTACAGTCAATATGTCTTGAAATCCATTCGGGCGAATCCATCCTTCCACTTCGTCGATCTGGAGATCAAGGAATACTGGGACTACCTTGTTTGGTATGATGAGTACAACTACGGCGGCAAGGGCTGTCGCGAGGTGGTAGAGGCAGAACAGCAAGACCTCGAGACCGTCATGCACTGGCAACTCAATAGGTTCCTCCCGACGCCCATGCAGAACATCTTCAACGACTGGACTGTCGAGTTCATTGAACTGATGCACAACTTGAAACGACCAGATCTCCAGAACGGTAACATGTCTTCAACGCCCCGTATGACGCAGATCCCCATTGGACAGCCAGGCGATAAGGAAAGTGAAGAAATTTCGGCCATTCTTGCCGAGAAGTTCTCGAAGCCTCTTAAGAAGCAAATCTTGGGCTTAATCCGCCGCCAGCGGGACGAGCTACTCCATCCAGAACTCGCATCTGACTACGCCTTCCCCGTCCTGACCTGGTGTTCTCGTGGATCCGAATCACGACAAGCGGAACCCGGCATTAGAGCTAGTGAAGCTGCTGATGCAGGTCCTCAGTCTGTCCAAGACTATCTCATTGGAGTCACGACTGTTGCGACGTGAACTGCTCGCTCTCTTTGAAGTTCGCGAGTTCAGCAAAGAAGGTCGATTCGAAAACCCCAGCACCAATTTCAAATTGACAGAGCTGACCTGCAACGCTTGCTGTCTCATTCGAGATCTTGATCTATGCCGCGATGAGGATGTGCTGCCGGACCCTGGGGCCGAAGCCAGCAAAACCCCCAAGCCTTGGCGTTGTCCCTTCTGTCAGACGGAATACGATCGACTTGCTCAAGAGGAAGTCATGATTGGCCAAGTCCATGGTCTCGTGGTTGAGTGGCAGACACAAGATCTGAAGTGCGCCAAGTGCAGCAACCTCAAAGTGAGCGAGTTCATGGAGCACTGCTCATGTAGTGGCACGTGGGCACCTACTATTGATCTCAAGGAGACGGAGAAGAAACTCCAGGTGATGCAGAGCGTCGCCAAGTTCCATAGTCTTCAATTGCTCGAAGGTGAGGTGGACAGCATCCTAGCTCGCATGTAGGACGATGGCGGTGGGGGGAAGGATTTTTATTTATTTATTTATTTTTGATGCCTCTTGTGCTTGGGGGTTCACAGTTACTTGATGATTTTTATGTTTCTGTCGGGGGGTTTACACGACATTGGAGGAGTTTGGGGCGTTTTTGACTGCATACGTTAGCCCAACTGTAAATACTGGAGACGTTGGCGATCCTCGTCGATCCAGACTGTCTCCCTCTTATTCATACTTACACTTCCCTTTTGACTCTTCTCTCTTCCCCCTACTTTCTTGTAGTCCCTGAATGCTCTCCTCACAGAAACTGCATATCCGAGTAATTTAGGGGTGGCCGTGAGTGTTTCACATGTTTTCGTTTACTAGTAGCGGGGCAGATCTGTGGGCTCCGCAGTTTCAGCGCATGAAGCTAATCCTTTCGCAAACACAGGTACATATCGACCAACGCCGTATATAATCCCTCCGGCCCTCTACATTCCCAGCCAGTCCCCCTTCCTGCCTCATCGCTCCTGTAACCTCGCTCGTCGCTCCCCGTCACCGATTCCTTTCGGCCCCCAATGGCCCAGCCTCCCAGGCCTCAAGTTCAGCCTTGCCGGTACAAGACGGGCAAGACCCTCGGCGCCGGCTCATACTCTGTCGTCAAGGAATGTGTGCATATTGATACGGGTCGCTACTATGCAGCCAAGGTCATCAACAAGCGGCTCATGGCCGGTCGCGAGCACATGGTTAGACACCCCGCCAATCCCCCGCAGCAGACCCCGCGATCATGAGGAGGGAGACTGATTGAGAGCTATCCCAGGTCCGCAATGAGATCGCAGTCCTGAAAAAGGTGTCTGTTGGGCACCAGAATATCTTAACTCTGGTGGATTACTTCGAGACCATGAACAACTGTACGTGCGCCGCCAGCGCAAGGTCGAAATGCCTCTTTGCGGGTGCCTGAAAACCCCCCCGACCGCTGACAATCGCCGAATCTGCAGTGTATCTCAGTAACCGACCTCGCTTTGGGAGGCGAATTGTTCGACCGCATCTGCCGTAAAGGCAGCTACTTCGAGACCGATGCTGCCAGCCTGATTCGCGCGATCCTTTCTGCGGTCGCTTACCTGCACGACCACGGTATCGTGCATCGCGACCTCAAGCCCGAGAATCTGCTCTTCCGTACACCAGAAGACAACGCGGATCTTCTGATCGCCGATTTTGGTCTTTCGAGGATCATGGACGAGGAACAGTTCCATGTTTTAACCACTACGTGTGGTACGCCGGGGTACATGGCCCCGGAGATCTTCAAGAAGACCGGTCACGGCAAGCCAGTGTACGTTGCCGACACCTCGCTGGCATTCCCTGCTTCCTCGGAGGTTTACTGACAGAAAGCAGCGACATCTGGGCCATTGGCGTCATCACCTACTTCTTGCTGTGCGGATATACCCCCTTTGATGCGGACTCGAACTTGGAAGAGATGCAAGCCATTCTCAAAGCCAACTACTCCTTCACTCCGGAGGATTACTGGCGCGGTGTCTCACAAGAAGCGCGTAACTTTATCGACCGCTGTCTCACAATTGCCCCAGAACAGCGAATGACCGCACACGAAGCATTGCAGCATCCCTGGATCAACCCACCGTACGACGACCCACGCACCGGCTCTGGGCCGACCTGTTGCCTACCATCAAGAAGAACTTCAATGCCCGTCGCACCCTGCACCGAGCTATTGACACCGTGCGTGCAATCAACAAACTGCGCGAGGGCGGTGGCTTCATGATGGACGGTGCAATGAGCATCGACCCCAAACCCGAGCGTGTCAATGGCGACGAGATCACCTTCGAATCGGACCAAGCGACACCAACCCAGGATGTCATGCAGATTGATAGCCGCGGGAACGCGCGCGGCCAGAGTGAGGCACAGATCCAGGAACAGCAGCGTCGAGTCAAGGAAACCATTGCTGGTTTATGGAGTCGTTCGGGCCGGTAAATTGACATATTCGACTTGCTATGCTCTATTTGTAGCGTGAGGAATACCGCTGTAATTAAGCTATTGAATCGATTCAGCCACTGAGTTTTTCTTTCGATCGTGGTTAAGATATGTTATGAATATATTCAATGATTGATGATCCTTGAATCTACCGTCGTCTGAAGATTGTATGTAGCAGATGAGCTGGCCATCAAAGAATTATCTCCGCACTCGATATGGGATAATGCTTTTCCAAACAGCGCCTATGCGGCAGCCGGGCCAAGAGCATGCTTCCGAGCCCTCGCCGTATCCCACATCCCTCAGAAACCATGACATTAAGCGGTTGAAATTGATCTTCCGACTCCAACATGAACGTGAACTTCGATGAGGCCAGCGTGGGAGACTGACAAACCCGATCGATCCTAGCCGTCGCTTCGCTGCCGTACTTGATATATCCTGAAGACCGCCTTCCGCGCGTGCAAGGCGAGGCAGACCGAAGAGCGCAGATGAACAGGTCTCGGCTCGCCTAGCATCCACCATCATCATGAGAATTATTTTGGTGCAGCATATCGCTGACCATTTCGCTATTATGTGCTGGCGTTTCCTTGTCGCTCACAATTTTGTCCTGCGGTGGTCTCGTTTGAGGACCATCGGTATCTCGATCAGCAACGCGATCTCCCTCGGTGGCTACAGTAGACGTGTTAGCGAGGCGGCACGCATATCTTGAGAACAAGACGCACCTTGGGATTGTCCATCGGTTTCTGGTCGTTGTTGTCTCTGCTTCTCCGAGTTCTGGCGCTTCTTCATCGATTCGTCGGACGCGCTTTTGCTCCCTGGAATGTTCGGGATGCCATGGTATATTCGGGCTTCCGAGTCGGTCATCGTGGGCTCCTGCTCACAAGGTGCATCCTGCTTCTCTTGGTCGCGGGCACTACGCTTAAGTTATTTTTGAAGTGTGGAGGCATAGACGGGTTGACGTCGATGTGACGTAGATATGCCACTGATCGACCCTGAGCTCAACGTACTTATCAGCTTGACAAGGCTGGGAAGAAAATTGGAGTCGGCTTTTCTCGCATCATATTGGCTGGGTTCAAACTACTTTAGAATAGGGAGGGTCGAAGCGCGGCCGGAAGGATTCGCCAGCGAATGGTATTCTAGTAGCATCGGTAGATCCCGCAGAACATTCAAGGACCGAACCGGCTGTGGAGACTTTGGGGTACATTTGGGGAGAAGGACACAGTATATGCACAGTCTATGAACCAGATCAGATATCGGTTCATGCTCATATATGTCATATTCTCGGAGATAAGCACATACCTGATACATGCAAGTGTTTACGCTTACCTCCAGCTCTATAGAGATATAGGAACTTATCAGATTCGACCCTCCCTTCCCAAGGAAGTATTCACAAGTCTTGCAGCTCCGTATTACGATTTAGGCGGTGCAATCAGCTTGCCATCCTGGAGTTTCCACCCTTGATACTTCAACTTCTTCCACTTTTGGCCCGCTTTGATGCGAACCAAGTCACCCGTTGCTATGGCATCTTCTTTAGAATCATGGCCTTGGTCTCCTCCGGTTTGGATGTCCCGCTTGAGGTAGGTCTTGGCTAGTGCCTTGAGACTCATTCTCATAGGCAGACGGCGGGGATGCGGATACAGAATAACCGTATCGATGACGGTAGGATGGATGATTCGGCAGGCGTTGAGGTCGTTATCGATTGCATGGCCGATCAGAGGAGTATCAGGCTGAAGGAAACTGAAAAGAACCTCGCGTGCCGCAGCGGGCGACTCAACATACTGAAGAGCTTTGGTCTCACCTCCTGTCTCCTGCAATGGGCCCTTGCCCTTCACGGCGGTACCATAAAGCGTAGCAGACGCATAGTGTTCCGGGAACACTCCGGAGTATCGTGAGTTAAGGTCAAGCAACTCGCCCATGGGCTTGACTAGGATATCCACAAGCTCACGGCCTTCGGGCCAGCTGACCGCGGTCAGACGAACGAGCTCCATACCCAATGTAGTGTATCCCATTTCACAATCAAAAGACACAGGATCATGCTTTTTGTCATCTGGTTGCAGCGGCGTCTCTTTAAACTGGAGGACCGCTGCCAAGCGGTTCCTGTCCGAAAATTTGTAGACATGCGTTTTAGCCGTAGTGCAACCCCGCGAAGCCCCTACTGCTTCACCACAGCAAGGGTAATAGACGTCCGAGGAACCAGTGATTTGGTCTGTTCTCTTGCGCCGAGGGTATGATGGCCGAATAGGGTGATATTTGCACTCACCGCCGCTAGCCAACGTTCCGTCCACATGGCGACCTGGAAAGACTTGGAAACGTGTGCTGCACCGATCGCATACCTCCCATCCTTTGGATACATCGATACCTTTTCTGGCCGATTCAACATCTTTCTCCTTGGGCAGTGTTGTGACATACCCATGTTCTTCCAGGCCCTTCAAAGGGGTGACGAGTTCGTTGGCTAATGCAATCTCATCCTTCACTGTCAGATTTAGGTCCGCGTTGATAGGGGGTGGTGTGTCCTCGAGCTTCTGTTGCTGACCGAGCTCCGAATTGTAATATCTCGTGTTTAGATGTTTCATGACCTCTTGGATCCAGTCTTCCAGAAGCATCTTGGTGAATTTAACAATGCGGAGTTTAATGACATTTTTGTAGACGGCGGGGCTTTCCCTGGCCATGGTTTCCTCCTCATCTAAGGCCATGATGATGAGCTCCTGCTTAGTCAAGGTAAAGCATATCTGAGAAGGTAACTCTTTGGCCACCCTATTGTTTAGGCGTGTCATCGCTTCGTGTAGCTTGGTGACGAGCACAAGACGAACATTGTGCGTTGCAGGCGGTTTTGGAAGCATGCGAGGATTAAGACTCTCTTTGGGTACAATTCGGGGGGGGTAACTTGGTCGAAACCCCATCGGAGGCAGAGGCACTGGCCGGAGCAGAAACACTGGCCGGAGCAGGAGTAGCTGCAGGCTCGGCAGGTTTGGAGCTGCTAGCCGATGGAGACGCCACAGCATCAACTCTCGAGGGAGGCCGGGAAACATTGTTCAGACTCTTCTTCAAATCGGTCATCAAAATTTCAGTGGGTTCTTGCTCGACTTTTATTCTTTTTGGCGTGCGTTGGCCCTCATAATCCTGTATCTGCGGAAGGACTGATAAGTTGTTCTCGGCTGTTGGCTGATCGCCGGGCTTGTGAGAAAACAAGCAGTTCAGGAGAGAGCACTCTTCGCCCTTGGGGCATGGCACAATGGCGGAAAACTTTCCCAGGGGTGTGAACATGATTTGGCGCTTAGTGGAACCCTGTATACAAGGTTAAGTGAACTATGCTGGACCACTGTGATGATCCGGGCGATGCGCATAGGTCACTAACCGGGCGGCATGGAGCTCGTTCCAATGGCAGAGCTCCGATGTGATATTCGGTCGAGAGTCATGGGCCAGAGATGACAAGCCCTTTATGCACGTTGGAGCTCATCCACCAAGCGGAACGGCAACAGATATCTTCGTGGCACACTGCCCACAGCTCCCTTGAGGGCGGTTGACGAGGAAGAAAGAGAGGCTGGCAGGCCACACGCTAAAAGAAGAGGCTGCTGAGATACTGCAGGCTTCCCTGGGATGAACCTATGAAGGCCTCTGTAAACTATAAATTTGCGACGTCAACAGCGCGATGGACCTTGAAAGAGATGCAAACGAAACAAACTTCACCACCTGCCCTGCGTCTGCCTGCCGAATAAGGCCGCGATCTTATCGGCTTATCGGGCGTCGAACAGTCCTTTGGCTTCGGAATCGGAGGAATGAGTGACGCCTACTTAACTCCGCCCGGCCTTTATCGCCGCACGCTCTTAAAAGAGGCGGCGTACCCATTCCTACAGGAACTCAGTTTGGATCCTTTTACGTCTCATCATGTCCGTTGATTCAGCGAAAGTGGGCCATTTATGCGTCCTTGTACATGGGTAAGGACTAGTCCTGTGACGTGCCGTCCAATCTGGCCTCTATACTTCCCCTTCCCGGAGACATTTGTTTCACGTCGAGTAGGAAATAGACCTCGAAGCTAATTGTTGGGTTTCCGTAGGCTTTGGGGAAACCCCTCGCATCTTGATTATCTGGCTGCGGCCTTGAAAGAGCGACATGGTGATGAGCTTCACACACTATGTCCCAGCGGAAACAGCGGGAACAACACATACGATGGGGTTGATGTCCTCGGAGAGCGCGTCGTGCAAGAAATCGAAGCCGCCTTACAAAACCTCGAGGCCGACGGCCATGTGATCAAGAAAATCAGCCTCATCGGGTATTCCCTTGGTGGTCTCGTGGCACGCTATGCAATTGGCATTCTCCAAGCCAACGGCTGGCTCGATAAGCTGGAGCCAGTGAATTTTACCACATTCGCATCGCCGCATGTGGGTGCACGAACACCACTCAAGGGCTTTGCGAGCAGTGTTTGGAATGGTGTCGGTCCGAGTATGATCTCTGCGTCTGGCCAACAGATGTTCATGGTGGACTCCTTCCGTGATACCGGGCGACCCCTATTCAGCGTGATGGCCGACCGAGAGAGCGTCTTCATCCAAGGATTGAAGAGGTTTCCGAATCGCAGCCTCTATGCAAACGTCGTCAACGACCGCATCACTTCATTTTTCTCAACTGCGATTTCCAAAACTGATCCCTTCCAAGACCTGGATAACCTCAACATCAATTATGTGGAGGGTTATGAGCGGGTCATTATTAATTGCGACCAATGGCTTCTTCCTCAAAAGACGTCTGACTTTAAGACCTCCCCTTGGAAAACCCCTGTTGCCTACGCACGTCAGATGCCCCTTTTTCTTTTAGCGATGTTTATTCTTCCTCCTGCCTTGACAGCATTTGTTGTCCACGCTGCCATTCAAACAGTGCGCAGCCGCAAGAGGATCCGGCTACATGGCGAGGGCCAACTCGGTGCCCTTTTCAAGAAGTACCGAGTGCCCTTACTAGTGAAGGATGCTCAACATGCGATGGAAGAAGTCCTTGAAAATGTCAACGCAACCCAAGAACCTGCCTATCTCTCCAGCACAGACGACGATGATTCTGATGTTGAGGATGCTGCTACTCCTTTGAATGAAAACAACCTCGACTTATTAGGCACTGCTAAGCAGCAGCCTTCCGCCGATGGTGACACAATTGCCCATCCACCCAAGCTTGCATTAACTCCTGAACAATTCGAGATCATCGACTCCCTCAACGGTGTAGGATTCCACAAATATCCAGTGTACATCCACACCCACCACCATAGCCATGCTGCTATCGTTGTTCGCATTCAAAAAGATTCATTCTGGGAGGGCAAGATAGTCGTCAAGCATTGGCTTGACAACGAGTTCAAGGCTTGATGTCAAGCAAAGATAATACTCTAATGATTGTGGCGTTTTAGCGAATATCTTTTGTGTTGTTCTTATCATCTTTCTGGGAGTTCTTGCGTCGGACAATGTACAATACCACCATACTATTAGACTTACATGAATTCATTTTGGATGCAACCGTCAATCAACTCATTACTACGGGTAAAAGTCTATACTTCGATCTATAGTGCTGCGGGCACATCGTAAGATATTCGCGTGATCCCCTTTTGCCGACTGATCTTGCGGATCGTCACAGACCCCACTTGACCACTGGTTTCGACATGGGTGCCTCCACAAGGGTTATGATCAAGACCGCCGATGCTAACAATACGAACAGGGCCATCGCCCACCTTCGCGCGCTCGTCAACCTGTGTGCCAGGTTCCAGCCAGGAGATGAGGACCGGCAGATCCTTCTGCACCAACTCATCCACTTTAGCCTGCAATAAAGGCTTGCTGTCATTATAGAGTAAACCCTCATACTCCAGAGACGCTTCTTTCGGGAAGTGGTTGGCCTTGACCTCTTTCATCTCCGGCATAAGAACCTCCATTGCCACCCCAAGGATATGGCCTCCGGTGTGAAGCCGGGAGTGGTAATCGCGTTTAGCACTGTCGACTTTTTGCACGACAGCCTGGCCTTCGGTGAAAGCAGTGTTACTTGCCACGGACTTTCCGAAATGAAGGATCCTCCCATCAGGAGCTTTGCGGACAAGAGATACAGTGAACCCAGGCTCCTGGTCTACAGCGCCGATGGTGCCGGTGTCGCTTGGCTGACCGCCTCCTTGCGCATACAGAATTGTCTGGCGGGTCGTCATAGCTGCATACTCCGGGTCGACATTCTTGGCAAGGCTTTGGTCATCTTCGGAGAGGGAAGCAATTGGCTGGTAGGATACAACCTCGGTTGTCAGCGTCCTCAGAGATGCGTCATGCAGGTACACTGCTTCTGTGGGCATAACCTATGTCAACTTAGCCAATGATCCTATGCCTCATGTAAGTGAGCTGATCTCACCATCCTGCCGGCTGCGCTAGCACCGTTTACTAGACTATGTCCTTTTGTTTCGAGAGACGAATCCTTTATATCGAGTCCCGCACCGTGTGGGTCGCGATGTCAATTTTAGGGCGGATGTTAGTGCCTTGATCGTCAGGCAGATGGTGTCTTCGAGATTGCTCCGCCTTAGTGGTCCCTCTCGATCTTGGGAGGCTGCTCTGTTCGATTATAGGATTAGCTTCGAATGCTCAGGTACCAGTAACGGTCCGACCAATACCGGTAGCTCCATAGTGTGGGTAGTCAAAAGCCACTGGTAAGAGGTGCAGCGTTTTCATCACTTGATTGAGGCTCCATTCCGGATAAAACATTCCGGGTATTATGACATGAAGCCGGATACAATGAGCTGCTCTGTGCGTAATATCCTTTAGTTACGGGATCCATGTATGTATTTCGTCGAGTATTCTCCGTAGTCCAGTTCCAGAATCCGCCACTCCGTGAATTGCGTGCATCATTCCCAGTCCGTAGGTTGGGCCTCGGGTCTCCAACAACTTTCTCGTGAATTCAACGTGGCTGATGATAGGCCAAAAATGACTCAACTTTGGATTAGTGGGGTATTCCGAGGCACATGGCTTTCCTTAACATCATACGAAAAATCGATTTGCAGCAGAACCGGGAATGAAATGAGTGACGTCATTAGCATAAGCGCCTCTCGCCATGCAATCCAGGCCACAATGCTTGCAAGCTTGAGGCTAATGAACCCCCTGTTCTTCTCATTGGATGAAGGAACTACCGGTGGCTGTTCACTTTCCCCTCTTTTGCCTAGTCAATCTAATAAAAGCCTTCGAAGGCACCGGGATACTGAGAGCCTTAGTTCTATTCGGTGATGAGTAAGAGTGGAGCCCCAACGTCATTTTCAAGAGAGACCCATCGCAAGGACACTAGTACCATGTCACCCTCGTGAGCGCGCACGGCGATTCATCGTATCGAGACACTAGTATACGGTCGAATCGAGCGAGCGAACCAGGCCGATGGACGCGGGCTTGATGATATCAGCGCTCTCTCGGTGAGCATTACTGCATTTCAAAAACCTGTAGAAGGCCCCCTACCTCGGATTCTTGATGCGTTGGAAGGTAGGGGTGGGTTCGCACTTCTTATCACTAAGAGAATTCATAGCGAATCTGTTGCGTTCTGCGGCAGTACAGTATGCCTAGGCCCACTGATAGCCAGGGGCCTCGCGAACATTGAACCAGACCCATGACGAAGGTCGGTGGGTCCAAATTTCTTGATCATACAGTCCCCGCAAACAGAGATAGGAGAAGTATATTACTTATATGGCTCTTGCTTCGCTCGTTTTCGCAGGGCTTCATTGACAGACTTTGAACACTTTATTTTTACCCTCCCAAAAAGTTTTTACGAGCCTACAACGAACTTTCTACTCACTTTATACCCCGGATCCACCACTTCTTCGCATCCACAATGCCAGGTGTTGACTCAGAGTCATTTAGGGCTAGTAGACTTCGCAGACTCTCAAGTCTCGATGCGACAGCCAAAAAGTATGGCCACTTACATATGGCCCTGCCACCACGGTCTCTGAATAGACCGACAAAGGATCTTCCTTTGGACTCGCCTATCCACCTGGCCGACCCTCTCTTGGACCAAGGGCTGGCCTCTACCGGAGGGATGGCCAACGGAGAAGTCCCTTTGGCGACACCCTCAATCGGCACCACCAGCGAGGACTTCGCTCTTGCTTTCGATATCGACGGCGTGCTCATACGTGGCGGCACTGCCATCCCTGAAGCGATCGAAGCCATGAAATATATCAACGGCGAAAACCCCTATGGAATCCGAGTGTGAGTCTCCACCACGCTATCTAAACCCACCCCCGCCGAAGTCACACCCACTGACCGTAATCTCTCCAGACCCTATATCTTCCTCACCAACGGAGGCGGCAAAAGCGAACAGGAGCGCTGCGACGACCTGAGCCGCCAGCTCCAATCCAATGTCGTCCCGGGCCAATTCATCTGCGGCCACACGCCCATGCGCGAGATGGCGGAGAAGTACAACACCGTCCTCGTGATCGGCGGCGAAGGCGAAAAGTGCCGCATCGTCGCCGAAGCCTACGGCTTCAAGAACGTCATCACCCCCGGCGACATCATCAAGACGAAGCCCGACACCGCGCCCTTCCGCAAACTGACCGAGGAAGAATGGAACAACTCGCGCACGCTGGACCTGGAGAACCTGCAGATCGAGGCAGTGTTCGTCTTCGCCGACAGCCGCGACTGGGCGAGCGATCAGCAGATCATCCTCGACGTGCTGATGACGAAGGAGGGCCGCCTGGGCCACCGCTCGGAGGTGTTTAACGAGGGCCCGCCGCTGTACTTCTCGCATAACGACGTTGTCTGGTCGACGTCGCACGAGTACACGCGGATCGGCATGGGGGCGTTGCGGGCGTCTGTCGAGGCCCTCTATAAGGCTGTGACGGGAGTGGAGTTGAATACGTTTGCGTTTGGGAAGCCGCAGATTGGGACGTTCCAGTTTGCGACGCGGTTCTTGCAGCAGTGGCGCAGCGTGTCCCATGGAATTGACAAGCCGCCCGCAACCGTATATTTCTTCGGTGACACGCCCGAATCGGATATCCGGGGCACGAATGAGTACAACAAGGTTGCCGAGAACGAGTGGTTCTCTGTCTTGGTGAAGACGGGTGTCTATCAGAGTGGTACCCCCAGCTATCGGCCGAACCATATCTGCGAGAATATACTCGAGGGCGTCAAATTTGCCATCGAGCGCGAGCATCGGAAGACGAAGGAGCGGGGCTCTCTTGCTGGCACCGAAAAAAAGCAAAATGAAGAAAATCAGCCCGATGGGGCTGAGGCTCAGGCGTAATTTGTCCAGCTGCTTGACTTTCGCTGCTCCTTTCGGTCACCCTGATTACCCTGATGACATCATGAATCTGGCGATTGCTCTTTTTTTCCCTTTAGAATTTTGATGTGTCATAGATCTAGAAAAAAAAACAGAGGTATTAATGAATAGAGATTATGATGATATTTGTATAATACCATTCTCCTTAACTTTGGAGGGTCAACGTGGCATGGCGAAAAACCTCGAAAGATTTCAGGGATGGTGAAGACGAGCGTTACGCAGTGAGACAGTACATTCTGGCGACGGGTCAACATGTACTTGGGGCCTTGGTCTAAATGGGATGACATTCGACTGAAGCTCACTTCAGCCAGTCAATCGAAAGGTAGCCGGATCGATACCGGCAGGCCCCATTTTTTTTTCTTTATTTTTTTATTTTTTCCGACCCCACCATCCCGGAATAATTGTATCGACAACTTGAGGATCGATGATTCTACATACCTCCAAGGCGAGGTCGTTATCAATTGCGTCGTTTGTTACTGGGGCTGAGACTGGAGAGGACTGAAGAGTGTGTTGCAGGTGACTTCAACATACCAAGTCTTTGCATCATCTCCTTCCTACGCTGATTCCGCTTCTCTCCGTACTGCCATTATCAGTAGCTACAATTCAAGTTATGCAATTATGCCTTTGTCGTTTCTAACCGTGAAAATTTCTACGCTGGGCTAGCAACTTGATAGTGAGCCACAGAAGGCGGAGTCAGTTGAACTTCCACATCCCGCTCTCGGGGAATAATGTAAAGCATAATATCAGGGGAATATATACTCCCGACCCACTGAGTTTTGACATCTTGTGCCATTCGAGAAACAAACCATTGCCGAAACGCCCATCATCCTGAAACATGCCCTTTCCACTACCGATCGAAGCAAACGCCGCACCAATACTCAGAAAACAATCATTCCCAACTATCAGCTACAACCCGACCAAGTGAAACAACGACATCAATCTCATCCGTCAACGCATAATTCTTAAAAATGACAAGTCTCGAAACCGGGGTAACTAGCTCACCTTGGAATCGTTCGCCTGCCCCGCTGGGTTCGGGACAGACAGCTGTTGATGTGCCCTCTCTCTCTTCACATTTGATCTCGACGTGGACAGCATTGGGCAAGTCTGATGCGCGCTCAGTCGGCCCGCTGCCCGTGAGCCTAAGCGCTCCAAACCGACAAGGGGCTCGCATCTCGGGGGGCGAGACGGCGAGTACCGACGTGCGAATTTCGAAAGGTAGAGTTGGAGCGTCGCTGACGGTACGGTTGGGCCTGTCTACTATGCCGTGGAGGGTTGAGTCGTACACGGGGACGTGGAGTGCGGGTGGAAGACTCAGAGTCTGAGCAGCTTGAGAGCTTCTGCTGCGGTTATTAGGATCGGCTTCGCTATTGCTGCGAGAGAAAGGGTTGAACAATACTGTTGATGACACTGGTTGACTGCGAGGAGGCGGAGCTTGAGACTGCTGGGTTGGAGGGATGTAATGGTGGAAGTTCAGAGAGATGGGTTGCTGCTCGAACTGTTCGCCTCGTAGGGCCAGATGAGAAGGACTTGCAGATGGGGGCAGCATCGAATTGTGCGCTCGACTGACAGTGCCAGCACTGGATGAAATGTAGTTATTGTTGATTGGGGGCCTTGGTTGCATTGATATACTCGAGGCCTGCCCAGCTTGGGCCTGAGCTACAGGGACAGAATAACCCGAAGACGAGAGCTGAGGTGGATGGTGTGGATGCTGCTGGGACAAAGCCAGTGAATCCGAGTTATTTCCACCGATGCCGGTGAAGATGCAGGGGATCATATGAGGAGGAACACCGTAATTCGTTGCGTCTCTCAGCATCGCGTGCTCGATCTTGCGTTGCTCCAGACGAAGTGTCTCTTGACGGGTCTTCTCCTCTTGCTGGGCTCGACGATCTTCCTCGGACTTGGCCTGGAGCCAAGTCTGCAAGGCGCCATCATGGGTTGATGCGGGGGGAGGGGGAAGCGAAGAGCGCCCTGAAGGTGTCATGGCTGGAAGAGCTCTGAAGGAATCCAATGGGGGAAGACTTCGACTAGAAGACTCCATTAAAACACGGCCAGTGCTTCGAAGACACGCTGGACCCTGACAATGACCACGCGGATGGGCTATCTAGACGAGCGAGCGGGTTATCGGGGGTCTTTCTGCGCCGGTTTAGATATTAGCATACCCTGCATATGTAATAGAATGTTTAACGGAATACCTGTTTCACAATCAACGCAACCACTGCTCGCGCGTACCAACCAGGAGAGGGTGAAGCCTACGAGGCAACCCTATCTTTCCTAAAAAGGAAAGCAACTGCTCCTTCAGAATCGCGTCCGATCTTGCCCAGTAGAATCAGTCAAGGCTGACTCAGCTAGGCCCCGGGGGCCTAGCATGTAGAGCTGGTGGAGTTGGGGCGAGCGAGAAACCAAAGACCGAGGGGAAAGAAGAGTGTGAGGAGATAATGTATGGGAGGGGAGGGAGGGGAGAAGGCGACGAGGTGACAACAAGAATTCGAGTGTGTGAGGGCGCGTCCAAATGGTTAAAGACTGCTCAATTAGCGCAACGATCGATGCGTCAAGTTACGATGGGGAAGCTGGCTGATCACGATATTTTACGTGAAACGAGCAGAACAGAAAGAAAAGACTACCTAGGGAAATAAAGGGAGGACGGAAGAAGACATGGGGGGAAGCCTGCGATCCAGCTGAAGCAACATGCATCAGATATGGAGAAGAATGAAGTCAGGACTGTAAAGTACTTCAGCAGCTTTTACCCCCCCCCCCCCAGTGGGCTGCGCTAAATCAGCAAGGCAAAATGCCCACTATGGAAAATGGGTCGCCATTTACAGCGTATATCGCATGGGAATGGAAATGGGGATTGGATGAGGCTCTGAAGGGAAAAGGGGTCGATGGGAAGGGGTTGGGTGCAGGGGATTGGTGTCTACGACGGCTGCAAAGAACACAGAAGAAGGAAGTCCGTGGTCAGCTCGCCAGCTCAGTGGGCCAAAGAATAGCCTTGGTAGCGTAAATCCACTCCAAAACGAGAACAAAACAAGAAAGACGGGCAATCGACAGGGGTTACAGGGCACAGGATCCAATAAGAGGCCCTCGCCCTCCAAGATCCAAAAAATTGATCTTTCAGCTCACACGTAGCTTCAAATAATCCCTGCCAACTTACCCTCGTCATTCCAGATTGGGAAAAACAGGTGTAGACGTGCATAAATACCGCTGGGCGGCCTCGCTTAACTCGATCTGCAGATCCGAATATCATTCAGTCTCAGCTCCCGCGCCGCTCAAGGTCTGGAGGCCTGACTCGGAGGAACCGAGCAAATTTGCAAAAAGTGCACTTACGTTACAGATCTGCCAGCCTCGTCCTCGAAGAAGAGGAACTGTGTCTATGCTGTCTATTTCCGGCTAAGAATTGACCCTGCAACAAGACCTACGCTCTTGAGAGAGAATAGCATACGGATGATTACCATACCCACAGAAACTCGCCGCTTGGGAAGGGTCTCATGAATACATCTTCCACTATACATTACTGACTGTTTTTCTGTGCGGGCGATGTAGAGCAATTAAATGACAAGCCTGCGTTGTCCGCCATCCCCGACACTTCAAAGCACCTACACCGAGACGAGCAAGAAGAGTGAAGTACATGGTTTAAGGTGGACCAACCTCCTAGAAGCCTTGATTATATGTCGTGTCCGCGGTCAAACCGACTAAGAACCTCCGCTGGAACGGTGGGGATATACTTGCGGGCCCGCTCACGGTTCGTACCGCCGAGGCCCGCGCCATAACTAATGAGCATGTCTGTACTGGTGGGCAGGGAGAAGGGGAGGAAGAGCGTTGGGTCGAGGAAGACGCTGTTGGGACGGTCCTCTTTGGCCGTGGCGATCATCATACTGGTCGGTCTTGATGATGTTGTGTTAGACTCGGGGGAAGTTGGACCCGGGTTTGGGGTAGCCGAGGTATTCGATGCCTGTGGATCATCTTTGGTGGGCGTTTCTGGGCGGACGGGGGTGTCCTTGTCTGGCACCGGCGGGGGCCCATTGGCCTGGTCTTTCTCGGCTTGGATCCTTTGCTGTTCTCGGAATAATAGGTCCGGGTCACGCTGGACGTCGAGAAGGAATTTCATGGCTTGCTTGGTGAGGCCCTTCTCGCCGACTTCAGGTCGGTATGATTTCACTGCGTGGAGGAGTTGAATGGGGACGAGTTGTTGGAGTTGAAGTAAGGTTGTCACCAGTGACTCGTGGTCATCCCCGAGGGAGGAAAAGCATTGCAGCCATTGGAGTAATTGGATAACGGGGGCTAGATGACGGCGAGCCGCGTCCACGGTGCTCTCCCCGGTACTCGTCATTGATCCATTATCATAATGTTCTGGGTGCCGGTTGTTGGTCCGAGCCCAGTCTTCCAAAGTAGACACGTTCATGCGGATCTGCATAGCTTTGGTCCGCGCCAAATAGCGTTTTGTGGTCATAATTCGATTGAAGATCTCGGCGCTAAGCCAGTAGAAGAGCTGGGAGAGGATTTGGGTAGTGATCACAGAATGTACGTCATAAAGATCTAGCACAAAGAGGGTGGATGAGAGTAGGGATGTGATGTTTCGCGGAGAGATCTGTGCTCGGCGCCGGGGCGATGGGGGTCGGAATCTTTTCTCTGCAGGCTCTGGAGCGTCGGTCTTCTTCTTTTTGAAAATCTTCCACTCGTTCTGGAATGCGATGTCTTCTAACCCCGGGATAGTTTCATGGTCCAGTATGGCGGCATCCAGGACTTTGTTCATCCGTCTCTCGGCGTCGCGAATGATCAGAACAAAGATTTCATTAATCAATTCCGCTAGATGAAGCTGGAATTCCACTGTTGACTCTGCCAATCCAGGATCTTTCTTCAAATAGTGCAGCAACAGCGTTGCATTGGAAAGCCAGAATGCTTGCATGGTCATATCCCACTGATACCTTTCGACAACATCATTGATCTTTTCAGTGGCTGAAGTGAGAAGCGTTGCGAGTAATTCGGGACTGGCGTGATAGTGGGCATAGCGCGCGCTGAGGAAGAGGAGATTGGCTGGCACAGGCTTCTGAGTGGGAGATCGCTGAGGTGTCATATTGGTGATAATAATGTCCAAAATATGCTCTAGTTCATGGTCTTGGAACACGAACATCTGGTCATTCAGACACTTATCCCATACAAATTCTTGCTGATCTTCTTCAAGGTCTTCATCTGATGGCTATTGAGGAAATATATTAGCTTTTTGTACGGCCCCGGCTATCATGAAATACCATGTAACTCACTTCGAACTTCTCGTCCAGCCCGAGGCTAGACAAGTCAACCTCCAGATTGATGGCACTCTCTTCCATCATCATACGCCGCTTCATTTCGCTCTCCGCAAGTTCCTCTTCAAATCTCCCATGTGCCAATCCAGCATCATAGAAGTCATCCTCGATAGCACTAGGCCCAAAATTGTAACCATTCTCATGCAGAAACTCCGACATCTCACTCCCAGGCTGCGCAAAATCGAATGCCGTCCCGCCTGACGATGACTTAATATCCGGCGACGCGCCATGATCGAGCAGGATCTTCGCAATCGCCTTATGTCGGTTCGTCATAGCCCACATCAATGCGCTCCACTGATTCCGATCTTGTTGGTCGACAAAGGCACCGGCATCCAACAGCGCAGAAACCACTTCCTGGTGTCCCTGTAAGACCTTGTCAGCCTCTAGTTCTTGAAAATTCAAACACCCCCTTCGCACCTCAGGGAATTCCAAGAGCGTATCCCTTTCAGCGGATCCGATTGATGGGAGGGGGCCGAGGGAGGGGGTAAGACTCGGGACGGGGACCACCCACGAAACAACTAGCATAGATCAAAGGCACGGTGCCTTCCTCATCCTTCATGTTGACATCAACGTAGCTCTTCGCAGGCCCATCAACCAACTTGCGGATGCGCTCGACATCTCCATTACTCGCCGCCATGTTCAGACTCTTTTGTAGAATATCCCGCTTTTCAACCTCGGTCAGTTTTTCGTCGTTCGCGATGCTCTCCTCGTCTGCGCTCAGCGAGTCTACCTCCCGGTGCGCCGCCTGTGCAGCCAGCATCTCCATCAGCCGGGCATCGCTGTCTTCCAGGTCGCGGCCGTACTGGGCGCGGAGGTCCGTTTCGGGATCGTGCGAGTGGTCATCGAGGGTCAGACTGAAGGAAAGCGGTTTGGCGGCGACGGGGGTAGTGAGGAATTGAGATTGGCCTGCTCCGGTGTAAGTGATCGGTAGGATTTAGCATTTAGCGGATTGCAGAGACACAGCCCCAGAGGAGAGGGCTTTCCGTTTCCTTGCTAAGGTGACCCTAGCGGCTACGGCTCTCAGGATCCAGATCTTCGGGGCTAAGGCTTACCCTGCCACGCATCGTACATCTCAGTCTCTTGGAAGATGGGAACAGAACGGCGGTCATCGAGGGATTTGGGCAAGTCATCGGGGAGTTCTTGCTTCTTAACTGAGTCCGCAGGGCTGGGGCTGGCTTCCGGATCAAGGTCCTCTGAAGCCCCGCGCCGCGGCTCGGTGGTGTCCATGATGGCGGGCCTGCAGTCGAGGGGACCGAAGGCGGGGCATTCAATGGACCAGCTGGTGATAAAGCCCTGAGGGAGAAACTGGGAGATAGAGGAGCCTGCCTCGGAATTGGGGGTTGTCGGTGGGTTGAGAATGGGAGCGAAACGGGGATCGGGCTGAAATCCAAGTCGGTGGATTCGGAGTCGATCAACACTGCTGAGGCAGCTCGTGTGTTATGACGCAGTTTCCTCGCCCACTCTACTTGAATCCATACTATGCGGTTTGATCAACTATAGGCTAGTGTATAAAGAGGTTCGGGGTATCTTTGTATCTTTTATTTTGGAATTTTATGAAACAAAGGGCGCTTTGGTGGAACTTTTGCCCATATGTATGACGGCCATTTACCCCCGTGTCCCCGTGGACATCTCCGGAATCCCTTCTGTATGCCAATGCTCGCTTTAAACGCAAAATAATCAAAAGAAAGTCAAGAATATAAACAAATGCAAGTATTGATACAAATGTATAAACAGAGAAGCAAATCTCTGTAGCAACAAGGGGGGTATGTGTAGTGTAAAATCAGATCAAACAATAGAAAGAAATATCATGAAGGGGTAGGAGGATTTGGTAAATGAGAAAAAGATTATTACTCGAGCTGGCGACTGCGAGCTTGAATCTCATCCTCGGAAAGTGACGCGACCCAAAGGCACCTTTCAATGATCCCTTGAACGGGCTCGAATCGGTACTTGGTGCTTGCATCGATCAGGCGAAGGAGACTCTTAACAATGCGGGCGGCCGTGCGATAGCGTTCGAAGTTGACAAGCAGGCTACCCTCATTGCCAATAACCTGGGCTGGTTTTTGGGCATTATAAGTTAAATCATGGACGTAGAGGCCTGCAGAATAATGATGAGCGGTCGCTGACGGGGTTAGAGAGGGTGGCGAGTCCTACCAATAAAGGGAATGCAGCCTTCTTGAAGATTGGCTGTTTCCATCTCGACGCGAAGATCATGGAAGTTGCGAACAGGTTGAATCAAGCACTCCATGTCTTTAAATAGCCGCTTGTCTTCCGCAGGTACTAATTCCCACGTGCGGTGCAGGCGAGTACAGTCCGAAGAGGACAAAGCAATGGCGATCTGGAGCATAGTGGCATAGTTGCTGATGCGCCGAGCATGGACGGCAGTATGAATGAATTTGATGAGGGTGCGTGCCCGTTCGTGAAGATCGCTGGTAAGGACAATCTCGGAACAGACCCATTTCACCATGAGATTGAAGCGACCGACAACTAGATCAATGCCTTTGCGATCCTCGACATACAGGAATTGCACCCAACTTCGGATCGTCTGAGAAGCATTGCTCCATTTCATTTCGACCAGATCGCGCCAATCAACCTCGCTCAGGGCTGCCATCTCTATCAAGGTCAATTGCTGGGCAAGCACTTGAGATTCACATGCGAGAACGAAGGGGACATGCTCAGGTCCGTTCTCGTTGGCAAAATCTCTTTCCATGTGGCCCTTCTCTGAGTTCTGGAGGACATCGGTGGAGAACTGTGCGACGTTTCTTGGAGGCTCATTCTGGCCCCCTTGACATCTCGGTGAAGCGTCTGGTGTGAGAGTTTGGGGTGGAACGAGAACCTTGTCCAGGGGTGACATTCGCGCGGTGAAAGAATTTGGATGTTGAATGGTCATGGGTGGAGAAGGAGGGTGTGCCAATGGATGTGGCGGAATATCAACAGTCGACGATGACAAGCTCCGAGAATCGACAGATAAGTGGCCATCGCTAGAGCGTACCATATTGACCGAAACATCCGAGATGGGCGCTGACAGGTGTCTAGGAGTCCTTTCTCCGGCGTCCAAGTGACTCGACTGGGGGACTGTTGATCCTGGGCGGATGCGCCGAAGGCTTTCAGTCTCGTCGATGACTTGGATTGAGGGGTGGGATGAGGCAAATTCCGACGTATCTCGACTGGATATAAGACTTAGAGGGGCCCCAATCACGCCACGGTCAGAAGCCGGACGCTTCATTGACTCGTCCGCCAATCCTCGCTCGAGCAGAGGGATTGAATTGTAAGACTCCTCGGACTCAGTGACAGAATCCGAATAAGGTCGGTGAGGCATAAGCCGTCCTCGGGCTGTAGAGTATGCTTCTGTAGAATAGGAGTAGCCAGATTTATCTGTTTGGCGTCTCTGAGATACAGCATCCCAGCGAGGATTTCCTTGGCCGTCCCCATCACCAGAGCCGATAAGGAATTGCTCCTGCTGTGGAGGCGGCGAACCAGGCCATTTGCCCTCTAACTTCAACAAAGTACACTCAATTCCACCGTCGTCTTCATCGGGAATCCTTGCAAATCGAGCTATGGCTGACTCGAAAGAGCGCCTCTGAATCTTCTGGCCGCGGTCTATATTCCCCTCCGGGTAAGGGTTAGGTGGAATTAAACGTGTCGGAGGGCGAGAAGCAACATCAGTGGTGGTTGTCGTGGTCTCTGCCAAAGAGTCATCATAAGAACGACGACTATAGGGATCCGGTTCCAATTCATCGACATGCTGTACTTGGCGTAGATTGCCACCTGGACGTCGACGAAGAGATGGTCCAAGGTCTTGATAATGGTCCGTAATGTCATTGCCAACATTTGAGCTCATGTAAGACTTGCCGGCATCGCTCCCAGTTGATGACCGATGATGTCTTGATATTCCGCTCTGGAAAGAAGCATATTTGCGCAGACGAAGCGAAAGCGATGGCTTTTTGCGAGGTACCAATTGACGTTCATTAGAAAAAGACGAACGTATCGAGCTCGAAGGATATAGCCGGTGGTGTTGGTAAGCAGCCAAAGCGAGACTTTGGCTATTTTCCTCATCATTGTAATAAACAGGAACAACCTGCTCACCGTCCCTCTGCGCACTGTAGATAGATGGCACGGCCCCTTGGCCGGAAAAAAACCGATTCGGAGCAAGCGACTCCGGAGATTGAACAGCCCCCGTCATGGTAGGCGACTCATTCCCGGTATCATCCACAATGACAATCGAGCCACTACCCGCAGTGATCCCACTTTTGATCTTCGACTCTTTGGCATTTTGGGTTGCATCCTCCGAGGAGATCTGCACTGCGGACCCACTAGGCTGTAATTGGTTTTCCTTGGTGGGCTCTTTATTGTTCAACACCTGCCGATATTGTTGCAAGGCCTGATCACAAAGAACGTCGATTCGGGCCTGGCGCCTAGGAACAGAAGCCATTTTTCTCTCTCGGAAGAATTCAGAGCCCAAAGCAACATTGTTGGGCATTGCTGAGGTCCTGCCTCGGGATGACATGCTCAAGGCTTCGGAGGCATGTGCAATTCGGGCGGAAACGCTGTGCCCTCCATTACGGGTATGAAATGCCCGTCTGATCGACCCAATGATCGTCTTTACCCCAGAGTGTGGGGGTTTGAACCCATTTTCCGGTATACTCCGGCGGTCAGGCCCTGTGGCAGATGCAGACTGAATCAGAGGTGGAGATTCTGGTGCCATCATGGCCATGTAAGACTCAGCAGGGGGGGTAAAGAACACCCCGGATTAAACGGACAGGGTCCAATGCTTCCTGAACCACATGGTCCGTAGAGCCATGGTCCGTCGCGGACATGGGAAGACGGTCATCTCGCACTGAATCAGAGAAGCTGCCACTTCTCTTATGACTATGGCCTGGAAATGGATGCCGCGAGATTATTGGAGAAGTTGGAGGCCGCTCATGCGGCGACACGGACTTTGAGAGGCCAAAAAAAATCGGTCGCGGAGCCTTGCCCTTGTAAGAGCCAGACTGACGTCTTGGAGACCTCGGAGGAAGTGAACAGGAGAGAGCCATAATACTTTGCTCACTTTTGGAGGAAACAGGAATGCTCTGCCCGGTCCCCGCTGAGTCGTTTCGCTCATGATGGGTGGAAGGGAGGTTTTCTTTGGAACTGGTATCTGCGGGGAAGGCCGATGCAGATGCAGAAAGTGGAACAGTTTGGTGAGGAATCTCTGCGCTAGAAAGGATATCGACCTCGGTATCCCCCGGAATTATATGGCTGTCAGGATCGTTGTAGGCCTGCGAGAAGTCGGAACTGCCCCAGTAAACTGAGCACTTGCCATTCCAACACCGCTTCAGGTCGATCAAAATCTTCAAATCACTCATGCAGCCATTTTGGCGCGACTTGACCTCTTGATACAAGGCGTTGATGGTCTCGCAAAATGTTTGGCGAAGTTCATAGCTCGTCACGAAGTCATCCACAAAATAATTCAAGATCCAGTGTCTTAGAGCAGCGAAAGTGCGGATCCGAATGATACGTCCATCATCTTGCGGTCGGTTGATAGCCCACTGTAGACGAGCAAGAAGCAAAGCCAACAAATGATCGGTGGAAAGATATGAGCGAAACGTGAGAAAGAAATCCGAGACTAATTCGTAGTCCATAAACGACTCTGATGAGACCTGAGCCACAATACGAGCAGGTGTCGCGGCGCTGATGTCTTTGGTGCCAGGGATGTAGCGTACGACGGCCTCATCATCCATTTCAGAGACCAAATTCTCATATATGGAAGGTTCCACCGGCTCCTTCAGCTCGTATACAATGGAGTTTCTTGGCAATGGAGAAGCTCGGCTCAGATCTATAGCTGCCGCCGCGCCAGAAAACATCGAGACGGCGAAGGAGGATCGATTACGGGAAGTTGAATCTCTGCTATACGGGCCATGGATTCGGGCGGGCATAGGGTCGACCATACCACCTAGCAAGGTCGAGTTTCGAAAATTATCGGACGTGGAATTCCGCGTGTAGACGGAACTCTGCAGGGTTGCACTACCCTCCTGGTTGAACCGTGGCGATCCAAGTCGGTAATGAGGAATAGGGACTTCCAGCGCTGTGTCAGGCGATTTCCCACCTGCGGATCCGGGCTGGTCCTCTGATCGATCGATCACGATACGGAGTTCTCCACGGTTGCCTCCACCGACCGATCGCTGCTCCGAGATGGTAGAAATCGAGTTGGCACGTCTGCGAGGGTGAGAGGAAGGGATCGATTCTGGCTGGTTATCAGTCATAACAGACTCGACGTCTTCGGCTTCTCGGGGGCGTAGCTCGGAGAGCTGGGAGCTCGACCATCGCAATGGGTCATCGTGGACAATAGCGCGCCTTTGCGGCTGAAGATTCTCGCTTGCCACTTGATCGATGGAGGCGAATGGCGCCATTGAGGGGTCTTTCTGGGGCGGATTCGTAATCGGCCTAGTCATGAATGGGTTGTATTGTCAGCGGGCTGCAGTGTCCGACGCAGAATCGCGTCCACAAGGTGTAGCTTTATCGATCGTACCTGAGAAAGATCTTGCCATTCTGGCCGACGCTTCCTACCGTAAAATGACCTACTTTCCGTCCGGGCGGACGCGCCTGGAGTGGGCCACGATGCGTCTGGGACCGTCCCAATGGGGCGGCTTTCCGCAGCAGGTCCTGGCTATTTTTGACCCGTAATCCCAGTGGCCCTGTCGCAGGTGCGGTTCGTTCGCGAGTAGCCTTCCGCTCCAGGTTCTTCTTAAGGAGATTGCCGCTCTGTGACACCGTGTTGGCCCTCCGCAAATTGGAGGTGGCCTGGGGCGGCCCACCACGCGCGCGATTGAGGGCGGGCAATTCATTGATCCGAACGTGAGGCTCCGACGATTGTTTTGCGTGCATCGGACGGTCGAACGAGGAAGGTGGTTCCATTGCGGGTTGCGAGAGCTTTCTTTCCCCGGGGGGAGGGGATTCAAGCTCTGCAATGAACCGCGTCGTCGCGACGCGAGAAAAGCGCCTCTTCTAACCGGTGCTCCTTTATTTATTTCTTATCTGATTCGTCTTCGTAGTGACCTCACAGTCTCCATAAAAGCCTAGACCTCATTAGGACCTGGCTGCCATTTGTTCGCGAGAATGGGACCGAAGTAGAAGTAGAAGTAGCACAAGGGGAAGTTGTTATTTTGTCAAAGTGGAGCAGCCGTTCAGGCTCGCGGGTTTTCTTGGGAAGGAACCGTTCCGACACAGCGGATCCTGGTGCCTTTGCCCCCTTTTCTCCGGGAAGCCTGCCTCGATGCGGGCTGGTGGTCTGATATGATGGGTACGTTCCTTGGGACTCTGCCAGCAACTTCCCGGAAAAAACCTTCTCATCGATCTGGATACTTCAAAGCTGCAAAAGCCCTGTTCCTCACGTCATGAACAGCCCGCGGAGGTGATAGGTCATGCAGTCGCCATAAGGCATGGGCTCTTATTCGTCCCCGTGAAGCGAACTCCCTTTGGGGCCACCAGCTACGGCCCTCTGGTTGGTTGATAAAGACCACCGTTATCCCATACCCCCCCACTTGGGACTTTTGGCGCGGCCTAGCAGAACTGGAGAGCTCTTAGATCGCTGCTTGTCTTATGCAAAAATGCAATACCGCAGGGAATCCCGCAGGGGGGAAGGCTTGTCCCATGGCGTTAAACCCCGATCTCTATCTCTCAGCCACAAGCCTCCATAAAGCCAAGGAATCATCCCTCGAAAGGAAGCACATCATGAGATTCAATGCTTGCCAAGCCTGTCCGCAATTTTGGGAGATTCCCATGTTGATCGCGCATGAGGAGCGGGATCGTCCATGTTACGCCCGACCAGTCCATCTCATCTGACCCCGTCGAATGCATGGCGATCCCGCCTCATTATTCCGCCCTTCCCTGATTCGCAGAAGGGATCGGAGTCTGGTGCTTCTCTCATCAACCTCTGTATAGGACAGGCCAAGCCTTCCAGCTTGAGATGAGTCTACAGTGGAATTTTCCGTGTCTCACCCGCTCGCGGAGCCGGGAAGTGGGTGTGGACCATTCACCCTACATCTTGCACAGTTCTTCATGCGGTCTCATAGCATTTTCCGGAAATGGGGTTTCTCTAAGTTCCGATTCGTCGGGACAAGGATACAGATTGTATCATTGGGTCGTCAGGGTGAGGAATTTGCTCGTGGTGGTATTCCGTTCTCCGCTCTTTAGTATATGCTGCGTGCTGAGGACTATGTCGAGTATTCCAAATTGCACTAACCCCCACGGCTGTTGGAGGATTCCCTCACGGCCACTAGTAGTCATCACGGTGGTGATGATGAACTCTTGCCCCTCGTCTTGGCAAGACCAGCTACGGGGCAGTTATCACATGATCGATTACGCTAAAGATGAGACGAATGGATGGCTGAACTTTAGATAAGAGTCTGATTCGACTCGCTGCGATCTGATCATTTGCGGTACGTATATAATCTGGATTCCAAGAATCGTCGAAGGCCAAAAAGTTTAATCATTCAAATGTTATGAATACAATCCCCAAACCGCACATGCGGCAATGCAAAGTGCTTCAATAGGAAACCCAAATAAAACATTGATCCTCAAAGCCTTGTACTTGCTATAAGCCGCGCAAGGAGAGACATCACCGTGTCTCAGAGGGAATAGCAGCCCTGGAATCCATGAGCGTGGCACGTTCCGAAATACCAGCACGACAATCAAGTCATGGAAGGGCAATCAGGCACATCTAGCAAGAACTATTGCGATAACCTAAACCAAGGGTACGGTGCAGCTCCCCCCACTTAGCAGGGACTAGATTCACCAGAGTTTACAGACCGGCGTCTTGTCCGGACATTGGAAGGCCTCCTTGAACTCCCGAGAGTTGGCCGCGGTATTCTGTCACATACGTTAGCTCAGACCAGCGACGAACATCAAGCGTGCTTGGAACTTACAATAATCCGAGCGGACTTGGGCGCATGAGGGTCGTTATATATGGACTTCTCTGCAGCCTCTTTGGTATCCTTGCCACACCACCAGCTGCCGTATGCGATGAAGAATAGCTGCTCCTTGGTAAATTCGCTTAATCCAGGCAGATGTTTGTCGGGGGATGCCTCATCGCGCTTTTTCCACGCGTGGTACGAGGCAGTCAAGCCACCAGCGTCAGCAATGTTTTCACCCAGCGTGAGGCGTCCATTTACATGCAGAACCTTGCCTCCGGGGCCGTCGACCGTGAAGTTGGAATATTGATCGACAAAGCATTGAGCCCGCTCTTCGAAAGAGTCCACGGTCTTCGAGTCCCACCAGTCTGTGTAATTACCGTTTTGGTCATAATGCCGACCGGTAGAATCAAAGGCTGCCTTCATGTCAATTTTGATAACTCACTTTTTGGGAGTGGATTTACGTACCGTGGGAAAGTTCGTGGCCACTAACGGCGCCAAATGCACCATACGCCAGGTATAGAGGGGCATTCGGTCCATAGAATACCGGAGGTTGCATGATGCCGGCTGGAAAGACGATCTCGTTCCCTGGTGGGTTGTAGTAGGCGTTCACAGTGGGCGCGGTCATGTCCCACTCATTGCGGTCGGTTGGCTTGCCTAGCTTGGCCCAGTCGAATTCGAGCGAAAATTGGGCAACAGCGAGGAGATTCTCGTAGTAAGTACTGTTGGACACCTCAAGGCCCTGGTAATACTTCTCCACGTCCTTTGGATCCAGCACGTTGGGGCTCTTGGTTGGGAACCCGACTTTCTGGACGATGTTCTCCACCTTCTTGATGCCCAGCTTCCGAACATCGGGAGACATCCACTCGGTCTGATCCAAAGTGAAAACGAAGCGCTCCTTGATGTCTGAGACAACTTGGTCCCCGAGTTTCTTGGACTCCTCTGGGAATGAATCCAGCACATAGAACCGACTGAGACTCCAGCCCAAGCTCTCATCGAGAGATTTGATACAGGTGCGCCACCTCTCTGCCTTTGCAGCTGGGTCCTTTCCAGCAAGCACATTGTTGAAACGAGTGAGCGGCGTCACTCGATCGTCTTCAATGGCATCAGCATGTTTTTGAATGAGTTTCCACTGTAAGAAGAGTGACACTGTGTTTCTCTGGGTGTCATCGAGAATTCCGGCCAAGGCTTTTAGGTAAGATGGCGAGCCCACAATGACGATGTCTTTCTTGTAGTCTTTGGGGGCTAGTTCTCGAACAATTTTTGACAGGGCAATTTGAGGGACAAGGTTCTCTGTTGCCTTGATGCTGAGCGGATTGTATGATTTGGTGACATCCTCTTGGGTAGCAGTATCAGGTGTGACATCTGCCAGCTTTTTCTCGAAGGCGACGACATCCTCTGCTACTTGGTCAGAGTTATCGACCTTGAAACGCGTGAAGATATCCTTGAGAACGGCAGTATACTTAGCCACCGTCTCCGTGTTATTATAGTATTCCCGGGCAGAGAGTCCAATTTCTCGAGGCGGCGTCACGGAGATGACAACATTATCAGGGTCTCGGTCATCGGGCTAGATAGGAATATTAACATGGGCTTGTCTTGTCAGGTAAATCAGATTGGCTTACCGTAATACCTGGAGATATCAGGGCGTCCGTCCCGGTTCTCATGAGGAAAGTAATGGCCTCAGTCAAATGATCTCCAGAACCAGAAGCTCCCTTGCCAGTAGGGTAGACCTTCTGCAATTCGCCCAATGTGTGAAGCAACGGCTCGGCCCCGCGTTGTTCGAGAGTAGCTGTGTCCAGGCAAGCGTTATAAGCATCTTTGAGCTTCTTGAAGTTGCCCTTGTCGGCTGCATCGGGGGGGTTCAGAGCGTTCCAGGATGTGTCGAAGGCGAGTTTGCGCAGTCTCCTCCATGTAAGTTCCGGCAAAGATGGAGCCCTGATCGGGCCTCATGTCATGTTGTTCTCTCCACCCACCACAGACATATTCATCGAAGTTTGTGCAGGGATCTATCTTGGCGCGGTTTGGGGCCAGATTGTAGAGGATCTCCGAGGCTGCGTGAATGCATTGGGGCGTTTGGCAGATGGCCGGTGCCGCTTGAGGCTGTAGGGGAAGACTTGAGGGCATCTTTTGTTCATCTGGTCAAGTTGTGTTAGACTCGAGATGCGGGTTAGTAAAGAATATCCCTGGAGCATACCAACGTAGAAATGCTTCAGACCGATGTAAATGCTCATGCCGATCCAGCCAATGGTCATTACTGTCCTCGCTAGCTTCCGCCAGGGGTTCCTCCGTCGGCATCGATGATATCTCGGTTCACTGGAAACAAAATTCGTCTCCTCTGGATCATAATCGATCCCGTCTATGTGAGACGCATGCTTGTCGTCCAGCTCATGCGATCCCAAGTAGATGGGCCCGTGTTTGTTCATCTCACTGAATGTTGTAAGTTACTTCCCAATCCCGTTAAGACCAGATCCTTCTTACCTGTTAGTCCCCGGCATCTCGACTCGAAAGCAGAATGAAAATGAATCTTGTGCTCGAGCTGGGGGCTTGTGAGGGGTTAACTCCTCATGGGGAGGTTGGGGTAATGGCGTCACGCGGTAAGAGTGACTCAGCGATCAGCGATCTCCCGAGCTCCCGAACTCCACTTGAGCACGCACGCCCGGGTCATTTGCATTTTGTCCATTGTTGAGCTATTTTGGACAAGTGCTAAAATTACATGTGAGATTTTCATGGCTTGATGGGGCCTCCCAAAGGCCTTGTAACCCACTCGCCCAGAATTATTTGCCTTACTGCTCACTTTCCAGTCACGTGAGACGGAGGCCTACATATATTGCGTCGCAATGGGCAAAAGTTCGGAGCCTCTTCACTTTTATGTTTACTAGATCCGCAAGAAAGGCTCGCTAGGAGGCGCGAGGGAATCGATAACATTTGATACACTAGTATGGGCTATACCTCATAAGTGTACCGAGTCGACATGCATACTTCTCACCAACAATCATATACAGTACCGGTACACCATTTACAATTTCTCCACTGAAAGATTAAGAACAAGAAAGCTTTATCTGTCTTGGTTCCGATCATCTCATTTCTTGTTCTAGCCCAAGCTATGTCTAAATTTAGCTTGAACATCAGTCTTGGAGGCGGTAGCCAGAAAGACGCCTTGTGTAAGTTAAGCTTCGAAGCTTCTTTTGCCCCCAAGCCGATTCTGACCAGTCATATGTGAAGGTAAACGGTGGAGACTCTGTTTTATCTCCACATACTGCTTGGAAGATTTCCTCATCATTGCTCGACGAATAGCCACCTTGGCTATTCCTTGTTGTCCAGAGTACCGGTGACGTGGTTGAAATTCACGAATGAAAATTTCTCTGTGAAGCGCCACACCTCACAAGTGGATCCCTTCATAACGTTGGCTACATCTCTTTACTTATATATTCTGCCAGGTAGACCATAGACTGTTTAGGGCATGTATAGAACCCTACCGTAGCTATGGGAGCAGATCCGACACCCCTGAGAGAGAAAGAAGAATGAACCAGTAGCGCTCCTGCATGCTACCTACTATCCTACCTAGTCATATACTCAATTAGCTGGGAAAGAGTTGATAAATATAGCCAATCATTGACGCGTCAGCAGTAAGAATCCCGCAAGCTGTATCAAGCAAGGTCATCATGCTACAGTATTGAGCAATATATCTCAGCGAACAAGAATGCTGCAAGTCGCAGTGTCAGGCGATAAGGGAAGCTGGTGATACCTGTGATTGTCTGTCCCTGGAATATAAATGGATGACCTTCCACCATTTCAGAAAGATCTCAATCAATTGACAGAGTGCGATTTTTGAATGAAGTCAAGAGTGGCACAATTCGACGCAGAAGCTTGGCCAGACATGATGCCAAAGTGCTAGCTAGTACTATGCTTTGATTTTTAAGCACTGAATTTCGCAGGAACTAGACTGGCCGTCAAATGAATCTCAATGAGAGATCATGCTGATTTCTATCATCGGAATCTCGCGCGACTATGAGAGAGCCGAAATGGAGGAGCGGGCTGTGTCTGCGAACCCCTGCACAGCCAGCGCATCGCTAAGAGATCATCGCAGTGGCCAACAATGCCCACTGGTCGGGGTTCAGAAAAGGAAGGAGGGATGCATTTGGGGCCAGAGAACAATCTATGAGGTCTATGGCTGATCTGACAGCTGTGCAGCGGAAACCCGCACAAACAGGATGGGATAGGTGAGGTTTTGGTGGGAACCTGGAAATATTTCCCGTATCAGAATGGGCCTCTCCTCGTTGTACACGAACTAACCGATGCTTTCTTAGAGGAGAAAGTGATGGACGGGCAAGGATGTAACACGATCACGATCCTGTGGCCTCGAGAATACGGTGAGTGTGTTGGCCACGGTTCGGACGACAGGACAATTGGAAAAGAAAAATGCCTCAGGTGTACAAAATAACGCATACTGAAGCCACGAGTGGGGATCATGTAAATCATGGTCTGTCAACTGTTGGTCGCTTGATGATTGGATCGCTTTGGAGCTTAGATTTTTCCCTGGCAATTTTTATTTGCAACCGAGTTTTTTTTTTATTTCTTTCTTTCCTTTTTTTTTCTAGTGATCATTCTGGGAAAAGAGGGAATGTCTGGGAGGCCCATTTTCTTCATCCGAGGTTCCCTGTGTTCCTGAAAAGAACACCACCACGTCCGCCTGGAAATCTGCTACTTTGGGACATCCTGTGGGTGAAACTATGCTATGAGACAGCGAACCCCAGACGTGGTGCAAGCTTGATCTGTGACGATCCACCAAAGTGCTAAGCCAAGCCGTTCAAGCTTAGGGCGCTTATCAGGAAATGGATCATTGCCGACGCCACCAACTAAGCGATGACCACAGCTCCAGGGCTGCACAGCCACCTCCAGCTGCAGCCAAGCTCTACCAAGCCGATCTTGCTGATGCGGGCGGATTGCTTCTGCCTGAACCCTTCTGCAAGTGATATCATGTTAGCTGTGCACGGTCCAGGGGCTCAAAATTGGCCCTGGGGAACCATGGAAGGAAGAGGATCAGGCTGCTCTGTTTTCTGCTTTGGAAACATCAGTATGAAGGGTGCCGAAGTGCTGGGATGAGAGTATGAGGGGTTTCTGGACGAGATCTAGCACCGATCTGGCAGTTGGATTGTAGAGAGGGGCGGAGCATTAGTACAACTCTCACATGAGGAGGGGTTCCGCCAGTGGTAAACTAATCCTTCTGGGACAGGTGCTGTTGCAATTTCCGCTCTGGTCGCTGAAATGGTGCATTGGATGAGAAAATCTACCTGGTAGCCGAGGCGCCAAAAAAAAAAAAATCCCTCACTGATATCCCGCACCAACAGTGGAAGCCCTAATTCGAATTACTCAATCGAATTCCGACCCTGAATACAGGGGCTGCCTAGGTCCAATCCTCTTTTCCCTCAAGAACCGTAGCATGAATAGAGCGCATCAGATTGTTTCTAGGAAGTAAGAACTGTAGACTACTCGGTACTCTGCAAGACCCACTCAAGCTGGAAGTACCGCACAAAAGTACCGCATATGGTCTTTTCACGGGGTAACCACTTCTGGCCGAGATACTAAAATTCGATCTTCGATTCTCTGGCCCAAGCTCCTGAGCAAGAACGATTTCCCAAAGCACGGAACCCTCCGAAACGCAGGAGTCCCACCTGTGGGCGATCCTGTGGCTGAGAACGCAAATAACCATCGCTGTATGGCTTCTGGCGACACACAGAAACGCTCGCACTAGGCCGTATAAAGCGACTTTTTAGACAAACTCGGAATTGAACAATTAAAAAATAATCAAGCAATTTCGGAAGGAAAACTTTAGCGCCATAGGATGTCATAGCTCCCACTAATGTGGCCCTCAGTCCTACGTAAAAATCACGGAATTGGAAGAAACACGGGCCTGAAAGTCGATCGATGGGGTCGGCTCTAGGTATAAAGGCAGGCCCTCGCCGACCGAAGTTGTCTTTTCTCATTATTACAAGGGATGCTTATCGACGGTCAAAAGTGGGCTTGTGAAGCTTGCATACGGGGCCACCGTGTGACGAGCTGTAAACACCATGGTGAGTAGTCACATACTTTGAGACTTTTTTTCCTCCCAAGACTGCTTTTGAAGCTCTCTTTCTTGCATGCGCAAGCCAGAAAAGGACTCCTCTAGACGAGTGACACACTCTTTTTTTTGTTTTGAATATTATTCCCGGCACATTCTCTCATCCAGCACCTCAGCTAACTCATCCGCATCCCTCCCCAGATCGACCGTTGATTCGTATCAAGCGCAAGGGGCGACCCTTCGCAACCTGCTGTATCTGCAATGCCACACCGTGCTCCTCGCCAGCGGAGCACGCGCGCCAGAAGCGCGAAATAGAACTAAAAAACCCATCAAAAGTAACGCAAACACAATGCCAACAGCCGCTCCCAACACCGCAAGGCAGGAACTTCGATGTTCAAGGAAGAAGCGACACACGACTACAAGGTTCGCTGATGTGCTTGTTTTTTGGTTTCTAGAAAGCAGCCCACGCGAGACTCTATCCTCGCCACCACAACCCGACCGGCTTCCTCCCCATCGCTCCGCGTCCATCCGGACAGAAAGACCCCCACACGCGCAAGAAAGACCCCAATTCCTCCTCACCCCGCCCTTCGAGATCTGGGTCGACTTCCGCCGCGTCCGTCTCTTCTGCCCATGACCCTTCCCAAGACCACGCACGCTCTATCGGCGCGGGATACTGGTCCGGCTCCGACGGCTCGGGGATTGACGTGGAGAGTAGCACTGCCGTAAGTCGAGCCCATTCGACCGCCGGCCTGCCGGTAGAGTCGGGGTTTCCTATCACTGCTGGTTCCAGTCGGCCGCTCGCGAGCTCGGCGCCTGATGCCACGGTCCTCGACCCTGCTCTTGGAAACGGCCTCTTTGATCCAATGTATAGTCTTCTGACTTCCTCGGTCTCCGAGGCGGGATTGACGCAGACTTGTCCTCTTACTAGTCCCGTGGATGGTGGCAATCCATTTGATTTCCCGTTGGATCCGTTGCTAGGCTTGGATGCTTCCCACTTTGGTTACAGAGAGGACATGGATGTAGATGTCACGGAGGGGTTGACGGATGAGATGTTCCATGTGGAGGACTGGTCGAGGTACATGTGGTCGCCTGAGACGGGGCTGGAGCATTTAGATATGGGGTTCCCCCTGCTGGGGCTCGATGACAAAAGCTTGTCACCGCGCACGGTGACAACCATGTGGCTTTGCCATGACTGATGACAACGACTTATGATTGATCACGATGATGAAAAAGCGAAAGGCGAGATGGCTTTGGCGATGCTGGGGAACAATACACTGGAAGCCGGTTGGGAGATCCGATGGACTGATCGAAGTAAACGGGTTTATTTCACGTTGAAAGGACGAGCTAGAACCAACGTTGGCGTGCTTAGAGAGAGTGGTAGCGAGGCCGACTCGAGGAAATGCAATAGTCTATATTCGGGCCTAAGGCCACTATCTCGCCTCTAGACAACAACAATCACTGGCAGAGTAAATGGCATAACTGCTTAAGTCAAAATGCAATAAAGGCAGAAACAGGCCTCAAAACGCTCCTTGCTGATGCAAATCATGCTGAGAAGGCCCCGCGGTACGCCAAGTATTCAACACGAAAAGAAGAAAGCAGCAATAGCGCCATACAACCGATCCAATCTACTCACTTATTGTATGGAAAACTGACCTATACAGACGTCAAGTCCCCCGCTCTATACCTCTTGGATATAGTTTGCGGGTACACTCTTCGTAACTCCACCGCGCTCCACATCTGCCCATCCATCACCGCCGTCTCGAGTAACCAGAACGAATCTATCCCCCTCGGCCATACTCCACTCCATGTCACTCCGTGCCTCATACTCGTACAACGCCTCGACGTATTGCAGCTTCTTGGCTCCACGACGGGGCGCTACAGCCGGTCCAACGCGCTTAGGCGTAACACTGCCTGCTAGCGACGCTGATGAATTCGAATATGTAGACTCGGGCCGATCGGCCAAGCCCGGGCTGGCAGACGGAACTGGTGACGGGGTTGGTGCTGCTTCGACGTAAGCTGCGGGGACAAGTCCCTCTTTGGACCCGGCGCGAACACGGATCCATCCAGAGCCATCTATTAATTCAGTTAGATACAAGTTGCCACACGGTGGTTGCGCAGGTTACTTACCATCTGGATCGGTGATTGTCACATCTTCTCCTTCTTGGACACTAATTTCATCTGCGCCAGATGCATCAAATGCGTAGATCATTTTGCCTCGAGGCTTAGACGGAGCTGGATCATTGGGAGCTCGACTATAAGCCGCGGGTGGTGGAGCAAGGATCCTAGGAGTTCGCCTGGCTGCAGCTGGCTTGGTCGCTGCGACTGGAGCTGGAGGCTCGCCTGCTGGATCTTCGGTGGTGGGCTGCGTAGCGACGTTGGATACCGACCTGGCCGCGCTGGCGGCATACCCAGAGCTGAGAGAATTCATGGTATTTTGCCGAGTCAATGATGGTGCACGAGCCGAAGCAGCTGACGAGTCCAGATCAATAGCAGGGACAGCTCCAGCTTGCTCTTGTCTGGCGGCTTTGAGCTTCTTCTTGTCTTCTTTGGACTGTTCGCCTGGACATTCTGCTGGGACCTTCATCTGACATTTGCTATGGCAGGTGAAACCGCAGTCTTGACAGTCGAATCCCTTGGCAGATAATCCCCAGATGCGATCGCCACAGTAATCACAGTTCGTTGGGATCTTGAATGTTTGTGGTCGGAAATTATGATTTTGAGCTCCAACGGATAGATCCCCAGCTGCGGCGATGATTGTAGATGTCTCCACCTCAGCCGTTAGCCATTTGCGATCTACATCATGCAGACCCTCCTGCAGATTGAAAATAGCGCGCACAACGTCGACCTCGCTACGATTGTCTGCGCCTCGCTGGATATCTTCCCGAGACTTTTTAAAGGTCTCTACTTCACGTCTCTTTTGGTCAGATTCGACCCGGTACTCACGTACTTGAGATTTACTCTTGCTAAGCACGTTGCGCAAGAAGACCTTGGCAGGTTCATCAACGATTATAGACCCATCATCGTGCCAGATAGGGCTTGGTTCGAACTCCAAGTTTGCAGGCTCAGCAGACTGTATCGCATTATGCTGCAAGAACATCATTGAATCCATTTGCGGATTATTTCGCGGAATTTCCTCGAGGAGATTGGATATGTTGTCCATGCTGTTGGTCAGGGAGTTCTTCTCTAATTGCGCTGCAAGAATCCACAGTGAGTTGAGGCGCTTCACCCGAGTCTCATTGAGATTTTGTAATCCCTGAACATCTATTAGCCACTGCTCCGGAGGGGAGGGATCTAACAAGGCAACTCACATCTAAAACCTCCGGGACATACTCATGGAAGAACTTCTCTTTCAGTTTGTTGGTGACGTTGATGCTTATGAGGTATAGGTTCTGTCAAATATCAGCAATGGAATCAGAACGTCGCTCACCATAATCTTTTACCTTGTAGTTGTTCATTTCTAACACCTGTTGTTGAAAGGCGCTTTGTGCCTTGGTTTTGCCATGGTCGAAGGACGAGTCGATCTTCTTTCGACGAGACTCGACCTCTTGACAGGCACCGTCATATTTGCCCTTCGCCTTCTTCAAGTCTCCGTAAGCCGCATCGCGCTCCTTCTCCAGCTTAGCATGAAAATCCGCATGACATTTCCGAATATCTTCGTACTGTGTTGCAGCCACCTTCAACGGCTCTGCGACCTGCGTGACAAGCTCTGTCCCAAACTTGTCGCGCTCCGCCGCGTGGGCCTCTACGGTGTTCAATTGGGTGGCCCAGGTTGTGAGGGAGGCACTTTCGAGGGATCCAGGGGTCATGGTTGGGGTGTCGCCGACACTTAAGGAGCCGATCCTCTTTGCTTTCCGGTCATGATATTTTTTGCAAAGGGCGGATAGCTTTGTCGCATATTCCTTTTCGATAGCGCTCCGCTCACGGTAGAATTGTTGGATTTCGTCCAGCCAGGATATGCCATTCGATACCTGTGATGGTGAGAGTATTAGCTCCGGCCCGAACGTGGCTATGACACGCTGCTATCGAAGCAAACGACCCAAAGACGTACCCAAGCATTGACTGGTTTGAAGGAGTCCTATTCAGCATCGAAGATTAGCACGGTATTCCATATGCAAGGTGCGCTCCACCGTTTTACCTTTAACTCCGCTCCGAACTGAGGAGCCACGTCAGGTGCCGCCATGGCTGTGGTTGGATTGGTGTCAGATCACGCATGAGACGGGAGGGAAGACCGTGGGAAGTGATCGGGTTCACCGACTGTCGTGGAGGGCTCAGATCGTAGTCCTCTCAGAGTTATCCGTAGCCCAAGGCTCCCGCTTCATTGGGCGCAAAGCTATTAGAGACAGCAGGGACGGTGATCAGAAGGCGGGGAGCATCCATTGGTGCCTGTGACATTACAAGACGAGCTGGTAATCCGCTACGGCAGACCATACCGCCCCTAGAGCATTCCAGATTCCCCTCGCAATGAAATCTGAGAATATTAACAGGAAGTTTTAGTTAGGTTATCATCCAGTCGGAGCGTTACACCTCATCAATGGTAGCTATTGCTTGAGGCTCGCGAGATTCCCGTGTGGTACTCATTTTGTATGCTACGCTGGATTTGTACATACGCTTAAGTGAATACGATCCACCGGGGTGACTTGGTCTTTGCTTCGATTGTTTCCTCTCTCTCTTTCCCAATACAGGGTGGATAGCTTTTGCATGGATACCATATTCTACACAGAGTATCGAAAGGGCCACATTACCGATGTTTTTAACGTGAGAATCTTTCCGTAGACGCGCATATCATCTGTCATAGGGAGGATTCACTGTCATCAGCGGGTAAGAGAGCGTATTACTGCGTATTTCGCTGTTTCCATATTGGGACTAGTGCATTCGATCGAGTTGCGGCGTCATTTCTGCTGTTTGGATACTCAAGCGCTTCACTTAGTGAATCTTGTGAGTCCCATTCACTCATCCGCTCATTAACTGCATTCCCCACAATAATCTGATTCAATTCTTCCCCCCAGGCTTGCTTCACTACTGAGAAAGCTCTCCCAAAGCTATAAAGGGAGGCTGCCCCCCCTACTCAATTTTTTGATACCCCCGCATCGCCCCTCTTCTTTCCAACGCTCCGTTCCATTTTTGCGCTTGACGCCTCCAATTCATATCTTCCTCTTTCAGCGACTTTGTCTATTCAACAAAAATGTCGACAGAAGCTGCTGGTTCTTTGGCCGACCGGGTCACCAAGCCCGATGAAGGTACCGTGATCCCCTCCAGTGCTGATAACCTCATGCGCGCACGGCAACTTACGCAATGTTTTCTATAACAGACGTGGCCGATAAGCCTGTTAGCCAGGAGGTCAAAGATGGTGCCCCCGGTTCGGAACTGCAGGAGCCAGACTACACGGTCGAGGTCAAGCTGAGCGACCTCCAAGCCGACCCGAACAACCCTCTGTACTCTGTCAAGTCTTTCGAAGACATTGGCCTGTAAGTGGTGAACTGGCACATATTATTCCCCGTTTGTCTACCCAAGGATCGGGACTGACAGTATTTCCTTCCTAGTGATGAGCGCATTCTCAAGGGTCTGTCCACTATGGGTTTCCGCAAGCCCTCCAAGGTCCAGGAGCGCGCGCTGCCTCTGCTCATGGGCAACCCCCCCAAGAACCTGATCGGCCAGTCTCAATCTGGTACTGGAAAGACGGCTGCGTTCGTCCTCAATGTGCTGAGCCGTATCGACCTGTCTACTCCACAGGCTCAGCAGACACCCCAGGCCCTTATCTTGGCTCCAACCCGCGAGCTGGCTCGCCAAATCGTTGGTGTCATTCAGGCCATGGGCCAATACCTTGATGGATTGGTCATCGGTACTGCTGTTCCTGCCGACCGACAGAGCCGTCCTGCTGCCATGACATGCTCCGTTATCGTCGGTACTCCTGGTACTGTCCAGGATATGGTCAAACGCCGTGTTCTCAATCCTACTCAGCTCAAGGTATTGGTTTTGGATGAGGCCGACAACATGCTAGAACAGCAAGGTCTTGGTGACCAGTGCATTCGTGTTAAAGCGTAAGTTTCTATTTTGGACTGACGTGAAATATATCTAACACGTCATGCAGGATGTTGCCCCGTGGCCTTCAGGTGGTCCTGTTTTCCGCCACATTCCCTCCTCATGTCCACCGCTACGCGGAGAAGTTCGCCCCCGATGCGAATGAAATCACTCTGCAGCACGATGAGTTGACTGTCGAGGGAATCCGTCAGCTCTATATGGACTGCGATACCGAGGAGGTCAAATACGCCAATCTTGTCCATCTCTATGGTCTTCTTACTGTGGGGTCCTCAATCATCTTCGTCAAGGTAAAGAGTTCCATGTTCCAAGAAAATGGCTCATTGACCTAATACTGATCATCGGCTTCAGACCCGTGCCTCCGCCGTTGAGATCGAAAAGCGTATGACTGCCGAAGGACACACCGTTGCATCTCTCACTGGTGCCATCGAGGGCTCTCAGCGTGACGCAGTCATTGATTCGTTCCGCAGCGGTGAAGCCAAGGTCCTCATCACTACGAACGTTCTCGCCCGTGGAATCGACGTGTCTACTGTCTCCCTAGTTGTCAACTATGTAAGTTGGATCACAGGATCTATTGCTTCTATGCCTAACAGGGCTTTAGGATATCCCTACTGCTTTCGTGGCCGGCTCCCGTGCCCAGGAGGAGCCCGACTACCAAACCTACCTCCACCGTATTGGTCGTACTGGTCGCTTTGGCCGCATCGGCGTGGCCATTACTTTTGTGTCTAGCCGCGAGGAGTGGCAGATGCTGCACAAGATCCAGGATCACTTCGCAACCAACATCGAGCGTATCGACACGTCCGACTGGGATGAGGTTGAGGAGATGATCAAGAAGATCATCAAGAATTCGCGTGCCCAGTCCGACTTCTCCAAGTAATTGTGAGATGATCAACAAGTCAACTGAGCCATTTATGACCTTTCTTTCAAATCGTTGCAGGCTAGCAAAGTAGTTAGCTACAATAAAAGAGATACCAATTCATGACTTTCTTCCGTGTTCGCAGTGTACCATCTTGCAGGGTTCGGTATCTCTTCAATCACCAGGGATGCCCCAATCCCTTGTACGCGATGTGCTTCAAGATCGTTCAATATCGTCAATTCATGCCCACGATAGAACAAATTGGTAAACCAGGTCATGCAATGCTTCCATCGCGTCTTATAGACAATCGGAATGAGCTTTCGAACTCGCGTTTCATTGTTGAGTGCGGGTTTACTGCCTTCAAGTGTCTAACTAGAACATCCACTGATTCGATGCGAGACTAATATCTATCGTATTGAATAGCTCCAGGCCGTCCATTGCGATCATTCGATCAATATCCATCAGAGAATCATCACTTGCATTTGAGCTCTGCAAATAAGCTTCTGGCTCCAAAACTTCGTCAAGCATCTTTGAAAAAAGCTCTCCTGTGCGCTGAAAGAGGGGGTAATTCGCATTATCAGGGCTGGCAATCGTTTCCAGATATGAGATAAACACGCTCAAATGGCGGATGAGCTGTGCTCTGGAGCCTTCGTAGAGAAATTGCTCGCCCGTTCGTTTGTGGTGTTGAAGAGCTTTCATCAAGAGGCTAGCGCTCGGGAACCCGTAAAGGAGTAACTGTGATCTGGTTGGAAACCGTCCATGCTTTCATACTCTTCGGCCCATGTGACTTACGATCCATGTAAAATCCGGTCGTAAATCCACGCATTGTTCTCGATACGTCCCAATGCTCAATACAGTAGACAGGATATCTGCGCTAACAGAAAGAAGCGCTGCACTGCCTTGTGGATTGGATTTCCCGGCCAAGAGTCGCTGGACGAGGAAGTCGTTGTAGAGATATGCGAGATAGCTCACGACCGTCATCAGCCAATTGGCCACAAATTCCCCCTGATGTAGGGACTTTTCTCGTCCATGGATATGAGCGGGAAGGTTTTCCCAAGCTTGATGAGAGCGAAACGATATATCACTATGGCATTATTAGCAGCTTAATGAATTTCAGGCCACCGTAGAGCACGGTGATAACTTACTTGAGGACTTTCTTCGTTTCAGGTGTAATATTCTGCATAGAAACTTCCAATATTTCTTCTCGAAAAGTGGATATTATATAACGGACTCGGATCCAAGTCGCTCGTTGGAACGGACGATGAATGTTCCATCCATCTGCATCCAGGTCTTTCTGCAAGTGCGAGAGGTCTCTATGACCGGTAGCCAGAGCCTCATCACTCAGATCCTTTGGGATTAAGCTATTGATATACCGTTTTGATATGCGTGGGGGTCTTCCCAGGAACGTGGCGAGGCTTTTATCGAACTGATAAGCTGCAGAGAATTGTCTCCTCCGGATCTCTACCAGAAATTCCGGCACTTCGGCTGCATTGTTACCAGAGTCTTTCCCATCGCGATGGTAGCCAAGTGCAAAGAGATCAGTAGATAGCTCGCCCAATCGACTCCAGCTGGTGGGGCCTATGGACGAATCAGCCAGGCGTACGTGTCACGGAGCAAATGTACTGACTTGAATCCCCATGTACCAAGTCAGTAAGCAGCAAATTTTGGTAAGTTAGCCATATAGTCAAATCATTGGCTGGCGTCAGGATTTTGCAAATGTGAATCACAATGTCGCTAGCTGCCAGCATGGCTCGCGCAAATTGTGGGGGTGAAACATCCTTTCCTAGCCCAGTTCGGGCAAGTCCCACGCTGCCTGCCTGCCCAGCAATGGAACAAATGACCCCAATAATCTCCAGTCGGATAGCAGGTCCGGTGTACAGTTTGTGGAATTCTTTTCCAGTGATGGAAGACGGGATCTCGAATGTTTCTGCCGTGTTATGAATTACCCTGATGGTGAGTGGGTTGATAGATTCTTCAAGCTTCTTATCTGAACAGTCCTGCAGCATCCTCCTCAGAGGGCCCAGGCTGTTTAAAATCACTGGTGCTGGGATCACTGCACCCTGACTCAGGGCATAGTATTCGCGGATAAGGCCCTCGATGATAGTGAAGTTACCTAGAGTGAGAAATATTTCAATGATTTTTTGGACCCAATAAGACGGCAAGATATCCCCCGCAGGGTCCCGACTCTAGACCTTTGCCTCCAGGTGCAAGATCCCCGGCGTCAGTCAACGGAGAAATAAAGCTCATTGGGCCAAGGTACCCCGGAAGGAGAGATCGTTTCCGAGCAGCGGTGTACAATGACGCTACATTATCGTTGGGCAGCATTGGCATAAGCGGGCTAGAAGACGACTCGTTGCGGTGAAGGTCCCTATGCGGGATTCTAAGTAGGCTTTCTTTCGTGATAGTCTCGTCTCGTATCCCGAACAGGCCACACACCTTTCTGATGGCCGGGCGAATGGAACACCCGCCACGAATGTCTGAGATTGGTGCCTTTTCGGCCTTGTCAAAGGCGCTGGATGATAGAAGCAACTTAATGCTCCTCCGCGGTCTTTGCACCGCGAGCACACAGGCTGCGCATGATCACATCGCACCTTATTCCGACGGCATGGCTCGCATGAAGCGGGCTTGCCGTTTCGGCGTCGTGAACTAATGAGGTGTCAGTTGTGAGCTGGGTTGTCTTTCCTGTCTTCGAACCTCATGAAGAATAATATGCTATGTAGTGCTCCCGGAATATCGCTATCAACATATCGTCAGAGTGTGCTGACGTTCGATTTCAGGAAGCTTTTCATTATCGGCGTAGTTTATTCCGCGACCTGAGGTGAACCCCGCAAACTCCGAAACTAAGTGGGGGTCACGGCGATCATCGATTGGTACAGTAGTCAGTGCGTGGTTCTCGCAACGCATCTACCACATAGGGTAAACTATGCGCTTCGCAGGTCGAGACCGGAGCAGGCTCTAAGAATAGCCTGGAATCAGGCGATGACTACGTAGCACTCCCCCACCGATAAGGCCTCTCTTTCGTCCCAAAAGATAAGCGCTGATAACGGTGCGGGGGAAGTCACATGGCTCCCCCCCTTACACTGCAGGAAGACAAACCGGCTTTGTGTCGCTTTCCCTCTTTTCTATTTCCTCTTCTTTCTCAATGACAATAGGTTCGACCGAAGCTCCCAGGATGCCGGAACCAACGTCTCCCGGAACTCCAACCGCCCGTTATAGCAAGCATATCATCGTAGGACCAAGTATAGGACCATGTGGGAGCAGAAGCTGACTGTCGACAGTTGACTACGTACCCCGGACAAAGCGGCATTGAGCCAGTACCATTGGAATGGGGTGCGCCCGATGCCAAGGCGCGAGGACCGGTCGTGGTCTCCCGCAGCGGCAATTTGGTCAAGCGCCGAAACGCCATCGGTGCCCATGGCGGCAGCTATAGCATTTACAATGCGCTCGCCATTGCGGCCGGTGACCTTGATGCAGACTTTCGTCCTGACTTGCGAAACAGTGAGCCGGTTTTTAATTTCCCGGCGCAGGCTGCTTGGGCGGACAAAACCAAGATTGTGTCGATGGATCCTTACGGCCATGATATCATGAACCAGTACAAGGAGGAGCTGGAGGCTGGCTGGGATATTCGGCCCACAATGGCGGTGACAAGAGCTAATATGAAGCTGGCAGAGATCGCGGAATCTGTGCGCAATGGGGAGCTTGGAGTAGACGGTAACATAGTGGTTGATTCCACGGGCGAAGTCCGCGTGACAAAGGTCGCCGTGGAGCCGGTTTGGTACCTTCCTGGTGTGGCTGAGCGATTCGGTGTTGATGAAGGTACTCTTCGCCGGACTCTCTTTGAGCATACCGGTGGTAGTTACCCGGAGCTTATCACCAGGCCTGATCTCAAGGTATTTCTACCTCCGATTGGGGGCTTGACTGTCTATATCTTTGGTCCCCCAGAACGCGTTGCAGACGAGAATGTCAAGCTGGCTCTTCGGATTCACGATGAGTGCAATGGAAGTGATGTATTCCAGTCTGACATTTGTACGTGTCGACCCTACCTTGCTTTTGGTATCCGAGAAGCAATCCGAGAAGCCCAGAACGGCGGCAGTGGCGTGGTCATCTACTTCCGCAAAGAGGGTCGTGCACTGGGTGAGGTTATCAAGTACCTGGTTTACAATGCACGAAAGCGCGGTGGCGATACCGCGGATAAGTACTTCACTCGGACGGAGAATATTGCCGGTGTGCGAGATGTATGGATCCCCGAACCGTCCGTCAAAACTTGGCACTAATCACTGTGTGTAGATGCGATTCCAAGCTTTAATGCCGGACATCCTTCATTGGCTCGGCATAAAGAAGATCGACCGGATGTTGTCCATGTCAAACATGAAGCACGACGCCATTGTTGACTCTGGAATCAAGATTTTGGAACGGATTCCCATTCCTGAAGAGATGATACCCGACGATTCTCGCGTTGAGATCGATGCGAAGATCAACTCTGGCTACTTTACCACCGGGAAACAATTCACAATGGAAGAGCTAGCTCAAGTACGAGGACGTGGCTGGGAGAAGTGGGAAGATATATCAGTAAGTTTGCCCAAATTAGGTTGGCTCCAAGGTTAGGCTAACACATGTCTTCAGCATTAAATTTCAAACTTGAACGTGTTTGAGGTCTTGTGAGGCCAAATTCGAAGCGGGGAACCTCAAGTCCAGATCACTTAGATTCTCTGCAGCTATATATCAAATTCTCCAATTCTCAGTCTTTGAGGGCGATCCTCGTAGTCTTCATCTTGTATTGGCCTTTTATTTTCTTTACCTTGATCAACAATCATCTGTTCTTTTGTAGTCTGCCCAATGTTACCATGTTGGCGATGAATTGGAGGGTCCGGGCCCCGGGCTGTCAATTCAATCAGCTTAACCGTGTACCAATCGCGGTACCGCTATGGCTTTGTCGTTGTTTTAGGCTTCTGAAAGAATATATTCAATGCAGTTTTCGGAGATTATGAATTCCTGCGGCTCTCAGAGGAAGATCGTCGGCGCAGCGGGCATAGGGCTGGGAGGATGCTGCAGGTTTATGGCAGTTAAGGCTACTCATAAGTCCGTGGAGTCTGCGGAGTGCATCTCGATAGTTGTCCACTTGTTCTCAGACACTGACTTGAAACTCAATGAGAAATCCTATTTGAGAAGATAGAAGAAATAACACGCCTCCTACGAAGTCGCAAAGTAATCAGCACATGCTGGGACTTTCAATGACTCTATTATTCCGTCCATAGATACGTGCAAATATTCTCCCCAGGTCCACTAGTGCCGAGTGTTGACTGATTCGACACCGAAGAGGCTCAATGACGCAGGATTTTACTATCTCGTTGATCTTCTAGTGCTGGAGGGCTGGGCATTGACGTACGTCGCGTGGGTTTCCAAGGACCATTGCGTAGTTTTTTCAGTCAGGTTACCCTGTTGACACCAGAGTTGTGGCCCACCGCTCATATATTGGATGAGAGTAAGGTCCTATTCGTTCTGGTTGCCGTCCTAAGGAGTTCCGGCCGTTCGGAGGCAGCAGAAGTGGGGACACTAAACGATCAGATAAGATCATCAGGTTCAAAACGAGTTTTCCTCTGCCCTGCCAGGCAAGCACCTCTCGTTTCAAATATTGTGTAGCTAGCTTAAAGACTTAGGACTAGAAATTAGGATCACTCTGCATATGTATTCGATATCCTGGAACTGTCGGATTTATAACACAGCCTCAATGCCCCCTTTTATCTTGAATCACATGAGAATTCCTGACTCATCAGGGATGGTGGAGCGTTCCAGTCCAGTCAAAGCGATTTAAAGTTACCATACATTTACGCCAGTGAGACGGGAGGTTGGATGGCATAAACTGCTTATTAAGCGTATGTTACATCTCAAGTACCAGATTCCGCGTCTCCCGAGAGCCGGAAGTGCAGCGAGCCGCGATCATACGACGGGCTAAAATTGACCCCATCCTGCACTCTCCAGGCCCAACAGGGCGAGGCCACCATTTTCACCTCACCGTTTGAGCTACGTCCGATTTCGCGTGACGTACAATTTGGTCCACGAATAGCATCACTTGGTGCTGGGTCCTCTGCCAGGGATGGTCAATTGATTGGGTCCCCTTTTGAAAGAGCCCACACTCTTAACTCGATTGGGTATCTGCGACTGCCCTGTCCCCTGCGAACATCTGTCTGCCTTTATTCTTTTGCATCACCCCTCCAAGTGGCGAGTCTCCAAAGAAAAGAACCCTGAAAGTCAAGGCCTTTTACCACTTTTGCGGTCAAGTAAGTGCTGTCAAATGTTTTCTTATTCTCAGCCTCTCGTCTATAGATCAGTCTTCATATGATGCATGCGAAGAAGCGGGGGCAATTGGGGCTTAACAGCTATCAATTTTGTGCCCGTTTGATCATCCCCAAACCTGACTAACATTTACAGTAGAACCATTTTTGGTGGCTACCGACTTTAGCTACTGGTTTTGAAGTCTCTGCCTCCTTAAAACCCCCCACCGTGGATGCCCGGGCATCTTGTCTGCTCCTGGTATGGATAACGATTTTCAACTCTTTTCGCCTCGTCAGCAAATGAGCGAGGCGAACAATCCCAACCCCTATCACCAGTCTTCAGAGAATGTCAACCAGGATTGGACAGAGTGGATGCGATGGGATGAACCCATGTTCGCCGACAATGATCAGAAAGATGTCAACCCCTCAATGAACTTGCCAAACTTCTCTCCGATTACGACTATGAGTTCTCCAAATCAAATGGACCCGAAGGACTTCTCCCCCATCTTCCCCTTGGTTTGATGAAAATCCCAGCAGAGCCTGAGGATATCGGCCGCTTCAATAGTAACGCAAGATCTTCCAATGCATCTATTTCCCCCCTCAGACAGGACTAATCTCCCCCATATCGAGTGTGGGTGTGAGCCGAAAGCGAAAGACCGGCAGTGACGATGATACAACCACCCCTAACCCGGCCATTCAGCCTGGCAAGAAAATGCCGGCGAAGAAACGAGCTCACAACGTCATTGAAAAGAGATACCGGGCGAATTTGAACGAAAAGATTGCCGAGCTGCGTGACAGCGTCCCAAGTCTACGGGTGGCTAGAAGCGGTAGCGGTGACTCAAATGAGGAGGAAGACGATGCTGAGGCAGCCCAGGCTGCAGGCAAAATGAACAAAGCTTCGATCCTTTCGAAGGCAACAGAATACATCAAACATCTTGAGATCCGCAATAGACGGCTGGAAGATGAAAACACGGCCTTGAAGAATCGCCTTCGCCAAGTCGATAAAGCAGCCGAGCAAGCGGTCACCTCTACGGCCTCCGTCTCCTCTCCCAGCAATTATACTGCCTCGGGCGAGTCCAGTGGCACCTCGCCAAGCGTTTTCTCCCAGCCCGAGGAGTTAGCTGAGTCCCCATCGCCTTCTCAGAACCCTCCAGAGGGTCTCATCAAAGTACCTGATGCGTGGAAGCGGATGCGAGCGGAAGGCCAGCGGGGGGCGTTTGCCGAGTCATATATCAACACCTCGACCCATACGGCTCCAGACTATGGCCGGGAAGATGGTAGTCGTCGCCGCTCTAGGATGCCCCCTAAGTACATGCTCGGAGCTCTTGCTGGACTCATGGTTCTCGAGGGCTTCGGTTCTGACAAATCCGAGTCAGAAGAAAAGGGGCTCATGGCCCTCCCGTTGAATTTTGTCAGAGGCCTCCATCCGACGAATCTTCCGCATCTTCAACGCTGGGAGTTCCATGTGAGACACTTCTATCAGTCGTGGCATGCACGGGCGATTTCAAGCTTCCTCCTGCTTGCCACACTCGTCGTAGGTAGTGCCTTTATTGTTTTCGTCTACCTCTTCAATACCCAGCCCGTCACCAAACGTCCGTCCGTGAAAGCAGTGTCTGAGGGCAAAAACGCTGCGCCTACCTCCAGTGACTTCCGCCGGCAAGCCTGGCTTACCAGTGTGCAAAGAGTTGGGATTCCGCGGCACCGTTTCTTCCGCGAATGGTATGTTGTCACTTCGCGTTGCTTCGAGTATGTGTTGCGATGCCTGATGGGATGGAAATTCTACTCTTGGGCCACTGGTATTACAGAAGAGGACGAAAAGGGCCGAGTGAAGACTTGGGATATTGCCATTGACGCGCAACTTACTGGTGGTGATGCTGAAATTAGCAAGAGTCGCCTGGTCCTCACCATCTTTGCAGCTGGAACACTTCCTAGCAGCCCCATGAGAATGATTCTGAAAGCAATGCATGTGCGGATACTTCTTTGGCAAGTTGGGGAGCATGGATCATGGTCATTCAAAGTCTCGAACGATATCGCTCGTGCCCTTGCAAACTACCAATGGAACGTCGCCCGTGAAATCAATGACGCGCTACCGGACGGCCATCCAGACGAGCTCCCTTGTCACCTTGCTGCCTTGGTCAAGCTAGATTGTGACGATGTCATGATCGACTCAATCATTCAACGAGCCGTCAACCTCACGTGGAACCGACCAACCCAGGAAGGAGCAGGGGATGATGAGGTCCTTTTGGATGTCGTTGAAGAGGACCCTGCTATCCAGTGCTCTGTGGATGCGCTTGCCGCGTGGTGGTCTAGTCACCTCCTCCAGACCGCCCTTTTGAATTATTTGCAAGCCAGCGAGGGCGGACCTGTCTCCAAGGCGAGCCGAGACGCTTTCAAGCAAAGTATTAAGATGGCTCTGGAGGTTGCACCTCGTCTATCTGCAGCTTACACCCGTGCACTTGTTATGAAGGCAGTGTTCTTTGAACAAGGCCGCATCCAGAATGTAGGAGCTGTCCTCGCGACTCTTCCTCGTGACAAGCGTAAGGACGAGTGGAACCAATCTACGAACTTCCTCGATTCTTCGCTCCCTGTTTCAGTGCGTGACGAGATCTCTCTTGCTGTTCGATGTGCCATGATCGCTGCCGTGATCACCGCGCGATCTGCCGGCGATACCTCTCTGCCAGCCTCCTTTACTATCCAAAAGGCAATCAATTGGTTCAACCAATTACCGATCGATCCTGTCGAGTTGAGTCTAGTTGGTTTCTCGGCAGTATATCATCTACTTCACCTCCTTGCCTCCGATGTCGATTACATTGCTTCCTCTGACTCGTCTTCTCCGTCTGCGGCCGCATCGGAAGCTGCATCATCTGCTGACGATGAAGCTGAAGAGAAGCCCAAGGCTTTTGAACATTCTAAGAGTACTACCCGCAAGCTCGCCGTCTGCCCCCGCGATGTTCCTAACGTGGGCCGTGTTTCGGCAGAACTCATTTATTGGGCTCGACACGCTTACAACCCGGCGTTCTACGGTTTCTCCTCCAGTCTCGTGGATGTCATAGTCAAGTCTTGTACTACCGTTTGCCAAAATGCCGGTATCAGCGTGGAAGGCTTCATTCGGAGCCCACCGGGGCCCGCGCTTTCCCGAAAGCGAAAGTCTCGTCGCCGTCGTGGCGGTTCCAACCAATCGTCCCAGAGCGATGTTGATCAGGAATCCATCGATACGCGGTTGAATAAGAAACATCTCCGGCACGGAAGCTCTGCCAGTAATGATACAGGCTACGGTAGCCTCAGTCTCGACGACGACATGCAATCAACACCTCGGGTGCCTGAAAAGGTAGATGAGGGTCGGAATTGATCGCGGGTTTGAAAATTAGCCCGGGGGGGTTTTGTAACAGCGCTGGCGTTTTCGGTTTTCATATTCGGGCTTCCACTCTTGGATTGGGTGACACGGGTAGGCCTTAGCATACAAATGGGGGGGGTGTTATGTTCAAGTTCCGCTTCTGTGTAGAAATATCAACGATCGTATTATATCAAAATCCTCCCACCCTGTGCTCCTTCTTGTACGTCGGCTCCGACTCTTAAAAGATCCCTTAGTCCCGATCAACCTTCCCTCCTTGGCGTTCTCGCAACGTGCCCGCCTTGCCCTATCGGGGTCGTGACGTTGCCTCGTCAGCGCTTCGATTAGTCTCAGGGGGATCCTAGCTGGGATTATTGTGATCCGGTCCGGTTGGCTGACGCCCCCTAAATCCACCCCGAGCCACTGCGGACATGCGGACCTCATGTTGTGTCGGGATATCCCCACATCTGGTGAGCGAGGCTCCGAGACTTTCTGCCCCCAACGTTTGGCACTAGTTAAAACAGTCCCATAACCCTGGGTTTCGGCCCAATGTTTGACCGCACTATTTCTTCCTGCACCCCAAAACGATATCAGTAGCTTGCGAACCTAGTAACTGCCCTTCTGCGACGGGAGGGTTCCTGCGAGTGTGCGATCAGCATTTTCCCGTGCCCGATTGAGAGTCCTCGGCCGACACCCGACTTGGTACAGCATATATAGAGTGGCTAGGAGCCTGTGGTTTCCAGCTTGAACATTGGGATTTCGTGTTAGAACCTCCCGTGCTGAGGCCACTAGCACTTGAGTATTTCCAGGGGGACCGAGCTTACACCATGCCGCCCTTCAAGGTGATTATCGTCGGCGGAAGCTTGTCGGGTCTGGTCTTAGCCAAGATCTTCGAAGAATACGGCATTGACTACGTGTTACTTGAAAAGCACGAGAAGGTTGCGCCGCATCTAGGCGCGGGATTCGCTCTCTGGCCCAACGGGCATCGAGTGCTGGAACAGTTAGACTGTGTCGAGGCCCTGGAAAATGCGAACGGGCCGGTCAACAACCTGACCGCGTACGACTCGAACGGCGTCCTCCGTGATGACCGGCCAAGTTATGGCGATTGGAGCCGAGCTATGTAAGTTGAGGTGAATCTCAGCAGGGGTGGGATCTAACACTTGGCAGGCTCGGGGATCAAGTGCGCTTTATGGAGCGTCGCGATGCGGTGCAGGGAATCTGGGACGGCCTCAAGGACAAGTCGAAAGTAATTACTGCAACGTCGCTGGTCAAGATCACGTGTGATGCGGATGGCGTCACGGCAGAGGCATCGGACGGCCAAGTCTTCCATGGTGATATTATCATCGGCGCAGATGGAGTGCATAGTCGCGTCCAGCAGGAAATGCAGCGGATTGCTGCAGCAGACAGGCCCGGCTTTGACTTGTTTCCCGACAAAGATGGTCAGTTTATAAATTAATTTGTTGAGGGTGTGCGCTGACTATCTAGGGTTTAGGCATTGAATGCAGTTACAGTGGGGTCTTCGGCGTGGCCCAAGGCGTGGACGGCATCAGTTCGTCGGAGGCAGTACGAACATACGCAAAGGGCCGCAGCTACATTGCGTGTGGAGGCCCGGATAAAATTGTATACTGGATTTACCAGTTCAAAAACGAAGGTGGCAAGACCACGCAAGGAAGAGAGATCCCCCGATACACGATGGAAGACCGCGATCGTTTAGTGGCGAGGCATATCAATGATCAAATCAAGCCAGGCATTACACTGGGCGATCTCTTCAACAACTCTCCTCAATCGACTCTAGTGCCTCTTGAAGAGGGTGTACTCAAGACATGCTACTACCGCCGTATGGTGCTAGCAGGAGATTCGTGGCATAAGGTTCGTCCTCCAGGCGGGATTGTACAATTCATCCTTTGCTGACAATCACCAGATTCATCCGATAAGCGGTTTAGGCGGCAATAGCGCAATTCTGTCGGCAGCGTCACTGGGGAATCAACTCCATGCCTTCATTGGGAAGAAACCCAGCGAGGCCGATCTTCAGAAGGCATTCCAAGCCTACCAGAAAGAACGAACGTGGCACGTTCAGGCTGTTGTCAAGTTTGCTCACTATTTGCAAGTTTCTGATGCACTGGACAGCCCATTGAGTTTATTTATGAAGCGGGTTATTCTCCCTCTCATCCCCTCTGCATCGTTCTTGAATATGCATGCCACTATCCTTGTTCCATCGATTCGTGTAGACCACGTCCCCTTCCCAACCGGGCGCGACTGGTCCCATTCGAGGACGAGGTCAAAATCAAGCCTGCTGATCGCCCTCGTCTGATCAGCCTGGTCTGGATAGCTCTGCTCGTGGCCGCATTCTGGCTACTATATCCTCTTCAGCAGGTATCTGAGCTGAACTCCACATGGACAACATCTCCCTTGCCGAGACTGCGAAATGGCTTTGAAATCGACATATCGCTGTATCTCCAGCTCTCCCTAACCGCAATCACCAGTATCATGTGTCTTGAGTCGTACAGATTGTCGTTTTCAGTGCTGAGCATTCTGGGATCGTGAGTACTGCGTCACCCGTTGCCTTTTTTTTTTTTATTCCTTTTTCTGTTTCTTTTTCTCTTTTGTGGCTAACCGATACTACCAGGGTAATCCCTTTCGGGATAGCGTCGCTTTTCATGAGCTGGACCGCCGTCTTGCCTGTGTACTTTGGGCTTTTCATTTTATCCTCTGCAACGAGGCCATTCTACTACCCCAGTGCGCGAGCTCTAGATTTGGCGATGGTCCAGGCCCTGGTTCCTGCCTATTTGGTCACCTACCTCCCGCCTTTGGCCTGCACGTTTCTCTCCCCACATTGGCGACAAAGGCCTGGACCATCGCTCATGTTGCGCTCCCTCTCATGCTACGACTCTCCAAAAGAATCGTGGAGCGTGGGTGTGTCATCCCTCGAGGCCCCGAGGCGCAATATGGCAAACTCGACCTGGTGCCTTTAACGGGCTTCTTGCGGTTGCTTTACATGGTTCAGATGATCACCTCCCTTCTTGCTAGGAGTGTTTTTGTCAACAAAGTATACACCTTACTCCAGGAGGGAGGGCTCAATAAGCTGGATGGCTTGTCTGCCGAAATGTTACTGCTGGAGACTTCGGCCTTGATCTTCTTCTTATTCTCACTGTATGATTTACGTCGAGTCTATCCCGAAAGCAAGGAAGTCTGGATGCAGTTGTTCCAGGTGTCTGTGGCCTTCGTGCTCAGTCCCACCGCAGCGCTTGCCTGGTTCTGGAAGGATCGTGAAGTCCAGTGGGAGGAAGCCCGACAGAAGAAAGTTACCCGAGAGACCAAGCAATAGATGCACGGGGTAGCAGAGGGTTGTGTCGTAACTGCTCCCCTTCACCCTCATTCATCCTGTTTGGACCTCCGGGATTTCGATTACGGATTTCTGACGCCCCAGACTTGGATAGCTCATCAACCACGCCACGTACTTTTGGAATGAATGCCGAATTGGTAGATCTACATATATTTTGATTTTTATCTCTAAGAGAGCTCCTCTTTTTTTTTCTTTTTCTTTTTCTTTTTTTTTTCTCGGCAAAAAAAGAAAAAAACCTTCGTCTTGAAGCTTTCGGCTGGTTGAATTTTCCACTTCTCCAGACAAATAAATGAAGAAATGACGAGAGGGCCGGTACGTCATCTGCGACGTTGGCTCCACCAGCGAACCTTTCCATTGTCCGACGTTGCAGTTGCGTCCCAACATGTCGGGCATGTAAGGTCCCGCGTGTTGAATGTCTCAATCTTGAAGCATCCGGGATTCACGGTCGGCGCGATATGACGGGCTTGACTGGTGCGCAGGTCCTGGCCAAAAACCGGTATTGCGGCCTCCCTGCCCCCGACTTCCTGGATGTAACTGATTCATATATCTCGAGAAATGACACCAGAGGACGAAGAAGACCTGGGGAGTTTGACTGGCGGATCTCCAGACCGGCTTTGGCCACGAGAAGTCGATGTCACCGCAGATGGGGGAGGCTCAACAACATTCCGTTTCCGGACAGGTGGATCGACGATCAGTGATCGGCAGCTACTTGGTATGCACATCCTTGAAATCCTCTGGGGGCTTTCCACTGGACGCATCTGACTTAGTCGAATCATGAACAGGCGCCCATTGCGTAAGTTTTCGGGCCGTAGAAAGGGCCCATCGCGGTAAAAAGCTTAAGATCTAGACTTTGTCTTCGCCAGCCACTCACCGATCGCATAAGGGACAACGAAGATCAGAATTTCCAGCTATCCAAATATCTCAATTCGGAGCTGTTACACTCACGCTTGCGTGGAGAAGAGGAATGACGATGTTTTTGCGTTGAGGTGGGAGATGGCCTCCAGGACCATTGCAGGGCTACATGACGGCATCCACGAGTTTACGCTCGCTAGAAATTCTATTACTCGGTTTCCTCATCGGTAATCCTATTTTCTTCTTTCTCCACTCGCTTGTATCTATAGTCGTACTTTCCACCTCCAAAGGCCGTGCCTTTCTACCATCTGATCCGAGCGTGTGAGGTGTCGGAGTTCGGCGCTGTTGGATGGTTGACGATCTCTCCCTTTCCCTATACTTTCTTCGACACAATAGGTACATGGCAGCATGGGCGTTGAGCTCCAAGGAAATGGCCGTGGAGAGCCACCTATGAACCCGGAGATTGCGATTCCTCTGTTCGTTGCTGGGGGACTCGTCGCTACCTTGTTCCTATACAGGACCGCCATTCGACTTCGTCACCGACGGCGCCTAAAGCTCGCTCTGACGACAGATGACCAGACGCAACTCTCCCAGTCGAATGGCATCAAGGCGAGCCTGAAGAAGCATCTCCTCTATGCGCCCCTTTGGGGCTCACGGCATAGCCGCGAGTTTCGGTTCTTGCGCCTGCACATGGGCTCGCTTCCCCTTCGACTGGAGACCATCTTCTTGGCCATCTATCTTGCTTTGAACTTGATCTTCGTCGTCGTCAAGGTGGATTGGTGGAAAGACTACTCGACGCAGATGTTCCAGCTCAAGTACGCCGCTGGACATTTGGCTGTCATGAACACTCCGGGTCTGGTTCTCAGCGCAGGGCGCAACAACTTCTTGGTCCCGCTGCTAGGGTTGTCGTTTGACACGTTCAATCTTATGCATCGCTGGGTGGGGCGTGTCATCGCCGCTAATGCGGTGATTCACATGGCTGCTGTTCTTGCAAATCAAGCATACGAGAGTACGTATTCCCTCATAAGAGAAATCGCCAAACTTCAAGTCCTGACAAGCTTTTAGATGGGACGGATTACATCCGCTACACCATGTGGCAACAGCCCTTCTACATATCTGGCCTGGTGGTATGTCCATTTCCATTCCCTCCGAGATTTGGCCCCAGGCTCTAACAACTGCCCAGGCAGTTCTAGGATTCGTGGTCATATGCATCCAGTCATTATCGGCACTCCGGCATTCTTACTATGAACTGTTTTTGCATCTGCATATCGCGCTCGCAATCATGTCTTTTGTGGCTCTGTGGTACCATCTCAAGAACCTCCTCCAGCAGCGGGTGCTCTTGGGCACGATAATCCTGTGGGGCCTAGATGTAAGTTTCACCATCCGCGGGTAATGGGCTTGGAGCGACACTGACATCCCGCAGCGCCTCGGTCGAGGACTGATTCTTCTCTGGAGGAACTGCGGCAAGTGTCGCACCACCGCCACCGTCGAGGCCTTGCCAGGATCTGTGGCCAAAGTCGATGTCGAGGTTTCGCGGGCGTGGACATTCCGCCCCGGTCAATACATGTACCTCTACATGCCCTGCTTAGGGCTGTGGACATCACATCCCTTTACAGTTGCTTGGTCATCGGCAGGCGACAACTCTCTCAGCCTCAAGGAGAAGCGCAGCTCCAGTGATTCGTTTGCTGCTCTCATTGGGAAATCGGAAAAGACTACCATGTCGGTTCTCATCAAGGGACAAGACGGATTCACGAAGAAGCTTCTCCGAAAAGCAGAGAAGTCCCCCGAAGGCAAGATTCAGGCCATGGCCTTGGCCGAGGGGCCGTTCGGTACGTACCAAGTTGATATTCGAGTTCCCCGTTCCTTTCTGACGTTCGCCAGGAGGTATTCACTCGCTCAAATCCTACGGATCTCTTCTTTTGATTGCCGGCGGCATTGGGATCACGCACCCACTATCCTACATACACGAAGTCATGACCGACTTCCCCACTCGCACCTCTGCTACTCGCAAAGTGCACCTTGTCTGGATGGTCCGAAGTCTAGGTATGATGACCCGCTTCCCACACGCGGCTTCTACCAAAGCCCCCTTGCTCACATGTCAACAGATCATTTATCATGGATCCAAACTTGGATGCTCGACGTATTGAGTCACGACGCTCTGAATTCCTCCATCAACACCAAGGGCGACACCTACTTCCAATTCCCGGGACTCATGCTCTCCATCCGCATCCACGTAACGGGCCAAAAGGAAGATGTGGAGGAGTACATTCCATCGCCGGAAACGCCGTGGACGGAATGCGCACCTTCGAACGTTCCGGTTAGCGTGGAATACGGGAAGCCATGCTTCAAGACATTGTTGGAAAACGAAAAGGCGGAGCAAGTAGGTGCCCTGGCGGTCACCGTGTGCGGTCCTGGAGGCCTGGGCGACAGTGTCAGAGAGGCTGTCCGCCATGTACAGGGTGAAAAAACGGTTGATCTTTTCGAGGAGTCTTTCTCATGGTGATTTCACTTGTGGAATGGTTTTACAGAGTCATGCGTATATACAGCTGCAGTCCGGTATAGAATCCTATAAATATTATGTTATTGTCCAAAACCCCCTCGGTCCGCTTTTCTCCTTTTCTTTTTCTGTTCCAGTCCCCTGGATCTCTCTGCCAACTGGGTATTCGAGAGGACAGGAGAGGTGATGAATGCGATGATCAGCACTGCCGCACCTAGGCCGAATTTGGTTAGAACACGCCAAAGTACGATCAGCTAGGGCTTCTTTAGTTTGCAGTCAAATTACATACCATGCAGGTGTCGACAAAACACGAAAGCAGCACGGAGGACCGCAATAGCAATAATACCCCGTAACACACCCGATGGCACTGGATCGGATGGTCATATTAACCTAAAATTTCCATTCCGCCATGAATTACTAGCTTGGCCTAGTGGATTCCGAATTGGGGTAGTGGCTAACCTCATCGTCTCTCACACGATAGCCGGGGGTTCGATTCCCCCATTCGGAGCTTAATTCTTCAATTTTCTTTTTTTCTTCTCATACACTACTAGGAACCTTTTTTTATCCCCTTGCCCAGGTTCTTCTTATCGGTAGGTTACGTGACCAAGGAAGTGCGATCTGACCACAGTACTCTCCGGGATACAGCGCAGTTGATCGTACTCCATCCGCCAGGTCGTTTTTGTAGTCCCTGTTACCTCGTTGATCATAATTGCTCATCTACCGTTCACCTATCATTTATCACGGATCCATAAATTTAGTGAACACAGTAGATTATATTATCTAACTACTGCCAGTGACAGTGACAAGCAAGGGATCTGCGCCTACCAAGGACTCCAACAACTTGAAGGCATCAGCCTACGCCAAGGGGACTTGAAACCTTGCCAGTATCCGAGTCTAATCATGATATTCTCGTGCTGAAAATAAGGGTCTATGCCAATGCTTGGATATACTTGAAAAATCAAAAAAATAAGGGCGAATTTACTCTGCAAACTCCAGTGCCCACTCCACCATGTCAGTGATCATCGCAGTCACATTGGATGTGCGCGGAATCTCATGGCCGCCTTGATGGCTATAGCACCGTCGATTCTTCGATTCACAGAGCCCAGCTAACTGCAAACTAGCTCCCAAACGGGGATCCTTCGCGCCGTACACATGCACAGTCGGAATCTGAATCTTGAAAGGGCCCTGGAACTCGTCCCGCACTTCCTCCTCCGAGCGTCCCTGCATGAAGGAGTCACCTTTCCATCGCTCGGCTCCCTGGGACATAATAGAGCTCACATCGGCCTGCTTGGTCAGGGCGTCAACCGACGCTTCGTCCCGCGCCAACGCCTCTTGTGTGATATTGAAGCCCAGGGCTTCCAGAACCCGCAGCGATGAAGCGCCGCATATGAAGATGCCCGCCTTGAAAGGAGGGGGCTGGTCTGGTGACTCTTTCTGGTGGAGGAGAAGAAGACTAGAGGCCACAATACTGCCTTGCGAAAAACTCATCACGACATCGTACGGGCCTTTCTTCGCGATGTACTCCTTCAGCCAGTCGACGGCCTTCAGGACCGCTTCGAGGGTGGCCTTTTCCCAGAACCCGTAGTACGGCGGCTGGTAGAACATGTCTACGCCCGGTGCAGCTGTTGTCTCATTTGGGCCGTTCACAAAATCAAATTGGACATTTCCGATGGAGAGCTGGGACCGGATGTTTGCTGTGGGGGCCGGTTAGAATGTGCCTGCTGGCGAGCCGGGGGGGGGGGGGAGTTTTACAGGTTTGGGACTCGAACACCTTGGCGCTTGTGCCTTTGCCGTGCAGGCACAGGACCCTCATTGTGATCGACGAGGGTCAGTTGGTCGCTTCAAAGAGGAGGACTTGTGGATGTAGCAGATACGCCCTCGAATGCAGTCCGGAGGGCGTGCCACCCCTCGATAGTTGGGGGCGAAAGGCGTCGCAATCACGACTGCGATACCAGTACTTTTCTTCCAAGGTCGATGGCCTATGCAGTCAATCTTGGGAAATTTTAACCGAGAGATATCCTCGCCCACTGGTATCTACTTGGTCACTACGTTACATGTACAAAAACACTCTATCCTAATTTAATGCGAATGAGAGAAGGGTTAGCTAGAAGAAATATATTTTCAATCTCGAGCTTAGGCAGTAAGGGGAAATAGGATGTTGGAGGCGAGTTTCCTCGGAGATTGAAACTAGCTGAGAGAGAGATCAGATGAAATAGGAAACTCTATATTTAACCTGGAGTCTTGGGAAGATCATCGTAAAGGTATACTTCGCCCATCCGATCACCTCTGGATGAGTCAAACGCTAAGTCAGCAGCTCTGCGGTGGACCGGTGGGACGAAGAGCACGACATACAGTCCACTCTTAAAAAAGTTCGATATACGCAGTGACTTCTTATTCTTGCCCAATTTTCATCTGATACCCAAGGGTCCAAGAATATACATTCCTCCTCCATCAAACTGCCCCCACCATACTTCAATTGGCCTCCATCATGTCTAACGCGATCTACCTCGGAGTTGTTGGTACAGGACCCCTCCATATTTTTAATTTTTGGACCAATGCCCTCCAGATCATAATACTAATCCAAATCTACAGGCGTGGGCGGCGTGGGCACCGCATTCCTCTCTCAGCTCGCCCGCCTCCCCAATGCTCCCAAGCTTGTCCTCCTTGCTCGCTCATCGCAGACTCTCCTCGCGCCGACACCGGCCTACTCCCCCGCCATCCCCGCGGCCGACTGGGCTACCGCATCTGCAGCTCCCTCCTTGACCAAGACCGGTGCTATGCCCGCAGAGGAAATCGCAACATACCTCGCCTCAGCTCCTGGCCGCGCAATCCTGGTCGACAACACCTCCGATCTGAACCTGGCTAAGGCCTATCCCACATTCCTCAAGAAGGGCATCTCTGTCGTGACGCCCAACAAGAAGGGGTTTTCCGACGACCTGTCCCTGTGGAAGGACATCTTCGCCTCCGCAGCCGAGGGCAAGGCCCTCGTCTCACCACGAGAGCACCGTTGGAGCCGGCCTGCCCGTCATCTCCACCCTGAAGGACCTCGTCGCAACCGGCGACCAGGTTACCCGCATCGAGGGTGTTTTCTCCGGCACTCTTTCCTTCCTCTTCAACACGTTCGCCCCAGCATCCGGCTCCTCCAATGCCCAATGGAGCGCCGTCGTGGCCCAGGCCAAGGAGCTCGGCTACACTGAGCCTGACCCCCGCGACGACCTGAACGGCATGGACGTGGCCCGCAAGCTGACTATCCTGGCCCGCCTGGCTGGCCTTGATGTCGCGCGCCCCGACTCCTTCCCGATCGAGTCGCTCATCCCCAACGAGCTGGCCGGTTTGCCTTCATCGGCGGACGGTATCGCACAATTCATGGCCCGCTTGCCCGAGTTCGACGCCCAGATGGCTGGAATCAAGGAGGCGGCCGAGAAGCAGGGTAAGGTTGTGCGCTACGTCGGCAGCATCGACGTTCCCGCGAAGAAGGTCAAGGTTGGCCTGGAGTACTTCGACAAGGACAGCGCGATTGCTGGTCTGAAGGGCAGCGACAACATCATCAGCTTCTACACCCAGCGGTACGGTGCGAACCCTCTTATTGTGCAGGGTGCCGGTGCCGGTGGTGAAGTTACTGCTCACGGCGTCACTGCTGATCTGGCCAAGGCCATTGAGCGCCTGAAGTAAGAATCTTGGGTAGGATATGTGCAGATATCGAAATAGGAACGGGATTTGTGAGCTCCAAAAAATGAACAAGGACGGTGAAACCCATAATTAGCGCGGGATATAGACAAAATGAACATACCTGTCAGGATCGTCCAAAGGCCTTGACAGCATCACCCCACACATCTGTGCTTTTGTAAGCGTGCACTTCAGGTACATTCCCTTTCGTAAAGCCTTCAATTGCTTGCGCCAAATTTCCTCATCTAGACCGTCGTCCTTGATTTGTTGGGGTATGTCAGGTCATTAGATCGGGGTCCGAAACTAGAAGAATCTGCTGCTCTCGAATAGACGTCGCATCCATCAAAGCCTCTCATATTATGCGCCTGAATTGGTATAGTATGCAATACAGATAACCAAGTCCGATATCCTGTAAAACAAGCTCATCGAGTATTCCCCGAGAGAAACCCCAACACCATAAGCGCCATAAACAAATAAACCCCACGCTGAAGGCGAAGATAGAAACCATGACCATGCCAAGGACAATGATAGACGAACCCCTCACGTCGAATCCCACGTCCGCTCAGCGACCCGGAGCTTTAATTCCGCCTCACTGGAATGCACCCGCGCGTCCCCCACTGGAGCCGCATTCTCTTTCCCTGCCTCCCCGCCCGTTCCGCTGGCAATCCCCCTGCTGTCATCGCTCGGATCTGTCTCCACGCCGCGTAGGCTGAACGCGCGGCGCTGGCCATCGGGCCGTTCGTTGAGGCTCGGCGCACGAGGTCTTTGCTGGCCGCGCGTGCGGCCGCCGATGTATGGCAGTTCCCAGAGTACGAGGCGGAAGAGGTAGATAGCGGCGTCGATGATGATGAGGACTGCCCACGGGGCGATGGTGATGAGGCCGAGGAGGAACTGGGAGGCAAGAGTGAGTAGGTCTCCGGAGAGAAAGGGGGGGAGTTGAAGTAGACGTACGAAGACCCGCACAGCCCAGCTCTCAACCTGGATGAGCTGGGGCGGGAGGATGGAGTACCATGCCATGGACGGCAGTGGATGGTGCGCACCAGGGGATTGAAAGTTTAGAAGTTGGTAAGATGGTTTGATTGGATCCTCTTTGTTCTAGTCTATTGGGATCTGGCGGAACTGGGCGAGCTGGAGCTCGGACTGGTGCTCCCCCGCAGCTGGGATTCCAGGAATGACAGAAGAGGAGCTTCGAGGCAAGAAAAAGAGCGCCAATGAGGCAATCTGGTGTGGCAACTCCGAGATCTTCCCCCGCAGAGGCCCAGCGGAGAGAGTGAGTGGTTTCGCTGTCGACACAATGGGTATATGCAAGGCGGTGTCTCGGGGCGACAGCGGAAAAGAGTTGGGCTTGCTTGGTTGGGAGTTTGCGGGGCAGTTGGAATAATTCGAGTTTCAAAGCACAATCCCCAGATTCCATAAATTCTGGCAGCCTGGAGATCGAACGGGTGGAGCTATGTGGTCGAGGCCGAGGCCCCATTTGTCTAGCCCATATGCGGGGAAAGTAGCAAGGTCGTCTACAAGCTCGCTATTAATCTGAACCGGGGTGCTCGGAATGAATATGTGTATCTGATTTGTACAGTCCTTTGCGTATCTATAGAGAAAAAGATCCAGACCCGCTTGATGCAAAAGGAGTAGAAGGAAAGGAGAGGAAAATCGTGGTCTCGTAGCAAACAGACAGCCTCGACATCGGGACATGCTGCACACGCCAAAAACAAAAAAAGTGTTAAGTACAGAACTATTGTGACAAATCTAGAATTATGTATGCAGGCAATGTAGATTTACCGGCCAGCCCGGTAAGCCTCGTAGGAAATATCCTCTTCCTCTTGCTCCAGGGGCCCGTACCCACCAGTGCGCCAGCGATCGAGCGGGTTTGAGAGCTCACTCTGCCCCGGAGTTTGGGCATTGCTGAGAAGTCGCGACTCACTCTCGTTGGAATGCCGATACAGCCCGGGGACGGAGTTGCTGCTGACCTCCCGAGACAGAGGGACACGGAAGGCAGGATGGACCAGCTCGGAGGTTTCACTAGGCTCATGACCTTCATGGAGCTTGAGGACGGACATAGATGGCAGAGATGGTGCAGGAGAGGAGGCGCGAGATGAGCTGGGAGACCATTCGCCACCCAGCATGCTGCGAGGAGTATGGGATCGCTCGGTGATGAGATCTTCCGGGCGTCCGTAGATCCCTCCGCCGAACTCCTCGCGGAAGTCGGCGCGGTTCTTGTAGTAAGAGAAGTCCAATTGGCTCTCTGGAACGACTTCGAAGGGTGCTGGTTCGGCTTTTCCCGGTTGAGATGCGTTCATTGGGTTCATAGCTATGTCTGAGTATTCGCCAGCCACATCATGGTGCTCCAGGCGACCTGCGTAGATCTCCTTCAGAACCTCGGCGGCCTTGGCATGGACCATCGGGGTCATCAGGGGCTTGTAAAGAGCCGGGTGGCCGAATTTTGTGCTGAGTCTCTCAGCACTTTTCTTGCCCGTCTTGGAGCTGCCGAGGGCTTCGGCGTCGGAAAGATCGGCGCGATTGAAATATGTGAGATCATTCTCGAAAGTCCGGCTGCAGTACCACTTGAAGGCCAGCATCAGGAATGGGAGCGGAAGGACGCAGAAAACCATGGTCCAATTGCCCTTATCCTTGGCCACGAAAGCAATGATAACATTGGCAAGGATGGTTCCAAAGACCATTCGATTGAATAGGACACGCCAAAAGGCACCCGCAGATTCATTCTTAGTAACGAAGATGTAAAGAAGGAGATACTTCTTCAACATGGCGTCGACACCGAAGTATAGGGCGGTGACGGGTAGCACAATGGGCTGCAGAGTGGCAAAGCACATAGCAACAGTTGCGTAGAAAAGGAAAGAGTTGTAGTAGCTGGCATAATCAAAGGGCTGTGGAGCAGTCCACTCGATCGCCTGGCGCGGCGTAGGGGAGAGGAAAGTCTTGGAGAACCAAACCCAGAACAGGGTGATCATTTGGACCAGGTCGATAGCAGCTCCCAGGTTGCGCTGGAGGATATAAGTGACCCAGAAAGGTGACACACCGCACAGCGCACTAATGACCTTATAATAGATATTACTCTCCACAATAGCTTGCCAAGCACCCTCGTTATTTTGAGTCTTCTGAATCACGCCGGACACGAACAGCCACGCCGCGGAGAACAGGGAGAAAACGATCAAGTTGTTGAAAACAAAAAAGGCATACAGTTGGGCCAAGACGTGCCGCTCACGCGATGTTTTCGTTTTACTGCCGGCTTGGATAGCCAGGCGTCGAAAAATAACCGGAAGCACCAGGTAGAAGAGAGAAGTGATCGCAGGACCGGCAATACCCTGAACCGCGGCCCATACGTGGGGGTTCGCCTCCAATTGGGTCTGGAAAGCAGGCCATACACGACCCAGGTTATTCAAGTCCGACAAGAAGATCGCGATCATTGCGTTAGGTGCGATCCACAGCAATGTCAGGATAGTAACCCAGATAAAGTTGATGAAGCTCTTCCACCTGCGCGAGGACTTGGAAAGCGGCAGATTGTCCCAGATCAGATCACTTGGCCGAGGAGCCAGAGTGATGGTAGTTCCCTTGGGGTGCTTCCGGCGAGCAGCCCACGCCACCGCATGAGCATGCTCTATGCTGTCCCAACTGGCAAATCCGTATGGCATAGCGTCCCGACGGTCGATTACAGCCCGTCCGTGCTTGATCTCTTCCTCGAGGACTCGGATGCGAACAGTCAGAAAGTCGATCGCATCCACCTTCCCATTGGGGTGCTTGCTGCGTTGGCTCTTGGGAGGGCGGATCATCGGACGTTGCGCAGGGAGGTGATCAGGGCGTTTGAGATATTTCGCCAGGATGCTCTCCAGCTGGCGAACAGCTTCTTCGTGCTCCCGAATCAAACGGGGAAGAGCCCGGGCGTTACGGGCGATGGCGGCGCGGGGGAGGGAAGCGGTTGGATTGACCTGATCAGTGAGTCGCAGGATCCCCTCGTCCGAGCGATCTGCTCGAGGAATATCGGTGATCATGAGAGTTCGTGCATGCATGCTGCACTGATACTCGGAGCTTTGGAAGTACTGCCTCCGCAAATCCCGCACAGCTTTGTAGTTCCTCCAGAGAAACCACACAATAATAATATCAAACGCCCACGCACAAGCTACCTGACTCCAGATCGCGGTCGGGTTCTGGACGTAGAGCGGGGTCATGTTGGAGAAGAATGTAATGCCTTTCGAATCGCTGTTGCCCTTGCTTTCCGTCAGATTCACCGGAATCATGACCACGCAACCAATCAAGGACAGGAAGATGAAGATATTACGGCACATCTTAGTGAAGCGGAGGAATATAGTGGCATCCAGGCCAACGGTTTCAACGAGTTGGGGTTCACGGGTATAGATGACCGGGCGGATCCAAGAGAAGAAACCCTTTCCCACCGGGGGAGGACTATGTTTCTTATCTGCATGTTTGACTTTCGGAGCGTAGACGAGGGAGTGACGAGGGCGGACGAGGGAGAAGACGATGGCTAGAGCGAGTGTGAGGCCGAGGGAAGTACCCAGGGAGGCCCAGACGGCACTGGTGGCGAACTGACCGCGGTTAGCATCGACGGTATACTACAAGAAGACTAAAGAGACTCAGAACGTACTTGAGACGAAAATGGATTGGCAATTAGATTCAGGAACTCGCTGGTCCCCGATTGATCGCGGGCCTGAAGGCCCTCGTGCAGATCCATCTCGGCCCAAATCCCGGTAGGGATGTGAAAAGTAAAATAAAATCACAGAAGAAAAATCACAGAACCAACGAGTGTAGTGACATGGAGGGGAGGATAGGTACTCTTAGAAATTTTGCAAGAGAAAAAAAAAATTGAGGACATTGACACGGCAGATCAAGGCGGGCAATGTGAGACAAGGCGTGCCCCAGGAATGAAAGGGAAAAAAGGTGGGTTCTAGACCTGGAACGTCCGCGCGCTGTCTGTATGGTTAGCCTTCCTTAGCCCTTGTCTATTATTAGACCCGCTGAAGATCCCTGATTACTGAAACTGCGACTTTGCTGGTAGGGTTCTTAGGTTTTACCCTGAACTCCACCGCATGAGAACTGCGCCGCCACAGCGACAGCGAACCCAAGCCTGGGCAACCCCGTTAGGACTCCATCTGAGACCCATAACCCCCACACGACCATAGGAAGACCAGCTGAGGAGGCCTCGTGGCAGACCAATCAGCTAGCGGTCCTCCCAGAGCCGCTATCTGGAACACTTCGAAAAGCCGAGGGGAGACATCGTCCAGGTACCTGACCGCGCTGCTCTTTCTTCAGGGGCTTCGTGCTTCTTGCTTGTTTGTTGTTTGACCTTCTTCGGCTGGGAAAATCTTGAGTTGAGGCCTTGCTGCCTTGACACCTGAGGCCGTAATTTGACAAGATCACGAACGAAACTGCGCCACATTTGCTACTTATGGTTTCTTTGAACAGGGGCAGACTATCATCGGCGTCACACTATTGATGTCATGGGATCCATCATCTGTGCTACCGAGTCCTTTCCAAACACGTGGGAATGAAGACCTGTTCTGATGGCATGAACCAATAATCGATCGCCAAGTCATATCAGTGCTTTCTTCGGTCTTGACGATCTCCTACTATATAGAATCCTTAATCAGTTGACACAAATGAACTGATCTTTTTCGCCGCCCTAGAAAGCATTATTAAGAATATCAGCGAATGCGAATCACGTCCTCAAGATCAAGTGATAGGTATCTCCATTGAGACCCGCTTACCTCGGAGTATTCGTTCTGGAGATCTCTCTCAATTCTAAGTATCTTTTCAGTGGCCAATATCTGATGTCCATTTTCTGAGATCTCCACATGAAACGTTCGTCGGGATCAGCTACGAGACCAACGCAAAATTCTAATCACTACCAGACAGAGGTTTCAGTAGCTATACAGAAGAACATTATCTATTTCCCGCCCCAGGGGGCACATAGCTCCTTGGTTTATTTATAAGAAGAGCGGATCCACGAAGTTTCCCAGACAGTAGCCTGTCAGCAGCATAACTGCGTGACGAATTCTTTTCATATGGCCCGCTGGGATCGTGGTCGCATAGACAACCAAAGGGTTCCTTATGCGGTGTAAGCAGAGGCGATCCATAAGCAGACTAGACGTCCGTATGGATTGGTCTTCGCGATTAGCCGTAGCCCAATCTGGCAAGGGAGGGTAGACTGCGAATGACCATGACAGCTAGATGGCCAACCCCCTGTTCGAATGAGTATTCCAATGCAGAGAGCCCCATGCCTCTGATGATCAAGGTGAGTTCATTTGTCCAAGGACAGAGCTGCGATATAGACCCAGCTGGATACATCGGAGATGAAGCTTCCCAGCTAGATAGCCAAGGCAAAGTTTGCAGCGCCGGAGACATTCAGGGTTATGCATCAAAGGACGACCTGACAGTTGCTCTCGTCTAGTGAATATTCCCAGCCATTAAGGGTCTGCTCCAAGTCCATTGCCGAGATTTCGGCAAAGAGGTTTAATTTCGAGACGGTCTACACGTATGCCTAGGTATGGGCAAGAATGCCAGTCAGACCGACGAAGGCAATGATACCGTTGCAGCGGCAATTTGATGACCCGATGCTCCACCAAAGCAGAGATCTTGTATTTATGAGAACGGGACTTCGTATGGCGCTTGGTGAATTTGCACCAGCGATTTTTGGATAACAACAAGCCACCATATTGGGACCGGAAGTTTTTCTCCAAAGGCGGATACATCCCAGCTCGAAGGTGCCCAGTCGTGCCCCAGTGCATTCGACAGCGCAACTGCTGTGGCGATACCCGCGGAGGACGGACCTGGGCGACCAAGGCTATAGTTTACAGTATATCAAGCTTACTCCCAGATCCCCGTGGAGCGATAAGCAGGAAAGCAAACTGCCAACGGTTGGACCATGGTATCCTGCAGGCGAAAGCATGCAGAGAAGAGGAGACCGATATGGACGTTCCTCGCCCTAGGATGCGGGTTTGTGTACTGATCCGATTTTGTTTGGAATTGATTACCACCAGGAAATTTGGGGGTATATAGCGTGGCGATGGGGCGATGGAGAGATAACGGTTGGCCGCAGCCAATTGGGCCAACCAGCAGGCGGCTGATACTTATTGCCAGCCAGTTATGTCGACAGAGGGAATGTTCAGGAAAGTAAATATAGTAAATTAGAATCTAAGGATTGCTACGCTACTGGCCTCGTAACTTGAAGCCCTTACATGCTTCAAAGCTCAAGGCCGAGCCACATCATGATCAGTCCATGTGCATTGAGTGCCCTTAACGGGCATAAAGTTCCAGCTCTTTCGGAGCAGCGCGCTCCGCACTCCTGCATTTTTAGACTTTCAGACCCTTGCTTTCTACGTCATCCTACAGTCGAATGTTTGACCGCTGGCGCTTAATGAAGTAGTCTCCATTCAGTGTATCGTAATATTCACTACATACGACCGGTACGCCCAACATCCCCTGGCGCGCTCAATCATCTCATCGAGGAAAACACATCGAGAAAAAGAAAATGAAATCATATGGAATCAGCTAAGGATATCATGAAGCTGCAACTTCCATCTCAAGTCATGGTATCTGTTTTGAAGAATTTCTTTTTGTTTTTGTTTTTACAGCTGGTTGGAGGTGTTGAAGTCCTCAAGAGCAACTTGGGTACGCTTGCTCATGGTCTTCTCACCCTCACGAACCCAGACACGGGGGGTCAAAGTACTTCTTGTTGGGCTTGTCCGGACCCTTGGGGTTACCGACGGTGGTCTGGAGGTAGTCCTTCTTGCTCTGGATGTAGTCACGGACACCGGACAGGTAGGCGTACTGCATGTCAGTGTCGACGTTGACCTTGACGACACCGTAGCTGATGGCCTCCTTGTACTCCTCCTTGGAGGAACCAGAGCCACCGTGGAAAACGAAGAAAACGGGCTTGTCGGAGGAAGAGCCGAGCTTCTCCTTAACGTACTTCTGGTGCTTGGAGAGCAGCTCGGGGTGCAGGCGGACGTTGCCGGGCTTGTAGACACCGTGAACGTTACCGAAACCAGCAGCGATGGAGAAGTAGGGGCTGATGGGGCTCAGGGCGTTGTGGATGGCCAGGATGTCCTCGGGCTGAGTGTAGAGGGAGTTGTTGTCAACGTCCTCGTTGTTGACACCATCTTCCTCACCACCGGTAATACCGATTTCCTGATAGGGGGGTTAGACTTTTTATAAAATACAAAAAAGAATATATTTGTAGGTTTCAAAACTTACCATCTCAATCCACTGCTTCATGGGAGCAACGCGCTTGAGGTAGGCGGCGGTGGTCTGGATGTTATAGTCGACGGGCTCCTCAGACAGATCAATCATGTGGCTGGAGAAGAGAGGCTCGCCGTGGAGCTTGAAGTAAGCCTCATCGGCATCGAGCATGCCATCGAGCCAAGGCAGAAGCTTCTTGGCGCAGTGATCGGTGTGCAGAACTACGGGGATACCGTAGGAAGGGGCAATGCTGCGGATGTAGTGGGCAGCGGCGATAGCTCCAGCAATGGAGGCGGACTGGTCACCATTGGGGACACCCTAGAATCGGAGATTAGGACCACGTGCCCATGAAAGCGCTAAGCAAGGGAGGGCAAGGTAATACATACCTTACCGGCGAAGTAAGCGGCACCACCCTGGGAGGTCTGCAGGATGACAGGGGACTTCTGGTCGCGGGCGGCCTCAAGAGCGGCGACAACGGTGGAGGAAGAAGTGACGTTCTGGATTGGGTTAGTTTTTGAGGGGATGCAAAATTGGTCGCGGGACCAGAAGGTGCGGGACATACAATGGCAGGGACAGCGTAGTTGTTCGCCTGGGCGTGCTCGAATAGAGCCTTGACATCGTCACCGACGATGACGCCAGACTTGCGGTTGAGCTTTGCGAGAAGGCCGGGCATGATGAATGTACAAGCAAAAGAAGTTGGAACTGTGGGAAAGACAAAGAAGAGTCAGGGTACAAGTAGTTCAAGTAGTTCAAGCAATGCTTTACCGAACGACGAAAGCGGGCAGGGTTAAATAGGAGGGGCAAGTTTTGGAGGGGCAATCGTCATCGACACTCACCGGCCGGTGGAGCTATTTACCTTTTAGGAACAGATAACTGAGGTAATTATGATTTCAGTGGGGTTCTGGAAAGGCAGAAAGGAAAGAGAAGCAAATGGGCCCAGCAGCTGAGTTATATGTTCCAATTCTCAACGTGTCTCCCGGATCTCCCCGTTGGCGATTTGCCTGTATAACCTCGAACCCCCACTAGGCGCGGGGTCTAACTTACATCATACCGGCCTGCAGGAGCGTTCCTGGTCCGGTTGCTGCTGAGTCTTGCTACGAATCAGATCCTGATTGAATCCAGCGCAAAAGCACACAGCTCGATTTGCAATTCTGACGTTCCCCGTCCCAATGTTTCCTTTGGAAGTTCCCACGATCGGGTCTCTGTAGAGGATTGATCCCGTTGACTCCGTAATTTGTTCGTCGCCCGGCGGGGAACCGAGGAATTCGAGCTCAGTCGCGCCTCACGAGCCCTTCCATTGGGTACTCGCATAATGACGGTTCCTAATCCGTGGTATAAGATTCGATTACTTTCCTTCACATACGAATTCAATTTCTGCCTCGAATGCTTTCCTCGACGGCTTTCCCAGAAACCGAAATGCCAACCCGAGACAGCGCATACCCGGTCGTATATCCGGTTCTCGCCATCATGATGCAGCTGTGCCCACTTCACCTCCGACCCGGTGTTGAATCCGGTTAGTAGGGGACCCTCAGCCCTTCGATCTACACCCCCTGGGCTGGATCAGAGGAACCCTGACATCAGGCGGTGGAGCACTCGTGTCCCCCCCCCCCCTGGAACCATACTTCCTCTTGCCCGTAACAGTAAGAATTCAAGGAGAAGTATCTCAATGTCTGTCTTGCATGAGTGGAGCCCTCAATGTAGGATTCTGTAAACTACTTCGCGTCGCAGAGTAGGATGCTCGAGGTGACTGCAAATCAAGCGGCCCTGTTGCGACTGGTGCTCTCACGCCTGGATTTGCTATGACGGCGAAACCGAAGAAGAGCTCGTGAGGGTTTGCATCATGCCAACCGTCAGATCATCAACTGCGCCAGACTCTGCGCCATGTCTAAATATTGATGCACATAATATACGAGGATTTATATACAAGGCAGGACTCTCTCCGAATGTAGACCAATCGAAAGACCACAAAGGGTGATGGAAAGAGGAAAAGGAACACACGGGTGTCCTCATTGGCCACCCCCTCTCTACAAGTTATACACATCCTCAGAAAGTTTCAGACTTCGAGTCGGGTCGCTCCATCTCGTAGAACAGAAGATACACCTCCTTCTGCATGCCCAACACATCCGAAGTTTTGCACTCTTTGATCTTCTCATCTGAGATCCGCCACCAGCGGTCAACCGGCTTCTTACGTCTTCGGAGCCGCGACCCAAGTGCAGCCGCGCTCTCTGCCGTCGATGCCCGGGGGGTTGTTCGAAGAGAACGAGTCGCGGATGACATGCTCGGTCGGGGGTCAGTGGTTGGACTATCGCATCCGGTCGGCTGAGGGGTAGACGAGCGCGAGAGAGTACTCTGGAAGGAACGGCGTGAGCTGGAGGTAGTGGGACGCGCTGGTTGGGGAGAAAGCTGGGAGGGAGTTTGGGACGCGCCGGCGAGCGAGGTGGATGATGTCGCGGTTGACAGATTACTGCTTCTGGCTGGATCGTGGTCGAGCCCGTTGGAGGGTGCAAGACGAGGGCTTGGTGCTTCTGAGGGGACCTCGCTTGTGACACGACTCTGCGCGTACGAACTGAATACCTCTGGAGTCGAGAACGGGGGGATATATGTGGTTTCGCCTGAAGGACTCATAGTGGCCACTGTGGTGGCTGCCCTTGTGGCAGACAATAGCCAGCAGCTTGAACCAGGTTTGATTCAAGATACCGCCTAGGGGCAATCGCTCAGGGAAAGAGACCTTCGCAGCATTTTTAGTCGAGCTGCTTCGATCGAAGATGGACCTGGAGAGGTGAATTGCGATGACCTTGGGGAATGTAGTGATTCGCATGTGCCGTGCAATTCGCCGCTTCGGTGCTAGATCCGATGGTGGCAATCGAAGCCCTTCGAGTTCTTTCTCTGGATCAGTCTCCAGCGCCTCCTGGATGCGCGAGATCTCTTGCTCCAACAGGTCTTGCTCGTCGCGTGAACGTGCAATCGTAGTTCTTTCATAGATCTTCGTATCCAGCGCATGTTGTAGCCGACACCGGTCGCATCGGAAATCGTCGATATATTCGGTTTTGAGCAGCCCATCAAAGCATGAACTTAAGGTTGTGGAGCTTTTTTGCGGCACTTGCAGCGTAATGTTGACAAACGCCGTCTTGTTGGGCTTGTATTGGTAATGGCAGAACTGGCATTCAATTTGCGATTCCAGGGTTCCTTCGAATGGAAACCCCAATTCCTTATCAATCTCCTTCAGTTTGGTATCAATTATCGCAGGCAGCCCGCCAGGCGAGCCGTCATCGACGCGAACCTCAACCTCCGAAGAATTTTCAGGAACACCGTTTGCGGAGGCAGAGTCTTCAGTGCCTTGCACAGTAGAATCCCCCAGGAAGTTCAACCAGCGCTTCCGAGCTTGAACGCCAGCATGATGCTCATCGCAGAGCCTCTCCAGCACAATTTGGAGAAATTCCTGCGCATCCTGCTGGTTCCGGCTAATACGCGTCCGAAACGCGAACTCTAGCGCCTGGATAAACCCACGCGCCGAAATTGTCTTCTTGTAGATAGGCCGCTCATTCAAGCGATCCAGCATCTCCTTCAACGCCCGTGTTATAATCCCCTGTTGTAATTCCCGGAGTTTGTCTGGCCGCTGTCCCTTCGGCAGCTCGCTCTCGTTCGGCACTGCATGGTAAACCTCCGGCCCGTCCAGCTCGCGTCTGTGCAATGCCCGAATCAGGTAGACTCGCAGGTCTCCTAAGCCGGCTAAGGCCTGGAGTACCGAATTGATGAAGCAGTCATTGGCGAGGTTGGACAGGCCGACAATGCTTTTCTTGCGGTTATCGTTTGACTCGTCGGAGTCGATCGTGTAGTTGGGACCGAAAACGTAGAATAGTGCAACCGCTGCGAGCGAGGCTCCGGCCGCGTAGGCGGCGACGGTTGTCGGCCTTTCTTGCATCAAGGCTTGGGCGAAGCGAAAGTAGAGTGGGTTCGTGGCGAGGGATTGTAGGCAGATCAGTTTGTAGGATTCATTTCCCCGTCGTCAGGCTGGGCCGGGATTCTGTCAGAACGTACAAGCAGGGCGGCGAAAAAGAGAGCGAGGTCAGGTTAATAGCAACCGGAAGCTGAGAGAGAACAAAATCACGCAGAGCCTGGGGAAGAGGGGAGGACGGGGAGTGGACCGATGGGTTTCAATGCGGAGAAGCCGGGGGGGTTCGGGGCTTGGGAGCTAAACACTCCCTGCTCCTCGATGTTCCTTTCTCACGCACCGTGGACCCTCCAATGTCATGCCGAGGGCGCTGAAATAGTCATTATATTCACTCGGAGGATGTCGGCGTGCATTGTGTTCGTCCAATGGAGGTCGTTCTCGGTGTTTTGTTTTCCAGCCAAGGGCCGACACGCTTACTGAAGCCCCGAAACGGATCCGGCTGCTTCATTCCTCCCGCATTGATCGATCAGTCGTATCTGACTTTAAGGTGTCGCATAGCTCGTGCTTTATTAGAAATAGAGATATGAACCACAAATAGTAGGTTAACTACTTTAACTACTGGCGGCCTTAAGGGTATATCTCTTGTATGCACATACAAAAACCCTAATAGGGTACAGGAGCAGCTGTACTCTTTCCACAACCCCACGATTTCAAGAATCATACGGTAGCCCTCCCTCTGCGTGGCTATCTAGACATTGCTAAAAAAACGTTCGTCCTATATTGCGACCCTACCTACGTCATCAAGTCTCCACAGCCAAATTGAGTATCCAATAGCCTCAACACTCCTGAGGAATATAGGATAGTATTTCCCATATAGCCCATACCCATAAATCCTCGAGAAACCTTTGACCGGCACGAGAAACTCGATGACTAGAGAGCTAGACGTACAAATTTCGTGATGGTTTTAGATAGAAGCAGATGGACTCCATCTACACTAATCCGGGTAAGGTTTTGAGGCTCAAACAGTATTATTAGTACATAGTACACTCCTCCACACATATAGAACATATCCGTGGGCAGAGTAAAAAAGAAACAATTTGATTCTACAGTCTTTCCTAGAGTTTTCTAGCTAACAAAACTTGGCATCTACAACCCTAGAGTACAAGCAAGGCTGACCGAAGCATGTGCTCATATAGCTGTGCCATTGGTACACCTTCGTATTTGGCTGCTGGGCCTATCGTGGACTAAAGTCGCCTAGGCAGGCTTCTCGCCTTTGCGGCCTTTGGGGCGGATGGTCTTCTTTGGCAATCGTAAGGGAATGCCAGAAGAGGCCAAAGCCCCGGTAGTAGAGGACTTGGCCTTTCGCCTCTTGGTGTCGAGCTTGGCGCTTGATAGGGCAAGGGATTCGTCAACCTTGCCCTTGGTGCTGGCGCAGGTGGAGACGAAAGGTTTGAGGGAAAGTGTACAGGGGGGTTAATTGTTGACGATGTAATTTGATTGCATTTAACCATGAAAAGCTAGCTACCGTCCGCCAACAGTCATAAGTCACACATAAATACTACACCTCACCGATTACTCCAATGGACTGCGGCTAATCTTTTCTCAATACCATGACGGGCTGGGTATCATGCACCGCACGATGACCCACAACATTCCATATTCGGAAATAAGGGATGATTCTCTAACAAGGAGTCTCTGCATAGCCCTACTGCCATGACAGATGCGTGGGTCCTGCTCTCACGGCATATAGGTGATGATTACCAAGGACGCAGTTACCCAGGCGCTCAAAATGCCCTGTCTAGCCGTGTAAGCCCCGACTGCTGTTGATAGTAACCAGGGTGGCATAAGAGTGGATATCAATTGCAGGCATAATAGTGCGTGAATCACGCACACACAAAGCTCCCACTATTGACGTTGTTGTGTCTGAAGAAGCAGGCTCTGTTATGCCAGAAAAACATGGCCATGTAACGCCCAGAATGTCTATGGGAGCCCTAAGTGCTCGCAGGCCAGGCAAGATATGCGAAGTATAAAGTGAGGATATAAACAATATCACCAGTGACATGGCATCTGTTCAAACTGATTGAGACAAGGAAAGAGGCGATCGGATCAAGAAAGACCTTCCATCCCAATTGTTCAAGCCAAGCTGATCTCGAGACGATCGAGGAGATCTTGATCAGTGTTTTGTGGGACAGGCGGGCGACGGTCCTCAGTAGGAGCAGGAGTTGCCTGTTCTGGAAGCAGCTGTTGCATGTGACGAGCTAGAATAGTAGCCTCTCGGATCTTATCCTGGTCTATCAACACACGGAGAACATCGCAGGTGATGCGAAGTAGAATTTCTTGGCGTGGTTTGGAGTAGTCTGCTACCTTAGCTGGTGTCAACTTCTCAACGAAATGGAGCAGAGGCTGGACATCAGGAGTATGGGGATGGTAAAATGCCACACTCGCAAATACCAGAGATCGAGTAGAGGTAAGGTTCGCCACAATTTCCTTGTATTCATCGTAGCTGTAAGCCGTGACATGCTCACTAGAAATCTTCGTATTCATGGAAGCTCCATTCAGATGAGCACCGGCAGGCATCAGCATAGACACAGCCGACGCTCTCGATTGGTGGTGGGGAGAAGTAGCATGGATCTGACACACTCGCAGATAGTACTTCAATGCAGATGGGAAGCCACCACCGTAAGTCATTTCCGCATCAACAAGATTGAGTAAAAGCTGTCGGAAGTACTTTTGAGCTGCCGCTTCTGTGATTTGACCATCGCGACCACCAAGGTCCCGCGATAGGATCAGCCTCAGCCAATCGATTATGGTATCTTGGAGACCCTCAGAAACCATGAATTTGGCTAGAGTTGGCAGCGCGGAGGTTGAGCCCAGTAGCTCCTGTCGAGATGCGCCATCCGAGGCCCAAAACCACTCAACCACTTTTGAGCCGGCCCGAGAAGACTTCATCGCTTTGACGGTGTCACTTTCGCTAGAAGAACTGACGAGACGAAATTGGAACATCAGACAGTTGAAAATAACTGGTAGGGTCACAGTCCCCGAAGCTACTCGTTCATCAAAAACCCTCATGGGGTCTTCTGCGAGACGTTTCTGTTTATTATTTTCCCGAGCAAGGCGGTCGAGAGGGTATGTCTTTGGAGGAACAATTCGAAAAAGCGGATTCTCCAATATATTCTGCAGATGCTGATCGGTTGCATGAACAGACGAACTGGCATTCAAGGGCGGCCGATCGGCATCACGCCTGGGGGCATTGGTTGCTGGATAGGCATTATCCAGCTGACGTCGAAACGAAGAGGTCAGCGCGTCGAGGAGCTGTTTAGATTCTCTTGGTGTTCTTGGCAGCGGCTGATGGATCTTAGGCCATGACTTAAATTGAAATATCGAAGTTCCCTTCATGATGGTCGGTAAGTCGTAGAGAGTGCCAATGGCTTACAACGCCGTGTAGGTGGGACGATGGAGATGCGCCGATCGCCGCGAGGGGTGGGCGGTGAAGAAGCAAGCGGCCCAAAAGTGAATGACGACCAGACCGTGAAACCAGCAGAGCAGAAAACAAAGGGAGGAAGGTACGAGCTTGTAGAGATAGAAGTATGACGGATTCCGCCAAATACGCCAGGCTACAGATCTATTAACACCAAGAGGATCCTTATCTTAGATTGATCTTGAAGATTGAAGTTCAGAGTAAAGAAGGCGCCCACACCCAATCGGTGCCACTCGCTAAAAAGCCAGGCCGTGCCAAGACCAGCTGCGACGGAGAGAGCAACACATCAGAACTTAGCTTTTGCCCTTCTCCAATACTCAATCTCCCTTCCCAAAACAATTCCGACCCTTTCTCCCTCCCCCCTTTTTCGCTTGAGTCTCTGGATTCATACTTGGCCCTTGTGCCTGTGGTCCTCTGGTGCTGATCCTCTTTTGCGAGGGTGCATCCGACACTATTCTTCCCCTCCCAATTCAGAACCTTCCTCCCTTCAACGAATCCCTCGCGACGCCATCGTGACCTCTTCCCTAGTCTCGCCTCTTTCATCTCACACACACAAATCAACATGTCTGACGTTCAGAGCCGATCTTCTGCGCGTGGCAGAGGATCTACCCGTGGTGGTCGTGGTGGTTTCAGCTCTAGAGGTGGACGTGGTAGTAGCAACAGATCTGCCAATACCGACGCTTCAGACCTGCCCTCCTTCGACGAGAGTGAGATTGGACAAATGAAGAAGAAATATGCCGATTCTCTGCCTACTCTCCGTGAATTGTTTTCAGACTGGAAGGATGAAGACCTTCTCTTCGCACTGGAAGACTCGAATGGCGAACTTGAGGAAGCAATTGAGCGCATTACTGAAGGTAGGCCCTCACTCTACTACTAATATGAGAGATCGAAGTTTTGGTATCTAGAACATGTCACTAACGTCTTTCTTCTCCTAGGTAACGTTTCTCAGTGGGGTGAGGTCAAGAAGAAGACTACAGACCGAACCCGGCCCAAGGCCAAGGAAGTCCAGAGCACCCCAGCCGAACAAGCTGCGCCTGCCGCTCGTGGTGGTCGGGCTCGTGGTGGATCAGAGGCCCGGGGTCGCGCTCGCCCAGAACGTGGTCGTGGCGGTCGTGGCGGTCGAGCAGGCGCTCACACAAATGGCACTCGTGTGACTGGCACCGAGCCTGTGGCACCCGTTGCGACATCCGAGGCTGTTCCGTCGACAACTGGAGGAGAAGCTGAGCCTGAACCAACGGCTGGAGAGTCTGCAGAATCAACTGAGCCTAAGACCAGTGTGATTCCAGAGGGTACAAAGAAGGGATGGGCAAGTCTATTTGCTAAGCCAGCGCCGCCGCCTCCGCAAAAGAAGCCCTCGGCTCCGGCTCCAGCCCCAGCTCCAGCTCCAGCTCCGGTGCCGGTGAGCGAGAATGTCGAGAAACCTGCTGAGTCCGTGGAAGAGAAGAAGGCGCCAGAGCCCGAGCCTGCTGCAACCCAGAAAACGCCTGTTGCCAAACCCGCCGAGCCTGCCATTCCTGTAATTCCCACGGCAACTGCTAAGGCGCCCAAAGATGATTTGACTGAGACCAACCTGGAACAGATCCCCGATGTGTCAGCTCCAGCCCCGACTGCGACTGCAGCCAGCACCGTCGGTAGCGCTCTGGACCCTGCTGCTGCGGCGAACCTTACTCCTTCGCGTGCCCCTCCCTCTGGTCTTCCCTCAAGCGCCTTCAAGCCAGGTAGCCGTGCTCCTGGATTCCAGCGTCGTGTCATGGAACAGCAACAGGCTGTTGTCATGCCCGGTAACCACGCTGTCGATCGTGCTGCTGTCCAATTCGGCAGCATGGGCTTGAACGGTGATGCTGTGGATATCGACGAGAACCGAGAGGAGGCTGAGACCCGTGCCCAGCCCCCTCAGCACTCGCCGGTTGCTCCTCGTGCCTCTCTTCCTCCCGTAACCCAAGGCTCTGCCGACGGTGCTGCCGCACGACCTGCACCTGGCCTGCCTCCAGTCCCCCAGGCCTCATCTGACTCTTCCTTCGCCGACTTCACCCGCTACTCTGAGGCCCAGAAGCCTTACGACCCCTTCAACCCGCAAGCTGGTCAGCCCCAGCCTCAGGTTCAGGAACCATTTGCTAACCAAGCTCCCGCTCAACCCACTGCCACTACCGGCAGCGAGTACTCTCCCTTCTATGCTGCTGACCAGCAGCGATTCCCTTACAACTATTATGGAAGCTATGGTCAATCTCAGGATGTAGGCGCTGCACCCCGCGCTGCTCCTGGATTTGGTGTGTCTGGCGCTGAGACTACTCCTCAGATCCCCGCCGCACAGGCTCCTAGTCGCTACGGTCCTGTTGATGCCACCAACAGTGGTCAAAACACCCCTAACCCCACTCTGCCTGGTGCCACTCAGGCTCCAGGCGCACAGCACTTGCCAGCCCAGAGCGCTTACGGCTATGGCTACAACCCTTACTACACCAACCCTCACTACGCTTCGTACATGAATCAGATGAACCAGCACCAGTATGGCCGTAACCGCCCCATGTTCGATGATGCACGCCGCTTCGATGACCCACAGCAACAGCAGCAACAACAGCAGCAACAGCAACAGCAGCAGCAGCACTACGGCATGCCCCAGAATTCTCACTACGCCTATGGAAACCAGTACGGTCCATACGGAGGTAAGGGTGGCATGTACGGTCAGCCTCATGCTGCTTTCTCATACGATCACTCATCATCCCCTGCCAATGCCGCTGCCACCTTCAACCAGAGCGTGCCGGGCCGCGACTCAGTCTATGGCCGTACCGGCTCTGCGCAGCCTTCTGACAGCCAGCAGTCTGCTACTGGTGCTAATGCCTTCAACGCTGGCATGGATGTTTTTGGCCGCCAGGCTAGCTTTGGACAGAACCAACCTGGTTCTCAGCAGCCCCCCGTGAGTTCGGAGGAGTCCAAGGGCTTCGAGGCTCCCAAGGCTAGTGGCCCGAGCCCGTCTTTGGCCCAGAACCGACCCGGCTCTGCCACCAACAGCGTTCCCGGTCAGCCGCAGGCCCAGACTGGGCTCCCGCCTCTGCAGAGCCAGCAGAGCCAGCAAGGTTTCGGAGGCTACGGCCACCTGAACCCCCAGTACGGTGGCCTGGGTGGTCTGGGCGGGCACCAGGGTGCCGCCTCGCAGACGGGCTATGCCAACTACGGTGCTGGCTTCGGTAACTACTACGGTAACAACCGTGGTGGCTGGGGCAGCAACTACGGCCATTAAGCTTGGAGATGATCATAATTTCCTTTTCTCTCCCTGTCATACACATATGGCGTTGCATTTGCGGGTGATTTGAAATTGAGGGGTTGGCTTGATTTCTGTCTCAGGACCGAGAACATGTCTTATCCATCGGACAGGCAAGCGGGAGAGCTCTCTCCGGATTTCTCTCATTCTTCTCTTTCCTCAACATCTGTGTAATCTCTACTCTTCTGGGAGCTTGGCTGGCTTTTCCTTTTTTGGGGGACTGGGTATCTGTTTTGGTTTTTCCTCTTTTTGCCCTTTCTTTCTTTCTTTTTTTTTTACGCTGCTCTTTCCTTGCTACTACCGCTCCCAGTTGATGCGGTTTGTATTAAATCTACTACTTCTCCCTCGATCTTGACCTATCCTGCTCCCGTCTTGTTTTGTCCTTTTTTTTTTTCCCTGCTTCGCCTAGCTCACGGTGTCTATGCGGGTCCGGTGTGTCATCTTTGTGCAGACAGGGTTCTGTTTCTTGTCCCTTTTTCTCATTGTCTGCTCTCTGCCGTGTACATTATCTGTGATGATTGCCCGGCATGTTCAAAGAGAGTGGACCGTGATGGACTTTGCTCATTATTGGGCCTACCAAAAATTGTGATGAGTTATGTACGCAACTATACAAACCAGATATCTCAGGACCAATCGACTCTTTGAGGCCCGGTATCAAATCATGTGATTTTTGCCACTCTTGTAAGCCTAGCTGGTACTTCTGCGTACAACAAATTGAGAGGCCTGGGATACTCGACTCTACACAGGCACGTGTACCGCTTATGAGATGCAGGACTTTTGCATCTCGAGAGCGAATCAGGTCAGATCATGCTTCCCACGCCACAAGCGGAAGATATTCAATTGACTTCATTAAGAAGATAGCAGAGAAGAAACACCAAACATATGATTAGATCAAATCACCAGAGCCAGCCATAGCCTTCTTGAGACTCACAGCATGGCCACACAAAATTACTATGTACAATCAAGAACGCGTGAAAATAGTAGTCCTCCATTGATCATGGCACACTTGACATGGCCAGGACTATCAAGATAGATACCTTCAGAGCTCTGGGCTCAGCACGGAGACCACGCACTGGTATTATGCATCCCGACCCCCTATGGAAAAGAAGTGAAAGTCCAAAACGCCCTCGAAAGACTCCCTGCGGTCACAAAGATCGGAATCGAAAACGCTTAACCATCCAGACCCAGGCCCTCGGTCCCAGTCTTGTGATAAGGCGGTTGGGCACCGGCCGCACTCTCCGGATTGAAGCGCCAGATACCGTTAGTCTTCTCGTTCTCAGTAGTATTAGCGACATCAACCGAGTGGGCCAGGCTCTGGATCACGGAATCATCTGAGCTCTCGTCAACGCGGCTGAAGAAGCGACGCTCCCACTCGCGGCCCTCGGCTTTCTCCGCGCGCCGCAGCTCGCGCTGCGCGTGCTCGATACGCGACTTGTGCGTCGACACGGCGTCCATGTCTCCCTTCTCGATATTGGCTGCAACATCCTTCCAGGCGTTGCGGCTCTCGTACGCATCCTGCTGGTCGAGCGGGGCGAGGGTGAGCGGGGTAGTGGCGTTCTCCTTGATGCACCACTTGTCCACGACGCTCTTGGTTCGGGCGTCCTTCACGGTGAAGGAGTCAGACCATTGACCGTCGATGGTGTAACTAGGATTCTTCTCCCCTCGCTTGCCTTGTACAGGACGGCGGTGAAGGTGTTTTTCTTGCCGCTTAGCCAACCTTTGCCGGAAAAGTCGACCTTTGCGGCATAGCCGCTGCTGCTGACGATCTTAGTGGATTTTTCTAGCTCAACGAAGGGGGTGCCATAGATCAGAGACTCGATGTGGAGGTTTGGTAGGGTAATCACATAGCGTTCCTTCTCGTTGCTGCCTGGAGGGGTGACGGTGTATACCGCATGTCCGATTTGCTTGACTTGAATGGTGCTTGAGAATGAGGCCTTTTGCGCATTGTATCCTTGTAACTGGAGTAGCGAAATACTTGGGTTAGCTCGCAGTTCGTAGTCTTCAAGGTATGTTTGGGAGGGGACTATGGCGGGGTTTCACTAACCTCAACTTTGTGCTTCTCGTTTCGAATTGCGTACGCAGTAACGGGCGGGTGGTGGCTGTTCCAAAATAATGAATTAGGATGGGCACATGTATTGGATCGCAAGATGTGTGATATTTCGAGCACTGTGATCCTTACCTGACTTGTTCGCTGAACAAGAGTGTCTCGCCCAGCTCGGGGTCACTGCCTGGCTCCCACTTTCCAATGAAGAGCTCCCCTAGGAAAGGGTTCAGAGGCTTCTTTTCACTGCCGAGCTTCTCGCTGCGGCTGCAGTACTGCTGGTGAAGAGTCGTCAGGAACCACTTCAGCACGAGCAACGCTCGCTTCTCAGGATCGGCCTCCTTAGCCGGAGCAACGAAAACGGCAGGGTGCTCAGCCCAATAGGCCGAGTATTCGGTGAGGGAGGTCGACGACAAAATAAAGGGGGGGAGCTGTGAGGGACGAGAGATCTCCATTGAAGGAAGCGATTGACTAGAAAATCGTTAATCATTAAGCTCGAGAGCAATAGCAGGAATTCGCGTAGCATGTGCGCACCTTGAGGAAACTAGTCCAGGAGCCTTTGCTGGAGGGGGAACACCACCCTGAGGATCTTTTGGAGACATGGTGTACTAAAATTCACCGAGCAAAAAGACTAGGATTCCAAGAGAAAAAGAGCAAAAAGGCGATAGAGATCAAATGGCCAGTGGGGAACAGCGACGGTTTGAATGTCGCCCGTTGGCGGTCAGAAGCATATATAACGTCATGGCGTCAGGACGGATCTCGCACGCCCGGGCTTGGTACAGCCACAATGTGACCTCCTGGACTTGCTGGATTTGCTGAATATTGCGCGGCCTGTGTCCACAGTTGAACATGGCCCTTTCGGACGAAACTTCTGGAGCCAGGCGAAATCAATTCCTCATTCTGGCCCCCTCATCCTGGATTCTTCGTGGTGGGGGGCGTTGACACGAAGGTCGAGCAGAATCATCATTTTCCTGCGCCTGACGCACGCTTATCTACTGTGCGTTGGGCTCCGCCAGGTTAGTCCGATGACTTCGAGGCAGCCACGAGCGAACTCACTACATGGACCGGACCGCACTCGCCTGCGCGAGCACGCGACTCCGGATATCTTTCCGTATCTGCTGGCGGAGCGAGATCGGAAAGAAACCCGATTTATCCCTCTGTAGTGAGGTCTCGCTGCTCTATGCCGGGCTTCACTCTACGAGAAAAACATTTTACGAGCCAAGCCATGCTGTAGGTGGATGAATATTACATGATAAATTCGGTTTGCTTCGAGGCTATCAAGGCCATTTACGTGTCTCTGCTTGTCTGCGTTTGGAGGTGGGCCAATTTCCGGTCTCAACCGTTGAGAGATCGCTAGAAGCTTGTTTCAATGCTTATATCCGTGGCGTCATTTGCCGTGTAGAACTGGGCTGCGCTCTTGTTTCGCATTCGAGCACAGCTGAATGAACGGCTTGCCAGAAGATACTCGTAGATCATACTCAGGTCTCTTGATTCCGAGAAATAGAGCAAATGCAAGATCTTCAAAAAGCAGCGAGGCATGAGCCGAAAGCGGAATAAAGCCCCTCCCTTCTCTGCGTTGTATGCAATTAGTTCTTGGGTTTTCCGGTCTCCACGTTCTCCATTGGCGCTAACCGGGGCCGGTTCGGGGATTCGACTTAATGTGAAGGCCCTGAAGCTCGCTTTGATGCCGGCGGGGTTTAGGAGTACTTCTGGCTCTGGTATTCCCCCGCGCCCTCGGTCAAGAATTGTGTCCGCCGAGGTTTCATTGCGACCTTGTCTCTTTATGAGCTACAAGTGTTCTCTTTTGCCAAATATCCTCTATAAGAGTCTATAATTGCTTGGAATCGACGGTTCCTGCTTGATTCAATCCCGACCCCAATCGCGCAAGAGCATGAGGGAGGAATTACACTGCTGCTCATACCACAACTCCCGCCGCAAATATACATTGGTCCTCAAGAGCTCAAGGTTGCAGGGCTAGAGATTCCTGCACAGGCAAAGAGGGTTGCCTCGTGGGGATGTACGACTGAGTTCACAAACTGAAAATATAGAGGCGATCTTCGAAATGTCACGACCACCTTCAATGTCCAGCTTCGAGGGATCTGCGTCCCCGAAGAGAAATTGGAGCCAATCCAATCCTTTCGTTCAAAACCACAAGACAAAATCCAACAAGACGCGAACGACCTTCACCTCATCCAAAGTCATGTTTCCAACCACGACATGCCTGTCGCCACAGACGAGTTTCGCGAGCTCGACGCGGAGATTTATCTCCGCTTCTCGCCTGCCCGCAAACGAATCATTGTCGCGACGTTATCTTTTTGTTCGTTCCTGGCGCCCATTGGGTCGACATCGATTCTCTCGGGCATCCCCGAGGTGGCCGAAACGTATAACACGACTGGGAGCATCATCAATGCCAGTAACGCCCTGTATCTCGCCTTCATGGGCATCGCGTCTCCATTCTGGGGGCCGTTCAGCCAAGTGTGGGGTCGCCGGCCGGTAAAGAACCACATTGCTCTTGAAATGGATGAGTAGATACTGACACCCAGTAGATCTTCTTTGTGAGTGCTTTCTTGTTTACCTGCTGCAGCATCGGGACTGCACTAGCGCCAAATCTTCCTGCATACTTCATCTTCCGGGCCCTCTCGGGCTTCCAAGGAACCTCGTTCCTAGTGACCGGGAGCTCTGCCATCGGCGACATATACGAGCCACGAGCTCGCGCAACTGCATTGGGCTGGTTTCTCTCCGGCACGCTCGTTGGGCCGGCATTTGGCCCTTTCATTGGCGTAGGTCACCCATCGGGGTAGACCCTCAAAAATACTCCTCCAATGAACCTCCTCCACTAAAACCTTTGACCCGGAAATAGGGTGTAATCGTTAACTTCTGCTCTTGGCGAGACGTCTTCTGGCTTCAGACTGCCCTCGGTGGCGTCGGGACATGCCTAGTTTTCTTCTTCTTCCCCGAAACATACCCGTACCTGGACAAACAAAAGAAAGCAGAGCAGACGCGGCTGGCACAAGCCAAATTCCTCTGGCATCGGGTCAACCCAATCCGGGTCGGTGTCCTCCTGTTCTCTTACCCCAACCTCTTCTTCGGAGGTCTTGCCGCCGGTGCTCTGGTCTGGAACCAGTACTCATTGCTGACTCCCATCCGCTACGTGCTCAACCCTCGCTTCCACCTGACGAGCCCTATCCTATCCGGCCTGTTCTACATCGCTCCAGGCTGCGGCTACCTGGCCGGCACCTTTGTAGGCGGCCGATGGGCCGACTACACAGTGAAGAAGTGGATCCGCAGGCGCGGCGGCGTGCGGGTGCCCGAGGATCGACTGAAGTCTTGTGTCGTGTTTCTAGGCGCGGTGATTCCAGGGTGTATCCTGATTTACGGATGGACGGTGGAGAAGGCTGTGGGTGGAGTTCCGGTACCCGTGCTGGCGATGTTCGTCCAGGGGGTCGCGCAGCTGTTCTGCTTCCCGAGTCTGAACACGTATTCTCTTGACGTGATGCAGTCGTCTGGGCGGAGTGCGGAGGTTGTTGCTGGGAATTACCTGTTCCGTTACGCCATTGCGGCGCTGGGATCGGGCCTCGTGCTTCCAGCGGTCGAAGCGATTGGCGTTGGATGGTTTAGTACCATCAGTGCTGGATTCCTTATTGTCGCTGGGTTTTGTATCTGGCTATCGACTATCTATGGAGAGAAGTGGCGAAAGCAGATCGATGCCAAAAAAGAGCGGAAGAGGCTGGCGATGGAGAGGAGCAGCTCGCATGAGCAACAGCCGGCTGTGCAAGAGACCACGGAGAAGGTAAAGCAACTAGAGGTGTAATGTCTATATTGATAATCGCCCACGAAGGGATGACACGGAATCTGCATGGAGTTTTGTACTCAGCCTGCTAATGCTGATGATGGGGACTCGAAAGCAGCAGCGGCACACTGCTCACATGCACTACTGTGATCTGTACCAAAATGCTCCCCGTTCACTGATCTAAAAATAATTATGGGTCTTTAGGCTATAGCTTATGACCAAATCTGAGCGAGAGAAAAGACATATATTTCTAAATAAAGGGGAACTTGAATCCGATGACAAAACAAAGTCAGACTTGTCTTCCAATTGAAGAGCCAGAATTCACAGGATCTACGCCCGTAAGAATATCATCGGGCTTCAGCCCAGTCTCCGTAGCTACTCGATCAACTTTCCGCTGTTCAGCAAACTTCCTGCAGTCTTCTCGGCCCTTTTCGACGTTCACAAAGCCAATCGTAATCATAGCACCGGCACACACTGCAAACAAAAAGGGAAATCCCATCCAGTTATTGCGCGTATCATTGATGATGGCTTGGATAACATTTGGCCCAATGATGGAGGACTTTGGCAACGTTAGTGAGAAAGGCAATCCCACAGACCCACAGATCAGTATAACTCACAGCGCGGTTGGTGATCCCGAAAAGTGCAAAGAACATATTGTCATATCCACGGGGCATAAGTTCACTGATCATGGTTTGCGAGTACTATTTTTCCATTAGCCGGGTGCTGATCGGCAGAGCATATACACGTACCGCGTAGTAAGGGGCTTGGAACAAGCCAAATATGACATTGTAGAAATAGAACTCCCACTGCGAGGTTCTTAATAAACACATAACCCAGGCTATTGCGAGTCTGACTTACAGTGTTGTGATATCCAATACGCGTGACCCATAGCCCCAGCATTTCCCAAAAGGGAATTAAGACACTAAAGAAGTTGGTGACCATAAACATGGTTTTGGTCTTGAACTTAAAATAGCGCTGGATGTACCAGAAGCCGAAAGTTGAGAAAATTGAACAAACAGCTTGGGTTATCCCCAAGTAGGTAATTTGCAAGAATGAGAAAGACACCTGGTCATTTTGAATGATATTGACAAGTGTTCCTGCTTTCCGTCAGCAAAGCCTAAAAGAAGCGCCGAGGTTACTGACCGGTTGTGTTGAGTCCATCAGCAAGGAGGAAGAATGCGAAGAAGTAGAGAAATGTCTGAGGCAGAGACCGAATCTCTCGTAGGGCGAGCCAGATTTGTTTGAAGCCGATGGTCGTGTAGGAGGATCCTTCTGGGATTCCGGGGGCCTGGCCGCTTCTGTTGGAATAGAAACCACCAAACACCAAGGATGACCCAATCTGCGTCATGTCAGCTGTGTGTATGAACGAGAACGTATCAAGGTCCTTACATGAATTAGTCAAGCAGAGGGCCAAATTGTTTGAGTATTGGTTATTTTGCATGGGAAGTAGAACGCTGAGATTGAGCACCAGCGTGAGCAAATATCCAATGTTACTATGAGCAGTCGACACGTTGCTGAGAGATGTATTAGTTCGATTGACTCTAGTAATTCCGGAACATAGCCCACCTGATGTGATTCCTCTCCAACGACTCAACTGCATCGTATTCTTCCTGATCGATCTTACCTTCCGCCAGCTCCTCCCTTGCCTTGCGGACTTGAGGCATGTAACGTGCCAAGCGAGGAAAAACCGCGGCATAAAATACCAGCGTTGCGCCGTAAGCGACATACGCGACCACATACATGCCCATAGCAGCGGGCCACTGGCTTGGGTGACGGATGGCTAACATACCATACTGCAGCACCCACGCAATGACGGTCAGAACCAGAAGCAGCCATCGGCCGAATGACCCGTAGTCTGCAGCACTCCCAAGCCAAACGAAGATCACCGTCATAAAGGCAAAGCAGAGGCCGTTGGCGATCAACACGACCGAGGAGGTTGATCGCGTGCCTCCTGCCCACGGGACAACGCAGGCGGATGAACCGGTGCACGGTTTGGGCGGATCAGTGTCGGGGATATGTCCGGCACCATTTAAAGCCCATTGAAACCTGAAAGCTCTGGTGTTAGTCTTTTCTGCCCATCATGGGGCTGCCAAGATGGATTATACGCACAAGGCCTGACTATACGATCCAGGGCCGACGCCATTATCACCTGCATTGAACAGCTTTAGTCAACCTGAAAATTGTTGATCGTCTCAGTAATGGCTTAACATACCGTTGTAGTAGAGATAGTAGGACCAAAGTTCTTTCCTGGTGGTGGTCGGCTGATCATAAGCGTCCTCGTCCACTCCGAAGAGTCGCTCGAACTCGTGGACGGTCTGCCGGGATTGTGAGGTCCCTGTGACTTTGACAGCCGCGCCATCCTTAGACTGTGTACCTTCTTCTGCTCTCTTGATCAGCTCAGGTTCCCCCATGGTTCCTATGCGCCGCGAAAACAAGAGGCACTTACGAAGGAAAGAGGGTTCGAAGTTCCGTTGGTATGGGACGTGCATACCCGCATCCCTTTAGGTTGGATAGCTTATCTCCAAGTGTAACACCAACCTCATTGGATGGGGATGAATCGCCTTTGTCTAGTCCATCTTCAGTCTAGCTTGGTCAACGTTACTTCGGACCGTGGTAAGCCGCAAGAGCCCTCTCGCCAAGATTGGTGATAGACCGGTGATTTCATTCCATATCACCGACTCAGATCTTCGCGATCCATCCGCCAAATTACAAACAACGATAAGAATAAGCGGAAAGAGGAGCGGGACTAGTCTGCTATCATCAGACCATAGAGTACCAGGTAAATTGAGGTTCCCAAATAGGAATCAATGCGGCGGTAGCGTGGTGGGGCGCCAGGCAGGGGCAAGGGCGGTCCAGACGTTTCCACTTAAATAGCACATTATCGACCCCCGCATCTCGTGGATTGTGATCAAGTACGATGGGTTCGATCGACCTACAGAAGCAAGTCGGACAGGTATGTTCGCTCCCGATAATTGAAGAAGCACGCTGATTGTCCTTAGTTGTTCGCGCTCGGCTTTCATGGGCATACGCCGAGCCAGGAGATCAAAACACTCATCCACGACTACCATGTTGGAGGCATAGTTTTGTTTTCGCGGAATTTCCAGAGCGCGGAACAACTCCAAGTACGATACTGGATACAAGAGAATAGAATTGAATGCAACTAACTCGCGCGTTACAGGCCTTGACCACTGCCTTGCAAAATGAAGCCAAACTAGCAGGACACGAGCGTCCGCTGCTCATTGGAATTGATCAGGAGAACGGCCTTGTAACCCGTATCTCTCCTCCAATCGCCACCCAAGTTCCGGGCCCAATGGCACTCGGTGCTACGCAGGACCCGGAATTTGCCTATCGGGCTGGGAAGGTCACGGGCGAAACACTGAACTTTTTCGGAATCAATATGAACTACGCTCCTGTATGCGACATCAACTCGGAACCGTTGAATCCAGTCATTGGAGTGCGCAGTCCCGGAGACGATGCTGATTTTGTGGGCCGATTCGCCAGCGCGGCTGCTCGGGGTCTGCGCGAGAAGAACATTATCCCTAGCGTCAAGCATTTTCCTGGGCACGGAGATACGGCTGTGGACTCGCATTATGGCCTGCCGGTGATTACCAAGTCGAGAGATGAATTAGAGCGTTGCGAGCTGATCCCATTCCGTCGGGCCGTTGCTGAAGGCATCGAGACCGTCATGACTGCCCATATCTCGCTACCGAGTATTGATGACAAGCTTCCTGCAACATTATCGCCCGCTGCTCTTGATATCCTACGGAAGGATATGGGCTACAACGGCATGATTATCACGGATTGTTTGGAGATGGAAGGGATCAAATCGACAATCGGCAGTGAGAAAGGCGCTGTGCTTTCTATCAAAGCCGGGAGCGACAGCGTCATGATGTGCCACACATTCAATGTACATGTCGCTTCGATTAATATGGTGACTGAGGCTGTAAATTCTGGTGAAATTGAAAAATCTCGGTTTGACGAGGCTTGTCGTCGAGTGGCCGCCGTTAAAGACAAGTTTCTGAGCTGGGATACTGCTCTTCACCAGAACAGCCTGGCCAATCTTGATGAGATGAACAAGAAAAGTCTGCCTATCTGCCAAGAAGCATATGAGAAGTCAGTGACAGTCGTCCGGGATGAGTTAAAGATTCTTCCTTTGCCAAGTAATTCGAGCATTGTGTTTCTCTTCCCAGGTGATACCATACCCGTTGGAGGCGCAGTGGACGGAGAGGGCATGGGTCGGCAAGGCGCATATGAGTCGAGCATTTATCTCAGGTTGCTTCAAAAGCACAGTCAATCCATCACAGAGATAAAGTACAAGGAGAATGGATTGACAAATGAGCAGTGGGAAGTCGTCGAGGCTGCTGATACGGTCATTTTTGCGTCGTTGAATGCAAAAGAGTCACCTTATCAAGAATCCCTTGGACATGAACTTCCTCGTCGCAGTCGTTCTTTGATTGCGATTGCTGCGTGCAGCCCTTACGACTTCCTCGAAGCCCAAGAGATCGAGACCTATATCACGACCTACGAACCAACTGCTGAGGCGTTTTCGGTCGCTGCTGATATCATCTTTGGCAAGAAGACGCCCAAAGGCTCTCTTCCAATTGGGACCAGTCCCTCGAGAAGAAACAAAGCATCGATTCGGCCTTTCAATCCAGTAGAAGACCTTGACGGCATGGTCGCAACGTGGAATGCAGCATTACCGACCTATTCTCTGCCAGCCGATAGCCTGCGGGACCTCATAACCTGGGCTAATGGGCAGCACCTTGTTGCTTGTGTTGGCTCAGAAGTAGTTGGATTCTGTCTTGCTTATTTGAACTTTAACGGCCCTCCAACACCCGTGCATATCGCAGCTGTTGTAGTAGCGCCAAAATACCAAGACCAGGGCATCGGCACTGCTTTAGTTACAGAGGCTCGCTCTCATTTCAGAATAAATTTCAATACTAACAACCTTAAGCTTGGAAGCAGCTTCCCGCGATTCTGGCCAGGCATTCCTAGAGAACTTCCGAACAAGGTTCAAGATTTCTTTATTCACCGTGGCTTCCGGCTCAATCCACTGAGTGCTCGGTCTACGGACCTTTATCAGGACATCCGCAACTTCCAAGCTCCTGCAAAATATATCAACCGAGCCCGTGAACGAGGCTTCCGCTTTGCCCCTCTGCGACCGGAAGACTATGATGAGTGCTTAGCTGGCCAAAGGAAAAATTTCTCCTACAATGCGGTATGCTTGGATTTTGTGCTTGAAACCGAATTTCAGCTAACGCCACCGACAGAGCTGGGTTGAAGCCTATGTGCGGATCCATCCGAGCAAATATCCATCGAGTGTCATGACGGCTTTTGACTCGGAGGGTCGACAAGTCGGATGGACCTTAATGCTGAGCCCAGAGTTTCCCCAGCTCAACAAGATGTGGGCCTTCCCCCAGATATGTGGCCCAAAGACAGGTCTGATTGGATGTGTGGGTGTCGATGTTGACCATCGTCAATCTGGTATTGGACTGGCTCTTGTCTCCCATGCTGTGGAGAACATGAAACAGCGGGGTATCGAAGGTGTCTTTGTAGACTGGGTCGCTCTCGATGGGTGGTACGAACAGGTCGGCTTCGAGATATGGCGAAGCTACCGACCTGGCGAAATCTGAAGCCCTCTTCGGTTTTAGAATCAATATATATACTTTGACAATATAGAGTGATGTTCGAAATTGGCTTCTATGTCTTTGCCGCGTTTCTCAGCCAAGGTCTCTTGAGTTTAATTTTAGTCAAATCCTCAATGGCAGAAAAGCTTGATACTGCTTTCAAGTTGTTTCAAGTCGGTCAATCTTGTGTGTGGCTCAAGGAAACCAATCATGAAACAAAGAAGCAGGACAAAAGAGCCTTGATCCGTACCGAAACTAGATTGGTAAATGAATGACGACTTGAGAACCAAGGGGACTTTCCAGAATATGAATTCGAGAGATATAAAAGCAGGCAAATATGCAAAGCATGTTGGAAGCACCGCATTCTGACCTTCCTTGCTCTAGTATCCATTTTGCTTGCCTCGGATCTGCCTTTACTCCAAATCACATTCCATCATACCAGCACCTCAAAGACCGAATCGTGCACTATTAGCAGGATTAGAAGATGCTCGGGTGGCTGACTTCGTGGATCTCATTTCCAATAAGTCTCTACATGGACCGAGAAATATATAACCTTATTTGGATTACAATCTATATCCATGGCGCTCTCACTCTTGCAATTTATATTGGCTTATTCTGCTTTCTTGCAGCGGTACGTGCGAAAGGTCGCGCCGACACACCGCTTATGATACCAGTGCCATTGCAATCTGACGCAATGAAACTACATACTCCTGCTGTGGCCAAGCCGATTCTCAAGAAGAACCCAGCTGACGTGCCCAATCCCAGTCAGAATAAGATACAAACCCCGAATTACCAGGCCAACGAAAATATTATTCCCGAATGGAGCCCGAACCACACACAAGACCTTAGGCAGATAGGGGAGCAAGCAAAGAACCGCTCTGTGAGGAATGGATAGGTATTTCCCCTCCTCTTAGGCACTCTATCAAGGCCAAATACTCGGTGGGAAGAGAGTGTGCTGATTCTATAGAGAATGAGCCAGATTTTTCTCGCTACTTGGTAGTACATCAGCAAATATTGCGGAGGTTCCCATGGCAAGCTCTCATAACCGTCGAGATAAATGCCCGAAATGCCGAGGAGCTTCTAACGGTGCTTGGATCGAGGTGAGTATATCCATGCCGCGAGTATAGACTTTGTTGTTGATTTCCCAAGAGCCTGTTCCTCTTGCAATATGAAGAGCAGGCTTTGAGTCACCTATTGTTGAATTTGATATGCTATAAGAGTTCTACTCATACGTTCTTTTATCTATAAGTGTACCTCGTTGTCAATAAATCGCAAATCAGCATCTTTGTCTAGACCATAGCAGTCAGCTAGGCCCTGCAGTTGGCTTTCTGAAAGTATGCCATCGAGGATGCGGCCTAAACATAATATCAGAATCTAGGGATGTGGAAGCGACAAATGACGGGCGGCTCTTACCAAACTGATCTTCACGGTGCTCTCTCCATTCTCTAATCTTATCTCTCAATGATTCTGTTGATCTCGAGGATAATTTGGTATCAAGTGGATGGAAAGAGCGGCCGGCGTTGATAGATTCAAGATCATTAAACATCGCCGTGGTCAGGCTATAGCGCCTAAGCCAAGCTTTTCGAATGATTATGTCGAGGTGTTGATTATCAGTTCTTATTTCTGGTAGAACCAATACGCCATTACTGTCGATTGACAGCTCGGGCTTGACTCCGTGCTCCATTTGAAATATTAGCGATGCCATTGCAAACATATCAGTTGCTTCAGACAAGGTTGGGAAAAGACCGTTAATTGGAAGTGGAATATCTGGGAAAACGGAGTTCGCTTGACCAAAAGAGCTAGCAGCGCTAAAGTCGCAAAGAATCGCAGCGTCCTGATGATCAAAGAGAATATTTTCAAACCGTATATCTGCATGGGCTATGCCGAAACTGTGAAGGTGGCAAAGTGCGTCCGCAAGTTCCCGGTACCAGCGAATACGGTGAAGCTGGGGAGGTATTTCATTTTTAGATAGGGAGCGACATCTCCGGAGGTAGATTCCCTCCGGCTGATCAACATCGATGGCCTCCATGATGTGAATGTGTGGCCGTTGTTGGAGCACTCGTAGAACATGTCTTTTGTTTTGCAATAAATTTGAGTGAAAAAGGGTGTCTGAGACATAGTGCCATCGGTCGCCATTGGAGGCACTACTCCCTGGTTGTTCAAATAGCCAAGAAGTCTTAAGGACTACATCATCATCAACTTCGTAGACTTGAGGTTTCAATTATAGAAATCGTGGTGGATAAAGGGACTATATAAGTGGGCTGGAACACAACACTCAAGGAAAAGTATGCATCTTGATTCATTCTCAAATTTCAATTGACATGGTGATGCTTTCTACTTATCTGCTCCTTGCGATACCAGCCTGCTCTAGTTGTATATTTCGATCACTTTTTGGAGTTGATGATCATATTTGTAGCGTTCCAAGGCTTCTGCTTTCCAAATCTCCCAATGAAAATCATTAGTGATTCCCATAGCTCCTAGAAGTCCGGCAAAGAGCCCAAGGAATCCGTCCCAATCGGCCAGATCGTAGCCGCAACAAAATCGAAATCTGTGAATGAGCCGGCCATTCCTGACAATCAGTCCGAGATCCGGATGGCCTTTTGCTTCGAAGCACTCTGCAAAAAATGTTTCGTCTTCACTGATGGAGTTTTCACCCGCATAAAAATCAGCAACGGGGAGCAGAACAATCGGTGAATTGAAAGCTGCTGACTTGGAATCTGTATGCGCCCACTCCCAGTCGATGATTCCGGTGATATTGAATTCATCGTCCACGAGTATTTGGTCCCCCTTCTCGTCCGCATGCTTCAAGTAGAACTTCCCGTCGTCAAGATGACTTTGAGAGCAAGCCTCCGAGACTTTGTCCAAGAGAAACCGATGAATTAAAAAGGCATCAACTGCCCGGTCGACGTACGACTCCTGTCGAATGATCAAATCCAAAATCAATTGGATATGTGCGCTAAAGTACGCTTCAGTTGAGAAGAAAGGGCCGAGCGCTTTCATCTGAGAATCATGATACTCTGTCAAGGACTCTCGAGCAAATGGTCCAATATCATGGGAGCCAGGATGGTGCATAGAGCCTGTCATAGTGAAAGGATGAGCCTTCAGCTCTATGTAGACGTCCGCGAGCTGACTTGTCACCTTTCTTCTTTGCTCAGGAGTGGCAAGAGACCAGCGCAGGGAACTTCCAGGCAGCTTCTCCATGAGGATATATCCAACACCAACAGGGTTTGTTTCACAAAAATTAAAGTCAAAAACTTTCGGAACTGGGACTTGAGTTTCACCAAGGAACTGCAGGGTTGCGACCTCACTACGCAGAATGTAATCTCGTAGCTCTGCTGGCGGAGAAGTGGCGTTGGACCTTCGAACACGCGCCAGCCAACTGATTCCATCATCGAATGATATCTCGATATGATAATTCATCCCCCCATAACTGAGCTTCGCTTTGATCTGTCATACTGGAGGTCGTGTGGTATGGAACATTTGAGGCCTCCTCGTAAAGCCGAGGCTCGAGAAATAAGCGCAGAGATGTTGATTTTATCAACAAGTTTGGTGATCTCATCTTGTTCGGCTTTCCTGGCGGCGGGTTCGTATTCAGCTTCGTCCTGTCCGCAGAAATCAGCAGGGCCCATAATATCGTTATTTCCGGCTTACCTCCCATCTTGGACAGGTGTGGTAATCTGGTCCCAGATGTTTCGCACAAAGATGACGGTTGCATAGAACGCATTCCCCGTACATCCGGACAGAGGCTTTGTTACAATTTCCAATGTCACATAACCACATTTTTATTTGCCAATATTTGTCTATCTCTCAAATAGAGAGCAGAAATAGAAAATTTAACCGGGACTGCTAATTAACTATACATTAAGACCTTGTAAGGAGAAACCGGAATTATGAGTACACCGCCAATTTGACACGTGACGTCTATCCTAACTTCGAGGGCACGGATACTAATCCGCGTATAGGTTTTAAGCCGCATGAACGTTGTAGCGCTTGATTATAGTATTTGCGAGGCTATACCCCTCATTTATGTGACAAGTCACGCATGAACATCGAGGAGACGACGATCTATTAAAAATTGCAAGCAGGATCTTATTGTGGTCACCGAGAAGTTAAAAAGAAGACCGGATTCCGCAGGTCTATAAAAATAAACATTTACTTTCTCACGAATTTCTTTTTCACAATCCCACACTTGCTGTATCGATCAGCTATTGGTATTCCTTGGACCTTTTTCAGTCGGAATCAACAATAATGCCGAGCCCTGCGATCAGATGTGTGAAAGAAGGCTGCACTAGTTGGGCAGAGAGTGGATCGAGATATTGCACTGCCCATAGTATGGTATCCATGCTGCACTAGCTCTCTTGGTACTAACCACGTCTTCTCTAACAGAATGAGAATTGAATTGGGAGGATCAATGGATAAAGTCCTGGAAGCAGCCTAAAGAACCCAGCGAAATTGATTCTGGGCTCGTTGCTGTTTACTGTTTTTCATATTTCATGTGCCTTACCTCCTTCGACAGCCGTCACCCTGTCAGTTGTAAGCCTTGAAGTCAGTTGTGAGAAAGAAATTTGTTAAGAAGGATTTACAAACTTCATTTGCTTTTGTGTAGTCTACCTGTAACTGCGTTGCATAGCTTCTAGTATCACAGATCTATCATATATACTAGTTTCCCTCTTTCGAACGCCGCATTATATTCTGTCATTAAACAGAATCCTGTAAGCACAGACAGGGTCGGTCAGAAAGGAGACTGGCGGTGACCTACTAGCTGTTATTGGACATGAATGTACCAGACAACTAATAGCCCCTTGGGGCCTTTTGACTGACGCTTACGGTACAAGCTGAGATAACTAAAGACTCGCATTTTGGCTAAAGATCCGAGCGCTTACTATAATTAGTTCCCAATCTTCTGAGCTGGTTTAGTTGCGGCCACTTATATCTTGAGTGCTGTGGCCTGCGTTCGGAACTACAACTTGTAGATTACGAAATGGCTAGTAATCATAATTGAGGTAGTATAGCTGATTTTCTTTTCACTCCGAGTTTCTTACCTTGAAATATTAGTTGATCAGCAGAAGTCAGAAATTTACATAGCAACACAAATCATTTGCTATACTGATGAGTGAAAAGGGTGGTCTCAGGGACGAAAATAGACAAGGATCAAAGAGACACGAAAATCTACTAACTCGAGAGCCTGTAGGCTTGCATGAATGAAATGGGAGGACACAATACAACTTGATATACAACTGAATCTTAAAGAGCATCAAGATTTCACAAGGGCAATAGAGGATGACGTACAAAGTGGCAAGTATTAGATATTTAAAAGCTGTATGGAAGCTTCACTTAAGGGTTTTGCAATAGTGACTCTAAATTGTTTGATTTAATGTCTGAGATTGGTGGATAGGATGTAAATACAGTGGTCGGAATGATGGAAGGCCCTCTCGTGAGTGGAGTGAAGATGGCCTGCAAGACTAGACTTCGAGGGTGCGCTGACGTACGAGTTTATCGTGTCCGAATCTGGCTCAAGGGGCTTAAGACCAAACCCGGGTTGACCAAGGAAACCTTCGTTTCCGATCGGAATCTGCCACGAGGGTGATAGTGTCTTTCAGGACCGCAATGGTCGAGTCCATGGCTTTGCCCATGCCGAACTTCAACCAACCTGGTCCTACCGACTAGTGCCTGTGCGAGATGGTTACGACAAAACTGAGGTCATGTCGGCCGGCGATATCATTTCTGAGAATAGCGGGATTGAGGCCTATGCAGCACCCAGCCCGTTTGCAACCTGGACCATCTCATTAAAAAATCTCGACAAGGCTAATTTGGACTTGAGCGATGTGAGCATGGGACGCTTTGAATTTTTTGGTACCAGTCGGGAATTCTACCCTTGAGTGACTATGTACATATTGTTGGCCCTGCGCATGTATTTCGGCCCTGAAGGGAGAATGTCCGTACCTAATACTATCTATACCTTCCTCCCCGTTGAAGCGGCACTGTCCGAGCGACGCAGGTGAGCGCTGTTCGTAGAACATTGTTGCTGCCTGATCGGGAAAACCGTACTTCCGTCCCGAGTGTGGCTATGCGCATATGCCAACCAGCTCAGTGTTTGAGATGTGACCAGGCAAACGAAGAAAAAGAAAAAAAGGGCCGGTGAGCAAAAACACATACAACAGTCAGGATTCCCATGTGGTCACCCACCATAGTACTAACTGACCGGCGTGTGGCTTAAGTACGGCTGAGCGGACGGGAAGCCCTGTTCTCCACACCCTATGGTCGTATGTGCTAGATACGTCCCTGAGCTGCATTTTATAACGATGGTAGCTAGGAGAAGTGGATAGGTTGGACATTCCAATTCCCATTAAGATGTCTCGGGTGGGCAAGGTGAGCGTGTTATAGAGAGGGTGAGGGCCTGGTGATGAGGGGCTGAGATTCAGTCTACAACGCACAAACTCAGCTGAGAATCTGTTTTATGCATCGTTGACTCGATCTTCCGCTCTTAGTCCAATGTTTCTGATCGATATATATCTTTCATGCTTTTACAGTTGGGTTCAAAGTATATGTGATCTGGGCTGATAAGGGATCCAAATTTAGCTTCGACTATTTTCACTGACCCTTTCCGAAATTCAGTCCATGAAATTGAGGGCTTGCGTGTGCACTAGTATCATCAGCACGCAGCTCCAAAGTGCTGGGGATCATAATGGGTACTAGTAGTATTTCAGTCATTTGGAAGGGGCAATGTGGATATCATAATGAACAAACAGTACGTTTAAGATAGCCCAAGTGGCCAAAGGGGGTTTTCGTGGCATACGCTCGCGTCGTAGGATAATAAGCGCTTCCTTGAAAAGATTCATGGATCATGAAGGGAAAGCAATTTTGGGCTATATACTTATCACCCATGTTGGCACGTAGCAAGCCAGGAGGCAAAATGCTCAAGATAGATGTGTAGGTGTTCTATTTCCAAGTTTCCTGACTAGTACTCAGTAAAATGGTTATGTGATAACGGTGCTAAATGTGGCGCTCTTTTAGCACGAGCAGACAAGTTCCGGCGAAAAAGCGAATATTTGGCTTAATCATGATAATTAGGAATATCCTGCGATGAGCAAAAATTACACGCTCTAGTTTTTATCCTCGTTCTTCAGACCCAGAATCCTCTCACGTCCTGCCTTCAGCATGTTGTGGAGCTGTTCCTCGGAGCGACCAGTCTCAGGAATCGTCAAGCCCTTCTGCACCGCGGGCCGCTGCTGGATCTCATCTCGCCATTTCTTCAGGGCCGGGAATTCCGACAGATCAAACTCGAGAAGGAGCGTGCCGCCACGTACCCAGGTGAAGTTCGCGATATCGGCAATCGTGTACTTATTGCCGGCGAGATAAGGGCTCTCCTTCAACTGGGATTCGAGGACTCCATACAGTCGCTTGGTCTCATCGATATACCGCTCGATGCCGTAGTCTGAGCGGACGGGAGCAAAGAAGCTGAATACGTTCGCTTGGCCTGTTAGAGACATTAGGGTCAGCCCGAGGACTCTGTAGCTTAAGATAAGTCATGGATCATCAGAGATGGCGTACTCTGCATAGGTCCAAGGCCGCCCATCTGGAACATTAACCAGGAGATCTGCTCGGTATGCTCTGGAGTGCCGGGCGCGTAACTGATCTTGCGCTCGGTGTCGTACTTGTCGACGAGATAGAGCATGATAGACCCACTTTCAAATACGCGCTGCGATCCATCGAGCATGGCAGGAATACGGCCATTGGGATTTATTTTCAGGAACCAGCTGGATATCGAGTTAGTACGCCATCAAGATCACTGTTCAACGTCGAGGACTGTACTCCTTCTTCTGGGTGTTTTTTGTAATATCGACTGTTTCAGCCTTGTAAGGTAAACCGAGCTCTTCCAGGGTAATTGAAGCTTTGGTGCCGTTCGGCGTCAGGAAAGTATAGAGTGTGATGTCAGACATGGCGGTGGTAAAAGGCGCACGGAAGGGATGTAAGAGTCGAAGGAATTGCGAGCTCGTTCTTAGTGTGCTACGAAGAGTGCGAGAAATCATAGTTATCAGTTAGTCGGGGTTTATATGTACCAAAAGGTGCTCGGAGCCTCGGTCTTTCGATCCAAAAGCTGCTCGGAGCTTCGGTCTTTGGATCCGCATCAATCCGAGCTTACGACCCCGTTTAGCGTCCGGGGTGCCGCTCTCCATAACAACTAGCCAAGCTTTCTTATCAGCTTGAGCAAGCTAGAATCCTTTCAGATTACTACGCGTCCGGTTCCAATGTCTTCCTCATTGCTTAGTAATCATGCAACGGGGTGGATAGTTAACTAGTTAACTACAGGAATTACTTAGGTTCCCCGCTTCCGCGTTCCAGACAACGCGCTACATTTTTGACCAAATCTGCACAGGATCAGAACATTCAATTTTGAGAATCAGTATGCCATTAGGTATTTTTCCTGATTGATGAAAGATGGTCAGGATTTGGTCCTGCAGAATCGCCCAAGGGCGAATGAGCGAACTCGAAGCTCGCAAGGGCACACCCATGGTTCCAAAGTCTAAGGTCAAGAGCTCGTTGGTCCTGTCCTATATTATGAAATGACACGTTCGGGGGCATTTGCCCAATAAATGCAAGATACATTAGCTCTAGACACCTAATTGGCGTTGCACGGGGAAGCTGGAAACTTACCGGGGCAACTTGCGTAGACCTCGCCACGACCCGCGGGTCTACCCAAACGGGGTACCCATTACCCATTTCTTGGCGGGTAATGGGTAGGGTTTGCCTACCCGCGTGCGGGTAGTGGGAAGCTGGTTAATACCCATGGGTATTTTCTGGGTACCCGCGGGTAGTCAAACAATACAAACAGGTGGGACCCCGTGACTTGTATATTTTATGCATATTCGAGCTGTAATTTTGAGTATTTCATATACAACTACCAGTCAAGATTCAAGAGATTTCTCAGTATTAAAGAGGTTAAAACAAGGTCAATTTGATTCTATAGCTAATACTCAATAAACTGATCATCATCCCGTCTCCGCTTCCGACTTCTACCTGAAATCCGTTGTTGAGTCTCTGGGAGAGGATTTGTAGCTTCATCGTCAGATAAAGCTTCATGAGAAGGGCCCTGGGTAGTATCTGGCTCTTGTATGACCTCTATATCCTCCTCTTCATTATCACTGATAGGATCAATATCCTGTAGTGACTGAGGACTTTTCTCTTCTCTCTCTGTCTCAATCTCCCCACTTGTAAGATACTCCTTCTTAAGAGTAAGGTTGTCATCTTCAAGCTCAAATTTTGTTGCGAACCTATACATCATGAGCTCCTGGATAGTTTCAGATCTTAGAGAGCCTCGACGGTAATGACAGATGTCCCGAGCAGAGTTAAAGAGACGCTCAACCCCTGCACCTGTAGCAGGAATTGTAAGAATATCCCGTGCAAGGCTTGCGAGAGCAGGAAATTCATGTTGATGGTCTTTCCAGAACGCTCGAATGGTTACTCCAGTGATAGTACCTAATATTTATTAATAAAACACACAATAAACCAAGATAATACTGACCAGATTCAAGATATCTTGAAAGCTCATCCCGCTCAGTTAAGCTTGTTTGCTGAGATTCAGACTCTCTAAGCATCCGTTCAAGATCAAACTCCGAGGTCTGTGTTGTGGATATATGAGACTCTAGTAATGTCTGGTTCTGTAACAGACGTTGCTTATAAGACTCAAAGTAATCCACAAAGCTTTGGCGATATCGATCACGCCACTCATCGCCCCAATCTTTTCCTAGAAAAAACTGGAGCTTATTCTGCGGTGCAAGCATTGTTCCAATAGCAAAGAGGTCTCCAGGAACGCCATCTGTCTTGCTATAATATTGGGAAAGCTTTGTCTTCGCCACATAAAGCGCATTTAGCATCATCTTCTTCCAAGGTACCTTTTTGTATCTAAGCTGGTTGATCGACTTCTCAAGATGATCAAAAAGCTTATTATAGATACCAAAGATCAGATGTATGGTAACATCCTTTGTTTTCGAAAGCGCATTCGTGAATTGGAAGAAAGGTTGAGTGATATAAAGGAGGTAGTCGATCTGACGCCATTGCTCTTGATCAAGCTTCAAATGCGAATGTCCATATTTAGTACAGAACTCGTCAAAGACAGACTGTAATCGCTTGGCACGTCGGAGCATAAGAAAGGTCGAGTTCCAGCGTGTTCGAACATCTTGAATTGGCACAAGAGGTATTGAGGTTGTTTGAAGCTTAGAAAACAGCTCGAGACGTTGAGGGCTAGCATTGATAAAAACAGCTAAGCCTCGTATCTATATATAATTAAATAAGTTGATAGTTTTTATATCTGAAGAGATAAACTTACCTTATTCAGTGTGTCAACAATCTCTCGTTTTTGTTGCCTTGAGCGGATCAATTGATCTTGGGTTTCAGACCACTGCATTTCAGCTATATTGTTCTTTGGATTTGCCTTCATTTGCCCAAGAAGCTGCTTCAGACTAAGTTGAATGACGTGGGCTAGACAGGGAACCTTGATGATCGTAGTATGATCGCTAATCTCAAGAGACTGGATAGAATCCTGGATACTCGACATCATAGTGCTATTATTTGATGCATTATCAGTAGTAATTGCAAGCACTCTGTCTGTGATCTGGTGTTTTTGAAGAAGTTCAAGAAGGACAGCACTTAGATTGACACCCGAGTGTGTTCCATGAAGTGGTTCAAAGCCAAGCAGTATCTCCCGATAGTTCCAATCTTCATCAAGAAAATAACCAGTTACTGCCATAAATGCTTGCTGGAATGGAGATGTCCAGCAATCAAGGGCAATTGATAGCTTACCATCTTTAGGTAGCTTTTGGAGGATAGTATTCTGGTACTCAGTGATCGTGCCTTGAAGTCGACGTCGAACTGTTTTCGCAGATGGGATTTGTGGACGCATTGGGGCACGGGAGGCCATGTAAATCAACTGATGAAAGTCGGGGTGTTCGAGGATTTGGAATGGTAGCCGGGAATCAGTAATGAAACGAAGTAAACTTGCTTCCCAAGCCTCTTGAGTAAAACTGAGACTATCTGAAGCTGGTGTAGCCTATATTAGAAAGATATTAGTAAAAAGATATCATAATATAAGATAAAATTACCTCGTGGAAAAATTGTTTGATATTATGCCCATTTGTGCCACGACACCCAATCCCTTTCAAATGCTTGATCATCGCTGTGGTCCCATTCCCATGTTGTTGTGGATGATCGAGCACCTTCTTGCATCGTTTACACATAACCTTGGGCATTCCGTCGCTCGCTTTTGCTACCTGGTCAAAGTGCTTCCACACATCAGATTGCTGTCGAGCATCCCACCGTATCGGCTTTTTTTGTCCAAAGTCTGTCTGAAGCCACCAATTCACAAAATCGTCTTTTGTCATGTTGGAATAAACAAGGTATGCCGAAGTTCGGTCAGGACAGATACGTTCAAGGGAGGGAGGTATAGGGGCCACACGGGATGGATAAATGAAATCCGAATTGGCGATTGATTGTGATGTTTGTTGGTTAAACGAAGGGTTAGAGGTAAGGTCGTCGGGTTGAATAACCTGAAGGTTATCTGGATTGTCAGTATTATATAAAGATGATGCATACACATCAGAGAACTGGGAGAATTGAGACATTATGGCAAGGGAAACAAGACCAGGCTAGTTACCCCTAATCACATAACGAAGTAAGTACTTACTATAGTAAATTTTGCGACTGATAGACTTAGAGACTTTAGCCCCCTTTTTTTGATAACTTGCGAATAAATGACCCACTATATCTATGATATATATTCTAATTGGTTGAACTCATGGGTTATTCGTGGGTAGATGGGTAGCCCGTGGGTAACCCGCGGGTAACCCACGGGTTACCCACGGGCTACCCATCTCACTTTAACCCCTTTTTTCATATTCAAGTGCCATTGTTTTCAAGATAGATACCACTGTTCAAGGCTGTTGTACACTTAATATATACAATTTTGTTAAAGCAAAGCTCATATTTAAATGGAAATAACGTATATAATTCGATTTGTCGAACAGCTAATCAGTTTCACTGATATAAGAGTATATAAAAGGGGTATGATTGTGTTGTCAGGAAGATACACTTACTCCCTTGTAGTGTAAATATATATTTTCAACAGTTGACAATATATAATCCACAATACTACCTACAACCATCTACCATAAGGTTTAATCTATTAAATATAGATACAAACCACTATTACCAGAGCTACTAATAACGCTTTTCAACTTCAATACTTAATTTACGTAGTCAATGTGGTTGTATCGCTTCATAAACTAGAGGCTAACCAGAACAGCTGTTAAAAACTGTAATTTACTTGGGTGAGTAAGCGATTTTATACAGCTTGGCATGTCCAAAAAGGGGTAATTATGCATTTTTGGGTAATTCGTGGGTAACCCGCGGGTACCCCATGGTCTACACTGGGTAGACGGGGATGGGTAATGGGTAGGACTTGCCTACCCGTCCCACGGAACTGGAACCAAAATCCCTACCCGTGGAAGTTCCATGGCGAGGTCTAAACTTGCGACAGCCGGCAAGTGCCGAGATGCAAGGAATCCACGAAGTCATGATGGTCAGCAATCTTTGAATCGGAAGGACAAGCGTCATTGAAAAGGCCGGCAATATTCACTTCGGCAGCATCATAGTATGTCAAAAGCGTCAAGGCCATGAGGTGCACGGAGTACTACCCCAGGTATTATGAGCCGCATCGGGTAGACCACCGGGGTAATCTCCACACGGTCGGCAGAGCCCACGAGATCAAACGGGATCAGGAACCCCCGGCCTTCCTAAATCCGGCACTGTATGCCTTCCAGTGTATCCAATGAGGGAGTTCAAGGGATGAATGGTGACCTGAATGGGTATCGGTATCGCTGCGCTCAAGGCCCGGTTTGGGATTTGAGTTACTTTAGCCACGAGGGGGGTCCGAGATCCGGCCAGGACCATGACCCCAAGGCCGAGAATCCGGGGGTCGCCGCTCGATGGAGGAAATGGTACCGTTCCGAAGAAGGTCGGCCTGGTCCTGAATCTAAAGCACCAGATCTGGTCAATGTGGCCGAGCCAATCCCCAATCCCGCTTTTATAACTCCGTCCCCAAGGCAAGCCAAGCCCGAGAACTGGTGATAGGGTCAGACCATCGCCAAGGGATGCAGACGATGAGACGATGCCCCAAAAAGGATTACGCGCACCCGCTAGCGCAGGGTACACCCGGGTATAGATGGCTCGACCGCACTCTGGGGGGCTCATTGTGGGCAGCTGGGGCCGAATCCGAAGAGGCAAATGTCGAGACCGGTTCTATCTGCGAGTCTTGCACCCGAATGCCCTTGCCTAGAAGCAACGGTGGTGTGAAAGGCAAATCAGATCGACGGATCCGACCCCAAGCTTGATTCCGCGTGGCGTAAAAATACTGGGACGCACGGCACAGAAGTTGCTGGAAGCGGTTGGTCCCAAGCCACCAAATCAGCCCGGGATACAAACTTAGCCGAGAGGAATGGAACAACGCACAAAGTAGGAGTCTCGGGCGTCTTTTCAACCACTTGCAAATTGACTCGTCTACGGAGTTGCCGCGGAAGTAATGTCACTGGCTGACTCGAAGGAGAATTGCTGGAAGCTTTCGGGCTTCCCCGTGGAATTTCCCTCTTCGCGCCCCCACGGGGTTCAGCGAGAAAATGAGGAAAGTGGAGCCCTTCCTACGCAGGTTGACCGCAAAAGTTATGTTAGCGTGATACTTTTGTCCCCACTATATGACTAATATACTGCCACTCTTTTTTTTTCAACTAATTGTATTTAAACCACTAAAATACACAAAAAAAATTACCATTCAATAAGGCGTATATCCTCCTTGTGCGTCAATAACAGCTTGACAGCGCTCCTGCATTAGATCAATTTGTTGATCCAAATAACTTATAGGCAGCGCATCCCAGGCAGCTCGAACAGCCTCACGAAGCTGATCATAAGATAACTTGCGATCGTAATCTTTTAAATATCGATCACCAATCCAATCCTTCATCCAATCCCAAACCTGTTCAATTGGATTTAAATCTGGCGAGTATGGTGGCCAATTAAGAGGAAATATCCCACGACTGTGTAATTCCTCGATTGTCAATTTATTTCGATGTGAAGGTGCACCATCTTGCATCAAGATTAGATGGTCACCAAGATGCTCACGAGCCATTTTAACCATCCCGTCAATTAAAGGCACAATTCGCTCAATATATCGAGCGCTTGTAATAGTACCCCATTCTTTTTCCCAGAATAAACAAGGGCCTTTTTCGTTACCGAAAATAGAACCCCAAAACATCCAACCAGATGGACGAGAGATACGAGTTCGTACACAAGTATCATCAAATTCCTCGCCAGCTTTGTGTGTAACATAGATTCGTCGATGATAGATTGATGTAACCCAAGTTTCATCAGTCCATAAGATCTTTTTCCACTGTTCACGCGTCCAATTAACATGTTCCAATGCCCATGCTAAACGGAGTGATCGTGTACGATCAGTCAAAGGAGGCTTTCGAAGTGCCTTACATCGATGATATCCACGTCTAGCAAGAGCTCTCCGTAAAGTCTCAACATTGACAGAGAGTTCTAACTCTTCGATAACTCTCAAATAAGACATCCGTCGTCTTGCTTTTGAAGATGTGATAAACTCAATTATCTCATCTAATTGCTCTTCTGATAGCTTACGACGTCGACCGGAAGCCTTTCGTGGTGTAGGCCTCTCATCTGTACAGGCTTTTTGAACCTGACGTTGAGTAAGGTGCAATTCGGAGGCAATTTGGGCATAAGTACGTCCCTGATCGCGTAAAACACGCGCTGCAATACGTTGATCACGAGTAGCTTTATGAGTAGGGGTTCGAGGAGCCTCCATAATAGAAGATATATGGAGAAAAAGAAAGAGAAATGAAAAAAAGGGGCATTGAAATGGGGTGTATTAGGCTAGCCCTAATTTAGAAGGCGGTTGGGATGAAATATTAGTCATATGATAAGGGGTGAAGTATCACGCTAACATAACTTTTGCGGTCAACCTGCGTAATTAAAGTTGACGAAACACCGTCTTCTCCTCGACACACCGTAGTAGATATGAGACCCACTTGCTCAACCCCAGCAACCCCAGCCTACCCCAACTCAGACTTTCCACGCTTTTCTTTGATCCTGGGGATCGCGCGTCCTACTGCGGGGATCGCATGACCTGAACCCCAGACGACACTCCCCGCTTTAGGAAGAAGACTAATTGCTGCGCCATTTTCGCACTTACAGTCATGGCTGCTCTTGGATTAGCTCTATCCCACCGTCCCACCCTATTGGAAAATGGAGTGAGCCACTGCGAATTTTGATGGACTCAGGCTGTGGGATAATTCCCGGCTGCAGTATTTTAAAAGGGTCATGTCGCCCACCACTTGCCTCATTATGCTCTTTCTTTTCTGGTGTCATCAGTCTCCTTCATTGCCGGCCTGTTCCTATACAGGAAGACAGGGCTTTTTCTTTGTGTGCGCTGGGTAGATTACGCAGTGCTCTATTTGCCCCGTATTTGCCGCTTCCACAACACTCCGCACTAGGTCAACACTGCTTTCAAAGATGGAGAAAGATACTGTATCTCATGTTGATGATCCCGAACGGTTGGTACCCTTCATACCGGCATAGAGATTTGAACTAACTGTATGAGATGCAGCGTCAGCGGGGACCAGAGTGCCGCCGAGAAAGGCCATCTTGAACAAATCAACTTGAACAACAACATTTCGGCTAAGTAAGTTTCACTTTCAGCTCGAATTTCTCTCTTGGCCTGTCTGACCACGATGGCAACTTAGGATCAAGAATCCCCCTAGCCGACTTGACTCAAGCCCAGGTCATCCGCGATGTGGAAGCATTTGCACAAGAATACAATGTGACCGAGATTCTACCCGATTTGAAGAAGGGAGCGTTAGTGGCTCGCGATCCCACCGAGTTCGAACACGTATCCGACTTGACCGAGGCCGAGGTGACTGCGCTCCATGATGAAGTCAACCATAAGTGGCGCCAGCCGAGGGCTCTCTACTTTACGATTATCCTGTGCTCCATTGGAGCTGCTGTGCAGTAGGTTTCAGTCGTAGCCTTCTTTCTCGGAGAATTATTACCTAACTGTGTGCAGAGGATGGGATCAGACTGGGTCCAATGGCGCGAACCTTTCCTTCCCGGACGCCTTTGGGATCCCTGAATCAGCGAGTATCCGAAACCAGTGGCTCGTTGGAGTCGTCAATGCAGCGCCGTATCTTGCCAGTGCCGGATTGGGATGCTGGCTGTCAGATCCTTTCAACCGCCTCTTCGGGCGCCGTACGGTCATCTTCATCTCTGCTATTTTCTGTGTCATTGCCCCCATTGGCTCTGCTTGTACGCAAAACTGGCCCCAACTCTTTGTGACTCGTCTACTCCTGGGACTGGGAATGGGGCTCAAGGCTTCCACAATTCCCATCTACTGTGCAGAGAACACTCCAGCTGTGATCAGAGGAGGGCTTGTGATGTCATGGCAGCTCTGGACTGCTTTCGGCATCTTCCTTGGATTCTGTGCGAACTTGGCTGTGAAGGACACCGGAGCTCTCTCATGGCGCCTTCAGCTTGGGTCTGCTTTCATCCCTGCTGTTCCTCTTTTGATCGGCGTCTATTTCTGCCCCGAGTCTCCTCGTTGGCACATTAGGCGTGGAGAGATGGGTAAAGCGTATAAAAGTCTCCTTCGACTCCGCAACACTCCTTTGCAAGCTGCTCGGGATCTCTACTATATCCACGCCCAGATCCGAATCGAGCAGGATATCATTGGAGATAGCAATTATTTGACTCGCTTCATTGAGTTGTTTACCATCCCCCGTGTTCGCAGAGCTACCCTCGCTTCATTCACAGTGATGATCGCCCAGCAGATGTGTGGAAGTAAGCGTTTATTCCCCGATCCCAAGGGTGCAACCCGCTAACATTCGATAGTCAATATCATTGCGTTCTACAGTTCAACGGTCTTTCAGAACGCGGGCGCTTCTACCACAGGGGCGCGTTTTGCGTCCTGGGGATTTGGCCTTGTGAACTTTCTTTTTGCTTTCCCTGCCGTCTGGACTATCGATACCTGGGGTCGTCGATCACTGCTTCTATTCACCTTCCCTCAAATGGCATGGACCTTGCTCGCCGCTGGGTTCTGTTTCTATGTTCCTGGCACTAACGGAGGCCATCTGGGATCGATTGCGCTCTTTATTTTCCTATTCGCGGCATTCTACTCCCCGGAGAAGGACCTGTCCCGTTCACGTACTCTGCCGAAGTATTCCCACTGTCGCATCGTGGTAAGCCCTCGCTCGCGTCTCGAAAGGAGTGCCTTTCTTCCGTACTAATTCTTCCTTTTCTTCTTTTTCTAGAGGTTGGCATGTCATGGGCCGTTGCAACCTGCCTTGGTTGGGCAGCTGTGCTGTCGATTACATTCCCCCGTATGTTGGTGGCGATGACGCCCACTGGAGCATTTGGCTTCTATGCGTAAGTGATGCATGATCATGGACCCTGTCAGAAGGCTTGGCGCTAATCACGAGAATAGTGGCTTGAACGTGACTGCATTTGTCATGATCTTCCTTTGGGTTCCCGAGACCAAGCAACGAACTTTGGAAGAGCTGGACTATATTTTTGCAGTTCCTACCCGGGTTCACATGCATTACCAGGTTTTCAAGGTGCTCCCCTGGTGGTTCAAGCGCTATATTTTCCGCCAAAATGTTGAGTTGGAACCTTTGTACAAGTTGGACCACTTGGCTGGCGGCGGTGAATCCACTGTGGAAGCTCACTCTCGAGTGGAACTGCCAGAGAAAGTGAGCTTGTAAATCCCCGGCTGACATGTGACATGGGGTGGGTTGAATGATTTGGATGATCTTGTCTTTCAGAAAATTAGTATTTGATATGAGCCACGCGCGATGATGCATTCACCCATATCTGCGATCTAGAGCTTTGTAGAGATCTCCTTCCACCGTTCCCACGAAAGCCTGCCAACCCCACATGATCCATGGTAGACGAGTCAGGCGATGTGGGTACAAGCTTGTCCGGCGAGAATCACCGACATCTGAGGTCAAGTGAATAAGTTGAATCTTCTCTTAGCTCGCAGAAGATCAGAATGCATCAGACAGCGGGCTTCAGTTTCAGTTCAAATGTGACCGGAACACTCACCGTAGAGCGTATCACAATCCAACATTAAGGTGTATCACGTGAGGTTGGTGGGAACGGGATGTTTGTGCTTGGTTCACACATCCGCCCCTCATCTCTACCCAAATCAAGGTTGCTTCTTCCCTTTCCCAGTTCTTCTTCATGGACGTACTGAAGATTACCTGTGCATTTTGACCTGCGTGTGCTCCAAAATTGAGAGGTAAGCTTAACCGTGAAGGTTGGCGCCAAATCCTGCTGGACTCGGGTTTCCCCACCAGGGAAAGCCCCAGTCCCCAGCCTCTGCTCTATATCTAGCAGGGGAGAGCACGAGCAGGTCACTGGGGGCCTCAAACTCAGTCTTGACTTCAATCCTGATCCTGACCACTTTCGATAGCTCACGCTCACTTCTGGTGGGTCTGCGAGAAGAAAACCAGATCCTCCGACTCTTAAATTGATCTCGCTGCCCGGGAGACGGAAACTCTTTTCTCGCTCTCGCGGGGCTCAACGTTTTTCCTCCTCTCTACGCGATCCACCTCGACGCGCTCCACATTGACCTTTTCGTATTGTATCTTCTTCGTGCCGAAATGCCTTGCTTCAAAGGCCTCGCCGTGAGCATCCATACTCCGGATGGACCAATCCCCGAGTACTCCATTCAGCGCCAGTCGCGCGCCTCCCGCATAGGCTGCTTCATCCCCGTCCCTCCCCCCCTAAAGTCCCTGACTCTGCCAGCGGTAAACCGGAACAATCCACCTTTGCCATTTCCATCACCCTCCTCAATCCCGGACAAGATGTCCCCTACTCCACCCCCAAGCCGACAGCCGACGAGCCTTCTCCCAAGCCAAAAGTCGTTGGAGGGCTGCCCGGCAAAACAAGCGAGCGCGGTCAATACTCGGGCGCAGTCGCCCCGTACCAAGCCCTAACCAACTCTCCTAACGAAACCGTCGCCGCCTACATCTACTTCGATGGAAGACAAAAGGAGGAGGTAGCCACGCTGCTGCGCAGGGGCGAGGAGACATGGGTGAATTCCCGATGGGTCAGCGTTCCCAGCTCCGAGGAGGCGGCATCGCCGAACGAGAATTTCTGTTCCGCGAAGTGGGACTAGAGCGGTGGCTGAACGGTCTCGACTTGGAGGGCAAAGATGCCGCGGCGAAGATCGAACGCCGACGACAGAAGGTGGAGAAGCGTCGCGCAAAACGCTTGGCGGAAGGCACGAATATGGAAGAAGACATGAGTGCTATGGAGCTGGAAGCCAAGACGGCGAAACCAAAGAATATCATGCGATACGGCAACGATGCGAAAGCACCCCTGGAAAATGTTTCCGACGACGATTTGTCCTCCGATTCTGATGATGACGACCCCATTCCTGAGACTGCGGGCCAGATCAAGGTGGCGCTTTTCCGTGTGTTGGCTTCTGGGGAGATCAAGCGGGGTGAATATTCGCCGCAGTTCGACGCGCATGATGACGACGAAGAGGGTGGACAGGGTAACAGCGGCGGGGACGCCGATGTCGATCATACGACAAGCTTCGCAAAGCCGAAGTCTCTAGATCCCAAGTCCATCAGCACGCAGACGGTAACCGGCATCGATCCCACCGATAAGCCGTATGCGATATTCACCTTCATGTATCGCGGTGAACGTGAGTTCTCCCATCTCGGTGAGGTTATTTCCACATGGCTGACTGGTATCTCGTCCAAGGGCAATTGCAGAAGATGGGTATCCTGAAGGACTCAAAGTCACAAGATACGCCAGCTGCAAAGAGAAAATCCCTACAAGCTGACTTGGCTAGCCTCGGTCCGCTAAAACCCGGAGGAACAGTCGGATTCATGAATTTCCGAGAGAGCAACTCCGGCCGCAAGCAGACGAAGGGCGAGGATGATATGGATAGCGATGACGATGACACAGACAACCCTATCCTTAGCAAGGCTGACGATGAAGAGACGAAGGATGACAACCGCTTTTTGTCCCCGGACGACATCAAACGTGAGGGTGAACTTGAAGAAGGTGTCAGGAAGATTCGCGTAAGTAGAACCTAATACCTACGGCACACCCCAGAATGAGACTGGATGTGCTAACGAACCCCCCCCCTAGCTCAAGCGTCAGCACTCTGCAGAGCCGGGCGGCAGCAGTGTTGAAAGCCCTAACAGCCCCTCAGCGTCGGGCACCACACCCCCTGCACCGGAACGTGCTACTACCCCACCAAAGAAGACCACCTCGACTGCCGGGCCATCGGAGCTTTCCCAACCACCCCCGGAAACCACCGAGAGCTTCATCGGCAGCCCATTGAAGAAGCAACGCGCGAGTGTCTCTATGGCGGATGAAAACGCCCTCCGGCGCCGAATTGCTGAGTCATCTGGTCGAATCAACGAGGTCCTTGGCAACAGCACCAACGATTCTAAGAACGCCAGTGCAGGCGCCTTCGGCACGAATGTCAACAATCAGCCAATTATCAAGACCGAGGATGAAGATGAGGAGCTGTGAACATACCTGACAAACTGTTCTGTTGTCAACAGCAAGCGGACAGGCTTTAGATAGAAACTTTCCCGTGATGGAACAAGATTTAAAGCCTCACGGGGCTGGCCTAGCGTCTTTCGCTTCCTAGTCCGCGTGCCTCTTCTAATAATCGTCCATTTGAAACAACTTACGCCGTTATGCCCAATCAATACTACAGGAAGCATGGGGAAGGGAACTACATTTGCTGCGTCGCGGAGGGCGGCTTGTTCATAACGCTGGGATGTAGCCTCCAGTAAAAAAATGCATTCAAATTCGCTCGAAAAGTTCGATCTCCTTATTTCACTGGTCGTATTGCATCGTGCTCGTTCCCTGTTACTGTAAAGAGCTACTCCGTGGCCTGAGATACTAGTAGACGCGTTATAGTCGTAGGCCAGAACAAGACATAGTCCCAAGGTTAACCCTGGAGGTTGCCTATGTAACCATTGCTTAGTGCTAAGAGAGCAGAAACCCGTTCAGTCACTCAAACTTTGGTGCAAGTCTTCCGTGAATACTGGAAGAACTTGATGATATTGATTTAAATTTAGTGGCCATCATCCAAAAGCAATATCTATCACTACTGCTTCTGATGCTGTGCTCAAGATCATTCTTAGCTAAGCGCAGCTCATCTCCGAGTGTAATACCTTCAAGCATCCTTGCTAGTGGGGTTTTCTCCCTTATGAAACCATTAAACTTGTACGGATGTGGTGACCACAGAGACTCCGACTGTGAAGTGCGATGTTGTTGCCACCAGTCAAATGTTATGCTATTAAGAATGCTGCAGTGGTCATCTGCTATGGCGATTCCAGATTCTGGGAATATTAATATATTTGCTGGCGAGATATAAATACAAGTGCTTGGCTAGGTATGCTTTGTTCTTTCGAGGCTCTGAGCCAACGCCGCCCATGCTATAAAAAACTTAGTGGTCGTGGGCTTGGATCCAACATGGCAAGGCATCTTTTGCCCGCAGCAACACTCAAGCAACAGCAGGATCCTGCCCATTGCCAGAGCGCACAGGAATGAGATAGGGCAAGATCCGTATGTGATCTCATCTTGTGGGTCTGGTAGGGCGTTTGCTCTATCCGAGCTATCGCTCTTCGGGCCTAATGTAAACAGCCCTAGGTCGTTTTTGGTCAATTATAAACATTAGCACATGCATGACAATAGCGTTCTGTTTGCGTTGAGCCCTGCCTTGAACCCTAACTTGCTCAGGGCCATGCCCAAGCTTTTTTAAGCTAGGCCAAGCTCTTTCTAAGCTAGCCCAATTCGGAAATATGGAGGTATGCCCTTGTCCCCTACTCTGGGGTATGTAGTGAAGCTCTCCCAACACCAGTTCTCTTCTTCCTTTCCTTCTCTGCAACTTTTGCATGCTCTCAAGCCTTTTAAGCCTTCACACCCAGCTTCCAATCGTACTTCCTTCCACTGCAGCTGCTTGTGTGATCAATCCACTTGCCCTCAAGCTTCTTCTCAACAAGCTCCTCTGCTCACGGGATTTCGTTCTTCATTTTGCCCTCGACCAAGCCTTCCTTAGTGGAAGCTTCCACTCGGCTGAGGTGCTTTTGCGTGCTCCCTGTACTCAACCAAACCCCAAATCGCGGAAAATCGTCACAACCAGCCTCCCAATCCTTTATCAGACTTCCCTGAAAAATCCTCGCAATGGACTGGTCCACCGAATACATGGGCCTCAGTTCCCAGTTTAACTTCGCCATGAACACTTTCCCGGGGCCCCCTCTTACTTCTGGTCCGGCAGCCCACCACACAGACCCCTCCATGGGAAATTGGAGCTCTCCCTTGGAGCAGAACCAGCTTTTTGAGAATGGCATAGCTGTCGACCCTGCCGCCAATGCCACCACCACTTCCATGTGGGATTCAAGCCCCTTCATGGGAAATAGTCGACCCGACCAGTCCGCTCTCGCCGCCGCTGCCACTCCTCATGCAGCCACCTCCGTGGGGTATTGGGACCCCTCCATGGAGTCGACCTCAACATTCGCCGCTTCTACCATCTCGCCTACTTCCATCACTACCCACGCGGCCGCCGCGACCACCATGGGGGCTTGGGCACCCTCCATGGTCTCCAGTCGCGAGTCCGTAAACCGATGGAATCAGGCCATTGCACCCGCCAAGCAAGGCAACTCTTTCCCGGGCTCCATGTGGGCACCTCACCCCTCCGTGGAGTTCAGTCCCTCGCGCATGGCCGATTGCCATGCGGCGGCTGATCGCACCGTCTACGGCTTTGTGGATCTCAGCAACGACCTGGCGGACGCGGCCGCCGCCCGGGGTGCCGGGGTCCCCCAAACCCCCTCTTGCGCAAGCTCGCCCCGGTACAGCACTGTATCCTGGGTTGATGCTTCGCCCTCGGCGGGTAGCTCTCCGCAGTCAGGCGGTTCAAGCCCCCGAAAGCGCGCTCGGCAGTCGCCGTGTCGCCGCCGCAGCTCGGGAAGAGGGGCCCTCCGGAGCCCCTCCCAAAGAGCTGGGGGGAGTTGAGTCGCTGGGACTCGCTCATGTTTGAGGCTCGGATCCTGGGTAGAACCTGGGCCGACATCGCAGAGCTCCGTACCCGCGAGGGTCGCAAGATGACGGCGAGCAGCTGCCGTACCCGCGTTACCCGGATCGAAGAGAAGCTCGGGGACTGGCCAGGGCGCAGGCTGCCGTAGGGCTGTGGCCGGTGGATGGGGGGCGTTATATGATAGAAGCGTTATATGATAGAAGCGTAATAAGCGTTACTTTCTTATATTTTTAGTATTTCTTTCTACGCGTTTCGAACTTTTATTTGTGGGGCCTTCACTCTTGTATTATTAGTAGCTTGTAGATAGATTAGAGTAGGCTCAATGAAGCCTCTCTCTGGCCTCATATCCTCTGCCTTGGAATCTGGTTCGCTTGTCGTTTTATTAACCTTCGTATGTAATCATCTTTTATAGTTCTGCGGAAGCCAATCACTATCCACGTAATCCCGCTGATGCCCCTTCCCCTGCAATGCAACCTCCACCTTCCCCGCGTTCGTATCGATTGAGTCGAGCGTTGGCTTTCTAAAACTAGCTATAAGTAGTGGCTATCGCTCTTAGATTCTGATCTTCTGAAGTTCTTGAGCTCGCTCTTAGTCAGGTTTGTTGATATTACAGCGGTTTCTTTGACATCTGGACCTCCCCCACCAGCCCCGCCATAATGAAAGAACCTCAGCCCCCACCTGCATCAGAGATCCTCTCGTCGAAGCCCTTCCAAAGGCGAACGAGGTTTCTCGTCATCGGTGCAGGCTCTAGAGGAAATGCCTATGCCCGTGCCGTCACCACCACGACGCCCGGCACAATCCACGCCGTAGCAGAGCCACGTGCCTTCAAGCGCACCGAGTTCGGCCGCAACTACATTTGGGGCAACGATGGTGTTCCAATCCGAAGGCCAAGAATTCAACGACTGGCGTGAGTGGCTAAAATGGGAGGTCGCTCGAAGAGACCGTGTATCCAAACACAGTGAACCCGCCAGTGACCTCGCTGCACCAGCCAGCGAGCCCGTCGCAGGCGTCGATGGCGTCTTCATCTGCACCCTCGACGAAACTCATGTGGAAATCATCCAAGCCATCGCTCCTCTCAAACTCCACATCCTCTGCGAGAAACCTCTCGCCCTGTCCCTCACAGACTGTCTGACTGTCTACCGCGCCCTCCAGCCCCCCTCTGGGAGCGGCGTCCTCCCATCCCCTCCCACAATCTTCTCCATAGGCCACGTCCTGCGCTACAGCCCCCACAACATCAAGCTCCGGAAACTCCTCCTTGAAGATCGGGTCATCGGCGACATTGTCTCGCTCGAGCACACCGAGCCCGTCGGCTGGTGGCACTTCTCGCACAGCTACGTCCGCGGCAACTGGCGCCGCGCCACACCCGCGGGCGATGGGTCTCTGCTCACGAAATCCTGCCACGATATCGACTTTGTCCTCTGGCTGCTCTGCTCGCCTGCCTCCGCGGAGAACGCCCGCGTGAGCGGCCAGAAACCGCATTTCCCGCGCTCGATCTCGTCGGCGGGCTCGTTAACGCAGTTCCGTCCTGCGAGGAAGCCTGCCGCTGCGGGGGCGGCGACGAACTGTCTTTCTTGTCCTGCAGAGCGGGAGTGCAGTTATTCTGCGGTGCGGATTTACAAAGATCGGCACTTGGACCGGGGCATCGCGGGTGGCCGGTTGACATTGTTTCGCCGGATATCGAGGATGTGTTCCGGGCTCATGGGGCGAAGGCAGCGGAGAAGAGGCTGATGGAGAGATTGGGGGAGGATTATGACGAAAGCCTTCCGGATGAGGAGGTGGCCGCGAGACCGTGGTATGGACGGTGCGTCTTCGAGGCGGATAATACGGTGTGTGATGACCAGGTTGTTACGATGGCGTGGGATGATGAAGGAGTTGCGCCGCATCGGGTGGCGAAGACGGCTACCTTTCATATGGTTGCGCCTACGGAGAAGCAATGTGAGCGGCGGGGGCGAGTGTATGGCACGACGGGCGAGATCGAGTATGATAGTACAACTATTTCCATTTACGATTTTGCGTCGGAGAAGACGACCAAGATCGTCATTGAGAAGCCGCCGCCGGAGAGGGCGGAGTCTCATGGCGGAGGAGATTATGGGCTGGCGGGACAGTATGTTGCGGCTGTTGAAGCGGTGGTCAATGAAGGGTTGGACGTTGAGACCGCGCAGGCACGCTTTATCGGGTGTACTCTGGAGGAGGCTGTTCAGAGTCATGCTGTTGTCTTTGCGGCGGAAGAGGCACGACGGGAGGAACGTGTTGTACGGTGGGGCGAGTGGTGGGAGGAGAAGAAGAGCCTTTCCAGTAATTTGGCTTGAGGAAGAATTCATGCATTATCGGATATCATGTTGAGTCATGTCCTTTATGTTCCGTCACGGGCAGTTCCTCATATGCAGAAGATATCATAACACGACTAGAAGATGCGGACTGGTGCAATCGAGGTCGAAAGCCCCCTCTCCCAGGACTCGCAGTCTACTGAGACTTTTGGCAATCCTTCCCTGCAGCTGACCGCTTTATATTTTAATGAAGAGAAGACTGGCCCTGGCGAGTCTAGAAGTTTGTTGAAGTATGGCCCGCTGAAATCGCCAAGATGCAACTGATGGACAAGGAACTAGGCTGATGAAGTAAGTTTCTCAATGTACTTTCTTGACCCGCAAATGGGAATAACATTACATCAAACGAAACAAAAGACCAGTCATCCTTATTCCAAGTTTACTTCCAGGGTTTTCTTGCCTTGGTCACTAGAACGTTGACAACTTTCCACCCGACGCTTCAAATTGCACTGTGGAGAATTCCCTCGCACCGCAACTTCGGAATCGCCAGCTGATGCGTCCACTCATTACACTTCATGATTGGCCGTCGTTCTTCGCCCGGCCCGTAAAGATCTCCGTTCTGCTTCGTCCAAGTAAGCTGATATTCCGCTTAGCTGGATCCTTGCTCCAGAAGTCAAGCCCCTGCTGTTTGGTTGGTGTGGGCAAGGCTTCCAAGATCCTCGTAATTCTCGGATAATCGGCTTTGTGAATCCATCCCACCTGTTCGGTTCTGTGAAAATACCGGTCTGCTCCAGGAACATAGTCCTCTTTCACTTCGAACCGCATGCCGGCGCGGGCGATGATGTCGCCAGTGACGTTGAATAGGTCGCCTAGGCCGATCTCCGGGTCTCTTTCAACGAAGATCCCTGTGTGGTATCGCTTGGCAGGGTCTAGATGGTCGTGGGCTACTGTATCGAACTCGGGTGTGAAGACTCGGTCCCCTCCGTGACTGCGGGGAGAGGGTGTGGTTCTAGGTGTCGCTCCAGGGGCTTCCCTGGGCGCTGGAACTGTATCCCCCTTCATGACCATATCATGGACCCTTCCCGGGAGCTGAGAGGATGTGCTATTCTTGAGGCTATTGCAGATGCCGCTCTATAATGCCGGGATGATGTGGAGGGTGCCACAGCGGGTGCGGCCGCGGGTGCCGCTCTGTACACAGTATGCTACTGCAGGTACTAAAGCGGGTGCCACCGCTGGTACTGCCGGAGGTGCTCCCGGCCTGGGCGCTGGAAGGGCATTGCGCTGCCTTTTGTGGATTCGTACTTGCTAAACATTTTTGCATCCAGCTGAGGCTATGATGAGAGAGTCGTGTGCATGAGGAAACCGGTATATCTGGAGTCTTAAGACCCTGAATAGATCGACGTTCCTACTTTGTCATGGAAGTATATACTCGGGCATGATCTTTGAACGTGAGGCGTTTCAAGGATCATCCCGCACGTGCCAGCTGAGAAATTAGCAAGCTGAATTAAGCAATTGGAGGACCTCTTGCAGAGAATCCCTTTGTTATCAGTATAGCCCGCGGGGCCGCCATAGCCAGTTGGTTAGAAAAATTTAGCGCTGACGACTGTTCTACTCCAGATTCGTCGTATCAGCGGATACCCAATGGCAATCATCCAGCGGACCCTAAGATTTGGTATATTTATTCCGTTTACATCGGAAGAAGCCCAGAGATGTCTTTCATTGATTTACTTCCATTTTAATCCATTATACATATTGTAGCGAAGTATTATGGCGTCATGAATACTCTGGCGAACCGAAGATTCGTGGCGCATCCTCAGGAAAAGCACGGAATGAGAAACGGTTACACGCTTTGCAATACTGGAGAGCCAGGAGAATCGTGGCATAGTTATTTGCTATCTATTTCATAAGCTTCCACTGCGTTCGTCCCTCATAACACATTCTCACGTCAAGAAGACCGTGGTCCCATCCAGCGGGCCACGCATCAGAAAGAGGCACCGGCCTAGGTCTTGACATCAGGATCCTCACGGCCGATATACTCCTTGAACTTAAGGAGGTTCAGTGCCAGAGAGATATTGTCACGGAGGTACTCTTGGGCACCCAGGCCGAACTTGGAGCTGTCGCTCTCGTAGCGCTCGACGTACAAGCGGATGGTGGCGCCACTGCTGCCAGTACCCGAGAGACGGACGACGATACGGCTGCCGTCGTCGAACTTGGCGTAGAGACCCTGGTTCTTGGAAACACCACCGTCGAGGTCGGTGTAAGAGAAGTTGCCCGCATCGGTGACCTTACGGCTGCCAATAGAGCTGCCGACGAAGGTGCTTTGAGAAACCAGGTCCGCAAGAGTGCCGACAACCTTGTTAGCGCCTTCGCTGTCAACATTCTCGTAGTCGTACCGAGTGAAGAAGGTACGGCCATAGGTCTTCCAGAAGTCATTCTGGATCGAGGCAATGCTGGGGGTCTCATTGGGCTTCTCCTTCGCAACACCGGCAATAATGTTGAGCCAGGCAACGATAGCCCACACACCGTCCTTCTCACGGATGTGGTTGCTGCCGGTGCCGAAACTCTCCTCACCACAGATGGAGATCTTCTTGTTGTCGAACAAGTTGCAGAAGAACTTCCAGCCAGTGGGGACCTCGTAGCTCTGAAGGCCTTGCGCCTTGGCGACACGATCGACGGCACCGGAGGTGGGCATGGAGCGGGCAAGGCCGTACACACCCTGCTTTTGGAACCAGGGGATCAGCTTGGCATGGTGGGCAATAATGGCCAAACTGTCACCGGGGGAGACAAATGTGTTGGCACCGTAGATCATGTTACGGTCACCGTCCCCGTCACTGGCGGCACCGAAGTGAATACCGTTCTTGTCGACAGCCTCGACGAGCTCGTGAGCATACACCAAGTTGGGGTCAGGGTGACCGCCGCCAAAGTCCGGCTTAGGCACGCAGTTTTGGGTGCTGCTGGCCGGTAGTCCGAGCTCATTGACGAAGATGTCCACGCCATAGGGGCCAGTCACACCGTGCATGCCATCGAAGAGAATCTTGAAGTCTTTGTGGGTTTTGAGGAAGTCCTTGATCAAGTCGAAGTCAAAGATCTCCTTCAGCATGTTCACATAGTCGGCAGTGGAGTGGACCACCTCGACTTCGAGGGGACCATAGGTCTTGGTGCCGATGGTGGTGGTGTCGATGTCGGGGATTTCGAGATAATTGTAAGAGGTCAGGGACTTGGAGAACTCATAGATCTTGTTGGTAACGCCCTCGGGGGCGGGAGCGCCGTTGGCCAAGTTGTACTTGATACCGAAGTCGTTGTCGGGACCTTACACATGCAGTTAGCGATTGCACCCACATGGTTGATTCAGTTCTAGCCTAAGGCTCCACTCACCACCAGGGTTGTGACTAGCGGTCAGCAAGATACCGCCAGTGGCCTTGCGAACCCGGATCAGGTTGCTAGCAGCGGGGGTGCTGAGAATGCCATTCTGTCCCACCAGGAGCTTCTTGACACCGTAGGCGGCACTGATCTTAGCGATCTTGGAGATCACCTCAGGGTTGTAGTACCGGCCATCACCACCAATAACAAGGAAAGAGTCTTTGACACCCTCGGGGATGGAGAGGAGAATGCTGGTAATAAAGGACTCGGAGTAGTTGGGCTGCTGGAAGACCTTGACCTTCTTGCGGAGACCAGAGCTAGCGGATTGTCAATAACAAGAGCTACCAATTCACTCAATGGAGAAGAACACTTACGTGCCCGGCTTCTGGTCAGTGAAGGGCTGGATCGAGACAGTCTGGACCGACATCGTGACTTTGGGTTTGGAGAGAGAGAAAAAAGGAGGCAAGTTGACCGACAGCAGAAACAAAGAGGGGCTGCCGTCATGTGTTGATCATCCATCCCACTTTCGCCTTCCCAACGCCTGCACGTGCGGAGACCAGTTGCAGCCCGCTTCAATTGGCGGATCACTTTCCAAAATAATCCAAAACGGCACTACATGCTATGTAAATCTATGATAATTGACCTGCTTAACCGGAGGACAGCTCCGTTGTGTGATTTACTTCTTTTCGTGCTGATCCTACGGGGGGAACATTCTACAGACGGGCCGGCGGGGCACCGAGCTTCCCCCCAACGAGTCAAAAGGTGTCTAGGTCTCAGTTCCTGTGAAACAACGAAAATTTCTCCATTGATTTCATGATCCCATGTAGACGTATTTTAAGCTCTCGACATGCGTCCTAGCCAAACAGCTTCTCCCGGTAAAAGCGCATTTCGGCAATACTGTCCAGAATGTCGTCGCGGGCCAGATGCACCCCTCGTTTCGGTGGGGCATGGGCGAGCAACTCTTCGCTTCCCCAGCGACGCACTGCTTCCTTGATGGTGCTCACATCTAGGATCCGGTAATGCAAATGCTCGATGACCTTTGCATAAGGACCGCGAACTAGAAAGGCCTTGTCGGCATGGACACTATTGCCGGCCAGCAGGGCAGAACGAGGTGCAGGGACGTGGCGTTGAATGTACGCAAGGAGCGAGTCGGCGGCTGCAGTGGGCGTTGTGGTCGACGCGCGCACAGCGTCGGTGAGGCCCGTGCGGCCGTGGGTGTCGATGCACCAGGGATTCATGGCATCGAGGGTGGAGTCCGGGTGGTGAATCACCGTCTCGAAGCCTTGAGGCTCCAGGACGTTGAGCTGGGCGTCCGTGATGAAGCAGCAGATTTGGAGTATCTGGTCCGTCTCGGCGTCCAGTCCTGTCATCTGGTTCGCAGTGAGCTTTTCGCGTTTTGGGCTGGCGTGCGCACATGTCCGAAGAATGGGACTTACCTCACAATCGATCCATACTAAGGGATCTGTTGATCGATGTAGCGACATAGTACGTTTGTTAGACAAGCTTGGTTCCTGAGTAATTCTCGTCAGTCTTGCGACCACAAGGATACTAGCCGAAGACGAGAAGCTGTGGAATCCGGACCTGGTGGAGAAAGTTACCGAGCGGAGTCCAACTGCTGGGCTTTCGCAGATTCCTAAGAACAAGAGGCCTCAGTGGCCAACAACTTCTAAGCATGAATTGCCTGATCTTTCTCGACGTGGATGTTGTCTCGAGGCGTCTAGGCGGTGGAAGTTTAGCAAGCCGGCAAGCACATTCGAAGGTTCCGATCTATGCATCTACCCTTACCTGGTATTTTACTAGATGTTGCCGTGGACAGGACAAAGTAAAACACAGACGGTGCTACGAACGTATATTGGGTATTTTTACGATCTCTGTCTAACATAGTTCGCTATTCAAAATAGAAGGAAAGGAAAAAGTGAAAGCAGGGGGTTTAATTGCGCAAAAATCATCAACTAATATTTGGGCCTCATTGTTAAGCCGTACATTCCATGACATGAATCGCATTATGTGCATCAAGAAAAGGGGTATGATATGTGGTAAAGACAGCTTCAATATGACATCAAATCATTTCAATGGGTCAGAAGACGCTAGCTAGCGCTAAGCTTGTTCACTCCCACTCCCGGTGCTGGGACGCTGAAACCAAGTGCTTGGTATCCAGCTTCCACGATTGGCCTTCTTACGAGCAGCTTCTTCTTCCTCTTCAAGACGGGCTGCATCGCTGACAAGGCGCAAAGGTCGTAATTTATTCTGTGTCATGACAGCGCCGGGGTAATTGGTCATGCCGCTACTCGAGCGAGGAGGGCTTGAGGTGTTTGTAGTCGAGGCAGTGTCGATCATATCGCTGGTCACGCTGGGGGAGCTGCTACGGCCAGCGGTATCACGGTCGGGTTGGCTCGACATTGAAGGCGCACGACTCGTGCCCGAGAAGTAGCTGTTGTTTCCGGAGAACAAGCTTTGGCGCGAGCCGGGGCCCATCGCGGTAGGGCTGATCGGCCCCCCGGAGTTGCGACCACGGTACATTTGGCTCACAACTGAGGCGGCTGCGGGATCAACCTGCTCGGATCTTGCTCGGCGGTGGCCGCCCCGCATGGATTGGCCGCGGAGAGGGATGCTAGGGGCAGTCTGTGGGTTCTCGTTGGCTGTGGCGCTGTGAGGAACTGTTGGTGGAGGCATCATGCTTGCTGGCCTCGCCCGGGGGGTGGAGCGAGGGGGGTTGGCCACCAGAGATGATCGACTTGGTTCTCTGTATAAAGCTCTGGGCGACACCGTCATCCTTCTCCGGAGGTGTGGGAGGCAACTCTTTCTCGCCAGCTGGCTTTGCCGCATTAGGATCGTCATCATCGTTCTTATCAAGAACATGCTCAAATCCATCATGCTGAAGGACACGGCTGATGATACGCTCAATGTACAGTGTGAGGGCTTTATTCTGGTCCCTGAGAGATTTCAATTCACTGTCGCCTTTTTGGCCTGCGCCGGCCTCGCCTTCCTCCTCATTCACCGACTCGAGCTCGTCGGCAAGAGATCCCACGCCACTCGTGGGTTGTTTGTCAGGTTGAGCATCCCGCATGAAGTCACCCTTAGTGAAATCTCCAGTGAGTGTCTTTTCGCTGAGAAGCAGTTGGTAGCTTTCATTGTCCTCCATAAGGCGCGCATTAGCCACACGGGCTTCTAGAAGCTCCTTCTCTAAGTCACGCTGACGACCACCGCCTGCGTTCTCCATCTCCACGAGTTTTATCTGGGATTCAGCAAGTTCCAGGCGCAAAGACTCGATCAATTTGTCTTTCTGGAGGAGTAGATTGGAGTTGTTCCGTGAAGGGCTACGCTCGAGGTGGGAGGATGGTGCGAACTGGGCATCTAGATCCGGCGAGGCTCGGTTTCGGAAACTCGCTGGGGTTTTGTTAGTTCTCGAAGTTCTGGGTACGCTGGGTGACCGGATCATACATGATCGAGAGACCTGGCTGCGATCATTCTCATTATTGAGCCGCGAATCCTTCTGCGCCAGCGATTCCTTGAGGCGCTGAATGGTCGCCTGCATCTCTTCTTCGCGGCTTGCTTGCTGTTCCTTATCTTTCAACATCGCATTTCGTTCCATTTCATGGTTCTGTTCGAGGTCACGGATCTGCCTGGCCTGGTCCCGTATCTGATTGCTAAGCGATTCGATCCGGGTATCGCGCTCATGAGCTTGGTCTTCTAGCTTGGTCTGTTCACTGACGGCTTCATCGAGGCGCATCTGTAAGACACCGAGTTGTTTCTGATATTGCTCGGAGGCGGTCTCCGCCTTCTGCAGTTGCTCACGCAGCTCTTCAATGAGCGCAGCGTTCTGAGCCCGCGCCTCCTCGTCGGAAGGGTCGTTTCCGATCCGCGGAACGTTCGACATGCTGAGATTAGAGGATCGGCCGGGCTTCCTTGCAGCAGCACGCGCAGAGACGGGAGTAGAACCTCTTAACGATGGAGAACGATTGATGCCGTTGGGCGCGGCACTGGGCGAGCGGCCATGTCCTCGTGCGGTGGACCCGTTAGTAGAGGGCGGATCTGCGGCCGATGATTTGTTGGAACCCACGGGGGTTCCAGGCTTGCGAGGTGTTGCTGACATAGTGCAAGGGTCCCGGCGCCCAATGGACTCGGGGCAGTGTATATAGAGATGCGAAGTGCTCTTGCGACAGTGTACAGTGTTCGACGAGGTAAAAGCTGTTCGTGGTGTTGAGAAAAGGGTAAAAGGAGTGTGTTAATCGGGAGCGGTCAAACTTGGGTGGATCTAGTGGAGAGTCCACGGTATGGGGTGCGGACGAGGAATGTAATAGACGCTGTCAGAGGTTGATTGAGCGCCACATGGCTAATCGGAGTCGAAGATGCATCGATGACGGGTCGTCTGAGAACAGCCGTGGAATGAGAGAAAGTATAAGGTTTATCACCGATTGCAGGGAGGGTCCTGTTGTTTTGCTTGTTTGGAATGCGGGCGAACTCCCTTACTCTGGTATTTTTAGATACCAGGCCAGCAACAGCTTTTGGGGGCGGGCTCGGGAATGGAAAGTTCAGAGTGGAAAGACTCAGTAGTGAGACGAGACTACTCTGAAATCAAGGGACTTTAGAGTCACCAAGTGCACCATTGTCTTGTAGGTATTTTGGCCAATACAAGAGGAGCCCCGGCAACGACGGACGCAAATTACGATGTACAGGGGATGGGACAATGCACGCAAAATGTAACTGCCTTACTCCCACGCCCGAATTCCGTACGGCCTTAGCCCCTCTGGCCTATTATGGCTTAGGCTGTAATGGCATATACATAAATTACGCAGAGGTCACCGTGAAAAGTGTATATCTGGGTAAGGAAAAAGCTGCATGGGGCAGGCGGTGGGGATTCTCAATTTTGGGGGTGCCAATAGTGAAACTGGGGGGGAGATGCACTCGGTGTACGTAACAAGGAAATGACAGGATCCTCCTCGTCGCCCAGGGAATCAGGCAGGTACCCGGTTTTAGGTGTAGCTGGAAATACCACCTGCTGTTGATGTTATCATACGAGCATTACAAGCTGAACTTGATCCAGACATTATCCTTGACCAGAGGCAGAGAACAGCCTTTCGTCTATGACCTGGTCGAAGAATTCTCCTCTTCGGAATCATCTTGTGCACGTCCAGTACCATCCATCAGAAGGTTCTCCGCCTAATGAACAATTGCTGTCAAGGTCTCAACTAATAATCTCCTTTCTTTTTTAGCCTGGGTGAGACGGCCTCGCCGTATTCATCTGCTTGCCCTGCTGTGAAAGTACATAACATACCTGAAATATTACTGCACGGGCTACCTCTCGAGTTTCCGCACGAATGCTGCTCTTTCGAGTACATTTACTTTCTGGGGATGTAAGGGACATAACTACGTCTAAGCCTGCGGCCTAGACGCTTTTGCCCGTCCCAAGTGATATTAGGCTGGTTTTATTGCATTTGAGGGGAAGAACAGGTCGAATTGGATCCAGACGTCGTGCATGTCTCGTTACGCAACGTAATCGCGCTTCCAAACATCGCTGTAGTCGCAGATTGGGGTCGCAGCGTGGGCTACGACGCAAGCCACGACCGTACTATAATCGTGTAAGCTTACTAGACGTGAAGCATCATTAAACAGCGTCCAACTGTAAGACCACAGCTTCAAGTGGAAGGTCTGGGTATTTAAAAACATCGTGGTGTACATACGGACCCGTAGCCTAGCTACTGATAGTAGTTTTCGTCACCGATGCCACCAAAGTACGGCAGGCATTCTCAATCTTCTATCTTACTAATGAGGAAACGTTGAAATTGTGGTGAAAGACATGACCTCGAACCCGAGTACACGGTACTTCGCATAACGCTGAGTCCTCATAAGCAAAATGTATTCGCAGGACTCGAAGGTATATTGTTGACCGATCCCTGCAGCTTGACCTCTGGAGGCAACGGCATAGTGATCTACATTGGAATTTACAAAGGCGCTGTTCACAACCCCGACTTCCGCGCCGAAGGGGGTGGTTATTTGGTCGATTTTGAAAGGATATAACTAGGAAATGAGAGGACCCTGACCGGCGCCACAGGGAACTTGAATAATATCTAAACGCACGAACCATTCATTTTGGAGCCTTTCTGAAAATAGTTAGCGTAAGGCCTAAAGGCCTCAAAGATACACCGACGAGAGTATAGTCACCTGACATTAAGCATCGGAACGGAACAACTACATGATCCGCCCGCACAACGCTTGAGTTTTACTTCAATTTGGCTTTAGTTTCTCTCCACTATAACGCCGGCCGGAGCGCATCCTTCCTTTACTATTTTACAACAGTTCGAAGTCCTCGAAGAACTTCACAGCGTAACGATGGCCCCCAAGAAGTCCAAGAAGGGTTCCGACAACGTGAGTGCTCTTTTGCACAGATCTAAAATAATTTCCCATGGTCGTTTCGTCTAACACACAACAGATCAACTCCAGGCTCGCCCTGGTGATGAAGTCCGGTAAGGTCACCCTGGGTGCTAAGTCTACCATGAAGACTCTGCGCTCCGGCAAGGCCAAGCTGGTCATCATTGCTGCCAACACCCCTCCTCTCCGCAAGAGTGAGCTCGAGTACTACGCCATGCTGGCCAAGACCCCTGTCCACCACTTCTCTGGCAACAACGTACGTTTCAGATCCTCTACAGGAGCATCCCAGGCATAATTGCTAATATAATTCGGTTCAGATTGAGCTCGGTACCGCCTGCGGTAAGCTCTTCCGCTGTGCCACCATGGCCATCCTCGACGCCGGTGACTCCGACATCCTTGCTGATACCCAGTAAATTGGATAATGCGGGAGGCTGAGAGTCGACGGTGCTGAGCCTGGGGTAATGTGTGTGGTGGCTACTTGACTGTAGCAACCATGTCGCATATGATAGTGATGGACTACGACCCTAAAATCAAAAAATAAACTTAAAATCTCACGCATCTGTCGAATCATTCTGACGCGCTCTGTGTAATCCGCAGTTCTTCTTATCGTATTACGAGTCTTAAGGGAGAATAAGGCGTTGCCTTCATTTCATTGTAATCTTGTAATTGATAGTACCGGTCTCTGTAACTTCGAGCTTGAGTGACAAATGCGGCCTCTCGGCATAGGCGATGATTGGCGGGCTCGCTAGGGCTTAGGGCTTATCGCCACTCAACTCCACCCACTGCTTGGAAATCAAACAATCCCGTGACCGCCCGCCCATTTCTTTTCTTTCCTTTCGATCCCTCGACACCAACCGACATCCAACAACCAGTTCGCAGGAAGTGCCGTCACCTCATTTCCAGCACTCAAAATGGCTCGCCGTCCCGCCCGCTGCTACCGCTACTGCAAGAACAAGGTGCGTCGCCAAATTTCGACCCGTGGAGGAGATTTGTGTGCGGGGACTCGGTTGTGGGCAGAAGTCTTGAACGCGCTTTGATGGGTATCGACTGGGGGAGTTTGCTGTTGGTTTCATCGTCGCTACAAGAAATTTCTGCCCAAAACCGCTGTCTGTGTCCTAACTTCCAGGGCATTGCATATGAATGATGGATTCCACAAGGGTTGGCAAGATTAGTAGCTGACCTGCCTTGCGTCATACAGCCTTACCCCAAGTCCCGGTTCAACCGTGGTGTTCCCGACCCTAAGATTCGTATCTTCGATCTCGGTCGTAAGAAGGCTAACGTCGACGACTTCCCCACCTGTGTCCACCTGGTCTCCAACGAGTATGAGCAGCTGTCCTCCGAGGCTCTCGAAGCCGCTCGTATCTGTGCCAACAAGTACGTCACACGCCCGAAACTTCCAACCCGTTACCGCTCGAGTTCAATACTAATATTCTTTTCAGGTACCTCGTGAAGATCACCGGTAAGGAAGGTTTCCACCTGCGCGTCCGTGTGCACCCCTTCCACGTCGTCCGTATCAACAAGATGTTGTCGTGTGCCGGAGCCGATCGTCTCCAGACTGGTATGCGTGGTGCCTTCGGTAAGCCCCAGGGTTCCGTCGCCCGTGTGAACATTGGCCAGATCATTCTGTCTGTCCGCACTCGTGACTCCAACCGTGCCGCTGCTATTGAGGCTCTCCGTCGCTCCATGTACAAGTTCCCCGGTCGCCAAAAGATCATTGTCTCCAAGAAGTGGGGCTTCACTCCCGTCAACCGCGAGGAGTACGTCCAGCTCCGCCAGGAGGGCAAGCTCCGCCAGGACGGTGCCTACGTGCAGTTCCTGCGCGGCCATGGTCTGGTCGAGGAGAACATGAAGCGTTTCCCCGAGGCCTACGAGAACCTGTCTCAGGCTTAGATGGTTATGGGTTGAATAAGAATACGAATTTCAAGAACGCAAAAATTATCTCGATGTTCTCTTACCTTTCCTCCTGTTCCCCCTAGCTTGATATCTCGTGTGCAAATTCAGTGGAGTTCTTCCATGGGTCTAAAAAGTTTTGCCAACTCTGTAGTGTTGTCCAAAGGTCTCTAGCTTCCAGGTTGTTCATTTGATAAGATATATCCACTGTACTAGCGCATGTCTATCAAGGATGAAGTGGTACTAGTACCTAGAACTTTTATCGCTTCAAGTCCTTCAACTTGGAGTCTTGTTACCAGTACTAGTTCGCCGGCATATTCTCAATCAAATGGACCATGATCTTAACTTCCTGGTCTTTGCAATGGTGGAACAACGAGCTGAATATGCGGACTTGAAATAAACCGTAACTGCTGGCGCCCCCGAGTCAAGAATTGCGACCCATAACGTTGCCTACGATCTATCAAGGTCACGGTACAAGCAACCTCCGAGTTTGAGTTCTGTGTTAAACTTCAACCCTACCAATAAAGCACTTGAAAGAATAGACCCGAGACCTCGTGTTAACGTGGATCAAGGGAAAAACAAAAACACAAAAGAAACGTCATGGAATATATATTCAGCTTGGCTCTACTGTAGACGAATATACTTCCTAAAAGAACACTGGCATCTAGCCAACGGGAGATGGGAGTAGCTGGGGGTCGGTTGTAGCACTGCCCTAGAGAAATCATTAGTAGACTTCAAAAAACTTCAAGATCCACGTTCCTGGTGAAATTTCCATCAAACCTGGTGATTATCAGATTATCGGTGTAACCTTAAGAAGATTAGGTACTACTGGATTCATCTGATATACACCAATTCTCGAAAACAATTAAAAATCTATTTTATGGTGAAATGTTATGGAACCTGGTGGATATCAGATAAATCAAATAGTACCTGGTCTTGATTCATCTGATATCCATCAGTCCTCGAAAACAATTAAAGGTCTGTTTTATGGTGAAATTTTATGAAACCTGGTGGATATCAGATGAATCAGGTAGTACCTAATCCTGATTCATCTGATATCCACCAGTCCTCGAAAACAATTGAAGATCTATTTTATGGTGAAATGTTATGGAACCTGGTGGTTATTAGATGTGTGGTGAACCTTAGGTCAAAGTAGCTTGGTGAATATTCATGTTTTCATCGGACAAATGCCAAGTACTAACTAATGTTGATTCTTCTATTCAAGGTTAAGGCTAACGTTGATCTGAGAACCTGATTCCCACCAGGGTTGAAAAACCAGCACCAGACCTCGAATACAATCAAAGATCCATTTTTCTGGTGGTATTTAGCTAATACTGGTATATTTTTCAGCAAGCTGATATCTCTCAGACGAATGGGTTGCCACGGAAAAACGCTCGGAGTGGCATTTTCAGTGCGTTCATTATAAAGCTGGTGTAGATTTTCAGAACTACTCCGACCCAGAGTTCGAGCTCGGGTCCGTACCACAGTTCTGTTTATGCAGTTTTCCAGCAACTATAGACCGGGTTAGCCATTATTCTTGCCCGGCCCCTCAAGCCCGGTGCTTCTGATCTTCTTACTTTCTGTGTCCTCTTCTGTACACGCATCCGACAAGCATGTCGTGAGGGTATCCTTAAAAGCTGGACTCGAGCAGGTGCATGAGAAGTCATATTTGGAAACGCAGCCGGCTGTGCCGGCAGCTTCAGATAGGCATTGGCTCTACTCCGAAATATATGATTAACAGGCATGTCTTGGCCAACGACTGTCTCCTGTGTCAGGCCCTCCCGACCGTACTTACAAGGCACGGACTGACGTCCTCATTAATGTCGTTTGCCGAGAGGGCGAAAGCAGAGGCCAAGAATGCGGCAAATGGGACGAAGATGAAGAGTTTCATTTTGAAGGCTCAAGTCGCACTGGGTAGATTGTTATAGAGGAAAAGTGAAGAAAGCTATACTGCAGACCAAAGGTCATCAAGGTGTGCAGGAAGTGGCGGCAGTGCTGAGAGGAATTAAACCAGTGGCCTACTTCGGTTGTTTTGTTTACATTCTTCAGATGGGGCCTTTGCATATAGGGTTTGTTGAGGACCGAGTACAGTATCTGGACCCTCGGAATGATCTCATGTGGAATGTGCTAGTCCAAGATCAGACAAAGACACGCGGATTGAGATGAAGACTCATGCTTATGAAAGATGATCTAGTTAATAGTTGGTCTTGACCTATTCAAGACTCGCTAGTAGGCTGCTCGATGGTGCGAAAAAAGTCGTCCCGGTTAGAGGCGTAGAGAAATCTAGGATCTGGTCATGCAGCCCTGGAGGATCTCCAATAAACATGCGTTCCAACATTTTCTCAATAACCCACAGGCGTCGAGTATATCCGATGAAGTATGTACCAAACTCGCCAGATCCAGGCGATCCGAAGGGCATATTGTCGCGAAGAATATCATGCTCATTCCCTTGCTCGTCCTCGATCGTGTTCAGAGTCTTGTGCGACTTTTGGCCGGACTCCGCATCATCGAGCTCAACATTATCCCATTTGGTGCGCCCGATAATCTTTTCTTGCTGCTCTGTTGAGAGACTCTTCCACGCGCTCAGGGCGTGCGTATATTTTTGGACAACGATGTAGCTACCCCCTTGCGCGGCTGTATCTTCCTCCGCTATCAGCACGGAATCTGGTACGGCGGGGCCAACAGGATTGGCCGTGCCATCAACAAAGCCGAGTAGGTCCCGAACGTCGAAATAGCGGAAACCAACGGTCTCGTCGACAACAGTCGTCGCGCCAGCGAGTTGATCCAGGAGTTGGCGCTCGAACTCGAAGCAGATATCTCGACGCTCCGAGCGAATATGGAATAGTATGTCGCCGGGTGTCGAGACAGCTGTATGTTTCGCGCCTTTGATTTCACGGAAGTTGTGGAGTTCAGCTGGACGAGGAAGTCCGGTTAGATCATCCCAGATGTCGCTGCCAATGCCGACCGTACAAGCGAACCGGGAGCTGAGATCGCGGATGGCGACATTCTTGGCGAGGCTGTCCAGACCAGCCAGCGTTGATCGGACAGTCTTGACCGAATCAGGCGTTCTGTTTACCTTCAAAACTAGAAAAGTCGCTGACGCAGTCAAGGGTGCATCGACCCTTTGCGGCTCGATGGGCACTCGTTGGCTGCTCATATTCACTCTGTGGGCGGTATTCCACCGAAAACCCGGAAGCTTCCTGCTAGACGCCGCGAAAGAGCTCTGAAATCGATACTGGGGACAAGATATGTTTGAGCTTGGAGACTTCGGTCGAATTGTGAACCGAGCCCTGGTTGACGAAAGGGCGTTGGGTATGCGGGAATAGGAGCCTGAATTTGCAATTCTTCTCGCACTATGCATGCTGCGGAGTTGGCGGAAGGGTATATAGCAATCGCGCAGCCTTAGGAGCCCTAAAGGAGAGTGAATTGCAATCATGTTATGATGATTGGTTGATTGGAGTCGATGACGGAAGCGGTAGAACTACCAAAAGAATGCTAGACTGATCGAAAAGATGGTGGCAACAGTAGCACACCAATGGAATGGCAGGAAACAGCACTACAAGGCCCCACGCCAAAGGGACGAATGCTGATAAGATACTCTCCGAGGTCCTCTCAATGATCGTCAATCGGAGGTGGACTATACTGTCACCTTAAGCCACGTGACCGGACGCTGCCTCGTAGGTGACAACCGAACCATGCGGTCTGAAATAAAACTGGTTGTAACAAATTAATTGCTTCACCTTTCGTCTTCCGAGGAAACTTGAAATGATAGAGACAATATACAATATACCGAGAAGACTAGCATGTCTGCACTTCAGGATCAGGACATGTTCAACCTAGAGTCAATTGAGGCTTCATTTAGATGTAGATCCGGGCCTTAAGTTCAAAGGCACTTGTTCGGAACCGCGGTCGCGAAGTATGTTTCTCCCTGCGGTGCTGTTTTCCCTTTCCATGTTTAATTTTAATTTTTCTTTTTCTACGGGAAAGTTGTCATCGAAATTGTCATCAAACTAAGGTCTTACACTCAGTTTGGCCATTCATACTAAGTGCAAAGTCATGAACGCTTAACAGCGACGAAGACATCTCCTACCAGAAATAGTTTTTACCGTTGAGTATACCCACCGTCTACCAACAACGCTGTGCCTGTGACGAAAGAGCTCCGTCCACCAGCGAGGTATATAACACCGTCGGCAATCTCCTCCGGCCTGCCCATGCGCTCCATCGGCACAGCAGTGGCCACACGCTCCTTCATAGCTTGCAGAATTTGCGGTGACTTGGTGGTGAGAGGAGTCTCTGTGTATCCCGGGCAGATAGCATTGATCCGCAGTCCATCCTTTGCATAGTCCTCCGATGAACTTCTAACGAGGCCAATCACCGCGTGCTTCGTTGCTGCATACGCAGTTGACAAGGGTATACCAGCGACTCCCTGAATTGAGGAAAAGAGGATAATCGAGCCCCGCTGTAAAGGCCTGCTGTCTCGAGAAGACAGGATCGGTTCTTGCTTGAGCATGATTTTGGCTGCGGCACGGAGTAAGAACAGCGATCCTGATAGGTTGATGTTCAAGATTCGATCCCAATCGGACGTCTCGACGAACGCTGCCCCTCCTTCATGTTTCATTGCAACCCCAGCGGCGTTCGCTACGTAGTCGATTCTGCCGAAGGTGGATGCGATGCTCTGGACGGCCTCGTTGACTTGGCTTTCGTCTCCGATGTTGAGGGGGTAGACTTCGATTCGGCAGGGATTCATGATGCCTCTTTCTCGTTCTTGGTCTTCAATTCCAAATTTAACAGCATCTAGCGCTTCTTTGTTCAGATCAAGGAGGGCTAGACCTGAGGCACCATCTCTGGCGAAACTGAATGCAGTGGCCTTTCCAATACCGGAGGCTGCGCCTGTTATCAAAGCGATGCCAGGTACGTCCATTGTGAATGTTTTTTTTGGGGGGGGGGAATCTTCAAGGAAAGGTCTTCAAGATAAAACAAAAGCCTGAACCTGCCAGAAATCGATTATGGTACTGGAATCTTGAATACGGAAGCTCTGGGACTTCTTATGTCAATAAATACTTGACGCGGTGTATGATCTACACCTCCGTGCTGTGGGGTTCGCGGAAGCCTGCCTAAAAGGTTGAGTGGCTTATCGCGGCTGCGACATGCAGGATATGAGGTGGGTGTATGTAGCATGTGGATCTCAATGTCTTACCCCTCCTACTGTGTTAAGACTACGGAAGGGCGCAGGCCTTTATTTTACTATCGTCAGGGGTGGGCTTCTGGTGCAAATGCCCAGAACTTGAATATTCGGCAAAACAATCCGTAGAGGTACAGGATCACAGAAATGCTGTTGAGCTTCATGAGAGTCGGACTTGAATGAGAGGTAGATAAAAATAAGATTGAAGTTGAGCTATACAAGGGTTCGAAACCAAGTTTGGAACTGAAACACTTGCCTATGCTGTATTGCTGCAGATTAGGCTTTCTTCATGAGATCTAACCATGTCATACTGCTGCCGTTCCCTCGCTGCTTCTCATCCCAAATCTGCTGTATAGATGACAATGTTTGGTCAAAACAAGACAAGCCACTGCGACGCGCTGATAGCTCGAACCAGGTTGAGAAGGACGCTTGTACCTTCGAATCTTCGGCTTCACATGCAGCAATAAAAGCTGGCCAGATAAACCCAGCTGAGCCATGTACTACGCTAGAATCAGCATATTCACATTGAAGAAGACAGTCTCGAATAGTCGAGACTTTGTCTTGCAACATAGACGCGTTCAGGTCGTATATTCGGCGGTAGAAATAAATTGCTAAGGCATTGCGCATCGCCTCAAGCATATGATCTAAGATATCTCGGTCCACAAAGGACTGATGGGTATCGAGACAGACTGTCATTTCTTTCGGCTTTTGAAGCCGATTGATGCAATCTTCTAGCGCCTTCGCTCTGCTGATGAAATCCTTCAGGTCGAGACTGCTGTCGCTCTCGTGCTCGGCGGTATCCTTTTCGGTCCCCAGGCGGATAATCAGTGATAGCAGCTGAACCCAAGGTTCTGGGATGCCGAAGATCTCTGGGTACAACGTGGCAAAGCATAAACCAGGTCGCTCAAGATGGAGATCGTTCTCACCTTCCTCTTGATCTCGAACACGCATCATCTCTTGTTGGAGGTTTTGCCATTTAGACAAACGAAAAGAGAGTCCATCGACACTGCAAGGAGCGAGGCCGCTGGATTCAATAGCTCTACGTATATTGAGCCTATGACTCGAGTTTGCGCCGTTGATGAAGATGCTTTCATGAAACATGCGCTCGAAGGCGTAGCAGTGATGCAGTAAACGGACCTTTCGAGACTTTCGCCGCCTCAGACCTTTCAGGCGAATCAATTTTTCTGCTTCCAGAAAGTATTCTTCAGCCTGGTCACGATCACCAGAAAAGGTTGAGACTTGCACCATAGTGAGAATGGCCATCAGCATAGACTTGTATTTGGCCGGTTTGGGAATATCGTAGGCTGTGAGCAACATGTGCTTTGCGTGACATTCAGCCTCCTGGAAATACAATCTGGCTTGGCTGAGCCAGTCGTCAGACTTGGATACGCCCCCCAGGCTCAATGCGCTTATTGCAAGTGTGCCGTAGAAGACGCCTAAGCTGGCATGATTCAAGACATCTCCAAGTGCTAAGGCTGCGAAGCAATCCTTCACATGCGGAATGAAAAGAACATGCCAAGGGGTCTTCCTATGTCTCACTGGTGTCATTAAGCTGATAACCGTTGAAGAGTAATGCTTTAGCAAGAAGATAGTATCCCGAGGAATGGTTCTGTTCGCAGTAGGGGTAAATGTGAGAGAGTGAGGTAGGACGGGAGAGTTGCAGAAAGTATGGGCTGTGAGAGTCAATGAATGGTAGCCTTGGGGGGGTTACTGGTTCGTTATCCAGGTGAGTGGGATTTATGAACGTGTCTATAAGCTCTGGAGTGGGCGGACTTGGACCTTGATCCGCTGAATCGAACAAAGCCTCCATGAAAAACGGTATTCCGGGAGAAACGTTCGTGTCAAAGGTGAACACTTCTGCTACTGAGCTCAAGTCTGGAAGAGGGCTGCTTGCGCTTGTCTCCTCTGGATCATTGATGACAGATAGACTGGGAGTTCTACACAAACCACGCGGACTCTGCTGTACCTTGAAAACACCAAACGGACCTAGCTGAAGACCAAAGTCCGTACCAGAGACGTCTTCATATCCTTCCTCGTCGATCTGTGCAAGCATTCTATTCGTTGACCAGGGCGGTGCAGCTGATACCAGCCATTCGCTCATACGCACTCGCTCCACCTCTGTAAACAATGGCCGCCGGAATCTTATTCGATTATCCGGATTCTTCGAATCGAAGAATAGGTCTTTCTTATATCCAGCACACGGTAGACCAAAAGATGTGCACATAGCACATGCTGGTCGGCCCTCATCGCACTTAACATGGCGGCTGCGACACTGGGGTCGAGTCAGTTGAAGAACCAGATGTGGAACGCGCAAAACATACCGTCGCACACCCTGTGAATGACCTCGTATGTGAGGCGGTAGTTGCACGCCGTGCCTCGGCTGCCATGTCGAGGACAGTTGAACGATGCGATCAAGGGCACGCACTGACAGCGTCGGATGGAATTTCGAGGGTTGCGGGGAACGTTGAGTGGGACCGAAGATAGCGGACACCTTCCTTGTTAGCTGATGCACGGATACTTTCCAAGCAGGTCGTCTTTGAAGCTGAAAGCTACTGATTGGAACAGAATAATTTACTAATAGTTATACATTATTTGGAAATGACCCTCCTGAAGACAACCGCCATTTGACCAATAGTTGATGGGGAGAGTAATATGGACTACTTGACTACTGGAGTTCGAAGTGATCCGCCCACAGAGTTGATCGTCATATCGACACTTAATTTTACTATATAGCGAACAGAACTCAGAGTACAAGGCATGCAATGGATTATAGTTAATGCGCGTACTGGTTACTGGTAGGCTAAACACTTGCCAGTGGAATGGTTGTATACGAGACTGCGAAAGAATGCAGCAAAATAACAAGTATTTACAGGGACAAAGCCGATATCATGCAAACGTCAGTCCTTTCCAACCAGCTTCCTTGCACTCGGCACACCTTCGACGGTATTCAGCAGCGTGTCCAGAGTATCTAGCGACGCTGCGCGCCGTCTTACCCTGAATATTCTTGTTGACACCAGTCATCCAACTGTCAACCTCATTTGCTAGCTGGCCCCTACTGCATTCGATAACATGTTCGGTCCAGCTCTCCACGGCTTCCACAGTTGGCTCCACATAAGTGTAGTTCTTATCCTTGCAGTATTGCAGAAGGTCAGAAACAACAGCGACGGCATGCTCGATCGTCCGTGGGGCATTGCCAAATGGCTGATGCGGCCCAAGAACCATGAACATATTCGGCATTGAGCACGCTGTCAAGCCAAGGTACGTACGTGGCCGGTGATCAATCCAAATGGCTTGATCGCTTTCTTTCGCGTCACTGCTCCCCAGAAGAGGGCGGCCGTCCTTGGCATGCCACTCGATCGCACTAAAGGCTCCGGTGATCGCATCGAAGCCAGTTGCATATATCAAAACGTCCAGATCATGATGTTCGCCATCTGCAGTCATGATGCCCGTCTCTGTAATCCTCTCCACAGGCGTCTTTTGCAGGTCAACCAGACGGACGTGTGGTTTGTTGAAAGCTTCAAAGTATCCACTCTCCAGCGGCACACGGCGAGTCCCAAAACCGTGACTCTTGGGAATCAGGCTATCTGCCACCTCCGGATCATGGATGCGTTCTCTGATCTTGCTCGCCATGAAATTCGAGTATAGCTTATTAGCCTCACGGTTGGTGTACGTGTCGCTGAAAACACCCAGCCACTTGGCAAAGCCTGGCTCAGCGTATTTCTTTTCCCACAATTCAAGCCGCTCCTCTTCCGAAACCTCAAGTGTCTTTCGAGGGTCAGCCTTGTGCATGAAACAAGATGGTGTTTCGGCACAGTATTCAAAGAGGGCATCGTAGTTCTTCCAGTGCTCTTTCATTTGATCAAGCGAGATCTCTTCATTGCGAAGAGGGGCAGACCAATTCGGTGTCCTCTGAAAAACAGTCACAGAGCGGATACTTGGCTCTTTGGATACTGCTGTGGTTGTCTGGATTCCCGTAGCGCCTGTTCCAATAATACCGACCCGTTTACCGGCGAAGTCACGGCTCAGGTTGAGGTTCTTTGGCCAGCGTGAGGTGTGGAACGCTTCATTCCTAAAATTTTCGATGCCAGGAATACCAGGAAGACTAGGAGCAGAGAGAAAGCCCATACAACTCACGAAGAAGGTCGTTTCGTACTGAGCTCCGGCCTCGTCTGTGAACAGCCATGTTCGGCTGGTGTCTTGCCAACATGCGGACTTGATCCTAGTCTGGAACTGGATATCCTTGGCCAAGTCATGTTTCTCTGAAATACGTTGGATATAGCGCAGGATTTCTGATTGTGGCGCAAAGCTTTCTTTCCAGTGCCATTCATTCATCAGCTCCTTATCGAAGGAGAAAGCGTACGATAAGGACTCCGAATCAACTCGAGCGCCTGGATATCTATTCCAGTACCAGGTCCCGCCAACACCCTCGGCCGCTTCAAGCACACGAATGCGCCAGTCGGGAAAGCGCTTTCGGAGATGGTAAATACTGCAGACCCCAGACAGCCCGGCTCCGATAATCAAGACATCGAAGCGTTCCACTTGAACGGATCCCATCTCTGGTGTCAATGTGTACGATGTTTCGGGGCGAATGGTGAAATATCGCAGATAGCTTTATACGTTCCCAACATCATGTGCGCAAACGGACCCTTCGATATGGGCAGACTTGAAGGTGTCGGCGAAACTTTCCTCTTATCTGTTCGTCGCTCACTAACTATGAATAGTTAACTATCGTTATTCTATCGATCTTATCAAGATTCCCGGCGCCACGTGACGGTAAGACCTGCCTTATATGACATCTGCAGTGAAAACCTTGCTTACCTGGAAAACCAAGTCGGTGGAGGCCATGTTCTGTTGTCAAATGAAATGACTCCACATAATGCCATACTCCATTCCAACGTCAGATAGGCCCTGGGATAGACCCTCCGCATTTACTAGTACCATTCAGAGCTCATTCGATAGGCTTGTGAAATATCTGAAGTGCCAAATCCTCGAGAAACTTACCTTAAAATTGGACCCAATATGGGTCTACCCCAGATTGCCCATCAGACAAATAATCAGCTGTCCCCGGAGTGATCCCCCATCGAGCATATCCATAACAGCTGAATCTGCCAGATCCCAGGATCCACCCATGCTTTTCTTGTATTGCCACATGAGTTGTAAAGTTGACCGTGGCTCCCGATTGAAACCGTAGATTTCATTTATAATGCCAGGAAGTCGAACCTGAGATCTGCTTACGCTTTTGGTTTCTCGCGAATCGGACGCTCTTATTAGAGGCGGCGTGCTAGTATGCTAGTATAGGACTGCAATGATCATAGGGTATTATTCTCCGAAATACTGTGTTCGGTCATATTCATATTATTGGGATCTGATGAGGGGTATTTAACATTGTCCACCTGGGCATGTATTCCAATGATTTATGTAATGTGTTGAATGGAGTGAACGAAAATATCAAATGTGAGTATCCAAATCATGCAAGCCAAGCTCTCAGTCCATAAAACCCGATATCAATATCACTCGTAGAGAATCTCCTCATAACGCCTTCGAAATATGGACAGCCATCTTCATCCTGATATGTGTGTGGGTGATTAGCATATCCCTCAACACCAATCAACACCGTTCATGACATTATTAGTAAATCAGCAATTATACCTCGCCCCAAGCACCGGGTCCGGCCCCAACACCAATCGCACTGTTCGTCTCGCTGCCACCAATGTCCCAGTAGTTCCGACTAGATCCTGTCATAGTCCGGCGACTGGAGATGGCCGAGAGCTTAGCGCTCTGGCTAGCACAACTGGAGCTAGGACGGCGAAGATGCTGGCGTAGTAAAGGCGATGAAAGGTTTACCGGAGCTGAGACGCCAGAGTACTGTGAAGCTCGACGCGTCGGCGCTTGGGGCCGAGAATGGGCACGAGCGACAAGAGGATGATGCTGGCGGATCATGGCGGCGCGGCGGGAAGCATCTTGAGGATGCCGAGGGGGAGGAGCGGAGGTATGTTTATCGGAGGACATGTATCCTCGTCGACTGAAGCGCGAACGCAGGTACTTAAAAACCATCATGACGTCAAGACCACGTTCCCAGTATTCCTGTTCTTGCTGAAGACGGGCGGATTCATCGACGATGCCGGGTTCATCATCCTCAATACCCCACTGGGCTTCGTGCTCGCGAGCAGGGTCTTGGAGGGTTGGAAGGAATTGCGGGGACGGGACGGAACCCATAGTGTCCATATTTACGGCTTCTCGCTCGTTTGGCTCAACAGACTTCGACAAGGTCCCTGATTCTGCTAGTCGGCTGAGAGACATCCCCGCGTACTCGTTGGAGATGTCCTTGGTCATTTGATAATAGGTGCTGAATGCACCGGGATGTTCACACAGCTGATTGACCAGCTGTCCCAGTTCATGAGCGATGCGCTGAATGACACGAGATTGCCACATGGGCTGATCTCCCTGCTCTAAATCTGTTTGCCGAGCCAGAACTGTCTCCATATCAGGGTATTCGTCCTTATTCTCTTTGCCTTCCTCCTCCCCAGGGAGAGACTCCCCAAATATGACACTAAGCAGAGCGTCGTCGATCCCAATCAAGTCACGTATCACCTTTCGAGTGATTCGGCGCCAGAAGGACTCATCGGTCGCCGCATCAACCCCTGGCGGAGGAACTGCATCTGACGCTTCGCCAGTTATCCGAGCAGGTGACACATATTCCATAGCACCTGGGAGGCTCGACCGACTGGCTCGACTAGTCCGCCGACGGCGAGTTTCTTTTTCAAGTTCTTGCAGCAACGCACGACTTTGATCCATGCGCCACTGTTCAATACGCTGCCAGCGATCCCTCTCCACGTCTGCTTCTACCTCGTCCACGGTATCCAGATACCGTTGGACACTCGACCGACGGCGATGTTGAGGATAGACATTTGACGGCTGTTGCGGATTAAACTGCTCGTGTTGCCACAGCTGTTCCTGCACCAGTTGGCTAGAAGCCGGGAAGCTGCCCAGACCATCATGCGCGGGAAGGAATGCAAGTGGTGCTTGATCCACTCGTGCGGGGGAAGCGGGAGGAAGCGAAGGCGCCCGGAATTCATGCAGCCCGTCGTCTAAGCTGTCCAGCTCAGTGCCCTCCTCGTCCAGTTGCTCGTCAAGGGCATTATCGTCGTCAACCTCTCCTTCTTCAGGGCCAGCCTGAGATCGAGTTGCGGTACCAAAGGAGCCAAAGTCACTGAGTCGAGATGCACCAGCAGTATGAGTTCGGTCGGTGGAGGTCGTATTAGTATGGGCGGTGGGAGAGAAGAGCACCCATTGTGTCGTTTCGTCTTCTGGTTGCTCAGACGAGGTAGGAGGTATATCGAGAGGTGGAGGGGCTGGAGCGGAGTAAGACGTCCGTCTGCGAGGGGCCTGGGTGGGAAGTCGGAAGGCCATGACTGTACTGATGATCGGGTCCCAGCTAGATGTAGATAAGATGGTCCCCACAGATCAGGTGGATCGGTCCAAATGGGGGCCCGAGTCCACTAGATCAAGCAACAGACAACAGTGAGAGAAAGAAAGCAGGAAACGCTAAGAGAGAGAGAATAGGGGAATAGGGAAGAGAGATAAATCGAGGGCGTCGAGATGATGTGATGATGCGTTGATAACCAGGGGCGATAAGGCGGTGGAGTCCGGGTGCTCTAAGTCGCGGTATCGGACCACAATTGCGAGACGCGGACTAAAACCAGCCCCGACCTGGTCTCTCCTTTAATTTATGACAAAGGGAAGAACAGGGCACTAAGGATATTCAGGACACGTCGAAGGGCGCAGGGGTGTGAGGCCCGAAATAAAAAGGAACTCGTAGGGCTCAGGCGATAAGCCTGATGTGACTGCTCGCGTGTGATTACACCAGCAGGAGTTAGGGGGGGGGGGGGGGGAATAGTGTTGGGTGACTAGTAGCCTGTTCTCGGACTAGGCGGATATGTTAACCTGCTATCTCTACCGGTTTACGGTGTCTACAGGGGTCTGACGTGGAAGTTGTGGCGAGACGGATCGTCCATTTTACCCGTTGCTTTCCAGCCAACTGGAGCCCCAAATAAGGATCGCCGATCGCCCGCTTCCATCCAGATCAATGTACCTTGAAAGGGTTGGGGGCCAAACAACTTTACCGCTAAGTGGGGGTATATGCCTGATATTGGGGGAGGGTAATACAAGTATCTGGCGTGATGCTTGTTGGGTATATACAAATCCCAAAATAGTAGCACTTGAGGGTTCTCAGGTACGGTTCCTGTCGACAAGAGCCAGGATTTCAGAAGTACCCATCACACTACCCACTGAGCGCCTCGCCCACCCAATCCATCTGTACGGCGCTGACACCACGGGCATAGCTGCGGTTCGTAAATACAAACTCGTTATACATGATAGCCTCAACCTTCTTGCCAAATAGCACACTAGAGGGGTGGATCGCGACCGTCTGGTTGCCCACCACCGTCCGGTAGCTTCCGTCGGGAACGAGGCGAGCAGTATTGGTGGCAAACCCAGCAAGGAAGCTCTGCAAAATCAAAACAGGCGACGGATCATGGTGCTGGCCTTCCTGCTCCCCTCGTGGCAGAAGTTTCGCTTGGCGGCACTGGGTGCGTAGTTGTTTTCGCACGTCCTAAACAACGCGAGTTAGTTATGCGGTCACCGACCATAGACCCCGTGCGCCATCAAGAAGAAGGGGGGAAAATTACCATGACTGACTGCATCGCCCGATGAGAAACGAGATGCCGTTCGGCCCACACCTTCCGATCGATATTCTCGCCCGAATAAGCCCGAACTGTCGCGAGCATGGTCAGATGGTCGCCCTCGCGCCGGTAAAGGTCTTTGCGTGCGGCCTCCGCGGCCTCTTTCTTTCTTCCGAAGTAGTATTCAAGAAGATGTTCTCCACGCTGAGGCAAGAGATAATGTCGATCACGTCAAGCAAACACTCGGGTCCATTTTCTGCTGCTGCTAATAAAACTCGTCCAAGAGTTGGTGTTAGTGGTAATTTGGCGATCTGAAGACCAATCGCGCTGATGCGTCCAGATTCCTCAAGGGCTTCAATATTTAAAAGCTGGAGCAAAGCTTTCTCGAGAGCCTCACGGGGAGGTCGGGTCAAGAATGGGAACTGAACAATGTCATCCACCCCTCGCGCCTTCATGTTCAGAAGCGCTTGGCTCAAGTCGCATCTTAAGATTTCTGGGGTATTTGTTTCATCTAGAGTCAAATAATCCTTTCCGGTGTAGAGACGGAAGCATTGACCGGGGGCTTCACGACCGGCGCGACCCTTTCTTTGAATAGCAGCTGATTTAGAGATGGGCTTCACCAGGAGCGAATCAAGGCCAAGCCGAGTACGGAACTGTTTGACTTTCGCTTTACCACAATCCACCACATACCGGACGCCAGACACGGTCACTGAGGTCTCAGCGATGTTGGTTGCTAAAACCACTTTGCGTGTGCGAGGGGGTGCAGGAGCGAAGACCCTTTGCTGGGCGGCCTGGGGTAAAGCAGCGAAGAGCGGCAGCACCTGGATACGAGGCAAAGAAGGATCCATCCCAACGGCGTATTCGTTGACTAGATGCTCTAGGGCCTCTACTGTCTCTTGGCCAGTCAAGAAAACCAGGATATCTCCGGGCATGGGCTCTTTGTAGTGTATTTGGAAAATGACCTTAAGCGCAGCGTCCACGAAATCATGCACGGGCTCTGGCGAATATATGGTTTTCACCGGGAATTGTCGCCCTTTGATATGGCAGACAGCGATATCCCGCTTATCCTTCCCTTCCTTTTCTTCGGTTGGCGGGGCCTTTAGGCTCTTTTTGAAACCCTCCTGGAAAAAGCCCATAAGGCTCTCCATATCTGCAGTAGCACTCATGACGACGACTTTGAGTGGTACACCTCCGCGTCCTTCCAGCTTTCCAGAGACAAGATTGCGTAAGAATCCAACAGTCAGATCGACGTTGATTCCTCGCTCGTGAACTTCATCAACTACAACGGCACTGTATTTGGTCAACCATGGGTCGTGCAACATCTCTTGCAGCAACATGCCCTCCGTCAAGAATTTGACTCTTGTGCTTGGTGATGTCGAGGTATCAAAACGAACGGAATAGCCAACTTTACTTGCAGGAGAAGAGGAGCCTAGTGGAGTCCCCATTTCCTCAGCAACTCGCCGAGCGAGAGAGATTGCGGCCACCCGACGAGGCTGGGTGATTGCAATGCATCCGCCAACAGTCACCGACTTTGACGTCCCATCCTCTTTTTGGACTTTTGCTGGCGTGGGCCGACACCAGAATTCGTTCACCAGGAACTGTGGAATCTGTGTACTTTTACCGCTACCAGTTTCACCAACCAGAAGCATGACATCTTGGTCGCGAAGATTGTTTCGGATTTCCTCGGCATGACCAAAGATAGGGAGCTTTTTCCGCTGCTCGTACAGGAGATTCGCTTTCTCTCTCAGGGAGGTGAAGTTGCTCTTCGTGTCGGTCAGCCCCTTCGGTTTGTACTGGTCCTTGGGCCTCTCGGCATGCTTCGAAACTCGGTCATTTTTGGCTTCGGTTTTCTGAAGAGGGCTTCCTTGCTGCTTCAACACATCAGGCGTAATAGGATTCGAAGGGGTGGGGGATGCCTCGGCTAATTGCGTAGGTTCGTTGTTCGGTAGCGGTTGGGCTTCGGTAGCAGGCTCGTCGCGCTTCCGTTTCTTGTTCCGCTTCTTCTTCCGACCAGCCTCTTCAAAGGCAGGGGGACCCGGGAGGGTCTGTACAGGTTTTGGAGGCGCTACTTCATCACCCGAGTCCCCAAAGTGGGTATGTACCTTCTCCGGCATGATGGATGCAGCGACAACAGGTAAAACGACCGCGACGCTTCACGCCGCAAATTTTCTCTTATCACGATAGCGATAAGGAGATAAGATAACAAGATATTATCCGCTCACCTTTCCGACAAAGTCAACTATAAGCGAACAGAATGAAGCTATTAACATCATGGTTCTTTTGATTTGTTGAATTTGTAAAGAAAAAGAAATTCCAGAGTACTAGTTGGCGACATCGGAGGGGGAGTTCAATATCTCAGCTCGCTTATCTTGATCATTCTATGCAGCGTCGAAACAGGGATATCGCAGGAGATTCACCCTGGATATAGGATTGCAAACTTGCCAGTACCGACGGAAGGTATCAATCCAATGAGCAAGGCGTCAGGCCTAGACCCTCAGTGTTCCTTTTCCGGCCCTGCTGTGCGAAACGCCCAGGCGTCGTATCTTTGAGAAAGCGAGCTGAACGATCTGGCTGCCATAGGTTTGTAATACTTGCTCTGATATACTTGGCAATTCACACTATCGAATGCCCCAGAAAGATACCATCGCTACTCCCATTATTGATTCAATGCACGTCTGTGTTTCCCTCGTGAAGCATTTTGACGGCTAAGCGGAACCCACATGAGCCCATGTAATCTCGTGGACGAACAGTCGATCTATCACAAACCTCTGCAAGCCCAATCACCAGTCTCCGGTCGCATCGAAGGCTCAACCGCGAAGCCAAAAATCGATAGACTCTGGACTGGTGCCGATCACGGAAGTGTGCCTGCGCCGTTGCATCACTGGCCTACAATCTGCGCCGATTCAGTGGGGCTCAACTAAAGCGCATCGATCGATCGTTTATTCTCGCTGTGTACCCTGGGATATTCGCCTCATGATGAATTGAGCCTTTCTTTGTCGACGGCTTGCGATGTTTTCTCCAGTCTTGATCGAACTGTTGGCTTGACTGATCAGTTGATGGATCACTCCTTGGCCCGTCCCATTTGCAGAACTTGTTAGAACTATTAAAGACGAGACAGCGATTTCTTCAGCTTACAATGTTTCTAGCTATTCGATCACAAAAAATCAACTATGCCTCACACAGAACTGCATCTTAGATCAGCCAGCCGCGATACGGAGTCGCTCCATTCATTTACATCGACTCTGCCGGACGAGTATCACGATCGGGTGTCTGAGCCCGGAAGGACATCAAGGTGAGCTATCAGAACCGAATGCTCGAAAATGATCCCGGCTGACGTATGTTGAAAACCAAGGAATGATCAATTCCTGAGACGGTTTTCCCCAGCCACCAAGCCGCGCAGGCAAGAATCTCGACGCGATTGAAGAGGAAGCAGATCATCCCACACCGAGAGAATCGCTCAAAAACATGCATCACAATGTAACCACAAACCAATTGCCTCTGCTCCAACAACTGAACCCATACGAGGGGGCAGAGGAGTTCAATCCAGTGAACGAGGATGGCGCATCATACGATCTAATTGCACCGTTCGAGGAAGGTCATGAAGCACCTCTACACAAGCTCGAGCGTTTATCCGACTTGATGTTTGGACGAGAGCACATGCTCGCCATCCTCAACAACCCTCGGTACCTAGCTCAATTTCGAGAATTCTTGCTCGAAGAACGACCGCGCTCAGTAGCAACGCTCACCTACTACCTCAACGCTGTCAAGGCTCTCAAGGCGCTCGAATTCGCCAATGCGCTTGTACGTTTATCGGTCAACGTGCCTCCTCCAGCTGTCCAAGCAGTACAAAGGGAAAATGCAGCGGTTGGAAACACAACGAACAAAATCCTGGAGCAAAGAGCTGAAGATGGACTCAACGCATTGACAGCCGAAGAGCTTCCGGCCTTCATAACGTCGCGCTGCATCACCATCACAAGCAAGATCGTGCAAGAGCGCGTTCGTGGAACACTACCAATGAAGTTTCGCGAAACCTCCAATGCGCTGGCAGAAGTGTTCTGTTTAACCGATCCGTCGCGGCCGGATAATCCAATTATTTTTGCATCTGAAGGTTTGTGATGGTACTTGAGTCAGCCTTTCGCCTAAGCTGACATGAATAGAATTCCACCGCACAACCCAATACGGCATGGACTACGTCCTTGGTCGTAATTGTCGGTTTCTTCAAGGACCCAAGACGAGCTCGAACAGCGTTCGCCGTATCAGACAAGCCATCCATGAATGCCGGCATCACTCAGAGATTTTCCTAAACTAGTATGTATTGAATGCTAAAAACTTTACCTGTACAGCCCTCACACCCTTAGTCGTCGTGACGGATCACCATTCATGAACCTCCTTCAGTGTTCACCTCTATGCGACAGTCAAGGAAAGGTCAAATATTTCATTGGTGCTCAGATCGACGTATCAGGCCTGGCTCTTGATGGAGCACAGATGGAATCCCTTATCGAATTGCAGTCGCGATATCATGATCCGGGAGTTGAGAGTGTGGCGCAATTACGGCAGTCGAAACAAAAAGACGAATTCGAAGAGCTCTGTGAGCGTTTCAGTCCTCGTGAACTGGAAACGGTGCAAGATCATGGCGGTGATCTCTTCCAGCCTATCAGCAATAGGGCAACAAACTTCTCTCGCAGAGCATGGCTACAGCGCGAAACTTCTGTAGACAGCGAAGCAGAAGCTATCCGGCTGCAAGATATGAAAATGCCCTTAGGGCGAGGGCGACTTCTCGGCGTCTATGAAAATGTTTGTTTCTTCGAATATCTTCTCACCCTTGGCTTTTCCGTATATGCTGATACGTTCCAGTACCTTCTTGTCCGCCCCTACCCATCACTCCGTGTTCTATTTACATCGCCCTCTCTTCAGATCCCCGGGATGCTGCAGTCCTCATTCCTCTCTAGGATAGGTAGCTCATCTGCGGTCAAGGATGAGCTCTTACAGGCCATGATGCACGGTCGTAGTGTCACTGCGCGAGTGAGATGGGTTACCCGCTTCAATAGCGAGGGTCGCAACCGCTGGGTCCATTGCACGCCATTGAATGCTAACAATGGGCAGGTAGGAGTATGGATGATTGTGATTGTGGACGATGATGAGGGGCAAATCGTCGGCTGGAGAAATTAGGTGCCAAAGAACGCTATTTAGAATAAGCTTCATACATAAAGTGTTCCTATCGTTCATGCATACTGTGATTTGAGCCAAACATGAAGCTCGTTCTAGTACTATTGTGCTACTAATACTAGTGGCCAAAGTAGCAAATTGACTTCAAGTTCCCCAGCAATGCCGAGGTAGGTTTTATATCCCCCATCCATCGACTCTTACTAAAACTCCTGGCCCTCACTATTTGGAACCAGTAATTGGGCCAACCTACATAGTACGATCCTTTCTGGTTACGCCAAATGAGCCCCAAGTGCGACGACGAATAATTAGTATGCAAGTGTCGCCACTAGAAGCCAAGGATGAGCAACCTAGAATGGAACGCACAGAGTTATCAATGAAAATCAAATGTATTTATTCAACAAGCTGTAGATTTCTTCTATATTCATTATATGTTTCCAAACTTTCTGCTCATAAATCATTATGTTCAATCTAGGCCCCATCCTCTTACGCGACGGAAAACAAATGGCCTGTCATTGCGAAGACCGAATGCTCCCCAGTCGTCAGTAAGCTTATTATAACTCCAGAAACCTCGCCACACAAGCTTCGTGTTCTTCGAGGGGTTCGCGCGTGTTTTGGCGGAGCTTGGGGACCGCAATGCAAGATGCATGTGGTATACGTATTTGGGGTCAACTCCCTCCGTCTCTATGACTAGGTCTCGCAAATCAGGATATTCCTCGGTTTCGTTGGAGTTTTGCTGCTGATTCGGGCCTGATTCCGCTCTTTCGTCCTCGGGGCGCTTTCTGGGAAAGGGTGGGGTAAGATGCCAGCGGCCACGGAAGCCATACTTCAGCGCATTCATTGCAACTGGGGGCACAGCATCGGTTGCACCGGAGATAGAGTGACCAGGGTCTTCTACGCGACGTTGTAGCTGTTTGTGGGATGCTGCCCGGGCAGCCATCATGTTCTCTGTGCTGATGTGTGGGACCACGTCCATAGGCTCGGTGGTTGTAAGTAAAGACACCAGTGATCCGTCAGGATAGAACCTCAAATAGCGATAGTACGTCACGATATGGATTGGGCTGCTCCAATTCAGGTTGTGGAAGCCAGACTGTGCACCCGGACGCGAATAATTGACCGTGCTAATGTAGATGCCGGTGAAACGTATACGAGGATACGACTCGAACACCTGGCTCCAGGAAGAGAATGGCATGGGAACCTCCAGAGGCACACCATATGGGAAAGGAGTATATCTTTCTTGAAGAGTGTGGATTGGGTGCCCGTGAAGGTCGCAAGCGAACTCATAGTGCATACTTCCGAAGCCAAACTTGGAGCCCTGACAAACTTCCTTCCATATCTGCTGCTCATGCGCAAAATGGTACGCAAGATTCTTGCATACGAGTGCCGTTCGACCAAAGTTTGCCGGATCGCGCAGTGCAACATGCCGCAATATCTCAGAAATCACCTCGGAGGGGACCTTGGAAATCGGGCAAGGGGGCGGTGGCGTATCTTCGACCAGCGGTTCGGCCTGGGGTATGGGCAGGTGGGCAAATGAAGCTAGAAGTTCTGGAGTGGGAAGCATCTCTCCTGCTTTGTCGGCCGGCGCCGTCGCATGTGTGGTCTCTGAATTCACAGATGCAGCAGGCTGGGCGGTCTTCTTCCATACATGAGCGAAGTGCTTATCCCGATAAGTCTTATCGACACTAGCATCCAGCTGGACCATGAGCGTTAGTCTAGTAATACAAATCATATTTAGACGAGCCTAAGCTTACCCGATAAGCCTTCCGGTAGTGCGTCAGACTATCCCCGAGGCTACCGGCGGCCTCCTTCTCGACAGCCCGCTCAAAGTGCTCCAAGGCTGATTTTGGTTCCTGCACGGTCCGTCTAGTGAATCCATCATCTTCGTGTTCTGCCTCTGGTTGGATACTCAGCTCCCCGACTTGATGCGCCAGGTCTTCTGGGTCGAAGGAGACCGGGGGTGGCCCCTCATCTTCAAGGTCCTCGCGGTGTGATGCTTCGTGCTGGGAAGGCGGCACACGCCCCGAGGGGACAGCTTCTGTGGTCGGAGGGGTAGGTCTAGGCTTCGATCGACGGGCAACCTCCTCGCGCCACTCGCGGCGGAACGATTCGAGCTCTGCGTTGTCTGCCATGGTGAATGGGGATAGGATGAGCTGTCCGGTGTCGGAGACCGATCAAGATTGATAACCCCACTGAGGGGTCCCACTGGGGGCGAAAGACGCAGGGGGGGAGTAGATGAGAAAACTATAAGATAACCCCAGACGCCATTAGATCTCCAGAGTCAGTAGATCCGAGTCAATTTGCGGTGTTGTGGTGGTAAGAAAGATCCAAATCCAGCGTCCCGGCTGCTTATCTCCGCCGTCCGCCACCACCCGAAACCCCGAAAATTATCAAGATTTCCCGGTGACGCAGCTCTCTCGTCCACACCTCTTGTCCATCCCCCATTCCCTTCCAGCCTCTTTCTTTCTCTATTCTTTGGTCGAATGCCCACCGACCGAGCCTTATCTGAAACCTCAACCACTCCATTCGCTACAGAGAGCGAATTTATCAGCGACTCGGACTCCTCCTTGGAGGCGTCATGGAAATCCAACCTTGAGGACTCTACACTGATGGCGGCTCCAGCAGCATCGGGCCATGTCCCGGCTGTTGACGCCGACCCCACGGCCGAGAACATAACAGTCGGACAGCGCATGATATCAGCGACCGCGGGGAATATCTTCACCGGCCTACTTGGTGAGTCAAGTTGACAGCCGGGTCCTCCAAAATGAAGCTGCATACTGACCCCCGATCCTAGTTACACCTCTTGATGTTGTGCGCGTTCGTTTACAGTCACAGAATCAATTCACCAACCTATCCCCATATGTCTCCCATACAACAGGAAGCCTGAAGAATCTACCGAAGAACCTTGGAATCACCGCCTGCTGCCGAGAGGTATTTTGGGTCGGAGACAATGCGCAAATGTGTATGGTAGGGTCGCAGGCTACTATGGTCTCAAGCCAGGCGCATCCGGCCCTGGATTGCGCCGTGGAAGAAACCCAGCGACGGACCTTCACCTCGACGCTGGATGGACTGCGGAAGATTGCCCGGAATGAAGGTTTCCTCACGCTGTGGCGAGGGCTCAGTGCGACTCTTATGATGGGCATCCCAGCAAACATTATCTACTTCGCCGGATATGACTGGCTACGGACGGATGACCGCAGCCCAATCAGCGCTTTTGTCTCCGACACATACGCTCCGTTTGTAGCAGGCGCCGTCGCCCGGACAGCTGCGGCCTCCGCAACCAGTCCCGTCGAGATGTTCCGCACGCGCCTCCAGGCCACCCCAGGCACCGGCGCGGGCCATTTCAAGAACACTTTGAGCGACCTCCACCAGATGACTCAAGTAAGGGGCTATGCTTCACTCTGGCGCGGTTTGTCCCTGACTATGTGGCGCGATGTTCCCTTCTCCGGTCTATACTGGTGGGGATATGAAAAGGTCAAGGAAGGTCTGGAGTCAGCGCGTCGAAACGCGCCGCATAATCCTGCTTCCGACCGAGTCACCCCTTCCACAGCCACTGCTTTCCTTGACAGCTTCGTTGCTGGTGCCACTTCAGGGTCAGTCGCGGCTCTAGTCACTACACCTTTCGATGTTGGAAAGACCCGACAGCAGGTCTACCGGCATATGGATGAAATCATCCCTTCCTCCTCCTCAAATCAAGCTCCCCGCCTTCCAAAGACCGTTGTCCCGGAGCAGCTGTCTCTTCCGAAGTTCCTCATGCATATTTATCGAGAAGAAGGAGCAGCTGGACTCTTCCGAGGCTGGTCAGCACGCTGCCTCAAAGTCGCACCGGCGTGTGCGATCATGATCTCGACATATGAGCTTGGAAAGCGCATGGCACGAGAGGTCAACGAGCGGCGACATACCGATAATTCGTGATGACTTCTTGTCCTCCTGTACTATTAATGCATCCTATGTCTTTTTGATGGTCGCCTTGTTCCTCCTCCCCTCTATTCTTGTCTTACGTTGCGTGGTTCCTTGGATATTCGAATTTCCTGATCTTGCATGAGCCTAATCATAGAGAGTGCATCGGTGTTTCTGTTTTGAGTCCGTTTTTGGGTACATCTGGACTGGGTCTCTAGAACCAAAAGCAACCTCACTGTACATAATACAAAACTCCCCGACGAATCTCTTCTTTCACATAAGTGCGATTTTAAGACATTACCTTTTTTTTGTGTCCCGAGTGGCTTTGACTCCTGATCGGCAGGCGAACCCGGTTTGGGGGCCACCCGGCACGCGCCCTGTGCAGATGATCGTTTCTGAGGCTAAAAAGCCCCCCAAATCCCCCCCAAATTTAATATGGCCCCCATGCCCGCGCGCTCTCCGCGCTGCGCGTCATTTTCCAGCTCATTATTCACTGGTGCGGAGAGCCTCAACCATGTCTACGCGACCGACAACAGCACCGTCACGTTCGGCGTGGTTCGAGCGTATAGAAGCGGCGCCGAAGACAGATGTGGAGTATGTGCAAAGACCACCTTTTTTGACCTACAGATAGAGCGTCTAACGGAGCTCCAGTATTGTTGCAATCCCGCCTATTGGCGCCCATCACGAGAAGATATGGATGCAGCGTAAAGAAGAGCCATCATGGCTTCGGGTTGAAGTCTTGAAGTTTATGCCCCAGGCACGTGTGCTGCTGTACAACCATGGCCCGGTGCACGACCATGATAATCTTGAAACCCTAGGTGCGCGGCTCTTGAAAACACTTCTCAATGAGCGCAAGAACGAGAGTAGTCGGCGGCCTCTCTTCTTCGTCTGTCATAGTACAGGCGGCCTCGTGGCGAAGTCTTGTTTGGTTCAGGCGTCGCGGGCCGACCCGAACGAGGCCGTCTACACCAGCTGCTATGGCATCGCGTTTCTTGCAACGCCCCATCAGGGTTCCAGTTACTTGTCGGCGGAAGAGTATGGACCGAGTATCACTCAGCTATTTCATCTTGAACAGGAGATTCCTTGTTCTTTGAGAGACCAGCTTCGTCCGCGGCAGGATAAGCTGCGGTATTTAACAAATCAGTTCAAAGCTATCTCGTCCGATATGAGGGTCTGGTCTTTTCTGGAGACCGTTGACTCGGTCTTGACGGTGACAGACCCCGAGTTTGGGTCCCTAATCGAGTTCCATGCTCCTATAACTTCGATCAAATCCGGGCTTCTGGATATCGAGCACGAGAACGAAGTCCCGATGGCCACAGATCATGTGGGAACAGCAAGTTTCCAGGGGCAAGAATCCTTTCGGAATAATTTCTTGCAAGATCTCACGGCTTCTGCGCTGAAAGCTGTCGAGTTGTCGGAGCGTACGGACACGTATCTGAATGTTGACCAGGAGGTGATAATCCAAATCAATGGTTTTTTCGAGGATACGGCCCTAGGTGTCAGCGACGAGAGCCCTTTGAAATTATGGTCCACCCGAGTAACCCTGGATAAGTATCTTGGTAGCGGACCTAAAGCATGTCTCAAAGAACGTCTGAAGCGCGTACAACCGGGGGGGGGCTTGATGATTCCTCCGTAAGCAGCTTTGATAGTCGACATTCATTTCCTATCGTCATTTCGGGGCCTGACCAGCATCAACATCACGATTTCGATTACGAGAAGGATCCCAGGCTATCCAGGCCTTCCTTGCGGGAGAACCCCAACTTCACAGTGAATGGTCCACACTCGCCACAAATCCATGTCACTGAAGCTGCTAGGGACGACTATTTTGCTCGACCATCAAGCGAGAGCCCTCCACCACCTGTGGAAAGGAGACGCAAGAAGTCCATTGCGAAGGTCTTGGGACTGGCATCGCGTTCGCATAAACGTAACGCTTCCGATACCGGCTCAGAGGGTAGTTCACGTCCTCCATCGTAAGCCTTCTCTTGACGCCGGCGCACATTCCATTATTAACCTCTGACTAGGGATAGTCTATCTCCTCCGAGACTCTCTGGCTTCTTGTCAATTCCAGCCTCTACGAGAGATCGAATTAACCAATTTGCCGAGGCGCCCGATGTTCCTCGACCAGCGCCTCGGTTTGATCATCCAGAGCCTGGGACAGAGAAATTACTGTGGATCCATGTTCCCTACACCCATACTGCATGGGTTTCACAGGTTCTTCGGCGAGCATGCTATGATCGCCACGATACAGACTTGTCAGTATGGTTGTTCTTCTTGGGTTGTATAGCGCTAACAGGGTCGTTAAGCATGGCCAAGTTTATCAACCAGGAACATTGGTACGGGAATCTCATTCGAGCTCGACATTTGGAACCGCATGCTCGCTATGTTCGCCCGCAGTGTATTCACTCCCGTCAGCTGGATATTTCGCAAGGGACACATGAGGTAATGCCAGAGGATCCTCGCATGGCTCTTTATGTGAGTATATTCTCAATGATCTCGATCACACCCGTTAGCTAACTTTGCTGTCTTAGGTTCCATATGTACGTCTATGAAAAGTTGTTCCCGTACTCACCACTAATACTATGTCTAGTTACATTGGGATACATACCGCAATGTCATTCAGCGACGCAAAGTCGTCGAAGATCGACTTCGGCAAGGCCGATCTAGACCGGTGCCCAACCGGATCGCCAAGTCCAGCCTTGAAGCTCAACTCATCTGGGAGTATCTAGGTAGCGAGCCTCCTATTCATTTCAGACGTACGCTGGACCAATTTGGTTATCCCAACTTGCGATCAACTGTTGCGCGTGACGATGACCAGATGCTCTGGAAGCGGACCCGCAGACCAGCTCGGCTAGACGACCAATTGCGAGAGTACCTGGAAGCCGCCAACGATGATCCAGACGGAGAAGAAGAGCCCACTGAGTTCATGGATGGCAATGTTCTCATGGTGGACCAGCTCTGGCTATGGATTGTGGACCAGAAGACCGTTGTGACCTTCTTCCCCAACCAAGAGGCCACTACGTCCGAAGGTAAACTGTTTGAGCAGTCAAATCTGTTTAGTAGTGTCTATAATGAGCTGAATGGTGACTTGGCTCGCCGCTTTGAAACAGCGGGTGATCTTGCGGCGCTCATCATGTTGCATGCGGTTTCGGTTCTTCTCGACAAGACTCTTCACCATGATCTGCAGGTTCTCCGGATCTTCGAAGAATCTATCAGTATCCTAGTATGTGCAGCGACGAATACTCCTTTGTCCCCGTACTAACTCTCCAGACTGAATATGTGACCAAGTCATTCAAGCGTTTCCGCAATCGCGGATTCGCCAATAGTCCAACCGATGTCGACAGGACCCTCGACGGGAAATTAATGACCGCAGCTCAGCGCGAGCAGCGTGAACGGCACGTCGCAAGAATGAACCGTGATGACCTGTCTGTCATGCTGGAATTGCGAGACATTGAGGATGAAATATCAACCATTATGAAGCTTCTTGAGCAACAGGACGCTGTCCTCAAAAGTATGATGAAGCACTTCGTTGAACAGGGCTTCGGGAAGGTATTCCTGGATTCGGCCCAGCTCAGGATTGATGAATATCGTAATCAGCTCAGTGATATGAAAGAGAACAGCCACGTCGCCCAGAAGGCCGTGAGTAAAACTGGTGTGCGCTTATGTGATTCGGCTGACAAAAGCTCCAGGTGGAAACTCTTCTTGATCTGAAGCAAAAACAAGCAAATGTTGACGAGGCCAAGATGGCCAGATGGGAAGCAGAGGAGACACAAAACCAAGGTCGATCTTTGATGGTGTTCACCATTTTCACTGTTATGTGAGTGAGCTCAGCGCAGGACAGAAATCTGTTCAAGCAGAGTAGCTAAACATGCCAGATTCTTGCCACTGTCATTTTTCACATCCCTCTTTGGAATTAACGCTCGAGAGTGGAGCGGGGAGCCCACAAACCCAACTTTGGGCACTATGTTTGAGATTGCCGGTAAGTTCTCTGATGACGAGTCTAAAAAGAAGCAGCCGTTCTTACTGACTCTGTCTGAGCTCCGTCCTCATTTGCAATCATTGCGGTTGCTCTCCTACTTGCCTTCAGCGAGACATTGCGTGAAGGAGTGCTCAAATCACAAAAGATTGGGTCTGGTCTCCTGAAAGAATTTTGCCTTGATCCAATTGGACGCAGTTTGAAGCTGAAATCCGTCAAGGATCGGATTCCGTCGTCGGTGGTCCCTGAGGACTCGAAAATGCGTGAGCGGTTCGACAGGTATTTGGGATACCAGAGTCATCGTGAGAGATTTGAGGAGGATTTCTGGAAGCGGCGAGATTGGAAACAAAGCCCTGCCATGGATATCGGACATCATAAACAACTTGGTCCCAAGCTAGACAGTGAGGAATTGCTGGTGAAATTGCAGAAGAGCGAATACGTTGTTTAAACAGCTTGGAGGTGACGTTTATTCCAGTGATTTCCAGTTATCTTGGATAGTGAACCTGGATGGGGCTTTATCAATGGGATTGAAGGACGGCTGGTGATACCTACTAGGTACAGCAGCGTTCAATCGGCATTTGCACTGCATCTACGATTAGTACTGCCAGTGATCGAAAGTGACTTGCAAATACAGTAGATTTAACTTATATCGCACAGCCTCTGTACGAATCTGGCTTGTCTCAACTCCTTCCTATTAAGGGCAACTTCAAAGGCTTCAGGAGCTCGGTAAAGAAAATTTGGTATCTGTGAGAGCGACAATAAAGAAGCATGAATGTATCAACATACATAGGATCCAGGCCCCGTGAAATACACGATAATATAACGGTTCTCTGGCATACACCCCGGGGTAACAGAAAATAAATTGTCTGGTAGTGACAGTAGGACAAAAAAGTTCGGGATAATATGCATGTACTTTATCCCTTACGCAGGTCAATTTATTATCTCCAATGTCTCTGTCATTGGTGATTTTGAAGAGGGCGATGACAGCTTCATGGCCGAAGTCTTCAATATGGTCTCCATCATTTGATTTGGTTGCAGCGGTTTGGAGACGTAGTCATCCATGCCAGCCTCGAGGCACTTCTCACGATCGCCCAGCATAGCATGTGCGGTAAGTGCAACGATCGGAGTACGAGGTAAGCTTTGCATCTTCTCAATCTGACGGATCCTCCCTGTTGCCTTAAAGCCGCCCATCACGGGCATTTGAACGTCCATGAGGATGACGTCGTATTGGCCATTCTCGAACTCTTTCAGAGCTTGTTGGCCGTTGCCCACTACAGTGACGATGTGCTTGGCTTTTTCGAGGATGCGAACCGCTACTTTCACATTGACTTCGTTATCTTCGGCGAGTAAAATAGACAGCGGACGCGTATCGCCGGAGTGAGCAAACTCGGTGCGATTTCCGAGGGCAATAAGGACTCCATTCCACAGATCGATGGGGCGGCATGGAATGGCAACATAAGAGGTGATACCAAGAGCAGTGGTAGTTTTCAGCGCTATCGATATGCGGCGCGCAGTAATGACCATAGGTATGGCTGAGAAGTTTTCACAGGCACGCAGAGCAACTGCCGTGTCTATACTCGAAACTAGTATCGCGCCCAACTTCATGTCCTTTTGCGCTTTGAACTGGCCTGTAAGAATCTGCTTGGCGGGAATTGTGATCGACTGCAGTCCAAGTTCATGCAACATCTGTAAGGTAAATCTCTCTGTCTCGGGGTCATCGCTAATCACCAAGAATCGGCGTCCACGATGGGGCATGACCTGTTCAAAAAGAGCTGCCGGCGGTTCGCCGATCTTTAGTTTGCAGGTAAAGGCAAATGTACTGCCCTTTCCTGGGTTAGACTTGACCCATATGTCTCCGCCCATCAAGGAGACAAGTCGTTTGGAAATGGCGAGTCCTAGGCCGGTCCCTCCGAAGCGGCGGGTCATGGACCCATCTGCTTGTTGGAACTTGTCGAATATGAGGCTTAATTTACTCTCTTCAATCCCAATTCCTGAGTCGGTAACCGAGAATTCAAATGTTGCATCAGTTGGGCAAGATTTGTCCTCGATGTGCTTGATGGAGACGCGGATCTCTCCATGATCTGTGAATTTGATCGCATTTCCGATCAAGTTCATCATGACTTGGCGAATTCGATAGGCATCGCCCATAAGGTAGTCGGGTACATTCCCATCAACAGTGTATATCAAACTTAGGGCCTTCTCCGCAGCTTGGATGTCGAAAGCTTTCAATACGTTGAATACAGTACTGCTCAGACTGAAAGCGGTCTTCTCAATGATCATATGGTTGGCTTCAATCTTGGAAATGTCGAGTATGTCATCAATAATTGTTAGAAGACTGAATGCTAGGCTGTGAACCATGCTTAATGTGTCGCGAATAGATGCTGGAAGGTCGTCGGTATCCAATGCAAGACTGGTGAGGCCAATGATACCATTCATTGGGGTTCGGATCTCATGACTAGAACTTTTGTTAGCGTAGTCATTAACATTTCATATGTGTATGAATTTACCTTGTATTGGCGAGGAACTCGGACTTGCTGCGGTTCGCCAACTCTGCGGCCTCTCGGGCCGCCGTATTGCGTTGGATACTTTCTCGCAGACTGGAGATCATCTTATTGATCTTCTGTTTGAGATCGTCCATTTCACCAGATGCCGAGACAGTAATCAGGGAAGTAAAGTCACCGCTCATCGCCGCTTCTGTCATCTCCCCGAAGGCCCTCACTTGGGATGTCAGGTTGTCTGCCATAGTGTTGACATCTTCACTGATTGAGCGCCAAATGCCGAGGAAGCCTTCTACATGCGCCTGGCCGCCGAGCTGTCCTCGAACACCTACATCTCTTGCCACACTTTTCACACCTGTCGCAAACTGCTTAAGTCCATCGACCATGCTATTAATGGTCTCTTTGAGCGTCAAGATCTCGCCTTGCGCATGGACTTCGATCTTCGTACTCAAGTCGCCACGAGCAATCGCTTGTGTCACGTTTGAAATCTGACGAACTTGCATGGTCAAGTTCTGGGCCATGGTATTCACGTTGTCCGTCAGATTTCGCCATTGTCCTTCGACATTTTCGACCTGCGCCTGTCCGCCCAGGGTACCATTGGTGCCCACTTCGCGAGCGACTCGGTTCACTTCGGAGGCGAATTGATTCAGACGGTCGACCATAGCATTGATCGTGAGTTTGAGATCCAATATCTCTCCCTTGACGTCCGCGGTCACTTTCAGCCCGAGATCACCGCGCGCCACAGCGGTCGTAACGTTGGCAATCTCGCGGACTTGTTGCGTCAGGTTGGATGCCATCAAGTTCACGTTCTCAGTCAAGTTCTTCCATGTGCCTTCCACGCCATGGACAACCGCTTGACCACCAAGGGTACCATCAGAACCCACCTCCCGGGCAACACGGCTCACTTCATTGGCAAACTCGCGGAGTTGGTCAACCATGGAGTTGATGATGGTCTTCAACACTAGAATCTCTCCCTTGCAGTCGGCTTGCACTTTGCGAGTCAAATCACCCTTCGCCACCGCAGTCGTCACAGTCGTAATATCCCGGACTTGGGTTGTCAGGTTATTGGCCATCGCGTTGACATTTACCGTCAACTCGGCCCAGATTCCCTGAATGCCCTCGATCTGCGCCTGGCCCCCCCAGCACCCCGTCCGTACCGACCTCCCGAGCTACCTTGGAGACTTCCTGGCTAAAGACCTGAAGCTGGTCCATCATCGTATTGATCGTCAACTTGAAGGTCGCAATATCGGGAGACATCTCCAGCGGATGCATCCGCGCGCGCTGCGAAAGATCTCCATGGGCAACCTGGGTAATCAGTTCCCCGATCTCCCGCAACTCCTTCTGAAACGCCTCGTTGATATGCGTATGTTTCCGCAGCTCCTTGCGCAGCTGCGAGCACTCGCGGTCAATCTCCGCAATCGATGAATGGGACTCGCGGCATTGAATCAGCTCCTCCACAATCTGAGCCAGGAACTCTCTGGGGATCGACACGTCTTTGCTCTGCGAATGTTGCAGGGCAGCGCGGGCCTGGAACAGGTCGACATCGGCAGCGCGGCCCATTTCGATCTCCATGGCTGAGAGTGTGGTGGCCAGCCGAGCCTGCTGCTGAGAAGCCGATTTCACAGCCGGTTCGATATGGAGGAAAGTGGGTCGGTAGTTTCTGGAGGTTTGGGGTTTCGACTACTGAGAGAACAGCAGAGCCGAGCAAAAAAGTGCGTCTACATTACCTAGGAAGGCAGAATCGTGGGCGTTTCCCCAGGGTTCTATTGAAGATGGTAAGTTCTTCAAGAGGAAAACAAGGTTTTAGAGGGGGACACGGGTGGGTGGCACGAGAAGAAAAGCCCGGACGGTGGGTCTAGCCTGATCTCGACAGCCCAAATTTACCTCCCGTCAAAACGTCCTAATAGCCGACCCAGGCGACCAACCAAAAGCGCCAACGGATGTGTCAAATTGTGAGCAGTCAGCCGAGTGGGCCGAATCAGGAATGCCGAGCAGCAACCGGATTTCTACCCCGGGCTATTATTGCCTTGAGTCGACTGCCGAGGCAGCGGGGAATGTTCAGGGAATGTGGAGTGTTTGGTGGCTCTCGAGGCTGTCGAGGCTGTCGAGGTTGTTGCTTCCGTGGCTTGCTGGCTTGCTGGAGAATTGGAGGCTTGAAACCTTATGACCTTCGTCTTTGTTTCACGAAAGAAACCAGCGTTGGCTGGATTTACACGTGCTGATCGACGGTGGATCCTTGGTCCACTTTGTAGTCGATCAGGTCACCATGCCGAATGCTTAATCCTCTTTGCAGCTATTTCCGCTCTACGCTTCCAAAGCCCCATTGGCATCAACTTGAATGCATTAGAACCACATAAATGGAGAGTTATGATACAGGTATTGCGCCGGAACCTTTTTCGAGCCCCAGGAAGAGTGGAGATAAAAAGAAAACACAGGGGGGGAAAAAAATACAGGTATAGGAAGGAACACCAAGACATTACAACAATTCCAGGGCCGATGAGGATCCACCGGCGATGCAAGATACGAGTAAATCGTCACAGAGCTTCAGAGTGAGGCATCTAGAACATGCCACCGCCCATACCGCCCATACCACCCATGCCGCCCATGCCACCAGCGGGAGCAGGGCCCTTCTCCTCAGGAGCCTCAACGATAGCGACCTCGGTGGTACCGAGCAGAGAAGAGACACCGCTAGCGTCAACCAGGGCAGTGCGGACAACCTTGAGGGGGTCGACGATACCGCTGGCAATCATATCAACGTACTCGCCCTTGCTGCTGTCGAAACCACGGTTGAAGTCCTTGGCGTACTCGTCAGTCAGCTTGCCGACAATAACGCTGCCCTCAAGACCGGCGTTCTCAACGATGGTGCGAGCAGGACGGGTGATGGCGCTCTTGATGATGCTGACACCGAGCTGCTGGTCGAAGTTGGCGGGCTTGACGTTCTCGAGACCATTAGCGGCGGCCTTCAGGAGGGCGGTACCACCACCGGGAAGGATACCCTGCTCAACAGCGGCGCGGGTAGCATTAAGGGCATCAACAACGCGGTCCTTCTTCTCACCGACCTCAACCTCGGAGGCACCGCCAACCTTGATGACGGCGACACCGCCAGAGAGCTTGGCAAGACGCTCTTGGAGCTTCTCCTTCTCATACTCGGAGGTAGTGGGGTCGGCCATGACACCGCGGATCTGCTCGCAACGCTGGGCAATGGCGTCCTTGCTTCCCTCGCCGTTGAGGATGATGGTATCCTCCTTGGTGATGGTGATGGAGCCAGTGGATCCAAGCATGTCAGGGGTGAGCTTCTCAAGCTTAATGTCAAGCTCGTCAGTGAAGACGGTACCCTGGGTCAGGACAGCCAAGTCACCCAAGATGCTCTTGCGGTTGTCACCGAAGCCAGGGGCCTTGACGGCGGCGACCTGGAGCTGACCACGGAGCTTGTTCAAGATGCAGACAGCGAGAGCCTCGCCATCGATATCCTCAGCAATGATGACAAGAGGACGACGGAGGGTGGTGGATGCCTCCAGGGCGGGGATGATGTCCTGGACAGCGGAGATCTTCTTCTCAGAGAGCAGAATCAAAGGCTTCTCAAACTCGACCTTCTGGGACTTGGCGTCGGTGATAAAGTAAGGAGAGGTGTAGCCACGGTCGAAACGCATACCCTCAGTGACCTCGAGCTCGTCCTCCAGGGTCTTGCCCTCCTTGACGGTGATGACACCCTCCTTGCCGACGCGCTCCATGGCGGTAGAAATCAGCTTGCCGACGTGGGTGTCGCCGTTGCCGGAGATGGTAGCGACCTGGGCGATCTCCTCGCCGGTGGTGATGGGGCGCTTGTTCTGCTCCAGGTACTCCACAACAGCCTCAACAGCAGACTGGATACCACGGCGCAGATCCATGGGGTTGCAGCCAGCGGCGACGTTCTTGACAGTCTCGGAGAAGATGGCGCGGGCAAGGACAGTAGCGGTAGTGGTACCGTCACCAGCCAGTTCGTTGGTCTTGGAAGCGACATCCTGGAGCAGACGAGCACCGAGGTTCTCAAACTTGTCCTGGAGCTGGATAGCCTTCGCGACAGTCACACCGTCTTTAAACGCAGGTTAGCTTATGAATAGGTAACACAAAATTTCGGATATATGCCTACCCTTGGTGATCTTGGGCGAGCCGTAGGGAGACTCAATGAGCACATTGCGACCCTTGGGACCCAGAGTAGAGGTCACAGCCCTGGCAAGAGTATCAACACCCTTGAGGAGGCTGGCGCGAGCCTCAACACCGAACTTGAGCTCCTGTTTACAGGTTAGCCAAAATGCTCGGGAGGCACGGGATGCGGAACCGAAGGCCATCGGACGCGCCGGTTCAGCTTAAAACCATTGAGCTCATTACACACCTTGTGAGCGAAACGCTGCTGCTGGAGGTTCAGGCTGGTCGAGCGGTAGAAAGGGGCACGCTTCGCAGCGGCCGACAGAACGGAGGTGCGGGAAGAGAGAGCGCGCTGCATGGTGGAAACAAAAGGGAAAATAACCAAACGGAATTAAAAGGAAGATTTGAGAATAAAATACACAGCCCGGGAAGAATTGGGCACGGAGTTGATGGAAAGAAGGATGGAACGGAAGGGGAGAAATGAAGCCTTGATCGAAAATTTTCCAGGTGTTTCTATCCCCAGAAAAGAAAGCTTGGCGCATGGAGCTCTGTCACCTGACCTCTGTTATCCCGAGGTTATCGCAGCCGACATCTGGATGTTCCCAAAATGTTTTAGATGTGAGAACCTTCTAGTAGGCGAAGAAAATATGAAAGTTGGTTTTGTGTTGCTTCCTTGTGAGTATGATCTTGAAACTTGAATGCTCAGCTCAGATATAGTCCCGACCGTGTTTTTGATTCCTTGGTAGTGATATTCCGGTCATCATGTCGGGATTATATATCGCAACGAAAACCCAACGACTCCAGGTAATTAACGATTTGCACGGTCACCAAGGATGCATTTTGCACTTCGACTATGTGGAAATTGAATACTGACAGCACCAGCTAGAGATATTGAACTAACTTCAACCGAGTAACTTTAATTGCCTCTCTGGATTGTTATAATCATGATGTCTCTCAAAAGATAAGAAAAATAAGCTCTGAATTCAAGAACAGGAGAATCGAGCCTGTCTTCACTGAAAACATAACGACTGAAATCACAAAAATGTCAAAGTCCCAGAGCTGAAATATCATTGCCACTCCCCGTTGGGGCCCTATCGAAGGCGTTCGCTCAATTTCCGCATGCTGTCGTCCCCTTGAGAAGCCATCGATGTCCAACTCGCAAATCTAACTCATGATGCATAACTCTGCAAACTGAACGAGAAAAGCTCAATCCAGGAGGCACCCACTAGGTGCGATATCAACTACGCCTCATCTACCTCGGACTTGGGAGAATCCCAAAGCGGGTCCTGAGGCTGGTCGATATCCCAGTCATGACCACCCTGGGGCATTGGCGGAGCGGGGTATGGCAACGGGTAGTTTGACCCAACAGGCCACGGAGTAGGTCCTGAATGAATGCCCTGGGAACCCAGCATGCTTGGATCGACGTAGCCAAAGGCGCCGGGCGGGGGGGAATGGAACCTGTTGGTAGGGCATCGTGAAGGCGCCGTGCTGTGTTCCGGCGATGGGCCCATACGGTGGCGGGTAGGTGGCGGCAAAATGCTGAGAGGGTGAATTCAGAGGCCAGTGGGGAGCGGGGGAGGATCGAAAAATTGTATCGCTGGAGTCCTGCTCCTGAACCATCCCAGTCTGTTCTAGACGGTCAAGCGCGGTGGGGGAAACTGGAAGGCGAACGATCTTGCTTCGCTTTCGCGGTTCATTATCTTTGTCGTCCTCGTCATCCGAAGATTCGGCCTCTGAAGTCTCCCTATGTCGAAAATCAGCACACACCCCAGCCAAAGAATCAACCGTCTACGTACTCGACTTCTCCCTCATCCCCATCAGAGGAGCCTTCAGTGTCGGCCCTACCATGTTTCACAGAGCTGTGTCGGCCTTTTGTGCCAGTGAATGCCTTGTTAGGCTTCTTCTTGTGTTTCTGTTTCTTGCGCGAGCCGTATGAAGGATCCTCGCCATCGCTTTTATCTGTACTGGAAATAGTCTCGCCGTCGTCATCCTCGCTGTCAGTCAATGCCTTGCGCTTCTTGGCCCTTCCAGACCCAGGCTTGCGTCGGGTATCTTTGCGGGAGGAGGCTGCTTGGATAGTAGCACTTGCACCAGCTCCACTGGAGCCACCAGCGGAGCGGCGAAGAGGAGGAGGCACACGCTTTCCTTCATTTTCGCGCCGAGATCGAACCTTGGATAGGTGCTGCACAATGGCTCCCTCGCTAAACTTTTCTCCCATAGTTGACGCAATATCGGCCCACGGAAGCTTGATGCCCTGCGAATTGCATTGTTGTTGGATCGTCAATAGGAGCATAATGTCATGGTCAGCTATTATGGATGTCAGCTTGGAGTCCCCAAGTCCCCAGACTGGTAAGGTGGATGATATATATAGAGGAACACATAAAATTACGCGTTTCGTGAAACAGCAATCAGTGTCCAAAGAATGACCTTGGAGGGCATTACTCACAATCCCAGCGAACAAGCTGGCGGGGCTTGGTCCTCTTTTTCCCAGAGCGGCCCTGCTTGCTCGAAGGCATGGCTCTAGGGAAGGTAAACACGTAAAGGTTCTAAGTGAGTGCGTTCGTATGTTTGTTGTGTGAGTGGGTTGAAGATAACTATGCTGAAGGGGGAGAATTACGTGGGATAAGTGAGCAGTCCCCAATGAGATGAACATGGTGTTCTTCGAATGTTCTCAACAAGCTGATATTTCTAAGTCCCTTGAAGTCGTTACAAAAATCGCCCTCAGAAAAACTTAGTCCCCATCGCGATCGGCGTATCCAAAAGGCTGCCATCAGCACAACTACAGAATTAATGATGCAAAGTGAGCGAAAATTGGACGTAACGCTGTTTAGTCCTCCTTTTGGGCCTGTTCAGTACTTATTCCGGCTCTAGGACACACCCTGTATATACAAAGCCAACGGATCGTAGTAGATCACTATATGCCACGTGATGAGAGTACACGTGATCCGCAATCCCGATCTCCGGAATCATTGCATCCTTCAACACCCGAGTCCATTTTCAACCCCTTCAATCCGACTACATCTCCTCCAAATCCCCCACAATGACTGCTGCCTGGAAAGCCGCTGGCCTCACGTATGTCCAGCTACACTCTGGATGCCGACAATTACTGACTTCATTTTGACAGCTACAACCGCTACCTGGCGATTGCCGCCCGTACGGTCCGCCGCTCTCTGAAGGACACCCCTCGTCTTAACTCTGAGCGCCGTGGCCAGATGGACCTTCGTTTTGCCAAGTGGGAGGTTAGTGGGACCAACAGGTTCAGTTCCTGAGTGATATGCTGACAGCGATTTTCTGCGCGAATAGAACGGAAAGCAAGGCGAAGCCCAATCCCTCGCCAAGGCCAACAATGAGGCCATTGCCGAAGCTGCTGAGAAATAGACGACGATCCCCCGATACTGAAATCTATATCCCATTGAGTGAGGTGGTTAAATTGGGGAAATCATGGACGCTGTGGATTGCTGTGGTCGACATTGCGGATGAGTGCCGAGCGTGCCATTGAACTTGTACATGTGTAGCAATACAGGCCTGCCAGGGTTAGACAGAGCCTAGAAATCGCACCAATCTTTTTTTTGTCTCAATTTCCTCTTCTTCCCGAACCAATCTGCTCTTGTAGCTTCGTAGTTGGTGTAGATAATGCTTTAGTGGCCGGGTGCGACTGCACGTCAGAAAAGGACCCAGTCTGCCGAAACGCTTTTCCCGTCCACCTTTCTTCCTCCCCGCTAACCCCTCGTTCGAGTTACGTTCGCTCAGTCTTGCCAGCATTGTCAAGACAGGACTCAAGCCCCTGAGTTTGATGAGAAGGGCCGGCAGCAGACTGCAGAGCCTGTGTCACCTCTGCAATGCTGCCGAATAACGAGGTTCGCGTGCCCCCGCGGGCAGCGCAATCCACTACCCGCCGTGATATTACCGCCGAGTTTACAGACGCTGCTTCAAGTAAGCCACTCTTCAGTTGGCCGATTCTGGTCCCCAATCTAATAATTTGTCCTTTCTAGAGCTACGGACCGGTCAACTCGTGAAAGATGAGACATTTACCTTGTTCGAAGCCGTGGGGGCATTGGAGGTGTGTCGAATACCAACAAAGGAAATGGCAAGGAAGCTTGGATGCTGACGCTGGTCTGGACAGATAATGGACTCCAAAATGGACAGCGGCTACATAGCACCCGGCGAAAACCATGCGCAAGCGCTTGAAGACGATTACGACGTACGACAAGAATTGGCACCGGAACAAGTGGTGGGCTTAATGGATCAGCTTCTTTGCCATGAGGTGGGTCACCATACCGGATGAGAGACACTGGGCTCGCGGCTGACCTCATTTAGATGGCATGGCATATGGGACACCCTCTTTCGCAGACACTCTTTACGTCGATCTACCTCGATAGGTTGTTATGGCCTGTACCGAAGACAATGGAGGATGCTCAATTTGCTCGCGACGATGCCTCAACGGGACCACCTCTGATCAGCCTTGTCCTCCGGTCATACTGTTTGGCGCTAGTCAAGGCTTGCGATTTTGTCCACGCTCGCGTTGCAGCCGAGTATTATTATGAAGTGAGTGATCTCGATATCCTCCAAGGTTTGGTATGTACTAATGGCATGACTGCGATTAGGAAGAGGATTTCGTGACGCAGCTCTACAATCGCACCCTGCTGTCATCCTTCGACTCATCACATTTCTATCGCCTGCTAGACCAGGCGGTATCTTGGGTGGAGAAACAAGATACTATAGACCAGAAACTTCGTGAAGCCCTTCGGGACCGCTTACTGTTTCGATATGAGTTCTTGTCGGCCTTGGATCAGGATTTGAACGTTCTGGAGACCCGCTCGACCGCTAGTTTCACGACATGTCTTCAAAAGCTCAGTTCCATCAAGGAGTCTGCATTCCTTGGGAAACAAGTCCCAGAATCATTCAGCCTGAAAATCCAGCGGAAGCTAGCCAGCACTGTGCCACCTCGACCCATTGTGGAAATCAGCCATGAAGATGCATTTTCTCATATCAAGCGACTCTGCCAGGATGCTATCGACCTGGAGCAAGTGCTAGACTACCGCGGACCGAGCAATTTCAAAACGTTCATCTGGACTCTCCTCTCCCGCAAAACCCCAACCATCAGTCTATATCCGCTGCTTGGTTCAAGCCTTGACCGTCAGCGACCTGATAATTCTAGGGACCATCCCTGTGAAGCAACTGATCTTTGACGACATCGCAGATTTGGTTCTGCCGTCCAGTATTTTGCTAGAGGCAAACACCGACGACGTGGAACTGCCATCCGACCCCCGGTTTCAAATTGCCCAGCACATGGATGCTTTTGTGAAACGGTTTGGCCAGGTATACGAATTTCGAACGGAGTATTTCAGCCACAAGATACTAATAATGCCTGCAGCCATTTATTGATACGATTCGAGCAGCTTGTCTCAATCGCTGTCGAGTTCGCCGGACTCTCTGCCATACAGTTGTCGACTGGGACAACCTGCAGATGGAGGTAAGCCAATGCTTTGACACAGAACATCGGTCGGTCATGATTCTAACAGGACATACAGGCTGAAGAGCTGGACTTGAAAATTCAAGCATTAAATCCAGAGCCCCCATTGAACCTTCAGGGCCACGGGCCAACCTACTCATATCCTCTTAGTAGCTGGGCATACCACCAGAAGCTGAACCAGCTCCGTCTGATTCTCCAAATGGGATTCGAGCTATCAATATACGCCCCAGAAGAACTCCCAGGAATGTACTGGTACCTATCTCACATTTGTTCAACACACCTTGGCCATGTTGATCGAATTCGGACATTTATGGTGGCTGCTAGAAAGAGAGATCTAGCTATGACTAACCAAAGTGCATCCGCTGCTGCACGCAAGGCTACCGCATTTCATAACTCATTTCGTTGTCTGGAGAGGCTGACAACAGAACTCATTGCTGTGGACGCCTTTGCGATTGCTCTTCATGCGCTGTATGTCCTGCTCGCACGGCACCGCCTCCTACCATGCGCTTCAGCGCCAGATGCCTACTGGAATGATAAATTACGATATGAACTCCGCATGAAGCCATTCATACCAATATCCTTGCCTGAACTGGTTCCCTTCGAAGAATACCAGAAAGAGACTACATTGGAGGGCGATTCAGACGAGGTTATTCTCGAAAGAGCATCTAAGGCAATCGCAGAAGCGCGTAAGGCCTGGGAAGCGACGCTCGGTAATGGAGCTTTTGTTAAGGATTCGTCTACCGCTACGAAGACCCCGACAGCCATTGAGGCAGATTGGCAGCGCAATGTCAAAGATACCATGCGGGCTTGCATCGCAGCTAGCCTTGCTATCGAAGCTGTCAAGAAAGCACTGGCGAGTAAAGCTCTGACAAAGCTCGAGGTCGACATCCCCCCAATCGGGTCTAAGGGCCGATTCCATGATTGGTGGAGTGTCCCCAAACTCACCGAAAAGGTATGAAAGGGGGGTAAATATGCGACCCAGTGGAATTGAGCATTCGTACATTAAAAATTGTGATGCATGCATAAATAACGGTATCTACCGTATCTTTCCTACCTATTCCAGTAAGAAGCATAACCCGAATCCCACATTAGCGCTATTGGGTGCTGTATCGAGAGTGGCTTCTGTGCGAGGACTAAAAAGCACGCGGATCTTGAGGAGGCGTAAAAGCAGCCCCACCAATGAGCAACCAGACCCAGCAGGAACAAATCATCAACGCGAAAGCCCAGGTGGACGTATCCGTCAAAGTGCGGTTCGAGCGCCCCATCCACTCGTAGCTCCTCGGACGAAGTGGAGAAAAGAAAAAGTCCTGTGAAGCGGGGAGGATCATTACAGGGTCAAGCCAGGACCAGAACAGTGCAGCTGTCAGTTGCGAGGGGATCTGGGAATCTGGACCCAAAACGCGGGAAAGGGAGCAAAAGCCATGAAATCATACACTTCCGGTCCCGCGTTGTCAATATTCTAATTGACTTTTGGCGATCGGCCGTTCTGGATCTCCCTTCCTCCTCCGATCTGGGGCTGCAGCTCTCTCCGACATACGCCGCTCTACCTCATCCGGTGCCTGGTTCATTTCTGCTGAATGCTTGGGTCTCTGTCATCCGCTCGTAGGTAGCAGCCGTTCCCCAGCGTCCCCCCCCTCTTGCCTTCCCCCGAGACCGCGGGGCTTCTCCAGAGATGCCGACGTATCCCATCCGTCGCCGACCGCGCGAATGCAAGACGTGTCTACCCTGCCGTGCCAGCAAAGTCCGCTGCGACCGCAACGTGCCCTGCGGAAACTGCGTCAAGCGCAACTTCACCTGCTCGTACGGTCGTCCGCCGTCTACGAAATATCCGATTCCCTCGGTCGCGCCGAGCTACACCTCGGCTCAATCTTCTCTACACTCGCCAGCTTTTCCGAATTCTTGCCCTGCTCCTCCTCATGAGGGCTCCTACGCTATCGATAATGCCTCTGGCGCAAGCGATGACGCCGACCCGGATCTCCCTGAAGTCATCGACATTTCCCAGGACGAATGGGACGAGATCAACGGCAAGATGGCGGCCATGGAGCAGATTATAGGAAGTCTGCATGGTCTCTTCCAGAAACATTCAGCCCGTAGGCGCGGCGTCGATGAGAGTGAGCGGAAGAGCTCTACTCGGTCGGAAGGTGTCTATGGGTCCAATGCGATGAGGACGGGCGCTGTCCATCTCGGGTCGCGGTCGGCGCTGGTGGATATCCTGGATAAGTCGAAAGAATCTGCGGAAACAGCGCTGGCGCTGCCCCAGGAAGATATTCTGGCAGAGCTTGCGTTGGGGAACGAATCTGTAGCATATCCGTTTGTGGACTTGTGGTCTTCTGATCCGTACACTTTCAACATTGCCGGCGTGTGTGCCGTTCTCCCCGATGATGATCAATGTCGACGGTAAGGGGCGGTTCGTGTTAGACCAACGGAGTGCCATGCTGACTGATGCCTCAGGTTTCTGAAGTGGTACATAGATATTGGTGTCATATTGTATCCCGTGCTGGATAACACGGATGACTTGGTGCGCAAGACAAATCGTTTACTTCTGGGGAGGCAGCGAGCCGGGGGTGTCTATAAACCGGAGGCAGATGGGTTAGTTAAGCCATTTGGACTGGATCTGCCATTTCTTAGCTTGCTGTTTGCCATCCTTGCATTGGGTTGCCAGCTTTCTGACCTCCCGGGACGGGACCGCGAGTTGACCTCGTGGGTATATGGTGAGTATTCGTCCTGAGAAGCATTCGAGGATCCCCGCTGATGAACTCTTCCAAGTCTCATGTGCTTACCAATGTCTGAGGATGTTGAACTACGTCTCACAACCCACATTGGAGGTCATTCAAATTCTTCTTATCATTAGCAATGTTTTGTCATACAACATGAATGCGGGCGCCTCTTACACTCTGCTTGGTAAATCCGATGCAACCTCCTGTCAAAAAGCAGCCATCTAATTGAATTCTTAGGTATGACGGAGCGCATCTGTCTGACCCTGGGACTCCACGTGGAGTCAAAAGACTTGACTTTCCCGGATCAAGCCCTCCGACAGCGTACTTGGTAAGTTTGTATGCATTCGCGAGGGCGAGCAATGCTGATACAGATTAGGTGGACAATGGCTTTCCAGAACAGCCACTTCTCGCTCGCCTATGACCGCCCTTCTATAACGATGATCAGTCAGCCTGAGATTCCATATCGCCCAATATCCATGCCCGGGAACAGGACTTACTTTGAAACGATATGCCGAGTGGTGTCATTGTCACTGGAACTCCTCCGCTCCCGGATGGATCAAGGCTCATCACACCACCCCCAGATCCGTGAGATTCGCGGGTGGAAGCTCCAGATACAGCAGATTAGGCAGGATGCCGCGCCCCATCTGCAGCACCGCGATCACTGCCACTCCTTGGCGCAGCACATTGAGCGCACAGAGCTGCGCCTGCATTCCTCATACCTCCTCTCTGTGTTATGTCGAGTCTCCCTAGATCCGCACGCACATTTAGATGACCATCGTCGGGCTGTGATTCGGGAGGACTGTATCGCCGGCTTGATGGAAACTGTAGATGCATTTGTTGAGTTGCATGAGATCAATTCACATTGTTCTCGCTCGTGGATCAGTCTGCAACGATCGATCGCGTCAGCTTTCCTGCTGGTTGCCAATGACGACAGCCAACAGACGTGGAGCCTCATTGATCGGCTGGAGAAGGTGCTGGCTGACCATGTCTTTGCGGATGGCGTGTCTGAACATAACAGTCGGACCGACTCGGCAAAGCATCTCTCATCTTCCCTTTTGGCATTGCGTGAGATCCGTGACGCCTTCCGGAGCCGAAAGGCACCACCCGCCCCGACTTCGCAACAGCCCTTTTCACCGGTCAACCTGCCCTCCCCGCCATCCATCGATACCGACCCTAGTTTACCGCCTAATCTTGTCACCGTGGGCGGCTCTATCGCGTTGGAGGAGTGGGATATGCGGAACATCCTGGGTCGTGTTTCGGATGTCATGCTGTTTCCAAGCATGAGCGGTCAGAACTCGGCTGTATGACATTCTTGATGCATCATGGCGTTTTATTGGGGGGTGGGTGGAAACAGGGACATTGGGCGGCGTGAGATTTTTACACGTCAATATCGATATACATGCATACACTGCGCAAACCAGTCACTGTGATCAATACGTACCGACCCAACATGCACTCTCGTAGGAATTGACCATGGTCCCGAGGGCCCAAAGGGTTTCACTTTTCTGACATCTTTAATATCTTCGTCGTCCTTGCTTGGTCTTCAGGGCCTCGTCCGTACGTAGTCTGCGCTCTACGAGCCTTAGATGCCCGCTTTAGGTGAAAAGTAATCACGGCGAGCGCCAGAAGTCGCGGAGCAAGTTTTCCTCCGCAACCCCTGGAGATTTATGCTATCTTAAGCTGTGCCCAACCAAGCCTACGTCGCATCCGCATATATCCGAATTCCACTCACGAGTAACTTAGTTTCCTATTCTGTCACAGGTCGACCCAGTGGACTCTAGACGACCTCGTTTGGCCGGCCGAGAAATCCCCGCGAGCCGTCAGATTGGAGATCGTCTGATCGACCGGCTGCTTCTCACCGCCCAATCCACGGGCTTCAAACCAACCAAGAGCCCCTGCTCACAGGGTCTCTCGGTCATCTTGAGTCAATGAACTGCCGGATGTGGGCATTCTCGGAGATTGCGTTTGACTCGGCCGTCGGCTACGCTGCGCTATCCGTCACCGTCTTCGACGCGAGTGTTAGCGTGCGGTGGGAACGAATGAGACTATTCGGCCGGGCCTCATGAGCATTCCCTCCTTCGAGCACGGGGAGCCAATCGGTTACAATTTTTCCTTCTTGGTAGGGTATGGCCAAGACGCTTTTAGAACTCTTCGCGCTCGGCGTGTCCTGGTCGCCTTGTTCTACTACGGCCCCCACGACCGCCGCTGTTTCAGAGCATCCTGGACCTACTGAACCGTTGACATGGCCTTCATGCTTGATTCGATTCAGCTGCAGACGGGCCTGGAAGACGTCTCGTTTGAATTATATTGTCATTCTTCTCCATCGGATAGCCCTGGGAGCCCCATTATTCGCTGCGCTTGGCGGATGGCTGTGATTCCTCGCGTTGGGATTTGACTGCAACACGACAGGTGTCAACATCTGGTATTTTTCGAAAAGGCATTTTATAGTCGGAGATCATCGGACGCATCATCTGTATCAACCAGAAGCCCCTAGACACGAAATACATCGTGCTTTTCCCAAAACAGACCGCAAACAAAGTACCTTCTAAGTCAAAAAAGCACACCGAATAACATATTAAGGGCCAAGGATACGATAAGACACTCGAGGCTGAACCAGCTGAATACCGAGTCTGGGTTTCACAAGAATATTCTGGCAAAAGTCATTGTTCCCCTCCCCTCCAAAAGCTACTCGTTTAGAACTCAACCGCGCTTGCGCAGCCCCTTGCTAGAAACAACACCCTGTGTATACCTACCCAACTTTCTCAGAATAAATTTCCTTTGCAGGCAAAGAGTATGATGAGATATGCCTGATGAGCCTGCTACAACAGAATGGTTCCGCTGTCTATTAATACAAGATGGTTGCCACCTTACCCGGCGCTATCTGAGAGCGAGAAGTCGGGGAGAAGGGACTCAGGAGAGTCTGTCAAACTATTCGAAATGCATCCTCAGACACACCTGGTAGGTACAAGTCACTGCCAGCTGAAAAACCAATGTCTCTACTCAGGTCTATGCTGACATATGGCAAAAGCGCAAGGTGGTATCTGTTGTCTGCATATGCTCGGTAATGTCTACTGAATGCTGCCTGTGTTATAGGCCCAAAACAGCTTGTAGAGTATTTTGCTTTCTTGTAGGAGAGGAGCAGCTCGTTCGGGGTTACCTGCTCTATATTATACCAAATGACAGATTCCTCACATACCAGGAACTCAAGAGTCTGGACTATTGATCGACTTTGGGCATCTAGAGGAAGCCCGCTTGCCCATCACGTCAAGTTGCGGATAATTTATTGTTACGCAGACTGCCGCGGTCGTCTTAAAGGAAGTCCTTGAGGCCTCATAATGAGGGCTGCTGGTTTATTTGAGCGACTGGGATCTAAATCTATCCAGGTTCCGTTTGGAGAAAGGAATTTCCAGTCATGCGGGGCATTGTATCACATTAGCAATTTCGACAGATCTTGCGGCCACCTACTACTGCTCCTGCGCGATCCAATTGAAGATCTGACCGCTTGGCACTTCCCAGAACACTCTTATACTAGCCCCTCGCGAGGAACGACGACTATCAGATATTATCTTAGAATAATTTCAAGCCTCTCCGGGCTCTATATTCTTTTCAAAGACATGCCGTACGCCACATGGATGATAACTTTATTCTATATTACTTGTGGGGCAGAAAGGAGATGATCACATCTCATGCGACAAGGAGATCATTGCTCTTGGACATTGCTGGCTAGTATGCAAGAAAGAGTTTGGTTTCTACGCTACGTGGAGCGAGACACCGCTAATAGCAGTTGAAAAGAAGCGGAACCTTTGAGCAATTAAGGACTTTTCTTCTTCTTCTTCTTCTTCTTCTTAATAAAAAGACGAAAATCTGTAGGAGATTGCTCCTTGTATTCTGATGGAGCCATCGTGATATGTATATGGGACTCGGGGGCCAGAGATCTTGCGACGTAGCGGGTGGAGGTTGTTTGACTAACTGTTCCTAGCAATTCCAAGGGTGAGGTAGCAGTTCCAAGGTTGGACTTGGGTTGCTGGTACAGAAGGAACATGTGATCATGTGCGAAGCACTTGCCTACTGTACTACGAGTAACTAGGGCCATGCTTTGCAATAGTCAGCAAAATAGAATGTAAAATAATTGGCAACGACTGAATTCCTGCGAGAACATATAAGATTAAAGAAAGCATTAGTCGTCTATTACATGGTATATCCTCATTTCCTAGGAAACTTGCTTCAATTCAGTCAAACACCCAGTCTAGGAGATCCAGAAAACCTAGAGTCCGCAAATCTCCCTAACCCGCTTGATGCTCATGCCGTAACAAGCTAGCCGGGCATAAGCTCTTCTCGTACATATTGAGACACCATAATAGGCCACTAGATACAGACGAAGCCACGAGTGTAAGTTTCAAGATGGCCTTGATCAATTGACCAACAATGTTAATCAACGTTCTAACAACCAACACCTGGTTCCATGTAACAGTGAACACCTGCCTCCCACAACAGTGTATCTATAACATCGCTGCAGTAATGCGCGTCGCTCTCCTCGTACACACATCGCCCGACAATTGCGTTCTTATCTGCCGTATCGATCACGTTTGCGTAAAACGTTCCTGCTGGTGGCGATGGCGTTGTGTCTCCTGCTGCAGTCCATGTTGCACCACAGTCATCTGATGGATCTATATCTCTCTTAACACATGTACACTGTATGTAATAGTTCAAGGGTATCGGGCATTGGCTTACCTAACTGGAAGTCGGCTGGACATCCAACACCCCCAAGTCCCCCCCCCCACAGAAGTTCGGAGCATCGAGGTTCTGTCCAGGACAACCACCTGTGTTGTTAAGGGGGGTCCAGCTGCCTGCCTCACATGGGTTCGGAGCCTCCCAACCATGCAGTGTATGTGCATACTGTCCCGCTATTGAGGTCGTCACCTGAGAGGGTGCCAAAATACACATCTGCCAGGGCAGGGCTGGCAAGAAGGAATGCGAGTGCCATCGGTTTCCAAGCCATGATGAAAAAAGATAAACTGGGGCTTCTCGAAAAATGTTTGGAGACTTGGAAGAACTTCTTTGGTGTTACTGCTGGTAGCCTTACTGCTAGAGCGACACAGGCTATTTATAAGGACTCTGCGATGTTTTGATGACTCCATTGTCTTAGCTAGCATTCAAATATTGCTCGAAGATACATAAATGACGTCTTGGAGGAAGAATAGTATATAACGAAAACCTGTTTTCAAAGAATATAATGGGCGAATGTCTTGATAATTCCCGCTGCTCCTACACACGATACTGAGAACAGGAAGTATACCCCACGTAAGGCCACCCGCCAAGAGGTTACAGAGAGGTAGGTGAAGAAGGGCCAAGAGAATTTTTAGGTTTCCAGTCTCGATTTAGATGTAAATCTATGGCGTTTCCGTATTCAGGATCTAGAAGGCTACGTCACTCCTGGGCGCCTAAGTAGATTACTGTTTCTTTGCTAATATTTGTTCGAATCTGATCATGTCTGGAGTTAGTATGCAAGATTCAGCCGAAGATAGATCAAGAGCACCTTGAGGAACAACCGGGCAAGGAGGAAACTGCCCTTAGTGATGATTCTATAGGAACTTCTGAATACTTCCCGCTTTATTCTTCTATTGGATACTGCGAGCAGGTGGTATAACCCAAATAAGCGAAGCCCCCCCTCATCATACTCTTCCACATCTATACCCTCTACCACACTAGGAAACAAGTAGAGGTAGTTTAAGAGCCTAAAGACCCCAAGCTTCCGCTCTATGTCTATTTTGGGCTTGAATTCAGGATTTGAATGGCCAATCCAGTCACCCTTGCAGCAGAATTAGATTCTTGTTTCTTTGCATCTGTTCCTTTTCAAATGTGATTATCACCTGGAAAGTTGTCCATGAGAAGCGAAATTACTATCGGGACGGGGCGGCGGTGGCGCTTGAATTCAAAATACTGAAGCTAGGTAGAGAATGGGAGAGGGCGAAGGAGAGGAACTACCGCAACAGATCTAAATCCTACTCCAGCCAACCCTATCCTGCCCAAGTTCGGACGACAATAGTTCAGACGGTATTTACCCCAAAGCGGTGGCAAATGGCAGAATCGAGTGAGAGTGACAGAAAGTAGGTTTGAGCCTACTTAACTTCCTCCTAATTTGACGCTAGAGCTGTGTTCTATGCTTTTCTGGAGGATCTTTCTATGATATCATATAGTCTGCGAATACTTCTTCTACAGTCCACGAGCTGGCTATCCCTAATGTGCAAGAATCATCTAGCGAATTTACATGCATATTTCACGGTCTTATTCGAGCCCCTGCGAATATTCCATAAATAGGATTGGTAATGGTGGAATTGTACATTTAGGCCTGTCGAAAAGGCTAGAGAAGCGAGATGGCAATTATACGCCGCATTCTAAAACCTCCAGAGTGGAATTCGGTAGGCAGTTTGTTTCCCTCAATAAGCTGCACTTGGTTGTAGTGGCCCGCCAGCGAAATATTGACCTTGTTTCCACGGTGTATACGGATTTCTGCCTCGGCTGCTTCTATGGAACCGATTTCGATTTGGTCCTTAGGTAGCCGAGGGCCCATTGTTGGGAGTGCTTCCTTAGCCAGCCGACAGGTGAGTACTAGGACGAAAAGAGGACGCCAAGAGTTGCCAGAACTTTTCTGCTATATATATATCCATTATGTGCCAGAGCCGCCAGGATGGTTAGACTTGCCAAAATTCTCACGATACAGTTGTCTGAGCACCTTTACCGATTGGACAATTTGGTGCCAATCATTATACACAATAGATGCCAGACTGGTGTTTCCTCGCGGGACTGCCATCGCGTCGGGGTTAGGACGAACACCTCAAGGCATGTGTTAGACCCACCTTCCTGGGCGGGGATCCCGCACCCGCCCTGGAGTCCTGGAGCCCTGGAGGGCGGGGTTGTGATTACTAATTTTCCATGGGCCGACCAGGGCTTACAGTATGGTGCAGTACGGAGTAAGTATCATGTATTTCCGTGGTCGCGCGGGATTGGAGACGGAGTTAAAAAGGAATCTGGGGCTCATCATTAGTAATCTCGATTGAATATCCCGAGCGGGGATTTGCCGAAGAGATCGGCCCTTCAGACCGAAGCAGCTAACCTGAGCTAGTCAGAGCTAACGGGGAGGGAAAGGAGAGGGGGCGGAGATAACTCGTGCGGTTTGGGACTACATGAAGGCACTCGGATTAAGGGAGTCCTCAAACGGGACGCGGTGATAATCTCGGGGTTTGAGCTACGGGGCAAGATGCGGGAAGGCAATCTCGAACGAATGAGCCAACATGATGTCAGCAGAATAAGTTACGCCCCAGGCGAGATCCCTGAGTATGAGAACTGTCTCTGTGCCGGTTTCCCGAAGGGTGGATCTACCTACAATCGTACCTATAGTCGCTCGCACCGCTCTCTTTCGCAACATGAACTCCTTTACTGGTATGCGTGATGTCGACGCCCATCACTCGCCTCTTGTCCCATACGGTCAACAAGCCGTACAGATCTAAACATCTTCGCGATGTAACCCCTCACCTCGACGCGAACGGCTTCGTCGCTTTCGCCCCTGATGATATCGAAAATCCTCAGAACTGGTCTCTGCGTCGCCGGGTGATCGTCACCATGAGCGCGGTGCTGCTGGTGGTCAACGCGACTTTTGCCTCGAGTTCTCCGAGTGGATGCTTTGGCTCGATCTCAGAGCACTTCGGGATCTCAACTGAAGTGGCCGGATTGACTATCACTCTCTTTCTGCTTGGATATTGCGCCGGCCCCCTCATCTTTGCGCCCCTGTCGGAGTTCTACGGTCGCAGGTACATCTTCTACGTGACCTTTCTGTGCTATCTCGCATTCAATTTCTTGTGCGCCTTTGCGCCAAACCTCGGAGCTCTGCTTGTAGGTAGATTCCTCGCAGGAACGTTTGTATCGGCTCCACTGAGCAACTGCCCCGGTCTCCTGGCGGACGTATGGAACCCCTTACAACGATCGAACGCAATGGCTGGATTTTCCGCCATGGTTTGGATTGGGCCAGCTCTTGGACCGGTTGTGGCCGGTTTTTTGGAATTGAAAAAGGATTGGCGGTGGAGCTTCTATGTTCTACTTTGGCTCGGTGGAGCCTCGGCAGTCATCATGCTGACCATTCCCGAGACCTACGCGCCGATCATCCTGTATAACAAAGCGAAGCGCATTCGAAGGAACAAGATCCCCGGGTACGAGAATGTGCGCGCGCCCGTTGAGGCGAGCGATCGCACGCTCTTGACCATCTACAAGGTCGCGCTTACCCGGCCCTGGATTATTCTTTTCGACCCCATTTCCTTCCTGTGCGCGATCTACATGTCTGTCGTCTACACCCTGTTGTACATGCTCTTCAGTATCTATCCTATCGTCTTCCAGGAGAAGCGCGGGTGGAATTCTGGGGTTGGCGAACTGCCACTGTGCGGTACCATCGTCGGCGCGCTTCTCGGGGGTGGGATCGTAGTGATCGACACAAAGATCCGCCAGCGGAGGGTCGATAGGGGCGAAACTAAAGTCGAAGATACCACGCCGGAGGATCGGCTTACGCTTGCGATGATTGGTGGGATTTTATTCTCTGCCACCATGTTCTGGTTTGCCTGGACCGCCGAATACGAGTGAGTCGCGAAACCACCCCCCCCCCCATCGGCGGCAAATAACCTAAACTAACAAACGCCCAGTTCTATTCATTGGATTGTCCCAACGCTCGCAGGGTGCTTCCTTTCTAGTTCTCTGCTGCTCATCTTTGTTGCATACTTAAACTATCTAGTGGACGTCTACCTCATGTATGCCGCGTCTGCTATTGCCGCCAACACAATCGCACGATCTGCCTGCGGTGCCGCTGCGCCCCTATTCACGAACCAGATGTTCTCCGCTATGGGCATCGGTGGTGGAGGGAGTCTGATCGGTGGAGTGGCTGCGTTGCTCGCGGTTATTCCGTTCCTGTTTTACAAATATGGGAAACAGATTAGAATTCGCAGCAAATTCGCGCCGACACAGGTGCGCCCCCGGGCCCCTGATGTGGAAAATAACCCTGCCGATGAGCCGATCAGCCGCTCTACCTCCTCGCCTGGGAGTGAACACGGAATGCAGGGAGAGGCCGAGAAATGAGCCACAGCTGATGGAACGGAACATGCATCTTCTGCATGATTTAGAAGAACCGCGGCTTAGTGATGTCTGGCCTGAGGCCGTTATGCCTTGATGGCGAAAAGTACTAATTGCATCTATCCTAATAGAATGAACCATAAAATGCACCCGATAGGAATGAGGAAGAGTCTGATATAATACTTCTGTCATACATACTATAACCCCCAATTCGAATACACAGCTGGACCGCATTAACACCAGCTTGTAGCTTCTATTTAAATGACACATGAGATATATTTATCGACAGCTTCTTGGATTTCCTGATTCTCTGAACGATCATGAAGGGAACGAAGGTGAGGAGCTACCCTACTTTCCGCCTGCAATCCGTGGTAGAGCTTAAAAGGCTAGTGCGGGATCGCAGTCCGTACTGATTGCTCACGGGGAAAATTTGGAGCTAGTGGTTACACAAGATCCACCGATTAACCAATCTATAAGCAAACCCCAAACGAAGTCCCTAGATGGCCGAGCCAAACCCGGGGAATCTGGGGTATGGGTCCGCGGGCTTCACCCGCCGCTCATGTGACCGGCCTGGCTCTATACTGGCCCACAGCTCGAGATGTAATCGATTTACCTACTAATAATGGCATCAGTCCGTTGACAGTCCTGGGCTCTCCACCACCATCAGAATATGATTCGTGCCCGCAACTTTAGACCATCCTTATCCGGCACGCCGCAAGCCTGGTCGGTAGCCAATCCACGCAATATCGTCGTATGGGGGTCCGCCATTTTCGGGCCTAATAAGCGGAAATTAGGCCTGCGTATAGGGAAGGAGGAATTTCAAAGGGGCATGGGCGTGGATCCACCATTGAGGACGGGGTCCAGGTGCCCAGACCTGAACTATGCGGGTTTATAAAGCTATCGGTAGCACCGGCCTTTTCACGCTGGTATCATTTACTGCACCTTGAGCCTAACCAAATTGAGGCTATTTTGTTTATCATGGTCCCCAAAGCCGACGAAATGGGGAAAATCCAGCATGGAGAAGACCCCGAGACGCCAAAGGTGGATGGGCCTGTCCCTGGTGATCTTATCTCCCTCGGGACCGTTGACCAGGCGTTGACGGCGAAGATGAACCTTGTCAATGATGTAGGTTCTCTCCTGCGTGAAAACTGTATGGATCATATTTAATGGAAACAGGCAATTGACCAAATTGGATTCACTCCTTACCACTGGAAGCTTTTCTTCCTCAATGGATTCGGGTACGTGTCCCGTTGGCCGGCGATCAGACCGCAGCATTACTGACGAGGTGAGCGCAGGTACGGAGTCGATTCGCTTTTGCTATTCCTGATGAGCATCTCCGCTGACCAGGTCGTTGCGCAATACTCGCCGGGATTCAAAAGAGGTGCACAGGTAGGGTTTTACCTGGCTTTGTTGGTCGGGGCCTTGTTTTGGGGGAGTACGGCAGATATCATCGGACGGAAATGGGCCTTCAATTTTTCGCTACTGATTAGCGCTATCTTTGCTCTTTCGGCTGGGGCTGCTCCAAATTATGTCGGCTGGGCTATTATGGTAGCCATCTCTGCCTTTGGGTCGGGAGGTAATCTGGTCCTAGATACCACAGTCTTCTTGGAGTATCTGCCATCGAATAAGCAATGGTTGCTTACCCTGCTCGCTGGATGGTGGGGAGTCGGCCAGACTGTTGCTGGTCTTATTGCATGGCCGTTTATGGGTAATTCTCGCCTCCGCCACCTTTGGAAGCATAGTCTTGTCCTGACTCCATAACAGCGGACTATAGCTGCCCCCTCGACAGCTCCATCCCGTGTAACAATAGCAACAACATGGGCTGGCGATATCTATTTTATACATGTGGTGCCCTTGTTTTCGCCCTTAGCATGTGCCGGGTGCTGGTTATCCGCTTCCACGAAACCCCCAAGTTTCTTCTCTGTCAAGGCCGCGACGAAGATGTTATGAAGACCCTCGACGACCTTGCCCGCAAGTATGGCCGCGAATGCACCCTCACCCTGGATCAGCTTCGGGTGCATGGGGTAATTCAGAGCGCCCACGCGAAGACTCGAGCTTCGTTTTCTGAACTGTGGGTTCATATCAAGGGCTTGTTCGCTACCAAGACGATGAGTGTCTCGACATTACTGGTCTGGTTCTCTTGGGCACTTATTGGGCTTGGCTATGCTTTGTACTATGTCTACCTTCCAGAGTACCTTGCATCTCGAGGATCCGATACCGGGTCAAGTTCGACTTATATCACCTGGCGGAATTATGCCATCACCAATCTATGTGCTATTCCAGGTCCCATTATCGCAGGGTTCTTGTGTGAAACAAAGCTCTTCGGCCGCAAGCGAACAATGACCCTAGGGGCCTTTATCACTAGTAAGTTCTCTTGCGCGTTTAAGAAAGTCGTGCCGCTCACGAAATCCAGTGATATTCTTTTTTGGATACACGGCAGTGAAGACCCCGGCTCAGAACATCGGGTTCTCCTCCGCAATCTCCGTTTCCATCAACATCTACTACGCCACTCTTTACGCGTACACGGTTGAGATTCTGCCTTCAGCGCATCGCGGCACGGGGAACGGTATCGCAGTCTCGCTTAATCGGTTGATGGGCATGGTATCTGCCCTGATTGGCGCTTTTACATCCACGGCTAGCTCCGTCCCCATCTACGTCTGTGCTGCTCTGCTGGGGGTCTGTGGCATACTCTCGCTGTTCTTCCCGCTTGAATCGCGAGGACGAAAGAGTATCTAGCACAATCTGTGTTGAATGGAATGTGTTGAGCGACGGGGCTTGTAGATGAGATATCGAAAGGAATAATCAACAATACTAGCTTCCAACTTGGAGTAAGAGCCGATCTTCGTAAAAGTCCCGCATATCTATCGCGCACAAATGGTATACCTCCTGTCAAAAAAGTACTCAAGGTTCCAATGTCTCAATATAAATCTCGGCATGCGCCTCCAAAAAGACCCTAGAGATTCAGTGTTCGGCAATCCGCCTCAGGGTCCGTTCATGTGATGCGGGCGGTGCCGTCGGTCTCCGTCCCCGGCCTGAACCCGGCCAGTACACCGTGTCTACGAGCAGAGATAGGAGAGGAAATTGCTCGTGTGACACCGCGCAGGATCCTGCATGACGATCGCATTATCTCCGCAAGTTTAGGTTCGAGCAGTGGAGTCAAGTGTTCTGATAAGCGTCATCACGGTGCAATAATGAGGCAACTCGTGTATATCCTGCGCGGGGGAGAAATTTATTACGAATGGATCAAAAGAGGGGCATCTTGGAATGATGTGTACAGTATACTCTGGTATTTTGATACAATATGATACAGTAAAATGTATGCCTGGCGTGGTGTACTTTGGAAGAGCAACGCTGTAACTTGAGTATGGCTAAACGCTGAATTGCTTCATAATAGTCTCACAAGTTCCCGATTTCCCAGAGCCCCCGATACGGGTGACTCTGGTCTTGGAATTGGAAGAAAGGGTCATGGGTTACATCCATGAAAGATACGTCTCCTGGAAATGCCGAAGACCAGCCCGTCTGATCTCTGGATAAGGAGGGTCCTGGTGGCGGGTTACTATCTGCGGGGACGGCATTATGCCGAGTCCAAGGTGCATTGTCTGCGTTGTCCGAAGGAGAGCGATCGTGGAGGTTACTTGAGTATGGTGGTAGAGCTTGGCCTCCATCGGAGGTATCGACAGCACGAGCAGAATGGTGGAAGATTTCGGTCTCGACGGTCCTTTCTTCGGGGCGTTTCTGGACCGTAGGCCGCACAAATGCAGGATCAAAAAGCCCGTCGCCAGGAGGGGAGTATTGCGTTGTAGGAGCAGTGTGACAAAGGATGTCCCACATGAGAGCGGTGTCGATGGATAATGTTCTTCTGGACAGGTTGCGATTCCTGGTATGGGGGCTGACGGCAAAAGCGGACTGGAAGAGGCTTTGGATCTTTTTGTGCTAAGGCAATGTTAGTGAATCTTTTCTCGCTACCAATTATGCATTAGGCACGCAGTACCATCACATCAAATCTAGGCCATTTGGCAGCAAGCGTTCTCAAGAATTGGGTGCACGTCTCAAAGTTCTTCTGGGCGGAGTCTTTGACGGCAGGGTCGGCGGCACGGCAGTAGTAAATGTGTATAGTAGCGGCGATCGCCACCGCGTGCCCAATGAACGGATCTGAAATCTGATAGTCTTTTTCTGTAGTCATGTCAATGAGGCGTACGATCCACGTCGTATGGATGAGCGCCAGCTCCGACGCAGTTTTCCAGAATGTATTGGGAACGGCAAGCTGAGCAGACTGTTGAGGCCGCCATGAATAGAGAAAAGGATGGTTGAGCACACTGCGCACGGCATGGTAGGTAAACTGCAGGTACAACCAGGGGCTCCAGTATCCACGATTCTCATGCAATTCTTCCTGTGATTGCGCTTGGAACCTGGCGCAGTCATACCGATGAGCAGTCGGGAACTTCGTCTCAATATCCATCAGATGCGCCCCAATAATGTTGTATCCGGAATCCACTGCCCATGGCGGTTTAGGGTCTCCACTGGCACAATGCGATACATAATGTTGGACTTCACTCCACAGAGTAGAAAGTTGCACCATATACAACCAGATCCCTCCTCGTGCGGTGAAAGCGCCATTTTCTTGAGGGTTCTGAGGCGGCTTCATGCCCATTTCTCGGGGCGAATCGACATTCACCGCCATGTACTTCGGACTATGAATATCCTTGAGCATGTTCAGTTGCATGCTGTATGGAGCATATAGCTGGTTGAGAAGGTGGATGCTCCAGAAAACTCGTCTCCGCTCTTCTAACACGGGCGATAGATCGCCTTCTTGAAGTTCGATATTGATGCCTGCGCATTTGGCGAGATTCGTCGCAAGGCCAATATGTAATGAGGCCAGATGTGTATCATTGGCTAAGCACTTGTTAGTTGCTCGACAGATACATGAGAGCTCGAATCTTACTTATGTATTCAGCCAATGCGATCAGGGATAGGCTCTGCAAGGTCGACAGATCCACTGTTCCCTGGGTCACTCGGAGCATGCAGTAGCTGGCGGCCGCCTCGGCATATTTGCGACAGACTTGGTCCTTCCGTCCTTCTACAAAAGGGCTATCTGAATATCGAAGAGCCAGGCTGAGAATGCCAAATATTACTTCGCTTCGATAGCTTTCGGGGGCGGTAAAATCCTCCGGGTCAAACAGCCAAAGGGGCTGCTTATGGCAAAACTGAAAGTACAACGCAATGCCCTCTAGAATGGTTCCCTTTGGCGGCATTGCAAGTGATAAGGCATTAGTAGTTCGCAAGGCCAGCTCATCTGCTTGCCTATTTTGCGTGAAAGGCGTATCGTGAGCGTCGCTGGAAAGGGATGTGCTCTCACGACTCTGGTAAAGGTGCGAGGAGGACTTCGGACTTCCTGTTTGGCGGTTCGGTCTGTCGCAATCAGCACTTGCATCATTTCGGGAATCATCAAGGTTCCGCACATGGATCCCTCGAGCATCAATTGCATTTTTTGCTCCAGCTGTTGCAATCGGTCTTCCTGCTTGGAAGTTTAGCCCAGCTTGCTCTTTTCAACCCGGGTAGCTTGGGGTCTCCTACCATTGCCCGGTCACCCCCGAGGGATTTATCCAGTGGTTCATAGCTTCTGCTATATTGGCATGTCTGCTGCAGACGCGTGCAGGTAGAGCAAGCTGGTCGCTCTCCTGGACATCGGGTCTTCTTTCTTCTACGAAACCGGCGTTAAGACATAAGAATACAACTGATAGAGCTGCGATAATGGCTTACCGACAATTCTCGCAGGCTTGATGTGATCTTTTGCTAACCCGATTATTCATCAGGAATGACGGGGCAGTAAGTCCACAGACTCTCTACATGAAGATGAGTTGGCATTTTTATGGGGCGAGGCGGGGTTATCGGATTCTGACCCCGTGGACCGTCTGGGCCCAACGATAACCCCAACTCGATCCACTTGGGGGGGGGGACCCACGCTGGGAAACGATGCCCAGAAGCGGAAATCAACGGCCTAAAACCGGTGCTCTTCTAACCCGAAATGTATAATTGATGAACAGAACTACAGCAATTCTCTTCCTAGGAATTGAGTGTTTGGTCTTTGGGTATACCAGGCATCTCATCGAGCTGTCCTCGTCAAGGGCGCAGGATCCAAATATTGTGTCAAAATTACCGATTTAATACCTCAGCTAGTCGACACCAGGGAATCATAATATGCAAACCAAAAGAATGAAGAATACTACCACTCGAGCTCGCTCGATCCAGAGCATGACAGCCCTGCACAGAACTCGAGATCCTCTGCGGTAGCTTGTCCAGCTGCATTTTGTCGAGCAGGCCAAATTTCGCGACCTTTCTTCCGCTCCTCATCCCGATGACTTCGCAGTAATGATCTGACTGTGTTCTGGAAGAAGAGGGGGCGCTTTCAAGACGAGGGTGGAGTTGGCCATTGACGAAAACGCCAGCATTCAAATTCTTCTGTGCCGCATTGCAAAGATGCTTATCTTCATCCAGAACGCGCTTGAAAAAACCATCGATGTGTTCAAAATCGTGGTCCGAAGCATCCTTGTGACGATAAACCTCATATTCCATGGAGCACGTCCCGGCGGATGTCGGCACACATCGCATCATGTAAAAGAAATGAGGAGATACAGTCATGCAGGCGTTAGGGAAGTAATAAGTACTGGCATTCTGAATGTCTTCGTCGACCTTGTCTGCCAGTGGCCGAGAAAAGTGTTGGATATGGCCCGGAGTCGAAACCGTGTAGTAATATGACAAGTCGGCCAGGTTGGCAACATCGGGGTGGGCAACAGTGCAGTGGTAGCACTCATTGTAGTTGTCGGCGAGAGTCTTCCAGTTATAATCACCAGTCATTCCCCAGGTATGATCAAATTTATACTGGGTGAAGTCGAAGTTCTTGAATCGTTCTTGCGTATCGACGCCCTTGAAGTCTTCCTCCCAAGGGATGGGCTTGTCGGTGTCGAGATTCACCCAAATGAAGCCCAGGGCATCTTCGTGTACATGGACCGGAAACAAACTTTGTTCTTCTTTTTTGAAGCCTGGGACGTCGTCGAATTTGGGTGCTTTGGCTAGCTTGCCGTTCAGTCCGTAAGACCATCCGTGGTACTTGCACGACAGGATCTTCACGTTCCCTTGATCCTCGTTAATAAGTGGGAAGGCGCGATGGCGGCAAATATTATGGAAACCGTTTAGTTTTCCTGACTAAAGTTGAGCAAACAGACGAATTTCAGAGTAAATTAGAGCAGGGGACTGACCTTCACGGTCCTTGGTGATCACAAAGGAGAATCCAGCTTCTTCAAAGCGGAGAAAGTCGCCAGGCTTGTTAAAGCGCAGCTTGTGGGTGACTAAAATCCATTTCTTCGAGAAAATCGCTCGTCTCTCCAGCTCGTACATTTCAGGAGACCGATACCAAGAGGCCGGGAGGGCCCTTGGAACTTCACTGTCAGTCTTTTCTTGTGTGCCTCCTTGAGAGGACTTGTAACCGAACAAAGAGGCAACTGCAGCAGCCATGATTATGGTGATGGTAGGACGGATTGATCTTTCAAGCAGTACGAAATGTTCAACACTGAGTCCCCTCCGTCTTTAAAGTATGCCATTGGTAGGCCCGGGATCTCCGATTGACTTGCCATGTTGGGCCATGGTAGATCAAGGCGTGCCTCGTTCGGTATAGACCGACGGTGTATCCACCGTTTCCTGGATAGTGGATCTCCGTGTCATCATGACTATCAAAGTACAATCCGTCGGGGTGGACTCCGATCATGTGAGCGCAGCGCGCCGTATGCGTAGATCAGTTCCTTGCTGCTGATGTCGTACGGGTCCTATGCGTTATGGACACTTGATCCACCTTCATCCCCGAAGCGGGTCACCATCAGCAAGTGGAGCAGATTTTCTTTTGGTTCATTATGAACTTTAGCACGCGCTACGAAATACCCCTCATTGAGTTATTTCGATAATCAATTCCTGATATGCTGTAAACGACAGCCGGAAACTACGCATCCCCACATATTCCCCCATCTCCATACACACCTCATGGCATCTAGTTCAAATTCTGGTCCTTCTTATGTGGGGAAAAGTTACGCAGTGATCCAGTTGCCAATGCAATATTGAACAGCACTGACATATGTACAGTTTGCTATCAAGTCACTCTGTGGGGCGAAGACAGTCAACCCTCATCGGAGGCGGGAGTCACCGGTCATGTGCATTCCCCAGCGCAACAACTACGTTGGACCCTATTGGACGCCCTTCGAGTTCCACATTGATTCGGGGTATCTAAAAGCAGCTCTGAGATGAGTCTTCGTATAGCTTGTTACTTATATCCGGTGCGAAAGGAAATAATTCCCCCTCAGCTGCGCCCACTCTTTTGACCATAACCATCAAAATGGGTTCAATCGGAACTACTGGCGCCGATTTTGTCTTGACCGCAGAGGCCTTGAAGAATGCTTTGCCTGATATGCATCCGGCCACCAGGGCCATTCACGCCGATGACTTTCAGGCCAATCACCGGGCTATCGCTCCAGCTATGCACACTGCAGTGAACTTCCGATATGCGCGCGACCCGGAGAGCCTGGTCCCTGAAGAAAATGAAGACGTAAGTTATTCCACCATCTTCTCCTGAGGTCTCGCTCTAAAGCGCGCATTGCAGCCTGATGCCCCCCAAGACTCGCATGTTTATTCGCGATATACTGCGCCAAACTCGAAACGTCTCGAGCTCCTTCTGAAGAACCTCATGGGCGGGGAAGTTATCACCTACGCAACCGGTCTGTCTGCATTCCACGCTATGGTGATCCTCATCAATCCCAAGAAGGTTTTTATTGGAGAGGGTTACCACGGATGCCACAGCGTCCTGGATATCATCCATCGCTTGAGCGGGGTTCAAAAGCTAGACCTAGAGGACATCGACCAAGCCGGCCCTGGTGATATGATTCATGTCGAGACACCATTGAATCCAACTGGCGAGGCCCGGAACCTGGCCTACTACCGCGCAAAGGCCACTGAGAAAGGCGCATATCTGACGGTGGATGCTACCTTCGCCCCCTCCTCCTCTCCAGAACCCGTTAGACTTTGATGCGGACATTGTCATGCACAGTGGTACAAAGTATGTGGGTGGCCACTCCGACATGCTCTGTGGAGTTCTGGTCCTACGGGACGATCATGTAAAGGAAGGATGGCTGAAGACATTACACAAGGACCGCCAGTACATCGGCAGTGTAATGGGGAGCTTTGAAGGCTGGCTGGGTATTCGGTCGGTTCGCACCATGCAACTCCGGGTGAAGCGACAAGCCGAGACAGCTGAGAAGCTCGTAAGTTGGCTGCACGAGGAAATCAAAAATCCCCAGTCGCCGGTTGGTAAGATTCTGACCCATGTTCAGCATGCCTCGCTCCAGCAAGAGGACTTGAAAGATGGCTGGCTCAAGAAGCAGATGCCCGGAGGCTTTGGTCCTGTTTTCTCAATGTGGGCAAGAAACCCTGCACAGGCTCGCCGGTTGCCTACGAGAATGTTTGTGTTCCAGCACGCGACTAGCCTGGGAGGGGTGGAAAGCTTGATGGAATGGCGGAAAATGAGTGATAATGCGTGCGATGAGCGACTCCTCCGGATTAGCTGCGGCATCGAGGAGTTTGAAGACTTGAAAGCCGATATCTTGCAGGGAATGGAAGGGTTGCTGAAGGATTACCCGTAAGATGGGTTTGATCTCTTCACTTTTTTTTTTCAGGCCGCCTTATTTCAGCTATATACTTCCATCTACAAGCAAGATCTAAACACATATGCTGCCTACTGATGTCGTATTTCTTCGAAGCATATTATCATAATCAGCTGTAGCTCAGGCCCATCAGTATCTTACTTCCAACTGTACCGACAATCGCCAACGATATCTACGTATCGTTAAGTTAATCATTATGCATGACACGCTGGCTACTAATAGGGGGCGCATGATCATGAGTACTATTGGTTTCTCGTGTGGAGATATGGCATCGAGATAGGCAGTTAAACTTATAAACTTATCTTCTGCCAGCTGGTCACTGCATGGGCTTTTGCAATCAATAACCAATGGGCCATTACCAAGTAATCGCCAGTTCCAGGACAAGGCCATTCACGTGGACGGAGTTTCCTGTGGATCCCGGGGAGTCACCGTCCATGTGACCGTATCTATGACGGAGAAGTGATCAGATCAACCCAAACCCCTAGAATGTGTGTTGATGCCCTGTATCTCAGCCAAGTTGGATCCACCCACGTCTAGGCTGGCTCCTCGCCATGTCTTAACCCGATTATATGGAGAAGCTCATTGCCCCCCGCAGCAGAGCATCACGTGGACGGACCGATGGCCATGGAAGCTGCAATGGATGAGGGGGGGTTCGTATCATTCATAAAGTCAGCACCAGCTCATATGAAAGTAAACAGCGTTTTCTTTCCACATTTCTAGCGTGCAGCCAAATTACATCGTGAAGGTCATGGCCCAATTTGACGTTGCGGTTGTCGGACTTGGTGTGCTCGGTAGCGGAGCTGCGTACTATGCGGCCAAGAAGGGCGCCAAAGTAATCGGATTCGAGCAGTTCGAGTTGGGCCACGTCCGTGGCGCTTCACACGATACATCTCGCATCGTGCGAACGTCGAACTTTGCGCCCGAGTATGTCAAGCTTGCCAAGTCCGCGTACGAAGACTGGGCCGAGCTAGCACGCGTTACCGGCCACGAGATGCTCAAGACCACTGGGGGGGGTTGTTTTCTTCCATCCCGACTCTCCTACCCCTGCCAGTGCTTTCACTCAGAGCCTCGATAGCCAGAATGTCCCGTACGAGCTTCTCGACTCGCAAGAAGTGAAGCGGAGGTGGCCTCAATTCGATATTCCCGACAACGTACAGACTGTCTTCACTGCCGATTCCGGTATCGCCCACGCTGCGAAGACCGTCGGCACTTTGCAGTCACTCGCCCGCTCCCATGGTGCCATTCTGAAGGAGAATACACCGGTGGACAGGGTAACACCCCAAGCCGGCGGCGGTGTTGTGATCCAGACTCCTAAAAGCCGCTTCACAGCAGGAAAGGTGATCCTGGCCACCGACGCCTGGATCAATAAGCTCCTCGCCCCTCTGTCCGTGCATATTCCTGTCTCGGTCATGCAGGAGCAGGTCACATACTACAAACCGACCGATGCTTCAGCCTACGAGGCTGACAAACTTCCTGTTTGGATTTGGCAAGGAGAGCACTGCTTCTATGGCTTTCCATGCTACGGCGAGCCCACGATCAAGGCTGGTCGTGACTTTTCCAACAATTTTATGACTCCCGAGCAGCGTACCTTTGTACATTCTCCCCAACTATTGGAGCAGCTCACAGGCTTCATGAAGGGGTTCATGCCCGATGAGCACCGTCAGCCTCTGCGCACCATCACCTGCCAGTATACCATCACCCCCGATCGGCAATTCATTATTAGCCCATTAGAGAACTACCCAGATATCATCGTGGGTCTGGGTGCTGCGCATGCCTTTAAGTTTGCGCCTGCGTTTGGGCGTGCCTTGGCCGAGCTCGCGGTCGATGGCCAGACCAAAGAGGATGTCTCAAAATTCGGTATTCCCAGGGCCGCGACCAACGCTAGCAAGCTGTGATTTGATGATTTACGTATATATCAATGGCTCGGGTTTTGCTTCCATGAAGTCCTTCCAAGGGTAACCAGTATCTGCACATCAATAAACTCGGATTATAACGTGTAATGCGCATACATTATTGCACAAATCGAGTTCGGACTCGGTTTCCCTGTTCAGGTGCATACCAATAGCACTGTTCTGCCATCGTAGACATGTTCGACATACAGCACGGTGCGCTGGTGGGAGCGTGTGTGTTGCTCGTTGTATTGCGGAGCTTGTTAATGGGCACGGGACTTCCCGAGGGCCGCGCATACGGTTGCTAAGAGGGCACGAGCCAAGACAGCAGCGTAGATTATCTCGCTAAAATTTACTATGTGGAAATTGAACGACGCACTGAGACAAATCAATATCTGGAAGAGAGGATATTACCTTCCCTTCCAACCTGCAGAGCACCAGTCCCAAGTTATATGCTGAGAACGGATAGTGTCTGTTCGTGGTTCACGCCCAAATTGCAGCAGGAATATTACCATTCAGCTTCTTTTTCGCCACAAGGCTGGCCGGAGTCCCACCGAGCTTGCTCCACCGGGCAATGCCCACCGATTGACTTTCCTCCAAAGCCAAAGCGACCATATCCGGAGAGCCGCTGATATCAAAATGCCGGGGAGAAGAGCCGTAAGCCGGGAAAAGGCCTAGAAACTGGACGTTCCTGAAGTGTTTCCCGACCGCATCTGCACAAGAGAACACCGCGATCGAGTCGTTCTTTGGACCGAATGTGTTGTCGAGGCGGTTGCTCACAACGAGGTGGTTATTATTGGGCTGAGATCTTCTTTAGCCTTTCTGCACACGAATACCGGGGTCTCAGGTTTGTCATGGCATAACATACCGAGAGTTTGATTTCAGCGACTTTAGAGCCTGCAGGTGCAGTGTCGTTTCCGAAGGAGCTCCCGTTGAAGATTTGGTGCAAGGATATCCCTTGGGCCGTGTAGGACACCCGAAATCCACTCACCTCGTTACTCAGCTCATGTGTGAGGTAGAAGTATACGTTCGAAGTGGTGCTATTTGATCCCTTGGGTGTCCAGAAAACTCCATGTCGAGGGCCGGAGCCGGGGCTTGCGACGAAAGGGCTTTTGGGCTCCAAACGACCAGTCCTGGGGTTGATAGAGAAGATGCGAACAAGATCGGCTCCAAGGTCAGGGACTAGAACATAGCGGCCTGTTGGGTCAACAACTACTCCGTGTGGGTGAGGAGCGTCCTGGCGCGCAGCGTTGGGGCCCGGACTGGACATGGAGTATGTAAATGTTTGTAGATACTTCATGTGGCCGCTGGAGCGATCAAGAAGATGTGTGGTCACAGTTGACGTCTCACTTGATGAATCATAATTGGTCAGCTATTATTTCTCTGGGTAGGATGGCTCTCCAGGGCGGAACTGACTAGTGAGCGACTGCAAGGAAATCGTGAGTGTGGACGTCCGGTGCCGAGTAGATGGCAGACATAACCGGCCCCGATGGGGTTATCAGACGCTCAATGGTCGCCAAAGACCCATTTGTATGGGTCTTGAAGGAGGTGATGCTGCCATTCGAGGATCCAATTCCTTCGTTCAGACAGTAAAGGACCTCATGTGCCCTATCTAACATCAGCCAGGAGGGGCTATTGCCGCAGTCCCTTGATTCGGAGAGCACGGAGATTTCAGTCGATCCGTGCTGACTCGTCGGAGCTAGCGAATAGACCGAGCCGCCGTAAGATGCTGCATAGAGGTGTGAGGCTGCTGCAACGCTTCCCAGCCCGGCTAGAACACAGATAGGTAGATACATGGCTGAGATGAGGATGCTCATATTGAGGCTTTCGCCCCTTTTGAACCAAACAGGATATCCTAAGCGCCCCCCCTCAGGATCTCGGCTCACCGGAAATCCGAAACCATTAGAGTTATTGCTGAATAGTTTTCCAGCTGAGCGGGTCTGCTGAGCGGGTCTTAGCTGCTTTAGCTGCTTGGCTGCTTGGCTGGTGGAGCCCCGGGATGCCGGAGATCCTGAACGTCTCGGCATACCGTGATCCAAGTTCTTCTTTTTTCCTGATGGCCTGGGTGATCCTGGCTTGGATTTGTCAGTTGCAGGGGTTCGCTCCCAATATCCTCGGAGTACTGCAGGCGTTCGTCAGCCAAGCCAACAAAAGGCCTGCAGAAGCCCACTATTGCTGGGTCGTCATCATGTCATCCCAAGGATGTAACCTCGTATATTGATTTGGGGCATAAGCTTTGGTGCCTCTCTCCTGGGAACCGAGAATGGTGTTGGACATTCCAGGTAATTGCAGATGATTGTCGAGCCTCATTCCGTACTACCGGTTACTAGATCCTTGAAGTTCAGATAATGCATCACCGGTATAATTGCACAAAAGCGGGTGTCCATCTCGATCGCCGTAATTCCAGAAAGACCCACGTCCTTTCGCCCCTATGCTGGGACAATGGACGTTCGTATCCAGCAAGGTGGCTTATGGCCCTCGCCAAGCCCCTAGCCAAGATACCCATGGTCCACGGATTAACCGCCCCCATGCAAGCATGCTCCAGTCGCATTGGTACCATATTGTGGCAGTCCAGATGAAGGTGTCATCAGTGAAAGCTCGTCTCGCCAGTTATTTATGGATTAAGCTCTCGGTGTATCGAAGAGGGATGCTCTAGGCAACAGAGTGCTCGGCGCCAAGATGTATTTCTGGGACGCAAAAGCTAAAACCTCCTAAACCGACCCAAGTCGTGCAGACAGCACGGTGGCTTCGGTGTGAGAAGTCCGTATGGTTCGGGTTTCTTGGCTCTAGGCAATACGATAGCATTTCTAAGCCATTCAATATCGAACGACTCTAGAATAGAGCCAGACCATCTCGCGGTCTGTCTAGATCCTGTCTGAGGATACTTATATCGCGATCCCCAGCCATGCTGGCCATCACTAAATCAGCGCAGTCTGAGTACTCTCTTCGAATTCGAGGCTTAATCGCGGCGTCATCATGATTAAATCCGTCCTTCCAAGGCTCGGTCTTTCACTCCTTGCCGCTACCACTGTAGCCTCTGGCTCATCAGATATCCAGCCTCAACTGATCTCCGACCCTCATGCGGTCGCCGGAAAGCATTATAACTATGTGATTGCCGGGGGAGGCCTGACTGGTCTCACCGTCGCTGCAAAGCTATCGGAGAACCCTAACATCTCCGTGCTCGTTATTGAGCGAGGCTTCTACGAGTCCAATGATGGTCCAATCATCGAAGACCCCAACAGATATGGCGAAATTTTCAACTCGCGTGTCGACCAGCAGTATGCCACGGTTGATCTGGCCATCAACAACCAGTCCTTTCCTATCAGATCGGGCAAGGGCCTAGGCGGCTCAACACTCCTCAACGGAGATTCGTGGACCCGGCCCGACAAGGTCCAGATTGACGCTTGGAGAAGGTCTTTGGAATGGAGGGCTGGAATTGGGAGGGCTTGGTTGAATACATGAATGCCGCTGAGCGTGCGCGCCCACCCACTGACGCCCAGATTGCCGCTGGTCATGCGTTCAACGCTTCCTGCCACGGCTTCAATGGCACAGTTCACTCCGGGCCTCGTGATAACGGGCAGGACTTCTCGCCAATCATGCAAGCCCTGATCAACTCTACTTCGGCAATGGGAATCCCCACTCAACAGGATGTGACCTGTGGTCATCCGCGTGGAGTTTCGATGATCTATAACAACGTACAGGAGGATCAAACCCGTGCAGACGCTGCTCGCGAGTGGCTCCTCCCCAATTACAAGCGGGAAAACTTGCATGTGCTGACTGGCCAATTGGTCGGCAGCATCTTGTTCGATGACTCTGGCGTAAAGGCCGTTGGGGTCAACTTCGGAACCAACAAGGCTGTGAATTTCGATGTCTTCGCCGACAACGAAGTACTCCTGGCTGCGGGCTCCGCTATCTCCCCTCTCCTCTTGGAATACTCCGGTATTGGGGTGAAGTCTGTTCTGGACAAAGCCGGCGTTAAGCAGCGACTGGAGTTGCCGGTGGGGCTTAACATGCAAGATCAAACCACCACCACCGTCCATTCCCGGGCCAAGGCCGCAGGCCAGGGCCAGGCTGTGTTCTTCGCCAACTTCACCGAGACCTTTGGCAACCAGGCCCAGCAGGCGATCAACCTGCTCGACACCAAGCTTGAGCAATGGGCAGAGGAGACCGTTGCTCGAGGCGGTTTCCACAATGTCACCGCTCTCGTCATTCAATACGAGAACTACCGTGACTGGCTCTTGAATGAAGATGTTGCCTTTGCGGAGCTCTTCCTCGACACCGAAGGAAACATCGACTTCGATGTCTGGGATTTGATCCCTTTCACCCGCGGCTCTACGCATATTCTACACAGCGATCCCTACATGCTTCTGTACGCCAACGACCCGCAGTTCTTCTTGAACGAGCTGGACCTTCTGGGCCAGGCCGCCGCCACCAAACTGGCTCGCGATCTTTCCTCCGCCGGCATGATGCGGGATTACTTTGACGGAGAAACTATCCCCGGCTCCAACCTGGACCAGGATGCTGACCTGGATCAGTGGAGCACCTACATTAAGCGCAACTTTCGCCCCAACTACCATGCCATTGGAACCTGTTCCATGATGACGCGGGAGCTTGGCGGTGTCGTGGATGCTGCTGCCAAGGTCTATGGGACTCAGAACCTCCGTGTGATCGATGGCTCGATTCCTCCCACTCAGGTCTCTGCTCATGTCATGAATGTGTTCTACGGAATGGCGTTGAAGATTGCCGATGCTATTCTGGCAGACTACCAGGCGTAGGAGTCTTTTTCAGATGCTGGACGTCGTAACCAATGGCATCTTAGGGAAGGTTCTCTCTAGATGTTGATTACATTACAAGGCTGACTACATATTCTTTTTTTTTTCTCTTCTCTTCTCGTTACATGCACAACATTTGGATCCTGTTATCCCGGCCCCGGCCTCATCCCGGTACCGGGGTGTTTTCCTCTCCGCCACGCCGCGGAATCGGCGTCACATCTATTTCTACTTCTACTTCTTCCCCTCCATAGACTTTTAGAAATTCAAAGTTTGCCAATTGTCAGAAATACAAATTCTCCTCTTACGTTTACCCCACTGCACCAAACTGCCTTGTGTACCCCAACTCAGCAATCCACAATGGGCGCCACAACCTTAATCCTCCTCGACGTTCAAAACGGCATAATCGACATGCTCGGCCGCGTCGAGATGGAGCCCTACCTCGAACACCTCGCCTCCGCCCTCTCCGCCGCCCGAAGCAGCGGGATCAAAGTAATCCATGTCATCACGGCTTTCCGCCCCGGCTACCCCGAAGCACACCCCACCAACGCCTCCTTCGCCCACGTCATGCAGCACGGACTCTTCCAAGTCGGAGATCCGGCCATTGAGGTGCACGCCGCTGTGGCGCCGACGCCAGAGGAACCGGTCGTCACGAAGCGCCGTGTCTCGGCTTTTACGGGGACGGAGCTGGAGATGATTCTGCGGTGTACCGGGAGCGACCATATTGTTGTTGCCGGCCTTATTACCAGGGGCGGTGCTGTCGACTGTGCGATCGGCGATGGATTTGGATTTGCGGATTACGGTGCTGAGGGATCTTTGTCAGGATCGAGACGAGGAGGTTCATCGGGTGTTGATGGATAAGGTGTTTGAGAGGAAGGCGGAGGTTATTACTGGGAAGGATTGGGCTGCGAAGCTTACGGAGTAGCGAAGAGCGCTTGGTGAAAGAATAGACAGTTATGGTTCGATGGAAGAGGTGGGATGAGTTGTTTAATGGCAGATTTCTACTAATCGGACTTGGGCTTTTCGGATGCACCGATTTGGATTCAAGGAAATCAGAAAGTCTATCAACATCGTAGCGAGGGCATATACGCATTGCAGCTATGCTGAATCAATCACGCTCATCTTATAGCTTCACCTGGTTCCGGTCCTGGGGCTCGCAACATGCTGCCGGTTCTGGGTGCTGAATAGACTGGTTGAAGGACTGCGACGACTGCGGGACGTCTAGCGCAGGGTTCTTGGTGAAGAATCCATCCGGCTTGAGCATGACGCTAATGCGCTCCACAGGCATGACCGGGAAATCTTCAATACGAGGGTTGTGCGTAAGTCCGAAAGCTGCGGTGTTGTTAGCAACCTTCCTTTCACGAGTAACAGGCGACGTAGGAGGCAACTTACTGTGCCAGAGGACGATATCTTCGTCCTCGACCTTATCCTTTCGATCGGCCCACACCTCGACACCATCCGACTTCTTGCTTTGGTTGGTAAACTCGCCTGCTGCGTACAACTCGTCATCCTGGTATTTGGTCACCCAGATCGGGCGGGTGGCAAACTGCGCACGCTTGGTACCGAATGACTTCGGGCTAGCCAGGAGCATTTGGCTGGGCATTGCTTGCAACTTATAGGCGATGGGGTGGTGGGTGATTGAGTTGATAATATTGTCGTTCCGAATCTTGAAAACGCGGTGTCGATCCACGCTCGTGAACGCACTGCCGCTTTCCTTCAAGACGGTCTTTTCGGTGACATATCCGACATGATATGGGTTGTTGTCATCCTCTGGCATGGCGACGCTATCTTCGTAATAGACAGTATTCTTGAACCCGTCCAGGGCAGGGTCAATGCGAAGAGAAAACAGGTGTTGATGATTTGGAGCCATCACGCCTGGGCCGACATTTGTTCCCCAAGGCACGGTCTGCCCATTCTGGTTGTCGAAGGGCACCGTCGACAGAATACCGGTCGCGCGGACCTCGAGCTCGATATTGGCAGCTTGATCAAGAATGAAGGCAAAGATATATTCGTAATTGGCAACCGTACAGATCATTTGGATCACCAACTGTCTGTTCCGGACGACTGTGGCCGCCCCGCTGCGGTAATTGGTGTGCTTATGCTGGAGACCGTTGTCTTGCTCGTGCATACAGATAACGTTCTGTAACCGGATGGGGGTACCTTGGGCATCGGTTCGGTAACCATCGAAATATTTGATATGGCCCAGGCAGTCACAGCCGAGCGACAGCTGGTTGGCTGTAATACCAAAGCCAACATCGCCAACGTCAAATGCTTGCTTCCGGTGATAGGGAGCCCGTGGGTCTGTTTTTCCATCAGTCTTCAGCCCGTTCCATGTGCTTGCACGGGTACATACCGCCATATGGAACAGTCATTTCGGACATAGATAGTCGGTAGAATGTATTACGTCCATCATAGGTAAGGTTGTGCAAGACCAGGCCTTCCCGATTATTGAAGCCAACACGGAATCGCCACTTCTGCCATGAGACTGCGTTTCCGATGACATTGAATGAGGCACCCTCGGGCTGCTGCACGATATACGGCTTCAAATCAGTGCGAAGCGGTTCATCAAGCAGCTCATGAGCGTATTGAACCGTAGGGACCGGCTTCCATGGCTGGGTGCTGTTTGTCTGAGCATCAGCCCCGCCGGGCAGGTAGTCCATGCGAAGCAACTCATGGGTAATGGCGTTGAACACGGGAGAGAACTGGCAAGGGAGCGAGTACTGATTGTTCTGCGGGTGGTCCGTAGCCACAATATACATATAGCATTGCACCAGACGCCGCGACTCGCTGGCATCGTCAGTGCCGTAAATCCAGGGATCGAGGCACACGGTCATGCCGGCGGGAAGCTTCAGCTTCTCGATCTCTGCCTTGACGGCGGGGTGGTCCAAGCAGACCTGCTCCAGCTCAATCATCTCATCAATATCGACAGGGCCCTGTGGCATTCATGAGCAAGGGATCAAGTCTTGTGCAGCTGACAATTGCCTACCTGAACATCCTTTGGAAGTTCCTTGATGGTGACAGCGGACTTGGTATCGGCATTGAGAAGAGCCTTGAAAAAAGATCCATTGTCCAGGCGATGGAACAAGGCCGACAGTAAGCGAGTGGGCTTCTTCGGGCGAGGCTTGCCCAATCTTTCGGCCTCGAGGTAGGGAATGGTCTCCTGTTTGATAGGCTCTTGCAGATCAATACGCTTATACCGCAACTTGACCCCCGGGAAGTTGGATTCCAAGATCCGAACAGCCAGCTGGATTTCCCCAGGGGTAATAGGGTCAAAGGGGTGAAGGCTTGCCATTGTCGAAAGGGTTGTCAAACTCTCGACAAGATGAGAATTTTAGCCCTTTTATATCCTGTCAGGGACGACCTGCCTTTCGGGAAATCTTCCGCTGGTGAGGGGGGTCGCCGTTGGTTGGCTACTTTTGTCCCACTGAGTCCCCACCAAGCGCGAGTTTGCCCTAGTACGGTTTAGCGCCGATAACGCACGACGCCTCTGGGCAGCCGCGCGCGATAAGCAGATAAAACAGCACCTCCTAATGGGGTAGGTGTATCTCATCAGTGGGTGGCAGTGAGTATTTGGTTGCACATGGAGTTTCCATTCTCGTACGACTCAGTTTCTTCACTTGTCTTTTACTTGGAGCGATCCAAACATGTTCCAAACATGATCTAGAATGTTGATGCGAAATGTTGCTAATAACATGAATGTCAAAAATATACATTTAGGGTGTTTTAGTGATCGAACACGATTCCAATTCCCCAGCTGATATGCGACAATCTAAGGGCATAACCTCCCTCGGCATCTTCTCAAATAGCGCTAGAAGCTTCCATCAAATTTGAAAAGTATGTTCATCTCTTGAGATGATTTCAAGTTTACGTTGAGACGACTCCAGGGCTACCTTGGTTCGGCCGACAGCTTAGCGCGGGAAGGAGACATGACTTCATGTTTACAGGACCAACACATCCATCTGGGAAGGACGGAGGTCTATGCGGGGATAGCTCAGTCAAGAAAAGTGAAGACGTTCTTCATTTGTTTATGGATTGGTGAGTGCGGTCCTGTCCGTTTAGCCAAGAATACTATGCACTCGGCAAATTTCCACCGTCGGTACAATCAAGGGTCAGGAATGTTACCACGAGTCGCCCACCAAGAACACGGCTAGGCAACAATAAAAACCTGCAGAAAATATAGTTTCGACTAGCTATCTTATGGCACTTATCCTCATGGCGAAAGACATGCCTGCCACTTGTGGGGATGCACCAAATGGAAACGAAGATGTGTTCACGATGCACCACCGAGAAGCTGGGGATGGAATTCAGGGCCGCCTCCATTCTGGGGCGGGTGGCCCTTCCAAGATCTTACGCGACCCAGCATTCCAGATCTTTGTGGCCTAGATCTTCGCGTCCACTACATAACCATGGTGCGTTCCTCTTCGCCTGTGCTGTTGCACGCCCTCCGCCAACCGCCATTATGTTCTGCTGAGCGTATAGTGGAGCAACCAGATTAATTACTAACCAACCCAACCGCAGCTATAGCTAGGTCTTGAAGTCCTGTCAGTCTTTTCTCTTTCTGCTTTACATTAAGCTCTGTCTCCTCAATTGTGGTGCACCTACACGGCCACTGTCTCTCGTTAACCAAAAATGCGGTTGAACATATATCAGCCACTCCTTCTGGCGGTGGGCGCCAATATTGCCCTATCCACTCATTGGAATTATTGGAACCATGCGCATGGAAAGCTGTTGCATCATGCGCAACAGTTGGAACCGCGCGGAGATCTGCTGGAGTTGAACGGGGATCAAATCCCGGCCGACCTGGTGGAGCTTCGGTATACCACGACCACTCTTTACCAAGATTGTCTTCCCACAAGTACGGCTTTTATCACGGTGACAATATGCGAGGATGAACCATCTGCGCCGACTCAATCGCTACCGCAATTCCCTACAAATGTGGTGCAAGCCCAGCCACCCCCCGAAGAGACCACGGTGGTGCACTCGACGAGGACGAGGACAATTACCGTCACCGAGCCGAGCACCGAAACTATCACATTGATCTCTCAACACCATAGTACGAGTACTGCCATTCCTGCTGATGCTCCAAGCCCACCAGCGGTCATTCCGTTCCAACATGTCCCCAACGTTGCTTTCACACAAGCGGTGACACCGACCCATCTGAGCACGACAATCACCACTTCTATCCCCGGACTGGGAAGCGCCACTGTCAGCGTTGCAGCGGATGTAGGTGACGCCCCGTCTGGATCCGCCTTTGTCGGAGATAGACCAGTACCAGCCCCAACAAAGGTCGAACAAGGACCGGGACTCCTCCCGACCCTTCCACACTTACCACAACTGCTCCCTACAACAGTCATTCCCAACTTACCGATCCCGTCCCTGGACCAAGTCTTTCACCCGGCGAACCCGTCCATCCCCTCAGATTTGCAGTGGACGTCGCTCCCCAAAGACGGCGCATTTTCTACCAAGGGATTCGGCGGCCGCAGCATACCACACGGAAACAGGATCAAGTACGAGGGTAACGTGGGCATCCCTTGGGGCAGCAACATCATCTCCGTGAGCCCCACCGAAGCCCATCGCTACAAGTATGTCGCGCAGTTCACAGGCTCGAATGACCAGCCCTGGACGGTGGTGATCTGGAACAAGGTCGGTCCTGACGGCAAGATGGACGGATGGTACGGCCACTCCGCACTGCAATTCGTTCTCGCACCGGGTGAGACGCGCTATGTTGCGTTTGACGAGGACTCGGAGGGAGCGTGGAGTGCGGCGCCGGGGACGAAGGGGGTGCCGCGCGATCAATGGGGTGGGTATATCTCCACCTGGGGCGAATTCTCCTTTGGGGACCAAGAGAATGATGGGTGGTCAGGGTGGGATGTGTCGGCTATTCAGACTCAAATTGCCCATGGCCCTGTGGAAGGGATGAGGATCTGTATGGCGGATGGGAAGGGGTGCTCGATCATCACGCCTGGCGCTGAGAGGGTTGTTGATGCGTATACTGCGGCGAAGCGCCATCATGATGGGATTGGGGGAGCCGCGTCTCCGGGACCTGTGAGGCTGACGGTGGATCTGGATTATAAGGAGTAATGTCTAATGGGAGTGTAAATACAGCGTTACAGTGTTTTGAAGTTTCTGAGATTGGGAGATTTTAAGCAATTTTCTAATTTTAAAAACTGTTTAAATGACTAGTTAGCCCCAGTCTTATTTACCGGGGGAGCAAAAAGAGAATACGTTTCGGATAATCTTGTATAATGTTGCCATACAGTCATCTCAACTTATTACCTGGTATCCCCTCTTGGGCATCACTCCGCGTATGCACCCTTGGTTTCCTCATGAATCACATCAAATAAGGGCTGTGCACTGAACCATCCAGCCTTTGGGCTTCCGACAGTTTTATATGTGAAGGCAGCGTCTGCTTCCTCGATCTTGACGGTCTCTCCGCCACGACCTGCGGCCGCAGCATCTGCAAGGAGCTGGGTGTAACAGCATCTTTCAAGGCTGACAAACCAGTAGATTGTCTCTTCAACGCTCTTTCCAACGGTCAGAATGCCATGGTTCTGGAGAAGAATCGCCTTTTTATTCCCGAGTGCCTTTGCGATCTCGAGCCCCTCTTCTTCGGCCAGGACAATGCCCCTGAAGGAACGATATACCGCATGGTCCTATAAACCAGAACAGATGAGCCAAAAGTACACGACGACTACTGCGTAAGGAAGGATCCAACTCACATTATAGAACGCACAGGCATCTTGTGAAATGATATCCAGAGGCCGTCCAAGGGCACAGAATGTCCGCCCGTGAATTGCATGGCTATGCGCAGCACAGATCACATCCGGGCGCGCAGCATGGATGGCCGAGTGGATCATGAACGCCGCCGCATTCAGATTCCGGTTAGGGCCACCGTCGATAACCTTGCCCTCGTGGTTGACAAGGATCAAGTCGGAGACTTTCATCTGCGAGAAAGCCTTGCCGAACGGATTGACCCAGAAAGTCGTGGGATCTACGGGGTCACGGAGAGTGATGTGCCCCGCAACACCTAGAACTAAATCAGCATGCCGGCCTATCTATCAGGGGAATGTGGGTGTACCTTCATCATATCCGAATTTGCCAAAGATGCGAAACGCGGCGGCCAAGCGGTTCTTCAGGTACTCGCGCTCTTTGTATTTATCTTCGAATGTGGGGTAGGACGGCAATTGCATTTTGACTTTGGCGTTGGCCGCGGCGGCCTCTTGCGAGGAGACCGGGCTTGCATCTTGACGGACTCAGAGCTAACTGTCTCGGTAGCAGATGGAGGGGCCATATTGACTGAACTGGAGACTTCAGATGTTGAGAATAGGGGAGGAAACGCTGTATAAACGGTTTCCCTAGCCGCGTGCGGGGCTGATTTACTTACAACCGGTGCCTCCGGCATTGGCTACTGATAGGCCGAGGAGGGGACCGAGGCCGGGGGCGCGTTGGGGGGGGGAATAACCGAGCGAAGGAGCTTCAATTTTCACATGACTATCTAAAGAAAGAGTATATATAGAAGATCGCTGGATTTACTGTTCACAAACGCGCGATACGACACGAGGTGGTACCAGCCCCAAGATGTCTGTGGTACCCGCTAAAAAAGAAGTACAAAGAGTAAGAAAAACCCAAATGCGGGGATAGATGCCGCGTTTAGTTCTAGATCGGAGGGAAATATCCTTGTTCGCTTTCCGCGATCAAAACCTCGAGTAAGCGCTGGTCAGCAGGACTCCGGCTTTGACTGATTTCACGCTGGCTGGGCTGTCCCACCAAGGGCTTCATATCGGCCTGGCAGAGGGTGCCAGCCGTAGGAGTGTCGCCTGTTTGGAAGTAATTACGAATTGCCTTTGCCACACATACTGAAGGTGCGGCAAGTGTCGTATGCTGCGTGCGATTTTAGCTGGTAAGCTCTATGATGTATTCGGGGAAATCACATACTCCTTCCGAGTCTTGTTGAATGAGTGCAGACCCTGGGAACTGTTGCGACATATGTTGCGCGCTATGTTCGACGTTAGCCAATCAGGGCTTATAATACGAACTGAATAGCAACTCACCTGTGCAGCGGGGTGACGGGATCCAAAGTATTCGAGACAAACAGCATGGGGTGCGAAGTAACTCCACCCCAAGGGCCTAACGATGTCAGCATATGCCACTGTCAGGCGTAAAGAATCAATCCATACCGGTAAATTTATACTTGGCTTTCGCTTGCCATCCCACACAGCCAAGTTGAAGTTGGGCCCAGTAATCCCCCAGCACAAGACTGTCATTTTTGATGCCGTCCCAGACTTCCTGGAATGTCTCCATAGTGTGGTTCGTCAAAAACTCGGCATCGGTGCACAGAATAGCAGAGCTGGAGTATAAGCCGTTATCCTGGCCACGCGTGCATGCAGGGGACCAAGGTCCAGCGATGCTGCAGGCCCCCGAGGGACACGCGCTAAAGTGACCTCGATGTTTGAAATCCGCCATCGGAAGTGGATTTCCTCGCGTTAAAGCGGCCGTCTTCTCAGCCAGGATACGAAATGCAAGAAGTGGCTGATAGACAGCAATACGGAGCACGGCTTTCATGTCGGTCCAGGTTATGACTTCAGGTCCTCGGTTGGCCGTAGCAATGACCGGTATCGGCATCTCATACAGCTCCTCCTCCAATTTCCAATATGCCCTCTTGATGGCTTCGGGCCCTCCCTCGGTGTACAGTGGACAGCCAACTGGCCCGACGAAGTCACAGTAATCGCCAAATCGATCGAAGATAGCATCTGCATCTATGACAGCATTCGGGCCTCGTCCCTCGTAGTACTTGTCCATATTAACAACACCGTCAAGCACAGCCCGGGCGACGCGGTCAGGAAAAAGAGCGGCAAAAGTGGTTCCAAGAACGGTGCCGTACGATCGACCCCAGTACAATAACTGTTCCTGGCCTTGACGCCATTCAGTGCGCTTCACAATTGCACGTTGAGCGTCAAAACCGTGGGTCTTGTCATGACGTCGCTGCTCATCTCGCCCTTGCTTCGCACGCCATTCGCCGTGCTTTTCAACGATAGTGATCATATCTCGCGCCACCAAGGGGGTACTGACATAGCTCATCATTGAGTCACCTTCCGGGTGTGCTGTCATCTCCAGCATGGAGCATCCCGTGTTAAGCGCCTTCATCCGTTGCCAATTCCTAGGCAGTGAGCTCGGCGAGCTACCCAGCATGCCCTCTGCTTCGACCTGCAACTCCCAATTCCGTTGAGACACGGGGTCTGGAAAGCATGTCACTGCGGGCGTGGTTTCTCCTACACCACGGGGATCGAAGCCAATTATATCGAAATATTGGTCTTCATATTTAATTTGGTCATTGACAGGATCGCCCTCTGCATCTACGATGGATTGGAGATTGTGACCGGACAAGAATGCCTGTTCTGTTCCTCGACCACCCGGGCCACCTAGGAAAAAAAAATCACTAAGCCCTTCTCTCCTTTCCCAAACACAAGGATAAGGCGCTCACCTGGATTAATCAGAACCGCGCCACCATAGCGAGGGTCACCGATGGACACCTTGGCAGGAAGACGGACAATTGCAAGGACAACCTTACGCGCTCGCCCGTCGGTCTTGTTGTAGTCCATCGGCACCTCTAATCGAGCACATTCAAAACCGCCACCACAGTCGCTGTATTCCAAAGACGTCGAGGGCTCCAGCCGGTCCCAACTGAATCCCGCCGTTGATACCGGTGCCGGCGCAGCATAATTTTCCACAGAAAAAAATTTGCTGGTAGATAAGAATAACATTCCAGCCGCGCATCCAGCGGCCATCCAACGTACGGCCTTTTCACGCCGTGACAGCATCCGACGCCCTAACAGTGGGCGCGAGCCGAGGGATTTGGCATCCATGGTCTTATCGGCGGGAACTGAGGTATTCCCCGAACAAGCAGAGATCAGAGACCAGCCAAAAGGGCCTTGATTGCCCGCGGTTGCTTTGGAAAGAGGAGCGCTAGAAGTGCTGCTGGCCCTCGTTGATGTACCACAACTTGAGGTGAAAACTAATCAGATAAGAAGCAACCGAAGGGCGCGAAATTCGACCCGAACCACGGCTGGTGGGTCGAGAAGTTCCATGGGCGGGGGGGGGGTACGGGGAGGAGTCCGCGCCGATCAAGGGCCAAGAATGTTGCGGTGGGGGGGGCGGATGGATCGATCAGATCGTGCCCACAGTCGCTCTGCTTCTGCCATTGGAGAAGCCTTGAAGGCGGGAGTTCTCCAGCTGCATGAGACCAAGCAAAGCAGCAGGCTGAAAAATGAACGGAATCTGATGGTTTTGGCGCAGGGGGCCGCTTGCCGATTCATTTCTGAGGGCAGCCGACGTCGATCCAGTTGGCCAGTTGCAATCTCACTTATCCGGCCACTCAGGATACGCCACTGATAAGCAGCGACCCATTTGGGGATTGATGATCGGCGCCGGCTTTCGATTAGACCTGCAATCTGTTGCGCTGGCCTTTCTGCTGGTCTTAGCACCGCGCTGGTTTTTAGTCTGACATTGCGGCGCAAGATGCGGATATCCGGCTCGCACTGGCTGTTAGACAGACCCTGCCAAGATTGGTTTTGGATGGGCGACGCTCATTCGTCTTAAACTGTGGACTGTCAGTAATGCGAATAGCAGCACATGAAGCTGAGGTCCATACATCCTTCAGGGGCTGGGCATATTCGATTTCCTGACTGAGGCAGAGTCGCAACCTGTGAGGAAGCAAAACGCTTGGAGTTGGACTGTAGGCGTAATATAGTACAATGGTGCAGCTCATTTGGCACAGTTCAATCAAACAAAACCTTTTGCGAAGTCTCGAAACTGGGATCCAGCGATGTTCGTTACCCTTTCAGCGTTTCAAGTTCGTATCGACTAGTATGTCCCATGCACATTTCACATCATCAATACAACCGTATACCAGGCAGCACTTCAAGTCGTGCTACGGTACAGGTCAACCGCCAAATATGATCTGATAAATAGACCCTCAAGCTACTTTAGTTGCCTAGTATCAGCTGGGATCACCTAATCGCGTGAACTTCACCTTGAAGTTGATTCTTGCCTTCGAAAACATCATGCCGAACCTCGATCGCACTCTGCTTTCCCCACCCACCATCATCCGGCATCTACCACCGTTGTTTACGCAGGTTTGTACCGCATACTCCATGCAACACATCCTTGCTCCTTGGTTTATCATGGACGAAAAACGTGGAGCATATCAAGACGGAACCAGATGGCGTGGCCTTGACTGACCAGGCAACGACGCTGGGCGGATGTGTTGGGTCCGAGTGGTGGCCTAAGTATGCGTCATCCAACAGCGCAGCAGAGCCGCCTGCAACATATAAGAACCACCTGACATTCGCGGTATGGCCTGTATTACCCCGCAGCATCATCACCTTTGACAGCAATCATCGCACTGTCATCTTTTCTCTCAAGAGAAACAAAAATCGCAACGATGTCGCCCAACCTCCAAGCCTACGTGGACGAGATCCACACGATGGCCCTGGAAGACAGTATCAAAGCCATCGCCGACCTCCTCCCATGCGTCATCACCTCCGTCTCGCCAAACGCAACCTACCTGATGCGCCACCCAGACTACGAAGGCGAAGCCAAATTCGATGACCTGGGGAAATACTTTCTAAATAACAACCAGCGCTGCTTCGCAGAGAACGCACCACTTCGACTACGCTTACTCCAGAGCTCTTTAGACGACAAGTTCGAGGGTATCTACGGAGAACTTTACAAGGCTGCAGTTGACGGAGTCAAAAATGGTACGATCAAGCCGGAGCCGAGAGAGGATCAAGGCTGCGCTTGCTGTGCGGGAGAGCCTGCTGCAGTTATCGGTATGGGGTTTCACCATGGAAATGCGTTCTTATACACCATTGAGCAGTATCGCCAGCTCTGGGGTCACCAGCAGAATCATGGATCGCGAAGCGGGTGGATGGGAGATTCTTGGGACGAGCAGTGGTATGCTTCGAAGGAGCAGGTCGAGGAGGCACTGGCGCGCGAGTCTACGCCAATTGCAGGTCGTCTGTGACGAGAGCCCCATGCGCTTTGGAAGGAAGACAGAAGGGTCGGGGTGAAAAACATTGCTTTCGGTATTAGGGTAAGAACGGTGGGGTGATTTGGAATATGAAATGATTACGCGTTCGGCGGTCAAAGATTGACGAGAGTTTTGCGGGAGATTATAACCTTATTACAGAATTAATATATTATATGCAAAACACTATACGTGTCGCTGAACTACCTTATGATTTATTTCCCAGGCGAACCCAGCACACAGACGAATTTGCGGTCAGGTGTTGAGTCCAGCGCATTCTTGACCAAGTTCCATACGTTCAAGTCATACGCCTCTCCGATATGCCCCACAGGATCAAGCGGGCAAGTGTCCTGGATCCAAGTGTTCTTGACTCCAGCCTCGTGGATGAAAGCAGTCTCGGGAGGCGTAACGAGCTCATCGGACTTTGAAGCAATGACCGTGATCTCGTTGCCAGGTTGTAAAATAGGAGTACCATCATTCAATCGGTCCACCGCAGCGCCGTCGGGGCCAAGGTCGTTGCAAGCACCGCATCCCACCGTGTCCAGGACCTCCCCGATGAGGGCACGGGAGGCGTTCCCAAGTATATAGGCGAGGTCGTAGAGGTTGGCGAAGGTGGTGGCGTGGGTTCGGGGGTGCGATAGGGATAATTTTGTCAATGAGGTCGGCAACGCCCTCGAACTTGGGGACGTAGAGGCTCTGGAAGGCTCCCTCGGAGTGGCCGACTAGGTTGACCTTACTCTTGCCAGTCTTCTGCACAACTTCCTTGATGAATGCAGCGATCTCGGGGGCCGACTCTTTGATTGGCTTCAGGCCGCCGACAAACGGGAAGCCTTCGTAGGCGCCATAGGTAAGAGAGTAGGTACAGTAGCCATCGTTCTGCAACCAGAATTGCAAGAAGTTCAGGTCCTCGTAGTATGTGGCGCCGAGGCCGTGCAGGAGAACCACGGGGTTGGACGAGCTCTCACAAGAGTAGTCGTTGATTGCGGACGCGAACGCGGTTGACGCGCCCAGCAGGGCCGCAACGGTTAACCGGCTAATTGACAGCATTGTGTGTATACCCCAACGTGTTTTGCCAGATCGAACCCCCGTGGGAGCGTTCGTCGCTTTTAAGTGTACGGGCCTCAGCGGGTGTGTTTTCTTTGCTTTTCCCCCCTCTCTCATTTCCCTGAAGGATTTGGGCCCATCGTTCCCAGGAACTATCGATTAATGATCGGCAAACAAGGCCATTACTGGTTAGCGTAGTGGATCTAAGATCTAATTTGTCTCAGCGTAATATGGGGTCCTCTTCGAATTGAGCCAATAGCAGCGCGTTGGCTTCCCCATTTACGAGACCAAAGTGATACGTCAGCTCCACATATTGAACAGAAGGCCCACGCGGGTGCTGCAAAACCCTGCCTAACTAATGTATGGAACACGGGGTTTGTGTTGGCAGGGAGCTGGAGATTATTGCTCCACTGCACTAAATGGATTCAAGACGATGAACTCCAAGCCCGATAGGTTTATGCTCCAAGAACGGGTTGATTTTTGAGGCAGCAGAACAGATGCTGAGGATACCTCGCCTTGAGGTGATTAGAAAAACAACGCTTTCATACCGGCATGGTCACATGGAGGTTATCATTTCAGTCAACTGTGAGAGATTATGGTGCTTTCATGTCACCAGAAGCGAACTTTGAATCTTTACTGGTTGAGAGCTCTGACATGTTACTGCCCCAGAGCCCCAACGAGTGTCGCTTTTCTACTAGTTTGAGTACCTCCACCATAAATTCTCGCTCGGGTCCATTATCAGGGAATGCCTCCCAAGCTACCCTGGTGGTGAACGCGAGTCGATTGATCATGTTTCCTGGCGCGGTAAGAATGTAAAATTCATACGATCGACAAATTCCGCAACCAAATTCGTAACGCTCCGGAATGGTGAGTCGCTCTCCCTCAGGACGGTCATCGATGGAAGAAAGGATGAGTCGGTACGTATAGTAGACGCACATCGTTTGTGCTAGAAGAAGATTGGGGTAGTATAACTTCGTTGGGGCATACACTCCTCCGGTGCGGAAATCACGTTGCCTGAAGATGGGGAACCCTTGATCTTCGGTCTGTGGGCGCTCTTCAGGGGGTCCATCTGGGTAGCATTCCACAAAGTCTTTTAGCCATTGATTGAACCGGCTATTGAGCTCAGTAATGCCGTTCCAGAGAGCCGCTCGCTTAACGGCCATCTCTTGGGCACCCATCACAGATGATTGCCGAGCTGCTCGGAATTGGTCGGATTGAGCCAGCAGTCCTGGGATGCCGGTTACCAAGTCAAGCAGGTGATGCAAAATGTCCTTGGATGTCGTGCCAGTGTAGGACAGAAGAGGATCCGTAGAAGTTGACTGAAAAGGCCACCAAGAAAACAAAAGCCATTAAAACATAACGAAAAAAAAAATTTGGCGCTGCCCGGAATCGAACCGGGGCTGTACGAGATTATGAATGTGGTTAACCACAATCGGACGTCATACCACTAGACCACAGCACCTTATTATATGATTCGCTGCTGATAATTGACATATTGACTTGCTCAAGGAAAAGAAAAAAACGTGGAAAAAAAATAACTTTTTTAAGCAACCCCCCATGGGCAGCGCCGGGGTGTGGGGACCATAAAAAAAGGCCCAAAAACCCAAAAAGAATGGCGCTGCCCGGAATCGAACCGGGGCTGTACGAGATTATGAGTGTGGTTAGCCACAATCGGACGTCATACCACTAGACCACAGCACCGAATGTCTTGATCGTGGCGCAGAGTTTTGCTATAGGTGCAAGATATTTTTACTAGCACTGGAACCTTCAGGGTAGAACAAATCTCCGCTGCGGGGGCGATGCCCCAGTATCTCATGCGCTTGCCGGTTAAATGCTACCCGCCGCATCTTGAAGCCGAACAGATTTCCCCGCCTTGTTGGCAACCCCGGATTGGCAACCCCGGATTGATCGCACACATGGCAAAGAGTATATCCGTGAAGCTAACTCAAACCCGACTAACGAATCTTGAAAGAGAGGAATGTTTCCGTCAAAAAAAACCGAGTGAAATCTACCTGTTCTCCTCACCAGCATAGCAGGTTCAAGTTGATTCCATCATGGCTAGTCAAACTCCATCACAGAAGACCCTTCACCTAGTTGGCATAGGAGTCACACATTCCATCGCACCCAAAATGCACAATTATATCGCCCAGTCCCTTGGCCTTCCATGGACCTTTCACAGCACGGAATGCCCAACCATCGAGGATGTGCTCGCGTTAGCCAAGGAACCGTCAACAGCTGGCCTGGTGGTAACCATGCCGTACAAGAGCACCATCATGCGTCATTTGGACCAACTGGATGATCTGTCTGTTTCTATTGGAGCTTGTAACAATGTATATTACACTTCCGAGCAGCCCCGACGACTTTGCGGCACCAACACTGACTGGAGGGGCATCCGGGGCTGTTTACTCGAAAAGGGTCATGAAGCCGTCCGGCCGTCGGCATCATCGCCGGCACCTGCTCTGATAATCGGCGCCGGGGGCGCGAGCCGGGCGGCAGCTTATGCGCTTGCAACGCATTTACACTCTCACAGGATCTATGTCCTGAATAGGGATAAGGGAGAAGTGTTAGACCTGATACGTGACTTGAGTCGACTCCCGGTGGCCCCAGAAATTGTCCACGTCGAGAGTCTTGAGCAGGCAAGTCAGCTGCCTAGCCCCTATTATATTGTGGGAACAGTGCCAGATATGGAGCCAAAGAGTGAAAGCGAGAAGAACGTGGCATCGATGTTAGAGCACTTCCTCTCTCGAGGCGAGAAAGGGGTTTTGTTGGATATGTGCTTCAAGCCCCGAAGAACGCGTATTATCAAACTTGCAGAAAGGTTGGGTGGGCCGACAGTGGAAGGGACTCATGTCATCGGCTACCAAATCCATGAACAGTACCGCCTATGGGCCGGAGAAGACCGTGCACAGAGAATTGAGACGGAGAAGGCATGGGATGTTCTGCTCAAGGCGGCCGAGAGCAGTCCAAGTATCAACTTCTAAACACGCACATGAGGAATTTAATGGTGATTATACTTATTATATGATAGTGTATCATTTTTCTCATAGAAAGTTCGTCCCTGTCAATCCACACATATAGGATTAAATAGCAGACGAATGATCTCTAAGTTAGACTGTCACGTCTTTTCCATCTAACCAATCCTTGGCCTGTCTATACAGGAGGTCGTGCTTTTCTCCATTCACAGTTCCAACATGACGCCGATGGCCGGGCAGGTCTTTAAGTACAGAGACGCCCATGGTCAGTTCTTGGCAGTATGCCAAACACTTGTATCCCTCGGGATATGTGTTCAGCTTTGCCTCGTCGATGTTTGGGATCTTGTTTGGAATGACAGGAATGATCTTATCTTTCTCGTACCAATGGCGAGCAAAATGGGCGCCCCATCGCCCTTTCAACTTCTCAAAAAAGAAAATGAATTTGCAGTCAGCCTCCGCGTCAACCTCGCACCCGTCGATGGTGAACCGCTGGGTGATTGTAGCCTTCATTTTAGTGACGGCGCGAGTGGCGTCGGGCATGATATCGGTAGTGACGCCATGACAACGATGCATAATAAATGCACCCTTATCCATGCCGGCCTTTGATGCTGTTATGAAGTCTTGCGCCGGAACCCGACCCGACCATGTGGTGAATACATAGGCTCCGTCGTGAAATATGGACTGGAAGTTCTCCCACTCGCAGGCATCACTGAACTTCCATTAGCGAAACTCTTCGTTCTTCAAATGAAAACTGTACATTACCGATAGCATGGCCAGCCTTCAGCAAGTTCCCGAAGCTTTGCTCGCTCAAGAACCAGGTCGTCTGGTCCGTTGTTCCGAATTGCATGGGTCGGGCGAGTGCCTGGTGGGAAGAGAATGCAAGTCAAGCATGGTTCTTTGCCCCCGATGATGACTTCCAGAAAAGATAAAAAAAAAGTACGTGGGTTTTACCCTGAAAGCCCAATTTTGTAGCTGCGTTGACTTTATTTTCCAGGAGAACTGGGCGACAAGGGCCACGGGTAAGACCACAGCCGGATCGCCAACCCCGCATCGGGAACTGCGACACTAGCACGGATAATACGATCTACTGTGGAGAAGGCCGTTGGAAATGTCGGCAAGGTATAATAACGTGGCGTATATGACCGAGAGTACCCAGGGCTTTGACAAGGCTCCAAGGAGCAGCAGAATTGGGATATGCTTCGTGCACAATCGGACGAGATCAATCATGTTGCTTGATGCGATAAGAGAGTGGAACCACAGAGCTATTGCTATTCTGTAGGCGGAACCGCCTCTGTGAATATACTTGATTCTAGTTCGGAGGGGAGAAGGGAAAGCATTCCGGCATCAAAAACATCGTCAAAGCAAAAATGGTCCACGGGTCTGGGCGGGGTCGAGCCTGGTATCATCCCCAGTGGCAGGTCGTTTGGAAACTCTTCCAAGGGTTCTAGGAAGTCAACTTATCGAACCAGACGGTACGAGAATGGAGGAATATATGGGAAGTACCTTGCGGGGGCGTTCGTGAGGCCGGCCCTTGTCCGCCAAAGCTTTCTCTCCAAGTCCAAATTTGGTCATGTAAAAGGCTCGCCGCCAATCGGGTGCGTAATTTCAAATGAGGCTCTTGATTACTGTGCTTGGACTGGCCCCGCATACTCCATAGCTGTGAAAAGATTCTCGATGATTTCCCCTGCAGATCGTTATCCTCCAATGAAACCCTTCGCAGGAAAGACATTGCCGTATGAAATGCCCGCTTCCCGCCTTCGGTGCTCTAAATGGATCGCGAGGCTTGAATCTTCCAATCGAAGGATAAACAGAGCCGCCAATACGATGACACGATAATAAGAGACCGGGCAATAATTTATCACCCCCGACCCTTGGTCAAGGCGCTGCAGTTTCTCAATCACGATTTTTGCAAGATCGAACGCCTTCATTAAACCCACGTTGCGGGCCAGCGAATGACCACTATCAAGCAAGTAAAAGACGTAGAGTTGCAACTCGACGCTGTTCAGCAAGATCTCAACTTCAACTAGATTGTAAAAGGATTAGATGAAAAGTGGCCTGCGGAACCAAGGGGCTGAGAGATGATACCCGATATATCAGCACCGAAACTGCGAGAGAGTTCCTTTAAATCCTGTTCTAACAGACCCAGTATGGGAATCGTATCTGGCATTGGAGTGGCAGACGGCAGCGGTGCATTTTTGGACATGTAGATGTCGACCCTTACAGAGAAACGGTATATGAGAAGCTGCTGCTTCAATGCCAAGGGTACTGCATAGCTACTCTGTTTGTCACAAATAGCATCGATTATCCAGTCAGATGTCGGTATGGACATGACAGAATTCGAATAGATACTGATGGATGACCGGGTTAGACCGCCGTTCTGCGACTGTTCGGGGGGGAGGGGGGTTTGATGCTAACCTTTGAGAAGCGATGTAACACACGGACCACGTTCGAACTACCTCAGTTATCTCATCTGGCGTGAGCTTCCGCTTGGTGCGTGAAAAGTCCTGGATGGACTCGGGGCGGTGGAGACCAAGTTCCATAGCCATAGTCTGGGCGATATTTACAAGGACAGGGGTGGTATCTTCGGACAAAGACAAGGTCGGCGGGGGCCAGAGACAGAATAGAGAGACAGATTGCACAAGGTACCAGTTGTGCGGAGGATTTGAAATGCTTTGCCAGAGGAGGGCCTTGAGAGGCGTGGTTAATGCGGTGAAGAGAGTGGGATCATCCGAAAATCGACGGGATGCAATGTATATGATGACCCAGAACAGAAGCTTAGAGCGGTCGAAATAGGTATCAGGGGAGACAGAAGGATCTAATAAAAGGGTAAAGGGGTGATAGTTGGTGAAGTATCTGCAATGGCAGTCAGCTTCACTTGGACAATTCTGATTACGCTGTATTGCCATCATACATCTGAAACAGAGCGGCGATTTGGGAAGAACTGAGTTGCACATGTCCTAGAGACCTCGGGCTCGCAGGCAATGAAATTGATTGCGGTAAGCTTAGACTCCGATTTGATGAGGTCGTTTGGCCCCCTGGAAAGCCATATGGGCCAGGAAGAGGACCCAAGAAATCTGGGGATTCCGCTTGTGCATCCTGAGAAGTTGGAGGTCTGTGATTCGTTGAATCGACCGACCGAACAGGCCATGGTGGGAGCGTTGAGACGGACGACCGCAGCTGGCGAACTTCATGCTCAAGCTCTTCGAGCCGCCTATATGCTTTGAGCAAAACGCAACGAACAATCTCCAGGCAATGGACTTACACTCGCTTACTCACGCGTTTGAAGTCCACGTCGATCTTACAGTCATGGCCCATTCGCCGACATCGCCAACAAGGGGCCTCCCCACCCGAAGGTAATTCACATCGAACCTACACATGATCGACTTAGCGGGACCTTGACATATAGATTAACCGAGAGTGGAGCATAGAGATCGGAGTACGTGGATCTCAAGAGGACTACTCACCTTAGCTTGTCTGCACTGGCAACACGCTACCCGTCGACCTCGCTGATTTGACTGCGGATCGTTTTGGCCGGATATGTTCCCACCCGACCTCTTCATGGCGCCTTGGGGATGAGCGGCTTAAAGCTCCGACTCTCCTGTGAGACGCAAGTCGCTTTCCCTAGATCTGCAGTGCTCCTGAGCTGCCACCCCCCAGGCTCAGCGAGTGCTTACGCATTACGACACTGATTGGCTACGCGTGGACCGGTACCGGGGAGCTACATCAGCCATTGGAGCGATACCGGGATTGTGCCTTCAATTCGAGCCCAACGCTGAGCGATGAAGAGGGCAATTTAGGGGTTTCACATACGCATCTATCTACGAGATTCGAACAGACATGTTTTAAACACCATCCTGGAACAAACCCGCGCCGGAGGCCGCATCGATCGCCAAAGCTTCATGTAATCCAACCACAGTGAACAGCGCTTGAGGACTCAGTTCTCCTGTCACTTCCAGGGATCCAGTTTCCTTAAGGTGCTTCGCTGCAGTAGTGAGAGCTGCTATCGTGGGGCCTAGAGCAAAGCCAGGGAAAATTATTAACCGGAACCCAAGCTTCTGCGCCTCCTCGATGGAAAGGTCCGGCGATAACCCCCCAGCGACCGCATTAAAAAGCACAGGAACGGGATGAAGATCTTGACAAACTCGCCGTGCCTCTTCCTTGGAGCGGACACCTTCAAGGAATGCAACATCGGCTCCAAGTTCAACTGCGCTCTTGAGTCGCTTAATCGACTGATCATATCCCAGGGAGGCAAGGGCGTCAGTGCGTGCAATGATTACAATCCCCCCCTGAGGCCTTCCGAGCATTCACAGCAGCCTTGATGCGCGATAGGAATTCAGGCTCCGGAACAAGCTGCTTATTTCGGAGGTGTCCACAACGCTTGGCGAGGACTTGATCCTCCAAATGTAGAGCTGCGACGCCTGCCCGGATATACTGGAGAACGGTCCGGTGTACCATCAAAGAGCCTTGTATGCGTATCAGTATTCAATATCCCAAAAGCTCAGGTGGGAACAGCGTCCTACCTCCAAAACCGGTATCAGCATCTGCGATCACGGGGGTGCACCGGTCCAGATTTGCGATCATCCCAGCCGTCTCGCACATCTCGTTTAGTGTTATGACTCCAAGATCTGCCTGCCCCAGTCTAGATGCTGTAGTGCCTGCACCGGTCTCCGCAAATGTTAATCAACGGACTTGGACAGAAGAGCCATGTATCCATTACCATATAAAGAGCATCGAAGCCAGCTTGGAGAGCAACTCTGGCAGAGAGCCCATCATATACCCCGGGGCATGCAACAATCTTGCTTTCGTCGGCCAAGAGCTCCCGAAGTTTCGAAGCCGCTGGGGAGGCCATTCTGTGATGCACTGTAGAAGAGTGATTAAATGTACAGCTTTTGGATCTGTTCGGCCTTCGGCCTTCGGCTTTTTCATTTATAGCTCCCTTGCCTTTTCAAAGCCCCGCATTCGCCCCGACTTAATATGCTGTTCTCCCCGTTCTCGCGCCGCGAACGGCCCGAAAGTTGGGGCAATGCGACCCAAAACTATAAAACCAGATTTCATGGAAGCTTCCCATGGCCTAACTCGGTCACTTTCCCAAGACACTGCTAGTGGTCCAGAAGACAAGAAATCCCGCAACCTGTTACGAGATAACTACCATGTCGCCATTTAAAGACCTCGAAAGGGTCGTCTTCAGCACTCGTGGAATTCGTTTGGGGGGATCATGGTTAGTCACTCAAATAGCCGCTCCCGAGGTCTTTGCGCTAGTCCTTAGATTAGTACTAATGAGGGGATTACCACACCAATCAGAAACCAATTTATCTATACCATGCTCTACAGTTCTAGAAGCTCTGGAGGCTATAACAATGATTTTACGCGACGGGGGTCATGTCCGTGAATCGAGCGCATTGGCAGACGTATTGGAGATCTGCCGCCAGCCCAAAGACTTCGGAGGACTAGAGATTTCCGAGAAAGCCAGTCTCACAGCAGCGCAGGAATCCGAGATTGTATTCTTGGTTGCTGCGTGGCTGGAGGCACTTAACTCATCCGACCGGGCAATGTCGATCTCAGCACCGCTAGACAACCGCCCAGCCGGTCGACGGGGCATGACTCTAAGCGAGAAGATCTTCGCCCTTCACGATATGGAGCAGAAAGGATCTGTTGCGCCTGGTGATCTCATTCGAACTCACGTGGATTGGGTCGTTGCATCCGAACTGTCCTGGATGGTAAAGTTCAGACCGCGGACCGTTCAAATGGGAAACGAGACTGACCTGATTCCAGGGAATGGAAAGAACGTACCACAGCCTAGGAAGCCCTGGAATTTTCCGTAACGATCGGTTTTGGCTTGCGGGGGATCATGTGGTTGATCCCCGCATTAACAACTCGCCTAAAGCGCAAGCAATGATTGATGCCAGCGAGAGAGCCAAGCGCGTGTTTAAAATGACTGACTATCAAGGCATGAATGTGAGTCAAAGCTCAGCATCCGTGAGAGCACATTGTTTTGCTGACATTGACAATAGTACACCATTCTACATACAGAGTTCTATAGAGAGCGTGCGCAGCCTGGCATGCTCGTCATTGGGTCTGATTCACATACATGCTCGTCCGGTGCTGTGGGCTGTTTAGCGATTGGATTGGGAGTTGCGGATGTAACGATGCCGCTGGTGACAGGTGAGACGTGGTTCAAAGTCCCAGAATCGGTGAACATTCGCATGGTCGGACGCCCGCGGCCTGGCATTGGGGGTAAAGATATCATACTCTACATTCTGAAGCAATTGAAGAGAAACACGGTTACCTCGGACCGCGTTGTGGAGTTTACAGGACCAGGTGCCGAACATCTGTCCTCAGATGCAAGGTTTGCTATTTGCAATATGACAACAGTAAGACTCCTGAGATGTTCTCGTTTTCTTTTTCGTTTGTCAAGCTCACAGATGCCGAAGGAATTTGGAGGTATCACCGGTCTCTTCACGCCGGACCAAACTACCTTCGACTTCATCCAGAAACGAAAGCTATCGCGCCACAAAGACCTGAAGACCTATTTTCAACCGGATGAGGATGCACAGTATGCTGAAACCCACGAGATCAACCTTGACGACGTGCGATCATTCATGGCAAGATACCCCAACCCAGATGACGTCGTCCCTGTTCCAGAACTCGAAGGGATGTCACTGGATGGTTGTTTCATTGGGGCTTGTACCACAACTGAGGAAGACTTGATCTTGGGAGCCCTTGTTCTAGGAGAAGGTCTTCAGAGGGGCCTCAAACCAGCTACCAAGGGAAAGCGCAAGGTCGTACCGGGCTCCCTGCCTATTCTAAATAGACTTCAAGAATTGGGTCTGACCCAGATCTATGAGGATGCTGGGTTCGAGATCGGTGTCCCAGGCTGCAGTTATTGTGTTGGCATTTCAGCAGATGCGGCTGCCCCTGGGGAGGTGTGGCTATCTTCACAAAACAGAAACTTCAAGAATCGGATGGGCAGAGGTAAGGAGAAAACCTTGATCCGACTGAGGAATTCTAACCATTGGTACCAGGGTCCATTGGCCATTTAGGGTCGGCCGCAACAGTTGCCGCCTCGTCATTTACCATGACGGTTACTGATCCGCATGACCTGCTCGCGAGCATAGACGAGAAGGCATTCAGAGACATGATCAAAACCAAGCGAGGCAAGAACGCATCGAAGCTGGACCCAAGTACTCACGAGCTCCGCTACGTTGAACCCCCTGGGAACCCAAAAGCAGGCCAGGATATCCAATCAACGGAAGACGGTACCGCGGGTCTGAACGATGAGAATCTGGAGTTGAAGGGAAAGGCCCAAGTCTTGGGAGATTTCATTGATACAGACGCGGTTTGACTCTCCCAATGGCTTTCTATGGATAAGGTGACTGATGAGAACTGTAGCTCGCACCCGGACCTTTCCTGACGGAGATGATTGACAACGCTTCAAGTGGGCTGCACTGCCTGGAACTTACACACCCGGAATTTCGGGAGCGCGCTCGTTCCGGATTCAGCATTGTTGTTGCTGGGAAGGGGTTCGGATGCGGTTCTTCACGAGAAAATGCTGTCATGGCGTTGCTTGGTAAGTATCCTCTGCAGGGATAGTGTCTGAAAAGAAAATAACCATGTCTAATGTCTCGACAAGGATGTGGCGTGAAATGTGTCATTGCTAAGTCTTTTTCGTTTATCTTCCAACGAAATATGCCAAACCTGGGTCTGTTGGGTATAACCTTAAGCGATGAAAGTTTCTTCAGCAACGTGAGTGATGGAGCAGACATTTCCATCGATTTTCACCAAAGAACTATCAACCTGGGCGACCGCGTTTTCCCATTTACCTTAAGCAAGATGGAACAGGAGCTGTTTGAACATGGAGGCATTGAGTCGGCTTTTCGGCATTTTGGCAGGAGGTTGTTCGAGGTGATGACTTCGTCTGCAAAGGGGGTGAAGGCGCCCGATGATACCGCACCATCCCTGGATGTTGAACTGCAGTGGTAAAGAGACTTTTAGTACTAGGACTGGCGATCATAATGCCTCAGGTCAGCACCCAGGCACCAGTACTTATCATCTAATATTCTTTCCAATCGAAGCAATTCTCCAATAGCCGCGATCGAAATAATCAGAAGCCGTGACCTTTTCTAGATTATTACGAAGCCCGTAGGCGATATGACATGTTTCCAATTCTAGAGTCTACTGATGTTTTCTAATTTTATTTACTAGTAGTACGTGATGTGATCATTAAGGTCACACGTGTCCCCACAGGTATTATCAGCCATAAATAATGGGTCTATATATCGTAGGGATAGTATCAAGACCTCGGAGGTAGTTCTGATGGGAAGCTATTGGACATGATCATCCGAATTGATTAGCCTTTGATCTACCTGAGCTCCATACCATGGCACTGTCATTGCGGCCCGGTTAAGGATACCACAGAATGAGCTCCAAAAGCCAGCCGAGGTCCGGTTTGTCAAAGCCAAGGGGATTCGATAGATCATCAATCGTCAATCGTTAACATCCATTATCAATTGTGGGGTTGATAGTCCAGGCTCGGTAGGGACTTGTATTTCCCTTGTCCAGTGTTGGAATATTCCCATTCTGGCAGTATTCATTGGTCCCTTTGCTTCGTTCATTGGTTCGAATAGAGTTTCCGGAGAAAATTCGATGAGATACAATCCCTGCAGGATAATTGTGGATGACTACTCGTAGAATTCCAATCAGTCTTAACTGTTGCTCAGCTTTGATAGACTGAAGTTGTCATATTGTCACCCCCTTTCCCTGATGATTTCCAGCATTTTATGTATCTCGTCGATTGAGGCAACGCCATCCGATGTCACCAACGCACTGGAGTGATATACCTGGGCCTTTATCCTCTGCATCAGAAGTCGGAGGTTGGCCGATCGAACCCCACCGCCCACGATGATATCCAGCGTCTGTCCTTCTGGTAAATGCTTTTTCTTCACAGCATCCAGCTGATGAGGAAGTGTCATCGAAAGTTTATCTACACAATCGATGGCGTCTTTCTCAGATGGTCCACCACTCGTGAGGATATAGCGGAATCCACATCGTGCGATGTCACGCAGCGACGTGCTCCACAGAGATTCTGGCAAGGAATCAAATGCGCGGTGGAAAGTACATGGCTTCCCATTGGCAAGTTGAACGAGTTCCTTGTTCCTCACGATATCGATGCCAATTGGAGTCTGAGGCTTATGAGGGCCCGCTGGTGCGAGAATGCCGAACACAAATCCATCTGCCCCCGCATCTCTGTGGTTGACCAGTTTGTCTTTCATAGCTTGGAACTCGGGGTCACTATAGTAAAAGTCTCGAGCATGAGGACGAATCATGACGAAGACCGGGATCGTGATCTCGGATTTCAAGGCCCTGAGGAGCTCAGGGTCGGGCGACAGCCCCCCCTGAAGCGTAATCGTCACACAGCCTACGGGCTTATCAGGATGTTTCTTTAGAGTGAGCTAGGAAGGCGGAAACTCACTCAATTCGATCAGCCCCTGCTTTGGCAGCTCGCAAAGCAGACTCTTTGGTGAAGCAAGCTATTTCCAGGAGCGCCATATTGTTCCAAGGGCAAAATAAGTCGACCTGATAGGACGAAAATAAACGTAGAATCTGGAAAGAAATTTTCCATTCCCCAGTCGCAGAACAAGGCGTCGTGGCCTTTTCGTGGGGTCCGCGTGAACCAGCTTAATCATCAACTGTTCAAATTGCAAGATTGTCTAACGGTGACAATAAGTCTACTTATCTATGATGCAGACTAATTTAGAGTGAGTATCTAAGGGATTAGGGCTAAATATCAGTTTGTTCATATTGCATATCGTATTTGATACAATCGAGGTAAAGAGGAAAAGCATGATTAGGTCGATAGATTGACTCCGACCTAGACAAAGCACAGGTTGAAAACTTAACTGTCGCATTCATCTGACCTCTCGCCGCCTAGAAAGCTTTAGTGGGCGCTTTTTTCAATATGGTAAGCTTGCTGGCTGAATAGACTTGGTGGCCTATGGAACAAGGTCGCTCACTTCCGTTTTCTCGGTCGCTTCACCACACTGATCATTCTCACTTTGAGGAACATCGCCATGAGTCTTTCCATGAATCTTTCCATGTGGTAAAGTCATGTTGTTGCTGCCTGGGCTATTTGGGGAAGCCCACACTCTATAGTCAACCACACCTATGCTTGTTGCTTTTTCATAGAAGCGACGGAATTTCATAGCGGTCTCATTCTGCCCAGCCTGACGGTAGACTTCTTCCATTCTGTACCGCGGATCGCACAAGTGCCAGGTGACGTATCCTTGAACGAAGGAATGAACGGTGTCCTCGACTTTAGGATTCTTGCCCTTCAAGACATTCGTCAACTGCTTGCAACAAAGAATCGTATCGTGGGTCAATTGCTCGAAGGCAACCTCGCAGCTGACTCCATCGCAGCGAGCTAGATTATTGACCAAGCTTAACTGATCTCTTGGGCTGTTACACACTTTATAGAGCAAAAGCAGATAATTGCAGAGTGTAATCGGTGGCTCCATTTATGCAATTGCTGTCGCAATCTCTTCAAAAATAACTTCTTCATCAAACTCTGAGCTGGGGAATAGGGTAGCGCTGTAGATGCCTCCTAGTCCGTTCAGACAACGAAGAAAATACGGGAAATAGCTCAATCCGGCGAAGCCTCCGAAGGTTTTCTGTTCAATCCAATAGCCCTGAAGGAGTCCATTGTACTTCGAAAGACCGTGATGGCACAGAAACCACCGTAATGTCGCAGCAAAGTTACCAAGTGCGCATTCATGCGCTGCCAGAATGCATGCTTCTGAGACTTTTCTTCGATCAAGTCCTCGTAGAAAGTCATCATATATGGGGAGGGAACGTCGCTGGAATCATCTAGCATAATGATGTACGCAAAATACACCAACAGGCCCACCATGATATCAAGCGAGCATTTTGCCCAGCAGTAAACAGTGACAAGGATGCTAGTTTTGATGATGGCCTGTAGCCTTTGCGCACTGATGTTCAGAGCAGCCTTCTCGACAGGTTGGTGGAAATGTTTGGCTGTTTGATGATAAACATATCGCAGACTTTCCACACACTGCGCATAGCTAAAATTCTCATCCTGGTAATCTATTGCGTCCAAGAACTTGGCCAGAGCTGTGATGTACCTTTCGAATGGAAACTGGCTGCCCCTCACTATATTGAAGGTTCGCATAGGGACAGCAGAAAAAAGAGAAACAGGCAAGGTCCCGATTCTTCCTTCTGTCAAAAGATATGGTCCGGACGGACGGATCCTGACTGTAATGCTTTTATTAACCGACTTCAATGCATTTCCCTCGATAGCTGGCAAATGTATGTTACATCTTACCCCGCGGTTTGTACTTTTGCACTTTTGCAGTGTGATTACCGAAACATATGGAAACGGCAATCGATCTACATATCTATAAAACTATTTCCTCGTTGGGGGCAAGGCAACATAAGCTTGTTTCTCCCATATAATGAGAGCCATACCACGTCACCACGAGTCTGTTACATATAGTAGGCTGATTTTTGTTCCCTATTCTGGACGCCAAGATGGCGGTGGACGACGTGTAGCTATAGTCTATGCGACCCACGTCATAACTCGTCCTCATGTAATTTATCGGAATAGCCAGGCACGAGAAGACATTTATGCAGCAAGTTTTGCCCAGAATTCGTAATTCTGCGCAAGGCGATCACTTCTGAATCAGGTTCAGGGTGCAATTTTGAGTCTGTCAGATAGGCCAATTATGAAGCGACTGCCACTTCAAAGGATTGCCGTACTCTGCCGTCTTTTCATGCAATGGACGTCATGAAGCTGCCTTATCTTCTGACAAGGCCATGGCGTGCACGAGTGGATGGAAAAATGATAGTAACTCGGCATAGATCGGATTGCCTATCTTCATTCAGGACGCGAATGTTGACCAGATGCTGCCTGATGATGGCCTCCAGACCCACAACAGAAGAGAAAAGGGATGTAGGGCAAAACCTTATTCGCTTCACCTTGTAGATCTGCTCGAAGCAACCGGAACGCATAGACCTCTTTCCGGCATGGTAGAGGTAATAGCATTTGGGAAACTATCGGAAGTTTGGAAGCCCCCACCTAGTTATGCGGCCTCAGCTGACGGTAGTTAGCGTCTCATCCGCCATAGAATGGGCAGTCATGTGGTGGCGTCCTCTACTTCCAAGATTGGAGTGGCAGTTGTAGAATGGGTTGAAAGTGGCAAATATGTTAGTCAACCTCGAGTCGTATTTATAGGGAGCTTAATATAACGATGATATTACATGAAAAATGTGCCCCTTCGTACTTCTGGAAGAAAAAATACCTGCCGCTGGCGAGCTACAGCGTACGAATGAATTCGTTATCATCATTGCTATAATCTCCCTATTTGAAACGCGTTTGTAAATCATTATAGCTAAAATTGCTCAGGGAAAGTACACACATAGAAATGAGACAGAAGCTAGTATACAGCTTGAAGGGCGGGTGAAGACAGTAGGATATTGATACTGCAATAAGGGGCAGGTTCTGAGAGCTTTGCAGACACCACAAGTAGGATACCGCCGGCTCAATTTTCTTCTCGCCCCCTCCATAAAACAGGCATGCTGGATAACCATCGTCCTTGTCGTTTTCTCAAGCCTTCGACGTCATACATCACCGTACAAAGCCACATGCAGTGTCGATCACTATAACCAAAGAAATTATTTTACCTATTATACTGATAGTACTAACCTGACAAGGTCTGCATCTAAAATGACGCCCTGCCAAACGTGATGGAAGATCCATTCTCATCGGTCAGGAATATACCATCGGAACTAAATCACCACATCCATTTTTGGTCGCTTCAGAAATGGCTTCCATTTACCATAGCGTGTGAAAAGCCACCTGCATCATTGCTGAATCGAATCAAGCGTGGCCTTCGCTTCTTTGTTTAGGCCAGGGTGTCTGCCCAACAACATTGTACGGTCATATCATCTGTGTACGGAGACGCCATCCAAGATAATCTGTTTTTACGTCGTATTAATTTGATCCCTTCATTATTCATGCCTCTTTACTATTTCTTTTTCCAAGATGGAAACATACGCTGCTTTTGCATTTGTAAGCTCATTTGTCTGTTGCCTGACACGCGAGGCGCCTCTTTGCATCATCCTACTTGCAGCTATTTTGCTATTATTACTATTCATCGCAGGGGGAATTTGGCTTGACAGGATTCAAGCACATGATATGCTGCAGGATGCAACGATGGGACGAAGACGTATTCGCCTCAGAGGCAGGTAAATACACGATGGGTCGAGCTACCAAGAATGTAAGTTATTTCAACATTTACTAAAAGCGGAAATGAGCCCTTCTTATCCTTTCTGTGACACGGGTGTCATATTCGTTCTAATAAACTCGGTATCATAGAAGAAACCATCCTCTGCGATGCAATGTATCTCGCATTGCCAACCATACGCTCTCTATCGAATGATGGAAGGTTTCCATCTCGCTTTACGATGGGCCCGAACACGTATAGATATGAAATGTCAACAGGATGACTCAAGTCCTTCCTGAAGGTCGCAATATTCGGACGTCAATTGAACCGGCTTGATATGTTACACTCTGGTCCTACTCTAGACAACCCGGCCCGTCCTATCATCGTGTCATATGAGATTGACATGTCTCCTTCATTTCTGTCTCTATGAAAAGATAAAGTATATACAGCTCTACTAAGAGACCACCATGGACAAAGACTCTCGGTCCCCCAGTTAATAATGTCACCGTACAACGATTACTATTACCAGAACGAATTTAGACTGATATATTATTCCACAACAATGAGTCCAGTAAGCGTGTCTGGTTATCTAAGATCTATATTCTAAAGGCGTGGAAACCAGATTCTACGCTTTATATGAAGATACTGGACTTCTTATGAACATTTGTGACCTCACTCCAGTTTCGTATTGTTGGACAACCAGCTAATAGCTCCCAAGGTGTCACGACACACTTTGTTTAGCTACGAAAAGCGCCGCGGGAGCCGCGGAGGAAGCTTGGAGAAGACTCGGCGCACATGTTGCATAGAATTAGACCCACTCGAAGGCTCGCTAAGCAAACCGCACAATATATAAGGCTATCGCGAAAGGAGCCGGAAGGTTCCCCAAGCGATTAGTTTGGCTATCTCGCTACCATCGAGTTATTTCCCTACGAACTCGTAGTAGTATTGGCCTCCTTCAGTCGTATCCTATCACCTATCCGAGCCTATCGAATAATAGGCCTCACACAAAAGTCCCTTTCCTAACTCAAGAAGATTATTTAGTAAATTATTTGTCTTCTAAGCAAAGTTCAAAGTAAAATTTCGTTCTTATTGTAAGGTGAATATCTAGACAGAAGCAGAAGTAGATTCGGGAGCAGACGCAGAAGCAAATGCAGAGGTAGATACCCCCTTACTACTGTCATCGATGAAAGTAGCATTCCAAGTATACATCGGACCGGCACAATAAGTCTTTCCAAGTTGCAAGCTTTCTGTGCAATGAGAACTATCCAAGGACGGATTGACCAGAACGAACAAAGCATGTGTGATGCTCTCCTGTCCACAAATGCCCACACACGTTTCGTTGGCCGTAGCTTCATGCCAGCGACCGCAGTTTTCCGTTGTGCCTTGGGCCAAAGAAGCGTTCGCTGGTGGTGCAATATATTCGTAGACATACCCGTTAGCCTTCGAAGGTGTTGTAGAATCGGTACCGGCTGTTGCATTCGTGTGCGCCCCGCCAGGGGCGGAGAGACAGAGATTCTTGCCGTAGATTTTACTCGCAATCTGCAGATTTTCACAGTCAAAGGAGATCCATGGATTGTATTTCCGAAGATCTCCGCTTGTGAGCGAAAATGCATATTCAATTGCGGTGCAGTTGTCTGATGACTCGAGAGAGTATGTGTCCTGACATTTCGAGGGTAGGCAAAGCTTCAAACCAGCTTTCATAGATCCGCAATCCAAAATCTTCTCTTGGTTTCCCATGTAGATAGATGCGGAGGATACGCTATTGGCCTGCGCGATCGATGTGCAGGTGTCACCCTTTACCGTTGTATAGAAATTGTCTGAAAGGCAGAATTCAGGCTCTTCTTCGATGGTAGACCAGGGGATCTCTTGGACGTCTGTTGGCCCGGAAAGGCCGCAGCGCTTGTTGATAGTCTGAAGCACTCCCTGGTAATAGTCATCATACATAGAATAGGGTGTCCGTTGCATCATCTGGAGACGGGTTGTATAGCAATAAGAGCATATCTCGCTCTGCGGCATGTCCTCGGTGCTTTGGACTAGTGTAAAACTATCGATGATAGCTGGTGCAAGGTAAAGTTAGCTTATTGAACCAATCCCCTTAAATGATTACCCGAAGCTTCATATCCTTTTCAAGGAATTCGGCTAAGAGCCCGTACTGCCCAGAGAGATAAAAAGGAGAAAGAGAACTGCCCACTTACCATTACAATACTCCCCGGAGTCTTTGTCCTTGCTACAGGTTTCGTTGTATCCCGCCCAGACCCGTCCGCCATACAACTCTGGGGGAGAACCACTGATATTATACCCGGCACAGTTGTCCTGCACAGACGTGAACCATTCACTGAGGCTCTCACCACAACTCTCATCGCAGAGGAGATCTGTCAGAGTGTCGTTCCCAAGGGATCCATGCCAAGAGCGCGACATCATGCTCTGTGCGTAGGAGTCACACTTGATTTTTGCTGTCAGTGATGTCTTACAAGAGGCAGGCAGTTCAGACGTCTCGAGGCTTGCAGATGTATATATAGACCATCCTGGGAATTTTCGCTCGCCAATAGTCGTATCAAGTCCGCCAATCCACACCAAAATGGATGAAAGAAGGCCGTTCAGGTTTTCCTTGGCGTAGGTTGGGACCCCTTGGAAAGGAGTAACCATTTCCACGATCGCCCTGGTACATAAATTGTAAATCCAAAGATCAACACTTTGCTCGATCTCAAAGCCACGTTGCTGGCAGCTGTTTGTGTCAAGACACTTCTGTGAGTAGTCCGAGTACCAGCTGTAAAGGCCGCTGCCCAAAATCCAGATGCTAGTGGAATCAATAATTCGAATAGCCCAGGAGATAGCACATGTCGCAGAGTTCGACTCGCAGTTGTTGAATGTAGGGTCATTGGGGAACTTCCCAGGATTGAATGGAGCAGGCGCCAGAGGGACAGGCTGGTAATAGGGTGACTCTGTTTGAATCATCCCCATAACAATTCTGTTGGCGCCGGAAATCTGGTACTGATAAAGTGTAGAATGCTCAGAGGAGGTGCCGTAGAGCCATGCGACATTGCTTTCAATCAGAATACCACGGCCTGCGTAAACATCAATTTGGTCTTGAGTGTCCTTGTCCAAATCGTGATCTGCAACCCAGACCCATATATTCTCCATGTATGCCGATGATGAGGGTGTCAAATGAAGCAGAAGAGAAGCAGCTATGCAGTCAGTGTTAACTTTGCCTGACTGTTTCGGACATTGAGCTTTCTGTAGCTTAGTTCCGATAGCTCCGCCGATACGGATATGGGAATCCCACATCGCGGCCGATCCTTGCAAAGACTGTTGCACATTCCATTCCACAAGCACCACACCCGCAGTAGGGCCAGAGACGGTGAAAAGCATATCTTGGATCTCAATGATTCCAAAGTCGCCTTTGCGTCCGACTTGGACCGCCACATAGGGGTTATCGACATCTGTAAATTTGTCACCAGTCGCCATGATCTGCGACCAAGCCTGCCCAATGATACGCGACCCAACAGGGATCTTCAATGTGTCATGAATCTTGTATACTCCGAACGGGAAGTAAACAACAGAGGAAAGGTTTGCGGCGTAAGAGAGAATATTATTTAGGACCACTGTATCATCAGTAGCCCCATCACCCTTTGCGCCAAGATTCTTGACATTTATAATGTCACCCGCCTTTATGCCTTCATATTGGGGTCTTCGACGCGTGAATAAATTGGACTTCACATAGGCTTGAGGTCCCAGCAAACCATCATACATGTCTCCGGTAATGATGTCTTCGCCTGAGACAAAGGATCCCGCGCCTTGTGCGTTCGTGACCTTACCAAATCCCCAAGCATCTTTAAGAACTTCATTGCCTCCCGCCAGGAGCACTTTGTCTTGAACTGTGTCTATGATGGCAGTCTTGACATTGAAAAATCCAACATTCTTTAAAAAGAGAGATGTCGAATTCTCAGCGTAGAGAGAGGTGATGATGCCATTAGGCGTATTTGCAATGATAGCATCAGCCAAGATGAGAGATCCCACGCCCTGTCCTGTACTTGCCGGGCCACCTGCCTACTAGACATTAGCCTCGGGACGACTATCAATAAGTGTCGACCTTGAATTAGTTAGCTTACCCCTCCAGTGATTGTTAATCCATTGGTACATGACTCGATGACATAATCCTGCATTGTCCATGCCCAATCCCAGTGCACCTGCAGGGCTGTATTGCATTGAACAAACACAAGCTGACTTGAAGTAAATTGCTGGTTTCCAAAGTAGGCACTATTAAAACGCTTAGGAGATCGAAGGTATGAAAATGGGAGGAATAAGGACTTACCCGAAGTTGCCACCCACAAATGTGAGATCTGCGAGAAAGCCGCCCGAGCCATTCTCCATATAAATTCCCTGTTGTGTGTTGCTAGGAACATCTGAATTATATAGCATATAAAATTCAATATTCTCGAGCGAAGTTCCCTGTGCAACCTGCCAGTGAATGGCGCAAATGTATGCAGAAGGATCGGTTGGGCGAATATCGATCTTGAAGTTCCTGACGCTTCTCAAGAAATTGTTCTGGTTGACATACCATTCTCCGTTGTCACTAACATAGACGTCAGAGGTAATGACACCCAAGCCAACGAAACTAGAGGCTGCAAGGATAGTTGGCACATTGAGCGGCTAGTGGATGTTAGAGATATGGCCAGATCCATCCGGAAGAGGATATGGCAACTTACATCCCCAGAAATTCCGTGTTGTAATATTGTATTATTGGTGAGCTGACGAGATATGTCCCGGCTGGAAACCAAACGGTAGCCGGATAGATGGTGCTAGAACCACAGTCGACGCCACATCTTCCTCCATCTGAAATGGCACGATTGATCGCTTCTGTATCATCGGTGACGGAGTCACCGATGGCACCATAATCGCGAACATTTCTCCAGACCTAGTTTTCACAGATACGTATTAGCACGGAGAAGAATGGCGGGGGGAATAAATTTCGGAGTTTAATAGCGTGGATCTTACCTTGTAGCCACTTGGAGCAAACGGACTCTGACCGTTCTGGTCAATCGAGGCCATCCAATACTCAGAGGGCGCATCTCGCTTCTTCACCTCCGACCGGGCCGTCTTGTTGTCGTACACTCCATCTGTGCTACTGCTACTCCCAAATGCCAGATAGTCGTATAGACCATTTGACCTGACCAAGGCTTGAGGAGGATTGTTTGTCTCTCTGCGCCCCTTGCCGTATTTTCCTCTGATTTTCGCCGCAACCTGAGGCTGGTCGCCCGACGGTTTGTTGACAGTAGATTCAGCCACGATGCGGGCAGCCTGAGCAAGCTCTAATGGAATACGGTAAGGGGTATTGCCGTTTGTTCTATTCACAGAAGAATCTCTTGACTGCAATCTGGCCGTCTTTACAGCACTAGCGCTGTAGTCCAATAGCTGAGCCGGCTCCCTCGTCCGTTCTCGAGGTCCCGCAAAGCCATCCTTGTTGAAATTAGGATTTTCAGTTCGATGTTTGTTGACTTCGCTCAGAACAGCGAGTGCATTCTTCACGAGTGTGAGTGCATCTTCACGATCGGTTGCGGTCGTATCATTGCGTTTGTGGTGGAAGTGGCTGTGATGAAGGTGGCTATGCGCGGCCCGTACCGGGACCCAAGAAATCAAGATCAGCAGCACGATAAGGGACAAGCCTTGATCGGCATATCGTGATCGACCACCCAATCTCATCTTCAATGAAGTCTTCCACTGAACGTCGAGTTTCCCAAAACAAGGGAAACACCGGACCATAAATCCTCTCCCCCTATCGGCTGGAGCCTGACTCAACACTCCATCCCGAGTCTTTGGCCCAACTTCGTTTTCCTAACTAAAAGTTCGCCAAGGCAAAGCTCGGAGATGAGTTTTCACGCCAAGGGATCTCATTTGGCCCCTATTTTCAATGTCTTGCCTTTATTAACCCAATAGAAACCGAGGATGCTATTCGATTATGGAGGTACCGGTGCCTCGGTCTACGTCGTATTCATGATGGCGCAGTTCATCATGTAACTCCATGCCATCTTCCATCCTTGGCACCGCCGAAGCGAAATGAAATTTTCAGCAGTCAGGTTCAAATGCAGCTAGTCGGCGCTAGTGTAATGGCAATACCTTTCTCCATACGGACATCTCCGCGGACCAGAAAGGTCAAAACATTGAAAAGAATGCCTGGTGTCAAGTCACATGAACGATATGCTAGCAAGAACTAGATCTCGCAAGACTAGTATACCCAATCTTCTGTTCATGATCCACTGAAAGGTTTGAATCAGCTTTCCCCTTGATATGGGATGTTCGAGTGGGGTTGATGTTCAGGTGCCGGAAGGGCCCGAACTGCCAAGCAACCTCCACTATTCGAAGACGGATGCCAAGGTATCATATCGCATGTTCCTAGGAACGCAATGCACGGCTAGAGCCTCCGAGAATCCACACCTACTACACCTACTATAGCGTCTCCTCGCTGAATCATGGAGTTCTGTGCTGATTTTTGCTCGGCATCCTTGGCGAGGTTGCGTCCCAAAAATTATACGCGCCGGGACTCTGCTGACCGGATCGAAATGAGGAGATTAATCGCTCATTTTATGGGGCAGGTGAGTCTTGGCTGTGTCCCTTCGGTCTTCGGTAGAATCTATCGGGAGTCGAAAAAGATTTAAGTATCGATGGGAAAGAATTGAGAGGGAGGTCCTTACTGAGAGGGACATCGAGCAAGATGCGAGCACTTGGTTCCGAAAGGAGCCTCAATTGGCTCTTTTTGCTGTCTTCTTTGCTATCAATATGTCTACCACTTCATGCCCAAGACTGCAGTGCGCTAGCTCCGTGTGCCACTGGTTGCTGTAACAAAGGCGGTTATTGTGGTGTTGGAGATGACTATTGTGGAGCGGATTGTGTCGCCAACTGTGACTATGAACCGGAGTGCTCTATATCGAAACCATGTGCCAAAGGATGCTGCAACAAATTTGGATTTTGCGGCTTGGGACCCGACTGTAAGCATCATGTTTGCACCAACCAAGGACAAAGAGAAGAGATGATTTAACTTTTCATATAGTCTGCGGAGACGACTGCGTTGCAAACTGCGAAAGAAAGTCTGAATGTGATCCTGGAGACTATGGCGATTATGCGGCGTCCAAGAAATGTCCTCTCAATGTCTGCTGCTCCAAGTTTGGATTCTGTGGAGTGACCGAGGAATTCTGCGGCAAGAAAAAGGTCAAACGTCCTTCTTGCTCAAAATCCCAAGATCTAAGGCGAGTGATTGGATACTATGAAGGCTGGAGCCCCGATCGCCCTTGCCATGCTTTCTATCCCGACCAGATCCCTATTGGTGTCTACACACATCTCAACTATGCTTTCGCTTCCATTGACCCGGAGAGCTTTGAGGTGTTAGCTGCCAACGACTATGAGAAAACTCTCATGAAGAGATTGACAAATCTCAAAAAGTCCGACCCTGATCTGAAGGTCTTCATCGCTGTGGGCGGTTGGACCTTTAATGATCAAGGGCCTACTCGGACTGTCTTCTCCGATATCGCTCGCTCAGAGTCTAATCAGAGGAAGTTTTTCAACTCATTGAAGACATTTATGACTGAATACGACTTCGATGGCATTGACCTTGATTGGGAATATCCAGCTGCGGATGACCGTGGTGGCCGGGAAGAGGACTTCAAAAACTTCCCCAAATTTCTGTCCAACCTCAAGAAGGCATTAAGCGATAGCGGCAGAGACGGACTCAGTATAACTCTACCTGCCTCATACTGGTACCTCCAACACTTTGATCTTGAAAACCTCTACAAACATGTCGACTTTTTTAACATCATGTCGTATGATCTACATGGGAAATGGGATCTAGGGAACGATTGGCTTGATCCCGTCCTGAACTCTCATACCAATTTGACTGAGATCACCAACGCCCTCGATCTCATATGGCGTAACAATGTTCCGTCCGATAAAGTTGTTCTCGGATTGGCCTTTTACGCTCGGGTGTTCTCTGCTGCTGATCCGTCCTGCATGGTCCCCGGATGCCCCTTTGTGTCTGGCGGAAATCCAGGAATATGCAGTGACGAAGTTGGTATCCTGTTGAACTCTGAGATTTCGGATATTATGGATAAGCAACAAATATCTTCTAAGCTTGATAAGGACGCCGCGGTGAAAACTCTCAAATTTAACACCGATCAGTGGCTCACCTATGACAATGGAGATACCTTCAAATTGAAGACAGATTTCGCTCGATCGGAGTGTCTTGGAGGTGTGATGGTCTGGGCCGTATCTCATGATCTACCGCAAGGAAACCTTTCTCGTATTCTGGGTGAGACGGTTGGCAGAAAGGTCAAATCCCTTCAGCTTGATATGGATAAAGGCTCCTTAGAGGTTAAGAAGACCCATCTACAGTGTAGGTGGTCTAACTGCTTCGAGGGCTGTCCGACGGGATGGACTCCTGTTAGTCGCACTGATCCTGGAGCTCGTACTGACGAGAAAATGTGGGATAATACAGGATGTGGTGGCGTTGGTCAACATACATTCTGTTGCCCTCCAGACTCTGAGCTACCTAAGTGCGGATGGTATACCCACAATAATGGAAATTGTGACTCGCAATGCCCATCTGGTTACGTAGAGGTTGGATCGAATTTCAAATATTGCAGCAACAACAAGAATGACTACCAAGCAGCATGTTGCACCAAGGACACAGACAGCATGAAGCTCTATTCACAATGCGACTGGGCAGGACATGCTCCTGACTGCGACAAAGGCGAGTGTTCGAGCGGCCAGTCCCTCCTTGTCAGCTCCTCAACAGGTAGTGGTGGCAACTATTGCCATGCAACTAAAGTCAAATACACTATGAATGGCAACGAGGGCACCGAATGGCAGGAGCGCAAATACTGCTGTGACGACGACACAGACAGTAAATGGGAAGACTGCGAATGGTACGATGATATCGGCATGGCATCAGCTGATGGTATTGTTGATGGATACTGCCACAGTGGATGCCCAAATGATCGCGTTCGTATCGCTATGGACCAGCATGGAGGCGGTTGCAAAGGCGATGGGGGCCGAGCAAGATGCTGCTTGGCCAAATACATCACAAAACGCAAAAGGTCCTATACTGACGCCGAAAGCACGCTGGAAAAGAATGTGAAGGCATTCATGGCCGACCCAGACTGCGGCACCGATGCTTATATTTATAAGCGTGACCTGGAAGGTCTTGAGTTTGTGGATATGTCTGCAGATGCCTTCAATCACTCGTCGAGACTCGAGCGCCGCTTTAACACCAAACCTTATGAGGCTATGCATAATCTCGTTCTTGATCTCGGGTTCTACTCGACTGGCAGTGCGGCTGACCTGGAGATCTGGAATAAACATGTTGTTTCTGAATACCCGGATCTCACTATTAAAAACATGCACAATTGGCTGAATAGTGATCTAAAGTGGCGAAAACAGGGCGAAATCAGAACTGCCGATAAGATCATTTGTGACATGGCCATTTTCAACGCCAAATTTGGAGGCAAATCAAAAGCTATCAGTTGCGCTTGTACTTCCCGAAGTTGCTGTACCAGTGACGACCCCGGCCTCTGCGCTGGAGAAGATCTGGATGGGAATGCGGTAGCGGACCCTGAGAAGAGGGACTTGTCCAAGAGAGCAGGCCCACGCGATTACGAGGTAGAGTTACCAAACGGAATTAGAGTTGAATTCCGCTCTGTGACTGTATGAAAGCTCCTAATCGGTTCCCAAAGTCCTCTTTGGAAGCTAACAAAATTACAGTATCCAAGCAGGGGAGATTGGGCCATAGGAAATCCTATTTGGTCTATGGCATTTGAATATGAAGATGACGATGACTGTTTAAATGCAGATATTGCCACTGCTGTGGTCACAGTACCTGCGGGCAGAGAAGATTATGATGGTAAGTTTCACCCTTATGAGCGATGCTAGCAATAGCAGTCTACGCAGCTCTCCACCTCTCGTCGGCCCTGGAAACTCATCTTGATGGAGGGTGCTAACCCAACAACAGTGGAACATATTCTTGAATTGAACACCATCCCAGAATTCCTGGAAGATGCAGCCAACGGCGTGTTACCCACAGGAACAATCCTAGAAACCTTCGGCTCCCTTCAGATTACGTTGAGGCATTGAATACACCAATGCTTATACAACCACCTCCAGTAGCAGGTGGTGGGCGAGTAACACAGGTTCCCCTGCGAAGAATCATGATCGCTCTTGGCAGCAATAGGAATAATGTGGATTTTGTTGTTCTCATTAAGGCTTTGAATGGCTTGAAATCACGAGTAAGGGCTCATTCATTTCCTTTTAAGGTCTCCATTCCTCAGCTAGTTGCTGATAACTTGCGCAGATCTGGCGTTCGGATGTTTACCACGGAGACATGGGGAGCTTTATTGACCAGGATACCTATAAAGACGCTCTTCAAAGAATCCGATCGGTCATATCCGTTTTTCATTACCTCAATGATCGTCGAGTTCATTCTCGCATGGTCCATGCTGCTAACCTGGTACGCTCTGAGCTTGCATTAGCTGACCAAGAATGGATGTCAATGGCTGGCTACAATCCTCGCGGCCAGGACTGGTGGGACCAATGGTTTAGGGAACAGATGAGATTTATTGGACAGGAAGCCAGAAACTGGGTCAATCACTGGATCAGTGAAATGCGAAAATTTTGGGCTGTAAGGACCGGGAGGGATGCGACATATGTCAATGAGGTTCTGGACTCATATAAACGTCTTGCATCTGACATGGATATCGACCTGCAGGGCCTTGAGGGCAACGGATAACTAGACAGTAGGTTGATGCAGTACTAGATTGAAATCGTGGCATTCAGGATTGAATTTTATTAAGCAATTGCCTTGCATCCACGGGTGATTCCGAAGCAGCCGCGCCACACTCCCCTTTATCAACTATCTAATATGCCTCGTAAGTACGTGACAAATTGGTTCAAATTCAAAGTAACGACTTGAGCTTGCTGTTCAAGCTACCAAGACAAAAATAATTCCCGTCAATACGCCATGCGTTGCGTGTATACAACGTATCTCGTCGAAAACTCGACCGACGATTCCTTCGAATTGAACTGCGTGATAATATTTGTCAAAAGCACTCAATCGAAAAGCCTTGGAAAGGAGTCGTTAAATCACTGAATCCTTGACGTAGATCTCGGCGGAGCCCCCTCCCGACAGCCTTGAATCTGTGAAAGGGTAAATATATCAATTGCAATCTGTAAGGCTCCTACAAGGTAAGATTTATGCCAGTTTGGGGCCGCATTTATAGACCAGATGATAGTATTCAATGAAGACTACCCGATGGTTTTCCAGTTAGAAAAGAAACTAAACTCTACCCTCATTCTCAAATCGACTAACTACCCTCTGGCTTGATCAGTAGATCCGCTATCCGGTGGAATTCCTGTAGAGCTAGCCCTTTCACACTAAAATCCACACGACTGGACGGCCCCTTCCATAGTGGGCGTTGGTCTGCCTATTTATCTAAGGTGATTCAACGTCGAATCCTGTTTTCCTTGACATATACCCATAACAGTTTGGAAAAGTTGGGTCTTCAGCTCTATGAAATGAGCTTGGGATAGTTAATCACGACGATGTGATCATTGAAGGTCTTAAAGGTTTGAAATTTAAGATTATGACGGAGTGGTTTGACTTTGTCAACTGTGTAATTTGTGGAAAAGGTGCTTCCGACCATGGTATCTATAACTTGACGGAAACGGGGTTTGTAATTAGGATTGGAGTAGAATTCGAAGCTGTTACTGGATCTGGTTATCATGGTAATAAATATTTTCTGTAGCTGGAAATTATGGACGTCTTACGAAGCATCTACCTTGTATTATTATGAAAGGCAGAGTTTTCATAAGAGCTTGTTTGATTATCTTAAATCTCGCTGGTAGCTTGAAGTGACTGGTTAGTTAAGTACAAATGATTAGATAGCTGATGAAATAAGACTTTATTGGCTCCAAAAGATTTTTATTATAACTAGTTAATTATCTGCAGGCAGCAATACTGACCAGCCCTACCAAAACTTGGGGAAATTTTTGGAATGCCGGTCAGTATCTATACAGGATAAGATAAATCCCACATAATTGATCTCAATCTCAATTCCTGAAAGATATAGGTAGACAGAAGATTGACATTTCTTGTTGTAGTACCACCGACATCTTGAAACTAACGATCAAGATAAAAACTTAATAAACATCACGATGGTCACTAACCAGCACATAGCTTTTCCGCATATAGTCGCCATCCCCCATATTCCTCCACATATCCCAAAGGCCTTTTAAGGAACATTTCATCCACCCTGGAAATGTGGGATCATCGTCTTGCACCACCTCTACCAGCTTTACGTAATGCGCAACACGAGATTCTATCCCTGTTGGAAGCTCTGCAGGTAGAGGCGTATTCTGAAGAGAGTTGAAACTTTCCTCATCAACAACGATAAACATGCGGTAGCTAGGGAATCTATCAGCCTGGCCTTGTTCCTTTGCCCAAGCATCAAACTGAGTGCGAAGCTGGTCTATTGATAGGCCATCAAACTGGGTAGCATCATCCATGACACGTGGTTTGTATGCGGCCCATAATTCATCAAAAATGGCGACGTCAGCTTGATGTGCTGTGCGGGGGTTCTTGCGAAGAGATTCGTATTGCTCGTAAAATTCGTGTTTCACGTATGCCGTTATAAGGTCGACAACAGCGGGGAAAGTAGCGTCAGACTCGGGGGTATAAGTTGTACGATATATCGTGAAGCCCCAGGTAGGTTCATGCCTCTTGAGCCAGTCGTAAAGGGCTGCTAGTCGTCGTGGAAGCCAGGGATATAGCATCCTACCTGTCGGGAAAAAATTGGACATGGTGTTGTAGGGAGGTTTTGATGCGCTTGTTTGAGAGCACGATCTAAGTAGAAGTAGAACAGCCTACTTGAGAACCGGAAAATAGCAACCTGAGACACCAGGAGGTATGGAAGACCGGGCTTCGGACCCCTTTTTAATAATTATAGCTGCCAAGGTTTTGTCTCCGTTCGGTTACAGTTAGTTCCTTGGCGTTCCCTGCGGTCACTCAAATCTCAAATTTTGGGTCCAGACCTCGCCGTATTGCCTTGGGTAGTGGGTGGGCCCTCTAGATCCAGTTTTGGTCCGCGGGGCAAAATAGACAAACCCAGTGCTTTGGGCCAGTCATGTAACAGATTTGCGGAACCGTGTTCAAGTGGCTTCAAATAAGTCCTGCTGTACATGGTTCACTCCATCCCAGGTCCGAGACGCTGACTGGGTTAGGCTAGGAGAGCTCAGAGCTCTACCCGGTCGGGCCGCTGGAGTAGTATTATTAGCGGATTTCCACCTCCCCGCTTTTCGATCCTTACAAGAATACACAGACAGAATCAACAGTCCCACCTCTCCAATTCCTGCCCTGCAACTAGCCCCGTAATGCACTGGTATTTGGAGCAACCCTGTTTTGAGTTTAGATTAGTCCGCCTTGCTCCGCGCAGGAAGGAACCCGGGTATTTCAACCGGTATCTGTGATAGAAGGCCTGGCTTCAAGCCTCGTGGCCCAAGACATTTGATATGGAGGCTACGGTCGGGAAGCTGCCGATGAGGTCCCAGAAAGATACCTCATAGCCTTCCCATAAGATGTACCTATAGGGGCTGTGTAAACCAGCTGAATCATCACGTATCAAGTGATTTCAGTTCGGTGTTGGAGGGGATTTTTATCAAGAAAAACAAACATGAAATGGCGGCAAGGAATGTTCTCCAACCAAGAATAGGAATCAAACCCTGGAGGCAAGATCAGCGTGGGCAGCGTTTAAAGTCTAAGACAACCAAGAGCACCCTCTTAATCTTCTAAGTAGACGGCATTCTGCGAGAGCTATCTCGGTCGATGCCGAAAGTCTTTTCATGGGAGGTTTTCTGGATAACTTGACTTATAATTCTCACGTATTCCAAGGTTTACTTTGAGTAGCTTAGCTCAGCCATGAGTTGCTCCTCGACCTTGCTGACATCGATTTCTTTCTCGCCAGCTCTGATCTCTTCCACATCTGGGATCGCTGAATGCTTTGCTCCTTCGAACAGGGCGTCGATCTCTTCTAAGGTCTTCCCCTTGGTTTCAACCCAAAAATAGGCCTGATGGTCAGCGGCGTATGAAATGCATGGCTACTAGACTTACAATAAGGCCCAAGATCACCAGATCCCAGGATCCATTGATCATGTACATTTTCCATCCGATATTACCTAGGCCAATTGGCATGATGAAGGTAAAAAGAAGCCTTCAATATTGTGAGCGTTCGCGTGACACGTGGCGGAAAATGGAGGGGGACATACGCAAGGGCATTCAAAGCGAATGATGAGAAGGCAACCCCGTTCGCTCTGATAGAATAGTTCATCACCTCAGGTGGATAGAGGTAGAGCAGTGGGGTCCAGGCGATGGAATAAAAGCCTTGGAAAAGATACATGACAGCCACATTGCCATAGATGAGGGCAGAAGAGGCACCTTGGGGATCGGCCGCATAGAGTTTCGATAGACCTCCGATGATAAAGAGACAGGCACTGAGAAGGAGTTGCGAAAGCATCGCAGTTGGTTTTCGTCCCCACTTGGCAACAAGCTGAGTGCCAAAGAGGCAGCATACCAAGCACCAGGCGTTGAGCACGACATTCTTACTAGTCAATAGCTGGTCCTGTTGACATCGGGGCTGCACTTACTGCCTTCAATTGGTCATTGGTGTTCGTAATACCGGCTGTGTCCAGCTCCGATCCAAAATAGTACGAGGCGATGATATTACCGGCGATACAAGAGAATGGGCCAGGCGACATGCCGATGAGAAGCCGCTTTCTAGCAGAGGGTGTTCTGAAAATTTCGACGGGGCTCATGGAGTGTCCGACCTCCTTTTCCCATTTCAGGGTATCTACTATCTCCTTGAAGATTGTGAGAACGACTGGGTCCGAGAGGTCTCCATTGGCATTTGCTTGGGCGATGGATATCCGGGCCTCACTGTAGTACCCTTGGTGGACCAGCCATCGTGGGGATTCGGGTCTGCAACGCATGAGTTCAAGAGCCACTCGGAGCTGCCCATGGTAGACTCACATGAATGGCAGAGTGAGAATGCAGAGCAGGGAGAAAATTGCCTGGAAGAGAGATGGGGCTCTCCAAGCCCAAGTAGACTGCCACTGCCCGGTACCTAGCGTGATGCCGGCAGCGATAAGGGCACCAATACTATCCAGCAGGTTAAATCAAAAGAACGAAAAAGAGCAAACTGTATCTCTTACTAGTAGAAATCATTGAGCAGACCCACGCCCCATGCACGCCATCTGCTGGAGAACACCTCAGACAGGTAGATGCCTCCAGCGATGCCTGTTATGGCAGACCCAAATCCAAGAATGATTCGTGCCACTACGAACATAGCGATATTCTGGGCTGCCGTCTGGATGATAATCCCCACGATCGTGATCCATGAGCCCCAGAAGATCGCAGGTCGGCGACCGAGACGATCTGCTGCAACGCCCGATACCAATGGGCCAAGGAAGCCGCCAATGAAAACAGATGCAGTATTCAACCCGGTTGTTGCGTTATTGAGTTTGAAGTACTCCGTGTAGGACGGAAGTATATTCAGCCCGTTCAGCATCGATCCATCATATCCTCCAGTCTGCTCAGGTAAGTAGGCGGTCATGGTTCATCCTGTCTCACTCACTCACTGCCGATTGAACCATCGAAGATATCATCAGTAGGAAAGACAGAATCAAGGTAGACTCCGGCACCCAAGCAGGTAGCCAGGTGCCGGTTTCGGTTCTCCGTAACATTTTTGGGGGCTGGAAACTCGACCGGGTGGTGCGCCTAAAGACGAAGCCAAGCGACATCAGAGTCGCAGATGAAACTTCCATGCTTGGCCTTTTATACGCTTTGCATTGAGGGGGGAATTTAGCGTGCGATAAGCATTTTCTTTACTCCGCATTTTAGGCTTAGCCGATTCGAAGGGTTTCATTGAGGCGATAAACATTCCAGGGGGACCAAGCGCGGGGTTCTGTCGGGCAATACCACGTTCTTCGATAAAGCGGGGAATGGGGAGAGCAGACGCGACGTTGCATGAGATTCAGTCTGACCTGAAGAAGATCCAGGGTGATCGCGATAATTGCCTGCCCTTTCAACCCGGTTTGTGACTCTGATCGAGTCCGACCGGTCTCTTTGCTCGGTGCGCTTTGCAATGACCCTTACTTTTCTCGAGCGGCGCCCTGTTATCGCCATCGCCGGACTCGCGTGTGAAACGTCGACATTCTCGCCCGCGCGAACCGACGCACCTGCTTTCCATCCACGACGTGGACCGGAGGTGATTGCGGAGTATCCGTTTCTTAACGCGAGCACCGCGCTGGGAAGCGCGGCAGAATGGCATGGGGCACTCATCGGCCACGCACTGCCCGGTGGGATGGTGATCCGAGACGCGTTCGAGGAACTGGCCAGTGAGATCCTCCAGCGACTCGAAGTGATCCTTCGCAAAGGGCCTCTTGACGGCTTGTGGTTCGATATCCATGGCGCCATGCGTGTCGAAGGAATTGATGATGTTGAGGCCGAGCTCCTGCAGCGCGTGAGAAGCGTCATCGGCCCCGACGTGATCGTCTCCGCGTCAATGGATCTGCACGGAAATGTGTCTAAGAACCTGGTGCACCAGACGGATCTCATCACTTGTTACCGAATGGCCCCGCACGAAGATGAATTGGAGACGAAAGAACGGGCATGTCAGAACCTTGTGGACATACTCAAGAGGGGACCTGGCCGAGCTGTGCGACCGTTCAAAGCATGGGTCCCTGTCCCCATTCTCCTCCCTGGGGAACAGACCTCGACCCGAATCGAACCTGCAAAAAGCCTGTATGGACTCATCCCCGGAGTGACCAAGGTTCCAGGCGTGCTAGACGCAGCCATCTGGGTCGGTTACGCCTGGGCCGATGAGCCTCGGAATCATGCGGTGGTCGTCGTTACGGGCTGGGATGCCCAACCAGTCTCCGAAAACGCAGAGAGGCTAGCACATTATTTTTGGGATTGCCATGAAGAATTCAAGTTTGTAGCGCCTACAGGGTCACTCATGGAGTGTATAGATATTGCTTTGGCGTCACCATCACGGCCCTTTTTCATCTCGGACTCTGGCGACAATCCCACCGCTGGGGGCGCCGGAGACGTTACATGGAGCTTGCGCCGTATACTAAGCCGGCCGGAGTTCCAGAATCCGTCTGGGCCGGTTGTCATCTATGCCAGCATTCCCGGGCCTGGCGCCATTGATAGGATTGTACAGGCTGGGGTGGATGCTGTAGTTACTGTCACTGCTGGAGCCGAGGTGGACCATGTCCACGCCGGCCCCGTTACTCTGACTGGTCGGGTCCATGCGATCAAAGGGGGAGATCGAGATGCTGTCGTGGAGGCTGTTCTGAAAGTTGGGAGTGTGTTTGTTATTTTGACCAAGTTGCGGAAACCCTACCATCACGAGAAAGACTTCACAGAGTTGAAGCTCTCGCCCCGATCTGCAGATATTGTGTTTGTCAAGATTGGGTACTTGGAGCCGGAACTGTTCGATATGGCTGCAGACTGGAGGCTCGCCTTGACCCCCGGCGGGGTCGACCAGGACTTGCCTCGACTGGGCCACCAACGCATTCATCGTCCAATGTGGCCGTTTGACCGCACCTTCCCCCAAGCCCCCGATCTTCATGCCCATCTGATCGCTCCCTCCAATGAGCCCCTGCTATCCTGAGCGTTCTGTATAATTCAACTAGCAGAAAGACTACCCAACCAAGCAAAGGAAGTTACGGGGAATGGGACCCTTATAGAAGGAGTCACCAATTCCAGAGACTTCTGCTAGTTAATATATGTTCCACGGTAAATTCGAGTCAAGCGTCCGACGTGTTGCTACACTCGCGGCGGATAGTTTCTTGGAGTGTTTTCGAGGATCTCAGTTGATTATGAACCATCGGAGGATAGCTGTCTGCACCTTTTTCAGGACTTGGAATATGCCGCGTGACAGCGAAGATGCCCACTGGTAAACCTCCAATTCCTGCCAAAATGAACTCACTCCTGCGCACGGCCCGCTGAGCGGAGCCTCGTGTTCCACCTGGAAGCCTTCTGGGTTCCAGTTGCCTGCGTCCTCACCACTAAGCGCCTTGCGCTCTTGCCTACAAGTTGAGGGGACCAAGCATTCCAAGTTGACCGCGACATCAGACTGGACTGTGAAAAAACCCCCCATGGAATCAACTGATGGCCAAGCCACCTCCAACAGATCTTCCTATCCGAGCATTCTCCACTGGCTCGGAGCTGGAGAGCTTCCTTGAGCGTGAACACTTGACTGCGGCTGGATTTTACCTCAAACTCGCTAAGAAGGCATCGGGGATAGCGTCTGTCTCAGCAGTCGAGGCCGTAGAGATCGCCCTGTGCTTTGGTTGGATCGATGGGCGGGCCAACGGATTTGACAAGGACTGGTGGCTAGTGCGCTACACCCCTCGACGAGCTAAAAGCATCTGGTCTCAGAAGAATGTGAATACCGTGGCCAGGCTTTTAGATGCAGGGAGAATGAGGCCCGCCGGTCTCGAAGTTGTAGAGAGGGCGAAAGCAGATGGTCGCTGGGAACGCGCATACGAGGGTCCCGCGACGATGACGGTACCCGACGATCTCGCGAACGCTTTGGCAGCAGCTCCTGTCGCGGCAGAGTTCTTCAAAACCCTCAATAAGGGAGACTGCTACTCCATGCTCATGCGACTTCAGACAGCCAGTCCGGCCTCTAGAGAAACGCGGATTCAGTCTTTGGTGCAGACCCTGGCGGACAAGAAATGGCCAGCCCGAGCAAAATCGACCCCGAAAAAGCGAAATTTGGAACCGACCAGTACTTCGGCCTTGCAGACTAATACGATGGGGAAAACCAGAAAGCGACGCAAGGGCAGTGGTTAGCTACAGATTGGAAGTCCCATCCCAGTTTGTGCACCCTTGGGCACCTGGACACTGACCGACGATTGGATTCATGGTGTCAAGGGTTCACTGATCAAAACCTACCAAGGGGGACGCCAAAGGGGAAGCCGCTTTTTAATTTTATTGCGCCCTAGGCTCATTCATACATCGGGTCCTTGGCCGCTAAACAGTCTAAAGCAAGAACATTAAATAACCTATATAAACAAAGGATGCTAACCATTACCCCTCTTCTAAGTTCATGAAAGTGACTCGGAATACATCGTCCATAGGCCCGTGTGCTCGAGCCAGTCTAAGAATACCTCATTCAGGCCTTGGCGAAGAAGCTCATCGCCCATGTAGTAACGGCGCCCAGCCCAGGTTTTGGATCCCATTGCACCTTTGAGCGGTTTCTTCAATCTGATCAGTTCAATCGAGGCCTGGAGGTCCATCCAATATTCACTATCCGGGAACCAGCAGCGCTTGTCATCCGCAGAAGCGGCGAGCGCCTCAAATGCTGGGAACGTCTGCACTTTTTCCCAGATCATCGGGGCTTCGTAGTAAGCAGATCTACCGAATCGGTGAATTGTCTTTTCCTCAAACTCGGGAGTAATCATCTGGCGTAAAGTCTGTTGTAAATAGCTAATTTGACTTTGAACAAAAGTCGCCAGGCCCTTTTGATCTTGAACATGAGTAGGCTCCTTTTCGATCTGCTGCAAATGGTACACGATCTCATCTTTCAGTTTACGGAGGCGGTATTGAGTCCATTCTGGATAGAGCGATTTCAAATCGGCGTAGGGGCGAATGTTCGTCATGAAGCTGGAATCATACACGGTGGGTGACTTCGATCGATATGAGGTTATGGTGGAAATTCGCTCCTTGACACCTTTTGCACGGGCGGCGAGGTGCTGCACTTCACCACCCTGTAGAATGACCGCATGGCCAATCTGAGGCCCTTCCACCTGTGACAGGTTAGGACGGCGCGTTCTTCTCTGGGTGTTTCTTATAAAACAAACCTTTTGAGTTGTCCCATCTCCCTTTTTGATATAGGTTTCGCCTCCAATCATGCCGTCGGTTTCGCTCAGCATCAAGACGCAGACATAAGGGTATGAGTCATAGCTTCAAAACAAGTCAATTTCTTCCTGCCTGATCGAGCGCCATTTTTCCCGCAGATTGGTGCAGAGAGACTTACTGCCATGGAATGATGGCGGATGCATCTTTCAACGGATCATAGGCGAGATCCGCAGGGCTTAACTCGACCTTCTCGCTGGTTGGCTCAATTTTCAGGTTCTGCTTCATCTCGTCGATAGTTGAGCCTTCCACCTGGATGTTCGTATGGCCTATCTCCGTGGGCATGACAATTTCCAGAGGCACACCGGCGGCTTCAGAGACGATTCGCAAAGTTTCTGAATGGGTCCAGAAGTCCTGGATGAACTTTGAATATTTCACGGCGTCTCGAAGGACTAACGTCCCCGGGAACGGGGAGCTTGAGCATTTGCTCAAAACTTCTTGCTGGAACATGGCCTTTCGATAGGCTCGTATTCCTTTTGCAGACAACAAGGAGAATGGAACTGTCCCCGCAATGGGAGACGTGCCCTCGCCGAGGGGCAACAGAAGGTCTTGCATAGTGATTTGCTTCTGCGGGGGGATGTACTGGAGATGCACCTAATGGATCGATGCCGATGAATGAGCTCAAGGCCAACAACTTGCATACCCAGGAATTGAAAATCGGCGATTGAAAGAAAAGTTTATGGTTCATACCGCGGGATCAAAGACCTCCTCGTTGGATATAGAATGCACCTCCTCCATTTGCTTTAAATCCACTGAGCCCATGTCGCATGTACCTGGGAAGTCTGTACAGTACCAGTGTGATTCGCGCGCGACTAGAGGTGTCGAAGGTCCAAAAATTATTCATTGGGTGACGGCGACCGCCAAAGTCGCACGGCCATGGAAATGATATGCCACGGAAGCAGCCGCTATTCCTATCTAGGGAATCGCATCCTATCACAAAGGATTCGATATCGATTTTGGTCGAAATCGGATCCACCTTCCCATTATCGGCTCCTTCCGAGGGGGCGAGTTCTCTTCGCCTCGAAACCTTGATTAGAGAACAACGCCTATAATCGGCGCGCAGGCGTCTAAAATATAGCACTCTGATAAGCTCGTGCACTGAGGCAATGCTCCCCGTGACAGCATGATAGGCGACGTATATCGGCGTGGCTGCCCACGGGGTACTGCCCACGGGGTACTAACAGCTTAATACCCCGGGAAAGACGAGTATATTCCGCGTTGGCACGAGGGGCCTAGGGAAGCGAACAGGATAGACTGGGCATTGCAGGAACAGAGAAGCCGCCTAAGGGTTTAGCCACTTGACAAAGCACCTCCGCGGAAGGGAAGAGAGTAGCACCCATGGCGACCATGCCAAGATGCGACGACGCATATCCCAAGTCTCTTATAGCTCGAATGAGAGACAATGGTTGTTTGCAACGGGTATGTTTGCCCGAACGTATGTGCGGGATCTGCTTGTGAAACCAACTCAAGTGATCTGCAGGACGTACTTCTTCCCGTCTGGCGATTCGGGGATTTCCACCCCCTCCACCAGGGACCGCCGGCACTAAGACAGTATGAAGACGGTTCGCTGTCTAGAAAGGATCTGATTCACCCGAGATCCCATAGACCGACCCGAATTCTGATCCTACCTGAAACCTGGTATATTCTCTATTAGCAACAGGCCAATACAGCCGAGCAAGGGCCCGAAGCTCATGCGTGGGAGAGAGAGGTCTCCTCCGCTCGATCTATGGAGAGTCCGCAGGTGCTGGCAAAGCAGGCACGGCCCGCGGGTCGGTCTCTCATGACCACGTGACCGGGGTCAGCGGAAATCCGCGGGATGTCCCGCGCAGGCGAATCAGAGCGGACATATTGTCGCGTATACATGATGTAGTGGGTTGTTGACTAACTAGGTTAACGTCCCGCTGCAAAGTGTGGGGAAAATAGTATGCACCTCGCACGATGTGGAGAACAGGGCGGAATCAGGGTGGTTGAAACCCTTGGGACTTTTGCAACACGAGACTAGATGTGCGGAACGACCTGGTTAACCCCTCCTGCAGGTGACCTGGAGGGGGTGTGCAGCGACACAGTAGCGTCGGAATCAGGACCGTCCCAGACCCTCCTATTATAATAGTGTCATCTTCCATTCGTACTACGGTACTCGAACGCATTTTTCTGTCCTTCATCATGACGGTCCAGACAGTTGCCATCGCAGTCGTCACGGTCGTGTATCTGGTGATTCGCTATTTGAATCGCACCGACGTCCCCAAGATCAAAGGCCTGCCCGAAATTCCGGGCATCCCCATCTTTGGCAATCTTCTGCAGCTCGGGGACCAGGTTAGTGGAACGTCCACAGCACGTCCATCAGACTCCAATGCTCACACAGGCTTAGCATGCCACAGTAGCAGGAAAGTGGGCGAAGAAGTATGGCCCGGTGTTTCAGGTTCGCATGGGAAATAAGGTGGGGTTTTGTTCTTCGGCCCAGGCATGCGTGACTCGGTCTTCTTACTATATCTCAGCGCATCGTTTTCGCCAACAGCTTTGACTCGGTTCGTCAATTATGGATCAAGGACTCATCGGCCTTGATTTCGCGCCCCACGTTCCATACCTTCCATAGCGTGGTTTCCAGCTCCCAAGGATTCACGATCGGCACGTCTCCCTGGGATGAATCCTGCAAGAAGCGCCGGAAAGCCGCTGCGACTGCCCTCAATCGACCGGCTACACAATCCTACATGCCGATCATTGACCTGGAGTGCAACTCCAGTATCAAAGAGCTATACCGCGACAGCAAGGATGGCACGCTGGACATCAACCCGACCGCCTACTTCCAACGATTTGCCCTGAACACCAGCTTGACCCTGAACTACGGGTTTCGCATTGAAGGCAACGTGGACAACACCCTTCTGAAAGAGATCGTCGACGTGGAGCGGGGGGGTATCGAACTTCCGCAGTACTTCGAACAACTGGCAAGACTATGTCCCTTTGCTACGGATTTTCCCGAAGGCAAACAAAGAGGCCGAATCGTTCCGTGAGCGTCGCGACAAATACCTGACTTATCTTCTCAATATCCTGAAAGATCGCATCGCCAAGGGTACCGACAAGCCGTGCATCACCGGAAATATTCTGAAGGACCCTGAGGCTAAACTGAATGATGGTAGGACATAATAACGCCTATGGAGAGAGAATCAAAAGCTAATCGTCGTTTTGTTCAATAGCGGAAGTGAAATCGATTTGTTTGACCATGGTATCAGCTGGACTCGACACGGTGCCCGGCAACCTGATTATGGGCATTGCTTATCTGGCTTCCGAGGACGGGCAAAGAATCCAGAAGAAGGCGTACGATGAGATCATGGCGGTATATCCGGATGGCGATGCCTGGGAAAAATGCCTCGTGGAAGAAAAGGTTCCGTACGTTACGGCCCTCGTGAAAGAAACCCTGCGATTCTGGACAGTCATTCCGATTTGCTTGCCCCGTGAATCCACCAAGGATATTGTGTGGAACGGAGCGACCATCCCAGCAGGAACAACCTTCTTCATGGTAAGTCCCACGAAGACCTCTCCTTTCATACATATTCCAGCTCTGGTTTTGTCTAACGGATGATCAGAATGCGTGGGCGGCCGACTATGACGAAGACCACTTCAAGGACGCCGACAAGTTTATCCCCGAGCGCTATCTCGAGCTCAACGAAGGGTCTGGAACCCCTCATTATGGATATGGTGCTGGTTCGCGCATGTGTGCAGGATCGCACTTGGCAAACCGCGAGCTTTTCACTGCTTTCGTCCGCCTGATTACTGCTTTCCAAATGCGACCAGCCAAGGATACGAAAGATCGGCCCATCTTGAATTCCATCGAATGCAACGCCATCCCGACTGCCCTGACGACTGAACCCAAGCCATTCAAGGTCGGCTTCGTCCCACGCGATCCCAAGAAGCTAGAGCAATGGATTCGAGAAAGTGACGAGCGTACCAAGGACATCTGAGCTGACCTCGAGGTTGGCTCACATGCATTTGTAATGTACTAAGCGCCTCATCCAAGGTGTTTGGCATCGGCATCCACCACTATTGGAGATGAAAACAGGAGGCGTTCTCGCTCTTCGGTGAGGGTATGTTGCTCTATCTTCATCGAAGTATTTCGCCTAGGCATGGAATCTCGGATTCCAAAAGGGCTTCAATCCTGTATAATGAAATGTCTGCATCTGAAAATTGATTTTACAGTACCAAGTTCGTTCAGGCCTGAGGCATCAGGGTACGTAATTGTAGAACAGTAACGATCACGGGACTTTCTATTCCTTTCATAACGACCGAGTCCCGATACAGGAATAGCGTGTAAAGTTAACGAAATACAAATACACCAATTTGGGTGGAATGCATTTCCCGATTATTCAACATCTCCGACTCGACTTCGTGTTGAATAAACGTCTCTCTCCTTTCCCTTCCTCTCGTATTTTCTAGGCCTGCGTTACTCTTGACTAGTCCAACATTAGTCCCGCTTCCTACTCTCTATCACGTGCAGAAAATAATTACGCAATGGCAGGCGACCCTACCCCGGCATCTGCCCCCCCGCAAACGTGGGCGCCCGCGGACGGTCACTGGGGACCACGATGTGCCAGAGGTGGGTCCCCCGATCATCCTCAGACATTCAAACCGACTTATAGTGTCCAGAGACGCCGTAATCAACTTCGAGTAGCCCAACAAGCGTACCGGAAGCGCAAAGAAACCACAATTAGCAACCTGCAAACCCGAGTGCAACAACTGGAAGCTGGCATTGAGAAATTTAGCCAGTCCTTCCTCTCCTTTAGTAATATGCTCCTAGAAGCCCGCGTGCTGCAAAGCCACCCAGAAATCGCCAGATCCCTTCAAGAAATCACTCAAGAGTGCGTGACACTAGCCCAGCAGGGAAGCAATGACACGGACGGAAAGGTCGAGGCAGAGGCACCATCGAGCGATGACAACAAACAACCTGCACCCCATCCATCTCAAGCTGTGATTGCGAACAAAGAGTCTGATCTATTCCGTGACTATGCCATAAACCAAATGCCGCAGTCAATATCGAAAGCCAAGTGGCCGAACATGTTGCAGTCCCCGCTGTCGCCACAACAGCAAAGGCCCTTTCCGGACTTGTCCTTCCGCCCTTATGAACTTGTACTATCAACAGATGCTTCTTTAACAGACTCTCATTCCTCTCCAGAGTTGCTCACTCCACCGGATACCGAGTTACCTAGCGGCATGGCGCAAGAGGATTTATGGAGCCTTGCTCACCGGATTGTTCGAGAATGTTGCAAGAACGGGTACCGCCTGTTAGTGGAGCAGTTTCACAGGACCGAAAAGATCAAAGAAGTCTTTGGCGGACCTCTCACCCTAAGCGAACGAAACCGCAAAATTTCAGGCTTCCTGTCCGTGGTTAACGGCTCGGCTGGAGACGCCTTAGAGTTGCGGGCTAATGTGATCGGGTTTGTGAAGAAACTGAAAGATGACATGTTTCCATTATCGGACGAGTACAAAAATGTGCCCCCGACATGGAAGATAGTCCTCGAGGCAGACCCTGCTGAGTGGCTGGATGCAAATGGTATACAGAAGCTATTATATGACAGGGGGCTTCTCGCTGAAGAGAGAAGTCTGCCGAATGGCGGGGTTGTGCTCACTCCAAATTCCCGGCTGAATGTTGCAGCTTTCGTCAGTGGTGAGTGGCGCCCGGATCCCATCATAGCTCGTGAACGTTCGCTGACCTCCGCCCCTAGCGTTATCTCTGGGCCCTGTGTGTATTGGCCTTGGGCCGGCTTTCCGTCGACTCGATGTGGAAAATGCATTGCTCCTGGCGACGTCGTTGGATCCGTTAGATCCGTGGTCATACCAGAACCCATGCAGCACGGATGACTATTTTGAGATGCCAGATGTGCTATGGGATCAACCATAACCCATGCCGCTAGGTAATATAAGGTGTATAATAAGAAGATCCTGATTCTAGTACTTAATCTCATATATATCTTTCTCCGAGCCCTTTCGCATTCGAGGTGCACCATGGCCAGCGCAGTCTCCGCCATGATCAGACTGACCCTGCACAGCCTCGGGGTCTATCGAGAAATTCTACGTGCTGAATCATGGTGGACTCATCTAAGAGAGAAGTAGCATTTGGCTTTTTTCTTTATTTTTATTATGAGAATGCTCGATGCCAACATGTACATGATACCAAAAGGTTGCATAAGCATTACGCAACCGCTTGGCAGGGTCGATACACAGACAGTCCCTTGAGGCTTTGATCTCCGCGGCTTTAATCCCCGAGAGAAAGCATGGGTCTCCGGCGCGAAAGTCTCAGAAGTGCATGGCAAGAGGTTGAGGGGGACGGATTAGTTCCTATTCGCTGGATCCAGTTTGAACGCGGCAATTGGCCGACATGGTGCATTTGAGGGATAGAGGGTTTCCTAATAATACTTCCATCTCATACCAGTGGAAAAGGAAGATAACTCGTGTACCATTCACGCCCCTATGTCCGTGCCAGAAAGCAGCCATGATGCCTCGACTGATAGCGGCGACGAAGATTTCAAAGACCCTCCTGAGAGAATCGAGGACCCCAATCAAGAGGAAAACAATGCAGAATGGGCACAGAAGGAAACAGAGGGAGAGACCTCCTCGCCTCGCGTGCATTTCCGGTCAAGCGCAGCTGCAATGCAGAATGTTCCTCGTCAGGAAACCACAGATCCTCCCGGTTCCGAATGGGCTCAATCACAGCGCGAGGACCAGCCTCACCGTCCAACAGCACCCTACACTCACGAGTCCGAAGACACACCCATGGAAGGGCAAGACCCGGAGCCCAATCAGTCAGAAGGCATCGCACCCGATGAGAAGGCGCCTCGCAGCCCTACCGCTAATCCCAGCACGAAAGACCGACTTCGTTCCATGAGTGATACTCTTCGAAGGAAATTATCTCGGGTAGGAGAGCGAATAGGCCGCCCGACAAGCGGGGGGGGATGATTTGGGATCAGGTACATACCATGCGGACTGGGCATCGGGGGGCGAGCCACCGGTCTCGGATTTCACTGATAATAAGCACAAGACGCACGAAGAGAAACGGGAACAGAATCAAACGAGCAGCAACGAAGCACACCGGCTCGTCCGAGACTTGACCCAAGACCACTCATCCCGGCGCCGCAAGACCCGTGGCAGGCCATATCCACATGCCGGGACGGAGTTTGTCGGGGACGAAGGGGAATCAAGTCAGGAATCGGGTCTGCGGTATCGCTCTGGCGGCGGTGGCGTCCTGTCCCAGCTGATGAAACTGAAAGGTACCCAGCAGCCAGCCGGGTCGACTTCAAGATCGTCGAGTCGGTCCTCGGTGGACTCCGGTACATCGTCATCGACCGAGTCTGGATCGACGAAATCCAAGAAAGGGACGCCCAAATGGTACAAGAGAGATCCAAACACCTCGACCTCCACTTTGATAGGCGCCCCGGGGGGCGGGTTGAGTGGCACGAGCACGCCGCTCTCGAGCGAGGTAATGTCGGCCGCATCGAACCGACGAGGCAAGCAATCTGACCGGAAGATGCGACAAGAAGACGAAATCCGAGTGACCGTCCATATCGCCGAAATCATCTGTCGGGAACGGTATATCATCATGCTCTGCCAGGCCCTCATGGCATTCGGGGCGCCCACCCATCGCCTGGAGGAGTACATGCAAATGACGGCCAAGGTCCTGGAAGTCGACAGTCAGTTCCTCTATCTACCGGGCTGCATGATCATGTCCTTTGACGATCCGTCTACTCGGACGACCGATGTGAAGTTGGTCCGGGTGGGACAGAGCGTCGATCTCGCTCGGTTAGCTGATACCCACCTGATCTATAAGAACGTTATCCACGACGTGATTGGCATCGAGGAAGCGGTCCAAGAGCTGGAGAGCGTGATGAAGAAAAAGCCTCGTTACAACAAGACGATCGTGGTGTTGGTATATGGGTTGGCGACCGCCACGGTAGGGCCTTTCGCTTTCAACGCTCGACCCATTGATATGCCGATCATCTTCCTCAACGGGCTCCTTGTGGGACTCATGCAGCATGTTGCTGCGCCCAAATCCGTACTGTACTCGAATGTCTTCGAAGTGACCTCGACTGTTCTTACCTCCTTCCTGGCCCGGGCGTTCGGGAGCATCCCGAGGGTGGTCGTGGATGGGAAGCGGCAATACTTGTTCTGCTTCTCTGCGATATCGCAAGCGTCGATTGCGCTGATCCTGCCGGGCTTTTTAGTTCTCTGTAGCAGTCTGGAGTTACAGTCACACCAGATCATCGCTGGCTCCATCCGCATGGTGTATGCGATCATCTTCTCGTTGTTTCTTGGATATGGGATCACTGTCGGGACCACGATCTACGGGCTGATCGATGCGGGCGCTGTCTCCGATATCTCTTGCCCCAAGCAAGGCGCATTTAGCAACCCTTACGTGGCGCGGTTCCCCTTTGTGGCCATCCAGACGGTATGGCTCTTGATCATCAATCAAGGGAAATGGCGGCAACTGCCGCCGATGACCGTCATTGCCATGTCTGGATATATCACCAACTATTTCAGCACCAAGCGGCTGGGCTCCAATTCGCAAGTGGCCAACACCGTCGGCGCGTTTACGATTGGCATCATGGGGAATCTGTACAGCCGACTGTGGCACGGCCATGCGGCGACGGCTATTTTACCCGGCATCTTCATCCTCGTCCCATCTGGGCTGGCTGCATCGGGCTCGTTGATCTCGGGCGTGCAATCTGCAGATGCCATCCGCAAAAACATCTCATCTCATTCGTCATCCAGTAGCTCACCCGGCGCGGGGCTATCGGGGGGCAGCTCCATCTTTAGCCTGGGCTTTGGGATGATCCAAGTGGCCATTGGCATTACGATTGGTCTTTTTATCGCAGCGCTTATTGTTTACCCTTACGGGAAACGCAGGAGTGGGCTGTTTAGCTTTTGATCCACGGCCTATAGAAACGATGTCATTGGTAGACGCATCTATATGGTTTGTACAGTTTTTCCCCAGGAGACCATCCTCGGGAGGTTGCCACTATGAAGGGCTATGGAGGCTCTGCATATATCAGTAGTATAAGAATCTCACCAGCTTTCAACACCACGCCCGTCCTGACGTCCTGATGTCCTGCGCAGGGCTCATTGCCGTTTCACGGTGGAATGTGTGGGAGCTCCAATTGTAGTGAAGTCCAACGTTCCCCCCCCCCCGTCGAAACGGAACAGTCCAATGAGATGTTCGAGCAGCGCAAGTGGCAAAGTTCCTTTCGTGCATACATAGTCCCAACCCCGGAGCACTCTGCTCCAGTGCAGCGGTGCTAACCGAATCGGTCGCATGGCGCCTTTTTCCCCTCCGACGTCATAGCGTTACACGTCCGGATTTGCCCGAGAGGAAGTATGGGAGGCAAAAGAAACGGAGTGGAGCCAGAGGCGCAGGCCCCATATTTTTTAAAGTGGGTTCTCCCCCAGATTATCCCTGGAGATCACATCGCGACTGCTTCATTGACCAAAAGTGCTTGAACTCCTGCGAAGCCTTTGTTTTGCCTTTCTCCTTCAATCCACCATGCGGCACTTCGACGCCTGGGTCGTCCGAGACCCGTATTCCATCTGGCACTACTACTCAACAGGCCATCGATGGCAAGATACCATTCGATCGATGATCCAAGAGCGCAAGATCTGCTCGCCGGTCCCGGAAATCAAGCTCCCGGCAGTGAACCCATACACCGACGCCCTGAATTCTCAGCCCAGCTGCGACTTACTGCAACGGCTTCCGCCCGAAATCCGCCAGATCATTTGGGGTTACGTGTTTGGGAATGAGACCATCCACCTGGTTAACGTCAAGGACAAGATTCGGCACGTCCGCTGTGCCTCGACCTCGCCCTCTCTTACCCATCATCGCCACTGCTGCCCGCTCACCCCCGCTCGGTGGCGTGTCTACGATGGGCGCATTCCAGGACACTCGGACAGTCTCCTCTACCCTCATACGCATGAGCTTCTGCCGGACAGGTTGAGCAACAGCGGGGCTGCATTGCTGCGCACCTGCCGAGCCATCTACGCCGAGACGGGAGATTTGCTGTACCGAGACTCGACCTTTGATGTGGATGATCTCTACACTTTCATTGCGTTTGCGAAAGCCATTGGGCCCTACCACCTTCGTGCCATCCGGAGCCTCACCGTCCAATGGACGCCTATGTGGCAGCCCCTCACCGGGAAAGACCATACCTCATCTATTTATTCGCACACGCATAGCGACGCGCTGTGGACCCAGTTCTGGGACCTCGTCTCCTCCCTTCCAGCTTTGCAGTATCTCAATCTCAGTTTCGACCTGGGCCGTTTCACCGGGGCAGTCACGGGCGGGGGCACGGTGGTGGTGGCGGGACAGCGGCTGCCGCTCCTCCTCGCGGAATCGTGGCTTTTGCCTTTGTTGAATGTGCGGGGCTTGAAAGGCTTCGAGCTTGCCATCACTGCGCGCTGTGACTCGGCCGCCAAGGGCGTTATCGAAGGTGATCTCGTCCGCGATGCCGGGGTGTTGAGGGACCAACTGCGGGCTGTGATGTGCTCTCCTGCAAGTGTTCCCCTTGAGGACATCAAGGAGCTGGGGTTGGCCAATGTGACTTGTGCTCTGGAGGCCCTCCGGGATGAGCCAGTGCGCAGGAGTGGGCCTCGACTGGCCATCACCGCTGCATAAATCCTTTTCACGTTCTGCATTCTATCTTGATACCCCTTTGATTTTTTTTTTTTCCGCGTTGTCGCATTTACATCCTGATTGTCAACCAGATCCTTCCCAAGAGAGCGAGCATCACCATATAGAAACCAGCTTCTGTTTCTGTTCTCTATTCCATGATTTGACATTGCGTAACTCCCGTAGTCCCGTCTGTACTAGATTGTAGTTGGGGGCGCTCCCGGTCGACAGCAACGTACGAAGTGTACGAAGTGCATAATGGCGCCTTGACGCATCTGAAAGGCCATCATGCTGGAAGCGTCGTCTTTCGAATCGGCTCCTTTACCCACCCACGCCTGCCTGGGGGCTCCAGGACTCATCAGGTCGAGCTTGTTAAGCGGCGACCGCACACTGGTGAAAAAGGGCCGTTTGCATTGTTTGTTGCATCCGATCGCTCCTTCCCTCTTCTGCTTTTTGCTTCGCTTTGGCTTTGAATCTCCAGCAGCCATGGGTTCTGACGAAGCTTGGACCCCGCACACTGGTATGTATGGGCGCGTACTTGTCGACGAAACTGAATTTTCCCTCGGATCGCTAATACGCTAGACGCATCCAGTGCTGTCCAGCCTCCCCCATCAACCCGAGGAAAACACCACTTCCCCGATCCCCTTCTTCCACCTCCTGGAGCGCCTCAAGACGACGAAGCGCGAAGGCTGGCGCCGTTTCGGAATCAATGGCGAATCGATTTCCGACCACATGTACCGCATGTCGGTCATGACCATGCTTGCCCCGCCCGAGCTCGCGGCCAGGATCAACGTCCCGCACTGCACGAAGATGGCGCTCATTCATGACATGGCGGAATCGCTGGTGGGCGACATCACGCCCGTGGACACAAACGTCACCAAGGCTGAGAAGGCTCGTCGGGAGGCGGCCGTCATGGACTACATCACCACCTCCCTCCTGGGCAATGTGCCGGGGCCGCGCTGTCGGCACAGCAGATCAAGGATGTTTTCCAGGAGTACGAGGACAATGTCACCCTCGAGGCGCAATTTGTCCACGACATTGACAAGATGGAGCTTCTGCTGCAGATGGTCGAATATGAGCGCTCGCACAAGGTCGACCTCTCGGAATTCGAGCGCGTCGCGTCACGAGTTCAGTTGCCGGAGATTCAGGCGTGGGCCGCACAAGTTGTCAAGGAGCGGCCCACCTACGCTGCCAATGCCTAAAATGCTTCCTCCACGGCGTAGCTTTTCTGAAGGATGTTGGTTGGGGTGGTGGGAGCTGCTGGGATCACTATGAGGTACAGACGTCGGTGGACAGGACATAGAGGTTTTAGGGGTTTAAGATACCATAGATTTACGCTTATGATCTGCGATGTTTTCCACGAGGATGAATGAGAACTATACAAAACCGTTTGTCAAAGGGTCTCGAGGGGGTTGTTGCTTGGCCTCGGACAATAGACAGCACTGCAGGACATAGAATATAGAATACTTGAAAGCAGACCAGGGACTTGAAGCTTGTAGGTTACTCGACCGGCTCTTTCTCCATTTCATTTGCCAACATGTGCGCCTCGGCGCACATCTCCTCTAGACTGCGCGGTTTCCGCTGCTCATTATCGACCGCAGGGAATCTCGAGGTTGTCCTTTGGTCCTGTGCGGGCGTGTCTGGTGTAGCGCTCTGGGCATCTCGGAAAGCCTTACCGACGTCTCCCTCCTCGCCGTCCAGCAAGTCGTAAACGGCATCGGTGCCACCACGATGATCTAGATCCGCTGCCTTGCGAGGAATGATGTGTGCATGGACATGGGGCACACTTTGGCCAGCGTGCACCCCGTCCTGGATAGCGATGTTTAGGCTCGAGGCGCCGTAGACCCGTTCGATCATGCGGCTGACTCGGCGCACGGTTAAGAAGAGATCACTGGTCTCGGCTGGAGTGAGATTGGAAACCCGAGAAACGACCCGTCGAGGGCATACGAGAACATGGCCTGGGAGAATTGGCTTCAGATTGACGAGAGCGAAAGACAGTGGGGTTTGAAGGAAGACCTGGGGAGCAACACGGCTGTGTCAATTACAATGGTCTTTTGGAGACGGGGCAGGAGACGGGGCAGGAGGGATAATTTACTTGCGGAGTGACAATGAACGAGCCAAAGTGGATTGGCACCGTAGCGCCCTTGAGCGCCGGCATAGCAGCCTGGACCAGCCTGGACCTTTGGGGACTCGGGGAGGCTGTACAGGGTCAGCGGAATGGGGTCGCCTCTGTCCTCGGAGTGGATCTGATAGGGACGAATGCCTCGGTGGACGCGAGAGCACGTGACATGGCACTCTAAGGAGCCGCTGTCTTTCTGGACGTATCTTTCACGAATAATTGGTCACTCCATAAAGAGATGATGCTCATATAGAACGATGCACCAGGCTCGATGCTGTGTCAGCTCCAAGTGATATAAAACCACTGGATGATCGAATTGATCATGTTGGTCAAGTTGGTCGACTATCTGCGGTCGCCGACGATCACGTCTCTCAGTCCACGTGGCCTCGAATTGGAAATACTCTCAATGTACGTCAAGCAATGGAGGAAATATCAGCGATTGCTTTATCTTGTTTCATTCTGGGCAATCAACCGCCAGATCAGCACGGACATCTTATCATCCCACGCATGTCCATCCCGCCTCGAACGTGGCATGGCCCGCTACAGCTAGTGGGCCCTCTTTTACCCCGAAGGCGATTCCAGTTGAGCTTCCTCGCTTGCGTCTAAAGAAGATGGGGCTTTGCGCGGCAATGAGGCACTCCCCCGCATCTGATGTGGGAGGTGGATTTTGTCAATACATTGGCAGTACATGGCTGATCAGGGTATCCGTCTATATACAATGGGTTGATCAATCGTCAGGATAACGGACAGAAGGATGTCACATCATAGGAACCACCGGAACTCTGGGGAAGAGGGGCCGTCTCTCATGCGGTCTGTGGGGATATCCCGTGCCCGAACAGTGACTCCATCTCGTCGATCTCGACGCTTGTTATCCAGCCACATGTATAGTCCTAGCAAACCCGCCAAACAGGCGCCCGTGGCACCAAACGCGGCGACCGTGATCAAAGCAGGCATGTACTTAGGCGCGTCCTGCTCTCGGAATACGTTACTCCCGACAAGGCCCATCAAGTTGGCCAGGGGGACGCCGATACTGGTCAACAAGACTCGACGACCCTCGTGGGCAATGTTGTTGTTATACCACGTACTGAGCAGCACCGAGGGTGCCGATGTGCCCCAGGTCATCATAAAAGTGGCAAAGTATGCCAGATGCAGCTCTGCCTGGACATCGTTAATAGAGGCGTAGATCATGAACCCCGAGAAAGTCAGAAGGAAACCCAGCACAATATATGGGGAACGCAATCGCGTGAAATCCGAGCAGAATGCTAAGACCAGCAGCATCGCCGCCCCCGTCACGTTAGGTGCCACAGTATACAGGTTCGTTTTGACAGTTCCCAAGTTGAGACGAGCCACAATCTGGGGCATAAACAGTGCGACGCCCTGCAAGGGCACCCCTAGGCAGATTTCGATGGCGAGGAAGGCGTAGGTGGTGGGGTGTTTGAAGATGCCCAGGGCTTCCCGAAGACGGAATTTCTCATTCACGACTGCACTGGAATCCACTTGGATCCGGTGGAAGGCGAGCGCCTTCTCATCATCAGAGAGGAACCTCGCCTCGGCCGCACTTCTTGGCAGATAGAAGAACGCGAAGACGGAGAAGGTCACCGTCACTCCGCCTTCAATGATGAAGAGGTATCGCCAGTTGGGAATACTTGACCCCTTAATCTGGAACACTCCAAAGGCAATGAGTCCCGAGAAGGCATTGGCGATATTGGAGGCGGCATAAAAAACGGCCAATCGTCGGGCCAGCTCTCCACGCCGATAAAAGGTCGTCAGATAGTAAATGACCAGCGGGAAAAAAGCCGCTTCAGCCATGCCCAGAAACCAGCGCAGGGCAAACAGTCCGCCAAAGTTATACGCAGCTGAGGACAGCATGGTGAACGCGCCAAACGTGAACATCAAGATGGGCAAGACGCGCGCTGGGCTGAACTTCTTCCCGAGCATGGACAAAGGGGGCGCAAACACCACAAAGGGCACGAAGAAGATCGAGAGCAAGAGGTTGTACTGATTAGGCTTGAAGTGAAGATCTTGAAAAAATACCAGATAAGTCAATAAGAACGAAAAATCTCTTAAATCACTGGGAGAGGAGGGTTCTTTACCTTTTGACATCCCATCGGTTTGTGCATTTCCCAGGTTTCCCTTGTCGAGGGCGTTGAACAGATCTGCTCTATATTAGCGGCCAACAGCAACAGCCACGGGGGAGCGACACCGACACATTATTGCCAAGATTGGAAGCAAGCGAATGTCGAATCGCCGGCAAAGACGACGTTCAGCCTTGTGGTCAACGACGCGAGTCACATCGTCAATGACGCCGGGGGCAGATCCATAGCCCTGCAGTTTGTTGGGCTCGGGGTCCTCGAAGGACTTCGATACGGGCGCATCGATGCCTTTGCCGTCGAGATGGCTCGTCATTGTCGAAGCTCAGGATTCTGGAGCTATCCGGTGTATAAAACAAAAATAAAGGGACTCGAAGTATTCAACGAAACAGCCACGGTTGGACATCCCTTGCTTATGAGAAGAAGCCGGGAATGTTGCATCTTGATGGACCCCCCCACATGCACTTTTCTCCGCATGCTGGACGATTGGCTCTGAGGACCCGAGACCCTTCCCCAGATCCCACGACGGGGGGGGCTTGGACGGGCCTTGGGTGGGCTTGGAACGGTTGCATCCCGCTTAACGGAGGAGCTTATCTGCGGAGAAAAGGCTGCTAATCCCAGAGAGGGAGGCCGGAAGCAGCCATGGCGATAAGCGTTTCCAATCTGGCTCTTCGAGTCATCCATTCATTCAACGGCGATACACATTCTTACCGGTGCGAGCATGTTTCTAGGGCTCCACAGGTACTAATCGAAGAAGTATGATATATTTCTACCACAGGCAACTACAGAAACATTTGACTTGAAGTTGGACAGTTCACACCATAGCTCATTACTCATTTGGGACCCGACGGCCTCTGAGTAGTTCACTCCATGGAGAAGATGGCCGGAGGTGCCAGTGAAACTCTTGGGTGCTTGAACTTCTACTAATGACTCTTGAAGAAAGTGCCAGTCCTAGCAGGGAAGTCACATGACTCCCGTCCGTTTTCACAGTTTGCATGTGGAACAAACATCACAAACATAGCATTAGTTAGCGGAAAGCGCAAGAAAACAACCAGCTTTGTTTCTCGGCGCCCAATGAACCCAGCTTGGTTGGGTCTCTCATCGGTCCAATATGCGATAACCTTGGATTCAGAGTGACTGTATCTCGACTGCTGCAAATTGCCTGGCTACCTTCTGTTTCCCGCGCATAAACCGTCCAACTTCAACTTGAAGCTGAGAATGGACTCAACAATGCCACCTATAGACATGGCTTCGTACCACCCCGAGGCCATGAAAGCATGGCTATACTCAAGTGCATACGGAGGCATTGAGAACAATATGCAACTCCATGAGCGCGCCCGGGTACCGCCTGTGCCACAGGGCACCGAGGTACTTGTGCAGGTGCTGTCTGCCGCACTGAACCCCTTGGACTTTAAATTCCCTGAAATAGGGATGATAATGGCGAGGATGGTCACTGGGGCCTCCGCATCGCCGGGACTGGATTTCTGCGGTCGTGTTGTGGCGACTGGCCCACTGGCTCGACATCTGAAAGAAGGCCAATTGGTCTTCGGAGGCTCTGTGCAGCCCACCTCGATTTGGCTCACTAGGAGACTATCTCACCATCACCGCCGACAAGATCGCGGTGGCTGCCGATGGCGTTGCAGTGGACTCGGCTGCTGCGATCCCACTTGCTGGGCAGACGGCTTATCAGAGCCTCGAGGGCTATGTCAAGGCTGGTGACAAAGTCTTCATCAATGGCGGCTCGGGCGGCTGCGGTATCTTCGCTATTCAGATTGCCAAGCAGATGGGCTGCCATGTTACAGCCACTTGCTCTACCCGCAATGTAGAATTGTGTTTCCGCTTAGGCGTAGATGAGGTCATTAACTACACCACAGAGACCGACCTTGTAGCAACATTGGGGCAACGAGGGGTAGTCTTTGACCATATAGTCGATCACATCGGTGTACCTTCTGACCTGTACTACCAGTGCCATCGCTTCCTCAAAGAAGGTGGAGTGTTTATTCAAGTTGGTGCTTCCAGCTTGGTGACGTTTGTGAGCCGCCTCAGCTGGCCTTCCATCCTTGGTGGCGGACAGAGAAAATACACGATCATGATGGTGAAAAACAACCAAAGACAACTGCAACAACTGATGGAGTGGCTCGCAAGTGGTGCAATCCAGGTTCAACTAGATAGCACTTACGAGTTTCGTGACGCGGTGAAGGCCTTCCAGAGGCTCAAATCAGGACGGACGAGAGGAAAGATCATAGTACATGTCAATGATCCCCACGAGCAGAACATGGAACCATTTGGAATTGGGCTCTAATCTGGATTCAAAACTCAAGCAAGGGGGGGAATTCATAACTCGTCGCGTGCGTTGTGTGCAAATCAGAAGCCTAACCCGGATTGGTTCACATTGACTTGATAAATATCATCATAGAATTGCATCACTATGTGGTTTAGAGCACAAGAGAATATGTACATATAGTCATCAGACAGAAGGCGATGTGGCCTTCTCTTACGGGGTAATCATCCATTTAAGGAGCCCCCGGAAGAATAGAGCCGCACTGCGACACCCGAATCATGCATCATTGTGAGATTCGAGTTCTTAATGGGCTCCTGGCGAGGGTTGGGGTCCGCGTTTTCAAGGGTATCGAAATGCTGCATCAGTCGCACAACGGTATAACTGGCCTCGGTCAGAGCGTATTGTTCTGTGGAGAATGTTAGCAGCTGGAACGGCAGACTAGGCCCAGAAGTTCGGACGTACGGCCAAGACAGATCCGAGGACCGCCATTGAAGGGCAGATATTCCCATCCATGTTTGCCGTTCTCCTCCCAGCGCTCTGGTCGGAAGGTCGTCGCGTCTTGGCCCCAGAAGTCGGTGCGGCGATGCATGGCGAAAACACTGTAAGCAACAATGACGCCTTTCTGGACATAGATGGGCGACCTGCCATCAGGACCTCCTCCCACGGGGAGGGAGGTGTCTTTGGTAGCAACTCGAAAGTTGACAGGCACCGGAGGTTGGAGTCGGAGAACTTCGGGCACAGTTAGTGGGGGCTGGGAACGATCAATGGGCGCCACCGTCTCAAGGTATGGCTCACCTTCATTCAGAACGTATCTCAAGTATGGAATATCCTTTAGTTTCGTGTGCGTGATCTCCCGGGGGTTCTTGCTATCCCCGAACACTTCGACAATCTCCTGGCGGAGACGATTCCAAGCAGGCGGGTGACGAGCCAGATAGAAGAAGGTCGAGCTCAATAAACTTGCAGTGGTATCGCGACCAGCCAGAAGAATGTTGAGCATATTGTCTCGCAGCATCTTGGGATCTTCCGTTTCGGCTACCAGCGCATCGAGGAAAATGTAACGGCCGCCCTCTGGCTTCTTTTCCGGATTTCTTTTTTTTGCGAGTGCCATGTTCACATAGTAGTCGACGACTTCGTGCACCCGACGATTGGCTTCCCGGAACTCCTTGGGGTTGACAAGCCAATACAGTCCTTGGGCGCGCGACCGAGCAGCCAAGTAATCCTGGGCGGTGGTGAATGCGTCCGCGAAGCCCTGGGCGTTTCGAACTGCGCACTTGGCCAGAACGTCGGTGGTCTCCGACGAATTCATGCAGCCCACCGACTCGCCGAACAGGAAATGGGTGGCGGAGTCGAGGGTGAGCAAGAAAAAGAGTCGTTGGATGTCGAAGCTGCTGCGATCCTTCGGGATCAACTTCAGCAGGTGCTGAATGTGGTCATCTAAAAGCGCGAGATCGGCGACTTGATCTCTCGTGAACTGCGGTCGCAGCAGACTCCGTGCATGCGACCATCCAGCGCCGTCCAGAGTGAAAATCCCATCGCCTAGGAGAGGATCGAATTGCTCATGTCGTGTGCCGAGAGAGAAATCCTGGAACTGAGTCGCCAGGACTGCTTTGATATTCTCCGGCTCAATTGTGGTGAGCATGCGGCGGTTTAAAAACTGCATGCTGAAGGTATTCCGACCCACGACGTCATATTGTTCGGCCAGATAGTCGATCCATCGCTTTTCTCGAACCGCTTTGCTCAGGCGGTAGAATCCCGGGATTCCAAAGAACCCGGAAGGTCCTGGTCGAGGAGGCTCGCAGTTCCACGCTTTTGCTTTCTTATAGTGGTGCAAGCGTTGGACAAGGTAGTGCAGGATCAGGAACCCGGCACAAAGCGCGCCAACCAGGGGCACCGAAGGACTCAGTAACATGGCGATAGTCGCCGAGGTGAGATCTCGGAGATTTTTGCTTATAGTTTTTCCCAGGAGTATGCACACGAGGGAACCAGGATCATCTTAAATCTGCATGCGAGATGATCTTGCATTATACTGAGGGGTTGACCCTCGGGCTGTGTACATGTGAGCCCCCCCCCGGAACCCACCCGGAGGCTTGCGAGGTTCCCAGAAGGGTTTAGCACCCGTAGGACATGTTCCCAAGTGCCCAGGTGGTAACTAAGCCATGCCGGAGGGGGGGTTTTCAGAACACAGTTATTACACTGTGTTATGATAAAAGCTAATACAATTGGGTAAATATACTATGTTAGGAAATACACAGTGTTTTAAATTGAGACCCGTTGGATTCTTTTAAATGTGTCAGGTAGACTGTGGTATATCCGCTCCAATGGATATGAAACCCTTATCCATATCTGCACTAGCATAACTCTCGCTTATCTTCCCGAATATAGGCTGTCACCTGATGCTAATGTAGCTTACCAATATTTCTCCCCGCCTGAAAGAAAACCATGTTTGGTCATGACAGAACCAATATCTTTAATTCACATTCTGTGGTGTGAAATACTAGGAAATGAATATGTATCTGAGATCTGATTGTGTAACGATTAAATATGAGGCTATAGACTTAAGAGAATTTGACTCTAATCTTGAGTGTGGCTGTGAAATAAGGATTTTGCATATTTCTACAATGGGTTCCTCACATAAGAAAATCCATGATTATTTGCGAAGAGATAAGTGAATGGTAATACAGTGGTAACAGCACTGCGTGTTCCGACAGATATAGATACGCAGAGGCTAGTAAACTTTACCTGGGCCAGGAATGTTGAATGTTCCTCGCTGTGTCAGCAAACAGGGTTTTCAACACCCCCCGCTGACCTCCCTGATTTTATTTTTGATAGTTACTAGGAAATAGGGCTCACGTAATTGTCACCGCTCACACAATTCTGCCTCCCCTTACCGCCTTTAGGCACAAGGAACCGTCTGAACTACGAGACTGGCAAAGATGGGACGGAGGTTTGCGAAGGAGTAGATAGGTTGTCGTCATATTTCCTCCTCCTCTCCCTCTTCCTTTCCCATCTCTAGTTCTAGTATCTCGAATGCGAGCGCCGTTACTGGTTCCTTCCGTTCCCAACGTAGGCCACTATTGACAGTAATCATGTTTCGCGCAAGGCCCGGGACCTGCAGCCTGCTGGTTGTCTTACAGGCGCAGAAGCAACGGTGAATAATACATACACAAGATATAGAACCTGTCAATGGTGGCCTACGTTGGGAACAGGAAGAACCAGCAACGGCGCTCGTATTCGAGATACTAGAACTAGAGGGGGGAAGGAGAAGAGAAGGGGGAGGAGCTACTGTAGCGACCTATCTACTCCTACGCGAATCTCCATCCCATCTATGCCCACCTCGTAGTTCGGACGGTCCTCCTCCAGTATCAAGGCGGTGACAGAACCGAAGGATCCATTGTTTGACTACGATTCTTTGAAGACCAGAGGTTCGATGCATAGGCTAGAGAAACGACGGGAGATGGAAAGAGAAGATAAGTAAGTCCTATCTGGGCAACCTCTAATAGGCACACTGTATCATGAGGCACGAATGAGTATATATAGCATCAGACCAAGATTGTCACATTCCCCGAGTCGAGCACTGCTTCCTCCCTCCCCCCCCCCGGCGATACGAAACGAAGAAAAGACGATAGTAACTCCAATACCAATATATCACATCGCGTATACAACGTGCTCTAGCAACACCACAGGTGCCAGAGCATAGTCGTAGGCAGATTTTCCATGAACCATGTGCCCCCAAACAAAGGCAGGAAACTGTCTGGATCCGCAGTGTTTGATGATACCCCGTTGACGTCGACAAAAAAGAGGCGATAGTCATTCTTTCGACAGCTGGGATGCTAGACCATTTATCCTACTCCTGAGCAGGAGGCACCTCGCGCGCATCGCCTCCTGTGGCAGCAATCGGCCCTCGGGCGCGTTGTGCAAGGTTCACCAGCACCTCAATGAGTCGCAGGGCTCTCTCGACCACCCGCATCAGCTGGATAATGGCTTCCATGTTGTAAGGGTTTCGATACAAGAGGGTCCTATTCAAGAATACCAGATTAGTTTCGTCGCGATGGCATGGACAAGGGGTACTACTACCGAAGGATGTGATGGGAAACAGCTTCCTTAAGGTACTTTTCTCACGACGAAGGTGGCCGTGTGTATAGGATGAATTCTTCGCTGCCTCTACGCAGCCGCCTGGCTTTCGCTATTTATACCCCGGAGTGCTAGCTGCGCCATCGTACTTATGCGAAACTTTCTAGTAGGGTACCTATGGATGAGGGAAGATCGGGAGACGGCGATTTAGCGAATGACGTGGTTTCTTATAGCCAATTGGGAGGCCCTATGCTTGGGAGGAATTCTTTTTTTGTATTTTTGGTTTTTTCCTTCCACAAAGATACCTTGTTTTTCTTTTCCTTTTTTTATGTTGTAATCTCCTCTCTGCCTTCGTCTGGCAATGGTAGGAGACCTGCATGGGGTAGCCCATGATCATCCGTAGTCAATCTTCCGGTAATAGCATATGCTTCGCCACGCAGATAAAGCGTGGTATAACACAATCCCTGGCCCGTAACAGCCTCGTTGCGCAAAGCCGGGGCTCCCGATCGGCAATCCGAGAGGGGGTAGGCTTGACAAGACTGGCCATGATCTAACTACGCCGTAATGTCTTTCAACCTCTCGCCATGGCGTTCCGGAGCTAGTGCTGTAGACTGTGGGGCATCACGCGGTATCTTTGGGGCCAGCCGTCTAGCCAGCCGTCTAGCCAGCCGGGCTTGCAAGATCGCCAATCTCGGTTGAATGGGTTCTTGAATGGGTGATCTTTCCCACAATTCAGCCACTAAGCTCATGACATAGAGTGGGGCGTAATACAGTTACTCCGCCCAGCCCGCTTCTGCAGGCACAACCGAACAGGTAGATCGTAAGTTTGGGTTAAGAGGGGCCTTGAGCGGGTGGGTCTTTTCCACGATTTACGATTCAGCCTCCGGGTGTCATACAGAGTGGGCGTAATACAGTTACTCCGACCAGCCCGCTTCTGCAGGCACAACCGAACAGGTAGACCGTAAGTTTGGGTTAAGAGGGACCTTGAGCGGGTGGGTCTTTTCCACGGTGCAGCCTCGAAGCTAATGATATAGGGGTTGGGCGTAATACAGTTACTCCGGCCAACGCGTTTCTGTAGGCACAACTGAAAAGGTATAGCCTGCCCTAATCTTTGAGGTCTGCAATTCCCCGTGTTAGGGAGAAAAATGAAGACCTGTGAAACCCTGTTCAGCAAAGACCGGCTATCCGGCCACGTGATTCGACTCGTTCTCTGTCTACGTGAGAATCCCTTATTTATCTCCTTTCGGATACAAATTTGGATCACTGATAGATTTCATATAGAGCGCTTGATATTTTAAGTTTTATCACTTCCTGATGCAAGCTTATCAACATGCGACAGACGTTCTTGCTATGGCAAAGCTATAAAACCGCGGAGGAGAAGCTCTTCTAGCTGGTATTTAAGAACGAATGACCATCGATAGTAGCAAACATAATCTTGGGACTAAAACAATTCCTGAAATCATGTCCAGTGTCGGGTGAAGAAAAGAATATAAGATATCATTACTACAGTCGTCAATTTTCGAGAGAAAACCAAAGCTGAGTACGAAATCCTTAGAAGTCGTGCTCTTAGGTAAAGCAACGAAAGGTTCACGTCAAATTTGGCGAACTCGATATACAGCCATGAGTTCTATCTCTTGGGACTACAGAACATCCTCCAAGCATTATCACCGAAGCCACAGTTCGAACGTCCAATTTAAGCACTGAGGAACCAGACTCACAAATGACCCAAAAGAATCCACATTCGCCGATGATCTTGCGTCTCCTCATATGGAAGAGCAGAAACTTAATGCCGCCCAGTCAGTGCCGGTGTTAGTGCCTTACAAGATCACGAAGCAATAACCTGTGATTAAGATGAATTCGGCATTTTTTGCACTTTGCTGCAAAGTTTGCTAGGTGATATTCTCCGTATGTGGTAGGCTGTGCTTCAAGGAAAGACAAGACCTCTATTGCAGCAATCGGTAAATCCTAATGTCGTCTCGAACGTTTAAATACTCACAGTTAGATCGGGTAGTTGTTTCTTGTATATACAATGAGATGAAATCCTTCTTAGGAGAAGCACAATTACTCACTCCACATTGGTTCTAAAAAGAGTTCCTTAAATATTCTACTTAGCCGTTCCGGGAGGAACTAAATATCGCACCTGAATGTTTTGAGGGAATAATCAAATATAAACAGCAAGAAGTTGCACTGCTGGAGAGATAGGTAGACCCTTAGAGGGAGCATGCTCTTATTAGACACTAATTGTGCACAGAATGTTGGACCCAGTGAGCAAAATCCGTCCCATTTGGCTGTTTTGCTCGAGGGCAAGGGAAACGGCCAAGACTTAGGATTCAATATCTTCGAAGCCAGCCTCTGGATATATCTTCTGTTCTTTGAGACTCAGTTGATGAAAAGGTATAAACATCTACGGCTAGATAAAGTTCGATCGGCGACGGTCTGAGCACCGGAGTACTTGCGTGCGATTATATCTCGACCTATGATTCGAGACGAGTTAAGGGCGTCCAATTTTGCCTTGTCTGAATCAGCCACGCCAACAACGGAAGGTGGCTCCCGAGAAGCCTGTCAGGAAATGAAGGAGCTGATTGGTGCTCTACAAGGGCTGAACGAGCTGCCTTTGATTTGTAGTATATCTTCGTGGGGCATATGCGGAGTTTAGGAAATCCTTGGCTGTACCAAGTCTACACAAAGAAGTGGGGCACGTTATACCTTTTCGGTTATGCCTCCAGAAGCGCGTTGAGCGGAGTAACTGTATTACGCCCAACCACTTATGTCATTAGCTGAGAGGCTGCACTGTGGAAAAGACCCACCCGCGCAAGGCCCCTCTCAACCCTACCTTTGGGTGCACTGCAGAAGCGCGTTGAGCGGAGTAACTGTATTACGCGCCCCACACTTTGTCGCTAGCTGAGAGGCTGAATCGTGGAAAAGACCCACCCACTCCAGACCCCATTCCCCGATCTCGCAGCCCGCCCTCTACGCTGTCACAGCTTGGCGCGGCTTGGTACGTACCTGTGGAACGAAATGAGCCGGTTAGGGATTGAGAATCATGCACTGCCAGCTTCATCTGCATGGCAAAGACGCTATCACTGTCAGCCGTTGGCCGATTCTGCCGCCCGCCACCGCCCCTAGATCGTAGCTTCGTCCGAACTGCCACCGTCCGAACGAGGACGAGAAGGGGCGGAGGAGTGGTGGGAGTCGGGTATTAGTTCGGTCGTTGTAGTTTCTCCTCCTTCCCCTCTTCTCCTTCCTTCCTTAGCTTTAGTATTCCAAATCGAAAAGCCCTTGTTGTGCAGCGTCCAGCATCGATCAGGTTTCCCGTTGACAATACTAAGTTCACTCATTTCTTTCTTTTCTGCTACAGCACACATCGCCGGCACTCGAATTCGTGTCGACTGTGTCAAGGCATCTATCGTAGCTAAACCCGACACCAATATGCCTCCCCGCGGTCGAAAGCGCGACCAAGAGGAGACGGAACACGCAAGAAGCTGAGCCTCTACCCTAAGCGCGTTCCCTCAATCCCCCGCCGAGCCACGCGATAGATAACAAGGTATTATTTACGAATTGCCTAAGGAGTTAATCTCTAGCGCCACGATCATTGATGTCACTCAAAGCGACTACCCCCCTATCGATATTAAATAGCTTAAGGAGTTTGAAGAATTGTTTCAACAAAACCTACGACTCGCAACAAAGGAGAAAGAAAAGGGTGCGCTTTAGTATTGTCAACAGGAAACCTAATCGAAGTTAGAACACAACAATAACAGCGTTTCAATTTGGAATACTAAAGCTAGAGAGGGAAGAGGAGAAGGGGAGGAGCTACGGCGACGATCTATCTACTCTTTCGCGAACCTCTGTCCCATCTTCACTAGTCTCGTGGTTCAGGCGGATCTCTTTGTCTCCCTGGGCGGTAAATGGCGGCAGAATTGAGCTCAAAAGTAAAGTCCCAGATACAGTAGGCGGTAATAAGGCAGTAGAATCGGCCAGCGGCTGACACTTCTTTTGTAGCCTGCTAGAAGGGTTTTGTATTATCTTCCTGGTTCTCGGAAATCACGAGCCATATCACAGTAGTTGGGCCGAAGCAAAATCACGTATTAAACGCTTCGAAGCCGGTCTCAGCGATTCTTGTGAGACAAGCCAGACGCTCAGCCGATATGTTTTCCTCGATCAAACGCGCTATGACCTTTCATCAACTGTTAGCGTCCTTGGCTGCACTTTATTTTCGCAAGTAGCCCAGACGCAAATGGAAAGCGTCAGCTTCGGCCTGAACGATTTTTATCATATCCAGGATTGGTCGGTTGAAGCGCATCTAGAAGCACACCGTGCGGACCTTGAGTGGCTGAATCAGGAAATCGACTTCATTTCACGCTTGGAACCTGATCGCCAGGTGGTTGTATTCACTCACTACTGCCCATTGGTCCGCGACAACGCTGTCGACCCAAAACATGGACACAGTAAAATCTCCTCCGGCTTCATGACGGATTTATCAAGTGAATGCTGCTGGAAGCCAGAGGTGGTCAAGGTCTGGGCTTTTGGCCACACACATTTCAATTGTGATTTCCGAGACATAGAGACGGGAAAGAGTGTGGTTTCTAACCAAAGGGGATACTATTTTTCTCAGGCTGAAGGCTTTGACCCCTCTAAAGTCGTTGAAATCTAGTCTTGTCCCCTGGTTGAGAGATCAGCACTGTCTCTGCGTGACCGGGAAACGATGCCTGGAGGGTAGGCTGCTGCAAAGCTCGTCCAGAAGCCGATACATCTGTGGCCATTCACCCCCTTTAAGTGCACAGTAGAATGGCTGGTATTCCTCTCCCAGGCTGTTCTCATCAAAAACATCTGCTTCATCCATATCAACATATCCCAGGATATAAAACGGCGCTCCCATCCACTATTTTGCAGCCCTATTGCCATAACCTCGACAAAACAACTGAAGTAAAGCCTCGCAATATCGAATGGGGCGTGGGACTTGCGCAATGTCGCATTGGGGGGCAAAGCGCCCTGGACCACGGCCAAGGGCTCCTGATGGGAGTCGGGGTTTGAAGCACTGACAAGGTTGGGACAGGAAATTTTTCAAAGTACATCTAACTTGTGATATATTGATATAGCAAGCTCGTTGTCGATGTGCAGATGCGCAGCGAGAGGCAGGCGTTGGTATGCGGCTACAAATGGACAGTCTAAGTCTTGTGTACAAGGAGCGAAGCCGGCTTCCCAAAGAGAGGACGAGGCAGTTTCCGTCAAGTCATCGGGCACAACAAAGGCCACACCCGGTTCGAACATCAGCCATTTTTCCTGTCAAGAATGGAACACGAAGATAGACGTCAACAATGGCGAAGACCCCGTAGACGGTCAGTAAATAGTGCCCCAGAGAATATTTGGTACACCGGCGGAGACGAGCATCTTCAAGATCATCGCAACAAGCCTGTCGTACAGCGACTGGACTTAAACGTGGACCTCCGACATCCTGAAATTTGGCTTGGGCACATAAAAGGACGGCGCCGCTTTGAGTGAGGTGATAAGAAATGAAAGGAAACGGGAGACGCGTACCCCGTTTCATGCCTAAGGCGTCAAATACTTTGAAGCGCGAACTCAGCAGCTGCAGAAGACGACTCGTTAATTAACGATGAGGACAAATCTGCGCGTGATGGATCTCCACTGAAACCACCCTATTTACATACTACAGTCACCCCAATCTCTTTTTTGATCCCCGTGCCTTGCAATCATAATATGGAGCATTATATATACTAACGAAACCATTCTGTAGAGTCTATAGATAACTGTCGGCGAAATTTATGGCTTGAGAGCTTTTTCGTAAGCTTGCCAACGACAAACAACTCTTGGCTCTAGTGCTTAAGGAAGTCCTCGGTGAATATGGCTGAGCAGGTGAGGACCCGCTGACCTTTTGATTGGACCAAGGCCTGTCCCTCAGCACAAAAATTTCTATGATCCCCACTGCCGTCAGGTAACCACTACCTCACAAGGTGGTGTGGGTGCAATGTTTCCGTTAAACCATTGGCTCTCGTCCTGCTAGTTATCAAAAGTTATCCAAATCGCAAATCCACCAGCAGACCTCACAATAAAGCACACTATACGGGAGGCTTGGGACATTAATGCCTTACTAGGCTACTTTGGTATTTTTAATAAGCGAAATTATTATATTATCAGCAGATACTGTGTGGAGCTGCAATAAAAGAATCTGAAATGAACAATATATAGCCGGCCAGAGGGCTAGCCCAAATTACATCTTGTGCATTGATGGGTGCTTCATGATCGAGCGAGGTCCTTAGAGTACATGGTTGAGACTGCACTGAGCATTGACGTCCACATTCAGCAGACCACCCTGTCGACATTGTTAGAATTTCAACGGAAAGAATTGGAGCAAATCTATCAATGCGTACCTCAAGGTCCTTGTCCTCGCAGCAGTAGACATCACCGCCAGAGCAGCTATCTCCCAGGGCACCGGTTGCGACATTGCCCAAGGTCAAGAGGCCACCGTTACCTCCAGCGCAGACCACAGACTGTCCGCTTTTGCAAACCTTGCCACCGTCCTGGACTGGGACCCCGGCAATGGCGGTAGCAATCAAGGAGAAAGCGACAAGAGTGAACTTCATGTTGACGGTATCCTAGGCGGAGAGATTAGCCACGAATTGTCAGCTTTACAATAGTCTTTCATACCTGATGAATGATGAAGGTAATCGATTATACTTCAGAGTATTTTGTATAGAACATCATTTCGTGGGTTTATCTGCTCTTTAAAAGCACCAAGCTTCATAATGCTGGGCATAATTGAATGTGAAACCGGGAATCAGCTATTGAGTACGGTCCGGAATGTGGGTCACTTGGGCCAAGTATGTGGAAATAAATCGCGCATGGGGTACCAGATTTGAGTGGTATGGCCGGATTTGGCCATAAAGAATGTTGCATATACATGGGTACATTTTTATTTTGGTTGCTTTTGGTCATGTAACGCTGCAATTAGTGGATTCTGAGCTCAACACGTCATTCATATTGTAAGCTTATCATCACCCCATTTCTCGTGGGTTCCTAGGGTTCCTTCCACGTGTACTACAAGGCGATCGATCCCTGGGCAATCGGAAATAGGGCGCTCCATGGTTAAATGGGAAGCAAATTCGCATTTTGAATGGAATGATAACTGATCGCATCTTTGAATGGCTGCTTTGTGGTTAGTTGTCAATTTGCAACGTAGACTTTATGCGGACTTCTCTTCAATATTATCTATGTCGTTCACGGAAAAGAGGCTATAATATTCTGGTCACTATGATGTATCTTGTAGTCACTTTCCGGAAAATGAATTCGTAGTACGGGGCAATGATCTAGCAATATGACGATTAGACCCTAGCCTCATAAATACCGTCTACTCATGAATATACGCCTTCTAGATATCCATGAGACTTTCATTCTTCATCTAATGTGTGCCTCACAGTGTTATGCATCATATCTGGGGCGAATTACTCTCCATATTGAACCTATTTTGAAGCCGCTCTATATGAATTGGCCCATGCGTGAAATGATGCTGCTTGCGGCGGGGGCGTGTACGCAATTGAAGCAACTCACAGGCCAGGTAGTCCGTTGGTACCAATTTGTGTCTATGGTACCGTTACACGCTCCAAGGTCTTTATTCCTCTCAAAACGGCGACAGCTGTGAAGCAATATATAAGCGTTTCGTCGGAGCCATTTCAAATAGTATCCGACCTTTTTTTCTAGGCTGATAGCTCCTTTGAAAAAAAAAAACGTCGCTTCTACCTCCAGACAAAATGAAGTTGATCCTTGCTGTGTTGACGCTATCTGCCATTTCCATGGCCATGCCCACCAATGACGGTCATCCGGGTCATCCCAAAGACAGCCCAACAGTTTGCGAAAGCCACCAAACGGTTGTTTGCAACGGAGGCAACGGAGGCCTGCTGTCCCTTGGAAACCTTCTCACTGGTCTACTAGGAGAAAGCTGCTCGGGCGGAGATGTCTACTGCTGCTCGCAGTCTGATGTCGATCAGGTATGGAATTTGCTGCTCATGGTATAAGGATATGTTGTCTAATCAAATTTCTAGACTGGATTGATCAACCTGGACCTCAACCTGCAATGCAGCCTTAATCACCTTCTCTAGGGGACACAAGTCACAAGGTCCCCATGTATCGCCCATGAAACTTGTGTGGGGATTATTGTTTGACTTCGGTCATCCATTGTGGTATTGGATATATGCGGAAGATCTTCCCAAAGGATCTGTGCGAAGTTCAAATTATGTCGTGGTCTTCTGGAATATAAGATGTTTCGTTAATAAAAGCTCAACGATATGCGTTGGCTTAGCAATACAAACATTATATAAATCATATTACGAAACAGGCTATCTCTTCATTCTCATTGCCTCTGGACTTAAACTCTACACCATGGAAGCTATAGTAATCAAACTTGAATTCACAAATTTATATCGGGTACACCTCCTGAGTCCTCTTAAAGCAAGTCCTTTATCTTCGGAGCAGAAAAACTCCCTGTCGTGTCGACCAGGCCACTCTCGGTCTCTTTGAAAACCTGAAGGGGCAGTCTTGAATAAGTCTTCATCGTTCGGTGATCAGTAAGGGGTATACTCCTTATATTGCGGCAGAGAATGCCTTCCCGCCGATACATCTCCGGCTAGAGGTTCATAAACCCTTGTGCAAAAGACTCATTGCTGAAGGTGATATTTAATGCTTCATATACATTCAACAGATGTTTCCGAAATATTAGCCATGCTTGTGAGCAGATAGCTTTGGTGTTTTTAGACATGGACAGCTAAATGATTCTAGTTTCGCCTTTCAGGTTATGATGAATTGAAAACTTTCCGGGCTTTCGACTGGAGGCTCCAGAGCTTCCCACCCGTCCAACTTCGCATACTAGATGTTCGTTCAAGAATGGAAAAGCTGAGCCACATTTTATGTTTGGCACCCTTTCACCGAGACCCACTTGTAAAGCCCCTGAGGCAAGAATCATGTATAGGTAGTGTATTCACCAATGCCCTGGTATCTCCGCACCATGTCTCCATTGAGCTCGTACGAAGCTAGTGCTTAGTTAGTTATCTTGACGGGAAGATGTTATGTAAGATTTAGAGGGATTTCCTGTTGTGGCCTATCTCACACGTACAAGCAAGGGATGGGAAAAAGCAAATGCTTTGTCCGAGCTTGTAAGGGACTTTGGTTTTTGTGTTGCATCGATAGCTGGAACACCGTTTTCGGCAGGTAGAGATGCGATCTGCACCTCCCAAAGTACATGCCGCAGGATGATGATTCGCTCTATCCACTTCTGTCTTTGACTGTTCCATGTGTCGCAGCCGAACACGCTGGAAAATTTCGCCTCATGTTTAATGCCACCTTCAAAGCGAGCCGCTCAAGTCGACATCATTTACTATGAACCCCTTCAAGCGTTCTATTCTTAGCATATAAATCTTTACGAGATTGGATTCGACAGTGTCGTAGGTGGAAACTTTAATCAGGTATGGAATGTGGCGCCCCCGTGGCAAGCAAGCGAGGCGTCCCTATGGAATGTACCAGGAAGGGAACAGGGGCTGATCTGGGTCAACGTTGTACGCGTCCACCGAAGTCGAGTGCAACTGTCTATGGTACAGCAACGTAGATAATGTCAAGGCCAGGAAAGCAGGAAAGAAGATGTCTAGGGAAATATGTGGAAACGTCTAAGCACCATCCCCACCCATGTCTTCCGTGACGTACCGGACAATACCAATAGCCCATTCGATTGTAACTAGTGGGATGGATGAGAGGCCGCCAGCTCATCAAGCGCCTTGCGCCCCCCTCTGAGAACTTTAAAACTTTGGTTTTGACTCTCCAACTCGTTCTCGCCCTTCTGGAGGGTTTGTGCTTTACCTGCTTCTTCTTGCTGCCTCTCCAACTGTTGGTGAGAAGTCGGCGGGTACTCGTCTGGATCCCACGCCAGGGCCCTGGTATTCAACTCTCTTGGCTTCCGTGCAACTGGTTGCTCGATCTCGCCCTTTTCCTTCTCGGCTAGCAAATGAAGCCCTCTCTTTCTATGCGCTGTCAACCCCCCGCGAGGCCCGAAAAAGTGTGACTCAATCTTCTCCCTATAGATAAGACTAAATGAGAATCGACGTAACACTGTATAGACACTCCAGGAACGCTTAGTCCTCCATATCTGATACAATAGACCGGAGAGCCGCTAGCCTTCTTCTAGTCGAATCTGCTGGATTGCCATGTTCTCCTAATCCTTCGTTACTTCCAGAAATTTCCTCAAGCGATAATCAAACTTTCTTGTCCAATTTCGAGGCATAGGACTCAGATATATGTTGAAACAACTGCGCGTGATTGACCGGGGTCGGTCGTCACAGTAGTTCAACCTCCTGGCCGCAGTCCTAACCCTTTTGACCCATCGATATGTAGACCTACGCTGGGCTTGTATAAGAGCCCCCCTAACATCAATTTTGTCATAGGCTCATAATTTGTAGGATTGACTGCAAAGTCACGTGTAAAGGCTTGCGGAGGAGGGCTTTATTGCTCGTAGCGCCATCTCTGTGGTCTAGAATGCTCTGAAGCTCCTGTGATTCAAACGGCTACGGGATTTCCTGTAATTAACACGTTAGCGGTGGGGATTCCTCACTCTCTTGCTTTGATTTGTCCTATACGCTCTTCGTTGCCATTTGTTGTTGATGTTCGATCTCTTGTTTTCTAAGGAATGAAGAGATCAATCTTTCACTGAACTATAGTAGAGCTGTCCAGCGAAGCACTCCATTATTACCGAATCGGTACCACCTTTATTAGTGATATAGAGATTTTCCTTCCGGGGCTGCTCGTTTACATATACAGGTGATACTATAGACGCGAGTCGCCAGTAAGATACAAAGCCTCGAAGCAATCCTATGTTTTGCAAGAAGATACAACCCGAGTAATAGAATGCTGCCTTAACTTAACATCCCATGGACGTTGTGTAGTAGTCCCACGCATCCCAAGTGCTGGTATACTGACACAAAATCATAGGCAAAAATGTGTTGGACCATTCTTCATTCCTGCTAACAGTATACTGCGCTTTTCTGGCCCCCCCAGTACGCAGGCAGCCAGCCTGACTGTTCCCAATCGACAATTGCAAGAACATGATAGGGCTAAGACCGTGTTATCAAGATGTTGCTGCGGTGGAGATCGCCATGCGTGAAACTGATGGCACTATCGTCAGGCAGATCCCGACCGAAGGGTTCGATTGGGATAGAATATGGATCTAGCATCGGCTTCCGATATAAGAAAAGTGAACCAGTCATGGAACTTTTGGACGGTATTGAACGGCCCTGCTTCGGACATGGACCCGATGTGGAATGCTCTGTCATAAAGAGGAGCTCGTACAATGTTACCTGTACGCAAACAAAGAGTTAGACCATGTGACCAGGAAACGCAGAGGCTTTTGAAGGCATCCTACCTATGAATGGATCTTCTGACTCCTATTCAAGTTGGCGAAGTCTTTTAAGGATTGTCCGAAGCTCGCAGCAGACCGAAATGCGGTCATCATGTTCCAGCATATCCCACGCTTGCTCCAGAGTCAGCGCATGCAAATTTTCCATATAAATGAATCTTTCGTTGCCATCCTCCCGCCACCCATATACTTCTGGAACCGGGACATGATCTTTGAGGAGCTGGCCAATAGCATAGAGGCATTGGCCCTCTGAAATTCTCACAGCCGTTGCCCATTTGATGAACAATCCCAGATCCTTAAATATCACAGGTGGTGGGTGCACATGTGGGCCGTCCATCGAGAATGTTTTTCTATCGTCTGGACAGATTCCTGCGAAATGTTGAGCATTGGCTTGGGTGCGGACTTCCTCCGGTGAGGGCAGTTCGGTGAACTTCTTGAAGAAATGAGAACCCTTCGCGTCGAAATTTCAGTAGGTCGGGCTTTTTTTTTTCTGCACTGTCGAAATGCAACCTTGTTATGAGCTTCGCTGGAATTTGATGCGGGGGACCTGATAGCAAGGTATTGTGAAAAAAATTTGGACCTTGAATTTTCTTTATTTCCTTCCCTTGTTTATATACTAATGCTGAGAGTGAGTTTCTTTTATACGTACACGAATTTAATAGAGTGATCAATCCCTGCTAAACCTAGCCTTGCGGGTCAATATGTCACTAGTAATATAGTAAGGAACTGGAACCTGTCTCTTGAACCCCGCTCGATGGATTCTGAGGTGGAAGCACTGACGGATGTGCGCGTACCGGCGGTTCCGGCTCTAGCCGAAATACTACTCGCAGCTTTCAGTCCACTTTCCCCGCCCTAGTGGGTCCTCGATTTTGAACTAGCGGGATCCACGCTAACCAAGATCATTCTCACATCGTTCTGCCGCATGGCATTCCCCGCACGTTCCGCTCTCCCGACCAGCCCGATATAGTTTTGCGGGGATGCGGAGCCGCATCGAAACACTCTGAGGTGTCATAAGGTCGCCAGTAGCGTGACCTATATTGTACATAGGCCTCATCCAGTTGAGGGCAGAAGCGAAGAAAGTGTATCTGAAAGAGACACTGGTTGATTACGAAATACCGCTCATTAGACTGCAGCGGTCTTGACTATGCGACTCTATTGTATATAGAAATAAATAAAAGTGACTTGTCGTTACTATTATATATACACTTCGACGGACGTGTGCCGCGACCAAACAAGGAGCATGACGATTATATCGCTCCGAGGATCGCATCCCAAGATACACGGCGACGGTCACCCGCCGAGGCCATTCTAGGTAAACTCATCAATACCATGATGGACGGTCACGAAATAGTACAGGTGCGGCGAGCGTTGGTACGATGACTAGTCCACCAGTCACTTGTGCCGTCGTAACTGAATCGAAGGGAATTTAATCACTTTAATCACGTAGGTACCAAGGAAGGATAGTCATAACCCATCTAAGCACAATTATGACGACGGTGCATGTTTAGTAGATGTCGGTAACAGTTCAATGGCAAATAAAAGAATCTTAAAACAACTGCAAATTAAACTGAGAGTTTCCCGCCGCTTCACTTGCCCAATGCGAGTGGATCATGCGGTTTGAAATCTGAGAACGACGTAGCTGCGGTGTTTTGAAGGCCGACTCTCATCCAAGTTGGTAAGCTCCTTGTTGGAACAGCGATATAAGCAGCAGCTGGTATTAGGACTTCCTGCGATTTGGCGCTCCATATGATTTCACACATTTTCTGGCCAACATCAGAAGCCTCTAGACGTGGGAGTATAAAGTTCGAGGGGCTCTTGGTTGTCTCAAACATCCTCGTCTGCGCAACAGATGGACTGATGACGGAAACACGTACACCAGGTGCATTATGTATGTGCTTAAGTTCCGTCTGTAACCCTTCATAGATCGCAATAGCTGCAGCTTTGGTCGCTGAATAGTCAACAATTTTACCTGCACACGCGTAACCACCTTGAGAGGCAGTGATTAAAAAGTGTCCATGATTGTTTTTGACCATAGAAGGCAAGAAAACCTTGGCGCACCAGAAAATGGCCAGGTTATTTACAGCAAAGGTCCTTCAACATATTAGCGAAGTAATTACTATTGGACACTTTGCACTTACATTTCAATATCTTCTGGACGTGCCTCCAATATTCCTTTGCCACGGCAGATTCCAGCATTGGCAATTACCACTGTAGGAGCTCCAACATCCTTGCGGATCAATTCTGCAACCGCTTGTACGGCTTCGTACTTGGTAACATCCACTTTGTAATAGTGGACATTAGGTGCTAAAGATGCCTTGTTAGATCTCTCAGCTGGGCATTTGTTTCAGGGTGGCTTACGCTTATCGTAAGTCAATGGAAGTACATCCAATACGACTACTTTACTTCCACGAGAAGCAAGCCTCTTCGTCGCCTCTGCTCCAAAGCCCTGTCTGGTATTAGTCGTGGTAATCAGTTTGAATAACGGGATCACTCACACCTGCACCACCTGTCACGACTATGATCTCTTTAGAGGCTTCAAATTTGGCAGACACGCCATTATTCAGTGCTCTTTGATTGAAGTACCGGTTGAGCCGAATTAGCACGCCAGCAGCGAGAAGATACAGAGCATTTTTCTGGATCAAAGGCAGATGGGCAATACGGAGGCGGAATATAGAGTTTTCGGAATGTTGGAAAATGACACGATGAATGGTCGTAAAGTGGAGGCCTATAGGTATAAGGGCAGAAACTACGGGATTCAAAATTGTGCTGTCGATAACAGCTAGAATGTGGTCAATTGCGAATTTCATGATGCACTTCCAGGCAAATCGAGGAGTGGCTAAGGCACATGTTGTTGAGAGAGCTAGAATCTATTTATCCCTCAACGGAAAAGCGGAAAAGCACGGACTAAAGCGGAAATTGAGAAAGTAGGGATAACCCCCTAGCGGCACCACAGGAATTACCGGAATTGCTGGAATTGACTACCACGTCATAGGCCGAATATAATTGGTTAGACTGATCACTTACGTGCCTCGGCTCCGGAATTCATATCGGGGCCGGTTACAGATTTCGAATAAGCACATCCCACGCCCTCATTCAACCCCCTCCATTCTTATCCAAGTGTGAGTTGTCGTTCAGAGGCGTTCAAATGCTTCAGAGCATAGTTTCTCAAACCCACCCTTCATATGCTTTGAGAAAATACGATTTATAAAGTTTGACCCTAGGATCTTGGCCAGGCAATCTCAATGGCGCCTTATTCAACTGAGAAAGAGATTCTCGAAATCCACGAAATCCTTAAGCAAACATTTGCTTCTGGCCGCACCAAGGAGTTAGCATGGCGGAAATGGCAGCTGAAACAACTCTGGTGGCTTGTTGCCGACAATGAAGACCGTTTCATCCAGGCCTTGAAAGGAAGACCTCAACCGCCATCCTCTGGAGAGCATGGCTTCAGATATAGCTGGCCTCAAGGGTGATATCCTTGAGCATATCAAGCACCTTGAGAAATGGACTCGAACGGTAAAGGTCGACGGGGCGGGTATTCTATTCGGTACTCTTTCAGGCGCAAAAATACGCAAGGACCCTTTAGGTGTAGCTCTGATCCTCGGAGCTTGGAATTTCCCCATCCTGCTCATTCTGCAGCCTTTGATTGCGGCTATTTCTGCTGGTATGTTATTCTAATCTTGGATGCAAAGGCTTTCTGACGAGTAAAAAGGCTGCTGTGCACTGCTGAAGCCATCCGAGATGAGCACGAGCTGCAGTGAGCTATTAGACGAGCTCGTTCCGCAGTACCTTGACACGTCCGCCATCCGCCTGGTCACCGGTGGTCCCTCGGAATCGACGTTTCTGCTTTCCCTGCGATTCGATAAGATCTTCTTCACTGGATCAAGCAAGATCGCACGCATCATCTCCGCCGCTGCAGCTAAACATCTTACTCCGGTCGTCCTCGAGCTGGGAGGCCAAGGACCTACAATTGTAACCAAGTCTGCAGACATCGAGCTAGCTGCTCGACGTATTAGCTGGGCTAAATTTACAAATGCAGGCCAGATCTGCCTCAGCGTGAACCACGTCTTCGCGGAGCCCGAGATCGCCGACAAACTCGTTGAGCGGCTCGGCTACTGGAACGAACAATATCTTTCACAGGGGAATGACGACATGTGTCGCGTGATCAACGATCGCAACTTCAACCGCCTCACGGACCTCCTCGATTGTAGTAAGGGCCAAACCGTCCAAGGTGGCCAACGTATCCCCGCCGAGCGCTACATCGCCCCAACTATTGTGGACCACGTTACTATGGACGACTCCTTAATGTCCGAAGAACTCTTTGGTCCGATTCTTCCCGTCCTTCGTATGTCCGCCAAAGACGCCGTCACCACAATTAACTCCATGCCGTCCCCATTAGCCCTATACATCTTTTCAGGTGATACAAATCAAATAGATTGGATCATTAACAGCACTATCTCCGGCGGAGTTACGGTGAATAATGTGATGCTACACGCAGCCGTCCCTAATGCGCCCTTCGGTGGCGTGGGGGAAGCTGGTTACGGTGCGTATCATGGCCCGTACGGTATCGACAGCTTCTCACATCGACGGGTTATCCTCCAGCCGCCGAAGTGGCTGGACAAATTGATGGGGTTCACCTACCCTCCATATTCGATGAAGAGTCTGAAATGGCTTGCCGTGAAGAACTCATTGGGCTTCAAGCGCGGGGAGACGCTCGAGGACCAGAGGCGATCGCCCGGAGCCGTCACGAAATTTATCCGACGGGCGGTTCTAGGCGGGCTAATAAGTTCCATAGCATACTACTTACATCTCAAAGGGAGAATTTAAGGTAGATATCTCCTGTCGGGACAATATGCTATTACTAGAATGTATGTTCTTCCATTTTGTGACATATTCGATGTGATACGTGTTACACACTCCTAGCTAGTCCCTATAAGTAGGTCCTCAAAGGGTATACTTCTCTTAGTCAAACTCTCCACCCTAAGTAACTAACATAACTCCTAAGCGAGCATTACCCAAACAGGCGTACCACCCCCAAGCAAACTTCCTATACCGCTTCACCAACTATCTACCATGCCTCCAAAAAAAAGCGATAGATCCTTACATTCAGAGTATAGACTTAAACATGCTGTTTAAGCTATCTAAACCAAGAAAAACCCCTTAGGATATATAGTAAAATTCCCGGACGGGTTTTGAAAAACCTATTTACCCAGGACATATGTGCACTGTGCCTTTTCTCGTAAGGTATGTCAATGGTGGCCTACGTTGGGGAACAGGAAGAACCAGCAACGGCGCTCGTATTCGAGATACTAGAACTAGAGGGGGAGAGGAGAAGGGAAAGAGGGAGGAGCTACTGTAGCGGCCTATCTACTCCTACGCAAACCTCCATCCCATCTATGCCCACCTCGTAGTTCGGACGGTCCTTCTTCCAGCATCAGGGCGGTGACAGGAGGCAGAATCGAGTGAGCAGTGACATCCCTCCGCTAAGACTCGGCTTGCCCTCAAGTCGACGCTTCGTTTAGCCATTCGTCGAGTTCTCGAGGCGGTCCCGCTTTCTCTGGATATCGCTGGTGGAACTCCTGTAGGGCGAGTGGCGAGTTCCTGAAGTTGTCGGCTGGATACCAGGCATTGTTGTCGTCGCCTTCATAGCCCTTCCACTTGACTTTGTACTGGAGTTTGCGATAGTGTAACCGGGAATCTAGCACTCGTTCAATCTCCCACTCTTCCTCTCCGTCGATAATCAGCGGTGGGGACGGGTCCTTGATTTGGCCTGGCAGCGGTTCTGTTTTAGCGGCCTTTCGCAGCTGGTCCGGTGGGAAGACGTCGTGGACTTTCACAGTTTTTGGCAGTTTTAATCTAAAAGAGTGACCCCTTTTCTCAAGTATTTCGTAGGGTCCTGCGGCGATGTCGGCGAGTTTTCGACTCGGTCGGCCAGTTGGCCAATATTGGGTTGTCACATAGACTTTATCCCCTATTGTGAAGTCGGGTTCCCTCCGGTGGCGGTCAGCCTGTTGCTTTTGCACTCCTTGGCTTCGCTTTATCTTGTCTTGAACGTGCGTCCATATATCCTGCATTCTCCGTGCGAAAGGTTGGCTGTCGGTAGGTGTAGGGGTTTGCCAGTCGAATGAAAACCGCGGCTCGTACCCTCGCTCAGCGTAAAACGGTGACACTCCTGTGGAAGCCTGGGGCAGTGCGGCTGCTGCGAAGTCAACGAGTCCTATCCAATCCGACCAGTCGTCTTGGCAGTGGTTAACATATGGTCGAAGGCGTTGCTGTAGATACTGGTTGGCGATCTCAGTTTGTCCGTCGGTCTGCTGGTGATGCGCGGATGACAAGTCTCTTGAGATCCGCAGGATCTTGCAGAGTCTTCCCCAGAAGCCTGATACGAATTGGGGACCTCGGTCCGACACGATCGAGTCCGGGAGTCCGGTGTGTGGGAAGATGCGGTTGACGAACAGTCGCGCCATGCCTTCAGCAGTTACTGTTTTGTTGCAGGGCACCGAGATTGGTCTTTTCGTAAATCGGTCGACAACTACCATCACTGCATCGTAGCCGTGCCGGTCTTTCGGAAGGCTGCAGAAGTCCACTGTGACATGGGTCCATGGTTGGTTTGGAGCTTCGAGCGGTTGTAGGAGGCCTGGTGTCTTATCTCTCCAGATCTTGGTCCGTTTGCATATTTGGCAGTTATCCACATATCGTTGCGTGTCCTGTCGCATCTGTTCCCAGTAGAAGCGGTTCTGTAACAACCGGAGGGTTCGATCTCGGCCTGGATGGCATGTTGACGGCTGTCGATGGACCTCGTCCAATAGCTTCGTTCGCAGTCGATCAACGTCTGGCACAATCAATTTTCCGTCCTTAAGTGCTAGGCCCTCCTCGTCTCGATATTCGGTCAGATCGTCTTGCAGCCGGTTAGCCTGCTTGATCTGTTCAATCACGGTTCGAGGGCCGGCGCATGCCACCGTTGGGGAGTCGGCTTGGGGGACGTTTTCGTAACTGCCCTCAGGTAACAGCTGCATCTCCACGACGGGCTTTCCGTGTTCCTTTCGCGATAGCGCGTCTGCAATCTTGTTCTGTCGCCCCGGTCGGTATCTGATGATGAAGTGGTAGTCCGCAATTTTCTCCGCCCAACGGGCCTGCCTCGCGTTCAGTTGTCGCTTCGTGCTAAAGTACTTCAGCGCTTCATGGTCCGTCAGGACTTCGAAGCGATCCCCTTGTTGAAGGCCTGTTAGTTCGGAGCGCCACTCTTTAAACGCAAGTACAATTGCGAGCATCTCCTTATCGTGGATGGAGTAGGACGACTCAGCGTGGTCCATGGTCTTCGAGAAGTAGGCTACTGGATGCCACTCGTCAGATTGCAGCTGTGACAGAGCTGCTCCGCAAACATTATCAGATGCGTCAGTCTCTACTCGTGTCGGAAGGCTCGGGTCGTAATGTCGAAGAATGGGTGCTTCGGTTAACCGTTTCTTCAGCAACTGGAAGGCGTGCTGGCACTCCTGGGTCCACTCGAACTTGACCGTGTCTTTTGTCAGTTGATGTAGCGGCCGGGCTATCTTGCTGAAATGGCGAATGAACTTTCGGTAGAACCCGCAGAACCCAAGGAAGGATCTAACGCCTTGTTTAGTCTCGGGAGCCTTCCAGCTGGCTACCGCCTCGATCTTCTGGGGATCTGTTTGTACGCCGCTGGCCCCCCACGATAAACCCCAAAAACTTCGTGGTGGTGGTGCTGAATTCGCACTTATGGATGGCGGCTTGGAGGCCCGCTTCTCGTAGTCGGGCTAGGACTTTACGGACCTGGGATTGGTGTTCTTGGAGGGTCTCGCTGTAGATAAGTATGTCATCCACGAACACGGTGACGAAGTCATCCAAGTAGTCTGATAATGCCTCGTTCATGTATCGTTGGAAGGCGGCTGGGCCGTTCGTAAGGCCAAAGGGGAGCACTTGATACTTAAACATTCCATAGCGGCTTCGGAACGTAGTTTTGTCCTCGGAATCAGGGTGCATCCGTATTCGGTGGAAGCCTTGTCGGATATCCAGCTTTGTAAAGTACTTCGCTCGGCTTAAGCGGTGCAGTAGCTCGTCGATCAGTGGGAGGGGGTATCGGTCCTTCTTTGTGATTTCATTCAGCTTTCGGTAATCCACGCAGAAACGAAGGCTGCCATCTTGTTTTCGGGCCATCAAAATAGGCGAGGCATAAGAGGCTTTGCTCGGAACTATAAACCCCTTTTGCAGGTTATCTTCGATGTAGGCCTTTGCTGCTCGCAGCTCCTCAAGAGACATTTTGTAGAGAGGGCAGTATCCTGGGGTTAATCGCTGAGCATCTGTGTCCTCTAGTTCGATTCGGTAATCGTTTTCTCGATGGGGCGGTAACGTGTCCGACTTGATTTTCGAAAACACATCGACAAATTCATGGTACTCCTTTGGTAGTATCCGGCGAATCTCGACGTCCTCATGGAGTTGGCCAGGGTCTTCTCGCTCGTCCAGCTCGTCTATGACGCGTGAGATATGGTCGATCGAGGTCACGAAGGTTTCCGCTCTTTGTCCCTTCATAAGGCGGTGGTAACCTATGCCGCTAATGGTGGAAATGGTAGCGTTCCCTCCGGTTAGCGCGTGGACCGGGGCAAGCTTCGTTCGCTGCGCTAACTGGCGGAGAGTCTCCGGTTGGCGCGTCTGGACCGTGACTTCCTCTAACGCACGCTTCATCTTTCCTATATCGGCTTGGGTCGGTGAGTCTCGTCGTAGGATCTTCCATTTTGCCTGTTCTCCTCGAATTTCGGCCTCCTGCCTTTGGTCGCGCCTATTCGCATCTTCTTGGTGGATCGCCCGCGTCGCTATCGACGCTTGGCTTTCGATCAGCACCCTACGGGGGAGCTGACGATAACTACCAGAATACCGGTTCAGGTCCTCTTCTTGGTTAGGTTGATCTTGCGGCCATTTGAGCTCCTTTGGTTCGCAATATACCCCGATACCAAAGTGTCCGAAGAACCGTCGTCCAAGGATAAGATCTTTCCCGGGGCTTAGCGAAGTGACCATCATAGGGAGCCGAGCCAGACGACGTCCCTCGAGTATCAGCGTCAGTTCCACCAGGTGGGTAACAGACGGGGCGCCCTGGCCATTGAACGCTTGGAGAGGAATCGGCTGGGGGAGGCGTTTGGTTCGAAGCTGGAATCGCCGTCCCAGCGCGAGCACTAGAGTTTGATCAATTAGGATAAAGACATCGGCTCCTGTATCAGCCAGTGCAGTGGCAGTGAACGAAAATCCATTATGGGCTATCTTCGTGCGAATTGTAAGACTGTCATTATCTACAAGACGTCCAAAGTCGGTCTTGTAGGGCAATGGTGGTACATGCTCGCCTAGGCTGGAGACTTGCCCTAGGCGGATTCTTTTCCCGAGTCCTCGAGTTCGAACAAACCCGTCTTAGACTGATCCTTGCTCTCCTCGGTTGCGGCGGTGTTAGCCGGCGTAACGGTGGCGCTCTGTGCTAGGCGTGCTCGACAGTCACGTGAAATGTGGCCCGGCTTGGCACAGAATAAGCAGAGGCCTTTTTCCAAACGACGACTCTTTTCCTCCTCCGACAGGAGAATTCGTGGTGGTCGTTGCTCACTCGGCTTACCACCCGCAATGCTAGACTTCGAAGACGCTGGCTGCGGACTAAGGGAGGGCTGTGCTCCTTTCGATTCAGTTCTCCTACTGTTTCCTGGGGGTGGTCGATGTCCGGGTCTGTCGCTTAACTGTCGGCGAATAACTCGATCGGACATATGACATTCCTTCAGGAACGCCTCGTACGAGACTAAGGGGTTGTTGTAGTCCGAAAAGAGGTGATTCTGCATCAGGGTCGGGAGGCGGTCGTAAAGTTCCTCTTTCATGTCGTTGTCGTCCTTGAATATCTCGCCCTGCAAGGCGAGTCTAGTGAATTCTTCGACGAAGTCCTTGAAGCTATCCTTCGGCTTCATCTTCAACTCTTTGAAGGCAGTTCGAGCTGCCTTTCGTTCATGGGGGTCGCAGTAGATCAACTGCAGATGATCAAGTATGTCGTTGGAATCGGTGTACTCGTTGGGCGCTCCGGGCATCGCTCGAGGTCCAATCTGGGAGAGCGCGTTACCGTCGCAGCGGCTGGTAACGTATGCCATACGATGAGTGGCTGTCGGGTAGTAGTCCGCGTTTAGCTGCAGCTTCCGCTCTACCGCCGTACGCCACTGCTTGAACTTCGAGGTATCTCCTTCGGAGAACACAGGCGCATCCGGCATCTTAGGGGACTTGGTGTGTCGGTCCACCGAGGATGCAATGCTTGTTTCTCTTCCCTGTTGGGCCTGGGACTGGCGAAGGGACTCTACCACTACCTGGCGTTCGTCTTCGGATCTCTTCCATCTCTGAGTCATCTCCTCGAGTTGCTCTTCAGTACGCAAGACTCGATCCGTCATTTCCTGACATTGCTCCTGGGCCTCACGGACTTGGTTCCGGTGGGCGGATCGGCGACTGTTCAACGAGTGGAGGGTGGCGACGACAATCGCCCACAACTTCTGCGGTCCTCCCTCGAAGAGGTTCTCGAAGGTTTCTGGGTTCTCGATGTTGATGACATCGTTCCGGTTCGTGATGTCGATCAACCGTGCGCTGGTGAGCATCTCTACTGGGATCTCATATGGGACGCGTTCGTCGCGTCGCGTACTCTGTTCAACTTCCTCGCGCTGTTCCTCAGGCGAGTCTGGGTAAGCTCCAGGCGTAGGGGTAGGAGGTCGCGGTGTATTCGTGCCCGCATCGCCAGTCATGCGGCCTGGGTCGTTCGAGCGACTTCGTGTCACGGGAGGTGCCATCTTGGCGGGGTTTTGGTAGGTGTCGGCTACGGTGGATGTCTTGGACACAACGAGGTCGCGTGTCAACGACGCGCACCGCAGCAAAAGAAGTGAAAAGTTGAGTTCTAGTATTGTCAATGGTGGCCTACGTTGGGGAACAGGAAGAACCAGCAACGGCGCTCGTATTCGAGATACTAGAACTAGAGGGGGAGAGGAGAAGGGAAAGAGGGAGGAGCTACTGTAGCGGCCTATCTACTCCTACGCAAACCTCCATCCCATCTATGCCCACCTCGTAGTTCGGACGGTCCTTCTTCCAGCATCAGGGCGGTGACAGGAGGCAGAATCGAGTGAGCAGTGACAAGGTAGACTCCATTCACTCACGATCCATTTGATTTCATGATAATCGTATATCGTAATTCCACTGCAGCTTATCTGATATAAGATTGCACCGCTCGATCTGTGGGTCAGGACTGGCCGGGACCTTTGCTTTTGCTGAAGCAACAGGATTGTTTGCTTTAATGATGGCCTTCTTATTAAAGGCTGCCGCAATTTATTCTGGACTAGAACAGAGTTCGGTGGGCCACTGGTACAAGCCCCGAGTGGATGGACAGCGGAAGGGTATTGTGACCGCAGTTAGGGTAAAGCTGTAGCTTGCGGGTTGTACCGGCCACGTCACAAGGTCATTCATCAAGTCCCCTTATTCGCCACGAAGCTTCTATAATTACTTCGTGCATCTTAGCATGGTCACGAATTCGTCTTTACATGGTGCGTCTGCTACGGTCGAATTTCGTTGAGGTCACACTATTCTTCGTAGCTGATGTTTGGTACCATTAGCAAGAATTTGAAAAATCCTCATGGTATATAGCTTTAAGGGTTTGAAGTCGTTAGAGTATCTGCTGAATTTGACACGAGAAGATCAACACCTCCGAGGCAGGGCAAAAGGTGTCGGTCGCAATGATTGTTTTGATACAAGGCTAAAGTAGGTCAGGAACCTCGTCGCCACCAGACTCAGTTCCCTGACTCTCTATACAAAGAGAAAGTTGCTTTCCAACCAGATCTCACATTGTATAAAAGGCGTTCACAGTTTACGGTGTCATGACCACCATTTAGTTAATTTTAAGGAATGATCATATCACAGTATTCATTTCGGCCCAAAGAGAGACAGTATGATAACGCCATCTGAGAGAACTGATTTGTGCTCAAGCTTCATATGAAAATAAGGAAGAGTAGAGAATGTAATATGCCAATAAACCCCCACCACATCTCTGATAACGCTCATGCATCTAGTAAGACATCGTCGATAGCGAATAGAATCTTACTGTCATTGCCCACCATACGTACCACCGGGAAAAGCAGAAGGAATCACACCTTGACGGGCTTGAGACCAGCCTTCATCACTCGAACCACCATCATGACCAACCCAGCGACACATCCGGCCACACCTCCGTAGAGCCAAATGGCCAACCAGTCATGATCAGAACCCAGGATGGCACCACCACTTGGTCCGCCAATCAACAAACCAAAACCGCCGATCGCAAAGCCCTGCCCAACACGGGTGCCGATCATACCTTTATTCTCGGTAAGCATTCGGAAGCAAACTGGGGGGAGCGCAACGACGACACCGCTGAAGAACCCCGTAACAATGGTTTCGACGACTATTCCGGCCTTATTAACAACCCCGAGTAAGCAGAAAACGGTGACTCCCAGAAGAAGGGAGACAGGTGCAATAGTGTTGAAAACTCCAATGCGATCGGATAATGCATTCGGCGCAATACGCCCTAGTATCGATGCTGCGTTGAAAACTGCAACCAGGTAGAAAGCCAGCTCGGTATCGGTAAAGCCTTTATTCTGTGCGTAGAAGGAGATATAGAAGATCAAAATGGCATTTCCAATGAAAAGAATCAGCAGGCCAAGCGAAAATACGATGTACGGCCCATCGGTAAAGGCGGACCAGTCAATAACAGCACGCGGCTGAGGTGCTCGGACTCTGACTCGCATAACAAGCACAGGCAGGATAAATGTTGCAAGCGCAATGAATCCGATGGTGCGAACGGCCCAAGGGAAGCCGATATGGTTGTTGAAGAGGAGTCTGTAAAGCACGATAGGGTAGATGATACCGCCAAGAGAGGAGCCTGACGAGGCAATGCCGACGGCGAGTCCCATGCGCGAGCTGAAGTATGTAGGTAACAAAGATACAGTTGGGGTGAAGAGCAGTCCACCTCCAATGCCAATGCAGAAGGCTTGGGATAGTAAGACCTGCCAGAACTCCTTACAGAGAGAGAGCATCATGAGTCCAAAGACAACCATGAAGCTACCTGTCAAAAGAAGCAATCGAAGGTGGCCACGGTCGTAGAGGGGGCCGGCAATCAGCCCGGTCAGCTGGAGCAGGAAACTTTGGATTGCACCGATCCAGGAGATATCCGAAGATGAGGCCGTGAAAAGTTCACCACTCTCGTAGTATGTTTGGAAAACTCCGAAAGTATTGATCATGCCCCATGTGTTGAAGAAAAGCACAAAACCGGCAGCTACCTGGAGCCACGCAACAGTTCCTCCGTCGGGAGGCGGGCCAGGAGCAGCAGGGGATGTCGGTGCGTTTTCTTCGACCTTGATATGGTCGTTGATTCCGTTGTGTGTGGGCACGTCTTCAGAAGCTGTCCCGGAAGCCATGATGGTAGTTCAAGTTCAAGGAAACGTAAGAATTCGTGTGATTAACGGAGCCGAATAGATAGAATAGCAAAGGCAAGGAGGAAATTAAGTATGTCCATCGTGAGCTAAAAAAAGATCAACAACATCTAAACCCTACTCGCGGAATATATGCGATCCCTGATTCTACTCGAGCTGGTGCTTTTCTGATCCGGTCGGCGGAGTCGACTGACTAGTTAACTATAGTTGATTGTTGACAAATCGACGCTCGCCCGCTCGGGGAGTCAGGGTCGCGGAATGAGGCTGATTTGCCCCGCTTGCTTTAGCCGTTCGCCCGAGCGGCGGAAGAACATCTGTGGCTTCCTGTCTTTTTCGCCCGAGCAGCGGAACCTCACCTGCTTCTTCTCTTTGCTATCGATCAATACTCGTTCATTAGGGTTTTCACCGCCTGCAGCATGAATACCAACTTTGATGAAGACTCGCTTGCGCCAAGCCAAGAGCAGGAAGTCAAGCGAAAGAAAGTCCGTAAAGGAACGAGATCTTGTTGGGAATGCAAACGTCGCAAAATTCGTTGCATATACTCATCTCCTGAGGCTGATACTTGTGTTGAATGCCAGCGCCGGCATGCCACTTGCATCGGCCAAGATTTACCAGAAGATCTAGTCCCAACAAAGCAACCTAGCAACAGTCGGCACCTCGGAGAGCGTATTGCAAGAATTGAGAATATTATTAGGGATCTAGTCGTTACTCAAAGCGCACTAACTCCGAGGGAAGGACCCCGGAACGAGGCTCCTCGACAAGAGGAGCACGCAGACCAACCTTCAAACTCAACCGTATCAATACCTCATCATAACGTCTCGGCATTACCTTGTTCTCATTCAGATTCGCCCGCCGATTCGCCATATTATGAAAGCTCTGGAAAAATACATAGCCAAGACTGTCCACGTCCAGAGAAAGAAAAGAATTTGGCCGATAGTCAAGGCGAAGTTCGGAGAGAAAAAAGGAAATGGAGTCAAGCAAACTCAACCAGAGGGCTTACTGGACGACGAGCCGGGCTGAGAATCGATGCGTCTATATCAAAAATCCCATCCAGTCCCAGCGAAGCTGCGGTTTTACACCACCTCCTGGCAGCCTTTCCATGCAGAGATGATGTGGAGATATTAGCCAAGAAAAGCTCTCGATCGTCACTCTACACTCACTTGACCAATTTTCAGCCACACAGCAAGTTGACACGCGATGCCCTTGCTGCTGCTACTGCCTCTGACCCTGTTTACCCGACAGTCTTGACTCCTGGACCTGACATACACCCGGTCATATTGGTAAGACAAATGATCATATTCGCAATAACTCTGCAAAGTCCCTGTGGGGAGACGGTTCATGGTCTTTCTGAGCCACAAGAAGTACTGATGTGTCGACTTATGACGGCTGCGACAACATGGGTGACAAAAAAGGAGGAGTGGCAGGGGACCCTCGAAAGCGTGCTCTGCATCATGCTTGAAGGTGCTTTTGAGGTCAACTGCGGCAATCTCCGACGAGCATGGGCTGTCTATCGCAGAGCAATGACAGTAGCGCAACTTATGGGCCTACACCGTTCACCTCTCCCACCCTTGAAAAGAATCGACCCACGACTGAACATAGATCCCGCTTTCATGTGGTTCCGCATAGTCTATATGGATCGGTATCTTAGCCTTCTGCTCGGTCTTCCTCAGGGTACGACTGACAAGAGCATGGCGACGAATTTTCAGGATGATACACCTCTTGGTAAATTTGAGCGTGAGCTAGTCGTCATCGCATCTCATATTCTGGAACGGAATGAGACTTCTTTCACGGACAACTCTTTCACAACTCACTTTGGAATAACCCAATCTATCGATGCGCGGCTACTGGAAGCTTCAAGGAGTGTGCCTTCAAGCTTTTGGCGACCGGCGAATTTTCAAGGCCTTACTCCAGGGTCACCAGACGCACTATTGGAGACAATACGACTTGCAGACAAGGTTTATTACAACAGTCTGTTGATTCAGCTGTATCTGCCTTACGCTATCTCCGGTATAGGCACTCACTCAGAGCATGAGTGCTTAAAGGTTACCTGCGTCAATGCGAGTCGTGAAATCATGACACATTTTATTTCTCACCGGACATTCAATCCAATGTCGTCTTGCTCACGTCCTGTCGACTTCTTCGCGTTTCTGGCAGCCATGACAATTCTACTTACCCATCTTGATGCTCATCGCGAAGCGAAAAACTTCCTAAGTCATCAGCGTCTAAGCGATCGTGCAATGTTAGAGCAAGTTCTCGACCTATTGGATCTCGTTAGCAAGATAGACAAGGATGCGATGACCCGAAAGTCTGCCGAATTGATCCGACACCTCCTCGATATCGAATCTGACGCCTCCCAAGGAATTGCGTATACACGGACCATGGTTGAAGAAAATCAATATACGCAGGAAATCTTCAAAAATGAGAAAGGGCTATGCCTGCGCATTCCTTACCTTGGAACTATCAAGATCGCTAGGCAGTCCTCATCTTCGAGCGTAGCAAGAAGGCCCCAAGAAACCGATCCTTCGCTAGAACAGTCAGAAATTAACTCTAATGGTGGGAGATTTGTGTGTCCTCGAATACCGCTGATAGAAGAGCACCAACTGCAAATGGATCTGCCTGGAATCACTGCAGGTATTGATGACTGGGCCTTCCAAGGTGTGGACATGGCGTTCTTCGATAGTCTTACGAAAGGGGTGTCTGATATAACAGGCTCTTGATCGAAAACATAGTCTAAGATTAATACCACCTAAAGATTCTGTACTCCGCAGGATGACATAAATTTGAATTCAGAAGAAAATATTATTTTTTAGTATTCGAAACGAAATGGCACAAGGGCATATGACGAAAAAATCCATTCATATTGCAGTTTTGAGCGACTAGCGACTCACAGCTCAACCAGAATGAAAGCCATCCACCATATAGATGCTGCGTGTATATATTACACCAACCACTTCTGCAGTGTCAATAACGTAACCTTCGACCCAAGTTGGGCTATGTGTAGAGGCTTAGTTTTACCAACAAAGATAAAGAGTGACTGACCCTTTGGCATTCCTCCGTTATCACCAATATTTCCGACTTCCGAGTAAAGGGATTCAATATCGTATCAATAAGATTTCCACGTCACTCCAATAGCGTTTTGCTGTCGAATCCCTTTTATTCCCTGACACACTAGTACGTTTTCTGTCTAACTCCCGTACTTGCAACTATATAAGTATTAAAAATCACGCCATTATTCAATGTAGAATAGATATACAATAATAGGGCATCCGTAACCCTAGTTGGTCGGCTGTTATATCTAGTCTTTTATTATCTATATATCAACCTTGACCGATCGGTTAATTGTAGTTGACCTAACTTCAACTGAAATAGGTCTTTAATAACCCGTGATACTTCTATGATGAAGTCTACTTAGAAGACCTATCCTATAGGGGGTCCTATACTCTGGTAGGGTATAACTTTAGTGCGTGGCGGTCAGGTGGCTTAAGTATAGGCAGAAAAGGCCCTACTACCCAGGTAATAAACTTAATTTGGTTGATTTTGTATGTAGGGTATCGGTCGATCTAGTGGATGGATCTGGGTGAAACTTTGGGAAGTTTTAAGTGAGGCGATTTGATGTCGGGTGTGTTTTGAGTGCGAAGTGATCGGAGCTATATTGGAGGTGGGAGGATGGATTGAAAATTTGGGGTTTTAGGAATTTATTTTGATGGGGTGCGACCGTGGGTAAGGGTGGGGACCTACTTTTTGTGGATATGATAGCGGTAGCGCTAGCTATACTAGTAGTGCTGGCTGTGCTGGCTATATATTAGCTATATTGTTCTTGATATATCTACAAGAGTTTATATAGAGATAAGGATTTAGCTTGGTTAAAGCTGATTATCTATCAGCTAAGAAGGATATTTATCAGATTTATAAGAGAGATATATAAATTTTATTATTATTAGATATATTATATTCTATAACTAGATAGAAATATATTTTGGGAAATTAAGAAATATCTATATATATTTTAGTTATCTTAATTCTAAAATATATTTATATTTTAAAAAATTCTATTCTTAGACTAAATTATATCTTTATTTATATAGATATAGAATAATTAAAAAAAAAAATCTAGTATATTTATCTATATCTATATTATCTTTAATTTAAATTTAAAAATTAAGTTATTTAAGAGATTATATAATATCTTATCTACTAGAAAAGATAATAAAATTATAAAATATCTCTAATTAACTAATATACTAGATAAAGATAAGAAAAGATTAAGCTTTAAGAAAATCTTTAAAAAAGACTATAGTCTCTAGATCTAGGTCTGTTAGATCTAGATCTATTAGTATAGTATTTAGATAGTTATTATTAGAGTCTTAATAGTCTGAATAATATCTATAATTACTAAGATAAGATCTTTAGTAGTTATAATAAGATTTTTTGTAGCTCTAGCAAGATCTATTATTATTGTTGTAAGATTTTTTAAGGTAATTAGGGGTTTAGGGGTTAG